GGGGGGGGGGTTGGAAGGTGAAATATGATGACAGAGAGAAGGTCTGGGTGCAAAACTTTGAGAAGGAGACTTCTGTGATAAGATCAGTGAATAGTGGTATGGTTGTGGGGAAAGACGACAACATAAGACACTACAGCCGGAGGAGAGAGAGAAAGAGTAAGGGGTAGCAATAAGATAGACATTAGCTATCGGAGATGCAATCCATATGAGGAATGGCCAAGAATCGGTCTTTTAGATGTTGGTGAGAACATCATGATAGACTTTTAGGCATTATCAATCGATGTAAGTGCGTTTGCGGGCCAGCGCCCGTATCCTTTTCATTCTCGACTTTTCTGGGTATTTCAGCAGTATCTTTGGGTAGCAAAAAAAAAAAAAAACACACAATGAGGAAGCTGGACATAGCAGACGAAATAGTGGAAAAATTTGGAGAACAGAAAACATCAATCCTCAAAAGTCGAAAGCAAATCGTATGCTGAGGCTTGCACCAGCCTCTTGAGCTCAGACATATCGAGGAGACGGATTTTCCGGGAACCACCCTTCTACTACTTCTTCAGCGCCTTCTCCGGATCCTTCGCGAAGGCTTTACACCACTTATCCCACTCCCTCGCGGCCTTGGCTACGACTTGGCGGAAGTCATCCTTCACCTCGGCAACCTCCCACTGCTCATCCTCCCAGTTCCGCTTTTCGCCTTGGGTCTGGCTCGGGGCCCAGCCGATGGCCTCGAGGACCTCCGTCTCGGTGGGACTGGGGCCGCCGGCGCTGGCGAAGAGCTTCGGATCGCGCTCGTGGCAGCGCGCGGCGAGGTAGCGGCGCAGAACATCCAGCCGCTTCGAGGGGACGAAGCTCAGCTTCAGCTTACCCTCGTCGTCGCCGTCGTCGTCGTCGTCGTTACCCTCGCCCGTCTTTTCACCATCACCGCCAGCACCAGCACCAACAGAGGAAGAGGAAGGGGAGGAAGAAGAGGCAAGCCGCTTGGTGGTGGAACGCGCGATCTTGGCGCCGCGGATGGACGAATACATCCACACGGCGTCGATCTCGACCAGGCCGCCAAAGGGCCAGACGACGGTGGCGAGCACGTCGACGGCGAACGAGACGGGCAGCAGGCCCGTGGCCAGCACGGCGTCGCGCTGCGCCTTGCTCTTGGTGCGCAGCATGCTGCTGACGAACTCGGCGCGCATGGCTTCTTCCAGGTCGCGCGTCGCATCATTGCTGCCGCTGGCGATAGAGGCGGGTGGGTAGACGATGATCATGTCGGTCAGGCCAACCGTTTTCTTAGTCGTCGAGTCCTCGTGGACGCCGTCGTCGTGGTGGGTGTCGGGAGTAGTATTGCTAGTGGAGGCAGCGGGATCTTTTTTCTTGGGACTGCTGGTGCCGCTGCTGCTACCGCCGCCGAGACGGTTGATGAAGTCGAGGTTCGAGGTGGTGGTTTGGTTGACGGCCCAGTCGATGCCCCGGGTTGCTTTGCTCTTGATGCCCTTCCAGCTCGTTGTCTTGGCCGTGCTGGTCTTTGCTTCGCGGACTTCTTCCTGCCACTTCCGTTGCACCTTGTGCATTTTCTCCTCCTTCTCGCCTTCCGCCGGCTTCGAGAGTGGCGGGGGCGGCGGTGTGTAGATGATGAAACGGTCGGGTATTTTCTCCGGCGGCGTGTCCTTCGAAATTGGCTTGGGAAAAGGGATGAGGTAGGCGATCAGCTTGTGAGGGTCACGGGTGTAGTGAATGGGGTTGGAGGGGTCGTCATCTTCGAAAGTTTGGCGGATCCGGCGGGGTGGAAGCGGCGGCTGATATTCCGCTATCTGTTGTTGCTCGGGACGAGGCGGGTATGGCGGTGGTTTCTCCTCATCTTCCTCCTCCTGCTTTTCTTCCTCTTGTTTCTGCTGGGGACGAGGCGGGTATGGTGGCGGCTTTTCCTCTTCCTCTTCCTCGACTTTTTCTTCCTCTTCTTGTTGTTGTTGTTGTTGGGGGCGTGGCGGTTGCTGCGGCGGCCTTTCCTCTTCCTCCTCTTGCCTTTCTGCAGGCTCTGGTTGATAGAACTCCTGGACTGGTCCGCTGCGGTAATCCATGGTGAATGGGTTGATGGTGAATTTGGGTGGGTGTGCTCTGCGGTGGCATTTTTAGGCCCCAGTAGTGTGGCTATGACGTCTCGCAGCACACGCAATCAAGTGGGCGCATGAGCTGCGCCTTCCCACGAAAGGTGGCCGCGTGTCGTGGCGGAGACGAATGACCAGCGAAGGAAGCAGAACAAGCATTACGAACAAGCTCGCAGCTAGGTCCGTACTTAAAAGCTTCGTTCCTACAATCAGTGACGTAATTGCGGCCGGCGCATATCGGAACCCCTCAACACCATGAGAATCAGCTGCTGACCTATCGCAAGGAGGCTTGTTTTGTCGCAAGGCCCAACACATCTGTAAGGGTATAGATGCAGATGCGTTCAGGGACCGCTTTCATGTTTGGACCCTTCTCACGAAGTGTTACTCAACTCCGCTCAACTCCGCTCAGCTCCGTCCTACTTACCCCATTTTAGAACATCCGTCGCCCCATCTAAATAACAAAGCAAAGACCACGGTAAATATGAACCAGCGACTTTCATCAAAATAAGCGTAATGACCATGACATCCCCGGCCGACAACAACGCATCCACGCCCAAACCCTACCTCCACGGCCACCATGCCTCCGTCCTCCGCTCCCACAGCTCCCGCACCGCCCGCAACAGCTGCCCCCACCTCCTACCGCACCTGCGCCGCGGGATGCGCGTCCTCGACGTCGGCTGCGGACCGGGCACCATCACCACCGACCTAGCCGCCATCGTCGCCGGCCCTTCTCCAAACTCTAACGACAACTCCGGCGGTGGGCACGTCATCGGCGTCGACTACAGCGCCTCCGTCCTCGCGGTCGCGCGCGCCCACGCCGCCGAGCGAGCGGGCGTAAGTAGCGACGCCGTCTCGTTCCAGCAAGCCGACGCGTACGCGCTGCCGTTCGCCGACGGCGCCTTCGACGTCGTGCACGCGAACCAGGTCGTGCAGCACGTCGCGGACCCGGTGCGCGCGGTGCGCGAGATGCGCCGCGTCGCGCGGCCCGACGGCGGGATCGTTGCGTTGAGGGAGGGGGATGCGCAGGTGTGGTTTTGTCCTGAGGATGGTGAGGATGGCGAGGGATGCGGGCTTGGAGCCGAATGCGGGGAGGAGGCTGTTGAGTTATGCGCTGCAGGCGGGGTTCAGGCCGGAGGAGGTGAGTGCGGGGGTGGGGAGTGAGTGTTGGGGGAATAAGGAGGAGTTGAGGGAGTTGTGTGGGATGCGGGCGGATAGAGTCGTGATGAGTGAGTTTGCGGAACGTGCGGTGGGCGGGGGATATGCGACGAGGGAGGGACTGGAGAGGCTGAGTGCGGCGTGGAGGCAATTTGCAGAGCTGGATGGCGCGTGGTATGCGATGATGCAGGGGGAGGCGATTATCACACGATCTGGGTAGTGAGCTGGCTGTGAAAGCTAAAGCAATAGAAATACTTGTAGCTGTTTCAAGCCCAGTCTTCCCGACGGTAGGTGACAGGAGGCTTGAGCGGCTGTTCTGATGACCTTAACAGAGGAGATCTTGCTTGTATAGCTCCCAACCTGTGGTAATATCCTCTGTATTTTAGGGACATGCTGGTGATCCGGAGAGTTCCGTCCAAATACGACCCCGAATTGCCTTAGAAATTGAAAAGGTACCGGACCTCTTGCCTAGACTGTTGATTCAGTCGACTTCCAGGTACTTGACTGCGCAGAAGGGGGATGATTGGAGACCGGTGTAACTCCATGGTGCTCTCACCATGCAACAGTGCGCTTCATCAGCGGCGATTCTCCTAAAGTGGAGGACAGAAGTGTTTTGAAGGCCGGCTATTGCACTCTGGGAATGGAGTATGGCGGTTGGAGTTTGTTCTTGCCGTCGACATCGCGAAACTTGAGCTTATCCATGAGATCCTCGATTCCTTGAAAAGTGCGGATCTGGAAAATAAGTCAGCCACCGTAAAATTTTGCCTTGGCCAGAGAGGCTGCATGCGTACGTTCACTGCGGTATACTCCTTCTCGGCCTCGAAGTCGGAGCTTGAGAAATCAATCAGGATGCTGGTGCCACACAACATGCAGAATTTATGCGGCTTCTTCTTGTTGCCGAAGCGGTACTCGCCCAGGCGCCCTTCGCCGGCAGTGAACTTGACGTCTTTCGCTTTTGGGTAGACAAGCAGGTAGCCGTTCTTGCTGCAGATGGAGCAGTTGCATCGGACGACTGCATTGGTGGTGATGTCTGGGAGCGTTGCGGTGAATTGCACACGTCCGCAGTGACAGTTCGCCGCGTATGTTGTCATAGCCATGATGAGGATTTTAAACGTAAAGCTGGAAATGATACGGACGACAGAAGGCTGAAGTTCACAGGAACTTGGGTCGAGCGGCGCAGCGAGCTGGCCCCCACCTCTGTACGACAGAATGAAGCGCGGAAGCGTGCTTCTGATTGGCCACTGTTGTGATACGCGCTCGTCAGGCAACAGAGCCGACATGCTTATTTGTCAGCATTATGAAACACTACCTGGGACCGTCCAGTGATAGCTCTGTAGTGACTTTGCATACAAAGGCGTTGAGGTCTCTTATTGTACAGGCCGGGCCGTCAGTCATCCATGAAGTAACCATTCGCTCAGATGCCCTTGTCATCTGAAAGCACTTGACTACGTAGGCTGTCAAGAATAAGAGAAAAACTTTGGTCAAATATATTAAGGGTGAAAGAAGGTATGACTGCTGGGTGCTCAAGATACATGGCGATCTCCGATGACATGATCCCAAATACTGATTGGCCGGAAAAGAAGGCTGATGGTAGGACGGAATACCGGCCGCGGAGACTTCGCGTGGCACATCTCAGGGAGAGCTGAATGCGGGGTATTCCCAGGGTCTGATCTGCTGCGCATCGATCTGTTAAGGCGGGAGATTTTCATAGTATGCCTGCTTTTGGACGTGCTTGATGATCGGGGATGGAGTAGCGTTGGAAAAATACGAAGAATTTGTCGGGCTACGCAGGTGGCAAGCCGACAGAAAAGGAAAGACGATGCAAGAGATCCTTGGGTGCATCACCCGGGCTGCGGTAAGCTTGGGGGCCTAGCCAGCTAGGTAGGAATGTAGAGTGGAGGAAACTCGGTGGTTATTTTGGCGTGAAAAAAGAAGGCGGAGGTGAAGCGAGCGGATTGGTGGAATTGGTTGCGGCCGAAGCCGGCAGCGATTCATCGGCACTTGACAACACCGTCCTTCTTCGTCGCGTGGCTGCCCGCTATCGTCGTGTACATTTGTACCTGCATGGCCTAGTGCGCAGCCACTCTCTCGTGTCGGCTTTGGCCACTTTCCGACCAGACATGACCCTCTGCTGCTCTACCACGGCGAGTCAGGTCCTGCTTCTGGAACGTAGCGTTCCGCTCTGAATACTTCTGCACAATTGTTCCTCCACTGTATCCGCACCACATCTACCCATCGCTTTAGCTAATAGGCGACCTCGTGTGGTTGAAATAAACGTTTGTGACACACTTGCCGCCACTGACCTGTGGCAGAAAGCCTATCATCATGTAAGTTCCCGGAGCACGCGAGCATACTCACTGAACCGGAGCTTGCCGGATCAGACCATCGTCCATCGCAGGGAATATGTACCCGCTTTTGATCGTTCTCTGGTACCGACTGAACCCCCATGGCCGCGGCTATCTCCATGAGCTTGTATCCCGGCCGAGCCCGCAGCATTGAGCCAGCCATACTTGCGCCTAGAACGCTTATCCGCACCGTCCATTGCGGCCCTTGCCGGTAGTGCGGCTGAAAATTCCCGGACTTCTTACCAAAATTGGTCTATACATGACTTCCTGTCAGTTCCGCTCAAAGGCTGGACGCTATTGCAACGCCATGGGCGTTTGCCAGCAACGTTCAGCAGCCACGATGAGGCCAGTGGCGACGCCCATACTTCAGCTCGCGAAAAAACATGCCATTTCGAATGCTTTATTTGAGAGTCCGGTCATCCGTTGTGTTTTTGTCGCTGCGGTGCCCATTCTGTCCCCTTCGTTCTCTTTGCCGCTTTGCCGGGAGGCAGACAATCCAAGATGCGGCGGTTCCTGATACTTGCAGCTGCCTGTATGGCCGCTGCGCAGACGGACTCTTCTTCAACGTCTAGTATCTCTGCATCATCTACCGACCCTTCCTCGACCCCAATTCTTTCAAGCTCTTCCACTTTGCCATGTGGATGCACGGATCATGCTTCCTCTGAAGTCACCCCCTCGGCAACCTCTTCTGTCTCTGCATCATCCTCGTCTCCTTTGTCTTCGACTGCATCGGCTTCTCTATCTTCGATTGCATCGTCCCTGTCTTCGATTGCATCATCTCCTCTGTCTTCGATCGCACCGTCTACTGCGTCAGGTAATCCAAATAAAACGCATCAATTACTACGGGCACCACGCTAACATGCTTTTCAGCGGCAGGCTCGATCATCACCGTTGCCACAGACGGGAGTGGACAGTTCACTGCCATCAGCCCCGCCCTCTCTTATGCGCAGAACAGCGGCATTCCAACAGTGTCCATTAAAGCCGGTACCTACACGGATTCCATTGTAGTGCAAGCTACTGCTGCTGTCACTGTCATTGGCGAAGCGTCTTCACCAAACGACTACTCCCAAAACAAAGTCGTGGTTTCGAACTCAGGGCTCCCCCTTTCATGGAACACAGCCGCTAGCTTGGGCACGACATGGAAGAACATCAACTTCGTCAACCCTGGTACTGCCGGACCCGCCGTATCGCTGAGTGGCCCCAAGAATGCCTTTTACAACTGCCAGTTCGTCTCCGCTGGTGCCTTGGGTATCTCTGCGTCTACCGGCACCACATTCATATACAACTCGTACATTGAGGCGCAAGGGAAGCTGATCTACAACACACCCAACATGTACATCTATGGCTCTACCATCACTCCTACAGCGAGTAATGCCTTGTTAGTTTTCAACAAGGGGGTGTCGTCCAACAACGTGGTCAGCAGCAACTCTACCGTTGTCTTCGACTCCTGCACTGTGACTCCGAAGTCTGGGTCCACAGTTTCCAGGATCTACCTTGCTGCTGGTAACGGTGACGGCTCCGTTGTCGTTTGGAGGAACTCTGCTTTGTCTAGCTTCATCGCCAGTACTGGTGTCTACGTCAACGCGAATACACAGCGTTCGACCAATTTCTACGGCGAATTTGGTAACACCGGCGCCGGAGCCTACTCTGCTAACTCGGCCGCGAGGGCTTCGTATGTGACGAGCTTGAGCATTGACCAGCTGTCCCAATTTACCGCGGACCAGGTCTTCGCGAAGGCTCCTGCTTCGGTCGCCACATCGAACACAAACTGGATCGACTCCTCGGCCATCTCGGTCATCCAGGATTCAGATGCTTCACAAGTTGCCAAGGCAAGCACGGTGGCCGTGGTGTCATCTACATCTTCCTCGTCTTCTAGCCAGGCGAGCTCGTCGATACCAGCCAGCTCAATCTCCTCTTCGTCTGTGAGCTCAGCATCCACGGTTTCATCCAGCTCCGTGACGACCACCGGAACGTCTTCCATTTCCAGCTCTGGTACTTTTGCTTCGGTATCTTCGAGTTCATCCTTGAGCTCTGTGGCTTCCACAAGCGAATCTGCGAGCACGAGTACCATTGCGAGCACCTCATCTGCTGTCTCCTCGGTTTCTTCCAGCAGTCAAACGTCGGACGGAGGCGCTTCCTCAACAACCACGAGTTCCGCTACTGTAGCAAGTAGCTCGGCCTCTGCTTGCTCTCTGCCATCTTCTGTTCCTACGACTGCTCGTGTCGTGGGTCCGGCTGGATCTTGTGCCAATTACACCAGCATCGCCGCCGCTATCAATGACATGTCTTCGGATACGTCTAAGACGGAGTATGTCTACGTCCTTGCCGGTACATACACTGAGCAGATTGTCTTCACACGTGTGGGAGCCACCGTTTTCCGTGGAGAGTCTTCCGCCGAGCTCGATCAATCAAGTAACAAGGTCATCATCAAGTCTTCATCCGGGGTGCTCTCGAGCAATGGAGGCTCCTCTGCTACTGCCCCGTTCCAAGCGACGCAGTACTACAGCAAGAGCATCGCTTTCTACAACATCAACTTTGAGAATGATTACCCCGCCACCACAGGCTACAACGCTGTGGCTTTGTCCACGAAAGCCAAAAATATTTACTACTACAACTGTGGGATTACATCCTCGCAGGGAGCTCTGCTGCTCAACCTCGGATCCCACTATTTCTCTGGCTGCAAGATCACTGGCACTACAGATATTGTGTGGGGCCAAGGCGGTGCTTACTTTTACAACTCCAAGATCGTCAGCACTGGCACGGCATCTGGCCAATCCATCTCGGCACAGTCCTATCAGTCACAGTACGCACCTTCTCAGTTTGTCTTTGACACGTGTACGTTCGTGCCCAAGGACACCAACGTGCCGAAGGCAAGCACCTACCTGGGCCGCGACTACACGACTTCGGCACGTGTTGCCGTGATCAACTCTTACCTGGACGCCCACATCGCTCCAATTGGGTGGTTGATCGCATCGAAGACGACAAATGTCACATTTGTTGAGGCCAGCAACTCCGGGCCTGGAGCGGCAACGGCCTCTAGAGTCTCGCAGATCTTGACCGACACTTCCGCGTACACCGCCCAAAATGTGCTTGGATCACTTTCGATCGACACGGCCGCCGTTGCACCTGCTGCAACATTCCCAGACAGCGTTTATGGCGCCGTGATCTCCTCCAGCTCGCTGAGTGCATCATCTACGCCATCAGCGTCAACCTCGACATTTGTCTCTGCGTCAAGCACCTCCGCTGCAGCCACTGCAACGAATACGCTCGTTGTTGCGAAGACACCTGCTGACGGTGAATATGGGAACGTGACCGCGGCCATTGCAGCGCTTCCAAACGATGGCAAGGACTACACCATCTCCATCCGCGCTGGTACGTACGAGGAGCAGTTCATCATTAACCGGAGTGGCAAGGTCACCCTCCGTGGCGAAACGGCGTTTCCCAATGACTTCTCCCAAAACCAAGTCACTATTCAGTTCTCCTACGGTGTTCTTACGAGCGCGGGCCAGAACGAGTTGACCCCCGTCATCAATGCCAAGAAGACCGACGGCTCCGGCCTCGCTCTGTACAACATCAACTTTGTCAACACGTACCCGCAGACAAAGAACACGGCTGCGTTGGCTGCGGACTTCTACGGAACAAACATGGCTGCTTATGGCTGCAAGTTCATCGGCTACCAGGATACCCTTCTTGCTAACAAGGGCACCCAAGTCTTCTCCAACTGCTACATCGAAGGCTCGATTGATTACATCTGGGGCTTCTCAACGGCATATTTCCACCAGTGTTATATCGCATCTAACACGGCTGGCGGTTACATCTCCGCGATGAGCCGTGCCTCAGCTTCGGCCACCGGCGGCTATGTCTTTGACAAGTGCTATGTCACCTACACGAGTACGTACGGATCGACTTTCGGCACGAGCTACCTTGGCCGCCCGTACTCAAGCTACAGTATTGCCGTGTACATGAACTCTTTCATCGACAAGCACATCAGCTCTGCGGGCTGGTCTGTATGGCAGACAAGTAACCCACAGACGGACAACATCCTGTTCGGCGAGTTCAATAACACCGGTCCCGGAAGTTGGTCGAGCTCTCGTGCAACTTTCGCAACCAACTTGACCGAGTCTCAGGCTGCCGCCTATAGTCTGGAGTCTTGGATTGGTAGCACAACCTGGCTTGACATGGATGCGTACAACTACGCACCGTCGTACGATGTCTCTGGAGCGAGCGCGTCAAGCACAAGCCCCTCGACAACAACAACATCCGCAGTCCCTTCCGCAACGGCAACTTGGGCGCACCCCTCGAGCGGAGCAACTCCACCTGCAGGAGCAGTGTTGGTTTCGGTCGGAGGCTCTGTCAATGGATCGTACAGCAGTCTCACCGATGCTCTGGCAGCTCTGCCGTCCGACACATCCACGCAGATTATCTTCATGTATCCTGGCACTTACAACGAGCAACCTCCCGCCGTGAACAGGCCCGGTCCCGTGCAGATCATCGGTGCGCAGGATGGCAATGCTGGCCAGACCTACAAGGCGAACAAGGTTATTCTGACTCAATCGCGCGGATTGTCAGTCTCGCCTCTACCAACTGGTCATTCTGATGCCGAGACTGCCACGTTCTCTACGTCCGGAACGAAGATCGCCGTGTACAATGTTGATATCATCAACTCAGACAATCTGGATGGATCACTTTCGTCTTACGTCACCCTGGCTGGTTCTATCTACGGTTCGCGGATCGCATTCTACGGATGCAGCTTCATTGGATGGCAGGATACTCTGCTGACTGGAAGCACCAACGGCTACCAGTACTATGAATCCTGCTACATTGATGGCGCCATCGACTTCATTTGGGGCTATTCCAAAGCGTACTTCAAGGGTTGCACTATCGGTGCCAAGAGGCAGAAGTCCGCAATCACGGCCCATAGCCGCGCTTCCTCTAGTGCCATTGGAGGCTACATCTTCGACCAATGCCTGTTTACCGCTGCTTCCACTGCCACCGTTGATCTTACGCAATCTGTCTACCTTGGCCGTCCTTACAGCCAGTATGCTCTGGTGGTTATCAAGAACTCTTACCTTGACAACATTATCCAGCCCGCCGGTTGGAAGGTCTGGTCAACTTCAGACCCGCGAACCGCCTACGTTACCTTTGCCGAGTTCAACAACACTGGTCCAGGTAACTGGGAGAACAACGCTGCAGCGCGTACCGCGTTTGGTAGCTGCACGCTGTTGACTTCCGATACCTATACTTTGTCTGCAGTCATGGACTCGCCCTCGGACTGGATTGACATGACGTACTGGGACTCGATTACCACGCCCACTGTAGCAGCTTCGACTGGAACCACGCCGACTACGGGCAACGGCACGTCGGTGTATGACGGCACTACTCCGCCGGCGGGTGCATTTATTGTGTCCAAGACGGCCATCGAAGGTGTAACAACTTACGATACCATCCAGAGCGCTCTGAATGCCCTGCCAACGTCGAGCAGCAAGGTTGGCACCATCTTCATTTACCCAGGAGTGTACAACGAACAGCTTGTACTGAGTAAGTCCGGAACTACTGTGTTCATTGGCTACTCGAATGCTACGGACGACTACTCTCAGAACGAGGTGACGATCGAGTTCAACAAGGGCATTGACACCCAGGCCGATGCCTCCAACTCTGACAGCGCCACGGTGTACGCCACGGGCAACTACTTCCAGGCCTACAATATCAACTTCAAGAACTCATTTGGCACCACGGAGGACTATGCTTCACTCGGCTTCGGCGTCAAGTCCAGCAAGTATGCTTCGCTGTATGGCTGCCAAGTCTACGGAAACCAGGATTCGCTGCTCATCAACGGTTATCTCTTTGCCTTCAAGTCCCTGATCGTTGGCAACATCGACATGATCTGGGGCTCCGGCGCGGCCTACTTCCTCAGCTCGACTATTTCGCCGAACACTGATGATGTCAGTTTGACTGCCAATAAGCGTGCAACCAACACGACGGCCGCTGGTTTCGTGTTCGATCAGTGCACTGTCAAACCCGCACCAGGTACCGGCCCCTTCAAGGAAATCAGCCTTGGACGGCCTTGGAACAATCTCGCGCGAGTGGCGTACATCGAGACGTATCTTGATTCCTGTGTCGAAGCTTCCGGCTGGAGTCAATGGTCCAAGTCGAGCCCTCAGACTGACGGAGTCACTTTCGCCGAATATGGGAATACTGGGCCGGGAGCGAGCACCTCTGGACGTGCGACGTTCTCCACTCAACTTTCAGCTGCAGATGCCGTCCAATTTCAGCTGACCAACTTCTTCTCGGTCACATCCTGGATCAACTTTACCCATGTGGATGTGAATCCGTTTGTTGCCGGGAGTGTTCCTACATCGTCCGCAGTTTCATCGTCCGCTCTTCCCACGACTTTCAGCACTCTGGTTTCTTCGTCCTCATACATCCCAAGTACCATTTACATCACCAAACTCACGACTGATAAGGAAACACTCTTCACGACCTTGACTGCTGCGGACTCGACAATCACTTCTACCCAAACGATTACGCAGGACAATGGTGTCACTGTAACCCCTGATCCTACATACAAGACCAGCACCGTGAAGAGCACAACGACCATTGGTGAAACAGTCTCTCAGCCGGATGTGACGCAGACCTCCACAGTGGTTATTACCAGCGACGTCGGACTCACGATCACTCCCGCTCCCACTACAGTAACCTCGACTCTCAAGGATACGACGACGATTCTGGTCACTTCCACCAAAGCGCCTGAGACAACCACCATCAAGAGCACAATCACCTCCATGAGTGTCATCACGAAGACACTTGATCCAGTGACATCCACCTTGAGCTTCGGATCCACTATCACCATCACCAGCGTCTCAACCCCGAAGTCTTCGCAAGTTACCTCGACGACGACAATCACCTCCGGAACCGGCGGCACGTCGACCAAGACAACCAAGGCAGCGACATCCTACGTCACCATCACCTCTGTCAAGACGACCACGAAGAAAACCACCACAACTCTCTCCTGCATCCCGACCGCCCACGCCGCCATCAAGCGCCGCCACCTCCAGCCGCGCGCCGCCGGCGACATCACCACCACCATCATCTCGACCCTAACCTCCTTTGTCAAAACCTCGACGGCCACGCTCCCGGCCCGCTCCACCACCACCTCCGTCCTCACCCTCACCAAAACCACCGGCTCCCTCACCACCCTCAAACCCTCGACCATCACCACCCTGACCACCTCCTGGGCCACCAAATCCGCCGCCACCACCATCCCCGGCCGCACGACCGTCACCACGACCACCTCCACCAAGCTCACCGGCAAAACCACCACCCTCAAAGCCGGATCCACCTCGACCGTCACCGTCACCCAGCTCTCCACCAGGACCGCCACCACCTCCGTCACCGCGGGCGCCGGCGCCGTGGTGACGACGACGTCCCTCGCCACCGCCGTCGTCAAATCCACGACGACGCTGTCGGCCAGCACGAGGTTCGTCACCGTGTCCAAGGTCGCGACGAGCACGGTCGTCTCGACGGCTCCCGTGACGACGCAGACGGTCTGGAAGACGGTGAAGACGACGGTCGGCCCCAGCGCGACGACGGTGGTGCAGAGCACGGTCGTGGCGACGACGACGGTGAAGAGTACGAGCACGGTTGTCAGCGTCGTGAGTAAGACGAGTAAGGGGGCGGCGGCGTGTACGGCAGCGTAGGCTTGATGTTTGAATCGTTTTTTATTTCGCTTCGTAGGATAGGCCTTTTTTTAATGTGAATATTTATTTTGTATCTGAAATCATCCAAATGGAAGTAATCCTTGGTGTTTGGTTTGCCTTCCTGTGATATTTGATATTTCGACCTTGAATCCGTTTACTGCAGGGACACACTCTGTGGACTTTAACTTGCACATAAACCGATTCCTAGAGTGATAAAAAATAAATGACCTTCAATGACGAAATCCATGGATGATGTATTTGGCCTCTACTCTTTCAAAGGGAAAAACTCCACGTTCTGGGTACCCGGGTTCTCAGCATCCTGATCGAACCTATCCGGAATCCGCAAACCCTCACGCGCGTAGTTGTAGCGGTCGGCCGTGTACAGGACGACAGCCGTCCCATCCCTCCACAGCCAGAGATCCCTGGTTTCCAGCTGCCACTCCTCGAGCGCTTTCCGCATCTCCTTCAGGGTGTCTTGGAACTCGGGCCTCCCCGCCAGATTCTCCACTTCCAGGGGATCGTTCTCCAGGTCGTACAGTTCCTCGGGCGGCCGCTGGATGTAGTCCCTGAACTTGCGCTTGCCGATCATTGGAGGCGATGAGTTTCGCATGCCCTCGAATGAGAGTGATGCGTACAGGTCCATTGCCATGGGGAAGTCGAGCTTCCAGCAGACGTTCCTGTGGTACTTGAAGCGCCTGTTCCGCATGAACCTCGTGGGCCAGTAGTTCGTGATTTCGTGGAAGGTGTGGGAGCCGAAGACTTGACCCCATGCCTCGTCCTGACTGTCCTTGCTGAGCACGCTGAGGATGGATCTTCCACGGCGCTGAATCTTTCCCTCAGGCGCGTTGGCTCCACCATGCCCGGCCCAGTCGAGGAACGTTGGCAGGATGTCCACGTAGGAGACCAGGTTGGGGTTGATACTTCCGGGTGCGCTGATCCCGGGAGCGCGGAGGAGGAAGGGGAGGCGCACGCCCGCTTCGAAGAGGGTGGTCTTCGAGTTGATGAATGGCGGGCCGTTGTCGCTGAGGAACAGGACGAGCGTGTTGTCCCTTTGGCCCGCAGCATCCAGTGCAGCGAGGATGAGTCCGACGCCCTGATCCATCCGCGTGATGGCGCGATAGTACTCTGCCAGCTCTTGCCGAACCTCTGGGATATCGCTGAGAAAGGAAGGCACTTCAACGTCTTCGGGCTTGTAAACGTGATCCTTCAATCTCGGATCGTGGTTTCCCTCCACGTTTCCGAAGCCTCCACGATGTGGGATGTGCCGGTGCGGATCGACAAAGCCGACAGTAAGGAAGAAAGGCTTACTCTCATCCTGTGCCCCACGGAAAAAGGCAGAGGCCCTGTCTGCTATGTACGCCACGTTCCTCGAATCACTCTCCTCCCGCACCTGCCACGGATACCTATCATCGGGGCCGACGTGGATCTTACCAAGAATTCCGGTTTTGTAGCCGATCTTGTTAAAGGCCTCGGGCGCCGTTTCGATGTTTGCAAATGTCTGAAAGCCATTGCGCTCGTGGTTGAGTCCATAGCTCCCGGTCTCGTGCGTGTGCAAGCCCGTGTAGATGACAGTCCGGCTTCCGCTGCAAGAAGCCGTGCTGGTGAAGGCCATATCAAACTGAGTCCCGGAGGCAGAGAGGGCGTCCAAGTGAGGCGTCTTGATGGCCTTGCAGCCGTAGCAGCCCATCTGCTCCCGGCCGAGGTCATCGGCGACAAGGAGCAGAATGTTCTTCGGTTGAGCCATTGCTCGGTCGGTGACAGTCTGAAGCTGCGAAGCGATGCTGAGACTGTCGATTAAAGACGCAGTAGAAGTGGGAAAAGTGTTGAAATAACTGCCGTGGCCTGAGGGCGGTCATTGGAGGGGCTGCCGGGATTGCGCCATCCGATCTACCTTCTCTGAATAAGGAAAGTGGGGTTGTACATCAATAGAACGCGCGTTGCATTTGTGCAGAAATGGTGCAGCTGTGTTAACGTCCTTTGTGGTCTACCTACCGAGAACACCCGTCAATGATAAATGAGTGTGCTGGAAGATCCATACTTTGAGCCGCCGGACTCGGGCGTGCTGCCCACGCTAAACGGGGCGACGGGCAAACTGCTAGAGAACGTGCCGCTGCCACGCATGTACCGCGTGTTGAGACGGAAGTTCCGAACTTTTTGCACGCAAGATATCAACATTGAGGTCAACGAGAAGCAACGTACTCCTTTCGAAATCATGGATCAAACAACCTCCCTCTTTACCAGCAGCGAGACATTCTTCTTATACGCGATTCAGAATACACCTATACGCAGATATCGAGTAAATCAAACGTTACGCAACGCGCTGTCTAATATAACTGCTGAAAGCAGTCGGCCAGCCCTAAATTCAAGAACAATGTATCCACCCATAGATATAGCAGCATATAATGTTTTACAAAACACTTGGACGTGATATATAAAACAGGAAACTGTGATGAAGTTGTTCTACTATATAGGAACGCTAGCCTACACCCGTGCGATTGTAAAGAGCCGAGAAACGAAACTGGAATCCCCACCATTTGTTTTCCCAAGCATCAGAGCCCGAAAGAAAATCATGCAAATGAAAGCTAGGCAGTAGCAACTCCCTGAAAACATCTGCACGTACAGAAATGAACCATTGTCGATTTCGATCAGGGAGTTGGCGACTACCTGCGAGACTAAAATGAAACACTAGATGTCAGCTGCCCATCTGGAAACGGACAAGGACATCAACTTACATAAAGCTGGGATGACCAGGACCAACCAAATCAGGGAGAGCGCCCTATCTAGCTCGCGGAGTCCGACGACCTGAGCGGTCAAGGGAGCAACTTCGGCATAGAAGGTGCCACTATATGCACCGTCAGAGAGAATGACTTTGTTCAGGGCAAGGAGTAACTCACGTCACAGTACCAGCGAGGAGCCCATACACCAGAATGACACTGTAAGACTTGGCCAACGGCCACATGACGAAATTGAGGATGGTAGAGAAGGCTGCGGCTCCAGTGGTGACATTCAAGATGCCCAGATTGTCGCACAGGAAGCCGATGGCGGGACGACCAATTGCTTGACCAACGCTCATCATTGCCACTGCAACAGAGCCTTGACTGGCGGTGAGGCCAATGCTGGTGCAGTACGACGACATGGAAAAGAGGCCCATGATGTAACCGAAAAGGCAGCACAAGCCGTACACCAGGATAAGGGGGTATCCCGGCGTAGTCAAAAGGCGATAGTTAAAGGGCGACCGAGCAATGACACCGATCTGCTCGTTGCGGTTGCGCAGAAGTAAGACGGCTATGCCGTTGAAGCAAAAGATCAGAATGGCGAGGACGCGCATGGTCATGGCGTATCCAAGGTTCTCCAGCATGCGGTTCGTTCCCAGCGAGTAAGCGAGGCCACCGACGCCGGTGCCAGCGGCGCCCAGCGCATTGGCAAAACCAGTGTGACGGCGGAACCACTGCGAGATGATGCCGACAGATCCCGTGTAAAGCATTCCCATGCCCAGGCCGTAGCCAAAGCCCTGCGTAAGGAAGAGATGCCATGACCGAGTGGCAAACGAAGCACCAACGTAAGACCCGGCCTCGATCAAGACACCAGTGAAGAGGATTGGGCGACTGTATCCCTTACTGACGTAGTATCCCACGAGCGGGCTGGTGATGAATGCAACGGCGATGCTGAGCCCTCCCACGTAGGCAAACATGACGTTGGAGGTGGGCTGGAACGATGGATACGTCGCATAGTACGTCAGGAAGACTCCGTAGGCCTGTAAAAGGGAGGGGGAAACACCCCTAGTTAGACCGAAACCATGTCGAGAAAAGTGAAAGAAGAGGGTTCTTACGCTGCTCATTCCCCAAGTGTGCACAGCGATCAAAAACACGCCGACAACGCAAGCCCAGCCTCGGGGTGTGTCATATTGCAACTCCTCTATTTCACCAACAGTCTCAGACCTGGACATGTTGACGACGACACCAGGATCAGGATCGCTTCGCTTGACGCCGACGATGGAGTTGGGCTTGGAAGTTGCCATATCGAATGCTCATAGAGGGCGGACAGGCTGCAAGATGAAAGGGGGCCTTCAGCGTGAGGGACGATCGAAGTCGGGGAAAACGGAATCGAAAGAGCAACGTCTTTCACGGGAAGATTCAGGGTGTCTTAAGACTCAATTGCAGAGTCTCGTCGTCATACAATGGCTATATGGGAGAATTATAAGCAGTTAAGACGGCGAAGGAACGGTCAAGATGGCCCATAACGCAGTCCTTAACATAAGATGTTGCTAACAGCCAGATAGAAAGCAGATAAGTAATCAAGACGGCGAAGAAACGGTCGAGATAGCTCACAAGGCAGCCCTTGACATAAGTTGTTGCTAATGGCCGGATGGAAAATAGATAAGCAGTCGAGACGGCGGAGGAACGGTCGAGATTGTGGTTCGTCGTACAGTGGGTCAACGGAGATGGCGCGGTCGAGATAGCGCCACACCAAAATTACAAAGGCGACAAGCCTCGTACGCCGTATTTCACTATCGAGTGGAGAATAGCACCGAGTGGTGAAGTAATCACCGAATTCGACAACCACTTGAGCGCCACTTTGCAAATAACCCAGGGGATTTCCTGTTACAATCCTTCCTGTACTTCGTAATGATGCTAGTAACCGGCGGCCACGCGGGCAAGATACGGGCAATCCATCTGCGATATACTCCCTCCAATTAGCTCTTATGCCGTCCCTTATTAGAGAAAATATAAAAGAATGTTGCTGGTGTCGACAGCTTCATTTGTGACATCTTTCTTGACTTCATTCCGCGAACGGCCTGTCACTCGGAATCACTCTTTTCCTCTGCTTGTGCTACTACGCCCGATCGAACGAAAACAACGTTTCCCCCCACGGAGCAATCCGGCGGCTCTCCAAAAAAAAAAAAAACATCAACCCGAGTCGATCACCTACGCCACGATTCCACAAAGATGACGGCCACCGAGCGTGCAGCGGCTCCTACGATGAACCACAAGGCTCAAGTCAAGATTGCCGCCGCTCAGATTGCGCCCGTGTTCATGAACAAGGCTGCGACGACTGCGAAGGTGTGCAAAATGATCCGCGAGGCGGGTGAGCAAGGAGCCAAAGTCATTGGCTTCCCCGAATGTTGCATTCCTGGCTACCCTGGCTGGGGCCAAACCCAGCTTGCCGGCGGAGCCAAAGCCATTGGACTCTATAAGCAGCAATTCTACGAGTCGGTTGAGGTGCCGGGGCCGGAGACGGATTTGATTGCACAAGCTTGCCGCGAAGCCAGCATGTACGCTGTCGTGGGCATCAACGAGCGGCTGGCCAATACGACAGGCACCACCTTCAACACGCAGATCATCATCGACCCCAATGGAGAGATTGTCAACAAGCACCAGAAGTACGTGCCAACGGTAACAGAGCGGCTGGTCCACGCGCCCGGTGGCACGGGCACGACGGTGTCGACCAAGACCGAGTTTGGCACGCTGAGCGGCTTGATATGTGGTGAGAACTGCAACCCGATGGCGCTCTACAGCCTGTCGCTCGAGTACCCGACCGTCCACGTCGCCTCGTGGCCGGCGCACTTTGGGCCCGGCAGCTCGACGCAGGAAGACATACTTGCCGTCACCAAGGGCATGGCCTACAACCTCGGCTGCTTCATCATCAACTCGGTCAGCATCAACTGCGACAGCACCATCGATGCGTACACGTGGGACAGCGCCGAGGCACGCGAATGGATGCTGTCGCAACGCGAGCTCGACCATACCGGCGGCGCCAGAGCTACAATCCTTGACCCGAGCGGCAAACTGCTGGCTGGCCCGCTGCCTGCCGGCGAGGGCATTCTGTATGCCGATGCCAACATCGAGGATGTCCTGGTCAATAAGTTTATGGTGGATGTAGCAGGTCACTACCAGCGACCCGAGCTGTTCGCACACCACTTTGAAAAGTATATTAAGAAATAGATAGAAGCCTATGCATCAGATCATTTTCACCATGCCATGGCCTCGCCAAATAGTATGCAAGTGACAAACGGTGTGTCCACATGTTCCTGACGTCACAATATCTATGGATGCTTCGCAACTTTCCTGTTCTTAATCTTGTAGATTACCACTGCAGGGGTTTTATTGAGAGAGAGAGAGAGGATTTATACACACCGATACACGCGCTAAGATCTATCTGTGAATACTCCGTATTAGTCTATTTACCGAGTGCTTTCAACTCCTGTTCATGCAGCATGTTAATAAGATTTGCAACCGCATATTCGGCTAGCACGCTCCGTCCTGCCAGCTTTTTCAGGAATGCGATGGATGCCAATGCTTGATCTTTATGCGCATCGATGCTTAGCGCGCATGCGCAAGAGCCTAGATTGGCGATGACGGCCGCAGCCGAGGAGTAAAGCGCAAGCTGAAATGTCCTGGTACGTAACGAACAGCAAGGTTAGCTGGTGCTCCTCTTGTTCACCAACATCGGCGTTCCCTACCAGATTTGAAATTGCATGTGGTGCAAAGACGACTTGGTGATCAAGTCTATGATGGCATGCGCACTGCTGAGATAGATGGCACGCGCTCTTTTAAGACTTAATCCATCGCTTGTGGTGTCCCGAAGTGGGGCCCGGTTGACAACGAGGCGATAATAAAGCAAAGCGACTGCGATGCTTTGTTTCTGCCACTCAAGAGACTGAGAAAACGACAGCCGTTTGGCTCTGGTAGAGCTCGCGGCGCCGTTATCGTCGTTGTCATCGTCGTCGTCGTCGTATGCGCTGAGGTGTGCCGGAAGTTGTGAGATGATCTCAGCCAGCTCGTTATCGGCATTCTGCACCAGCATCGGAAGAGTCGTGGACTCATCTTGTGTGACCGAGGAGATAGCTACGCGGAATCTATAGAGGGCGTGGCTAATGCGAGCCATGCAGGCAAAGTATTGGGATGATACATTCTCCGGTAGGACTGGCGCATCTGTGCCGCATGTCATCTGGGGGACCTTGATTGAGAAATCATCTTTCCGAATGCAAGGCTGATTGAGTTGCCCGGAAAGCCAGTCGGTGAGAACCAAAGCCCACCAGATCCTGGTGTTTCTCTGAGATACACAGGCGTCGTCAGCCTTTTCTTCCAGATTGATCCGTAAATTTTGACTGATGCGAGCCGCACAAGCCCAAAGGCTAGAGTACAGATTCAGATCCCCGTGGTTTGTAAATGCCACGTCGAGGATGATGATGGCCTGCACGGTTCGGATATCAAATACGGACAAGAAGTCGGACTGGTAGAGAAAAAATAAGGCCGAATCGTACCAGTTGTGAAGCGCCGCCGTCACGTTTTCTAGAGCACCATTAACCCTTCTTCTGGCAAGTGATACGTTTCAGGCAAGAACCAACCATGGGGAAGGTCAGCTAGCCTCGCGTCTTCGTCACTCACAAATGTAAGCTGCGCCTACCTGAGATGTTAGTGACACGGCATTGACCTAAGGTTTCGAGGCGCGAGACCCACCACCAAGCAACCGAAGTACAATGATAACCAGGCCGGATCTGCCGCTGAAGTAGGCGGAAGTCCCTGACGGCAGCTTTCTTCAAATTCCTGCCGTTGATTCCTGAACTCGGCCCAGTCGATGGCCAGGTGCAGCCAGCTCTGAGGGCCTTCGCGCCCAAAGAGGAACGAACTGCACTGAGTCGATGGGAGAAGAACATCTGCGGCACTCCGCACTCCCCTCGGTTGACGATGGTTTCGCAGATCAGCAAAAAGTAGCTGTTCTTTCTCGTCGATCAGGTCTTCTCGGTAGAGGACCTCTGCAGATCGCGATCGCAGTTCTGCATTCTCTTGCACGACTTGGGTATAGCTCCGCTGCATTATTTCATCGCGGTTTCTGGCCTCTTTGTCAACTTGGCGAACAAACCCCGAACTGTGAGATTGTCCTTGGAATCGTGGCACATACTGAATGAGGCGCCCTTTGACCATGACTGGTTCGATGCGGCATGAGGAAGCCACGCCGCGCCGGCGGCATTGGCGGCACGGAAACTCTCTATCACATTTGATTTTGCGCCGATAACAGAACGAACATGATTTTGGAGGTCTCTGTGTTGAGCGAATGCCGCGAGATGCAGCTGTGTCGTCTGGTTGTTGGATCGGTGCGTCCATGATATTGATGATCAGAAGTCGAGTAGCCTGGGCCTTTATAATAAAGCAAGAGTGGGGTCGTGTACTATCCGGAGCCTCGGCTAGTTGCTAGCGCGTCAACTGCGGCCCAACTAGAGTTGAATTCTTCGCTCCTAGCGTAATAAGTAAACTGTTGCAGTTGGTGATGGTCGTGAAACGCGTGTGGTTTGCGGTGGTGAGCAAGAGGGAGGGGCGAGTCTTTATCTGCCGATAACTAAATTATCTGCACGTAGTATCTGCCACACATCTCTCTTACGAGCTTGCTTCTCGAAGGAAGCTCGTGATCCTTGGCATGGTGTTGAGGCTGCTGTGCCTTGCCTTGCCTTTCCTGCGCCGCGCCGTGAGTCGCGCTTTGCTGTGCCTTGCTGCTGCTCCTGCGTTCATCTGGATAGGTATTCGTTGTGGATTTCGAATATCTCGGGCGGGCCAACACTTCCTCGCTTTTCTCCCACAGTCCAAGGTGTTCCAGATCCGGACGACCCTGCAAGTTGGACGTTCCAGCTGCAGACAACTTGGCGAAAAAAAAAAAAAAAGACGAAGAAAGGCGAAGAAGAAAAGGAAGATGATGAGAAAGTGGCGGCGTCACTGGAGAATCTGAAGAAGCGGGCTGAGACTTTTGGTGAACTCTTCCGCTCAGCGAACCTGAGGATCCCAGACGGCACGCCAGTCTACGATAACAGGTTTCCGTATTGGGTACCAGTGCCATGGGACAGTAGGGAGGGTCGGATCGTGCTGGTGGACGATGCCGCGCACCCTATGACATTTCGTGAGTCACTGACACGCATCTTGTTCTGTGTGAGGACAGTAGGTGAGTTGTGCTAATGCAGATGAATGGCAGAGCGCGGACAAGGGATGAACCATGGCATTGCCGATGCGGAAATGTTGACCAAATGCCTCAAGGCAGCTGTGGCCGGAGAGATGACCTGGCAGGCAGCCGTCGACGAGTATCAGGCAGAGATGGTCGACCGAGCTGGAGATGAGGTCAGAACGTCACTGGAGAATACGGAGATGCTGCACGACAGGTCGAGGATGCAGAACTCTCCGATCATGCAGCGGGGAGGACATCCGCGCGAGAAGCAGGAAGCAAGCAAATAAAACTGAGAACCACAACCTTCTCGCAACTATAGTGTACATTGGGTAAAGCGGCACGCAGATATTCGTTACAATATTTTTGAATAGAAGTACAGGAAACAATCAACGGAATTATCATCACTCTTTGTCACGGTATGCGTGTGCAGGCTTGCTTAAAATCCGAGAACAAAGTAACCCAGCGCGGAAAGAGAACCCATGATCGGGACCCAGCTGAGGCTTGCGCTGCTTGCGGCTCCGGTCGCGCTCGCAGAGGCAGCAGCGGAGGCAGCCGCAGTAGAGCTCTAAAGAGAAGTTAGGTTTTGCAGTCAGAGCAACAAGAACGAGGTTACTTACAGCAGTAGAGGAAGCCGTAGCAGCAGCGGCAGTCGACGCAGCAGCGGTCGATGCGGCAGCAGAGCTGGAAGCCGAACTGCCAGTGGAAGCAGCCACGGAAGTACCTGAAGCGGTCGAGTTGCCGGCAGAGGGGGTAGTGGCAGCAGTGGCAGTAGCAGAAGCACTGGCGACGCCGGTAGCCGAGGCGGCAGAAGTCGCGGTGATGGCAGCGGACACGGCGGCCTGAGTGCCGGTGAGGGGCGTGGTGGACAGTCCGCACGATGAGGCAACGGCGCTCAAGCTGCCGCCGTAGTACTTCCAGATGTCGACGTTGTCGGAGCCGGCGCACTGGAGGCAGGCGTCATAGTCGTGCAGGAATGTCTCATCGTTGCACGGATCGTCGCCGCGACCCGCCTTGATCGCCTGGCCTTTGGTATGGTTCAGTTGTCGTGTCATGCGTGAGATGCTCGTGACGGCTTACCGCAATTGTCGTGGCAGTTGTACTCTGCCTCAGACATATCGTCCTGGCGCTTGAGAATCAGACCCAGCGGCCAATCCGGGTCGAACATAAGGCCTGAAGCCGCATTGGCGGCGACAGCAGCGAGGAGAAGGCACTTCTTGGCAAGCATTGTGGATATTTGGGTGAGGATGTGAGGTGAAGGATGGAAGAAGAGAGTCAGAGGGGTATCGCCGGGTGATGGACAGGTACTTCGGGATCGGAGATGACCGGGGTTTATATGCTAGGCCGTCTGAATAGGACAAACGGCAGCGTTTTCCGCGTCCAAGAGAGCTCTACCAGAGTCTCGGGAGCGCTGTCGGAGCTAAGTTAGAGCCGACATTGCCGATCCGAGCGGTCGAGAATTGGTGGAGTCTGGCATGAATCTCTCGTGGAGACCACGAGCCATTTGCCTTCCACGATCCATGGAAGCGAGCCGGATGGAGCAATGCCGGGCGAGAGTCTGCAGCTTCGGGTTGCAGTGGCGCATCAGAGCAATTAAGAGGCGTCGCTTGGGCCAGGCGGGTCGGAGGGCAGGCAGGTAGGCAGCTGGCATGGATTGGTTGCGGGCTGGGGAAGGTGGAGCCGGCTCGGCGACGATATCGGCTGATCAGAGTTTGAATCTTATCAGATGACACAACGATCTGATTAGATTCGGCCAATACCCGCGCTGCTTGGCCGTCCTGGCGTGCCTTTCACAAGCCAGCGGCGGAGGCACCAAGTTCTGCATTAGCGCTGCCTCGCTAACAGCGATACGAGCGGTTTCGAAGGCGGCAGGTTCTGGGCGGACAACGAGGTGGTTCCATGCAGTACAAACGGGCCCGACAGCAGACGGTAATGCTAAGCGAACCGGCCAATCACCACCACTGCCGCTTCCTGCCAGGACGAGTCTGCCAACACCGCCAAAACTGTGCTGCAAGGGTTTGAGCCAAGGTAGCAATCGGCGAGGCAAACGGCTGTGATACTCCGGCCCACCTCTTTCCGACTTCACCACCACACCACGCCCCACTCCATCTATATATCTTCCAAGAGCTCCCGTCGCAAAGCGAGCTCACCACACGGTCCCAACTGCCTGACAGCGACAATCTTGACTGCCTTCAATTCCCTTGCAGCTTGTCTTCAACATGATTTCGCCCCGCCTCACCGTCGCTCTACTCGCCGGCTGCGCTCTGCAGCAGCTGGCCGCCGGCGCTGAAGTTCACGGCGCTGGAGCTGAGGGAACAGTCATGGGCCCTGTCGCATTCCTCTGGCCATCCGACCGCCAGTGGGATGCCTCGCAGGACAACACTGCTCCCTGCGGCAGCAGTGCTGGTGTAACCAACCGCACTGAATTCCCGCTGGGTAACTTCCCCGCAGATCACTTCGCATTGCGACACTGACGCTAACCTTATTGCACAGACCAGGGCTCCGTTGCTCTCACCATTGCCGACGATGCTTGGAACGTCGAGTTCCACCTCGCTGTCGGCAACAGTACGTTACCCTTTCAATTTGTCATTTGCTCTTTGCTGACCACAAACCAGACCCGACCAGCGAGAGCGACTTCACTGAGCAGGTTGTCAGCAACATCTCTTCCGTTCAGCCGGGTCACCAGTGCTACAAGCTCGAGGACTTGCCCGACACTCTCTCTGCCGGCACAAACGCCACCATCCAGCTCGAGTACTGGTCCAGCTACGAGGACGGCAAGAACGAGACCTTTTACGCCTGCGCCGACATCGTAAGTCTTACCTTCCCATATCTTACCTCCTTCTTGACAGTGCTCTGACATTCATTGTTTCTATCTCTAGACCTTCGTTGAGGCCGTCGCCTTCGACGCCCAAGTTCCCTGCTTCAACGTCACCGCCAGCGACTTTAACTCCGGCTCTGCATCTTCTTCTGCCAGCAGCAGCACTGCCTCCGCAACTGGTGCTTCTGCCTCTTCCTCCAGCAATGACAACAGCGGTAGCAGCAGCAGCAGTGGCGGTCTCTCCACCTCGGACAAGGCCGGCATTGCTATCGGCTCTATCCTCGGTGGCTTGTCCATCATTGGCGCCGGTATCTTCTTCTTCCTCTACCGGAGGAGGGCTGCTGCTAAGAGGGAAGCGGCTGCGGCTGCTGCGGCTGTCACGCCAAAGGAAGTTGAGGAAGCGAGCGTGAGGTCGGCCCGCCATTAAGTGGGGATGCGGTGGTAGTGGAATGGTATGATGGTCTGGTTTCTGGTGTGAACTAGTGGAATATGCTAGAGAATTTTTTTTTTCCTGGGCTTGATTAGTGGGGATAGTCTGGTTTCCGCGGTGGTGTAAGAAATGAGGCCAGGCGAGTAGGCGAATCGAATGAGGTGAAGCGATGGATGGGCTGATCGCTCATTTGTTGATGTACTGGAAACGATTACGAGTATGATATGGATGACTTTACGAGTTCTTGCCTTATTCGTGCCAAGCTATGGGTGAATTGGTCAGCATGGCAATAAAATCCTTTTTAGAAAGTGCTTGAATGTGGACCGCCTGCTTTTCGGACCCGCCTCTTGCCCCAGTTTGCTCAGGTAAGCGTCTCGGATTTGAATTGGAAGGTACTGACTCACAACCCCAGCTGATGTATTGAGTCAGTATGCGTTAACTCGTATCTTTAAACGCAGTAGTGAAGCGGGGTAGTATCTCGGATCACCGGTAGGCCGCTATGTTCATATTGCGTGCTACCCACCGTTCATTGGCAAGTAGTCGTTGGATATCTTAATGGCATGATTATCTATTGGCCAAGATATACATGAGTATTGTTTTGTTGTTGTATGTATCTCCTTGGCCCTACACTAGATCCACTCCCACACTTCAACCTCTTTGGGCTCTTATCAAAGCTTATCCATTGGTCGAGCAACTCAACATCATGGGTGGTTGGCTACTAGCCAGAGATTACTTTCGGCATATTTCTGAATTAGGAAAGAACCAGACCTAGTGGAGATGAGAGTGGAGGTGGTAATGGATTTGTAGGGTAAAGCAGGTGTTCTGATGACGATGGAAAAATCGCATAGAATTCTGTCAGTACAGACTAGACCATCGCCCTTTGACTGCAAACCCCCCATCATCTTCTGAAAAACCAGAAATCGTTTTGAGATCCCACCTTCCTCCTACCCCATATTGCCCCGCAAATGCACAGTTCGTACCCCACATTCCGAGACATCACCGCAAAACTACAACGGACATTGCGCGATGAGATGGGGGAAGTATGTACTCCACTTTTCCAGGTCAATCAATTGCTGCGCCGCAATAGATAAACGAATGGGACTGCATACGTATTCCACAATTTGTTCAATTCAAATTAAAATCTTTCTCTTTCCCTCGACAACCCTTCTCTTCCATCCATTGTCTTTCATCTAACACGCCTATTTTCTAAAGCAAGGGAAAGAGTGGAGCAGGAAAACAACAACACTAAATAAGAAAGAAAGTATAGTAGACGCAACATTTTTTTTAAAAAGAAAAAGAAAGAACGGGAGACGAAAAACAACATGCCATTCCCACCAAACCTCCCTCCCATCCCCACCGACCCCATCACCGCCTCCAACAGCCACCACCCCCTCTACGAACCCCTCCGCACCCGCTTCTTCAACGCCCGCCTCCCGGCCACCCAGCCCCTCGAAATCGTCTTCCCACGCACCACGGCCGACGCCGCCGCCTGCATCCGCGCCGCGCGCGCCCGCAGCCTGCACGTCGGCGTGCGCAGCGGCGGGCACAACTTCGCGGCGCCCGCGCTCGTCGCCGGCGGCCTGCTGCTCGACACGCTGCACCTGAACGCCGACGAGTTCTCCTACGACCGCCGCACGCAGCTCGTCTCGTTCGGCCCCGGCGCGACGGCCGCGCGGCTGGCGCCGTGGATGCGCGACGACGTCGGCCGCTTCTGGCCGTTTGGACATAGTCCGTCTGTTGGGGTTGGGGGGTTTCTGTGTGCGGGGGGGCAGGGGTGGTTTATGCGTGGGTGGGGCGCGACGGGCGCAGAGTGGGTGGAGAGGTTGGAGGTTGTGACGCCGGATGGGGAGGTGCGTGTTGCGAGTCGGACGGAGAATGAGGATTTGTTTTGGGCGGCGAGGGGTGGGGGGTTGGCGTTTTTTGGGGTCGTGACGAGGATTTGGGGCCGCACGGTGAGGATGAGGAGGGTTTGGGGCCGGACGTTGGTGTTTGGGCTTAGTGATGGTGGCACGGCTAAAGAGGAGGAGGAGGGGGAAGAGAGGAGCAGGGGGTTTGAAGAGGTGATGGAGTGGGCGCTTGAGACGGATGCGACGGCCTCGCCCAAGTACGGAGTCGAGACGGCCATAGTGACTTGTTATACTAACCGTGCGGAAGAAGGTACGCGGGATGAGGTAGGAGATGGGAGCTTGTTGTTGGTGGTGAATTGCACTGCGTGGGCGGACTCTTTAGCTGAGGCAGAAACGTTGTTGAGGCCATGGGAGCAAGTGCCTGAGGGGATAGCCAAAAGACTCGTGGCTAATCTGCCTGTCAAGGAGACAACATGGGAAGAACTGTTCAAAGCGCAGGACGAGTTGAATCCTGGGGCGAACGGAGAGAGGTGGCAGTGTGACAGCATATTCAATAACCCAAAAGCGCCAAGGAGTCAAGTAAGTCCTCAGTCCTTATCAGAGATTTCTATTGGCATAGCGACTGATGTTTGCACTAGCTTATTGAAGCCATAAAACCAGCCTTCTGTGACTTGCCGACTCGAAAGTCAGTTGGGTGCCTTTACATTTCAGACTATTACCCGGACGAGGAAGACCAGGCGATGTGCCTTCCGCAGCAGTATCACGTCTCGACCATGACGTGCTGGCATGATCCGGCCAAGGATGAAGAAATGAAAAAGTGGATTTACGATGCGTACAGCCGAGCGCAGCCCGTGTCCGTCGGCCAGTATGTTGCTGACTTTGATGAGAACCATCGCATCACAAAAGTAAGTGTAAAGTTGTACAGCTGGGCAACTGGAGTCTGAAAGCGGGCAGCTAAGCTTACTCTCGGACTGTAGGTGATGACAGACAATGCTCTAAGGCGGTTTCTGCAAATCAGGGAGAAATACGATCCCCAGGAGATGTTCATCGGCTATCGTGGACTTGCAAAGGTTTTGGATGAACATCCAAAGTTGCAAGATCGGCAATGACAAACCACCTGGGGCTCGCGCGCTTTGACATACTGGCTGCCGCCGGAGCGCATCGGCGACATTCCATCGTCAGCGGCATCTTTCCTCTGTATGGCCTCCGCGGGCACGTAGAGCTCTGGCTATTCGTTCTTTAACCATTGCAGTCTTTTGTTGAATTACCAAGAGCCCTACGACTCCCGAATTATCTTGTTATAAGGTAAGACAAGAGAAAGATCGTGTCGTCACCTATTGGTTCGCTTCCGCTCGCCCCCACCTTCAGCCTCAGTCATATAGAGCCCCCAAACCGGTGGACACTTATTCCCTCATCCACTTGTCAACTTTTCCAACACCTCATGGAACTATGGACCATATCTCGACGCCTTCCCAACCATATCCGCACACCGAACGAAGGATCCCGTACCTGGCTCAGTTCAAGCCGCGGCTTCGCTACGACTACCTTGGCTTCCATGACTTCCCGTCACGCAAAAGGTTCGACGTCGACGAGTGGATAGACGGACGCTTCCGACGAACGACCACCTATGACGACGCGTTGGCACTTCTTCAATCGTGGCTGTTCTTCGGGCTGCTTATCGAAACTCTCAAGGAGGGGGACATTGCGGTGCGCGTTGATGACTTCCTCGAGCCAGCAGCAGCCAAGCACGGCGACAGCAGCTACATCTCCAACAAAAAGCTTCTCCAAGTTTCAAAGAGGTGGGAGGTAAACATCGCAGCTTTGACCGAGGATTCCAGGAAGCAGAAGTGCGAAACGGTCCGGTCCTACCTTCGGTCAGCACGGGAAGTGTACTCCAGAATCGAATCTATGAAGGAGTACGAGGGCGAGCCAGGGGCTCCACATTGTCATTTGTTTAGACCGGCTCAATCCGACCAGTGCCCTTGCTCCAATGCCCTGGATGTCTGTGAGCTCTGTTCCGTGGCCGACGACGAGGTCTTACATGCATCGCTCATCATTGCTGCGGACCTCCTTGACACCTGGTCGAGCTACTTCCTGGATGATGCTCCGAGATTCTCCTGGTCCCCCAGCAGATATCTGCGGTGGAGGCTATTGAAAAGCGGGTGGTGTCGTCGAGAGGTGCACATGTTGATTGGTCAGGGTTACGGACCATCCACGATTTTCTACCTCGGCTCTACCAACCGTCAAGCCGTTCGCGCAGGCCACGAAACCTGGATGTGCACCGAGAATGAATGTATCACGGAGCAGTTGGATAAAAGAAGATACCGTACGAGGCACGCCGATTTGTGCCCGCAGGACAAGACCTGTTTTGAGTTGGTGTTCGAAACGCCCTGGAACCGTCGACTGTCCGGACTGGTGAAAGCTGGCCAGACACCTGTAATCACAGTAACGGAGACGTCAGAGAGGCCGTCATTGCACGTTTCCATCCTCTCGGCCCAAGGGACTATCCAGAACGGCGGCGATAAGCCGATTGAGCTATCGTCTGAGAGGCGTGCAGTTTTCTACGGTGACTGCAGCATCCCGCAGACAACGAGGAGTCCAGGACGCTACGTTGCCATATCACACGTGTGGTCAGAGTGAGTGACCGTAGGCCTTCCCCCTTTTTCAGAGATGTAAATACTCAGTCTTCGTAGTGGAATGGGGAATCCCAAGCGCAACGGATTGCCGAAATGTCAGCTATTGCGCATTCAGGGGTTGGTGAACGATCTGTACCCTGACTCAACAGAGCCTATTCCATTTTGGATAGACACCGTGTGTGTACCGCTACAACCGAGTGCGAGGTCGTCCGCGATCAAAGCCATGCGCTTCACCTATAAGCAAGCAGACAAAGTCCTCGTATTGGACAATACGCTTTCCTCTCTGGAAAAGGGGACAACTGCAGTCGAAATGTTTGCAAGAGTCATGTCCAGCAGCTGGACACGTCGATTGTGGACCTTTCAGGAAGCTGCGCTAGCAAAAAGCCTGCACTACCAACTCTCCGATGTGGCCATGACCTCCCGTGAGATGTGGCACCACTGCTGTCAAAACTTTCTGCTGGACAATCCTCATTGGAGCGAACCAACTTCTACCGTTCCACTAGCCACAACACGCGGCAGCCGCGATAAGGATTACCACTACGCTTCCGACGAAGAAATGCGAACCAGAGCCAGCTGGCTGGATCCAGTCCTGCAACAGACCTTCTCGGCTGTTCAGGATCTTGAAGATTTTGCAGACGCTCGAAGGGCAAACCCTGAGTTTGGACAAGATACCATCGAGTATCGCGACGCCTACGACCTGGAAGTCCTCAGTGGACCTCTCCGCTGGAGGAAGACTACGCGAATGGAGGACGAGACGATATGCCTCTGCGGAATACTAGACCGGCCGGTTGACGACCTTGTCGGATTACGCGGTGAGGAACGGATGAAGAAGTTCCTCGGGTCGTTCAAAGGCGTACCGACGAGCATTCTGTTTCAACAAACAAGGTCGCGTCTGCAAGCAGAAGGATGTCGATGGATGCCATCGTCGTTTCTCGGCTCGGAGAACGAGGTGATTTCCCTAACAGAAGGGTATTCCATACCAACACCTGAAGGGTTGAAAGTACAAAGCCCTGGGATCTTGCTATCCCCAGACTGGAAACAGGAGGATGAACAAGGGCGTGGAAAAGTCAATGTGGAAATTTTTGGCCAAGATTTCTACCTGACAAACGATGGTTCAGACATGGACGAGTACGGTGTTCCCGACGACTGGTGGGGTACCTTGGTGAGGAAGGAAATGAAAGAAATCGGAATAATCCTCCGTTACCCAATCGAGGTTATTCTTGATGAAGGTTTACAAGGCTGCCCTGCAGTCATTGTGACCATGGAAAAGTCAAAACAGCAAGACGGTGCTTGCCGGAGATGTAGGTTGGAGTATGTGACAATGCTCTACGTAGACGATCCTGAAACGTCAATGTGGATTAATGACCCAGTACCTTCGAGGTATCAAGGGGACTTCATGTGGCTTCTGCGTTAGCATTTACAGAAATAAATAGAGATTAGCAGGACTGAGGAATCCTATCAAAGGCCTTCCAACGAAGAAACCTTTAAAGCAATACCACCCGTGATTTATGAGCCCGTCTGCGCCGCGAAGACCAGGTGGCTGCTTGTCAGAAGCACAAAAAAAAAAAAACACTGAAACACATCAATCGTCTCGGGGAAGAGAGCCTCTCTCTGGTTCCGTCATCTTATCTCCCTCCTTCACCCTCTCTTACAGCCCTCTCCTCGCTGCAGTATGGGTGGCGGTCGGTCGTAGACCCACTACTCGTCGGACTCGAAGATTAACACTGTAGAGCAATACATAACCCATGTCTGAAAGCGTGTCTAAACTTATTTTTAACGTCTTGAGGGCACTGCATGCTAAGCAGGGAAATTGATCCTGAACTCCGGAGCATCCTGAATTTTCTTTGCCTTCGAGGGCGCAGGTAGCCAAAAACCTATCTGACAGAATTCCAACTTGACTGCCTATCCTATGCCGTATCTGTAATCTCAGTTGTTTGTTGGTCTTCCCCTTCGACTTTGGCCTTCTTGGCTTCCTTCTGTCCTTCGTCTTCCACAGCCACTCTCTTCTTTTTCGTAAACTTTCCTCTCGCCTCCACTCTGCCAGCTGCGGGCATGACCTTCGTCGCGGAGAAGATGAAGCCCTCCGGGCCACCTTTACTCGTCATGAGTGGATGTGTGCGGCCAGGTAGAACTTGCCAAGCTCTTACTCTAGACGTCTGCAACATCGGGGCAAGCAAGAGCGTAGGGTTAAGCGGAAAGTCATCCTCGAACTCTTTGCGTTCCTCCTCTGTCGCAGTGTCGGGATCGAAAGGCTTGGTTCCAGGCTTGACATTGATGGTACGATTGATAAATGCAGTCTTGCGCTCGCGCGAGTACAGATCCATAAGCTCAGTGACCGGTTCGATGGTCGGGCTGTAAACGACTAGCTGAGCGCCACCGCGCAGAAGAGGAACGGTGTGCTTAAGGATGGTGGCAGGCTCCATGAATGAAGCGACAATCAATCCGTCAAAGCCTCCGGCACGGGTCTCGTCAACCACGCGCCTGACGCGCTCCCACCGGCGCCGCTTGCGCCAATAAGTGCCGCGCTTGCCAGATTTCCATGTGGCAAGGACTTCCGGAGAGACGGATTCAGGTTCTGCGTAGCCGACGTCTTCTTCCGGGTTGATGAGCTGGAGCCAAGAGAGTGTCTTTAGGTGCGTGTAGAGAGGATGAGTGGGAGACTGTGTGGGTGATGCGGCGTCATATCCGAAGTATTTCAGGAGGGCTACGTTTGGTTGAGCGTGAGCGTGGAGAAGAGTGAGGCTGTTGACTGGCGCGGACTGAGCCGGGATGATTTTTGGATTCGAGCGCGCAGGGAGTGGTTTTGGCTTTTCTGCGCTCTCATCAACACCTTCACCAGTTGTTGATTGTTGCTCTCCCGTCTGAGCCTCTTGCTGATTCTCCGTGGCCGGGGCGTCGTGCATTTCCTCATCTTCCGGCTGATCGCCATCCTCCTCCGAGCTGTCGTCAAAATCTTCTTCTTCGGGCGGATAGAGAACGCCCATCTTCTCAGCAAGAGACGCCACAACCAGGCCTCCCGTGTCGTCCACCACGAGCCAGCGCCCTCCTCCAACAAATGCACCCTCTTGGGTGTCACTCGGATGCAACTCGCACGCTCCTCCGTAATGTATATTTGCCCAGGCACCGATCAAGCCTTGCGATTCCTCTCTAATGTCCATGACCCGGTGGCCCTCACGTTCAATCATGACTTCGCCGAGCATCGAGGCATCCATAGGTAGGACGGTGAAGCGCTTGAGATACTTCTTCGATTTCCGCAGTGTGTACTTGGCCAGCGAAAACGATGTTTTCTCGTCAAGGGCCTTGTGTGCCGCCATGATCTTTGCGATAATCTCCTTCCCGGAGCCTGTACCGGCCTTCTTGAGCTCCTCGATCTCTTCCATAGACAAGGTTTGACGAGTGGGGTCGTCGACTGTCAGACGGTTGCTGCGCATCAGGACCTCGCCATCCTCGCCCACGATGTCGAACTCGACTCCGCCAGGTTCGCCCGCATCGCCGTCTGGAGTCGGATCGGGTGTGCCTTCAGTTGGAGGAGCTTCCTCGGATTTTATGACCTCCTCGTGCAACTCGGCGGCAGGTACTATGCGCAGTTCGGTCTGGTCTTTGCCATCCTCGCGGTCGAGAATTTCGTATGTTACGTTGAAGGGCCGGCCGAGCAACTGGTTTGCAGGAAAAGAACCGAATTTCCCAATGGAGACGGTGCTACTCGGGTCAGTATCTAGCGTCCAGAGCGCACAAGTGAAGGCTCACTCAGACTGATCGACCTACGTGTTGGGGACGATTTCGAGGACCTTGAGCAGGCCTGAAGGCAGGCGCAGCACGACGTAACTGTGGGGGCGGATGCGGGAGTGCATGTTGGGAGGCTGCGGCAATCTGGGTTGCGCGGCCGGCGATCAGGACATGTCTCGGTGGCTGCGTTGGGACGCGATCAGCGGGAGAGCTGCGGGAATGGCAGTGGCGCAGCAGAGGCGTGGTGGTGGAGAGTTCGCGCAGAGCTGTGAATTATCTTTTGCGACCGGCAGAATAGCGCGGGCGGTGAGTGGCTTGGAATCCGAGAATAGTCGCGGCCGCCCTGCCGCCGCCGCCGCACTTGGCGCATTCCTCCTTAGCGGCGAGGGTCCAGGCGTGTCAGGGCGTGGCCGTCACGGCAGGTGGCAAAGCCGAAAGCAAGTGAGACGCATGACAGCGATCTCTATTGATCGTGTGTTTCGCTGTCCAAAGGGTCCGCCATTTTGTTTCGCATTCGGCGCCTCGATGCGCAGAATCCGAGCGGCAACGCTCAGGGCACCCCGGGCTGTTCCCCGGACGTGTGGCGGTGCCTGTCGCCGCGTCGTCATCTTCCGGCAGCTTGGCCCCAAGCGCGACTAGCCAACATCTGCCTTCCCCAGCGAATCTGCGCCTTCATAACCTCCAGGCTCCCACTTATTGCTGCTTGCTCAAGCTCCTATCGCTGCATTCCCAAATTATCGCTCCCAGGCCCTCCATCTACCTTGCCGCGCGATTCCTACCCTCCATCGAAGCGCACCTGCACAGACCGCGAGAAACAGTTAGCTGCCTGCAGCCCAGGTTCAACGCCAATCTAGCTGGGCCACGTCTAAGCCTGATCTTCAGGCACCTCCGCCGCCATGGTGCGCAAGCCCGAGCTTGTACCGCGCCCGCTCTCTCAAGCTGCTCAAAACCCTCCCTATCCTACCACTCCGCCGGACGAGCATCCACCGCCATTTCTGCACGATCCCCACCCGGCCGACACCAACAGCTACCAGTTTGTCAACCACGAAGATGCCCACCGCCCCGAGAGTGACTCCGATATCAGCTCCTCCTCCGACTGGGACGAGCCCGAGGATGATGATGGGGAGCAACAGAAGCACGATATTCCCGCTGCGCTGAGGCCTGGCGGCCATCAGGCGACCTCATCCCAGCAAATGAAGCCCAATGAGCTGCCCACATTGCTGAGGGTAGGACCGCCAGGAGGCTCGCCGGCCCCGCGCATATCGATCGACTCGGAGGATGATAGGCCCAAAATCGAGGAGAAAACTGAAGAGAAGAAGCCCGAGCCTCAACCCTCAGTGACGTCGCCGCCGCCTGCGCTGGCCACGCCGCCCCCGGCCATCGCCTCGCCCCCAGCACCCGCCGTGGCCACGCCTCCGCCTACTGTAAACGCAGTCTCTGAAACCCCAACTACTGCTACGCCAGAGCGTCGGCCTACCATACCCCTCAAATCTCAGAACCCTTACTTGAGCCTCCAGTCTCAATCAAACGAACAAACCTCAGGCCAAGAGGGCGGCGCGACTAATCCATGGTCACCACAGCAGTCAATTCCACAGGAACCCATTGAAATGCCTTTGGACAACAACACCCCGGTGGAACAATTCTCAAGCATGTCTCTCTCGAACGCCGTCGATAACAAGGCGCAGTCACCGCCAGCTAACCCTCCTCCGGGTGTCCCGGAAGACACTGTTGAGCAGGCAACGGCTGATGCCACGGCCCCGACATCCCCCACGGCAGCTACACAACGCCATGATTCTAATGCTTCCAGTGCCTTTTACCCTGGTATGGATGTCTCTTCTTTGGACGCGCATAGCTCGCGAACCTATGGCCTACCGGAAGACTCAGATGCTCAACCAAACCGCACATGGCAAGAGCAGCAGGCTTGGGAAAAGAGCGAAAGGGAGAGAAGAGAGCGAGAGGCTGCTGAAGCACAAGAGAGGGCTATGCAGGAGGAGAGGGAGAGACAAGCGGAAGAGGAGTGGCATAGAGGTGAAGCAGCCGCAAAAGCCGCTGCACAAGCACAGGCACAGGCACAGCCCCCTGCCCAACCTGCAGAGGAGACCGCTCCACCTCTACCCCCTCGCCCCGGCACTTCGTCGACTACAGCTGAACACGGCCCGTCGCGTCCGCATAACATCAACACTGCTGGTGCCGCCGCCGCTGCTGCTGGAGGCCCTGAAGTAGAATCTCCAGGCACAAAGCAAAGGAAGGAGAACTATTCTATCAAGCACATCAGGTGGTTTGACAATCATACAAACAACCTGCGCGAAGCCCCGGTCTTGACACAAAACGCCAATGGCCCCTGTCCTCTCCTGGCTCTCGTCAATGCTCTGGTCCTTTCCACGTCACAACGACAGCAGTCAAGCTTAGTGGAAGCTTTGAAGACAAGAGAGACCATAAGCCTTGGCTTGTTGTTGGATGCCGTGTTCGACGAGCTGATGTCTGGCCAACGAGGGACCGCCGCTCAGGAATTGCCTGATGTTGGTGATCTGTATGCTTTTCTACTCGCGTTGCACACCGGGATGAATGTCAACCCGCAATTTGTCGCGACCGAGTCTGAAAGTCTGATTGACCATCCCGTGCCGCAAGGAAATGCCAAACCGGGTAGTTTCGAGCAGACCCGAGAGATGCGGCTCTACAGTACCTTCAAAGTTCCTTTGATTCACGGATGGATGCCGCCACCTGATTCAGTCGCGTATGCTGCTTTTGGTCGTTCTGCAAAGACCTATGAAGACGCACAGAACATCCAGTTCCACGAAGAAGAACTGGAGGCAAAGCTCTCGACAACCGGTCTTTCGCCTCAAGAGCAGAACCTGTATCAGGATCTGCAAGCCATCAAAGAGTTCTTGCAGAGATACCCTACGCAGTTGACCGATTACGGCCTGAAGACCATGAGGGATAGCATTCAGCCTGGTCAATTCGCCATTCTCTTCCGCAACGACCACTTTTCCACTATTTACAAAGAGCCCCGCTCTCAAAAGGTTTTCTCTCTGGTTACTGATGCGGGCTACTCTAGCCACGAGGAGATTGTCTGGGAAAGCTTGGTTGATGTCACCGGTAGAGGAAGCGAGCTATTCTCTGGTGACTTCCGGACAGTCAGTCACAGCCAAGGGTCCGCTCCAGAGCGACCGATTCGGAGCCTTCTTGACGATGAGCCTCCTCGCCAAACTAGTGGCTTTCCCAACGGTGGAGGCATCACTTATCCTCAGGAAAGCGGCACTGTTGGTGCTACTCCATCCACTGAACAAGAGGATGCAGATCTCGCCCTAGCTTTGCAGCTGCAAGAGGAGGAAGATGATCGCCACCGCCGTGACGCAGAGGAACGCCGCCGGCGGGAGAATGAATTATCCCACAACTTCCTTTCTAACGAAGCAAACTCTCATACATCGCGCCCCGGTCGCATCACAGATCCCATTCGCGGATCAGACATCCGGCCGCTCATCCCTCCGCGCCGTAACAACGTCCAGACCAACCGGCCTCAGGTCGACGGAGAAGAACCTCCACCACCAACTTATGAGCAAGCTGCCAACTCTCCAGCGTACGTTCCCGGACAAGGCCTACCGAATCTACCGCAAGGAGCGGGCGCATCTAGTCATGGTCGTGGTCAAAGTGCTTACGCGTCAACCAGTCAGGGTCAAAGCTATTTCATCGGCGGAAGGCCGAACGGACGCGGCAGAAGAACAAGCCAACCGACGCTCAGTGCCAGTGCTGCGGGTCCTAGTGTCCCCGGCGGCAGAAGACATAGTGGACAAGGAGGCCCTGGCAAGGAAGAAAAGTGCATTGTCATGTAACTCCTATTCGTCTGGACTCCTTGTGTAGGTAAGGCGAGATGGTGCTTTGTTAGGGTGTAGACTGCTCGATATAGGTTTATCTCAGGAAGGCGCTGTTGTACACGTGCTTTCCCAGTCCGGTTGTTCTGCTCGTTCGGACTTCCTTTGAGGGCATGATTCACGGATTTTTGATGGATGGTAAGTAGGTTGGAGTAACGGATACCCGTGTTTATTTCATTCTGCTTTTTGCCAAACTGTCTGTCTTCGGCAGCTTGGTGACTGTTGTTCATTGTTGTCCGGTTTTAGGATTTTCTCATGTAGTCATTACGGCAACGGTGGGTGGATAGGCAGGCAGGACAGATAGACAGGTAATATGAAGACTATGCTATAGGAGTCGGGGTTGAAATTTACACCCACCCTGAACTGAAAGTACGCTGATTCGCTACAAGATACGTCTAACCATTCCGGAGACTTCCACCCACCTCGGTCTCCCCATCCCGAACCACGTCCCAGCAACAATAGCTCCAAGGACAGCCGTGCTAAGCAGTGCACTATATGGCAATGGCGCTCCTTTACCCTCAACGATCCCCTCCTTTCCCTTCCCACTACCACCAAGAGGAATGCCCTCCTTTGCCGCCCACTCTTCCACCAACCCGCGATAGTCGACGGGACCGTACCACTCGAACACCTCCCTCCACAATGCCGGCACCGACACGGGCAGGAACGAAAGCCAAGAGGGAGGACTCCACCGCTTCCGCCAGCGCGGCAAGCCCAGCTCGCGCAGCAGCAGGTCGATGTACGGCAGCGCGTCGTATGTGAAGTCGGGAACGATGGCACCAAAGCCGAGTGGATTCCGCCACCGGCCCTGGCGCGCGTGGAGGATGGCTTCGTACTCGACCTTTTCTTCTTGTGCTGCTCCACCGTTCCGGTTTAGGGCGGGCAGGCTGCGGCCCATGAAGAAGGCGGAGAGCCAGAGGGCTTGCGTCTGCGCCATCAGCGCGGTCGAGGCGGTGCGCGCGTAGCCGACGAAGGCGATGGTGCGGTGGTGGTGGCGGTGCGGGAGGGAGTGCGAGGGTGGTATCATGAAGCGGTAGAGGGTGTAGGCTCGGGCCAGGGAGCGGGTCGGTTGGTTGATGATTTCGTCGTCCTCCGTCCTCCGTGCCGCCTTGGGAGCGGTTTTCTGAGCGGCCAGATACTGTGGCGGGCACGTCGCGGGCGGCGGTTGCTCGCGCAGACGCGGGAGGGTGGACAGGATTTCGTTGTCGGCGCGGGCGAGGAGAGCGGTTCTGCGGTTGTCTTCATCCACGGCGGGGTCGTACGCGTGCGGTAGACCCAGTTCGGCGGCGATGTCGCGCCCGGCGTCGCGCGTGAAGCGGAGGTTGGGCTCATGCTTCCAGCCGGTGCAGCATACAAAGGAATCGATGCCAGCGAGCTCCTCGCCGTTCGACAGCTTGATAGTACGGCCTTCCGCCAGGCTTTCCACGTCCGCGATGTGCACCTTGATCCGCCCTTCCCGCACGAAGTCCAGGACGTCGGGCTTCCCATAGTTGAGCAGGCCCCTCCCCGTGCCGATCCAGAAGACCTCGGTCCACGGCCGCAGCTTGGCCAGCTCCGGGTGCGAGTCGTAGCCGTTGGCCCTCTCTATGCCCGCCTGGCCGTTGCGGGCGGCGTCGCGCATCCACGCCTGGCCCCGCGCCGTGCGGTTGATCAGCGCCCGCACCCAGCCGAAGCCGTCGGCGGGGCCCCAGATGCACGGGCTCATCTGCCAGGTGCTGGCGCGCGTCGTGAGCAGCTCCTCGCCCAGCACGTTGCGCGCGTTGCGCGGCGGCGCCATCAGGCACGGCCCGTGGCCCGACGAGCGCAGGATCCAGTGCACCTCGGCCGCACCGGACGCCGCTGCCGCGTAGACGACGTCGCAGGCTGACTTGTTGCCCGAGAGGACGGCGACGCGGGAGCCTGGGCGCAGGATTTGGGGTGAGTACTGGCCGAAGTCTCGGCTGTGGATGACGGGGGCGTCGAAGTGCGATTGGCCGGGGAAGGAGGGGATTTTGGGGGTGGACGTCAAGCCGGTTGCCACGACGAGCTTGGAAGCGAGGAGGTGGTAGGTCTGGGGATTGCCGTTGCCATCTTTCGTCGAGATGGTGAGGAGCCATCCCGAAGCGCCCTTGTCTTCGGCCTCTTGGACGACACTGTTGAGGCGCGTGCGCCGCGTGAGGTCGAAGGTGTCGGCGTAGTCTTGCAGGTACTGCTGGATCACCTCGCCTTTCATGTGCTCTTCTGGTGCCACGCCGTAGCCCGTCATGGGGAAGTCGCTATACTCGAAATGCCCGAGCTGGCTGACAGCGCGGAGGAACGGATAGAGCCGGTCTGGAGCCCATACTCCACCGATGGCGGTTCCAGCATCTAAGATCAGTAGGTTTACCTCCGGGTTGAGCTTTAAATACGTCCTGCCCATGGCAAGGCCGGCGAAGCCTGATCAAGGTGTCAGGTTGAAAGAGGTAAGCCGTATAATTGGTGCTCACCAGCGCCGACAATGACCATATCCGCTTCCTCCATTTTCATGGTGCTACAAAGTGCTGTTCGTAGAATACTAGATGTGGAGACTCGAGGCCGGCATGAAATATGTATAGTACACTGGTTAGACTACTGTAAGTGATCAGGCGAGAGGCGAAAACCGAGGATGTTCCAAGTCCGGGCTCGGTTTCCAGTAGCTCCCGTGTAAGTATAGAGTCCAAGAGGCGCGTCGGGCTTCGTACATTTATTAGAGCCCAGGAAACCGCGTGAGACATGGTGTCTGAGACAGCTAGCGAGTCAGAAGCGAGCCTTGGAAAATAGCGGCGTTTTGACATGGCACCCATTATTGCTCGAAAAACTAGGAGTCGAGTCATGCACTCCTAGCAAGCGGTGTACCAAAGTGGGAGCCATGCCACCAACGACAAGGATCGTGCTTTAGCGCTGTTGACATCTCGTTTGTCTGGTAAACCCCCTCGGATTTGATTCCGCACGACCGCGGAATTTGAAGATGATTCGCGTACACAGTTCCTTGCAGGAAGCCGTAAACAGAAGGACCGGTTGCGCCCTCAGTCGCCGGGATCAGTGGCGCCGACTGGGGCATAGATGCGGCCGGTGAAGCGGGGGATGCGCCTTTTTCTTCCGCTCCGCATTTTCGGTAGTTTGCTCGGGGCTGATGGAACCGCACATGCACCGCAGTCTACCATCGTGTGATCCTCTTTCTTTCCGGTCATTGAAAGCGTCTGACCATATCGATTATTCCAGTACTTCTCTGTAGCATGAGAGCTATCGAGCGCCACTTTTTCACCTGCTTTTCGGAATGTAAGTGCGCTGTTGTTGTCCTGTAGCGAAGTAGTAGGTTGTATATTAGCACGAATTAGGCGTGACGAATTCTGGATACTTAAGCGAAGGTGAGGAACCTTCCACAATAGCGAAGAAACAAGAGGTAGGGCAATCACTTTAACAAAGGGATGTGAAGTTAGTCCATATCCGCTTGTGGGCCACGGAAAGTAAGCAAGAGAGCAGATGTTAGAAAGAGGGATGCAAGAATTCCGGGAGAAAGCTGATTTGTCGCCGGCGAATGTTTTTCCCGCCGCTCTGAGCAACGACACCTCTATCCTTAACCTTTCGCATCGAAGATTTTCATGATACATGCTCTGTTAATTCGTGAGTAATCGGCGTATTGTGTAGCTCTATCCGCTGTAAAACCCGGACGTTGAGGTATCATAGCTGTAGGACACACGAGGCCAAAACGCGCAGCAACTGACGTGGAAGAGGCGAAGCATCAATGCTAGATCCTGCTCCCGAGTATTGTGCGGATAATGGAATAAGTTCTAGACCGTGTATAAAAGGTCAAAAAAAGGCTATGCATAAAAAATATGAAGCACTATGCACAATGTTTGCCGAACCCAAAGGCGGACGACCATAAAGGCACGTAGGATTGCCGCACAGGTATGGCACGCTGAATCTCATGAAGGTTCTGAAAGAAACAGAATGACGTAAGTTTTCTGGCGCAGCTGCAGTTCCGCTGAGTAGCGGAGAAAATGGGCGAGCATGGCGAACTGTGTTGGTCCGCCGATACTCACAACAATGCGGGCGGGCATCATGCGCCAGGCAGCGCAGACCCTGTGGCTATTGCGCTCTGCAGCACTGGGTTTGTCTGTGTATCTGGTCAGCTTACGGTCATAGGCATTGCCGCGTGTCGGGTTTGCCGCATTCTTCTGAGCCATATCCAATACCTAAGTCGACGGGTACCTGAGTCTTCCTTCGGAGCCGCCGCGCTTGCCGAAATGGTGAGGCCGACCTGTCTGTATCCAGAATGGTGCTGATTGATATTGCATGTGCGCGCGTGCGCGCTTTGCTCGCTGGTCGCGTCCGCCATCTATTACTCCTCGCGCTTCACCAACACTCCACACCCCGACCTCCACCACCCTCCCATCACACACTTCCGCGTCGCAGTCTTCCGGCAAGCAGTGCATGCTGCGACGAGGCGCACTTCACTTCAGGGTAAGTGAGCAGAGCTCCTTTTCGTCTTCCTCTGTCAAACACCGCGCCGCGATCGAGGCCGACAGCAGCAGCTCGGGCGCGACCGCGACCGCGCTCGCTGTCGCACTCACCACCGCCTCACTCTGCATTTGCGCATCGTTTCTTACCGCCTCACCTTCCCTACACCCATTGATGTCCTCTCCGCAACTCGGCTTGCGTATGGTCGCATTCCGACAGAGCTTCGACCAACACCTGCTCGCGCGCACTTGCTAGCAGTAGCCTGGAGCACAATTCCCATAATTCCTGACCGTATTGACGCTGCTCACAACGATCTAAGCCCCTGCGCAATGTCCGTCTCATTGTCGCGTTCAGAAGCTGACAATATCGCTTTACAGACTCAAGCCGACGTCCGACCGCGGACGCGACGCAATCTTCAACCACTTGTTTGTCTGAGTTCCTCGACAAAGATCAGCTGTACTCTTGACCGATCTTGAACTCCTTTCTTTTGGGTGGAGGCATAACGAGAGGATATCTGATACAAGACTCTTGTCTGCTCTCTCACGCCTAGCTTAATCTCATCTGGGGAGGACAGGATGGGCCGTGTCAAGCAAACAGGTAAGCGTCCACCCATATTTCAAAACGTTTGAGCATCCTGATCCTCTCAGGAACTAACTTGTAGCTGCAGCCCAACGCCACGAATTGGCTGTGGCAAACGGCACACAAGAGTCGGCTATGACCGGCAATGCTGTCAACCATGAGAAAGACGCTGTAGACATGGAGATGGCCGATCAGTTTGAAGATGATTTAGATCTTGGAAACGCTCTTTCATACTCGAACCCCGAAGTCGATATGCACGATGCAGAGTCCGACTTAGAGGACCACCACATCGAGGACCATAGCATGGAGGACAACAACATCGATGGAGATGACGAATCTTCTGATGCCGAGAGTTTTGAGTATAACGACGACGACATAGATGAGGATTTCGAGCTCGACGCTGCCGGCGACAGCGACTACGAAGAAGGGCCCGCAAGCAAGCGCCGCACTGCGAAGCCGGCCCTGCCAAAGAAGAGTCTGATCAATTCGAAGTCTTCTCAACTTGCCACATCAAAGTCTAAGCCTCGTCGTAAGGCTCAATCGACCCCCCGAAAGACCAACCAGACTTCGGAGCAACTTCCACGTGCGTTGAAGAAGGCTCACCGCGACATCGAGCGCAAGCAGTCCCTCGGTCAGCCACGTGCTAAGGGCGATCGTGCACTCCGGTGCTTGCCCTACGTTACCAAGAATCGTGCTGCTAAGCGTGAGTTGATTAGGTGGAGCGGTAAGTCAGACGCGAGGCTCTTTTACCATATGCAAGCCTAACCGCTCGTAGATGAGACCTACGCCCATACCCTCCTTGCCATGAGTTGGGCGCTCGAAGTCAAGGGAATCGATATTCCCTGGGAGGAAGTCGCCGCAATTGTGCATCCAGGTGCCACTGGCGAGGCTTTTAAGCAGGCCATGTCGAAGCTGCGTGCCAAGAGGCTTAAGGAGGGCCTGCCTGTACCCCCGGTGCGTCCTGGCAAGGAGAAATCCCGGAAGGACTGCGAAGCTGAATTGAAGCGCATCCTGGACGGAGCTCGAGAAGTGCGAGAGGCAAAGAACGCAGGAAAGCCTGCCGATTCCGGTCCGAAGAACGCTTCGGACGATTACGACGGCGGTGATGAGGAGACACCACCTACTGTAAGTCACAACATCCCCAATTCCTTCAACATGCCTAACGGCGCTTTCGTTTTCAGTCTCGTGTACGTGGTCGCATGTCCGTTGGCTCGATTGCCACCCGGGGACAGCATGGTTTACCGGCTCTCGAGGACTCGTCTTCCGGACCAGACCTGCTGACCCCCAAGTGTGACACGCCCGCTTCGGACGAAGACACCATCAATCCCGAAATTCGAACTGCAGAATGGATCAAAGATGTTACTGCTGATTCTTTGTCCTCCGTTACTTTTCAGTTCGTCACTGGTCAAAACAAGGACATCCACCAACGCCTTTCCCCTGCTGTTCAACGCCTACAGGGAGGCACCGACGGCCTCCGCACCAACTTGGATGTAGCTGAGACGAGCCCGGTCCCCGCCACAAAGACAGATACTCCGGCTACCCGCTCGACACCGGCCCGCAACCGCTCTTCTCTCGCCTACCACGGACAGTCAGGTTCCCTGGCAGCGCAAAGCCAGCAGCAGCAGGCCCCGCACACGCCGCCCTCCCAACAGGCGCCGGTCTCTCAACCTCTGTCGTATACGGAGCCGGTCACTCCACCCTCTATTCTGCGAACTCCGAAGGAGTGTCCTCCTGCTCCACGTAGTCGCAGCAACAGTGACCTCCGCACTCGTAGCCACAGGCATACCAGGAAGAGATCAGGAGATGATGTAGGCCTTCCTCCTTCTACGCCCACTCCGAAGCGTCGTCAGGCCCATGGCGTGCGCAAGTCAATTTCTCGTAGGCCGTCGCTCAGCCAGATCCCGGAGAGTGATCCGACCACCACATTCTCGACCCCGCTGGTTGAGAACATGTCCAACCACTTTTACCAGGGATCACACGCATCTCTTGGTCAGTCTCCCTTTGGAGGAATGGCGGGAGGTGGAATGATGTCGACGCCATATGGCTACGGACCTATGCAGATGAACAACACGCCCATGCCATTCATCCCTCCAGCGGTGATGCAAAACATGATGAACCCATACGCCATGCAGCATGGCCTTGTTTCCAGCGACTCTTTCCAGATGCAGATGACTGAGCAGCAAATGGCTCAAGCGCAGATGGCCCAAATGCAGATGGCACAGATGGCCCGAGAACAAATGGCTCAGCAGGCTCAGCAACAGATGCCACCTCCTTGGCAAACCGGCCTGAACCAGCAGACGCAGCCTGGCACCCAGAGCGCCAAGATCAAGCGCCAGATGTCCGCGTCACCCCACACGAGCTCCGGAATCTCCATGCGTAACTTGAGCCTTCGAGACACTGGCTCGCAGACTTCTACTCACAACCTTACCCCTGACCGCTCTGTTGACTACGCTGTCAGTTCGTCCGGCATGCATGAGTCGCTGTGGAACCTTACTGCTGGTGGTGACTACATCAGCCCTGGCGGTGATCGTAGGCCGTTCCAGAACTTGGATCGCCTGAGCGAAGAGCCTGATGCCGAAAATGATGAGCAGAGGGTGCAGTTTGGTTCGCAGAATACTGCCACGGATTCCTTTGGTCGCTCCACCCAAGACTCTTTTGGCAGCAATGTCCAGGGATCTCACATCACGCCTGCACAGCCGCGCCCGGTTGGTGACAACGATATCCAGGAGGACACCGAGTGTTGAGAGTCGTCCCCAGAGCCACAACCCAAGATTCTTTTCTTTGCAACAGAGCTTCTTGCTTATTTTCATGCAACAACTGCCCTGGTAGATTGGCTCTACCAGAATTTTCTTCTTTTCCAACTGAAACTTCTTTCTTGATTATTCCATCAGGGTAACGAAGCCGTTACAACCTAGGACCACGAACTTCTGATAAGACCCGGACAGCCATCTCTTCACCGGGCCTTCCACACGATCCAAATCGGAACTTTTTCTGCAGGATCTTGACCAGAGGGCCGTCTTTCTTGAGCTCTTGTTTCCTTCCATACTAATTGACCCACATCTCGTCAGTACTGATAGAGCTGTTTCGGCAGGCTAGCAGGAATACGGAGATTTGGGTTCTTTTCCTTTTCGTCACCTTTGTCTTCTCTTTTACCCAAAGGTCTCATATCCATCAGCATTCCACGTCAAGCTTCGTTGCAACAGTAGGGATAGATCATATCTCTGTCAACAACAGGAAGGTTGGCACCCTGCTGGATACGGATGGGTTGGAACAATAAACAAGCTGGCCATGTGGAGTCCTTAGGATTACGGTTGTTGTTGTTGTTATAGACTAAAGAATGATAAAAAGCTTCGGCACCAAACTTAGAATGACTTGCATGTGATCAGTTCTTGTGGAGGCGCAGGGGTCGGCGAAGGATATTGTCGTCGATAATGCATGACTTGCATGAGTAGCTGAAGTTGATACATGGACGTTTGTGTGTAGTCTTGGCTGCCTATATCTGCATCCGGATAATCGCTTCAACTGCCCATGTAGGAAGAATGCAGTATCTTTCGCGGACATGCAAAGATCTCCAGCAGCCAATTGTGGAGTGAGAGACCTGACACGGAAGCGGTGGAAGCTGGGGACAGGACTGGAGAAGCTGAGTCAGGGACGCGATGAGAGCTTTGCAAGATGATCCAGAGAATTCTGCATGCTTCCATTGGGCGAGATCCATCGGCAAGTCAGAGTGTGGAGAGGCGAGTTAAGGCCGAGGTAAGCGCCGTGAGAGTCTAAGTACGACAGCTGCAGCGAACGCTCGGCGTGATCGACAGAACGCCGACAACGAGATTTGCGGCTTCAAAAACTTGCCTGCTGGCTTGATAGACATGAAAACATCTGGCTTCGCATTAGAATTTCCGTCCATGAGTGTGGCGGGGCGCAATGACTGCTGCCGGGCGGATGGCAATGGCAATTGCAATGGCAGGCCTCGGAGCCTAGCGCGGATCGTGACGCACGGACCATCGGCCTGAAGTTCTGCTTCTCATGTTTCTAGCTGCTTCTGAAGATTTTCATTCATCAACACCGCGCTTCCTCTCCGTCGCCATCTCTTTTTCGCCTTGCACCTCTCGTATTTAGGTCGGCGTCCTAGGAGCTCCAGGCTTGGGTGTCGTTGTGTGTCCTCTTCTCCCGTTCCGCCGCCACATCATCTCCTCCGCTATCCACAATGCAGCGCATGCTTGCTTCGAGGGCGCGCGCCTCGGCCGCCTCTACCCTGAGCTCGCGGAGCTTCAACCTTACCCAGCAGCGCTTCGCCCACAAGGTACGAATCCATTGGCCTGCGCCATAGCCTTTCCGCCTTTCCAATGCCGCCGCCGCTTCCGCCGCAGCGTGCTAACGTCACTGCGAACAACAGGAGCTCAAGTTCGGCGTTGAGGGCCGCGCTGCTCTGCTCAACGGTGTCGAGACCCTCGCCAAGGCCGTCTCCACCACTCTCGGTCCCAAGGGCCGCAATGTCCTCATCGACCAGAGCTACGGCTCGCCCAAGATCACCAAGGGTAAGGATTTTTGATGGAGAGCGGATACATCCGGACATTGCTGACAGGATGCAGACGGTGTGACTGTCGCCAAGTCGATCGTGCTGAAGGACAAGTTCGAGAACCTCGGCGCTCGCCTCATTCAGGATGTTGCTTCGAAGACCAACGAGGTCGCTGGTGACGGTACCACCACCGCCACCGTCCTGGCCCGCGCCATCTTCTCCGAGACCGTCAAGAACGTCGCCGCTGGCTGCAACCCCATGGACCTGAGGAGAGGTATCCAGGCTGCTGTCGAGTCCGTCGTCGAATACCTGCGCGCCAACAAGAGGGATGTCACCACCAGCGAGGAGATTTCCCAGGTTGCCACCATCTCCGCCAACGGCGATACCCACATTGGCCAGCTTCTCTCCAACGCCATGGAGAAGGTCGGCAAGGAGGGTGTCATCACCGTCAAGGAGGGCAAGACCATCGAGGACGAGCTCGAGATCACCGAGGGTATGAAGTTTGACCGTGGTTACATCTCGCCCTACTTCATCACCGACCCCAAGCAGCAGAAGGTCGAGTTTGAGAAGCCCCTCATCCTCCTTTCTGAGAAGAAGATCTCTGCCGTTCAGGACATCGTCCCCGCTCTTGAGGCCTCTCAGCAGCTCCGCCGTCCCCTTGTCATCATTGCTGAGGACATTGACGGCGAGGCTCTGGCTGTCTGCATTCTGAACAAGCTCCGCGGCCAGCTCCAGGTTGCTGCCGTCAAGGCTCCCGGCTTCGGTGACAACCGCAAGTCCATCCTTGGCGATCTCGGTGTTCTCACCAACGGTACCGTCTTCACCGACGAGCTTGACCTCAAGCTCGACCGCCTCACCCCCGACCAGCTCGGTTCCACCGGCTCCATTACCATCACCAAGGAGGATACCGTCATCCTCAACGGTGAGGGCACCAAGGACGCCGTTACTCAGCGTTGCGAGCAGATCCGTGGCGTCATGAACGACCCCACCACCTCCGACTACGAGAAGGAGAAGCTCCAGGAGCGTCTTGCCAAGCTTTCTGGCGGTGTTGCCGTCATCAAGGTCGGCGGCGCCTCCGAGGTCGAGGTTGGCGAGAAGAAGGACCGCATTGTCGATGCTCTGAACGCCACCCGCGCCGCCGTTGAGGAGGGTATCCTCCCCGGTGGTGGTACTGCCCTCCTGAAGGCCGCCTCCAACGCCCTGAACAACGTCCCCTTCGCCAACTTCGACCAGCAGCTCGGTATTTCGATTGTCAAGAACGCCATCACCAAGCCTACCCGCTCCATCGTCGAGAACGCTGGTGCTGAGGGCAGCGTCGTTGTTGGCAAGCTCATGGACGAGTTCGGCAAGGACTTCACCAAGGGTTACGACAGCGCCAAGGGCGAGTACGTTGACATGATTCAGGCCGGTATCCTTGACCCCTTCAAGGTCACCAGGACCGCTCTTGTTGACGCCAGCGGTGTTGCTTCGCTGCTTGGCACCACTGAGGTCGCCATCGTTGAGGCTCCTGAGGAGAAGGCCCCTGCTGCTCCCATGGGTGGCATGGGTGGTATGGGCGGCATGGGCGGCGGCATGTTCTAAACTGCTGCCCCGCTCTAAAGAAAGCATAAAACCAAAAAAGATCAGAAAAAGCGTTTCTCCGTTCCTCCGTCACCCTGTATACCCGCTGTCTACTACCTCTACCTTTTCAAAACCTGTGTTAGTTATTGGCACCTCATCTCCGCTCTTATAAAACTCATTGTTTCTGGCTACAACCGGGCATGGCGGAGCGAGGAGTTTTTATTTGTATGATATTGTATCTACCAAGCGACGAACGACCAAAAAAGAACAATGAAGTTGAGTGACAATGTAAATCAGCGACGCATGAAGTGGTGATTAGCAATATAATCAACTAATAGTAGCAACTGCCGCTTTGAGAGAACGGCGTCCTCCATGCGTGCAATCGACTTGCCTAGCGTATTAAGATGTAGGCAGCGGTGTGTGTGCTCTACGCACGAGGCACCTCAGAGTCAGGAAACGGCCATTGTTTCTCCTATGCGAAGCGGTGTTGATATGAAAGGCTCTGAGGACTCCGCGCCATCGACTTTGTTGTCAGGTGGGATGATTCGGGATGCATCGGGCAGCTGGGTGATGTCATCTGCAGAACGTGGGGCTCGCAGGCGGCAGGCCGCGCGGGACCAGACGAGCGAGAGGCTATCAAAAGCCGAAGACCCTGGTGATTGGCGCTGCTCAGGAGGGGGCAGCCGGTCGCCGGCGGGATCGCCTCAGGAGATGAATATTGAGGGGCAGTCGAGTCGAGCACCCGTGGCGCATTGATGCCGCGGCCAGCGGGAGGAAGCGGCGGCTCCTGTTCCATGGAAGCGTAGCCTTGATGCCTGAGCCACGGTCGCATTTCCAGGACAACAGCGCTCAGAGGGCGTTAGGCGGCAACAATGCATTGTAGCCTGGAGGGAATGCTGGGCAACGGCAGCAGCGGACGCGGCAAGCATTGTTTACGGTGCGATCTCGTCCATGGCAGACCAGCGGTGGGTGCTTGGGCGGCACAGGGCTGTCAAAGTGGCTCAATCTCCAGTCCCCACTAGCTGGCCGCTCTCTGCCCCTCTACCGAACAACTTCCTTCCAGTCCGCAACACCTTCTTGCATCCACACCCGCACAACCCATTCCCCTCCGCCGCACTCCCCAAAGCGCCTTCGCACGCTCCATTCCTCGCTGTGAGTCGCCCATCCTCCTGCTCGACGCCCTCCTGCGCATGACGCCACCGCCTGGCTGCCCGCCCGCCCGCTGCCTACATGCGCTGACGACGGTGCTGACAAGTTTCCTGTTGACAGTCTTCCGTCTCCAACTTCACCACCTCACATAACAGTCGCAATGGTAAGTGCCCTCGGCGGTTTCCTCGTCGTTGTTGATGCTAATTTGTCCGCGCGCTGCAGGCTTCCTCCGGGTTCGTGATTCCTGCCCCTACCCCTCCCCCTCAACGCCTCGCTCGCGCGCCCCGGTCGCCGCTCGCTATCTACGCAGCCCCGGCCCCGCGCACGCGACGATGCCGATAGCAGACGCGCCCTCGCCGCTGCTCATGCCGCGATCATTGATAGCGCTTCCGCTCGATGAAGCCGTCCACCGCTTTTTCGCTTCGCTGCTAACTTGCGCTCGCGTGCTTTTAGTGTCTCGGTCTCCCCGGACTGCGTCAGCATCTTCAACGACCTTAAGCTGGGCAAGGAGCTCAAGTGGATCGTCTACCAGATCGCCGACAACGGCAAGGAGATTGTCGTCGAGCACTCCGAGAAGAAGACTGAGGAGAGCGAAGAGGAGCAGTGGAACAGGTTCCGCGAGTTCCTGCTCAACTCCAAGACCAAGAACAAGGCAGGCAAGGAGGGCAGGGGTGCACGGTACGCCGTCTACGATGTCATGTATGACGCGGCTGCCGGCTCTTACGGCGAGGGTCTGAGGTACGTTTTTGCTGATTTTCTCCCCCGTCCCTCCGAACGCCAACGATGCTGACGAGCCAAAACAGGAACAAGATCACCTTCCTCTCCTGGATCCCCGATGACCTTGCTCCCTGGGTAAGCATAATCTTCGGATGATCATTTCACTCTTGCGCATTCAGGTACTGACATCGCGTACAGCCCAAGATGGTTTACTCTTCCTCCAAGGACGCCATCAAGCGCGCCCTTACCGGCGTCGCTCTCGACATCCAGGCCAACGACGATGCTGACATCGAGTTCGCGACCGTCATTGAGAAGGTTTCCAAGGGCCGCTTCTAAGCTCGCGGGGAAAAAGGCAAAAATGGCCTGTTCTGTCACCACGACAGGCACTCTTTTTCTTGATAGCAAAATGAGCGCAAACACTTGTTTGTTTCTGGAAGCATTCACGAGGCATGCTAGTGGAGGCGGCTGGGCGGTGTGGAACAGTTGAATACCCTCAGTCGTGGAAGATGGTCGCGGGGAAGGGCGGCGTGTTGATGTTCTTTGCAATAATGCTGCTGCTGCCGCGCGGCTCCTGCCTGCCTGATAGCACAAGTTTGGGATGATAGAAGGAAAATGCTTTACTCTGGCAATACTCGTTTTCATTGATATGTATGCACGTGCTCCTTGGTTGTACTGCTCGTATCCGTCTTGAAGGTCTCCATGAATCTAACATTCATCCTGAGGAGTCTTAGAGGGCTGTGCCAACGGCATCAAGCGCTCACTATCGCATTACACACCCAACTTTTTTTTTTCTTCTTCTCATCGAAACGCTCGAACGCAGACCAAAAGAGAATCTCGTCGTGTCTCTTCTCTCTCAGGCGACTGATACCAAAAAAGGAAACTATGCGCTGCCACCCTTCTGCTGCCAGGCCTCCTTGAACACGCCCGCCAACCTCTCCCCTTCCCCTTCATCCTTCAACCTCTGCACCAGGAAGCCCTTCAAGTCCGCCCAGAACTCATCCGTCTGCAGTATCCCCGCCGCCTCCTCCGGGCCCGCGGCCACGGGCGCCTCGCCCATCTCGATTTCCGGCTGCGAAGGCTGCGGCGGTGGTGCAGCTGCGGCGGGAGGAACGGCGACGGGCGGGCTGGCGACGCGCTCAGGCGTCGAGATGGCCGGCGTGCCTGCAGACGGTGTCCCGCCTCCGCCGCCTCCGCCGAGCACCATGACGCTGAACTCGACGGCGAGCGGGGCCGACGACGCCGCATCGACCGCCGCCGCTGCGCCGAGCACGTCCTTGATCGTCTTGGTGTCGTTGACGGGCTTCTTGGCGTGCAGGATCTTGATCTTGTCGGTGCGCAGGTCCGGCGCGCCCGAGCCCGCGGCGTAGGCGGCTTTGAGGTCGTGGATCGAGGTCGTGGCGATGGAGACGGGCGCGGGGAGCGTGTAGGTGGGGAGGGTGGCGCGCGTGGGTTTGAGGGTGACGGTTGCGAGGGGCCCTTCGGCGGCGGCGGTGGTGGGGGGAGAAGTTGCGTCTGCGGCCGTGGAGGTGGGTTCGGTGGTGCTGCTGCTGCGGGCGGTGGGTTTGCGCTTCGGTTGAGGCATGCGCGGGAGGATGAACTGGGCGGGGAATGTCAGCGTGGGACACGGCGAGCAAATTGAGCAATAGGAGTTTTTATGTTTATAGGGCGTAACAGTTTTGAAGGGGGAGAGGACGTACCGCCGGCTGTGCTGGGTAGCTCTTGGGGTCCACGACATGGTCGCTAGAGAGGCGGGCGGGGCGCGCCTCGAGCGCCGTGAGGAACTGCTTTGCGAATGCGAGTTCCGTCATGGTGACAGAAACGTTATGTGCTGTAGAATGGCAGTGGCAGGCGGTTGAAGGAGCAAAGCGCGTGAGCGGGGGAGCAGCTTAATGTTGGCGCAATTGGGTGATGATGCTAGACTTGGCGGGACCTCAGCGATCAAGGCGGTGGGGAATTCTGCCACGGCGCACGGACTGGGTCCCGGATTTTTTGCGATCTGAGGCCTGCGCCGAAGGTTGCTGCTTGTCTTTTTGCCGGGATTTTCACAAATTTCTCCCCCCTTCACCTTTTTCCCACCGCAAACATGGGTCCCAGCCGTCGCATGAAGAAGCAGGGCATACCCGCCCCGCTAGATGAATCTCTCGTCACCCGCAAGCGCAAGGACGCGCCCGAGCCCCAGCCCGCCGTGCAACAAAACGGCAAGCCGAAGAAGCGCAGAACCTCTGGCGAGGGCGTCTCAGTAAAACCCGCGAAGAAGGTCAAGGAGGATGTCAAGCCCAAGACCAATGGCAAGGCCGCCTCCGCTGCGAAGGAGAAGTCCAAGGCCAACGGTGTGAGCAAAAAATCCAAGAAGGCGCCTGTGCCGGAGTCTGAAGATGAGGACGAGGAAATGTGGGAGGACGATGACGAGGATATAACCGGACTGGACGAGCTCGACTCCGACGAGTTGCCTTCCGGCGACGATTTCTTGGACGAGGACGAAGACGATGTTGTCGACTCGGACGACGATATGCCTGGCAAGCAAGCCATGTGGTCGGAGGATGAAGATGATGAGGAGGATGCTGCGGAGCGACTGACGGCCGCCAATATCGAAGGCTTGTCGCGGAGGCTCGATATGCAGAGGGCGCAGGAGGAGGCGGAGGCGCAAGCTGAACTGGAGGAGGCTGCGATGCAGACCAACATTGCGGGCGACCGTCCCAAGATCCTTGGCGACGCTGATAGCGACGACGAGGATGGCGCAGGCGTGGGTCTTGCACCCGATCTCCAGCTTCTCCGCACTCGCATCACCGACACTATCCGCGTGCTGAATGATTTCAAGAACCTGGCCGAGCCCGGCAGGTCGAGAGCAGAGTACACAGCTCAGGTGCTCAAGGACATTTGTGCCTACTACGGATACTCGCCGTTCATGGCGGAAAAGCTCTGGACTCTTTTCCCCCCGAGCGAAGCTTTCGCCTTCTTTGAGGCTAACGAGACTCCTCGTCCCGTTGTCATCAGGACAAACACACTCCGCACCCACCGTCGCCAGCTTGCGCAGTCTCTCATCAACCGTGGCGTGACGCTTGAGCCAGTTGGCAAGTGGTCCAAGGTCGGTCTTCAGATCTTCGAGTCGTCCGTCCCCATTGGTGCCACTCCTGAATACCTCGCTGGACACTACATTCTTCAAGCCGCATCCTCTTTCCTCCCCGTTATGGCTCTCGCGCCTCAAGAGAATGAGCGGATTCTTGATATGGCCTCTGCTCCCGGAGGTAAAACGACACACATGGCTGCACTTATGAAGAACACCGGTTGCATCTTCGCGAACGATGCCAACAAGGATCGTGCGAAGGGTCTGATCGGTAACATTCACCGTCTGGGTGTCAAGAACACCATTGTCTGCCACTACGATGCCATGGAGTTCCCGCGAGTCATTGGCGGCTTCGACCGTGTCCTGCTCGATGCTCCTTGCTCGGGAACTGGTGTCATCGCCAAGGACGCTAGCGTCAAGACCAACAAGACCGAGCAGGATTTCATGCGTCTGCCTCACCTGCAGAAGCAGCTTCTCCTGCACGCCATTGACAGCGTCGACCACGCTTCAAAGACTGGCGGTTACATCGTCTACTCGACTTGTTCCGTCACGGTTGACGAGAACGAGCGTGTGGTGCAGTATGCGCTTGAGAAGCGGCCGAATGTCAAGCTTGTGTCAACCGGTCTTACTTTCGGAAAGGAGGGTTTCACCAACTTCCAGGGACGCCAGTTCCACGCGAGCCTCAAGGAGACGCGACGCTACTACCCGCACGCCTACAACGTGGACGGTTTCTTCGTTGCCAAGTTCAAGAAGATTGGCCCGACGCCCGCCAACGCTGTCAGCGCGACCAACGCCAGCACCAAGGCTGGAAAGTCCTACAAGCCCAAAAAGGAGAATGATACTTTGGTTGCGGATAAGACCCCTATCACGACGGATGAGAGCGGGAAGGAGACGGAAGATGACTTTGGTGGCTGGGATGATGAGGAAGATGAGAAGATCATCGAGAGGAGCATCAAGCACCAGATGAGGAAGAAGGGCAAGGACCCGAGGGCGCTGCTGGGCAAAAAGGCGAAGAAAGAGGGCGAGAAGGCATCGGAACAGGGCGAGAAGAAGGCAGATGAGAAGGCGGAGGTGAAGGCGGAGGCGAAGGCGGAGGCGAAGGAGGCGGCGAAGGAGACGAAGGAGAGCAAGAGCAAGAGCTCAAAGGGTGACAAGGCGAGCGAAAAGGAAAGCAAGGCGTCTGTCAAAACGGGAAATGAGAACGCAAAACAGGCCAACGGCGAAGCCGGGGCCGGCCCGAAGGGTAAGAAAAAGGCGGGGAGGAAGTCGGTGTAGTGTCTCGGCGGATCGTCAGGTGACCGCGAATCGCGTCGGGGGCAGCTGTATAAATTCTTTGCTTTGGTAGACGCATCTGCTGGCGCTGGCGGAGTTCTATGGGAGGCCGCACCGGCCCGCAGACATCTGAACCGGCCTCAGTCTGCGAAGAATGTCAAGGTTGATTTTAGCTTTCCACAAGCAGTACCCGGCAGTCTGGATAGAAGTCTGGCACAGATCCCTACTGCATGGGGCAAGGATGGCCGCATCCGAGCGCCTTTTGCTCTCGTGCCGGCGGGGCAGAACGGCTCAACGCAGCCTGTTCCGCCGCGTGGGCGCCTCGTCTCGTCTTTTTGCAGCCCGACACTTCTTTCGACCTGACCGCAAAAGAGCCCTCCCGCTCCCACCCCTGACCTGCAGCATCCAGGATACTGCTGGTTACAAACCGCGCCACCGACGTCAGCAACTCGGCTTCCATAACGACCTCCCTCCTGCCCGGCGCAGCCAGAAAAAAAAAATAAGTTGAGAAAGGGCCGGGATTGACAGGGATCAGGAGACCAGCTGAGCAACTGCGAAAAAGACCCTGCAGGAGACCAACCGCTTCCCGTCGTGCCGCGCCGCTCGACTCCTTCCTCCCTCTAGCCTTGCGAACCCCCACACGCTCTCACACCCCCCAACCAAACCACTCTTTGCCAGGAACGGCTACTGCTGCCATCCGTCGTCCACCGCCGGTCCTCCGGAAAGCCCGGCGCTACCTGACGGCCAAGAGGGAACCTACCGCCGCTGTCCTTCCCGTCGTGCTCTTGTCCACAGCCGTCAGACGCCGGTCACCGTTTCTCCCCCCCTCTTCTCTCCGCAGAGCCCGGGTCGTTGGGTTCGACTCGAGCCAGAGCCGAATCAGTCTAAGCCGCGCCGCCGGCCGGGTTCCGCCGCGCAGGATCTGACCTCGTCGCTGAGGAAGAGCTGGGAGAATAGCGGTCAAGAGCAGCAGCAGCAGACGACGTAGAAGCAGCAGCAACAGCAGTCAACGCAGACTCCACCAAGCATCCACGTAGACGCGCGCATTACTTTCATCGCCGGCCAAGGAAATCGTCGCTATGGGCACGACTACACCAGCACCGACCCCAAGGTATGCTTACGATAGCCCGCTGAACTCTTTCTACACGACCCAGCAGCCAAGTATAGATGAGCGTTGCGCCCCTGGGACAGTCTCCTGCTTCCACCGCTACATTCCCACACACTTGCCTTACCCGAGCCCCCCGCTCTGCCCCTCCACCCTTCAAGCCCCACTTCTTGCGTCATCAACACCCATACCCATCACGAGCATGAATCTAACGGACGTTGCATACTTACAGAAGCCGGGTGCCTCGTCGGCCGTGGCGCCTCCTTTCGGAGGATGTGCCGCTGATACCGGAGAACGCGGTCGACCTATTCCCGGAGAAGCTTGGTCCGCGAATCTTCTACCTGCCGTCGGCGAACGCAATCCTGAAGAAAGGACCAACGGTTCGAATGGCCGAGGCAGAGGCTATGCGCTTCGTGAAGGCGAAGCTGCCCAACGTGCCGGTGCCAGAAGTCTACCAGAGCTTCATGAAGGACGAGCTAGGTTTCATTCTCATGGAGAAGATTGAGGGCAGGCCTCTCAGCGAGCTATGGGAACGACTGGATCCTGAGAAACGTGCCTTCATCGTCGAGCAGTTACGCGGCTTCATCGCGCAGTGGCGCGAGCTCAAGGGCGATTGGTACGGCAGCTTAGGTGGCGGCAGCAGCGTTGCGAACTATGGTGACCACCATCACCCGCACCATCACCACCGTGGCAGCACCGGCAGCAGCAGCGCCGGCTCTGACGCATACAGTCCGCATCCTGGCGATGCCTCCCCCCCACCGCCGCCGCAGACTCCAGCCATCGAGCCCGGCAGCGGGCCCGGCGGGCCCTGCGAGGACATTGTCTTCAAGCACCTGTGCCTGGCCAGTCCAGGCGAGCAGAAGACGTATGGCCCGTTCAACACACGCGCCGAGTACAACTCGGGTGTGGTTGAGGCGCTGCGCAACAGCCGCACGACGGGCGAGCTCAGCGAAACCGACGAGCCTCTAGTAACACGTATCCAAGCCGAGAATGATTCGGACGAGAAAGTCTTCACGCATGGCGACCTGCAGCCGGTCAACATCATGGTCGATCCCAAGACGCTACGCATCACTGGTATCCTGGACTGGGAGACTGCAGGATATAGCCCGCCGGAGCGCGAGTACTGCGAAGGTCGTAGCCGTGGGCGCGAGGAGGTGTGGCGCCGCGTACTGGACAGCCTGTTCGAGGACGACGTCAAAGAAAAGTACAAACTCTGGCGCGACATCGACTGGGCACTCGTGGCGCATAGTCGCGTTTGGAGCAAGTGACGATTGATGCTGCTAGGCCGTGCTTTTTGAAAGAGGGGGAAAGGAAGGAAGAGAAAGCTGGAGGAGCTGCGCATCCCCCTTCTCTCTCTTCTTCTCCTTTCGATGGAAGCTACATCACGACCTAGACGATTACTCTACTGTTATGGACCGCTATCATGTGCACTGCCTAGACTCATATTTAGGCGGCGCTTCTGTTTTCCTCAGATCGTTTGTGCTGCATTTTCAGCGACATGGAAGCACGTCGGTAGATATCCTGCAGAGCGCGGAGCACGAAATTCAACATTTGATACTTGAGGTGGAGGCAGCGAGGAGGAGCTAGCATGTCGGCCATTCCGAGGTGCTGTGCACCTAAGAATTAAAGGGGCCGGAACAAAGGATTTGGGCATGCTAGGAGGAGGAGTAGTGACGAGAAGATGGAATCACAAAAATGGGAATAGCATGGAGTTTTACGTCCGCAGAGAACTGCTGATGGAGGCCGGTGTGCCGGGCGTTTTCACTTTGTATTTTTTCACTGGAGTCGTTTTAAAGGTCCATGTTCTGGTGTTTAAAGAGCGCGGAGGGGTCTGGTAGATGGAATGGAAGGGAGGCTTCGTCGTTTCAGTAGGCAGAAATCATTTGCATTCTTTGTTCGACACCACTCCTGCTGGGGAGGGTCTTGCAATCCCCCTCTCCTTTGGTATGTGTAAATAGTTAGCCATATAGATTATGTTAACGTTGGAGGTCAACAATATCGCGTCCAACATGGTGTTGCCATTGTCTTGTCATGCATTGAAGCGCTCGCGAAGGGACTCCGGCGCGAACTGCTGAATTAGGAGAGGATGTCCTTCCCAACCATTCTGTCCCCTCATCCTTTGCGGCGAGACCCGGGCTCTCAAACTTGTTTTGAACCTGGCTCTTCGCGTAGATCAAACATTAATATCCGGGTACTATAACTGCGGCGTCCGTGTCGTATTTGGAGTTTTAAGGTAATTCTCCGTTAGTTCTAGAAGAAAAAAAATGAAGACCCCAAAGGCTTCAATAATCCTTCTGTTGCTTAGCGATGGCTTATTGGACACTTTTCCCTCACCATTTTATAACGGGCGAATGACTTCTATAGCCAAGACAGCTAGCGAATGTGCAAGAAAATGATTCGCTAATCATGCATGAGGATGTGGTCACACGCACGCAGTCACAGGAATGAATCGCTACACCTGGTGACGTCCGGTAAGGAGCATGACCCCGAATCGGAAACCTTTTTTTCCTTCTTTTACCTCGTTTCTTTTCCGTCAACGTGTCCACAGCCGATTGTCTCAGGGATCGTCTTTTCCCCGAAACAAGTGGGCTGTTTACCGTTTCTTTTTTTTTCCTCCTCCTCCTTCTCGGTAAGAGAGCGAAAGCCAAAATCTATGACACCAGCTGCACCGTGCGCGCATGCGTCGCGGGGCACTCTGACGCGCATTTTACGGCGGCCACGCGGTCGGCGCTGATGAATACTAGAAACGAAGGGGCACAAGTGAAGAAAAAAAAGAGGGAAGAAAAAAAGGCCAAAGAAGCGGTGAAAAGGGCCGTTCGGAACGTTTCCCGACTACACCCGGCCGGCTGGGGCGCACCATGACCGGCCGCGGGCGTCCCGGCTTGTGGGAACTTTACACCAGCTTTGTGGGTACATTCTTAGTCTGTGGATCATTCGGGGACAACAATGACGGAACGAGCACGACATTTTTTTCAACAGAAATACAGCGCTTAGGGGGAGGGGCCGCTTATACATCACGATCTTGTGGACCGGTGACTTGGGGATCCTCCCAACACGCCACTCTCACAGCTGAAAGTACGCGTGGAGACCAAATTTCCTTTTTTTTTCTCGCCCCTCCACCACCTGACGTGTTGGTGGCGGCGGCACTCATTGCCGTCGTGGGGCGCTGCCTCTAGTTTGACGCCTAGGGAGGCAGGCCGTAGCAGCTTAGACTTCTGGCTCGAACGCTCCTCCTAGCTTCTAGCCGACTACTCTGCCTCTATGTTCACTCGGAATGAGCGATTATAGCGACCTTAATGGCCGCATTGTGTAGCACTGTGGTCCCTGATACTGGCGGCTGTCTTTATCGTCCCGCGCTTGCCAGTGTAGTGAGGCAGCCTCCCTAGATTATCACCCCCAGTCCTACGCAGACTCTACTAGCGACCCAAACAACCCGAACGCTCGAAGTGTTCGGAATCGATTTTGCGAAAAGATCGAAGCTAGTTGGTCGATTCGGTTGATGAGTGTTGTCAGGCGGACTGGTTGTTCGGCTGGATGGTTGATTCGATCGGTCGGTTCGCTGGTATTCGGCTTGCCTACTCGTTGTTAGAGGATAAGAAGGCCTCGCTGACAGCAGTGTAGCGATTGTGCTGTGAGATATTGCACATGCATCCCACCCTGGTGCTGAGGGTTGTCGAGGGGCTGCAGACACAGGAGCGACGGAGTTCATGAGCTGCGGATCACCAGGGCAGCAGTGAAGTAACAGCCATGAGATTCGGAATGCAATCTGCAGGGGGCGCTTATATACAGGTCTCCATGGCCTGTGCGTCTGTAACGTGCAATATACTTTGATACAAAACTTGAGAATTCATCACTAACGCTTTGCATACGCGTATAGACAACACTGGTTTCCTAGTTCTTTACTTGAAAACTTTTACCTACAGTGAATTACCCCAGGCGTTACCGGCCAAGTCTCCTACTAATCATGCATGAACTTGGCAATCCATGATCGCTGCTGACAAGCGCAGTCAGACCCGCTTTCTCGAACGTGCATACGCGGCTTGGACGATGAATATCCCGAACTCCGGTAGCGATTGGTCACTGTCTTATCAGTGTCAAAGTTTAATAGATTATGTCTCACGCTCCTGAAGAGCATTCAGAGTCAGAGGCGCGCTCTATCTAACACAGCCAGAGAAAAATATCAGAACCCAGAAAGATTAAATTTAGACATTCATTTGTAAGACGCCTTCGAGAACTGAGAGTAGCGCCGAGATGTCTGAAGAGACACGAAAATGACATACAAGACTAACTGAACCCAAACGCCTAACAGAAGCATCTGCACAATGACATCAGTAAAACACCCAGAACAGCGCCTTCGGCGGGAATGAAGTTGTGAGCGTGGGATTCGGCAAGACATTGCCCTCCAGAGGCAGTATTGAAGCGAGCCATAAAATCTATTCGCGAGTTCTAAGTGTCGTTTGCAAGGCTCAGCCTTACCCACTACGCCACGCCGCTTAACGTAGGCCTCCTCGAGGGCAGAATAGTACTGGAGGGAACCAAATTGTTGAGATTAATGTGGCGTGATCAGTTAACATACCGGTCCTTCACATTATTACACAGTGCTCCTAAGGCTCCTGGCACCTTCAGTGACAAAAATCATGATCGGTACCGGAGAAGCATGACAGGCCTAAAGTCTGTCTTGAACAGCACAGGGAGAATAAAAGAACGGTAGTCCTCCTCTCAGCAGCGTATTAGATAAAATGATAGACCATCCGTGAGTTCCACAATACTCGCCTCTTCTGTTTGTTATTTACTACCACTCCATTTGCCATTTACTAGTCGTTAGTTATCTGTCGGCATATACACTCTACCTGATAGGTATTTTATAAATCATCTTGCGCAACTTCTTCACGAAATCAAAGATCTTCGATATGTACTGGCTATCAGAAGGTCAGTAAGGAACCACTAGCTGTGCGACGACATCTCAACACTGGGAAAGGCAGCCAAGTTGTTTCAAATCAAAATTACGAACCTCTATGAAAGTCGGATCAAGTGAACAAAACATATTGTATCCTTGTTACCAGAGAGCAGCCGCAGCTAGCGTAAGAAAGTATGAGTACCAAAGACTCGATACAGTAAGCTCATACAGCCGAGCATCATAGTGATGCTCACACACTAAATCTTCTTTATCTTGGCATGAAAAGAAGCGCGAATTGTTACAGGGAGCTCTGCGCGGTCATGACAATACGACATGCATTGCGCGCTGTATGTGGAAGATTGCAATGGTCGAGAGCACTTCTTCGAGGAAAAAAAAAAAAAAAGCATCGGAGAGGAGACGGATGCGGCGCGTGTATTTTCGGTCCCGAGCGGGGAGTTCTCCCGGATCGCCATCGTTAATCTCTTTTGGTAAAGCAAACTTCTCGATAGTCTTTTTCTAGAAGATGGGAGAGAGAATGACATTTTCAAGCTTTTATGCCCAGCCAACGTATCCAAGGCTTAGACCAACGTCACTTTCACGTCAAATCGCATCTTTAAAATCCTGCACGTAGAGCTTCTTTTTGACATTACTATTTAAGCATTACATCCATATCATCATCATCGGCCAGAGTCTGAACGAAACACTAGCCTTCAAGACGTAGGCCCACCGCCTCACAAAACCTCTTGCTCCTGCTGCACGCTGCCGTACCCACCCTCGTAATAATCCGCCGGCACGTTCTCGACGCCCGCGGCCTCGCGCCCCTCGGTCGGCAGCCGCGGCCACGACTCGATGACGGTTCCCGCGTCGTCGCCGGTCAGCGTGAAGTTGACGCTGGCCAGCGGCTGGTCGGGGACGTCGATGAGAACAGCGTAGTCACCGGGATACAGGACCTTGTCGCCGTTCTCGTCGACGCGCGCGAGGCTGCCGAGCGTCAGGTTGAGCGCGGCAGTTTGGGAAGTTCCGGCCGCGATGCCGTGAAGGCGGTCGTAGGCGACGAGAGAAGACTTGGGACGCGGGAGCGGGCCGAAGGAGCCGGTCAGGAAGGCGAGGGCGACGTAGTCGCTGTCGACGGCGCCGGTGTTGGTGACGGCGACGGCGAGGGAGGTGAAGGGGCAGAGGTCGAGCTTGGCGGTGCTGTTGGTGCCGCAGGACGACACCAAGTCGGCGATGGCGAAGGACTTGCCGTCGGGGCCCGACGTGACCTCAGCGGAGAAGTTGGTGTAGTGCAGGCCGAAGCCGAAGGGGAAGACGGCGGTGCCGTTGTACCACTTGTAGGTGCGGCCGGCGCTGGTGTCGGACGGCCGCAGCGCCATGTCGGTCATGGGCACCTCGCGCGTGAAGCGCGCCGGGTACTGCGTCACGGGCAGGCGGCCCGCGGGAGCGACGGCGCCGGTGATGACGTCGAAGAGGGCGACGCCGCCGTCCTGGCCCGGGTAGCCGGCCCAGAGCAGCGCCGAGACGTTGGCGTTGGCGACCAGCGGCGTCGAGTCGAGCTGGCCCGCGCCCATCTGCACCACGATGACGGGCTTGCCGTACGTCGCCAGCTGCGTGATCATGTCCAGCTGTGGCCCCGACCACGCGATGGCGACGCGGTCTAGCTCCTCGCTCTCGACGTCGTTGTCGATGCCGCCGACCACGATGATGACGTCGGACTTCGCGGCCGCCTCGTACTCTGCGCCCCAGTCGTCCGTCGTCGGGTTGCCCTGGCTCGCGCCCTCGGCGTAGTTGACCGTCACGCCGAGCTGCTGGGCGGCGTACAGGGGCGAGTGCAGGTAGGGCGGGATGCCGTAGTAGTTGCCTTGCATCTGCTCCGTGGCGTTGGCCCACGAGCCGATCAGCGCGATGGATGAGACGCCATCCAGGGAGAGGGGCAGCAGGCCGTCGTTCTTGAGGAGAACGATGCCCTCCTGAGCGGCCTTGAGCGCCAGGTCCTGAGCGTGCTGCGTGTTGACGTCCGACCAGCCGATCTGGCGGTAAGGCTGGTCTTCGGCGGCGTCGAAGTATCCGAGCTTGACGAGGGAGGCGAATGTCCTTCAACATGTGTTAGTTAGTATACTTCAAATAACTTGGTCTTCAAGGGGCATCTTACCGAGTCAAGGCTCTGTTGATGTCAGTGTCGTTAATCAAGCCTTGGTCATACGCTCCAGGGAGGTATCTCTGGTAGTAAGTGCCGCAGTTGAGATCTACAAAAGACAGTCAGAGGTGAAATGTCCGCAGGGGTCATGGTAACTTACCCGTTCCGGCCTTGAGGGAGTCCGCGACGGCTTCCTCGCGAGTGGCACCCCACTCGTGCGGGAGGTAGACGTTCTGGATGGCGTCGCAGTCACTGACAACCCACTGGTCCTCCTGATCCCATCCCCAGTGTTCGCGCAGCACCGTTTGCAGGAGCCAGGGGTCGGCACAGGTCGGCACACCGTTGACGGCGTTGTAGGAACACATAAAGGCTCCAACCTTGGCCTCCCTGGCACATGCCTGGAAAGGAGGCATGTAGTACTCAACCATATCCTGCATGCTGATCTTTGCGTCGAACTGGTATCGGAAGTTTCCATTCCCTGCAAGTGGAAAAGTTAGCGAACACTTCTTTCCCGTTGTCATTTCTCGCCATTCACTTACAATTCTCCAGGTCGTAGCCGGTGAAGTGCTTGCAAGTTGCCACAATCTTCTTGTATGGGTCGTCTTGGTTGCCCTCAAGACCGTGGATGAGGTGTTGGACATAGCTGGCAAGGTGGAAGGGGTCCTCGCCAGGTGTTTCTGTAACCAGGGGTCAGCCAATCAGGTACCTTAAATGCCCCGGGATGCAAGATATCCTTCATGCCAGATCTGAGACCTGCAGGGGTAACTTCTGCGGCTCAAGCTGCAAGAGAGAAAAATTACCTTGTCCGCGGCCCCATCTCGGGTCTTTGTAGGGGTTGATATTGGGAGTCTGGAGGTGAATTGTCAACCAACACGTTCACAAATTACACTGCAATCCAAAGCAGTAGGCTTTGGATGAAGAGAAACTCACCCAGTAGTCCAAACCAGAGCGTCCACCGTTGCTGAAGGCCCTTGCCTCGGTACTGATGACGCTCGCTACGTCGTAAATCAACTGGTCATCAAACGCGGCGCCCATAAGGATAGGCTGCGGGAAAGACGTGGCGTAAGAAAAGTTCCCTGAGTCGGTCATGGGCTTGCCAGGGAGAGTGAAGGCCACTCCGTGGAGAGCTGGAAGAAGAGTTTAGCTCATTGGCCTTCGTGAGAGGAAAATAGGCACAGACCTTCGTTCCACCATTGGTAGGCAGGAATGCCGAGGCGGGGCACACCGGGGCTGGTGTTGCCGGTGTTGTTGAACTTCTCCTCGAGAGTGAGCTCATTGACGAGGGCTGCGGCTCTGTCGCGGGGAGCTGCATGGAAAAGTTCGCGTGAGCTTGGAAGTCAAAGAGTGCCGGGACATGGACGTACAGGCAGAGCTGTCACAGACTAGGTTGTCCTTCAGGGGGCCATTGGCGCAGTCCGGGAAACCGAAAGTGGTGAGCTCCACAGCCAGAGCTTGAGCAGCCAAAGCCGCGACACCTGCAATGCTCGTCCGCAACGACATGATTGCCAGAGAGAAGGGGGAGAAAAGGCGTGAGCAAGCAGGAGTAAGAGCCGCGCAAGGCGACTTAAGTATGGATTCCGTTCTCGGATGTAGGGTGACATCTCCGCACGTACGACATTGAATCGCGTACACCGCTTTGGAGAGTGTGGAGTAGCAAGGTTGTGGCTGCGGGGTCGGTTCATCTCCGGGTAGTGAGTGCCGAACGCCTCCGATTCGGCCAAAAAGGGCTGTGATGCGGCTCGGAATGCGAGATTGTTGCGCTAGCCATTCTGCCTGAATACTTCCCGAAGTTAGCAGCCGTCGTGCAGGGCGCCGTGGCTGTTGGCCATGTCGATCATCCGGTGTGTCGAGGGGAGCGTTGCGGATGGGATGACGATGTTGTTCTCGTCCCGCGGTTTCGCCGCTACTTTAGCCGTCCGTTTTAGCCGCCAGCCTCACCTCCTCCGACATCACCTCCATCGTGCGCTCATCACTTGATTGCTGATTCAGTTTTAGTGGAGATGACCAAGCTGCTGCACCGACATCGAAATTCTTGTATCTACACCTGACTACCCGCCCGGTCCTCAGCCAGAACCAATCTCTCCCGTCACGCAACCCTGGCCTGTTCCTTTCAACCCGTTTCCGCCGTCTCCGAAGTAGCTCGTACGAACGCGCACGGGGATTAGGCAGCTGCAGTCCGAATCAGTTCGTCCCTCACGACCACTCTACTTCCTCACCGGCGGCGTAGGGAAGCCCGAGGGGAAAGTACCGTTAGGAGGCGGACCGCCAGGGCCGCCCGAGTTCTCGTTGGCGACGCAGCCCTCAGCGTAGCAAGATGCCGCCGCGCTGACCGTCTTGCTGATGGTCGTGTCGATGCCGAAGCTGATCCACGAGAAGACGCCCTCCTCGATCGTGTCGCCCAGAAGGACGTACGACACGACCGGGTCGCTGGTCGCCGACTCCTGCTCCATGATGCCGTCGTTCACGTTGAGCATCTATCAAGCTTGTGTCAGCGTTGTGCTCCACTGTCCGGACTAGTAGCCGCCCTACCTGCTCCTGAGTGTTGTCCACGTACGGCGACGCCGTCTCAACGAGGTCAATCAGATCCTGGTCGAAGAAGAGCTGGCCGACATGCGAGATCTGGCCCGACGTGATGGTGCCGTTGTCCAGCTGCTCCGCGCTCAGGTGAGACATGACTACACTACTGTCAGCAAGTGTTTTATTTATGCTTAATTTGCTTTGTTTTACCGTGAATGTGGTTGGTCCTTCCCTATATCATTCAGTCAGCGGCAGGCCCAATATACATCCGTCTTTGGATCTCTTACAGTGTAGTGACCAGGGAAGATGGTGAGGAAGTCGATGACCCTGCAGCGCTCAACTATCAGTACCAGCCTTCATCTACGCACAGGCTTGCTTACCCGTCGGCATCGCTGAACTGGATACCACGGAGCGCCTTGTTCTGGAGGTTGGACTCGTCGGCAGTGTTGCCGTTGCCGCCAGCGACCACGCCAGAGTAGACGCCCGTGGAGTTGCAGGCCCAGAAGTCAAGCGCCACGCCCTCGAGCGGCTCGCAAGTCTCCGTGTCCAGGATCATGACGTCAACGTAGAGCTCACTGTTTGTCCAGCCGTCAGCCATAGACTTCTTCCCACGTCGGACAGGGATACTCACACGCCAGGCTCGCTCTCAGTCATGTCGGTGCGGACCGTCTCGCCACTGACGTAGTACGGGCCCTCGGTAACCTCAGGAGACAGGACGCAAGACGGCATGTCGCCGAAGAAGACGGACGGGTCAGTCTCGGGAGTGATGCCGGTGAGGTTGGACTCGTGGTCGGTGTTGAGAACCTCGTCGAAGTCGCGGGCCTTCAGCAGAGACCTCTTCTTGATGCCACGCTTCTCGCGGATCTGGTCGAGCTTGTTCTGGCGGCGCTCAACAACCTTGTCCATGGTGCCGCGAGCCTTGAGCACATCGGCGCAGTGCGAGAGCGAGGTGCGCTTGGCGTTGGCCATGTACTCGGCGCGAGACTTCATCTCGGTCGTGCCATGGTGGCCGGGGTGGGCGAGGACGCCGCCAGCGAAGAGGCTCACAGCCAGGGAAACGAGGGAGGCAGAGATCTTGACCATGGTGGCTGAAGAGCAGCGAAGTCGTCGGGGTGGTGAAGAGAAGGGAATGAGTGGATGGTGGTGTCACAACAAGAATGCCTTGGGGCAGCAGCTTTATACCTACCACAACATCTCGCCCTGCAGAAGAAGCACCTCTACATCCAACTTCACCGTCACCTCGCAGAGAACCAGTGCCAAGCGATGAGATTGCTCGCCACGTACGCTCCGTCTCCGCAAATTGGCGGCAGATTCACCTTAGCGGCGGCAAAGCAGAACGCCAAGTGTAGCAACCATTCTGTTCGAGGCAGGCGGAAGTTCGATCATGGTGTCGCTATGGCAGCACAACCCTTGCGGCTGCCTCAAGCTTCCTGTCCGGCGGCTTGGCGAACCAGGCACAGCGGCATTGCTGTATCATCACCCGCCACGGACCGCCCTGCAACTCCCGAAACTCTCCACAACCTGCATTGAAACACAGCACCGCTAATTGGACGGCCACACACTCGCAGCTACTGATAAACAACGAGTTTCGGAGCGTTAGGCCGGATGAAGCGCTAGGGTGATGCGCAATGCTTGGCAACTCCCTTACCGGCACTGCTCCCCCGCAGCCCGGATCTCCGCCAAGCAAAAGTCGTCGTCAGCACCTTAACAGCACTCCCAGTTGGCTGGCTTATTGCATGTGCCAGAACTCCACCGCTCCTATGTCTCGACCCCTCGCTCGGCCCGGTGCAAATGAAACCCTCCGCCAAGCCGCTCTTCAACTGAGCGCTTCCGACGGAGAAAAGTTGGAAACATGGTTTGAATCATAGATCTTCCTTTTAGCCAGCCAGTCGTACAAAGTGCTTGTCCGATGCTTGTGTGACGGGCTTACGCAGCGCCCAGACCCGCGGCTTCCTTCGCCGCATGAGCTTGGTTCCTGCGCTGTCTTGCATACACGGAGACTTTCCGCGTTATCTACCCTTCCTCAAACCGGTAAGACTGGGGCGTTGAGTAGCAAGCATACTTAGGCGACATGACATAGGCGAATTGGGTCCACGATGATTGGCCCCGCTCTGTTAATGTATCCCTCCTTCAACCGCCCACTGCTCCACCAGTAATAGCGCACATATTTCCTCACATGTTTACTCGCGCAGCACCACCAGAAGCTACCGCAACCCGTCAAACCGCCTGGCTGGGCGTGTCTCCTGTGCTTGGTGGGGCCGAAAATGCATCTTACACCAAAGTGGCAGCTTGAAACGCACCTTTGCTTTGCCTCGGACCTCGCCTGAGCTTGCATCCAGCACAGATCCCTCCTCGCTGCTCATTTTGCCCCCTCAGGAGATACTATCCTAGACTATAGCGGAAGGCAAAGTGCCGTCTACACTAACGTGTCCCGGGCCGGGCGGCAGAGATCTATAGAAGAAGGGTTACCAAGGAGGTGCTCGCTTACAAGGCTGACGCGTTCACCAACACCCCTGCAAGACGAAACCAAAAAAACACACGCCACTGTGCAAATGATCTCATCCGGCCACTGGTTTCTTTGCTACATTCAGGCCGCTGTGCAAGCATCATGGTCCAACTGTCAACAAGAAGAAATCATGGAATCAGGGTGCCTCGAAACGTCTTTTGCCACACTCAACTGATTTATTGATAATTCAGACAGCCAATGCGCTTTACGACAGCACTGGCTTTTCTCAGCCGCAGATGTCGTGCTCTTGGTGCATGCTTACATCTACGTAAAGGCCCAAGCACGATAATGGATACCAACATCTCTCACTACCTTCCTATCCTGCAACGCCGGAGTCCCTATCCGGCAACATAGTGGATCCAGTTTCTTTCCTGGACTCCCTACGGCAATCATATGTGTACTGCATCCGAGACCTGAGACGGTGGGTATCTGACCGCATGTTGATGGGCTTTGGTGGAGGACGATACGGCGAAGTACGAAGAGTGTACAACGCAGCTTCCTGAAAGGATACATCAGTGCTTTGATCTTCGGCGGTCTCGAACAGTAAGCGCCTGCGATATTCTTGGCGCCATGATAGACCGGAGTAGGCTGTCAACGTAGCACGCGTTGGACCGCTTCGATATTGGAACAAGCAAGAGACGCAAACATGAACATTCTCATTGCCAGCAATGGACTTGAGCCATCTGCTTCGAGAATTCGTGACACTGAGTTCAGCGCAGTGCACTTCTCACATGCGCCGACCGTGCGGATCAGAGCTCAAAGCGTCCATGTGAGAGCTCGGAGCTCGGACTTTTCTACTCTTTATTAATGCCTGTCCTCCCACCCTCTGGGTTCTTCTCTCGCCGACAACTACATTACTCACGGTGAAAAGTTTTCGGACGCAGGTCGAGTTCTACTTTGGGTGGAGGTTTCTGCTGCTGGAAGCAGTCATGCCCGACTCGCTCGTACTCTTTCCCCGTACTTTTGATAGCGGTTGGATATAGAATGCATTAATAGTCAGATTTAATGTACGCAGCATTGAAACATAATGCGACAGCGCAAAAACATAATTTTCCTATGAGCCGCAGTTTTACACTGATTCTAACCTATTATGTCGAGATAGAATCTAGAGAGTTTGGCCGAGAAAGGAGAGAGATGCAAAACTCCATCGTTGCTCGACCGAAAGGTGCAAACACCATAGGCACAGAACGATTCTTTTCTCCCTTTCCTTTTTTTTTTTTAGAGAATGGATCTCGCGTTGAACGTGTTGGAGCTTTCATGAGCCGCAATCGGGATACAGCTGATGGAGGCGAATGATCCAAATGGCCCCTGCTTCCAATGCCACCGTGTACTGACGTCACTACATCTGATCGCGCCGCCTTTTGAGCGCTTAATTACGTGCAACTCTATCCTCATCTCTCCATTTTAACCGCGGCCGCATGAGATGCCACCTATCGCAGCGTTCTCCGCAGCCATGCGCAGCAGCACCATCACCTGAGACGAAATTCGCGGGCTTCCCGCCGTACCACCAATTCGATGGAGTTCTAAAGATAAAAACGTACCAGCTCCAACGACGCTTCCATTCTACAAGCTCGGCAGCTAAACGAGGGGGGAAGACCGCCTCGCCCTCACTTTGCCTGGCGTTTTGGTGCGGTGGGAGAAGATGTCTTCGGTGACTTTGGGTTCGTTGCTAAAGTCGACCGCCGAGGTCTCCCCCAAGTATTTAGAAATATTGAATGGTGATCTGTCCGAAATAAAGCTGTTGAACCTGCGCATTATCCTATAATAGTGGGTATAATCTAGGATGAAAATGCGGAAATCTAGTTTAACATAGCATCATCTCTCGGATTTGATGATTCACGGCTGAGAAAGCAAAGTTTCTTGCGATTAATAGTCGGATATCTATTTTGATAAAGTCCATCATCATTTCATTTCTCCGCCAATCTCTAGAGTATAAGCGAAGACAATATGTGCGGATATAAAGTAATGGCGAAGATTTTTTTCTTGACCAGTCGGTGGAAAAGACTATCAATATTGTCCTAATTAATTAATATGTTGTCGATAACGCGAACGCATCCTCAGCGGAAACATGCGTATAGCGCTCTACGGATGTCAGGTCAAGTATGAGATCACGGGAGAAAATTCTATAAAGAGTTCTATTGGACTACTTAAAATGTCCCGTAGCGGTTCTTCCCCGCGAGACCGCCTTTGTATAAGGCGCATTTTAGCCGTGGATATAGAAAGAGGAGTAAAGGAGGTGCAGGTATCGATAGGCAAAGGCCTACACCTAACAACTTCCCGATGAACGGCCAATATAAACACCATGGTGGGAACAGGCGTTGAGAAGATCCAAATGGAAAATATCTCCAGTGCCATCCAAGTCCCCAAAACAGACCCCGCTAACCGATTATCAACCCAATTTTCCCAGCCTTAAACGCCGCCTCAAAGGTATTGAAGAAGAACAGAGTATAGAGCAGGAGTCGGAGCATCGTTCCCGGCTTGGAACTTGAGGGATGTGGATGAGGAACGCATGCTGTACGTGCTCCAAAGCAGCAGTTCTGCGGTACACACACGGCACACAGGCTCAGACCTCCTCGGCCCAGTCAGACACGTCCGAGTCGTCCTCGAAGTCATATGGCTGCAGAGCGTCGTCGTCATCGCCAGAGTCCTCGAGCTTGATGGGAGCAAGCACCGACGTACCGCGGCGAGGAGTAGGGCGCACACTGCCACCACCAGGCGTGACGGACAGGCGAGCCAGGCCGGCGGTCGGCTCCATGCTGACCGGAGTCCTGGCAGCGAAAGCTTGTGCGTTGGCCGAGAGAGAGCGCTGGGCAGTGGTGGCAGCAACGGCCGGAGCAGCGCTGGGACGAGCGGAGGCAGCAGTCGGGGCGCGCGACGGAGGAGCCTGAACGCTGCCGAAGGTGCGGGGAGGGGATGTCTCGCTGGTCGGCATGACGGTGGAGGCGACGGTGCTGTGGCGCGCGGCCATGACGGGAGCAGGTGCCTGACGCGGGGTGGGCGAGGTGCGGTTGGCGATGCCGAGCTCCCTCAGCTCCTGGCGGCTGATGGTGCGGTCGTCGTCGTCGACGCGGCGCCTCTTGTTCGAGGGAGTGCTGGCGCCGCCGCCGCTGACCGGGGGCCTCACCGGCTTCGGCTTCGAAGGTGTGGAGTTGACGCTGCGCGGCTTGACGACGGCGGCGGCGGAGCCGTTCGAGCTGGCGGAAACTAGCTTCCTCATCTTGATGAGACGCTCGGAGATGGCGCGAGGAGTAGGCTTCTCGCCCTGGTCATCAGCTGTTCAAGTGGTTAGCTTTGAGTAGCGAAGTGAGCTGAGGTCCGAAGTAACTTACGCCAGGCTTGAGCAATGGCGCCGTAGTTGATCGAGATGTTGTGTGTCTTGAGAAGCATCATGAACATCTATATCGGATTGATCAGTCTTTGACTTGATAGGATGAAGGCTGAAATTGAGGCACTCACGAGCTGGTCTTTATCGGGGGTCCACTTCATAGGCATATTGGCGGCGATGTGGTTGTCGTTGGCGTTGGAGAAGTTGCAAAGTCGAAGCTGTAGATCGGAACGAGAAGACGAATGTGCAGTGGTGGAAGGATGGTGGAGGAAGAGGAGCGTAGAGGGTAGGAAATTTAAGGCCTAAGGTAGCCAATGCACGAGGGGAAGAGAGACGCGCTGGCGTGAAGCAGACAGCTCGGCCGCAACGTCAACGCATGCGCGTGGAGATGTGCAGGCAAAGTAGGCAGAGCTTCACGCAGGCCCGTAACGGCGCCGAAAAGCGACGGAACAGCAGCGAGCTCAGCCCGCGTCCGAGCGTTGGATGCGAGCACTCTACGCGGGTCGCGTCAAAGGGCACGGGAAGAGGCCGGCGGGCAACGAGATACGCGTTATCGCGTCGAGGAAACACGGCCTCGTCTAACTCCGTAGGCGGGGATGAGATGCACAGCCAGAATTAAGCAAAGCGGCCGCTGAACTTCGATGCAGGCCAATCGTCAACAAGACATGATGGCTCGGCGTCATGGCGATGAATGCTCAGCCAAGGTTCCCTACCTATCTCCAGCGCCAGTTGTCCCCACTCCGGCCGGGGTTGTTCGTAGCTAACGGTACTCGCGTGGCGGTTTACGGACGTCCACGGAGAGAGCGCCCGCCCTGCCGAACACCGCCATCCAAACGAACACTTTTTTCGCCCCTCTTGCTAGGAATAAATTCAAAAAAGCTGTACAATACTTGAAAGAGCTTCAGAAATCCCAGTCACCTAATTTTTTGGGCGTATTGACGGCTTTCACGCGCTCAATGGATGATCAAAATGCAGGAGAATACATGGTGCGGATGGCCGGCGCGGAAAGTGTCGTAAAGCCCCACGCTGGCACCGCATCGCGCCATTTCTCCGCACACGCAACCAGCTCCGCAAGCGTACCTGGATCTCCCAAGACAAGCCGTGACGAGCCAATGGGATGCGGACAGCATGTAGCACAAGGAAGCGCGCCGTGTACCGCGGGCAAGGACAGGGCCAGCTGCAAGCTCTTTAGCGTTTCGGGCGTGGTGCGACGCGACGCGTGAAATGCGCGCTGCCGCGTCTGAATGCCACCTGTCGCCGTGCGCCGCTCCAGCCGGGCTCCCTTCACAACGCTGCACTCCCGCGCCAGCAAGATTTGGCGGTGCCAGGGCTTTTAGTCTGTATCGCGATACAGAAGTGTGCGTGAACCAGAGTCAAGGGGCACAGCTGCCTGCCGCACGGACATGTAGCCTTCCAGCCACCTGCACGCGTCGAACATCTTGCCCTTGGTGGATCGCCCTCATTTCACCTGGAATCTTGCGCCCGTCAGCGCATCGCACGTTTCTTTTGATCCTGCCGTGTCCCCGTGGCCTACCATTGGTCGTGGTTGAATACCTGCCCCTCTCCCTCATGCTCTACATCATTTACAATTAATTAACTCATGATTATACTGCTGTGTTGTTCTTAGAACATGGGGCGTGAAAATATAGTTAAGCTAAACATTTAACCATTAAGAACGAGGAAGTCTGCTGCGACATTAAGACTATGATTATATTCGAGAATAATCGAGCACATTTCGCACCTAGCTGATACTGAATCTGATTTTCTTTATCATTGAAGATGGCTACATTAACAATGGTCCATCACTAATTCATGGCGCTTTAGAGGAAATTCTATCCATGAAATCCATGTTTCCGGCGTGATCATGCGCCACTTTCACTGAAAGCCAAACCCGTTCCCAAATCATGCCATCCGAGGTGATCCAGCTTATGAACCGGATCCCAGTATCCCAGATATTCCCCATAGCACGCCAGAACACCATCTACACGCTAAAGTAGACTATTGAGCCAAAGAGAAAATAACATGAGAACCACAGCCCCGTCACTGAAAGAGGCCGTGTCAAGTCAATCCAGAAGCCGTTCCGCTACGCCTTGGACAGTAGCATCACTGCTTTGTGCTTGGAGCTCAAACGCTCTCGGTGTCGAAGCTGTTGAAGAAATCTTCGTTGTCACCGTACAGGAACGAGCTGGAGTGCTGGAAAGCCTCCGCAGCATGCGAGGGCTGCTGCTGCTCGGTGCCCTCGTGGTCGTCACTGTTGAGAGAAGTCGGAGTCTGCGGCTCCTGCTTGAACTTGGAGGTGGTAGGCCTGCGCTGCTTCTTGGAGGGCGACTTCTCGACGCGGCCCGATGCAACAGCTGTGGTGAGGTTTGTCAGTTTATCAGCATTTCCCGAGAGACCGGTGTTCGCGGCTTACAGTGTTCGCCGTTCGGCTTGGCCTTAGGCTTGCGCGGAGTACTGTTGGCGCTCTTGACCCTGGTGGTCGGCATCTGGCGACCCTCATCCTCGGCTTCCTTCTTCAAGTCGTTCGCCATGCGCTTGGCGATGCGAAAGCGGCCTTCGATCGAATCATAGGTCGCGCCCTGACCGAAGAAGTAGGCCACCTTCTTGTAGTCAATCTGAATGACCAGTTAGTGTGGATACTTGGAGAGGGGACTCTTCGAGCGTACGCTGTTGTCGCTAGCAGCCACAAGCGCGGCGAGCAGGCGCTGGTAGCTCTCCTGGGATTTCCAGTCGATGGGCATTGTGATGGTCAAGCTGGAGAGTTGTGTGCAAATTGGAATTTGAGTGGATGGAAGAGTGGAAGGGCAGAGATGGTTCGAGATTAGTGGAGGAAACTTGGTTGGGTGTGCCTCGAGGAGAGCAGCTGTGGAAAGATATACGGCGTACTCGGCGCGCCCCCTGTCAGTTGGAGGGGCAACATGAGCAGCCCCGATAACATGCCCGTCCCGCGTTGAGTCACTAACGCGCGACGCGAGGGAACGCGTCGCGGGGACGATGTAAAGTGCTTGCAGCACCGCACACCGCCAGAGCAGGGCGAGCAGGACCTGCGTGCCTCAAGCAAGACTGGCTCATTATAAGGCAAGGATTAGCGTTCAGCTGTCTCCACGCATGTTACACCCGGCATTGGCTGCTTCGAGCGCCTGCCAATACCAATTGACTCTTACATTGCAAGATGCTTTAATTGATACGACTGGTCATTAGCGGCAGTAATGCGGGAGGCAAGACACCTGGAAATGCGGAAGATAGAGGTATTTTCTATGGTTTTGCATGCACGCTTGGCAGGGACGTCGGTGGTCATTTCGCTTGCGACCGACCCGACGACTCCCGTCCTGCGTCATCGCCACCCGCTTCAGTCCGCAGCCTTTCTTTGAACTTTGACTGCTTGTTCCCGAACCAGCCTACCCCACCCACTTACTCACTGTCTGGAGATATTTCCAGAACACCGGCGAGCCAGCAGACTGCGCCGTGATAGCACAGATACTGGTCCCGCTCCTTGCGCGTCGCCCGTCATGTCGTCCTCCGCCCGCCGTCCAACTCCGCCTCTGCAATCAAACAAGCCTGGCAACGCTGCTCTGAACCCAGAGCAAGTGCGCCAGCTCGAAATAAGCCGACTAAAAGCCAAAGCCCTCCGCGCTCAAGCCGACGCAGAAACCGCTGCCGCTCCAGCGTCCAGCACCAGCAGCGCTCACGCCGGCCAAAAGCGGCCGCACTCTGCCATAAGCACCACAACGCGCTCGCGCAACCACCGCGATGGTACTTCCGCAACTGCTGGCACGGCTGGCAAGATCGCGGCCGCGATGATGACGGCACCGTCGGACAACGCGTACGTGCGGCCGGCCAAGAAGTTCGAGAAGAGCAGCTACATCGAGTACGACCTGTCGGCCATGACGGACACGAAGGGCGGCTTCCTCTCGACAACCGACGACCCGCACAACAAGGCGCTGAACTCGGGTCTCGCCGCCAACAAAGATGGCGAGGAGCAGAAGCCGGCGCATATGACGCTGGCCGAGTGGCAGCGCCACCAGCTACTCAAGAAGCTGCGCGCCACCAAAGCCGGGCCCTTCGAGCCGGGGCTCTCGGTGCTGGACGACAATAGTGCCGCGCGCAAGTGTCGGGAGTGCGGCTCGCGCGAGATCGATTTCCAGTGGCAGGAGGTGTTCGGCGTGGGCGTGTGCGCGGCGTGCAAGGAGCGGCTACCGGAGCGGTACAGCTTGCTAACCAAGACGGAGGCGCGCGAGGATTACTTGCTTACGGACCCGGAGCTGCGTGACGAGGAACTCTTCCCGCGCCTCGAGAAGCCGAATCCGCGCAGCGCGACGTATCACAGCATGCAGCTTTTCTTGCGGTGCCAGCTCGAGGAGTACGCCTTCTCTGCACGGAAGTGGGGGAGTACCGAGGTGCTGGATGCGGAGTTCGCGCGGCGCGAGGCGGATAAGAAGGACCGGAAGGAAAAGAAGTTCAAGAGTAAGCTGGAAGACTTGAAGAAAAGAACCCGCGTCGAGGCGTATAAGCGGAGCAGACAGGCAGGCGCGGCAGTGGGAGACGGCATCGGCTTGGATGGCTCGGGTGGCCGTCCGACAGCGCAATTCGGGGACAAGGTCTCCGGGAGGTTTGACCGGCATGAGCACGAATGGGGTCGAGCGGTAGAGGATCCGGAGACGGGCCTGGCGAAGAAAAGATGTATAGAGTGCGGGATGGAAGTCGAAGAGCTGGAATTCTGAGAGTGTGTGCTCTTAGCATAGATACCATGCCAGCATCGCCGAGCAACGGAACATGGCAAGGAGCACTGGAAGTACTCAGCGCTATTGTATGCTGTTGGCTGATAATCCAGTGGGCAGGTCCCAGTAAGCTATCACATGAATTGCCAGATGCGTTGACTGGTGGCTTGCTGCTTCATCATCCGGAGTGCGGTTTTTCCCGTACAGCCCCTAGTTGACGCATCACCCCCGCCACTGACGACACTAAGCCACCATAGCCGTGCTTGAAGATATTACCCGAAGTGTTGCTTGATTTCGTTGGAGAGCTCTTCTAGAGAATACTCCATCTAAGGTCGTCATTCTGACAGTATGTTCAATAACTACTGCAGACAGGACGTGTTCGACGACGGTAAGAGGGCTCTACAACTTCTGGGATGCAGGGGTCTGTGAATTCTTGAAATTTCGTCTAAACTGCCGGTTCGAATTCCTCAGCCTTGATCTCAATTTTCTCTAAGATGTCAACAAAGTCCTGTTCCACCTCAGTTCCACCCGTTCGCTTTCATCTGATTTATGATTACTGGGACCAGGTTCTTGCAGTCCTTTCGCAGGTCGAAGTTGGACAGAATGCTGCGATGTCGAGTATGGTTGATTAGGAACGGATAAACAACACACTCTGGATGGATATGGCTTCGATATCTGGTTGGAAGAAAAGAGACACAGGTATTGAACAGTGAAGCTGGAAGCTGGGATTCCGAAGTTGGTCACGACATCCACAATTTGCGGTCCGTTAGTATAACTCAAGCCCGGGGCCTTCTCACAGCTTGGGCTCATTGCAAAAATTTTCAGAAATCATGCAGCTACTTTTTGTTGGCATCAAGGTTGCGCAGCATCTAACTTGCGGAAGATAACCATGGCGAAAATAGCTTGATATCCCAACCTGCCGCTCCGTTGCATCATCGGTGCGGACGCCTACGAGAGTATTATCGCCGAGCTCAACAAATACTCAGAAAACTTAAAGGGTGCTCGGGATCTTGGCTGCGATATCGGCTTCGATTGGTATGAGAAATCAAGGGACAGGACAGGATGGTGATTCCCCGCAACATAAGAGTTGCTATAAGAGATCGGAAATGTATGACCATAGGAGGTACATTTAAGCTTCAAGTAGAAGCAATGGAATCTACAATCACATGGGACTGGGGAGGGCACCGGTAGGGTGGACCCAACGCGTCTCTAGTGCCGACGCCCCGCGTAATCCCGTGTCTGAGCGCGCAGGTCCCTATTGAACTCTCCAAACAAGTCCTCGTCGCCAACGCCGACATCTGAGATCCCCTCTCAAAGGCGTCTTCCCACGCCGTCGCATTGCGAATCATGCGAGACAAGGTCCATGCCGCCCTCGATCCATGCCCCGTCCGGAGAGACGGCCGCCCAGCCGTCTAGTAGCGACCCGCAGCGCGCCCGCAAGCGTCCCAAGATCCGCCGCACCACCTTTGCCTGCGCCCGTTGCCACCGCCGCAAGATCAAGTGCGATGGCCTGAAGCCTGCGTGTTCCAATTGCGTCCAGGCCAAGCAACCCTGCAATGGTATCCTCGACGGCGAGTCCAAGACGGTCATCCCCCGCAGCATCGCCCAGTACCTGCAGGAGAAGATCCGGGAAAAGGAGCAGCTGCTCAAGAAGTTGGGTGTAGACACCGACTCAGACAGCGCCCCTCCAGCCCTCAGTCTCCACGCCAGCAACGACGGCTTGACCGCCACCTCGCCCCCACTCGCCGACTCGCACCCAGCGGACGCTCACAAGCCAGGTTTCGACCTCGCGTCCGAGACCGCCCGCAGCTTTGGCGCCGGTCTCAGCAAACAGCTGCTGGTCTCGCAATCGCGTTTCCCCTATGGCACCTTCCTCTTTGCATCGTCGCACCTGCCCTCGGTGACCCCCGCTTCCGCCGACTACGATTCCCGCAGCGACTACTTCAAATCCAAGAACGGAACGAATCCTCTCGAGCAGATCCCCAAGGACGTCACTGAGCGCCTTGTCCGAAACTATGTCGAGAGGATCTCTCCACTCTACCCATACTTTGACCGGCAGGAACTGTGGGCGCGGTACAACAGGGTTGCAAATGCCCAACAGCATGGAGATAACTCGGCAAGCCAGCATGACATATTCGTTGTGGCCATGATGATCGCAATCAGCATCATGACCTCGAAATTCAGCGACTCCGCCAAGATTGCTCTGTCCAGCGAGCGCATCTTCCAGCACGCCCTTAGCCATTCTGACACTCTCTACGAGAGCTCCTTCCGCAGCCTACAAGGCACTCTGCTCCTCATTCAGTACTCATACCTCATGCCTCGGGCGGCAAGTCTGTGGGACATCGTAGGTCTGGCTATGAGAATGGCATTGGAGCTGGGGCTCCATCGGGACCCGGACGAACTCCCGGGCCACAGTCTCACCGAAGCGGAGATGGAGCTTCGCCGATGTGTTTTTTGGGTTCTCTACATCTTTGACCGCTCCATCTGCGCCACCAGCCATCGTCGTCTGGGCATCGCTGACGAGTCGATATCGACCAAGTATCCTTCCGGTTTGGACGGGACGTATTTTCTGCATAACATCCACTTTCGACGCATCCAGTCGGAACTTTGGACCGTCAACTACCTTCGCCGAGGATTGCCACTCCTCCAAGAGGGGGGAAGCTACGAAATTTGGGCGGACGACATAGAGCAGCGGATGCTGAGCTGGCGGAACGGGGTGACGGCCAAGAAATCTAGTAATCCGGAATGGTACGACGTTGCTGTTTGGCATGGCATCGTCTTCCTCCACCGGCCGTGCCCCCGGAATCCCTCCCCATCTGCCAAATCTCTTATCAAGTGCTTCGAGGCTGCGACTGAAGTAGCTGCGGGCTACTGGGAAAATGCTCACAGTGGATTTCTCAAATACAGCTGGCATGCTGTGCACCATGGGTTTGAAGCTGCCATTGCCATGCTCTACGCCATCAGGCACTGTAAGGAGGAATTGAAGGAGCGCCATGGCACCCGCAAGATCCTAGAGACGGTCCATCTCTTCTCTTCTCTGTTTGTCCTTATGAGTGAACGCTGGTCCCAGGCTCATGCGAGCTTAGAGTCATACGAGCGTTGCAAGGCGGTGGTGATGCGTGAGCTGATGCGGACAGGAGTCGCGCCATCTCCGACGGAGAATGACGAGCTCGACCGCATGATCTTGCCGCAGCAAGCTCAGTTTACGCGAATCAAGAAGGAAGGCGACTCGACACGGAGTGAAAGTAGCACTCCGGCCTCGGCCACGCCTTCGTCAGATGCACCCTCCCGCCTGCAACGCAAGCGATCCTACATACAACAACAACAGCTCGAGGAGGCTGCGCTGAGCGCCGTCATGGCCCCGGCCAAGCCATTGCCCATTTTGCCCGGCTCACAGCCGCCGCTACAGCAGCAGATTCCGCGGCGTGAGTCGGAGCCTGCTTCCACTGCAGGTCCACGGCCCCAGATGCCCAGTCTCTTGAGACATTCTTCAATGCAAGCAGTGCCGTCGGTTCCCTCGTCGCAGATGGCGTGGCCAGGACCAACGGTGCCGCAATTGAACCATCCACAGCAGCAACAGCTGTTCCCTGCCAATCATATGGCGGTGGCAGAAGAGCAGAATTTATACCAAACCTACGAGTGGAACACGTCCGGACAGGGACCGCCGAATGTGGGCATGGACTGGGAAGATATGGTGGGTCAGCCGGATCAGAGTGGTGTCGACGGGATGATGCTTTGGTCGATGTGAAGTGTTTGTAGGAGGAAAAGCCCGGGGCTCGCGCCGTTTCCCGCGCTTGCCTTGGATAGGTTGGCAGCGTGAATATCAGCACCCTACTTCAAGTAAAGATACGTGAGCGTGAGAGTGCGAGCCGGCGATACGAGGTGGCGTTCGGTGATCGGGAAGGCTTGCCATATACCTAGATAAGCGTTTGTTGATGTTGGGCGTGGTGTGAGCGGGTGGCAAGGCGCGAACGGTTGCCATTGGAGACCAGCCACAGGGCACCGGTCCAGCAGGAAGGTGCAGGGGCAATGCCTCGAGGGTATCCACAATGCTATCAGCACCAGGACTTTGTGGGTTGCGTGCGCGTGAAGAGATCGCGATGTCGGCGGCGGATCAGCGGTTGGGCGCTGGTTCAGGATATATAAGAGCGAGCAGCTATGCACGAGCTCGCCTTCCAACACGGTCGGACCGTTCTGTTTCTCTCTCGACTGACTTGGCACAGTTTGTGGCGGGCGGAAAGCGTTGGTGGCCGCTAGAAGCCGACGGCAGATCGACGGGCTCGCGCAAAGCCGCTGGAGTTTTTGTGACAGAAAACGCGAGCCCAGAAACGGCGCGCCTGAAGCCGCAAGGCACGCACGCAGCCACCGCCGCGGCGGCATTCCCAAGCTGTCGGAGTCACGATGAATCTATAAAGTACGACGCCGCTGCCCCCGCGCGCTGGCGGTGGTGTCACTCGCCTCGCTCGCCTCTCTCGCCGCACGCCGTCCTACTCGCTCGCTCCGCACTCCCGCCATCAGAACGCCGTCATGCACCCGCGGGACGTCTTGATTGACCTCGCCGCAGGCGCTGTGTAACTTGTCCGGGTGTGCCGGCCGGACCAACAGCATGCAGGGTTTTCGGCTGGAGCCGTCCCCGTGGGGATCCTGACGAAGTCGAGTCTGGAGTGGCGACAATGGTGGATTGCTTAGTGCTCTGGTGCTCTGGCTCTGGGCGCCTTACTCTCGTGGAGGCCGGCGGCGACATCGGCGGTTTGGGTCGGAGCGCAGGCACAGGCGCGGGCTCCTCCACCGTCGCGCCCGCTGCGTCGCAAAGACCTCAGCCCCTCGAATGGACTTCCCCAGCGCCACCGTGCAGCAGGCCCTCAACTCGCTGGCCTCGTGCATCCGCTGCCGGGAGCGCCGCGTGGGCTGCGACCGCCTGCTGCCCAGCTGCCAGGCCTGTCAAGCCATCGGCGCCGCCTGCGAACTGTACGACCACGTCCTCGACGCCAAGTTCCCGCGCAGGTTTGTATGACATCAACCTCCCGCCTGACTCGTCTGATGAGCCCAGCTACCTGCAGCAGCTGCACCTGCGCCTTCAACACCTTGAGCAGCTCGAGGCCCAGCTGCAGTCCGACAGCCGACCCCATGCCGTCGCCCAGCCCGCCTCCTCGTCGTCCTACTCCGCCCACGTCGCCCACCAGCGCCGCCTGCGCTCCGTTCCCTCGCTGCCCTCGCTCCGCTCGTCCTCGTCGGTCTCTGACGCCTCGTCGCCCTCTCCTCCTGACCCGTCGCACCCCGCCCTCCCCACCGATGCCGTCGACGCAGACAGTGAAGCCCGCAGTGAGTGGGGGCCGTCCAGCGCGCTGGCACACCTCCGCCTCGTCGCAGGACTGCTCAACGTTGAACTCACACGCCCGCTGTACCAGGCGCTCAGCTTCAAGGTTGACGTGCCCTTGACCCAGCTTCAGTCCTCTCTGCTGGCCGTGCCCAGTCTCAATGCCCCGCAGCCCCCCTTGCCGCCGCTAGAGACGGCCCAGTTCCTCCTCGAGTTCTACTACAACTCAATTGACGCCATAATGCCCATTCTGGGGCGCAAGCTGGGCGATCAGGATCTTCAACAGTTGTATACCAACAGCTCGCAGCGCCAGAACATGCGTGCCTGCACTCGTGCTCAACTGGCATTGGCAGTTGGCGGCCGGTGTTTGTTCCGAAGCGCTGCGACCAAGGGTACCCCCGCTCAGTCGCAGGCTTACCTTCAGCTCTCCGACTCCTTATTCGAATCCGCCGCCGCTAGCCTGAAGATCGTCATGGGTGACTCGAGCACGCTCCTCGACGTGGTTTCGCCCTCCGCTTTTGAGAACGAGGAAGCCCACGCCATGGCCAAGCTGCAGATCGTTCTGCTTCTGGTTTGCTACACTCTTTGCGCGCCGCAAAAGGGAAACGTGTGGCAATTGCTTGGATTTGCGGAAAGGCTGTGGAGAAATATGCAAAACGCCCGTGCTCAGTTACGAAAAAGCAACAGCCCTGATGGATATCTCGTTCGGGAGCAGGCGCGTCATCGCCCCAAGCCCAATCTTCTTTACTGCAGTTTCGTCTCTCTAGAACGCCTGGTAGGCATGGGATACGGGCGACCGATCGACTTCCTCGACTTCTCCGAAGCTGATGAGCCCAGACCGGACGATAAGTCTGTGGCGGCCTTGTACACGATAATACTGGACCTGAAGCAAAGTGTTCATGCATCTTATCTTTCTGGCCAGCAAGATGGCGTTGGTATACTCGGGCCGGCTCCCGGGACACCGAAAATAGGCAGCATTGAATGGTACACCAATGTAAAACGAAAGGCGGGAGCTTGGTTTGAGCAATTCTCGGACGCAATCGAGTTCATGACGCGAGATGGGTCACCAATGGACAGCACTGACATGCAGCGCATGACGGACGGAAGGAAACAGTTCTGGCTCAGCACCGGCCGCAAATGGCGAGACGAAACTCTGCACCTCGCCTTCGGGCTGTTGATCCACAACACGCCAACTCCGGCTTCCACCCCGGCCTCGGGAAAATCCGCGTCTCAGCGACACCTTCTGCCGCCAGATCTGCTTGCTGAGGGCCGCGGCATCGTTCAACGCTTGGTGAACGACTACAGCTACTTGCTCAGGCAGCCCTTCACCCTTACGCATGAAGGCAGGCAAATCCCGCTGGTTTTCCCGCGATTGTGGGTGTTCGATCTCGAAATCTTCCGGACCGCAGTCACAGCAGCGTATCTGTCACACCATCGAGACATTGCGCCGGGCACGAAGTCGAGCATGAACTGGGAGGTGGCAAATTGCGTCAAGTTGCTCAGCAGCACCAGCTCTGAGGTGGACGCCGAGGGTCTGTGTGAGGCAATTCTGGCCCTGATCGAAGTCGAAGGGTGAAGAAGGGCATTTTGGCCTGAAATATTTCACTTCCCCTTGGCACCTTCTGGTCGATCAAACGCGGGATGGATACGCTCCCCGTACCATCGGGCTATTGCCGTTATTATACGGTGCCCAGCTTGGCATAGCCATGCAGCCGCTGCGCCAGTTGCGCTGTGGACTACGGGGGGTAGCTTTCGCTCCGCTTCGGAGTGAATGCTACACCGTAGCGTCCGGTGGAGCTCACTCAGTAGAGTTACCTTGGTGGGCGGGGCTCGTGGCTTCAGACTGTTGGCACTGAGTCTAACAGGAGCTGACTGGAGCAAAAATACCTCGGCGTAACAGACTGAGGGTTGACCTCTTATGATTATCTTTACGAAAATATTTTCCTACGTTTTTTTTCTCTTGTACATATTAATTGGTTACGATGATACCATTGACGCTCCTACAGCTGGGTGGGGGTCATCTCTCTTGGATATTATGGAAATGGATGGTTTGCGTTTCGACAGTGCCGCAGACGGGCTGAGAAATACGTATGGATTTGTGGAAAGTGTCTGCGTCCATGATGGCCTTTAGTTTGCGTCGTGGAAATTGAAATCGATCAAAGTCAAGTACACTCGTGAAGAATAACTGCGGTTTGTGTGAAGATGAAGAATGTTTGGTGGTGGAGGGCATGCTTCGATATTTGGACTCAACTTCCATCTGTGATCGTAGTGAGTTTCGAGCTTCGAGGCCTGCGTATCGCTGTGAGTGCCATGACCTTATTTTTAAGCCTTTCTCTAAATATTGAAGATGATAAGTTCTGGATATGTCCTCATCAACGTGGAAGACAACAATAACATAAAAGTCAAAGCACATATAACATGCATACCCCAATCACAAGCCACACGACCTGTCGCTTGAGTAATAAAGTGTGGGGAAGAGGGCAGTCAAAGTTTGCTTTAGCTCGCTTAGGCAAGTGTGCAGTCCGGGATTCGTTGCCGCATCAGGAAAAGACGAGGTATGCACGCGCGGCATTTGATTCCACCCTTGTTCGATTCATTGGCCTGGACTTGTAGGTAAGAGTCTAGAGAAAGCCACTAAAGGCCGTGCACATGATGCGGGGGGGGAAGGCTTATAGGCGAGCTTAATTTCGACGTATGCTCTTTCCAAGAGTTTACCATTGGAGGGGGGAAGGAAAGGGCGAGGGAATTGCGTTGTGCTCTTTTCGGGAGCAGAGTATGATTTTCTTTCCTTCTTCGATCCTCCTCTGGCCTGATTAGTCCCCAAATCCTACGATATGCGTACAGTGATTACCAAGTATTCCTCCCCTGCTATTTGTAAACCCCAAGATCGACATGTTGCTTGTTTTTGTATAATGAAGCTTTTTACCCACCTCGATGGATCCGTTTACGCCTTCCCTCGCTATGCATGACTAGCCTTCCTCCCGCCTTTGAAAAAAAAAAAAGAGATTATTATGAGTGTGCTTATCCGCATTTCCCTAGTTCCTCCCCCCCCGATACATAAAAGAAAGAGACGTAATGAAAGAACGGAGCAAGAAAATCTTGCCCCTCTGGCCACCCAATCACTCAATCCAGAGCAAATCTCCTGTTCAAGTCCACGGTGCTAGGGGCGTAATTCAGGCGCTGGAAGTAATACTCGCTTTCCTCGTCCGTGACCGGAGCCGGGCCCTTGCGCTGCGTCTGGCCGAGCAGGATGGGCTTGAGGCCCTTGTTGAAGTTGAACATGCACTGGACGGCGGCGCCGGCGGCGGCAAAGAGGAATACGATGGCGACGCCGAGGAAGAGCAGCTGCTCGTCTTTCAGCACGGAGGCGGAGCGGCGGCCGGTGCCGCACAGGACGATCATGCGGGAGATGAGGTAGGCGATTGCGCAGAAGTAGATGACAATAGTCACGCACATGCCGATTTTGGCTTCCATGCGGGTGTAGTAGACGGCGAGGCCCACTTGGATGAGCGAGATGGGGATGACGGCGATGGTGAGGGAGAATTCGGGTTGCTCGTAGTGGACGTTGACGAATGCGTAGATGATGATGAAGCAGAACATGAAGAAGAAAGAGAGCTTGATCAGCACGAGGTAGACCTGTTTTGCAGTGTGAACATGTGGTTTCTCCGCGCATACTTTTTTCTTTTGCCAAAGAAAATGAAAGGAAAGAGTTCTGATATCATCTTACCTGATAAGCAAAGTATCGGCTCCGGATGTTGAGGTCTGCGCTGATGTCTTTGTACAGTGCCCATGCAAACTCTTGGTGGAGCTTGTACGCTAGGAAGACCATCGCAATAGTGCAGGCGATGGAAACGATGATGCAGATAATGAGGAGTGGATTTGTTTGCGTCCAGAAAGGTCTATCCTTGGTAAAAGGCTCGTCGGGATAGCTAGCGCGGCCATTGCCAACTCGCTCAGCTGCATGCATAAGTTGTGAATACTGCATGGTAGAGGAGATTGCGAGGGATATGTTGCAGACGCATTGAGCAAACAGTTGGATGTTGTTCTTGATCCGGAAGGCATCGAGTGTTAAAATGGCCTGATACACGCAACCACCGACAAACACAGCAATGGAAATAGGATATGTGTATGAAATAGGCACTTGATATGCCCATGGATGCGTCCAGTCAAGATAGTTGAACAGTATAGTGCTGTTGGTGCGTTAGCATTGCGCATCATACGATGGATGTCTATACTCACAGCTGCAGGGCGGTGACGACAATGGCTTGCGACGTCGTAACACCAAAGTAAGCCCACTCTAATTTTGTCCGTGGCCTGAGCATCTTGATGGTTGTTACGTTCTGGAAAAAGCATACGCTCCCCCTCTTTGCGTCTGGTGGATATAAGGCTCTGAAAAGAATACGAGAAGGCTCGCTTAGCCGGGACAGTGCGCTATCGGTAGTCTGAATGCAGCAAATGGTCCCTTGGTCAGGGGTGGGAGAATCCTTCGCGGCGGGACAACTGCAGGTAGGTCCCTACTTGCCGCTCCGCAAGACTGCCGATTCGCTGCCCTAAAGACGCCGGCTTGTTATGAGCTAGAGGACTGATCACTCATTATCAAGAAATTGCATTGGAGAAGAGGACTGCAGGATGCGTCGGCGTTACTGTGGTCTAACGGGTACGCTTACTGTAGCTTGGTGTGCTCGTCGGGCAAGCTAGCAGGAAATTTTTCGGAAAACGTGCCATTCACTAACGGCCTTTTACCTCAACCCTTACGTTTCAGGCACGAGGAAAACGCAGACTTTCATTGGAGCACATCAGAAGAGAACTGTCGTCCCAAGCGCCAGATCCTTCTTGGCAGTGGCGAAGCGGCATTAGTTGCTCGGCGATGCCGAAGAACATCCAAGGTCTCCGACATAGCCGCACGCTTCAGCCAGACACTGATTTAATGCCCGGCCGACGGGCGCTTTGACTTCTAAATGATCGCAGCCCAGAGGCTTTCGGGGTTTCGGCGCTGAACGACCGGCTTGTTCCAAAGAGAATATTGTTTCGGCGGGGGCTACTTTGGAAAGGAACGGGGACGTGCTTGACACCGAGCGCACGCCGAACCGTTGGTCTTGTATTTGAGAATTCGAGACTATTGTGGGGTCACAGGTCAAGGTTGATCTTCTACCTGCTTAGGAACAAGTCCCCCCTCATAGTTAGCGGAGGTTGGGTGCACAGACACGAAACCCTTATTTGTATGTATGTACATGGCGTGAGTGGATGCCGGTAAAAATGATCTAGAGTAAAGGGATATGGCACTGATGCCTTCTATATTGACGGACCTCAAAGGATAGAATACTGTCGGTGAAATAATTGAACATGAAAGAAAGACGGCCTCAAGATGAAACCCCAAATCTAGCTAGTCAAACCAACGCACCTCGGTCCCATACAAACATGCATAAGACCCTCGCATGCAAACCCCTAGTCTATCCCAACAGCCCCATTTCTCCTGTATCGAAAGTGCCTGTGGTGCCCGCCACTTCTCAAGCAGCCTGGCTACGCAGCCAACCTGAGCCGGACTCGCCGTCGCAGTCTTCTTCTTCCTCTTCGGCAGCCTCAACAAGCTCGCTCTTGACCTCACTCAGAAAATCATCGTTGGCATACGCTTGGGAAACATCCCACATCATGACGCCACCAAAGCTCTCGAAGCCCTTGACGTAGTCGAGCACGGGCGCCAGATCCGCCGCACTCAGGTACCCGCTGCCCGCCGCGGTCGCGCTCGCCGGCACACCCACAAGCACCTTGACGCCGCCCGGGTTCGCGGACGCGTTGCGCGCCCACTGGTCCCAGACGTCGAAGTTGAAGTTGTTTTGCGTGGTGGCGTCGGGCACGAAGGCCTGCACGCCGCAGTAGTTGTTGTAGAACTGGACCAGCACGGCGTCCATGGGTACCGCCTCGGCGCCGCTCAGGAACTGGTCGTCGGCCGCGTCAGGAAACACGCACTGCGGCGCCGCCGTCAGCACGCGGTGCCGCCCGTCGCCCGCTTCGGCCGCGTCCATCAGGTCGCGCAGCCGCTGCGCGAACGGCGCCATGTTGGTGACTGTCGCCTCGAAGTCGAAGTCGAAGCCGTCGACCTGCGCCGAGCCGAAGGGGCGGAGGATGGTGTTGTTGCTAGCGTTGTAGCGCGGGGTGTTGCAGCTGCTGGTGGTGTTTTCCGCGGGTGGTGGGCCGAAGGTTGCCCAGATCATGTCGGCGGCGGCGGTGGCTTCGTCGGCGCTGGTGAAGCCGCCTTCGGTGTAGGTAGCGCCGCCGATGGAGAGGGTGATGGTTTTGTTGTACTTCTCCTGGCAGACGGGGATGTCTTCACTGTGTGGGACGGGTGTCGGATTAGTGGCCTGGTTTGCATGGCGATTATGCGTGGACTTGGGGGTGAAAAGTGCGAGAGAAGAGTGCGTGACTTACGCCAGCTCCGAGCAGTTGAATAGCTGAGTGCCATTGAACAGGGTGCACTTGTCACCCTGGTTGGCAAAGTTGAGTTGAGGGTAACCCGTGGTATCGGTGATGGTCGTCAAAAACGCCAAAGGGATCATCTGGGAGCCGTGTGAGTATAGGTTTCAAATATTCTTGTGGAGATCGTACGTCGATGTCATCGCCTGCGAGCATTCCTATCAGCACGACACGTATATTCGGAGCAAGCGAACATACTGGCACAGTAGTAGGATAGCCTCTGTTGAGCGAGATCCCCAGTTCCCTTGCCATACGAATTTTGACCTGTGTTTTGTTAACCGAGAAATGTGGAAGATGAGTGAGGTCGGACCAACCCCAATATACTGCGACGTTGGCACTAGAAGTGTTGTCAAACGCGGCATGAACTCCATGCAGAACCGCGAGGCTTGCTGCAACCGAACTGAGAGCGCTTATCGAAGGCATGCTGGAGCTCGATGTCAGGTTGCGGGATCTAAAGGCTCTGTCACTGAAGTAGAATCTAAGGGACAAAGACAAGCTACTGCACTGGTAGACTACAAGGTGGCCTTTATATCATGAGCCTCAACGGGTCAGGGTCCCTCGCTTTGCGCCATGGGAAAACGTACAAACCTGCTACGAATGCAAGCGTCATAACTTCCTCGTGGCCGACCCATTTGCAGTGCCAGGTGTCATATTGGGAAACCGCGAGGCTGCAATGCGAACAGAGCAGCCGACTTCATTCCTAGAAGGCCATTCCCAGCCGCGCAGCAGGTGACAGCCGATTTAGGAAACCTGAGCGGCGAGAGTCTGAGTTGAGTCTGCGTAACGTGCGCTGTGCCCGGCACGAGCGCGGCCCGATCCACATCTTCGAAGGTGCGCAGGACGAGCGACCGAACAGTGCCTTGTGCGGAATGATTGGGTAGAAGGCGACGGTCATGTTTCGAGTCGGTGTTCTGTAGAGGGGCATGATGTGATCTTGTGAGGCAGAAGTGATCGGAGGTACTGACAATGATGGCAAGTCGATGAACATGTCAGGCGCAAAATGAAGCGGCGGGGAGGTGCGATATCTGCTCTCCTCGGTATCGAGAATCTGTTCATGCCCCGCCAACAGGCGGTCTCTGAGGGGGTTCAGGATAGTCAGGAGTGTGGCGCCTGTCGTGCGTTCCAGATTGAGTTTAAAGTAACAACCCGATCGAGGTGGATAGGGAACCGTGGCTTGTACAGCCGAAGCGATTACGTGTATGCATCGAAAAGGAACAAGAGACAAAAGTTAAGAGAAGTGCGTCACACAAGGTAGTCTCAGTCGAGCGCCACGTTGGTGGCCGGTGCATTGCGGGCTCGTCGGCGTCTTTCGAGTGCATGTGCAAGACATTTTACGGAGGTGACAGGGAGATAACAGAACTGTCAATTATGGACATAGTGAAGGGACTCGTGGAGGGGTTGGCAAGCTGTGAAGCAAGGACACAAGAAACTAGGCGAATCCGGAGCTTCATGGTCCTATTCAACTTGCGAGATTTTGGAAAGAAGCCGGAAAAGATAAGATGCATTTACTTCTATGGCAGATAGGATTCGAACGGTTACACGGAGACATACTCTAGTATAGGTATAGATGAAATCACCTACTAGGATAGACTGGCACATGGTATGGTAAACACGCGTTGTTGAGGTGGGATTGGCGGCAGCCATGCTGAGGTCTGAGCGCTAACGAGTGGATGGCAGGGATGCGCTGATACCTTCCTATTTTTTACTCGATGCCGCGGCGCCCATGACGATTACGCTGATCAACTGACGAGGATCTCCACCGTGGAAAACGACGCCTTCGAAGCGTAGCTTGCATGCGGCAGACGACGCTGTAAGGTACCTTGCATGTAATAAGTTGCACAAAGTTGCGGCTCTAGAGCGGTTTGAGAATATGGAAAACTCTCTTTCACATCGCTCGTGCATACCTAGGTGTGGGAGCTTGTTGCATTGACAAGGGATGATGCCCCACTTGTTCGAGGCCTGGTGGAAGATGGGCGAGATGCAGCGGTTGCATTCTTGTCAGCCGCTCGGCTTTGCACACGACCACACCACGAATTATCGCTATGATGCTTCTTCCTATAGGCGAGCACAAGCTCTCATCGGGTATACTCGGATAGAGATAAGGGCCGTCTTGTGGTCGAAGACCGACTACTCAGAGCAACTGGACGCCTTGAGTGGGCCGCTGGGGAGCTCGTGTGATAGCTGCTGCTGACGACCATGGCCCGCAGTTCGGTATGATCGCCCCGCCAGAAGTCGGCTAGCTGTCAGAGAACGGATGTATTATTGCAGCTTTTCCTGGTTACAACCATGTCCTTAAACAAAGCGCCCCGACGTGTCAGTGAAGAAATGAAAGAAACAGAGAAACGCCGTTTGCTCACCTGGCACACACGGCCATCGCGAGCGTGCCATGCTCTGCAAGTCGCATGCGCAATGGTTCACTCGCGGAGACGACTTGCAACGTTGGCTGACATGTGACAGAGCGAGCCCTCAGCCACGCACTACCAAGGCGCCGTTCAACCGACCATGCATCTAGAATCCATGCGGATCAGCCAAAGACAGAAGTTCCATTACCTATTTACACGGAAAACTGCGAGAATAGCGAGACTCCCCAGATCCGAACTCCGATGGAACGCAGCAATGCCATGGAAAATGAACGAAATCCGTAAACGCCGGGTATCTCTATAAGGCCTGTGCCGGCAATTCTCAAAACGCCTTCCAGAACATGCCTATCTCAGCTCTGGAGTAGGAACGGCGGCAATGTCGCGGTCAATAACTTCAGCAGCCGTTTCCTCCGTGGCTGGGCGACCATCCCACAGACGAATCCACCATGAAGGAGGATCGAGAGGACGGTGACCGTTGTTCATAGGAGGGTACACATCGTTGAAAAAGTACCACACTATCCCGGCGTTAATCTGCGCTCATCTGCGGATATTGGAGCAAACATACCGTGTCCAACGACAATGCCGAGCATGTCATCCTTAGGGACCGTCCCGTGGAGAACCATACTGAAGAGGGCGAGCACCCACGGCAGGAAGGGGGCCTTGAAGACGACCAGGCCGAGGAAGCTCAGGCTGGTGTCTGGGTTCTTGCGGCTCCAGATGTAGACCAGAGTGCTATTGAGAGCCGAGCCGAGGAAGCCCATGGAGAACATGGGAGCGACAACGAGCAGCACGGCGGAGGCGTAGGCGAGGAGCCATGAGAAGTGTGCGGGCGACCGGCCGAAGCCCTCCTCGAGAAGGCGAGAGTAGCGCTGAAGGAAGAAAACGTGGAAGAGGAGATCAAGGCTCAGAGGCCCGAAGTAGAAGAAGGTTGAGACTGCGCGCCACCACTGCGAATCATGTTAGCATTGCGGGGTGTTGCGCGACGCGGCTGAGGCGCACCTGGTTCTTGTAGATGACGGCGCGGTAGCTGTAGAACAGCTGGAAGGGTGAGATAACGTGGCACTGGACCAGCACACTGATGACGACGGTCACCGTGGTCCACCAGCGAGTGCAGACAGGGAGCTCGTAGAACCATTGCTCGAGCGGCAGCTGGCCCACCATGCCATCACCACCTCCGAGCACGGCGGCCATGGTCCCTGGGATAGCGGGTGGCGGAGCGAATGCGGCGGGCGCTCACGACGAATATGCGCGGAGAAATAGGCGATTAATACGGCAAGTACAGATGAAGGGCGAACGAAAGACTGGAGGCGCAGGTGGTTGGTAGAGGACAAAGGTAAGAGCGCGCCGCTGGAGTCAAGGGCCAACGTGGACTGTTGCGCAGCGGCGGAGTGAAGCGGGAGCTTGGGGCGGGCTCCGCGATTAGATAATGGCCTGGCCCCTGCCCGTTTTGCGTCAAGCCGCGAGCCGAACAACAACACGCGCCTACCCGTCGCGTCGCCCAAGTCCTATCTCCAACCTTCAACTCCCACAGCCAATCGCAACATACACCGCTCGATCTACAATACTCTACGTGTCACCCTCCGCGCTCGCTCGTTCCGCGCTCCATTGCGCCAAATCGCCGTTGTTCGCGACCCATGATCCCAGCATAGCTTGAACACCAAGTCGCGCACGCGTATTCGTAACAACTTTCTCCGCGCCCCGTCGCGCAGCACAGACAATGGCCGGAACAAAGCAAAAGAAGCGCCCGTCTACGGGAGGAAAGCCGCGGGGACGGCCGTCGCTGGCTTCTCAAGCAACTCCAGTCAGGAGGGGCCGGGGCCCTAGGTCGTCCAATGTTTCTGGTTAGTTCTTTGAGGAAACATTTGTCTCTGCGAGTGCGCATACTATCTGGTGCAGCCTACTGACTGCCCTGCAGCTGGCGATCCCACCCCGAGCAGAAAGAAGTACCGTCACAAACCTGGCACCAATGCTCTCAAGGAGATCAGGCGCTACCAAAGGAGTACCGATCTGCTGCTGCTGAAGCTTCCCTTTGCTCGTCTGGTGCGCTCCACCACTCTCAGGGTAATCCTTTTAATGAAATTCTAATTCATGCCTTCAGGTTCGTGAGATTGCGCTCAATCTAGTCCCCGACGGCGAAGCCCTCCGCTGGCAGTCACAGGCCATCCAAGCGCTGCAAGAAGCCGCCGAGGCCTTCCTGGTCCACCTGTTCGAAGATACCAATCTTTGTGCCATCCACGCTAAGCGCGTCACCATCATGCAGAAGGATATCCAGCTCGCCAGGCGAATCCGCGGCGCCTGGGGCGGTCTGGGCTGAGCACTCGATAACGAGAAAAAGCTGAATTTAACGGAAGCATATCGGGGTCCTGGCGTTTTCGGTTCTGCCCACCATGGCCGCTTCTTCGCCGTGGTTCCTTTCGCCTCGCGCTTTTCTGCTGGTGCTTTTGGATGCATCTGGGAGGCCGTCTGGTGGTATGTCGGTTTAAGGTGTCCGGCTGTTTGTGGAGGTCGTGATTGTCTTAGCATTACAGGCGAGCGTGAGATGGAAGCCCCTCTTTCTGATGCACCGGCGTTTTCTGGTAACTGGAGGGATAATACGATATTCGCAATTAAACGCGTCATCTAGGGAAACACCACTAGAAGCCGTCCAGTGCTTGTTGTGTATCCTAAACCCCCCTCTTCTTGAACTTGGTCAAGATCATCAAAAAACAAGGCCGAAAAATTATCCACGTATTAAGGAAGGAGGGGGTAGTCGATTAAATCGTCATGGGTTCTGGAAAATACTTCTTCAGATGGGGAACCATTCAATCTGAATAGCGAATCCTGTTCCTCTCCGAGCCCAGGAGTATCCCATTCCAACGCTCGTCACTCGCTCAGCCTCGCGACCCAGAGAAAAGTGTTCGCCTAGGCATCGACGCCACCTTCGACCTCGGCCCCGGGAATCCTTCCCTCTCTGAATTCCTTGGCCATCTCCCCAAAGGTCATCCATTCCACGCCCTCATGCTTGTTGATGTATTCGATGAGGCTGGCATCATGATCAACACTGCTGTCGAATCTCCACGCATTGTTCTAGGACTCACCGTTCATGCATGAGAATGACCTGTGGCTTTCCGCTTACTTGCGGGTGGATGGACATGGGGAAAATGAAGCTGTCGTACTCGCGATAGGCAAAGTCAAACTGCTCGCGCCATAGCTTCTCCACCACGGCCGTGTCAACAAAGCCCTTTTCCGGAGTCAGATGGCGCCTAGGCTCTCGAGTGCGGAGGGTTAACACTTACTGACATGGTGGTAAGCATTGGCTGCATGGGTGGCCAGTCGTCCTGTTTCGTTGTCAGACGCGCCGTCAACACAACAACTCATTCCGGTAGTCCCATGCTCACCAAGTGCCAATTCGCAGGGATCTCGACGATCTTGCTCGGCCGGATCTTGGTCATGGGTCGCATCCAGTGGCCGGCCTCCTTGCTGTGGTTGGTCTCGATCCACTCGTGGCTGGAGTCTGGCGCGTAGTATGGCTGCACGTCGTGGTGCATGAAGGAGTGGTCGTACAGGATACCGAAGTCCTGAAGCTGAGGGATGAGCTCTTTGCTCGTTAGCCACGCCGGTGCCGTGTACCCCAGGGGTTTTGTCCCGGTAAACTTGGTCAAGACGTCGATTGATTTCGACAGAACGTCGTACTGCTGCTGAGCTGATAGTTTGCCGGGGTGTCTGGAGGATTGCATCAGGAGCTGCCCAGACGTCGGCAGGACGTGGAGAAACGCACTCGTGAGTGTATCCATGGAGCCCAATCTCATGCCCTGCATCCCTGATCTTTGCCATCTGCTCTGGGAACGATTCGACTGTGTGGGCGGGGCTGAACCAGGTGGCTTTGATATGGTACTTGTCCCAGAGCTTGAGTAGCCGGTTAATACCTACGGTGGCGCCGAAGATCCCTCGGGAGACATTGGTCGGGTTTTGCTGCGTGCCATCACCGGTATTGATCCTGGATGATCATTAGACCAGTTTGCGAGAACCCGAGCTTATCTGAATACCAGTTGGCGACGGCGTCGACGTCGACTATATGGGCGCTTGTCAGTGGATATCTGGGTTATTTCAGTGGCGCTGGCTTACTCCCATATCCCACGAGCACGCGCTTCTTGCCCATACTATGACCCAAGGCAATCTGTTGCACGGACATGTAGAAGTCGGCCATCTTTTCCTCAGTAACTTATATGGGGCAGAGGTGTGGGCGGAGACCCCGCCTTGCGGCTCTATCTCCCCACCGAGCAAGCCAGCCGGGCTGTGACGTACTAAGCAGCATCGTGCATGATTTCCAAGCTTCAGCTCACGCAAAAACACCCTTTTGGTAAAGTCCGTCTAAGAGTTGCGTTACAATCAGTCGGCGATCCCCCGAGCCCGCCGAAGTGGCATAGGTGGGGTATCCCCGGCAATCTGTTTCTTGTGCCGCCGCCACCTTCGACAATGCCACCTTCCACAGCAGTAGATGCTCTGCATGGCATCGACAGTAGCTAAGCGACTTTCAGTTTCAGTCTCCGCTTTGAACTGTAGACTCACCACACCCTTTTGAAGATCAGTTCACGTCTGAGAATCTGCCATAGCTACGCCTCGTCCTGAGCATATCTATTGCAAACGCAAACCGGGCCGACCCTCATCCTACTTGCTACATTCGGTTGGGATACTATCGATCCCGAGTTAGTCGAAAAGCTTTAAGAGCTACGATTCGACATTGTTGACGGCGAAAAGCGTGGTTCCGCTAACTCTACGTATTTCCGGGTCAGATTGCTGCGTTGGTTTCAAGATGCTCCAAGTGCATTGCTCAGGCACACCTTACGAGGCAGGTCTTTTGCCAGTGATATCAACGGAATCATGATACTAATGCATAACCACTTATTAGATCGGCCGCACGCACGGCACTCTCGCACGCACCCAAATCGAAGGCAGCATCGCCTTCTATGCCACCTTGTTCCAAGAAACAGCCAAGCTCGACTGGGCGCGGGTGCGCTCGACCGCGCTCGAGTTCGAACCGGTGATCCGTCGCAAATGGCCGGCCTATCTCGAAGAGATGCGCGGCATCGCTGAGGGCGCCGGAGTCGAGCTATCGGATGTGCTGGCGCTGAATGTGCGCACCGAAATCGCGTTTGGCTTGTTCACCGACGGCTGCACGATGCTGGCCTGGCACTCCAAGGAGCAGTCTGGCAGTACGGCAATCATTGCGCAGAATTGGGATGTAAGTTTGCATCTTCCGGTGAAAGTGCGTGCATCGGGTACTGATGAAGACGGGCAGTGGAGAGCAGAGCAACGCTCCAATTTGATTGCGCTTAGCATCGTGCAAGACAACCTTCCGTCGATAAAGATGATCACCGAAGGCGGCATCATCGGCAAGATAGGCTTCAACAGCGCAGGCGTCGGCTGCACACTCAACGCCATCCGCGCGATAGGAATGGACCCCACCCGCATGCCGTGCCATCTGGCCTTGCGCGCCGTTCTCGAGTCGCCCTCCAAAGACGCCGCCGTCGCTACCATCGAAAAGCACGGGGTCGCTTCTTCTTGCACCATCAGCATCGCTGACGCCGAGACGGGCTCCGTCAGCCTGGAGTGGAGCGCGACCGACGTCCAGAAGCTGTTCCCCGACGGCACGGGGCGCATCTACCACAGCAACCATTACCTAGTCGACCACCCGGGCGTCAAGGACACGGTCTATCTTCCGGACAGCATTCCCCGCGTGAAGCGCATCAGGGAGCTGAGCGAGGCGCTGGGGAAGGTCGACCCGACCGTGAGCGAGTTGCTTGACGTCTTCAAGGACGAGCAGAACTTCCCCAAGAGCATCAACCGCAAGCAGGTCGAGGCGAGGCAGTCGGAGACTCTGTTCAATATCATCTGCGACCTCAAGGCCAGGAAGGCCTATGTTACTGAGGGTCGTCCAACCGAGGCAAAGAGTACCTTCACGCTGGAGCTTTGAGGGGGAGATCGTCGGGCGTCGAGAGTGTGGACTTCCGCGGAGTTGACGAATGCGACAGATGACATTCCCGCAGGATATGATTAGCGAACGGCAATATTTTAGGGTTCCAAGACAAGGCTGAACGTATGTATTCTACAAATCATGACAAAAGAAAGCTCCGAACTGTTGCCTTTGATGACTCGGCCGACCGTATTTGATATTACTGATACATCATTCGGCCTGCTTAGCAGATAAGACGGTTGAATGCTCGGCCGGAGAAAGAGACAAAGATGCTGGTAGGTTTTCGGATAGCGCAGGACTTGTCCGGACCGGGTCGGCCCCAACGTCCGGCAGGCAGGCCCATCGGTTCCCGGAAGTCAAGGCGCTAAACTCAAAGACCGCAGCCAGACCTGAAACGCGGGGCAGGTCGGTTTATCGTGGGTCGCAACTGCCATGAACCCCTCACCTTGCCAACCCTCCGGCATGTCAGCCTCGCGCTTAGTTTAACGCGCGAGGGCGCGGAGAAATCACGTAGAGGCGTTTCACACCTCAGAATAATAATCCGTGCAGCCATAGGAAGTGCTGACCCAAGCCTGCACAGCTCGGCATTCGGCATCAGCAAAAGGCCGCGATCGCAATCCGCCGCATCTCGTTCGGATGTGAGCTGCGGCACAACCGCCGACCCAGCACGAGTTAGCGTCCTATTATGTACAAATAACCCTCCGCCGACGAGCAGCGACGACAACTTCAAGAATAATCAACTAGCCCTCAAACATCTCGAGACCGCTCTTCCGCTGACGCGACAAGGCTTGCACATCACTCGAGTCATCTTCCATAACGTGCAACTCACCCACGATGGTGCGATCCCCTCATCACCCAACGCCCACTCTTTTGCAGTTCGGCGTTGAGAAATCCCAATAACTAATCAACAACAAACTGGCAGACCAGAGACGGTCCTCGCCAAGCCGATGAAGACGGCACTTTCAGACGGCAATCGTCCAAGTTCCGGAACTTTATCCCATCGGCCCAGTTCCCAGCCGAGAGCGGCCGTTATGTTCTGTACATTAACTGGGGTTGCCCGTGGGCGCACCGCGCCAGCATCGTACGCATCCTCAAGGGCCTCGAAGATGTCATCCAGCTGGTCGAGGTCGACGACATGGATAAGACCGCCGGCAAAGGCTGGTTCTTCTCTGGTAGGAATGGGGGCCCAGAAAGAGATCCCGTGACCGGCTGCAAAGTAAGCAAAATAAAAATATGAGGCTCTGCATGTTAGTAAACACTATGCTAACAACACTTGCTCAAGTACCTGCGAGAGTTGTACCTCAAAGCAGACCCCCAGTACGAAGGGCGCGTGACGGTGCCGACGCTTTGGGATAAGCACCAAAACACCGTCGTCAACAACGAGTCGTCCGAAATCATCCGCATGTTCTACACCGCCTTCGACCACCTGATCCCGTCGCACCTGCGCGAGGAGAGCAAGGGGCCGGCCGGCCTCTTCCCGGAGCACCTGCGCGCGGACATCGAGGAGATGAACACGTGGGTCTACGACACGGTCAACAACGGCGTCTACAAGTGCGGCTTCGCGACGGCGCAGAAGGCTTACGACCAGTCCATCTACCCGCTCTTCCAGAGCCTCGCCCGCCTCGAGGCCCACCTGGCTGCCCCTGAGCACCAGCCCTACCTGTTCGGCGAGTACATCACTGAGGCCGACATCCGCTTGTTCCCCACCATCGCCCGCTTCGATACCGCCTACCACACGCTGTTCAAGTGCAACCTGAAGATGATCAGGTACGACTATCCCAGGATCGACCGCTGGATGCGGAACCTGTACTGGGACGAGAGCGAGAGGACGGGCGGTGGCGCGTTCAAGAAAACCACGCACATCGATAAGGTAAGTTGAGAGAACCAGTGGTTAAGGGGACCCTTTGAAGAAAATTGTCTAACAAGCTGTCTTTTTTAGTGGAAGGCGGGTTACTCGAGAGTTGCGGGCAATGGTGTCGTGCCGGCTGGTCCGCAACCGGCCATTCTGCCTCTTTGATTCAGCAGGTGATCTTGAGTGCTTCGCATGATGCAGCAGCTTTTAAAATTTTTGAAATTTCTTGCTTGCGTTGGTCCAGCGTTGTCACTAGCTTTACGACGTATTTGAGTACATTCACGTAGTATCTGAAGTTTATGAAAGCCTCCAGATGGGGATTCAACTACCCACCGAAATAGGAGGCAATATCTGGGAGATAGCTCCGAGATGATAGCACTTTTCTTGACGAATCAAGTGTCGAAAGAAAATTAACAAGCATATGTCCATGTTACATGATGTGCCATGTGAAAATTTTGTTGTGAGAGCTATACTCAACCGTACGAGGTGAAGCTATGATGCGACCCACGAATGAGAGGCAGCGACCCAATAAACAGATCAGCGAAATATACCTTTGATATAATTCCTGCACCTTCAAGAATATACTGGGAATAAATACTGCGTGAGAGAAGACCCCAATTTACTGGCGATGAAAAGAGGAACCTAGAAATATAGATGAACGGTCTTCTGTAAAGCCTGATGGACGGCAATTCTTTATACAGACATAACAGCCATGCTTAAAGATGGGAATGGCCCATTCATAACCTGCTAAAGTCGACTAGAGAAGAAGATGAAAGGCTCACTTATTTTCGTCGCCGGCCAATGTGAGTTCCGTGATTTTCAGATATAGTAGACATGTAATTTCTACTAAATCAGTGAATACCTAAATTCTCATTTCTCATGTATTGGTGTTCTAATTGTGCATACGCTCATACCCTACAATATCAGTACAATCGTTGTCTTTGACGTCAAGCCAAGTTTTCAAACTACCCAAACTTCACCCCGTCGCGAGTGTGACATATCGAATCTTCAAAAAAAAAAAACCAAAGCTCCAGCTCCGGGAACCGAATCAAGTTGGCGGACAGGAAATGTTGACTAAATTGATGCTTGTGGCGCGAGCTCCGCATGTGCAACACTGGGAACCTTACCTACGAGCAGTTGAAGTACCTTCGCACCAATCATGCGACTATCGTGTAAAGCCAACGGACCGGTGTATAAGAAGAAAGGGATGACCCAGCCGTAGAAGCGGCTTTAAGATCTCCCAAACACGGCGAAACTGCAGCTTGGCTTAATCTTTCCTCTTCTTCAGCTCTTTCACCTTCTCCTCCAACCAAGCCCGGACCTCGTGGGGACCTGGTGGACCCTCGCCACTCGCCTTCCTCTTCGCGATCTCGGCCTTGACCTCCTCGATGGCTTCATCGAGTTCCAAACCGGGGTCCTCAGGAAGACCCATCAGAGGAACTCTGCCTGCACCCTCGGCAGAGGGGTTACGGCTCAGGCCGGGGCGAATGCCCAAGGCTTCGCCGAGAACCTTCTCTTCCAAAAGGTCGTCAATCGTGAGGCTCGAACGGCCACGGGAGATGAGTTCGGCGACAGAGGGCTTTTGGGCGGTTGCCGTAGAGGTCGCCGTGTCCTTGACGGCTGCTGGCTTGGCCGCTCCGGATCTCTGTGCGACCTTCTTCTGCAGCATTTTCTTGCCAGGAGAAGCGAGGAATGCCAAGGATACGATGACGCCGACGATGGTGAAGAAGTAGACGCGGCGCCAGATCAAGAGGGATGGGGCGAGCTCGAGAGTGATAAAGGGTATCACGGTGTAAGAAAATGCCAATTGAGTGACCAACCAAGTGAAGATGTCGTAATATATCTTGGTCGGAAGGGGGCGTTGGCCGTCGGGCGCCAGGAAGAAAGGGCGAAGCAGGCGGCGGCCATCTAGTCGAGGTTAGCAAAAGAGATAAGGTTTGATTGAAGCACTTACTCTTGGCAATGGTCTGGAGGAAGCTCGCCAGAACGAAACTCATGTAGTAGCCAGGATAGAAACCATGCCAGAAGGCAGAGGTAACAAAGGTGGCCATACTGGCACGGAATCCAGGTTTTTTGCCCTTGGGGGTCACCCGCAGATACATGTAGTTCCGGAGCCAGAGGTTGGTGTTGATGTTCCAGTTTCCGAGGTAGGCGTGAGTGTTCTGAGCGAACTCGATTCCCAAAGGCTTCACGTTTTGGAGGCGGTTCCAGTTGACACGGCCGGTCTTGGGGTCAACACCCTTGTAGCCGATACCGGAGAGAATGCAAGCACCTTCGGTCAAATGCCAGACGCCGTAGTATTTCATGCGAGCAGCAAAGCCAACCATGTGCAGATAGTAGAGACGCTTGAGGAAGTTGTGCTTCATATACTCATCACCCAGAAGCAAGTCTGTGCTGTACCATCCAGAGAAGGTCAGGAAGGCAAATATCCAAACAAGACCATAGGCGGCCTTCCACGCGGCAGGCGTGCCGCTGCGCGGGATCTTGCGCTTCTTCCGGGTTGGAGCAGCCTTGGAAGGATCAACGCCGGGAGGCAGCTCAAACATGCTAGTGGTCAACCATTGGCGGTAATCGACGTAATCGAAAGCGGGGCCGGCGAATAAGGACGGGAAAAACAGCACATAGCCGACGTAGTCCAATATAGAGGGCAGATCACGAAGCGCACGCTCTTTTTGGTAGTCGGAAAGCTCATTCTCGGGCAGGCGGCCATCGTGGACGTTCCAGCAGAAGGCGGTGAGCTTCATGATCAAAACCATCTGGGCACCGGTGATGTCGACATTCTGGGGTTCGTTCCTGAATTGACGGTCGAGGTGATTGACAGACATGTGGCCCATTAAGAAGACGAAGCCGATCCATGGCATCAACGGGCCGTCAATGTACTTGGCGATAGCATAAGCACCAGCTGAGCTGATGAATAGCGTGCGGAGGCCAGCCCAGAGGTCGAACAAGCCGACGAGGTAGAACAGAGAAACCCTAAGCCAGCATGAGAAGTGTGCAGGCGCAGCCCGTAGATATCAAGAGCCGTACGATATTATGAAGGCATTCTTCTGCCAGGGCTTCGAATCGGGAATGCGCTTGAGCAACCCCGCAAGAGGGTACGAGATCAGGAAAGACGCGACGAGTTTGACTGCGGTAGCGGGTGAGCAACGGTCGGTGTTGGATCAAGGAGCACGTACGCTCATCGGTAGAAGCACCCAGGGCGTCAGCGACGTAGGCGAAAGCTGAGCGAAAGTATGATTAGCGGGAAGGACAGTTGGAGATGTTGTGGTAGCGAGGCTGACATACGGGCGTTTATGAAAGGCAGCATGGTGGGCGGCGGGACAGCGAGAGCACAGGGTCAGGCAGTCAGCGCATGACGGGTGAGAAGCGCGGTGAAATGTTGTCGCAGCGAACGCTGAGCTCTGTTGGTTGAGGAGCTAGAGCTTGTATTTGTGCGCGTGGAACGGACCGGTGACGTTGGCGGCTCAGCCCAGACCAAACTGAGATCGGACCTCAAGCTGCTGCTCAGGCCGACTTTTCTACACAACACCGTCCGTCCAACGCACCCAAACCCCGCGTCAATCGCCTCCCGTCGCTGCGCTAGCCTAGCGCATTTCCTCCACCATGTCGTCGGTATACAATCTCGAGCCGCAGCCGACGGCCAAGGTGATTCTGCACACCACCGCCGGCGACCTCTCCCTCGAGCTGTTCGCCAAGCAGATGCCGCTGGCCTCGCGCAACTTCCTCCAGCTCTGCCTCGATGGCTACTACGACAACACCATATTTCACCGTCTGGTCCCCGGCTTCATCATCCAGGGCGGCGACCCCACCGGTACCGGCTCAGGCGGCGAGAGCAGCTTCGATGGCGAGCCCTTCGCCGATGAATTCCACTCGCGTATCAAGTTCAACCGCCGTGGCCTCCTCGGCATGGCCAACACTGGCAAGAAGGATGACAATGGCAGCCAGTTCTTCCTGACCCTCGCCGCCACACCTGACCTGACCAAAACCAATACCATGTTCGGCCGTATCGAGGGCGACACCATTTACAACTTGATGAAGATGGGCGAGGCCGACTTGACCGAAGAGGAGGGCAGCGAGCGGCCTTTGTACCCGACTAGGATCACCGGCACCGACATAATTGTCAATCCCTTTGACGATATGGTCAAGCGCGTACAGACGGCCCAGCCTCAGCAGCAGGAGAAGAAAGGCTCAAAAAAGGTGAAGCGCAAGGCGGCGAAGCAGCTACTAAGCTTTGGCGCCGAAGAAGGCGAAGAAGAGGATGCCGCCCCCGTAGTCAAGAAGCCCAAGTTCAACCCCAAGCTTGTCAGTGCTGGCGACGAAGACACTCCTGCTCCTCCCCGCCCAGCCGCACCCAAGGAGCCCAAGCCCGCAAAGGCACCAGTGCCCAAGCGATCACCATCCCCGCCGCCCAAGCCGAAGGCAGCAGCTCCCGCTCCACTTCCACCGCGCCGCTCCTCCAGGTCGCCCTCCATTTCGTCCGAGTCTGAGCCGGAGCAGGTCAACAAGGTGTCCTCCCTGCTGGAACGCACAAACGCCCAGATTGCTGAGCTGAAGGCCAGCATGAAGCGGAACACTGGATCTGCCGCCCAAGAAGCTCCGAAGAAGAAATCCGCTCTAGAGGCCATGATCCCGGAGACCTCGACGCGTGGCCGGAAGAGGCGCGGTGGCGCTGGAGATTCTAAGGCTGATATGCAGGCTATGGAACTTTTCAATGCTTTCAAGACAAAATTGGAGAGCGCCCCGAAGGAGAAGACGCCACCGCCAGCAGCTCAGCCTAAGGAGCAGCAGGATCCCGCCGCTAAAGAGAAGGCTGCCACCGCCCAAGATGAGGTCGAGGATACTGAAGCTATTCTGTGTGACTTGCACTTCATCCCTAATTGCCAGTCCTGCCGTGCTTGGGATGACGCCCCGGACGCCACTACCGCTAATGACGACGACAATGACGCTGGTTGGATGAGTCATGCGCTTAGCTTCGAGAAGGACCGGCTTGGAAAGGACCTTGAATGGAAACGGAAGAATGAAGAGGAGCTTGTTGTTATTGATCCGCGCGAGAAGGAAAAGGAGATTGTTGGCGAGAAAAGGGCAAGGGGGAACAAGGAAGGTGATGCTGGACGGGACCGGGATCGGAGGGGTGCCGACCGTCACGAGAGAAGGAATGACAGGGACCGTGGAGGGAGGCATGATAGAGGTGGTTGGAGGGACGATAGGGATAGGGAGAACAGGCGAGAGCGGATTGTGAAGAGCATGGGTGCGAGGTGATTTGCGTGGAGCACCCGCTGCCTATACCATGTGCAGCAAGAGGAGGTAGGCCTTAAACTCACGCTTTGATCATTTATATACCACTATTCTGATCCGGTGGTCTCCATGAGGCCTCGCAATGACATCTTGGCATGCACGGTATGCTAGGGGTTGCCCCCCAGGCAAGCAGCTTCGTGTTCGGTCAGCATTGCCGAATGGCTCCGCAAGATCAAAACACATCGCCAACCCGAGCTTTTCGGATTAAGTGGTGCAAGCGGAGGCTTTGCTCGTAGTCTTGGACCATCACATAGCATGTATTTAAGGCTTATGGTCCTATGGTCGAATGGACGTTCATGCACCATAAGCATTGCGAATTTTGTTTTCTTCACGGCATCACATCAGAGACAGGAAAATGCGGGCTTACCAACTGCTGCTTTTATCCTCTTTTGCGCATCTAGTGTCTTGCAATTGCAAATGCGTATGTGCAGCCTCGGTCCCAAACATTCCCACTTGTCCTCCATCCCACTAAAAACCAAAAGATTCCAGGGAATGATTGCTGGCCAAGTCAAGCGGACTGGTCCACATTCAACGCCTCCGTATCTGGAAAACTGCTACAGACGACCCCGGTTGCTGCTTCTTGCTATCCTGGTCCCAACGAAAATTCAACACAATGCGGCATAGTCAACGAGTTCTGGACGAATGCCGAATGGCAAGCTGAACAACCCATCGGATACGACTACCCTTTCAATAGATCATGCCTACCGGTCGATCTTTCTGCCGGGAAAACCCCCGGTAGCTGTACGCTTGGCGACATGCCAGTATTAGCTGTCAATGTGACTGAAGAAGATGACATTGTCAAGACTATTGCCTTTGCAAAGAGCAAAAATCTCAGGCTCGTCATCAAGTCGACTGGACATGATATTCTTAAAAGGTAGGCACGATAAAGGCACTTTCTGGGTTTGCACGCTTGCTAATTGCATAAAAGATCAACCGGATACGGTAGCCTATCCATCTGGCTCTACAACTTCAGGAAGGGCGTTGAGTATCACGACTCTTACTCAACCGTCAACACCTGCGCGACGACCAACTGGACTGGAAGCGCCTTCACCATCAAAGGAGCTTATGCATGGTCCGATGTCTATCCGCTTGCCGACGAAAAGGGGCTGATACTAGTTGGCGGAAATAACAAGGGCCCCTGCAGTACTGGTGGCTGGACACAAGGTGGCGGTCACAGTGGTGTAGGCCGCTACTTCGGCATGGGCGCTGACCAAGTCCTTTCGGCGCGTGTCGTTCTCGCTTCAGGAGAAATTGTTACTGCAAGTCCTTGCTCCCATCCGGATCTCTTTACTGCTCTCCGAGGAGGCGGTCCAGGAACCTACGGCGTCGTCACTGAGATGACTTTCAAGGCCTTTTCTACGCAGAACGTGACCGTCACCTACATCGAGGTTGGCTCACCGACGCACAATACCTCGACTTTCCTCGATGTTATGGAGCAGTTCTACTCCTCCTATCCATATCTGTCCGACATCGGCTTTGCTGGGTACGGCACGTGGTCCATTGGCGCGCCCGCGGCGCTTTTCGGAAATCACACTACGGCTTATACACATTCCTTGACTCTCCTCGGAAGTACCGAGGCCCAGGCAGTGGAAAAGTTCGCGCCAGTGTTGGACAAAATTGTTGGATTCAACGGGTCGGAGATCTTCATCAACATTACACACAAGGAGTACCCCGATTGGGGTAGCTACTTCAACGAGAAGGCCGATACAATCGCACCCGTTGGCAACGTTGGCGTTTCAGCTTCGCGCCTCATAGATGGGGCCGCTCTCACCGGAAACAGCACCTTGCTTCGAGAGAGTCTCGAGGTCATGGCTGGCGCTCCGGAAGAGCAGACATATCATAGCGTCGGTCTCCACGGCGGCGAGATCTTCGCGCATGCCGATGACCCCTACTCATCGCTCTTGCCGGCATGGAGGAAGTCTTATATTCTTGATATTGTTGCCCGGAGGTGGACCGGGGACAAGGCACATGATGATGAAGTGGCGCACGATATTAGACAAGTCAAGGTTCCGGCTATGCAGAGGCTTGCACCGGATACTGGAAGCTACATGAATGAGGCAGACTATGGGAACGTCGATTGGAAGGTGGACTTTTATGGTGCGAACTACGAGAGACTAAGCAAGATCAAAGAGAGGTACGACCCGGACGACACTTTCTACTGTCTGACTTGTGTTGGCAGCGAGAAGTGGGAGGAGGATGCAGATGGCTCTCTTTGTAAAGTGTAGATCTGAGAGTGCAAAGTATGTAGTTTACACTTCCACCGACACCTGTACTCTAACCTTCGTACTTTCCCTCCCACGAGAGCGGCTTGTTTTCCTGAAACCAAAACTGTTCCGCCTCGCTCTTCCATGCTGGAGGAGCCAAGCCGTTGATCTTCCACAGCCTCCGATCCGTCTCATCAATGTGGTACTCCCAGTCGTAGCCCTTGTCTGCAATGTGTGGTTTGAGCGTAGCGTCGACCTTGGCAGTCGTCCTCTTGTAGGCGTCGTCTTCGTCGGGAAGGCGTACGGCGATGTGCTCAATCACAACGCGAATGAAGGGTTTCTCAGGCAGCTTGCCACCAACCCAAACTTTGTTGCGGGGCAGCTCGATGAATTGGACGACGACGTAGAAAGCGGGCAGGCCGATGGAGGTGTAGATCTTGGTAACGTCTTCGGAAAGGGCGCGCTTGGACTCGTCATCTGTGAAGGCCCCAGGCGGGTGGAAGAACAGCCAGAGAGGCATTTTGGCTAGGCGATAGTATTTGAATGGGTAGAAGGACACTTTGTAGAAGTGCGATGAGTTGAAGTTCGATATCTCCCAGGAAACAGGAAGCTGCCAGTCGTTTTTATAGTCTTCATTTGTAGTATGCCCGCAAGTATCGCGGAAGAATCCTTGACCGTACGACGGAGTGATTAGTATACAATAAGTATGGTTTACTGCACAGTGGCATGGCAAATGGACAAGTACATCTTGAGGTATGCGCGGGTTGATTACTATCGATATACATATGCTTTGTGCACGCCCTGACCAAGACCAATGAGCGTCTCTACTCTAGCTACTATTGGGAATTCTAATCATTTTACCGCGGCAGCTCGTGGGATGTAGCAGTTGTTGGCTACAGTGGTTGGTCTAAGCGTTAGCGGAAGCAGGCGTTCACTAATCACAAACGCTGTAGTCTGAGGAACGCCGGGGCTGAATCTACTAATATGCTCCATACCGAGGTTTATTTAAGATGTCAGGGTTCTGCGAATCATAGAAAGCAAGTCGGAGAGTAATCAAAGAATCTGCAGGCGCGATTTCAGCACTAACGCGCTGTTCTGAGACACCTTGTTCTCCGAAAAAACACTAATCTTGATGACTGCAGTGCATTTGTGAGACGTGGCAAGTGCAAATTTGAAGTAATTACAGACAGATGTTAGTGATGGGGTGAGGAAGCCATCCTGAGTGGGAGAGTGTGGTCCTGGGGTGCTGTGGTAGAGTTCACAAAGGACAAATACTCTGTGCTGGATCAAGGTGCAGGGGCCATTTCAGGACACACAAATGTGGATACAGTGAGAACCGAGAAGATTCTGGGCACGGACTTGACAAAGATGGAGGATACAGTGAGCAGTGTATTGGACCAGCAGCTTTCCTCCCCGTATAGTTTCCTATCTCAATGTATACGGGTCCGACGCGTCTGCGTCGAGATTCAGCCAATCCGAGAAGTCATGCCAAGCTAGGATGTTATCGAATGTTGAGGTGTTCAAGGCGGAGAGATTCCCTTGCCGCAAGAACTCGTGCATCTCAGGCCACACAACTGGCAGGGATGGTTGGGCTCCTTGAGTAGCATCGGATTCCTCCCCTCCTGTCGCCGTAGTTGCATTGCTTTTTGATCCTTCGCCAAGAGCCAAAGGAGGAGTACTGCACGTGGTTTGCTGGTATGCTTCTCTGGCATTTTCTCGTAAGGTTCCCAAAATCTTCCATACACAACTCGCGCGGCCCTTCCTCTCGAAGGCCTCTTCGAAATCTGTCAGGATAGAACAATATTCATCAACAACCTCCCAAGCACGGCTTGCCTCTTGCCTCTCTGGGTCATCCTTCAAGCAGTGCAACACGAGGAACAAAGCGTAGAGCTCTGGGTGTCGCCGGAAGAACCAAGCGAATTCGCGGAAGTGTTTGCCAGACTGGAGGAGGTACCCGTGTTCCAGAATTTCCACGGCCATGGTGAATATTGATTGTGGAAGCTGGCGGTATCTTGAAACAGTTGATGACGTCTGTTCGCAGGTGGGGAGCCAAGATTGCAGAGCGAAGTTGAATCGTGACTTCAAGATGAAGAGGCGGAGCATTCTTTCTGCCACATGGCATACATATTTCTGAGAACCCGGGAGCTGTAGCCACCGCCGTGAGATAGCTTCTTCCAGATCCTGAATCGCCTTTTCTTTTGCTTGTGCGTCCTTCAATGTGATTGTAGCGATGGCCTGTCTCAAATTTCGAGATAGGTCAAAGTTTATAAGAGTGAAAGTCATCTCAGTCCAAAGATGCTTGCCAGGTGGGAGGGATGTCATCCCTGGGAAGAGATCGCTGTCGTCGATGTTAAGAGGTAGTCGAAAGGCTTGTCTGCGATCAAGGATGGTGGAGTCGAATCCGTAATCTTCTGGCGCGTAGGATTCCAGGGCACACAGCTGCCACCATAGCCTGTACCTCATCTCGGTCTCGAAAGGGCTCAGGCCTAGACGGGATCCGTCCCGATGAATGCCGAGGGATTCTGCTAACCGGATTGCCATCCCTACGAGAACCCAAACGGGTCTTCCAGTGTCGTGGGTACGCAAAGCCGTCTGTATCCATCAGCCTGAAGCTTCCTTTGTAATGGTTGGATTAGATTACCAGGTAGATGACAAGGGACTGGATGGTTTGTAAATCAGGATAGATCAAGAACTTGGCCTTCATCAAAGATTGGTCCATTCGGTACATGAAATGGCGGAGCAGAGACAAGCGGTCATGACCAAATTGGGCCAGAGCCTCTTCCTTTGAGATAGTAGCCGTAGCAGCAAAGCACACGGCATATAGCAAGGCCATTGTAGTATCACTTGCCGGTTGACTATTCTTGGCGGCGTCCAGAAGATGGGGTTGTGCTGTCGGGATGTGTAGGATCTTCATTACCGGGTCAACGTTTTGCACGTATATATCCCAGAGATCAGCAAAGATACGAGATGACACATGCACGATTTCAGTATGTGGGCCGAAGACGTCTGTTGCTATCATAGCCAGAGGCTGTGATGAATGAAACGGCGGAGGCATAGCATGTGCGGATTGTGTTGCAGTATTTGAAGAATACGCTCGCCGCGAAGGATCCTATGAGAGTTAGCCTTTATTGAAATTAAAAGTATAGTGATACAAACATCAAGAATTAAGTTAACAAAGACGGAATCATCTACATAACTGCCTCTCTCCGCATCTCCAACAAGAATACCTCCAGAGAAAGGCTCAGTCGCTGATGGAGCATGCTGGTGGGTGATACGAGAGTTACTGGACGGGATATTCGGGAGCTTGCCGGCTCCAAGAGACGTTATCAGATTGTTGAGAAGGGTCTCGACGGTGTTGAGCCGACCAAGTATCTCCGAATTGCTGGGATCGCCACCAGGTTGATTAGAAGGTTCAGCCGAAGACTCGGCGGGAGATGTATGAGTTTCCAAGACAGGTGAGCTCTTCGAAAGTCCCCTGAGAGGTGCACGTCTGGAGGTTTGACCATACGTGCATCGGAGCTGCAGCCGGGAACAATGGGCGCAAGGAATCTTCCTATTGCAGCGGACCTTTCGCTGCCGGCATGGCTCGCATGTGGGACGCTCTTGGCGAACTGAGCGCGTTGGAGCATCCATGCAAAAAGAGTCCAAGCTGGTGAGCATCGCCTTCTGCCGTGCTTTGGGAACAAGCGGCTGTGTGTCTGCGAGAAAACGGGCGTGCCGTGAAGTTAGCGCCGCTTACTAATGAAGCTTTCGAGCTATGACATCAACCAGAAGGGACGAGTCTCCACCACCAGAGTTTGGATCGATGCCTACGGCGGAGTGGGCCTTCTGCAATAAACAGATGATGACGCAGTATGGGTGTATTTTCCAGACAAGCATGTCATTGAATTCGTCAAATTCTGCGAATTTGGTGGTCGATGTATTTTGGCTCCACTAAATGCGGAAGTTTACCGATCGGCCGATCGGCCGGTCGGTATCAGTCCGCTTTTGGTTCTCCCTTCACTCCAAAATATAAACGCCAGGACAGCATCTGCTTCATGGACGAAATCGTTTGGAGTTTCACTGACTTTGTACCATTAAGCCGTCATGGGCAAAGAAAACGTCCAGGAGGACAGCCGGTCTGACGTGTCTAGCACACCACAATTGCTCTTCCCAGAGACGGACCTCAGTCAAGGCATTGTTGGATGGGACGGGCAGAAAGACCCCCAAAATCCCAGGTAAGTTTCCCAAAGGGATTAAGAACTTCCAAGCTGACACGAAAAGGAATTTCTCCGCCATAGCAAAATGGACTTTCATGGTTCTCGTCAGCTGCATGATTGTTTTAAGGTACGTTGTCCGCAAAGCTCACCTTTGAGTTCTGATTGACGTATGATAGCTTTCTGGCATCTTCTATTATTGCGCCTAGTGCTTCTCAGATCAATGCGGAATTCCATAACGACTCCGAGATTCTGTCTTCTCTCGTAACCACAATTTATGTGCTTGGGTATATGGTATGCATTCCATCCTGGGATATCCATGAATAAGCCTAACAAGTCATCAGGCTGGCCCTCTCATCTTATCTCCTCTCAGCGAGATCTACGGCCGCCTCGCAATTATCCACCCTGCGAATATCTTCTTCACTCTTACCCACATCGGAGCAGCACTTGCGCCCAACATTGGACAACTTCTTGCGTTCAGGACGCTCTCAGGTCTTGGTGCATCCGCATGCCTTTCTATCGGCGGCGGGCTGACCATAGACCTCTTTGATATACACGATCGCGGCATGGTTAGCGCCATTCTGACTCTTGGATCGCTGTTCGGCCCCGTCTTTGGCCCCCTCATCGGCGGCATTATCACTCAGCGCGCGGGTTGGAGGTGGATCTTCTGGGTCCTCCTCATTGCCTGTGCAGCAGTTACATTAGCCATGGGAATTTTCGCACGGGAAACACATCCTGAGGCAATTATCCGTCGGAAGGTGCAGGTTCTGCAAAAGGAGCTTGGCAGAAGAGATCTGCAAAGTGCGTATGATGCCAGGAAGGAGGATAAAACACCGAAGACCGCCAAATACCTCCTCGCTCGCGGGCTTCTTCGCCCCTGGCAGATGCTGTTCCGCTCACCACTGCTTCCGATCGCTTCCCTTCAGGTGGGCTTCATCTCTGGCCTACTATACATCCTTCTGACCACCACCTCATCTTTTTTCCAAGAGGTCTATGGTTGGTCTCTCGAAGCGGCCGGGCTCGCTTATCTCGGCCTTGGAGGTGGTAGCGCCATGGGCTTCATCCTGTGCGCAAAGGCCTCTGACCTTATCACTGTTCGACTGACAAAGAAGAACGGAAACGTCTACAAACCCGAGATGCGTCTCGTTACATCTTTTCTGCCGGCCTTCTTTATCCCCATCACTTTCTTCTGGTACGGCTGGTCTACATACAACCGCAATCACTGGATTGTTCCAATACTCAGCCTGGCGCCCTTCGGTTTTGCTCAATTTGGAATCAATGCGAGCTTTCAAGCATACATAGTTGACGCGTCTGGTGTATACGCTGCATCGGCGATGGCCTGTGTATCCTCTGTCAGATGCTTGTTCGGGGCTTTCATGCCGCTGGCTGGGCCGAGTCTGTATGCAAATCTTGGACTAAATTGGGGAAACTCACTGCTTGGGTTTGTGAGTGTGGCCATGGTTCCTTTTTCGATGTTGATGTACCGTTACGGAGAGAGATTAAGAGAGAGGTACCCTTTAGATGTTGCTTGATAGCATCAATATGTGTCTATCAATACATAGAGCCGAAATCTGTAAAGAGGGATTGTTGTTGGCGTAGAATGCTAGAATTTGGATAGGCATCTCCCTAGACGGTATTAGCATTGAGGGCGGTTCAAGTGCATGAAGATCTTGTGCCTGATGTAGTTCGATAAGGTGTCGGGGCTAATTGTTCTCAATTGTGCATATTAAAAACAGTCTCAAGCTGCTAAAAATTCTGAAGAGAACTATAGTTTCTTTAAGAAAATTTTCCTTGAGGTAGTATGAGAGCGCCACTTACTTTCGAAAAAATATATCGACTTGAAAGTGATGTTTCACAAGGTGCGACAATAATGTCTTTGGTAAGCGAAGGAAGGCTTCTATACTCATAGCCAAAGAGGAAAGACTGCCCTTCTACAAAAGGTAAATATGTAACGGGGGTTTGCGCCAAAAGCCACATGTACTCCGCCATAACTGGTGGATGGAACTTTCCTTACGGTCGCCGTCGAATTCCTCTGACTTTTGAGAACAGCGCTAGGTTATTACAGGCACACTTGTGATACCTCGCATGGTTGTGTACGAGAAACCAACACTGTGCAAGTAATTGGTTGGGCCCGATCGCTCAGCTCACTGCAGCGGTAACGCTGTGTTACAAGACTCAGCCACACGAGTTGGGAAAGGGATATAAGTCCCCAAGCGCTGAAACGAGCTGTCAACCACTGCAAAAACCTCCGCTTTTCAGCTCTGTTCATTCCCAATCGTCGCTGTGGAAACGTCATGGCGTCGCACGGCCCCCGCAACTTGTGTGTGGCCGTAGCAATCCTCCTTCTCATTACCTTTGCTCGTGGCTCTTGCTTTCTTCCCAATGGAACGGACCGCAACTCCCTTTACAATACTTCTGACGGGTCGGACGCCTACCTGCGTTGCAAGACAACGCCTGATGGCGAGGCTTCGATGTGTTGCCGTCTTGGCGACGAGAGACCGGACACTTGCCGCCCCGACGGCTTGTGCCAGAATGGCAACAAACTCTGGCGCGAATCTTGCACCGACAGTACCTGGAAACAAAAGGGCTGCATACGGCTTTGTATAGACGGATCGATGGGTAACGGCGACATGAGGCTCAAGCAGTGTGACGACCAGAGCATTTGTTGCGATCAGAATGGCTCCGGAGATCAGTGCTGTAACAGAGGGCAGGGGAGGTGGATAGACGAAAATGGAGATGTCGTAAATACCAAGCCTGCTTCCGTGGCTTCCTCGACCGTGGCCTCCTCGGCATCCGCAACGTCTACAAATACTGCAGGTGAGACTTGATTCGCCTCTCAAGATCCTCGGATAAGACAAGGACCACTTTTGCTGAATCTTGAAAATAGCACCAGCGTCTTCATCGAGTTCATCCAATACGGGTGCAATAGTTGGTGGGGTAGTTGGAGGAGTCGGCGGTGCATTGATCATTGTGGCGGCCCTGTTTCTCCTTCTACGACCGAAAAGATCTCCAAAGAATGCGGACTCGGCAGAGGCAGACCACTCCCCTATGTCTCAGCCGGTATTCGAAGTTCCAGTGGCCGAAGATTCGACGATCCACGAGTTGGCAACCGTCCACCATGCAGGAAAGCCAGATGCGAGGCCGTAGACTGTGCTACCAGAGAAAAGGATCTCCCAGTATACAATAATTCGGCCTTCGTACTGATTTCTGGATGGGATGAATTTGTGTTTAATTCGGCTGTTGCCCGAGCAAAATCAGTATGTTCTTTTTCATTTCATTCTTTATGTTTGTTCGGTTTTATTCTTCGTGTTCATTGGCGAGATATTCAAGATGGGCCAATGTTGACGGTAGTTTTATTTATGATGCCGGGGAATTCATTCCTTTGGTGTTGCGGGCTCCTGTGCGAAATAAAAGTTCATTGTTGTCCGGAACCACTTCGACCTACGCCGCTTTCACAAACCCCATACTTTCTGAGCCTTTGCCTAGTTATGAGAAGATCATGGGATGTTGTTAATTATTTGGATTAGGTACAGGTGTAGTCGTTGTGCTTGCCCGAAGCGCATGTGAAGTGCCCCCGCCTACTTCGAGCTGGCGGCTGCTTGAGTTAGACCATCTGCCTTTTACTTCGTGCATTCCTCGGTCGATAACCCGTTATCCCAAGCAGGAATCGTTTACTGGAAGATGCAGGCGACCTTCGGCGTGCGGACCTTCTTCGTCTGAATATCAAGGGTCGTGCACTTGTCTCTCGGAGCATCGAACGCCTTGTCGGCGAAGATCATGTACTCGCCAGCGGCCTGCGGGCACGCGAGCCAGTTGCTGCCGTCGTACAGGATGTCCCCATCGGCGGTGCGTTCGAACTTGTCGCTGATCTGCTCGGCGTTCATTTGCCCGTCGGCGGGATGCGAGTACGAAAAGGCTCCATCAGCCGCACCAGAGATGTCGACGAAGGCTGATTCCATCGTTAGTGCTGTATTGAGGGATCTGGAGTTTCTTTGCGGGCCTACCTTGCTGCTGGTTTTCCTTGCCGTCGCCGAAGATGGCCAGCCAACCGGCATCACCTCCCTCGAAGATCGGTGCGATGTTGCCACAGGTAGAGTTGGTCTCCTTGCCGACGTAGAAGAATCCGTTGTTGACGGTGAGGTATCTGGCGTTGATGGGCGTGCCGGGCGCGGATGCGATGAGCTTGAAGGTTTCGCTGTCGGTGGCGAGAGGAGCGGCACCGGCATAGGCGATAGAGGCGGCGAGGATGGCGAAAGTCTTCATTTTGACTGGAACGAATGAGTGTAGTTGGAAAGAGTGTGGTACTGTAAGAGCGAAGGAATGAGCGACGGACTGACGGTCGATTGGCGTTGTTTGTCGCGGGGAAGCATGCTTAAATTAAAGACACAACTGCACCTTCCCGCTTGACACGCTCGAAAGATACAATGATCATTTCCAATTGTGTAAGGCCTCCGACTGACCATCTGTGTGCGGGGTGTCCTGTCCGCTCGTATTTTACTACAAGCGTTGCATTCGGCAACCAATCTAGTATCGCAAAATTACACTTGCAAGAGATCAGCACTCACGACTGACTTTTTGTTTAGCCCCCTGAGGTTTCTTGCGTGCGTGAAGAGCCTCAAACTTCGCTTATCGCCCTACGGCGTGCCTTTTCCCCCCAAATTGAATGGTACTGAGCTGCGTCGGCAGATATATATAGAAGTGGAAAAAGTGAATGTAGATCCCTCTAAAAGATCGGCGTAAAGGAGAAGCAGTTGGCAGGAGGCGGCCAAATTCGAATCCTCGAAGCCTACCCTTGAACCTTCCATCAGCCTTATGAGTGCAGATTTACATCGGTCGGCTCGATCTACGTTCTTCGGAAAGTTTGAATGATCGTAAACGGCGTCGGCATGCCAACGCAAATGCCACCCGTTCGTCCCGCTAAGTCCCCGCATGATATTCCCGCATCACGAGCCTAATTTCGGTGCACGACTCTTGTTCGATCCGATCTCTACCCGACCCTAAATGGTTAAGTCTGAACGTTCCACATGCATTACAAAGGAAAACAGCATAGGCGCGGCATTGAGGAACTCGACAAAATAGTTGGATGCTAGACACTCCATTTATTTTATTTTCTTTCTTCTCCAAGAACCAAGGCAGAAACGATGGGGTGAGAGATGTTTGGCATGTGATGTCCCATGGGTCAGTATGCTCAAGGGCAACGGGACCGTCAAAGGAATTCGTTGAGCATGCCTGGTGGGCTTAATTCAAGCCACCCCCACAATTGCCCCACCGCGTTTCAGCGCGGCCCGACCCTTAGCCACAACCAAGCCATCTGCCAGGCTGCGCATAGCATCTGTGCAGAGGCGTGGACTTTAAGCTCTCCTCCGTAGTCTGTCGTCCCCTGTTTATGATAAGGAGAGAAACTGATGAGGCATTGCGAAGCAAAAATAAAAAAAGTTAGTGAGAGGATTTGAGGGTCTCCCATGGTGACAGGATCGCCCTAGCGTAGGTGTGGACGCCGGCTCCGCAGACTCCCAAACGTTGTCCTTACAACCATAGAAATGATAAGAAAGTTGCCAGATGTGACGTCAATTTCGAGTCCATTGACATCGCCGCCGGGCTCAACGGGTTGGAGTGTAGTAGCGTTTATAAGGGACCACTTCGCACACAGAGGTCCTTTTGCGTTCGGAGTTCTTTTACCCAAGTCTTTGCTAAGGCCATTGCTGATGCCGAAGTTTTGCGAGAGATAAATTCCGACCATGGCTTGCTGACTGTACGATGAAGGACTGCTTCCAAACGAAAGTCATATTCACACAATACCATGCGCGATAAGTATCACTTTCAACTAAATCGACCAAGACGGGAAACAGAACAGAACTCCATTGATGCAGGAATTAAACAAAAAATACTAATTATCAACCCAAACGACATCGCATCATCAACCCGCCTAATTCGCCCCGCCACGCCCAGCCGCCGCGTCGTACAGAGACTGGATGTCGTCCTTCCACTGCTGGCGGTCGACGCGCTCGAGGCGGCGGTCGTAGGTGACCAGGCCGTTGACCTCGCCCTCGACGTCGGTCGTCTGGGTCCACACGGCGCCGCTGCAGGCGTACATCTTGACCTGGTCCTCCAGCTCGTTGAACAGCACGCGGGCGCGGTAGTTGTACGCGGCCAGGTCCTCGCTGATCTCGTACGTCTGGTTGATCGTGTTGATGGCTTCTTGGACGTTCCACAGACTGTTGCGGGAGGGTGTTGGTGAGTACTAGGTATTAAAAAGTTTTTTTTTTTTAAAGAGGAGGACTTACTGCTCGATGGAGACGTTGTGCCCGATACCGCCGAACTCGCCCTGGAAGCCGATGCGGTTGGGGTCGTAGGGGGAAGACGGGATGGAGTAGAACGGCGCGCCGCACTGGGGCGTGGCGTAGTGATGGTTGTCCTGCAGATTGGTTTGGTTAGCCATCATCTCTGTGGGTGTGCGGAGGAGAGGGTGAGCTTACCGAAAAGTCACCAGCGCCGTGGTCGTACCAGCCGCTGGTGGCGTCGATGAGGCGGGTCGGGTCTGCGGCCCTGATCCAGTCGGCGATCTGGAACTCGGGGTAGTAGCTGGTGATCTGACCCCAGCCCTCGTTGTAGATGACCCAAGTGACGATGCAAGTGTAGCTCTTGTGCTCGTTGACCATGATACCAAGTTGGCGCTCCCACTCGTTCTGCTGGTCAGCGTTCGGCTCGCCGCTACCAAGAAGCATGCTGGGCATGTCCTGGATGACAAGGAGACCGAGCTTGTCGCAGGAGTGGTAGAAGAGATCGGGCTCGACCTTGATCTGTTGAGATTGTTAGCACTCCGTTGCACAACAATCGCAGAGTTGTGGAAACTCACGTGCTTGCGGACCATGTTCATGCCAAGATCCTTCAAGATGTGGAGGTCAAACTCCATGGCCTCGAGGGTCGGAGGCGTGTAGATGCCATCGGGCCAGTATCCCTGGTCGAGAGTGCCGAACTCGAAGATGAATTCGCCGTTCAGCAGCGGCCTTCGCACGCCGTCAATCACACCGGTGGTGATGGTGCGGAAGCCCGTGTAACTGCTGACCTCATCGTCTCCCAGGCGCACGGTGATATTGTAAAGCGAGGGCGAGTCCGGGCTCCATAGCTTGGGCGAGTCGACTTTCAGGCTGAACGAAGAGCCGCACTGGCCTGTTTCCTGGGCGACGACGTGGCCGTTCTCTGTGATGGAGAAGTCGACGGATATGGACTGATTGGTGGAGCCGAAGACGGTGACGTTGACTGTTGACCGCCAGAGTGTTAGCAAGGGGAACGAAACGATCCCCTGCAAGGGGCACTTGACCCCCGGCAGAGGCTGAATAGTGGCTGCTACTTACCGCCGCCATCCGCGCCAGCCGCAACGTCCAGACGGGTAATATGCTGGGCTGGCACGGGCTCGAGCCACACCGTCTGCCAGATGCCGCTGCAGGGCCTGTAGAAGATGTGACTGGGCGATCGGGTTTGCTTGCCCCTTGGAATCACATAGCCGGGCGAATCCGTCGGATCGAACACGTAAACGAGCCTGGGATTCGGGAGTCGTCAGCCGCCAGATCTAGCAAGTTACCCGACATAGGAACGCCGCAAAATAAAAATAAAAATTTACTTACAGTTCGTTGGTGCCATTGAAATTAACATATTTGGTGGCGTCAATGGTGAAGCGAAAGTAGCCGCCGCGGTGGAATCCCGCAGCCTGGCCGTTGATGAAAACGGTGGCTTCGTAGTCGACGGCCTCGAAATTGAGCAGGAGGTTCTGCCCGCGCCAGTCCCTGGGAACGGTGAAGGTCGTCGCGAACCACATGTTGGTCGTATTGAGGTCCTGGATGCCCGACAGGCCGCTCTCGATACACGACGGAATGAGGACTTCCTGGTTCAGCGGGGTCGAGGGCAGCGCGGGGATCTCAGGCGCAAATGCGGCCGCCGCCTGGTAGGTCCAAATTCCGTTGAGATTCTTCCACGCCTCGCGCTGCAGCTGCGGCCGCGGGTGCTCTGGCCACGGGTTCGTCCCAACCTCGCCGGTCCATGGCGTGTCGAGCGGCGGCCTCTGGATCTGGTAGGGCGTAGCAGCACCGGTCGAGGCGGAGCTGGTGTAGGACTGGGCAACAGCCGGCGAGGCTGCCAGCGCAGACAGAACGAAAGCCGCGAACACTCGCATCTTGAGAGTCAAACGAAGGCACGAAGAAGGGTAATTGGCTCTCCCGGGGCAGGAAGAGGGCGCAGACGGGGTGCAAAAGAGCCATGGTATGCGGGCTTATATGTTGGGCACGAGGCCGGGCAAAAATGGTACTGGTACTTGGTGCGGGCAAGGATGGCATTGTGATCGGGCATTGTGACCTCCGCTATTACTTTCGTGCCCTCATGCAATGTTCATGACCTCATGCGGCAGGTGCCAAGGGCTCACTGACTGCAGCGGCTTGGCTATGGGACGGCGCTCTTGGACGCGTCGCCCAGGCGGCCTGCCACGATGCATACCAACTCCAGCTCAGACCAGCGCAAGCCAATCTAAGCCCAGAACTCTCTAGAAGTGCCCGCCCCAAGATCTGGCGAGAACCTCTTGTTTAGACTTCGTTCATTTAACTGTATTGCAATGTTGACAGGAACCGTGTTTACAGGGCAACAAGAAAAAAAATATAGTACGCAACGGCGGAGCGGTCTCAGCTGACTCTCTGCTCGGGACGCGTGCTCGGCATGCGGGGGTCACTGATCGCTGGTGATCAGTTGCCAAGCTGGCGGAGGAGCAGTGGAGGCGGTCATTGCAGGAGCCCCGCCATGGCGCCACATCCGGAGCCTGGTCCAGACCAAGATGCGGAGAAACACTGCCATGGCGCCACAGCCGCTTGGAGGCGCAGGCGGGTTTATGCCGGCAAGCCCCCCGTACCATCAGTGGCTGCTGTGTGTCCACGACAGCGCAGACTCGTCGAACGGGGCAACGTGCGGGAGCTTCTTTTTGCCCCTCGATGTTTCTTGCATGCTATTCTTGGGCATGTCTGCAACTCCGGCCTGTCTGGTAAACGTGCAGATCGCAATGTACCGGTCAGCAAAGCGGATTCGGCGGCGTGGCAGGGAACAGGAGCGCCATCCCCGCCGGCCTGCATGGCCCCAACAAGTCACCGCTCAGTGAGGGGTTTCCGGCGCCCTGGCGCATCCGATTTTCCGCTCAATCTCTGACGCTCGACGCCGATAGCCGCACCTTGTCTGCACCTACAAGCTCGTCACCGCCTTGGTTTTGGCACCGTAAGCCGAGCAGGAAGACGGCACGGCCGTCGGGGGGCTCAACGAGCATAACGTCCGCTAACGACTCCGGTCCCACCCTTCGTGATTTAATCTTCGCCCTGCCCAATCCCAGCCCGCGGACGCGTATGTTCCTGGACCGACGTGCATCGCGATATAGCTTTTCAGATGAAGGATGCCTACCCCCGCATGAGCCGCGTCTGCAGGCACCGAGCCAGCACCGAATCAAAGCGCGCGTAGATCCGGGGCCGACGGTGGAGCCGCCGTGGGGGCCGAAGTCCGCCAGTACTAGTAAACGAGCCCCTATGTACATGTAAATGAATACTCTGAACAAGGAAGGTCACTGCACGAATCTTCAATCGAACTTTGGCTAGGATTATGATGACAGGACTCCTGAAATACATAAACTTTCGTATACACATACGCGGAGTTGCTGCTTTCTCTTTAGCGCGCAAGCAGACCCTGGGCTCCCGTTCCGCCACACTGTTTCGGCCTCTGTTCGGTTACTCTATTGCTCGGCTCAGACCCGAAAGGCGGAATCTTGGGTTGAATGAATAAACGGCGACTTCGGACAACGCCCCTGTTGAGCCTCGAGACCCCCCCACACACTTCATTGTCTTGGTTGAGGCATTATTCCAGGCCAAGAGCGATAGTAGCGCCCCCCTATGTATCAAGTGATAATGCTTACACCCTGGCCCACACAAACTTTGGTCTGCTCACAGCTGGTATCCTAATATACTAGCGCATTCCTAGCCTCTTGGGGTGCCACGTGCCATTTCGGCTCGCTACCGACTAGTCCTCTGACCGCTGGTCACGCTCGTACGAACCGCCGTAGGCCATGAAACAACTGCAAAATCTGGGGTATCAGAAGACCATGATGCCAAGTGGAAGCCCCCTTGGCGAGCCAAGGCGATTTAAACGGTTGTTTACATCTTCGACGGGGACGAAGCAGACCAGCCAATCAGAACCTCCGCACGCCGCAACTACCTGACGGAACTGCTGTCCTGCCTACTCCAAGCCACCCAATTTCACGATGCATTCAGCAACAAGGAACATGAGGCTGGGAATGTTACTCGTGCATCACAGGCTGGATGCCGAACATACTCGGGCTTGTGCATAGCAATCCAGCCCCAAATTAGACGTCTCGTGCGAGAACACCCAGCCAAGGCTACCGAACGTGGCTGGGCACAGAATCGTAAACAAACCGCCCGCATGCGGGACGCACAGACAGATGCATGACATATTGCCTGCCGTGCCTACATACAGACCTACCCCGCAAAAAAAGCAGCGTAGCGCATGCACTCAGTTCCTGAGGCCAAGCGCTAGCCGCCACGCACGCGCTGTACAACGTTCCTCACACGGCTGATCCGTAGAACTGTTCAAGACATGCTGCAACATCCCCTTGCAGTCCCTCAGCACGAAAAATGCCGAGTTCGACCGAGCACTACCAACCTCCGTCGCACACGCTATGTGTAACCATAGAGAGGTACCCTAACACCCGAACCGAAGGAATGGCGGTGAGCATTTGGCGCCTCGAGCTGCCGACCGGACTTCTTCCCTTGCTTCTACACAACGAGCTCGAGATTCTAAGCAGTGCCACGTCTTGCGGCACCGTGAACACGTCAATTCGACTAAGACGATTGCTTGGCGGGCAGAATGGTAAGTTGGAGAGCTTTCCGGTGAAGGAATTTCGGTGTGGGCAGAATCTCGCCCACATGCGGCTCGGCCGCTCCATTCTCTAGCGGACCACAAACATGTTTGTTTTTCTTTTATTTTTTGGTACCGCTTTGCAGCCACCCAACCCCCCCTTGGATGTCTATGATGCAATGCAGGGACATTTGCTTTTTGCACACGTTGTTGCTGCGGGCGACGCGCACAGAATAGCGAGGGATACCTTGCATTGTCAGTATAACTTGATTTGCTCCTATCGGCTTAGCACGCACAAGATTCAATGATAGTGCTCACTTGTGTTTACTGCAAGTGCTTTTACGGTCAATTCTGTTTCATTAAAAACCTAACAGAATTGACCGTAGAAAAATCATAGCCAGACATATAGATAGTCACCATGTTCAAAATCTCGATCCACCATGTAAATGTGATAGATATAACCCAAGATCTACAATTTTATTTGTGGCGTCGAAGAGGACCCTGTGAAGTGAGAGGTCAGTGGCGAGGAAGAGAAAGTACCCCGCTTCCGGCACCGGTTGTTGTGATTTCGACCCTGAGAAGTCTTGGCTGCTCTGAGATTGCGCTATGTGACGATCCCGATGATGGTTCCACGTGGCTGATGAATTTGAAGCAGATCGGCGTGGCTCGACAGCGGATCGGGGCATAATACTGCATCTCCTTCCCCATATTCCATTACATGCGACTTATAAGTTTTCGATCATTCTCGATGGCACTAACGCTTTACAGCGACCTGCATATGTTTGGAAGCAGTAGACTATTGGAAACAGATAATCTCTCCCTGTACCTTGGGTCTGTTCACAATATACGGTGGTTCAACTGCTCTTGTTGCCTATTTGGGCTCGACCATAAGCCACTACGTTGAAGCGGCTTGGCACTCCGGTATTAAGGTTTACATGAGCACCGCCGTATAAGCTGACCATTAAGATGCATTTCCGAAGTCCTCGATGACGCTTCGTGGATCGGTGTATTCACCAACTCCGACGAACGGTATGGTCAGCCCAAACCCGGGAGGTCCACCCACGTTCAGTCCCTGCTCCGTCTTCCACAACGGGTGCGACGGCATGCCAATCACACTCACCACCAAGCCATAACGTAAGTCTTGAGATCCAATCGCTTCACCGTCTTGGCCCAAGATCGAGATCAAGTCTGGCACCGTGCATACTACTTCGGCCGAGTCCAGTGCGCCGGTTGAGTCTGTGTATGCAGCATACAAATATTCGTTCTGGAATGGGATGATCATGTGTCGGTCCGAAGTGGGGCTTTGGGGAGTGGCGGATACACTGGGATCATCCTTATTGGGAGCAAGGAGAACACTGCCCATAGTGTAGCCGCCGCTGATGTCACGTCGCACGTCAACAATCTTTCCACTGAAGAGAAGCTTTCCGGGATTGACAGCGAACTATTTAGATGTGCTCGTTAGTGTTCAAATGGAACTTTAAAGCCCAGAGATAGATGTAGCGGCTTACTATTGCGTCAATATGGTTTGATTTCAGCTTTCGCGCCATGTGTACGGCTCTCCCGATGTACCAGGCCTGGGAGATGGTATTTGGAACACCGTGCTGTTTGATGGCGGATCCACGAAGCGGGGATGCGCATACTGCACACCCAAGGCCCAGTTCTATGGCTGTCGTCCGCAACATCGACTCTACCCGTATGGGAGATTCTGCGCTCTTTTCAAACTGGTCAGCCGGGGTCGGTAGATGTCAACTGCAGAGGGCATATCTATACCATAACGACTGACACATTTCCACGGGCATCTCCTAATGCGCACGGTGTGATGGAGTGGCCGTTAATGTATAGGGTTGCTGGAGCTTTAGTAAGCATATTTGTCCAAAGTCGCATGCGTTAAACTTACCGTGATACATTGTCGGGTAGGCTCTCCCCATAGCATCGCCGTCGATTACTGGGACATCATACTTTACACCTGTAGGGAAAGCAGATAGACCATTGCCGCCACCTCTGCACGAAAGTCAGTAACAGATCGTTGAAATTTTTGGGGGCCACGAACATTTCATCAGTGAATACGGCATCGAATGATTGGTGGCCGAGCACTTTGAGCAGAGTGTTTATGCCATTGGAAATTTCGTCGCCACCTGAGATCCTTTCATTAATGACGCTTGGTGCGCCGTACCAAGATCCGAAGCAGATTATATCCGAGTCCTTGACGGCGGATGGAGAGATGACACGCATTTTCCCGGCGCCACCCGATCGTAAAGTTTGAAGTCCTCTCAAAAGGTCGTGATGAGTTGGGCCGCCACCCCCTGTGCCAAGCACACCCGCGCCCGTTGCGATAAACTCAAGGTCCATTTCAGAGACATACCATATTCCACTTTCAACATTTGGCCGGTACGTATCAATGTCAACAAACAGTGACGGCTTTGTTGTTGGTTCCAAGGCATCCGGGATGGAAACCTTAGGTCCTTCGAGCTCATCATCCTCTCCATCTTGAATGCTGACTTTACTGGTGGTAAGATCTCTCTGGCGGGCCTTTGCTTCCGGAATAGCCAATTTTCCTACAGCCCTAACTTGCAGCCGAATTGCTCTATTCGTAGTATATTGCAGAGGGATCTTATTGATCTCGACAATCTTGACATCTTTCGGGTCTGCTCCTTTCTCAGCTGCCTGGCTGGCCGCCCGTTGGCATGCTGCGGCAACGACGACTTTTTCGTCTGCATACTCCAGGATTTCGATGACATCGACCTCGCCAGAGACCTTGGCAATTGCTGCACCAACCGCATTTGCGGCGCCGTGGTGGATCGGAACGGTGAGCTTGGCAACGCCCTTCAGACTGCCGGATACCAGGAGGGACCCTCCACCCACCAACAGGACATGGACAGGTGCCGCCGATATCCTCATCCGCTCGACCACGGCCTCGATCATTCTCTTGGTCTTGCTCCGCGCTTCGCTGACCACGTCAGGAGGCACACTGCCGGTCAGGCTGCGATCACCGAGCTCGGCTTCCCCGCAAGCTACCGCGATATCCGTCGTGGTCAGGGTGGAGCCGCCGAAGACGAGGGCTTCGGTAGTCAGATAGTGGCCGACGGAGCCCGGCCCGATGGTCACATCGCCAGTCTCGGCCTGGACCTCGACTTTGCTGCCGCCTCCGAGGCCGATCGACACGACCTCGGGCATCGAGAAGGCCGTCCGTATGCCGCCCACTTCGACGAAGCCGGGAGCTTGGCGCGGGAAGCCGGACGGCAGCAGCGCGCAGACGTCCGTCGTGGTGCCGCCGATGTCGACGACCAGAACCTGGAATTCCTCATTTTGGTCCCCATCGTCTAATTTCTGTCCTGTTGGTGATACGCCTTTTGGTTTGTCCAGGCCGGCGAGGAAGGCGGCTCCGGTCATGCTGTTCGTGGGCCCGCTGGCAAAGGTCTTGATGGGATGAGCCGCGGCGGCGTCGGCTTCCAGCAGAGTGCCATCGTTCTGGGACAAGTAGAGGGGGCAGCTCAGTCCCAACCGTGCCATGGCACGTTTGAAGCCGAGAATTGTCCTTTTCGCGGTGTTGAGAATTGCAGCGTTCAAGATGGTGGCGTTTTCACGCTCGAGGATACCGGTGCTTCCGAGGTCTCGCGAGCAAACAACAGTCAGTTCTGGGGCAGCCTCCAGCATGATTTTCTTGCACGTTTCTTCGTGAATGCCGGCATGGTCGAGTGGTGCAAAGACGCCCACAAGCGCCACACAACGTACGCCCGATGCAACAATTTCAAGGGTAGTCTTGCGTATCTTGTCATGATCCAATGGTGCAATCTCACGGCCGTCGATTTCGAGGCCTCCATCGAGGTAGTAGGCACCGCCATCTAGGACACGACGAAGGCCAGCTGGGAAGTCGGAGAAGGGCGGGATCTGGCGGGTGAAAGGACCACAGAGTCTCACTACGGCGACCTTGGAGAGCCGGCGAGCATCGGCTTCTACCAAAGCATTGATGAAGTGAGTGGTTCCGATGGTGACGCTGAGCACGTCTGCTTTGCGGACGTTGGAATCAGCGAGGACATTCTGTACTGCTCTCTCGATTCCACTGGTTATGTCTGGCGTTGTTGCGGCTTTGAAGGATGCGAGCACGCCACGGTTCGGCTGGTCGAATGCTGTTATGTCGAGGATTGCCGCGTCGGAATTGGTGCCGCCGACATCGACGCCGATGCGATACATGGTCGTTAGCTTGTCGTTATATTGGGACGCAATGCGGGACGTGACAGAGAAGCTTGATAGGCTACGAACGAATACATATAGGTACTTCACATGTGGGAACGATTCCACTCCCGAGTCCCTGGTCAAGGTTCCAGACCAATGAGAACGCCTCAGTGCTCTATTCAGCATAGCATCTATTGGAATACATCTCGGCTAAATGAGATGTGAACCCGATCGGGATCTCCTCGGCTGACCAGGTTGTGGGGCCGGTTGCCTTTTTCGGTCGGAGAAGTTGGAAAACCAATGCATCTTTGTACGCTGCGGCAAGGAAGGCTTGCGTGGACCTGAGCTAAGTATGCCGCTAGCGTCTGCCGAAATGGCTTTCTGCAACGAACGACATTACATAAAATCCTGTCGGAATGACACCGACTGGTTTGATCAATCAGCTTGGTTATCGCTGTAGATAAGGAGGACGAATATGGTTACAGTACCGCTCACCGTCGGACAGTGCCGTCTACTGGCCACCATGCCCCCACTTTTGTCACTTCGAGCTGAAGAGCTGCAATTATTCTTATCTCTCTTCTCCTGGCTGAGTTACAGTTTGCTTCCACAGTATACTCGCCGTTGCCATGGCTCTCCGGTCCTGGGTTGCAAAGGCGGAGCTTCCATTTGTTTCGAGATGGATTGTAAGTTTCAGATAATCCTTCGATGTAGCCAGAGCTGACAGGCAAGCCAGAACGACGATATCCGACCTATAGAAACCGAGAGACGGACCTGGGGGTTCCTTACTTTTCACAATTACTGTAAGATACTTTGAAGGTAGTTCTAATAGAGCAGCTGACCAACAGTACCAATTAGGGCTTCTCATCAACTGCAACATCGCTACATACCTAACAGGGAGCGCTCTAATCCCTCTGGGTCTTTCCTGGTGGCAAGCCTTAATTTGTGAGTACGTAAACTGGGGACGATTGAACCTGTCACTTACTATGTAGGTATCGTCCTTGGGAACCTCCTGGCTACGCTGGCTGTTATTCTGAATTCACTTCCTGGTGCCCACTATCATGGTAAGTAAATCTATGTTCAACTTGTGACAATTTCTCATTGTCTGCGCAGTTGGCTTTCCTGTCATCAATCGGGCAGTATGGGGAATGTGGGGATCGCAGTTCCCTATCTGGAATCGCATATTCCTATCCCTCATCTGGTATGGCTTCAGCGCTTGGGTCGGAGGTGAATGCATTTACGTGATTCTACTCTCTTGGGACCCGAATCTGGAGCAGCACATCCCGAATCACATGCCAAGCGACATCGGTATGACAACCGCTTCATTTGTGGCATACATCATCTTTTCCGTGATCTCATTGCCTCTGATCTGGATCCGGCCCCATCGTCTTCAGAAGTTCTTCTATGTCGCTGCGACTGTGACGATAGTCTTTTTCGTTGTCCTGTTGATTTGGGCATTGGCAACCATGGGCCCTGCTGGATTCGGCAGCACACTGAGCAATGATACAACACTTCCCAAGACTGGAGGCCCCAACAGTGTGGCATGGCTCATGGTCTATGGAATCATATCGACCATTGGATCCATCGCGGCTGGTATCCTGAACCAGAACGACTACGCACGTTTTGCTACCAAGCCCAAAGATGCAATCTGGGGCCAAGCATTAGCCTTCCCCTTATACGGGACTTTTACATCCGTGCTCGGTATCCTGGTCACAGCTGCGACGCAAGAACGCTTTGGAGGTGAAGCAATTTGGAATCCGCCGACGCTTTTCCAGCAACTCATGGTGCAAAACAATAGCGCAGGAACGCGCGCCGCGGCTTTCTTCGCCGGGCTATGCCTGGTTGTCTCGCAACTGGGCGTTAATATCCCAGGAAATGCTCTCTCCGGCGGTTTCGACCTCGCCGCGACGTTCCCCAGGTATCTCAATATCCGGCGCGGCGCCTACATTACTGCTGTCTTCAGTGTTGTAGTAAATCCGTGGCGATTGGTCAACACGGCAACGACGTTTCTCACTGTGCTTTCCAGCTACAGCGTATTTTTGGGTCCGATGACAGGCCTCATGGTTTCGAATTATCTTATTGTGAATCGCCAGAAGATCAACGTGGATCATCTCTACATTGGCAACAGTAATAGCATATATTGGTACAAGTACGGAGTTGAATGGCGGGCTCCTGTAGCAGTAAGTACTTTTGTTGGCCCAACTGTTTATGCAATATGAAGCTAACATCTACTCGCAGTGGCTTCTGGGCGTTGCGCCCTGCATGCCCGGCTTCATAGCCGCAGTCAATCCCTCCACGTCCGTTTCGGATGGTGCCACGGAGTTGTACTATCTTTGCTACATCTTTGGGTTTCTGGCTTCTGGCTTCGCCTATGCTCTTCTCCACTGGGTGTTTCCCTCGAAACCGTTGTCACAATTTGTGGCGAAATCAACGTCGTCACTCAAACTCCGCCGCATGTATCAAGACAGATGGGATGTTGCGCTGCATGAGACAACCGAGATTCTGGATGGGCAATCTCTTGATACGGTCAAGGTAGACCCTGGTAAGTTTGATGTTGCAGCAGAGCGAGAAGGGACGTCAAAGGTGCGCAAAGTGGGGGACGTCTGAAACAGGCTGAGGAAGACTGTTCGCCAATACATTTTTCATTTCAGATAGCTATCTCCGTTTCTTATTTAGGGTTCTGGCTTTTTTACTTATATTGGTTTCATAATTTCGTTTCCCTACCCTAAAATTCGAATACATTTCAAGCCCCATTCCTGACCACAGTGTCGAATGCCTCGGCTACGCGCTTGATATTGCCTGAGTTGAGGCCGCTGACGTTAATGCGCCCATTCTCTGGCATATATATGTGGTACTGGGCAATCAGCGCACGGGTCTGAGCTGCGCTCAACCCTGTGAATGAGAAAAGCCCATTCTCCTCGAGAAGGTGACTCCAGTCGACGGAGGTGCTACCACGAGATGTCACCAGCTCGTGTAGCTCCTTCCGAAGGCCTCTCATCCTTTGTCTAGCCGCTTCGAGTTCGGATTGCCATTTTGCTTTGAGCGCGGGGTCGCTTAAGACAATGTTCACCAGCTCCGCCCCGTACGCGGGAGTTGAGGACACTTCCCATCTCGTCAGTGCCCTGAGCTGATCCAAGACATTCGCGGCGATGCTGGAAGAAGCGCAGACTACGTGCAGCGCTCCGACGCGCTCCGAGTACAAGCCTGCATTCTTGGAGAACGATTGGCAGACTAACATGTCGATTCCCCTGTCAACGAAGTGTCGGATCGCCCACGCATCAGTCGCGCTGTCAGTGCCGAGGCCCTGGTAGGCACAATCGAAGAATGCAAAGTGACCTTTAGTCTGCATGATGTCGGCGATCTGGGACCATTGATCCTTCGTAAAGTCCCGTCCAGTCGGGTTGTGGCAAACGGCTTGCAAGACGATAATGCTCTGATTTGGCGCAGATTGAATTGCCTCGACGGTGCTCGCCATGTCGATGCGACGCGTGAGATCCAGATACTGGTATTTCTTGACGTTGGAAAACCCAGCATGTTGAAATAGAGGGTCATAGTTCCCCCAAGTGGGAACACCAAGGTAGACCGGCTGCTCGTTTTGAGACGGGCTCGGTCCAGCTGTCGACGATGGCCAGTGCTTGCTAAGGAAGACAGCACCAATCCGACAGGCTCCCGTCCCTGCTACGGTTTGAACTGTCGCAACCTGTGTTAAGTGTGAGAATTGATTTTGCTAAACTTCGCTTTCAACTTACACGGTTCTCTTTGATACATGCGCTGTCATCGCCGAAGATCAATCGTGCCGCGTTGTGTCTGAAGGGCTCAATTCCGGTCGTGGGTCTGTACTGTTGGGTGTGTTAGTCAAATGGTTCAAAGGAGTATTGTCCGTCGCAGTCCTACGTCATGACCGATGCGTCGTTGCGCGAGTATAGCTTTTGCCTGTCCGTAGAAGTCAGCCAATCACATTCAATCATGGGCTGATGGGTTGTCGATATACTAACCTCCTGCACAACAGGTATTTCGTAGCATCCTCCTTGCTCATCTCGCAAGACGCCAACGCCCAGATCTACTTTCGATGGCGTCGGGTCTTCATCGTACTGCCGCTTCAGTATGTTTATCGGGTCCAAAGGGCCCTTCTGCACGTCGCTGAAACTAGCTCCAGAAGACATTTTTTTTAACTCCACTGATCAATCTGTTTCGGGGGTGCTGAGGTGGGATATAAGAGAAGTTATGGGTTTCTTGGAGACGCTCACTATTTAAACTTGTCTTCCGCCGGGATGGGGCAACAAGTTATCCTCTTCGGTAGATTCGGCTACAGGATACGCGGGGATGAACTCACACATGACGTTTGGGGTATCGGATTTGGTGTCCGATGCCATGTTTGGCCAATCGGCGTGAGAGGCCGGTCGGTCAGGCTCCCGATCCGAACGGCATGGCGGTCCGTGCGGGTTGATAGTACTGTCATGCTTACGGTGATTCTCATTCAACAGGCTTCGCTACAAGAAACATGGAGATCTACATCTGGCGAAAGGCTTACACATGCTCTTTTACTATGGCTATCCTCATTCGACGAATGCTTCATGGGGTTGCCACCGCCAAGACTGGAGCGCACAGGTTGATCTTTTGGCATGACCGGGTGACCATCCGATCTACCGGCTTCCCATCCGAGAATACTGACAGGACTCCTCTGTTAGTTGCTCACATGGTCAATTCACCTTGCACGGGCTTGAGACCGTGATTGGCCAACTTTTGGCCATTTCTATCCAGAATCTGTGGTGAGGTTGTACTTATCGGCGGCCACGCCGTTCGCTTAATTGATCGACATACTAAATCACTGCTGCAAAGGCCCATCATGACGATGAATGATGATATTGGCAACAATGCCATTCTCATTTACAGAGGCACTTAATCACAATTATGGGTTGCCAATCGATCATATAATTCTGGCTATAGCTATACCAGTGAACTTTCGGATGCTTGACCAGAAACCAGAAGCAGAATGACTGAGAAAGAAGCAAGGGAGGTGAGATTTGTGACAGTAAGTTCGAGAATTTCTTGAATAAAAGTAGCAGTCGAAGTCTTCACATTACGGGTTGGCTGGATAAGACGGAAAGATGCTTGGTGGCCTCAGTTGAGATAGAGATGGGGTTGGGATGACTATCTTTATTCAAAGTAAATACTTAAGAGCTCCAACCATTCCAAAACTGCATTCCGATAATGAACAGTCTATAACATTTATAATTAATCATCTTGTGATTCCCGTAATCAGCTCAGATACAACGACAGTGATTCTATACGTATTCCCGCAATATATCACAGTACAGTTATGCCAAGAATAGAGCGGACTCACTGCAGAAATTCGCTGTCTGTACATTTTGAGACCAAACAGATATTAGCATTCCTAATGCGCCTCATACACTTCATCGTCATGGAGTGCAGCTAGCAATTTGGTTCAGGAATGTAGACCTTGCGGTGCAATTCGTGCCGAATTACATCATCTTTCGGTTAAAATTGGTATTGGAATTGTACGAGTACTAATTGTGCTACTTTCGTTAGCCTTTCCGACTGGTCACCGTATCTCAAGTAATGTATCTACGCAAGCCCTATCTCAAAGACTTCTTTGCTTGAATCACTCAGACGGTCAAGTAGACGGGTTTCTCTACAACGACTGTGTGTGTTACACGAAACCCAACACGTGATAGCCTTATTGTCTCACACAGCTACCCCGCAGCTTACGGAGTTTATCCAAGAATAATCATGAAACAGTCGCACACATGGTTGCAATATGGATTCAGCCACAAGAGCACCACACGTGGTCTACGCCAGCAGACAAGTGCCGTTCACCCGTGTTCGTGAGCTTGGGCGTGGTGCTTTCGCGATCGTTGACGAGGTTCGGCCCCCCAGGTGGACGCAAGAGCTGGGGCATAATTTCGACGGAAGAACATTCGCTCGTAAAGTCCTGAAGGTGTCCAGGCGGCAGAAGAGAGAAGAAATCCTGGCAGAAATCGAAATCGCAGCCAAGCTCCGCCATTACCATCATGTCGAAGTTAAGATGACTTACGAAGAAACGCCGAGCAATCCTTGGGAGATGCAAACCTTTGGCATGATCATGAACCCAGTGGCACAGTACACACTTCAAGAGCACTTTGACGTTATCGAAAAGACGGGACTGGAAGACCCATGCATAAAAAAATGGTTCGGATGTCTAACGAGTGGATTGGCATTCCTCCATCTGCATCGCATCAGACACAAAGACATCAAACCAGCCAACATCCTCGTTCGAGACGACTCCGTACTTTTCTCCGACTTTGGTGTATCCAAGATCATCGAACCTGAAGTGGTCGATACTCAAACCGAAGGGCCTCCAGGAAAACTAACATACAAGTATGCTGCACCAGAGGCCATTGCACACGAACGTCGAGGCCGGAAAGCCGACGTATTTTCCCTTGGATGCGTCTTTGCGGAGATGATCACCATTCTTTGTGGTACACCAAGAAGCGTATTTGAAGAGTACCGAGGCCCGCCCGGACAACAGGCTTTCCACGAGTCTTTGGATAGAACTCTCCGTTGGCTTTTTATCCTGCAGCCACAAGCACGCGGGTACCAACACTACTGCTGCGCCTGTATGGTACCGGATCCAGATGTACGCATCAGTAGTCACGATTTGGAGAAATGGATTATTGGCGGCTGCGAAAATGTCTCCGGGACGCTAGGTAGCCGCGGTTGTGAGTGTCTGGGGACTGAACCAGCCGGCGAATTCCGGACCGTCAGCTTAGGCGAAGGACCGTGTATGCCACCTTACTCTGATGCACTGGATGGTGAGATAGATATCACCTGGACAAAAGCGATGGACTACTGGATTGGTATTTGCAAATGGTCCCAAGACACGCCGCGAACAGTACCTCAACTTTTGAGCACCACAGCTCCATTGCTGGCTGAAGATTTCCCTGTGGATGCTGAAAGGTTCTTTGAATCTGTTGATTGAGGATGAGCAACTCCGGTCAAAGTCCTGGTGTAAGACCCTTGTTAGGATCACAGTGGTGGGACTGGGTACTGGGATTTACATGGAAGTATACTGGCACTCAGGGTCCAGGCCATTGGTACTGAATATTCTCACCGGACTGTTGGTTATTATCTCCATCATTTCCAACAATTGGAAGGGAATATCGCCCCACATATCTTCAGTCAGTTCCTACGACCCGTTATTGGAAATAACTCAGCAATTCACTTTGGATTGTTGGGTGTCTGACTAGAGGATATTGCGAGATTTACCAATGCAAGATTGTTGTTGGAACGCAAGCTGAGATCACGGCTTGAACAAGAGGACTAAAACATACGATATAAATTTCTTTCGACTAGACACGAATCATGACGAAATGGCAGAGAATCGCCCAAAGTCCGGGGTACTACTCTGAATTGGAGGTTTGCAACAGAAGTGTTGAGAGGGAACCCTCCATGGGACTGAATACGGAAGCTCCGGCAGGATTGCTGGCGTCTCATTGTCACGTTGATTACCCCGCATCGAACTCCAACATGAATGTTCGAGGCCTTTGTTTAGCGTTCCCACAGAGTTTACCAGGCGCAAAGACGACATGTCATTACCTGTGGTAGCTTCGTGCATGTAAAACCCCGAATAGCTCGAATTGCCTTGAGCCTTAAGAACTCTGAGATTATTGGTTGATTGTGGGCTCCAGTAAGAAAGACAAAGCAACCGATCACTCGGCTCGTTTTCACGGAAGCGGTTACTGTAGCCGACGGGTGGCGCGATCAGCTTATATTTGCAATTCGCACGTGGAACAGAGCGTTAATTATCATATCTTGGGCGAATATTGCCGTTCTGTTAGGGATGACATGTTTTCTGTTGGTCTGTAGTGACTTTAGTACTTTAAGTTATTACTAAACATAAAGGCAATAACTGGCTAGCGTTCAGAAAGTTTTACTGCAAAGTTTCGACCAGGTAGAGGAACCTTCAAGTGTTCAAGCAACAACGGTAAAATGGTGTTTCGAAAACAAGACATTTGAGCCATCTCTGCTTTGCATGATGAAAACCTCAATAGTTTATGGGACCGAACTGCGGAGGATCATTAGCGCATCCAGCAACCAAGTGGCCAGGCCTAGAAACCCATCCACCCCCGAGCTCGTCGCCAGTTTCAATATCTCAATTGAAAATGTCTCACTTGAACAAGATTACAGTACGGTTCATTTCGACGACCCGAGTTCCTTGATCAGATCGACGGTTTGCGCACATGCCAGGTAGTATGGCTAAGCTCTCTATCTGATAATGCCGCAGGTCCTGCAAGGAGAGAACCTTCGGACTGTCGTTCGGTTTTCCATAACGGGTTAATGAACTAAAAATACGATACCGATGAATGCGGGGTAGATCAATGTGTCCCTGATGATACTAGCTCGCCCGCTGAATCCTGGGCTTTCAACCGTGTTGCACGCGCGGGGTAGGTGGGCTGGTGCATTTAATTGGGACCGAACGTGCCGTGGTCGGCAGAAGTTGTTGTAATGAAGCAAAACATCGCTGTCATTGTGCATAAGTATCCTTTGTTGGACTACGAACTTCTCGAGATCGGACAGTCCCTGTTGGCTAGTCGTAATGCACGTTGCGTCGCGCCCCGTTCCGTGCGGGGTTAAAGTAAGCTAGCTAGTCTGTTAATCATGATCGAGAGGCATCCGGATTGCTTGTCTTCTGCGCTCTGCCTTTCCTAATCCCAGTGAAGCAAGTGATGGCCCATTGCAATGCACGCGCTATCTTCCGGTTGGCCCATCTGTAGGACTTGGCATGGGGTAAGTCTCCATTCACCCTTCCCATTTCAGCACTACGGCACCTTATCAGTAAAATGTGGATTGCGCGATAGATCATCATGTCAGGTCTGCGGCTGAAGCTGCAGGTTTTTAGAGTCGTGAACAAGCCGCCGCGATGCGAGCGCGGGAACCATAACTTCTTGAGTCGAGGCGACCCGTATGTTGAGCTGAAGTGACCTCACAATGACCGTGCAGTTGCATTAGCATAATTTTGTCCAAAGTCAAGTTTGGCTGCGGAACTGGCTGGATTTCCTACGGAAGTGCACATAAGAACGTGAATCCAGCACTTTGAGCTCATTTAGATGATTCTTAAAACGCTCTCTTAATTCTGTGCCAACACGGTTGGCAGATGAAACCAAACCCCAACCAATCATTCAAACAATCTTGAGAAAATGACTGATTACCAGGTCAATGGGTAAGGAACCCTCGATATTGCTGAATGCCTATACTGATAGCTTTAATAGAGGTCATCCCCTCTTCATTGACAGCAAGGCTGCCAACAAGGGGAGAAGGGACTCCTTCGACATCTCCCCGACCACGCGTCGCTCCAGCACCTCAATTCTTAGAGACGCATCAAACAAAGCGAAGCACGAACTCAGCTCTCCGCACCACGCACTCATTGAAGATGACATCAACAATGTCGACGGATTCCTCGACTACATCGCACATCTGCGCCTCCGGTACATGCCATGCTCAGGAAGCAAATGGGACCGGGTGCTGCAGTGGGCAGAATTCTTCGCCAGTGCCATGCATCACTTCCAATTGGCCGGGAAAAGCTTGACAGCGTGTAACGACGAGGCATCGCAGCTCATCTGGAGCAGCTGTCATGTGTTGTTGGAACTGGGCAAGCAGCGGCTGGACATGACACACCGAGCGTTTGCGCTCTTCAACGACGCGGGCCTGATGTTTGCTCACTTCTCGGAAAACAAGGAATTGTTCGCCACCAGCCCGGACCTTCGACAAAGCCTGGAAGGCGTCTACGCCGATCTCGTCAGCCTCGTTGTGGATGTCTCTCTGCACTATGCCAACGGCGGTGGCATTTCCGAGTTCGACGCTCGTTTTGCCCACCGCGCCGAGATGCTCTTCTCCTATAAGGATTCGATAACTGAGGCTTTTTGGAGAGAGCAGCTGCAAACACGACACGGAAGAGAGGTCATGGCAGAAATCGAGGAGATCCGGCGCTTCCTCTCGCCCCATGACACTGTCGTCCGGGGTATCCTCTCGAGACAATCGAAGTCACGCAGTCATTACGTTGAGTACACATGCGAATGGTTCGACCACATGTTGCAAGAATTCACGGCGGGAGATGATAATGTTTTCCTCATCACCGGCAAGCCAGGGTGCGGCAAGACGGTCCTCAGCCAGTGGATTATGGAACGTCTACGCCGCCAGCAGGATCGGGCCAGCTACGATGTCGCGTGCTTCTTCATCGAGGGAGACTTCAAAACAGAAACCACTTCAATGAGCATCGCCAGGGGCTTGCTACGCCAGTTGTTTGATAGTAGCGTTGGCGACGTGGACCTGTTTGAGCAAATCTTGGCTCTCAAGCAGCGGCCCGCGCAGGACAACATGGCCATGGAGCAGGCCATGTGGGCCGCTATCGAGGGAGCAATCAAGCGCAAGCGCACCATGCTAATCATCGACGGACTGGACAAGGTTACCGGAGGAGTTGACAGCAGTGTGCGGATCCTGGACCAGCTGCATCAGGTCACCTCAAAGAGCAGCGGCGCCAAGGCAATTGTTTTGTCCCAGCCACTGAAGAAACCCGGATCCCATCATGCGCGACTGTTCAATATTGATACCCGACACGTGTACCAGGACATGGAGCGTGTTCTCGACGGAGTCGTTGCCTCATCTTACCCGTCACTGACCGATTACGAGAAGGCCAACCTGGTGCAGCGTTTGGTCACTCTTGGAGATGGCTCGTTCACGCATTCAATGCTCCTGCTTGAAATGACCAAGCGCGAGAAAACCCTGGCCGGCATCATGAGCTCATTGGACAGTATTCCACGGACCATGCATGATTGCGTGAAGAAGCTTATGGGCACGGTGGATATGCATAACCGAGACACAAGAATAACTGTTGCATGGCTCTTGGCAGCACAACGACCCCTAACCATCCGGGAAATCAAGACACTCATGGCTGTGGATACTTCCCAGCTCACATCATCTCCAAGAATCTCAGATGCAGAGAACGATCTGCGTTCTGCTATGGGACCTCTGATACGCATTGAGGACGGTGTGGTCCGTTTCCGCTTCCCCCTCATCCACCAACAGTTGCTCGAGATGGCCATGAGCACCAGCAAAGACTCTCGCCTCCCGTTTAACCTTCAAGAGGCCAATTACGACATGGTCACTCGCTGCTTGGCGGATGTCAAAATGTCTGTGATGGAACATACTTCCCCCTCGATGGAGCGGATGCCTTCTGATGTGATGGAGCGAATGTTCGTCAGCCACAACCTATTGGAGTATACGGCACGGTACTGGCCGATTCATTTCATGCAGTCGCCAATGTACCAGAAAGACGGAAAGCACAAGCTCACGTCGGAATTCAAGTACGTCTTCCCGTCTTCGACAACACTGGCCCTCATCGAGCACACGTGCTGGACTACCGAGATGATGGCACATTTCAAGCTTGCTCTACAACTCAGGAAGACAATCACACCGGATCATGAGGATGCTATTTTCCAAACCTTGGTATCACTCGCCGGCAGCTGCCAAATGATGTCAAACACGAAGGAGGCGAGTACATACTTCTTCGACGCATTCCGACTTGGCGTCAAACTCTTCGGAAAGCAAAGCAGCGTGGTCGCCACCGTCGTAGCCGGCTACATCGACTCCACACAGCCTTCGAAGGAGAACATGACGGTACGAGAAGAGCTACTGGACTACCTCGTCGCCTATCAGAAGCAGACCCGCGGCGCATCGGCGCAGCAGACGATCAAGTACGCGCGCCTCCTGATCCAGCTCTACAAGGAATCCAACAAGATGAACCGCGCGCTCGAGCTGGAGGAGGAGCTGCACCAGATGTGCATCGAGCACTACGGCATGCACCACGCGTCGACGCAGCAGGTGCTCGAGGGTCTGATGACGACGCTCCACGAATCCGGCAACACGGAGCAGCTGCGACGGCTGCGCGTGGCCCAGTACGAGAGGGCGCGGCGCTCGCTCTCGCTCTCGGATGCGGCGTTGGTGCGCGCTGCGCGAGACATGGTCTCCTTCTACGAGAAGAACAGCCAGGTCAACAAGGCGGAAGAGATTCTGACGGAGCTCTGGCAATCCCTGACGCAGGCCTGCCAAAGCCGCACGTCCCTGGCGCTGCAGGAGCGCAAGCTGGAAGTGGCCATGGCCTACCAGAAATTCCTGGATCGGAACGGGCGCCCGCAGGACGCGCAGAACGTTCTCGTCGGCGTCTGGACGGAGTACCAAGACGCGCTGGACCAGGAAACCATCCAAACCCGGCTCTCCAAGTCCCAGCTCACCGCCATCCTCGCCGTCGGGCGCGAGCTGCAGCAGCACCGCCTGCTGGAGGCGTCCAAGAACGTCTTCAGCAGCATGTGGAGCTACCTGCGCCGCGTCAACGAGCAGGAGAGCTCGCTGGCCATCGAGACGGCGACGAGCCTGTCCAGTGTCTCCCGCGAACTGATCGAGATGCAGGCCAGCAACACGACGGCCGTCTCGACGGGCGGCGGCAGCGACATCTCGGCCGAGTCGATCGACGAGTTCGAAGAGATGCTGGCGTCGATCGCGTCCATCACCAAGTCCATGACGACGACGACCTCTGCATCCACATCCAAGAAGGAGCAGAAGGCGTCCAGCTCCGCCGCCACCAGCCTCGTCACCACGGCCGGCACGCTCAGCGCCATCTACGTCTCCCAGCACCGCTGGCGGCAGGCGACGGGCACCTGCATCAAAGCGCTCGAGATCGCCTGGCCCTCCGTGCTCGCGACGGACGGCAGCAAGGCCGAATTGCCGGTCAACGACAAGGAGCGCGCGGTGGCTATCGCGACGGCGAAGCGCCTGGCGCTGTGCTATTTCACGCAGCGGCAGATCGGCAAGGCGGAGCACATACACCTGCGCGTCTTCCAGGCGACGAGGGTGCTCGGCGTGCATGACGAGCGGTTTTTGAGAGCGGCGCACGAGCTGATCGACTTCTACGACACCGTGTTCCGGTTCGACGGCGCCGTCGCGGTCCTCGTGGAGCTGCAGGCGATGCAGAAGGCCGAGCTGTCGGCGTCGAATGCCGTGACCATCCACACGTCGTACCGGCTCGCGAAGAGCTGTCGGTTGATGCAGAGGGATGAGGAGGCGGAGAGGTACTTTGGGGAGATTGTGAAGGCGCTGAGTAAGTCTGCGGACGACAAGATCTTGGAGAGGGAGGCGATCGAGGCGGCCATGGAGCTGTGTAGCATGCACGTCGAGGCAAGGCGCTGGGGCGAGGCGGGCAAGCTGTACACGAAGCTCTGGAAGACGGTCATGACGCAGAGCGGCGCCGGCTACGGCTGGACGCCCGAACAGGTCGAGGGCTTGTACGTGGCGTACTTTGACCTGCTGGAGACGAAGCTCAAGGTCGACTTCAAGATGTCGCTGCAGATGACGACAGAGTACCAGAAGCGCGTGGTCGAACTGTTCGGCGAGGACAACGAGGTCAGCATCAAGGCGACGCTGCAGCTGGCGGAGCTGCTGGAGCGGAGCGACGAGCACAGCGAGCGGGCCGTGGCGCTGTACGAGAAGGCGCTCTCGTCGTCGGAGAAGACGAAGGTGGCGCAGAGGACGCTCAAGGCCCTCACGCAGTACCGGCAGCGGCTGGCGCACCTGTACTCGAAGCAGACGCGCACCTCGTCCAAGGGCCTCAGCATCTACCGGCAGGAGATCGAGAAGACGGCGGCGACGTACGGCTTCGCGTCCAGCCAGGCGATGCGGCAGCTCAGCGAGCTGGTCGCCTCGTGCGCCATCAGCGAGGCCAAGGAGAACCGCACCCAGGCCATCGAGCTGCTGCGCACCGCCATCCGCGACATCGTCGTCAAGGAGCGCAGCGCCGAGAAGCAGGTCGACGCCGCGCACTCCATCGTGCGCATGTACGTGCGGCTCGAGGCGCGCCAGACGGCCGTCGAGCTGCTCGCCAACATCCGGCGGCAGATCGTGTCCGGCGAGTACGGAACGGGCACGCTCAACCTGCAGGGCGCGGGCCAGCACTCGTTCGCCTTCGTCGTGGCCATGGAGGAAGCGCTGGCCGAGGGCAAGCACCACTTCAGCGAGCTGATGGCGACGCTCATGACGGAGCGCCTCCTCCACCAGAACTACACGCGCTCCGTCAACACCAACGTCAGCTTCGAGATCCTCTTCAGCCACGGCGCGCGCCTCGTGTCCTTCTACACCCAACACGGCCGCGGCGACGAGAGCAAGCAGACCGAAGCCGACCTGCTGCAGCGCTTCGCCCGCGTCTTCGAGGCGCAGGCCTCGTCCCAAGTCTTCCAGACCTTCTTCCACACCTGCCTCCACGAGATGGGCGACAGCGGCGACCGCGACCAGGCCGTCATCACGACCGCCACCGCCGCCGTCCTCGAGCACCTGCAGGCCGCCCGCTTCGCCGAGGCGTTCGAGCTGGCCGGCTTCGTGCACCGCTTCCTGCAGCTGTACGGCGCCTTCGACAACCAGGAGAACGTCTCGATGGCGTTTAAACTCGCCCTGTGGTTGGGTGGCCGCGGGGAGGTGCGGACGCTGAAGACGCAGTGCGGAGACAAGAAGCTGCGCGAGAAGATGAACGAGCTGTCCGCCGCCTTCCTGCGCCTCGCCATCCAGCGCCTCGACGTGCGCATCACCGACATGGCGCTGGCGGACTTGAACGAGCTGGTCGGCCTGCTCGGTGAGCAGCGCAACTGGGAGGCGCTCGAGTCCATCTTGTCGGCCGCGTGGTCGTCGCGACACTCGTCTGCCCCCTGGCCCGCTCATACCGTCGTTGCCTTGGGTGCGCGTCTCGTGCAGGTGCGCTTCCAGCTGCCCGGCTGCCGCAGCCAGGCGCTGCATCTGGCCGCGGATATCGCGTACAACTTGCGCCGGACGTGGGGCCTGCATGATCAGGCGACGCTGGATATGTTCCATCTGCTCGCGGACCTGTACTCGCTTGCGGGCGAGAACAACAATGCGCTCGAGGTGCGCCAGAGCGTCATTCGAGGGACGCTGGAGGCTATCGAGCACGGAGCGGTCGAGAAGAATGAGGGAGCTGAGATCGCGGCAAAGGAGTTCGAGTTGCTGAGGCGGACGCACTCTGCATGCGGCGGCTGGAACCCAGGCGATGTGGCCACGTTCGGAGGCATGCAGGTCCGTCTGAAGGAACTGCTGTCTGGGGAGCAGAAGTGGATGAGCTGCAAAGATGCGCAGGAAGGCGTTGAGGGATGGAAGGTTCCGAAGGGGAAGGATCCAAGGCGGGCTGAGCTGGAGAAGGCCTCCATACCCGAATCGTGGGAGTTCCTGGGGAAGGAGGAGACTGCGAAGCACAGGAATAATTTGAGGCGAACGAGCGGACTCGAGACGGCGAGACCTCCGGCCACGATGCTGTACGCTGGTGCTGCGGGTGGCAAGGCTGCCATGCCGTCTACTATGAAGCACCCTCCGCGAAAGCTCAGGACACAGCAGCAGCAAAGGCGTGACTCAAAAGGGGACGAGAAGAAACAAAAGATCGACAAGGATCAGGACTTCGTGGTTATGGCGCTTGAGGCTGGTCCGATTGGCGTTCCTATTGGTCAGTTTTAATTCTGGTGGGTATGATTAATGACTCGATCCTTATGTATCTAATGATTGGGAGTCTGGTATTAGTTTTATAGCCTTTAATGTCATGATTGATTTTCTTTGAAGGCCCTTATGCAGAACATCAAGCACTCAGTTGTTGGAAGCTCTTAATTTTCATCACTTATGAGTGCTTCAGGAATCATGACATGAGAAGCCGAGAGAAACTGCTAAGAGTATAGAACTTGTTCCTCTCGTGTTACAATTATAAACTTCTCCAGGCTTCCTAGTATGGGACATGTGTATCCAGCCACCTTGACAGGAGATCCAACTTCTCCGCTGACGCAACCGAGACCTCACCGAAGCCTGTGCCCAGATGCATGACTGTTGCGTTCCCTTCCTCATTGGGATTCCACACTGCAAGTGATCCATTCTTGTAGGATCCACCCTTGTTCGGGTCCCCGGTTTTGATGAAATTGGCCCAATACGAGGAAGTGACGTCAGCCAGGTAAAAGTCATACGAAGTCCAAGGCTTGTCTGTATTGTAGAGATTATTCAACGCGTAGTTAATCTCGGCCATGTGATAGGCGCCCTGAGATTGGCCAGGTGGGGCGTAGTCCCAGTAGTAAGTGTAGAACGCACTGCTCGCTGACTTGACCCAACCATTCGCGAAGCGGTAGGAGGAGACGAGAGAAAGATCCTTAGCAGCTTCGTTCCACATGGCGTCGGCCTGAGTCGCATTGCTGACAGGGTACAACTTGAAGAACTCGGTCGAGAGGTTGCCGTACCACTGAGTGTTGTACTGTTCATATTCCGCCACCGTGTAGTTCGTGCTGGTGGATGCTCCGCTTTCGTCCTTGTTGTTACCAGTAATCATTGGAACGTCGTTCGCCGGACCGTTGAGAAGGGAGTCGATGTACTTCTCAGGTAGAACATAGCCATCCAGGGTCGGTTTGAAAAGTGGAGGGTTGTTGGTCCAGAGAGCGGTCAAGTTACTGACTGAGGAATCTCTGTCTTCACTCCCGACCAGAAGCTCTTCCATGCTAAGAGTCCGCAGCTCGGCAATCGTACTGACGTTGTGGGAGGTCGTGTAGTTGATACCAGTCTTCAGATTAAATTCCGTGCTCCGATAAGAATCAGCAAGGCCGGCAAGGAGCGGATCGAATGGATCCCGAATTCCGCTTTCCGCAATCATGCCGTGGAAGAGGCCTTTCGCCAGGGGACTGTTAACGGCATGGTAAACTTGAGCAGATCCGAATGACTGCCCGGCAATCGTCACTCGGTTTGGATCCCCACCAAAGTTTGCAATGTTCCTTTGAACCCACTCCAGAGCGGTGAAGAAATCAAGGATTCCGTAGTTTCCGGACGAATTGCGACCAGCTTCGGCGTTGAGATCAGGATGAGCCAGGAAACCAAACGCAGCGTCGCGGTAGTTGTAGGTTACAACCACTACATCTTTTGTTGCTAGACCGCCGCCATCGTAAAGAGGGTCCGTGCTGGTCTGCCAACTGCCGTAGTTCCAGACGAATACCGGAAGCGAGGCGTTAGACGAAGTAGCCGGAGTCCAGATGTTTACACGCAGACAGTCCTCGCTAATGGCGTAGCCCATCGAAGGTTGCAACGAGATAGGGCAAGAGGGGCCAAACTCAGTTGCCATGAGAGTTCCGTTCCATGGCTCGCGAGGCTGTGCAGGCTTCCAACGATTCTGGTAACTGGTATCGGCTGCATAGGGGACGCCTAAGAAGGCAGCAACATCACTGTCTGGCAAGCCAAAGTATTTCTCAGTGGTGGAGCTGTTGAAATATTTGAACCCCTGGACAGTGCCATATTCGGTCTTGATCGGAGTATCGTAGAGAGCGGCGAAGGACTGGCCGGGACCAAGCCCCAGAACCGTGACGAGAGACAACTGAGAGAGATGAGGCCTTTTCATTTTACGGCTCTTGAAGGGATTCTTGCCGCTGGGGATTAAACCAAACTTTTGGTATTTCATGAGCTGTTTTTATACTCTCTCAGGGGATGCATCGCCAGGTATAAACGCGCGTCCAGTCCAGGGCTTGTTCGTGATCGGGCAGGTTACATGATGTGATCCACTAGACCGCCTGCCATTACTAGAATCATCATAGCGTCATGGTTGCGTGGCCTTAAACTTTACTTGACATACCAGTGTGTCCTTCGCCGGAGAAGCTCGGTTATATTTGCTAAGTCCGAAAGACCATTTAAGGGCGACCGAGTGTATTGGTATTTTGTTGTACAGCGAAGTTGAAAGTTTGCCAAATTAAGACCAAAGGCTAGACTGTGAGGTGAGAAACAACCTCAAGTTAGATATAGATGGGTCCACCTCAATGTGTCGTGGGAGGTAGTGAATCCTGCGTGGATATTATAGCCAATCACAACCCCCGCACCCCGCAAACACCCGGCGAGGCTGAGTGCACAATGACCTCAGTTTGGCACATGAAAAGCTTATCTCGTGTGAATGGGAGACAGAAAGATTCAATTTGCAATTCCCATCCTGATTTGCCTTCCGTGTACCCATGGCCTGCATCCGGCAGCGTTTCATCAATCCATCAATGAGGAAACAAGTAGCAACAGTACTCAGAAAATAGGACTCTTCGCCTCAAACAACAACATAGCCCCCTCAACCCTCCACTTCACGTCCCGGAACGCCTCCTTCAGCGGCCCCACAAAGCTCTCCGCATCATCCGCCCGATTGTCAAAAATGCCCGCCGAGTTGTGCCAGTTCATCAAGAACCTCCCCATCACACCATGCCCCACGCTATCCCCCAATATCGTCGCGCCGAACAGCACGCCAGCCTCGGGCTCCACTAGATCCCGCAGCGCTACCAGCGCCGCAGCCTTGCGCGCCGGCGGGCCGGGCAGGCAGTGCAGCAGCAGCATGGCCGACACGGCGTCGAACGTCCCGCCCAGCGTCTCGGGCGACAGCCGGTCTCCCGGCTGCAGGAAGTCGGCTTGCACGGGCACGCAGTTGACGTGCGGGTGGGCGGCGCGCACGCGCGGCGCGGTGCGGTCGAGGCAGTTCTTGTTCAGGTCGACGAGGAAGACGTCCGCGATGCCGGAAAGCGGGGCTTGCTCGAGGAAGTAGCCGGTGCCGACGCCGATGTCGAGGATGCGGCGGCGAGTGGTGGTCGCGCGTCCCGGATCGGCGGATGCTGGGGAGGAGGGGGAAGGGCGCACGTGGGAGTTGAAGAAGCTGGTGAGGGTTGGGCGGGCTGGACAGCGCCAGGCGAAGGAGCAGTACAGGCCGAGGACGAGGTAATCGTAAAGATATCTCAGGAAGATGGAAGAGTAAGCGGCCACGCCCGCAGAGGTGTCGGGCCCTGTTGAGGAAGCTTTGGCCATTGGGAAGCGGGTCTTGATATTATCAATGACTGCGAAGAATAGATGTGTGAAGAGGATCTGAGAACCACTTTCTCTGCGGTGGCTACAGGCTGCTATATACGGCAGGCTTCAAGATCATCGGGATAGACATCGGACTGTAGGTGGAGACATCACACAACATGATGTAAAAGGCATCAATGAACGATACTATCAAGGTAAAGGTCCACTGAAATTGAACATTTGCCGCAGCATGAAAGCCGAGAAGGGTATTTGGTGCGGTGGTAATGGTAGGGTTGCAGAGCATCCAAGATAAGTTAATGGAGTTTTACCCAGCGGTCAGCATGAAGATGAATGCTTTAGGGCCCGCTTGCTTGGCGGTGTTGAATACATAACCGATCCGACCAGTTAGCCTGAACTTGGATCCATCGAAGCTAACGTGAAGTCGGGTTCATCGGCATTTGAGCCACAGGGCTTCAAGTGTTTTGGCCGCGCATGAGGGGTAAGAATTGAGCTTATACGTGAGCGGAGCCCGTATTCTAAGGGTTCTTAACCCATTTCGACCATTCCCATGCCTAAAACTGCCAGTAGAATAGATTACACAGTGTTTGGCGCGCAAGCCTTTCTGAGGGGTGAATGGTATAGACGAGTGGGTCCGATGAAAGAATAGAGCATTATGGGGTCAAAGCCCCTCGTCTCCAGGGCTCAGAATCGTCACATCAGACACCGACCCTCCCCCACTTCCGGAGAATGTGCCTTTGAACGCGAAAAATCCCCACTGAATATCTGATCCACAGCCATTTTGAGGCTGCTCCGATGGAAAAGCAGCCATTCGGACCCCAACACGATTTTTGATTGTCGATCATGACTAGAATTTAATCATGGACGCCTCCACACTTTCAGGCACCATTGGACAAACCCTGTCTTACCGATCTAAAACGATTAAACAGTAATCTGAACAATGCATATTTTCGTTAGGGTCTTTCCTGAAATGGGCGTTCGGCTCCAAAATGCCGGTAACCAGGCCGATGATCCACACCCCAGCAGTATCGTAAGATAGTCAGTTTCTGGGAAGATAGGGCTGGCTCATGCAGCCCCACAGTGCGATATACCTATTGGGGATATGCACATCCCCAATAAGTATATCATCTGCTTGCACGTATGCCTCACGTCCCTCCGGGAAAACTATGACCCAGGGTACCTGTGATAACTTGATTCAACTTTCTTGGTATGAATCGTTAAGCGCCATTTCCTGCTCATACTCTTTCGAGTTCCACGAATCGCTGAAGGTTTCTTTGCTTTTACTTTTCCTTTCTGTGTTGTAATCCGGAGGAACAGCACGAGATGATAAACTTTCAGGTAAATCAAACGGAATATGTATACGGTCGTTCCATTAAAGGTACATGCCGGGAGAATGGTGTCATACTGTTGTAGTACGCTGGATCATGATAAGGGCTCGTGGATCACAGATGGCATCGTTACTCCGGAGAGATCCGACCGTGCTGAAAGACCACGGACTCTCATCAGTATGCAGATCGTAGATCTTGCCGAATTGAATTTCTGGTGCCCTAAGCTCACCTGCTGCCCACGCTTGTGTGAAGTACTATTTGGGTTGCTAGGGCAAAAGTTGAAATTCGACGAATATCAACGTAGATAAGTCGGTTGCTGCAGATTCCATCTACCCAGCCTGATTCCATAGCAGTCTTCGAGTTCAGTTCAAGCATCATGACCACCATCCAACAACCTATTGCAATCATTGGCTCGGGATGCCGTTTTCCCGGAGGTTCCTCATCACCTTCGAAGTTGTGGGAGCTCCTACACACACCCAGAGATGTTCTCCAGGATTTCCCCGAAGAAAGACTGAAGCTATCGAATTTCTACAATCCAAACAAAAGCTACCATGGGACCACAGACGTCAAAAACAAATCATATCTTCTCTCTGAAGACTGTCGCTTGTTCGACGCTGCATTCTTCAATACCAATCCTCTGGAAGCCGCTTCCATGGACCCTGCGCAACGTATTCTACTGGAAACAGTTTACGAAGCCTTCGAAGCTGCTGGATACACGATGAAGCAGATGCAAGGCTCATTGACTTCTGTTTTCGTTGGTCTCATGTCGGGAGACTACTGGGACATAACAATGCGCGATACCGACACGATGCCCACATACACAGCGCCGGGCATGTCTCGCAGCATCATGTCAAACCGCATCTCGTACGTCTTCGACCTCAGAGGACCATCGATGACGATAGACACGGCATGCTCAAGTTCTCTTGTGGCACTACATCAAGCAGTGCAAAGCCTACAGAGTGGCGAGTCCACCACTGCTGTTGTCGCCGGTGCCAACCTGCTCCTCGACGCTTCGACGTACATCATGGAGACCAAGCTTCAGATGCTCTCGCCTGACTCTCGCTGCCGCATGTGGGACAAGTCAGCCGATGGATATGCCAGAGGGGAGGGCTTTGCAGCAATCCTGCTCAAACCTCTCAGTGCAGCCCTGGCAGATGGCGACGATATCGAATGTGTTATCCGAGGAACGGGGGTCAACTCGGACGGGCGCACGAAAGGAATTGCCATGCCAAGTGCCGAGGCCCAATCTACTCTCATTCGAGATACTTACAAAAGAGCAGGGCTGGACCCTGTGGCTGACAGGTGTCATTATTTCGAGTGCCACGGAACAGGTACTCAAGCAGGGGACCCGATCGAGGCTCGGGCCATTGCCACCACGTTCTTTCCTGAGAACCAGGAGCATGGTGACGAAAGACTATACGTTGGTTCCGTCAAGACTGTCATCGGTCATCTCGAGGGTTGCGCCGGCCTTGCGGGTGTTCTCAAAGCCTCGTTAGCTATGCAGAACCGCACCGTTCCCGCGAATATGCATTTCACAGCTCTGAACCCGGCAGTCGAACCCTTCTACAAGCATCTCAAGATTTTAACATCCTCGATCCCCTGGCCTGAGATTACTACTGGACCTCGGCGTGTCAGTGTCAACAGCTTTGGGTTTGGTGGAACCAATGCCCATGTCATCTTGGAAAGCTACGAAGTCGAGAAGCCAGAAACCACAAGGAGCCTTGCCACAGGACGCTTCTATGGCCCTCTGATTTTCTCAGCCCGTACTGAAACCTCTCTGCATTCAAGCATCAGAAAATATGCCCATTTTGTGAAGTCAAATCCATCGGTTGACCTCGAGAATTTGAGTTGGGTTCTTCAAGAAAAGCGCGACACTTTCCAATTCAAGCATTGTTTCTCCGCGCCCGATCGTGAGAAGTTGCTTGACTACATGGACGAGTTCATCAATAAAGCCGGTTCAGGATCTCTGAGCAGCTTGGTGACCCGAACGCCATTACGAAGCTCGGATGAGACACCCAGAGTTCTTGGGATATTCACCGGCCAAGGTGCACAATGGGCTAGCATGGGAAAGGCGCTACTGGAAAACTGTCAACTGTTTCGCGAGACCATCCAACATTGTGAGGCGTCCTTAGCTGCGCTCGCCGATCCTCCCCCGTGGTCTTTGAAAGCGGAGCTGCTTGCAAATGACGCGTCTCGCATTCGCGAAGCGGCACTCAGTCAGCCTCTCTGCACCGCTCTTCAAATTGCTATGGTGGATCTCGCAACAGCTGCAGGGCTCAGATTCTCCGCCGTCGTGGGCCATTCTTCCGGTGAGATTGCCGCCGCCTACGCAGCAGGAATTCTTTCGTCATCAGATGCCATGGCTATTGCCTACTATAGAGGATTTCATGCCAAGCTTGCTGAGGGAAAGAGCGGGGAACAAGGCGGCATGATGGCTGTAGGCATTTCTTATGCCACAGCACTTGAGATTTGTTCTCAGCCTCAGTGGATAGGGCGCATCGGCCTGGCCGCGAGCAATTCCCCATCCAGCGTTACTCTGTCCGGAGACATGGAAGCGATCAAGGAAGCAAAGGCCATCTTCGATGAGCATAAGACCTTTGCCAGACTGCTCCAGGTTGACACTGCCTACCACTCGCACCACATGCTACCCTGCGCTGGTCCCTATCTGAAATCGCTATCGGCTTGCAACATCAACGTCAATCAGCCAAGGGCCGACTGTATCTGGATCTCAAGTGTCATTGGGGATACCTCGCTGCTCGACAGCAAGCTCGAGGCTCTTACTGGACAGTATTGGGTAGACAACATGGTCAAGCCTGTTCTGTTCTCACAGGCCTTGGAGTTTTCTCTGTCGGGTCGGCGGTCATTCGAGATGGCTGTGGAAATTGGACCTCATCCAGCACTGAAGGGACCGGCACTGCAGGTCTTTAAGTCTGTACTGGGATCATCTCCTCCTTACACTGGCTTCATGCGACGGGGAGAGGACGAAGTTGAAGCATTCTCCAGCGGCGTAGGATTTCTATGGGCCAATCTCGGTCATGCCTCAGTCAACTTTGCTGGATATCGGAAGGCATTCCAAGGTCCCGCTGTATCGAAACCCAAGATGTTGAAGGGTTTGCCATCTTATGCATGGGATCACGACAAGATCTACTGGAAAGAGAGCCGTATCTCTCGGAACCACCGCCTTCGGCTACAGGGGCCGCATGAACTGCTTGGTCGCAGGGCGTCAGACGACTCGGACTACGAAGTTCGTTGGCGCAACTTTCTGCGGCTGAACGAACTCCCCTGGCTTCGCGGTCACGAATTCCAAGGCCAGGCCCTGTTCCCTGCTACAGGTCATGTAGCCATGGCGCTGGAAGCCTCCAGGAAGATAGCTGGTAATCGCGCCGTTCGGCTGTTCGAATTGCGCAATATTTCTTTCCATAAGGCGCTGATCGTAGATGGTGATCAGCCGGGCGTTGAGATTGTCTTCTCACTGCGGGTGCTCAATGACGACCAACAAGCAGACAGGAACACAAAAGATATCCTCCAGGCAGAGTTCACAAGCTATGCGTGCTCGGATGAAACATCTGGCCAGCTGGAGAAAGTCGCCTGTGGGAGCATTGTCTTGCATCTTGGCGAGGGCACTGGCGAGGAGCTACCACGAATTGAGCCTACCGCGCAAAGCCTCACACCTGTTGACACCGACAGAGTTTACTCCGCGCTGGAAGATATCGGCTTGAACTATCATGGGCCGTTCCGAAATATAGCATGTGCTAAGAGGACGAGAGGTCACTGTCAAACATCAGCTGTTTGGCAGAATCATGAGATGGCGGCTGATGAGTATATCATTCATCCGATCCTTCTTGATAGCGCCTTTCAAGCCATGTATGTTGCTCTGACTTCTCCAGCAACCAATGGCATCCTCTGGACGACGTATCTACCATCTTCCATCCAACGCCTCACGGTAGACCCAGCAACGGCTCACAACTATAATTCCCCAGATTTGAAAGCTGATATGGAGGCCTTCGTCACGGAATCTACATCATCCTTTTTCGTTGGAGATGTCAACGTACTTGACCCTACTGAATCCCGTTACAGTGTCCAAGTGGAAGGCTTGCTCTTTAAGGCAATTGCTGAGGCATCTCCTGCAAACGACCGGCCTTTGTTCGCCAAGACTATATGGGATGTCGATATCGCTTGTGGAGCATCTGTTACAGCGGAAAATCAGGACCCAGAGGGGGAGCTGGAGCAGCTATACGCCATCGAGAGGGTAGCTCTGTTCTACCTGCAAGACTTTGTCAGTTCAGTCTCAACGGACGAGGTCAAGGAACTCTCATGGTACCACCAAAGACTTTTCGCTGCCGCCGAGGCTGCGCTCGCTCGAGTTCGCCGCGGTAATAACCCCATGGTAAAGCCAGAGTGGCTGGGCGACTCTCGCGAGACTATTGACGCACTCCACATGAAGTTCCCTGACCAAGTCGACCTTAGGATGATGCAGGCTATCAGCTTGAAGCTCTTGTCCAGCGTCCGCGGCTCAACCCCGATACTGGAGGTGATGCTCCAGGATGATCTACTCTACAGATTCTACCAGGAATGCTGGGGAAATCGAACTCTGAATGCCTATGTCGCACGTGTGGTTCAGCAAATAACGCACAAATACCCTCGCGCCAGATTGCTGGAGATTGGCGCTGGAACCGGCGGCACGACGAGCGGAATCTTGCATGCCGTTGGCAACGCTTATGCCTCTTACACCTATACAGACATCTCATCTGGCTTCTTCGCTAAAGCAGCAGAAAAGCTATCTGACCATACCGAAAAGATGACTTTCAAAGTTCTCGACATCGAAAAGGATCCTGCCGCTCAAGGCTTCACCAAGGGGGCGTACGATGTGGTGATCTGCGTCAACGTGCTTCACGCAACGCGCTCTCTCTCCAATACTCTGGCTCACACGAGATCGCTCCTAAGGCCCGGAGGCTACTTGGTTCTGATGGAAATCACAGCCGATGCCCTCAGGAATCTTTACATCTTTGGGACGTTACCCGGATGGTGGCTCGGTGCGGAAGAAGGCAGGAGCTACGGGCCGTTCGTTTCGGATGTTCAATGGGATTGCCTCCTCAGGCGCTCCGGCTTCTCTGGTGTTGAAACCGTTCTACGGGATTGCCCAGATGTGCTGATGCATGGCGCTTCCGTTATGGTGAGCCAAGCGGTTGATGATACGGTTCGCCTTTTGCGCGAGCCAATGACAGCGCTTTCATCGTTGCCAGAAGAGCGGCTGCTGATTGTTGGTGGAAAAACGCTGCCAGTCTTGAAGATTGTGCGTGCGATTCAGGATCTTCTTGTGTCTTGGAAGTCGCGCACTTCAGTGGTGAATAGCATCGACACCCTGGACATGGAGGATCTTTCGCCGGGCACATCGGTCATATCTCTTACCGAGCTCGACCGGCCATTATTTTCTGAAGCTATGACAGATGATCGACTTAAAAAGCTCCAGGGGCTGTTCAGTCACGCGAAGACAATCCTTTGGGCTACCACCGGCTGTTCTGAAGGACGAAACCCCGAGTCAAACATGACTGTCGGCATCGGACGTGCTCTCCTCACGGAGATGCCCAATCTCACTCTCCAATTTTTGGATGTCAAGAAAATTTCGCACCTCAGGTCGACTATCGTTGTGGAGTATTTCCTCCGTCTGGCTCTCTCTGGTGAACCAGCAGTTGCAAAGGATGATATACTCTGGACGGTTGAGCCTGAGGTAGCTATGGATGGGAGTGCGCTCCTTCTTCCCCGTGTTGTGTCCGACACGGCCGTTAATGACCGGTTCAATGCAAACCGTCGTTTGGTCACGAAGACAGTTTCAGCCAATGACACATGCGTTGAGATCACTACGATGAACTCGGATCAATCGCTGTCCCTGCGGGAGGTGGCAACGCCAGGCAGTCTGACCACGAAAATCATTGATGTGCAATACTCCGTTGCATTTTCAAAAGACTGCAATCTGATTCTTGGGGTAGTACGGGGAACTTCACTATCACTGCTTGCTTTGTCCAGCACCGCAGCCTCGTCGATCAGTGGACTGAAGATGCATATCTCAGTGCCAGATGGCTATCCTTCCCCTCTTCAGCTGATCTCAGATGTAGCCAACCATGCTCTTGCGCTCGAACTGCTAAAGCTTGCCCCAACAGACCGCTCGGTGTTGCTCATCCACGAGGCCCCTGCGCAGCTTGTCGGTGCGTTACGATACAGCGCAGCAGCTAAAGGGATTAGCGTCGTTTTCAGCAACTCGAAAGACACCGCATCAGTGGATGGACACCTACACCTTCATCACCTAGCAACAGAGCGTACAACTCGAAAGAGGATTCCAAGAACTGTTGGGTGTTTCATTGATCTCAGCTCATGTCCATCAACCACGATCCCGCAGTGTCTACCACGAGGATCCGCTGTCTACAGGTTCAGCAACTGTGCAGGAGTCATTTGTTCCCTAGCTACTGTTCCAGTAGAAGAAGCCCTTGCCAATGCCATTGACTGCCCTCTTGGCGAGCCAGACGAAAGAATTGTTGTGGGCGTACAGGACCTAGCAAGAGCTTCTTTTCTCCGCTCCAGCTACCCGAACGTGGTACGTTGGGATCGATCAGAACTTCAAGTCGCTGTTCAACCTTTGGATCCTACCGGCCTCTTCAGACCAGACAAGACATATTTCATGGTCGGCATGACTGGCGAGCTTGGTCTGTCTCTTGCCGGGTGGATGATTGACAACGGCGCCCGTCACGTTGTCCTGATCAGCCGTAGTGCGAGTGTGGATGTTTCGTGGCTGAATGAAATGGCCACACTGGGCGCTATTGTCAAGGTCTATCAGATGGACGTCTCTGACAAGGAGTCTGTACGTTCCGTCTACAACACGGTCCTGAACACTATGCCGCCAATCGCTGGTGTGTGCAATGCTGCGATGGTTCTCAAGGACAATCTATTCGTCAACATGGATGCGAGCTCCCTCAACAGTGTCCTTCTGCCCAAGGTTGTAGGCACCAAAATCCTGGATGAGCTATTCAACGAGCCCAACCTCGACTTCTTCGTCCTCTTCTCCTCTCTTGCTAGCGTGTTCGGCAACGCAGGCCAGTCGAATTACCACGCCGCCAACCTATTCATGAACAGTGTAGCTGCTAAGCGCAGAGCGAAGGGCCTTGCTGCTTCAATCATGCATATTGGCATGATTGCGGATATCGGCTACGTGGCTCGCGCTGGCCGTCAGATTGAGGACCACCTGCGAAAGCTACTGTTCCATCCAATGTCCGAGGTCGATATGCATCACCTGTTCGCAGAGGCAGTCATCAACAGCCGTCCCGAGTGCGAGGGAAACTGGGACATCGTCTCTGGCATTGACCCGTTTGTGGATACGCCTGACGCAAAATCACGACCGCACTTCTACTCCAACCCACGCTTTTCGCACTTCATCCACGAAGATGTTGCATCTAAGCAGCAGGGCACTTCTGTTTCTTCGCCTGCAAGAGACATCAAGCAGACGCTTGACGGAATCACCGTCGAGGAGGATGCGAAGACGGCAATCGAAGAAGCCTTCCTGGCAACCCTTGAGCTTATGCTGCAAATGGCTCCCAACACTGCTGACGCAAATGCTTCGATGCTATCATTGGGTATGGACTCACTTGTGGCTGTTGAGATAAGGACCTGGTTCCTCAAACGCGTTGGTGTCGATATTCCCGTTTTCAAGCTGCTCAGTGGCGATACTGTGGCGGCTCTCTGCAAGGACGCAGCATGCAAATTCATGGCTGCGAAGACCGGTGCACGCTAAATGAAAGTTGTCGCTGATTTACTCTGAGCTTGCAGCCTCTTAGCAACCTCCTGGTAGGCTAAAGGTTTATTAACATTTGTTCGTTCCGGAAATCCATGGACCATAACGACAGATCATGTATGTGTTTTGAGCAATGTCCGTAAATCGTTTTCCATATCCAAAAAGGGTTGGGCGAGGGAGCGGAGAGTTTTTGGAATTCAGGAGTATGAAGTAGTGGATGTGGCTTCGAGGTTTTTTTTTTCTACGGAATTCTTTTACATACTTTCGGCCTTCACTTTAATGTCGTACTTCACCCGAAGTATATTCTATGTCAAGAAAGTTCTCAATGCAGCAATAGCCCGTATGGTAAATCAAATTGTAATTGGCTTCAGCTCTCATATTTCTCTGTGATGTATGATTCCTCAAATACCTCGTATGTTGGCATCAAGAGCGCTACAAAGCCTTATTCCGTGACGCTTGCAACAGCGTGGTAATGGAATTCCGCCCAGTTCTGAGAGCGCTGTCATTGAACCTGCCTTGAGCATTGTCATCAGGCCAACTTTTAGAGAGTGCTGTAATTACCATTCTGGATCCTGTCCCTGAAGCAGTAGAAAGACTCCTTCAGAAATCTTCATCCTCAGGATTTGCGGTTGGACCGTTGCTGAGTAGGAGTCCAACTATGTCTTCACGATCTTGCCATGAAGAACCAAAGAATGCATTGGAATCAGTGCCAGTGTAAGAACCATCATCTCAATGTGACATTCCAGCTGACCAGTCTGGGCAACCCTCAATTCCGTTGATGGCCTTTGTCCCACAGACAGTTCCTCCTCAGTCATAAATCTGCCTTATACGGCACATGCTCTCTCTTAGCGCTTAGAGCGTCATCCCTTTTCGGGTTGGGGAAAGTCGGAGAGGGAGTAAGGAAAAAAGTCAGATGAAGTTGCACAGACCGGGTTTCACAATGCCAACATGCTCGCACGAGTCTGACTGGTTGTACGCAGCTGAGTGATTGAGCGTCCATTTTATACCGTTTTCTACCGTCTTACTTGCTGCGTTGAACGAGCGTAACCCATACAATCCGTCCCAACTTTTCATATGCTGCCGTGAACCGCGCGCCATAATTATAACTTGTCACACCACGGGCCCTTATACTCTCCAGTGAGGTGCAAGACGCACTGGAGATCGCCGCAGCAGTCAGAATGCTTGCTACAGTCACCTGCGGAGAATTTAGTACTGCAAAGACGAATAATTGGGGCATTCCAACTTACCCCACTTGTCGAAGCATCTCTTCTCGATTTCAGACTCTTTTTCAAGGCCAGGCGTCGCCAAGACCATGGAGGTGAAGAGGGCGATGACGGCGAGCTTGAGCTGCATTGTTGCGGATTATTGGTGAGATGTTTGAAAAGGCCTTTCAATCACGGGCTTGAGATGCTGTTGATGATCAATACAGTTGGGAACGACTCTCCTTTAAATAATTTCATCCTCGCCGTTTCCATCACAGGCCCACCACTTCAGCCGGATGACCCGCGACCCAGTGTGCTACCATCTGCCTGAGAAAGGGTAGAAGGATTATCGCGTAGTGCTTCGATGAAAAGGGTAGACGAAAGTAGAGTGGTACTTGGTGTAACTGCGCCGTCTGGCACCGCCTTGTGAGGGCACCTACTGAAACTACTAGAGCTTACCTCTCGACCCTTGCTGGCAGGGCCCTCGTATGTTCGGCATCGCATGGAAAACATCTCACTGGAAACGTGATGCAGCAGATCACTAACACGTTGTTCCGTGTCTGTGCTCAGATCCTTCTGCCGCCTATCGTATTCTTTAGATCTTCTCGCATTATTAGATATTCCCATACTAGCTGCCCACCATATTTGGCCACTGCAGCTTCGGATAAGTAGAGGTGTGGAGATCTTTACTGTTAAGGTTAAAACCCCACATCTGGAACAGCCCCCACACTGGGCGATACGAAGCCCTGCCAAGCCAGAAACAGTATATGCATGGGGGCTAGGGCTAATGGGACCCGCCTCTTGCTGAATTTGAGAGTGAAAGGTGCCTAGCCATCTGTCGAGAGGATTATGCTTGACACGTTACCTCGTCTCAGCCCACGTTCAGCCACGATGTCTCACCTTGAGGGCAGGCGGAGGCCGTAATAGCCGAGACATATCATGACTCGAGGAAGCACCGCATCCAAAACGTTTGGCCTGGGATCGTTCCGCATCATCCCGCTCAAGCTCCATCCTGAAATCCCGGCTGATTACCGCTGTGGGCCTGTGTGAGAGGACTGCTATTTTGGTGAGTGTGGCGGAGCATCCAGGACACAGCTAGACGCCTGACTGCTGTACTTCCCATCGTCTTCCAATGAACATTGGCTCGGCTGATGTCCACGAGCTCTTACAGAAAATGGGTTCCGTATACGATACTCCGCTACTATTCACGTGTCATGATACATTCACACGCATATGCGGTGCTTACGCATTTATCACCTGTATAAACCGCAGCACATGGCCTAATTCACGGTAAAGGCATACATTACGGGGCAAAAGCTGATTGATTGAGACAGGCATCTCCCAGAAAAAGCAGTTTAACCGCCTCTCAACCAACTCCTGAATCGGGCATCATCCATCGACGGCCAAGAGCTGAAAAGGAAAATTCTCAGCAGCTCCAATCCTGCGCTAACCCAGCTATCTAGGCACCTTGGCAAGTGCGAGTCCCATGGTCGCGATCGTACCAGCAGGTCAATCCGGAGCAGCATTCAGTCGTAGTTTTGCATTCGTCTGATGCCCCCCTGGGTGTTAGTGTATGAAGAAAGAAATGGATCCAGTATTCAAAGGAAACTCTTACAAAACTTCGAAAGGCAGGCACGTGCCTGCAGCAGGGCCGACTAATCCTCTAGCTCGCCAGTCGGGGCGGCCAGTGCGGAGGCAAAAAGCAGGGTGAGGACGGAGAACGCGAAACGCATGTTGGAGAGTGATGCTTCGGTTTGAAATTTGAATGGTCGGTGTCTGGGCTGGTGAGAGGATGATTCTCCTGAAAGATGGAGAGGGAGTGGCGTTTTATTTTCATTCTTAAGAGCCTTTGTTGTCTCGCCGACTGCCTGCTACACCGAAGACTGGCTTTGGCATGATGGCTTCCTGTAGACTGTATGGAAGGGATCTCCCAGAATGGTAGCAGGTAGCCTACTCCAACACGGCCAAAATAATCCTGCATGAAGGGCGCTAGTCAATCTTTCCAAACAAAGGAAAAGTAAGGTGACGTGAGATCTCTGTATGGGCACCTTCGAAGTACGCTAGCCGGCTAGCCCGAGATCGTGGAAGATAAGAGTAAACTGTGATAGCTTTTACAAATTCACTGTTCTATTTGGGAAAGAACTGAAGCAATCAGCTGGTTTCTTATGGATATAGTAAGCCGCTAGGCTGACACTCCAGCCTCTCGTCAAGTGATGTGATGGTTTCCATTGGCTGATTCTCGCAGTTTCAACAACGCCCCATTTTTATCGTCCCTGCCCTATCCATTACTCATTGTAACTCCCAGAATGGTATACCGTTTAGCCCCACGTATATGCAACACTGCGGGGCATTACACATGATGGTGCTGTAGTAGAAGAAACACTAGCCCCATTCCTGTCTACCACAGTGCTGGTGAGCGGGGTATTCAAAGCTTTTCCAAGAGAGGCGGGGGATGAGGCCAGATTTGCATGCAGTGGACATCAAGTTGATTGGGAAACAATGTGTAATCTTTGATATGGTATGATGAAACTCTACTTGCACACAGTACCAGCGAATGAGCCTAATCTATGCCCTCATTGACTTGTCTTTATGCACCAAGTGTAGTTCCATGATTTATTGGGATATTGGAGTAGGGAATGACCTCATTCATCTCAGCTATCTAGGGATGTAAGACTTTCCTTTTGGTCAACGGCGCCAAACCGCTTTGTTCGAATAATCAACATCCAGAGAGGCCAAGAGCATACACCCCTCCCCACTTCAGTATCGCCAAGACGAAGAGTTACGGTCCTGAGCACTACGTCCATAGCTACATCATTGCTAGCCGTAGCCTCGTCTGCACAAGTTGGTGAAGAGTCAGATTATGCGAGTTTGTATGATTTCTGATCCGATCATATATTTTGACATTGTCTTCGCTTTGACCATAGCGTCTAGATAGTAACGGACACTTCTGACCCCTTGAGTGAAGCTATGAACAATGCAGCCACCGCCTTGAACGAGAGTACTTCAAACGTTACCAATCACCATCCAGATGTAAAAGACTGAAGCCCGACCATCGGCGAGAACCAAAGGAGCGAAAAGAGGTCTCAAATGGTTCCTTCCATCTTTCTCCAACTTTGTCTCGACCCTTTCTACGTGCACTTCCTGTCACCAGCGTCACGATCATACCAGCAGAGAGCGCTACAGCACTGGTTTGAATTGGTGCATTGCTCTAATCATCCAGCTTTTGTTAGCACATAACATGAAACTTAACATGTATGAAGTCAAAGGATCGACTTACGGCCCTTTGGTTTGCACGCCCTTTCCTGCAAGGACTCCGGCGCCTCATTCGCTGGAGCAGCGAAAGCCGTGGCAAGGAAGAGAGTGATGAGCGGGATGGTGAAGCGCATGTTGAAGGACAATTCTTCGGCTTTGAGAATGCTTGGAAAGATTTGGTGTACTGTGTTCGAGTTGATGGATTTGATGAGGCAGTTCCAATTGAAAGAGAAAGGGAGGCGGATTTTATATTCCCTCTCGGAAAATGTTGACTGCCGGATGATGACCAGGGCTGGGGGAATGCAACCCCAGACCGATACATCGGCAGATGCTACCTCGGTGGTGTCTGACTTCAGTAAGTTGGTGTCCCGCATTGAATTTGGCATGAGAGCTGAGGTTGATATCTTGGCAATGGAATGGAAGGATTCAATGGTCTACTTGGCGCAAAGGATATGGATAGGTAACAGTAAATCCGCCCAGAGTGACGGAAAGCCAACCAGTCATCCAGTATGCCTGAGACCTTAGACCACGAGGGCACAGAGGAACTCTATAGCCGAAGACTAGTGTGAACTTCACTGCAGCCTTTACGTCATAGGGAGTTGACGAAATCTTCTAGACATGAATGTGGAATTGATAATTATGTCTCCCATTTGAGCAAGAAATCAATTTACTATTTGTAAATGTCGAACATTAATTTGCACCAGCATCTGGTAAACCACGGCTCTATCGGGACAGATATGTTCTCTGGAACGACTCGTGAAGGCGTAGCGACAGCTTGGTAGCACAGGATGTTCTCCAAAGGATTCTGTCAGCTTACTTACAGGACGCTTCCGATCGCATTGGCCATTTTCTAGGCCATAGGTACTCATGGAAGTACCTGCCACACTTGATCTTCTTCATCGCCTCAGACACCGCTTACGGATACCCCACATACATATGGCACGCCTGACTTGGCGAAATAGGGCGGGGTACACCTCGAAAAGATGCAAAACGACAGAGATGCGCCTTGAGCAGCACCTTGATGAGAACCTCCTTCCAATTGAAGACAGTAACAAGAAGCTGCACCAATAGCAGACCTCGTATTCCATGGCCTAGAAGCCACACGTATGGCTGTCGGGCCGTTCCGAGCCGCAGAAGCTTTCTTGAACCTTGGCCAGGCTCTGACGCATGCATATACGCGCATATTTACGCTGACGCTGTTACCGTCCGGTCCCGAAAATGCCGTATCTGGCGCTCGTAAGCCCAAGTCAGGATACTTGATCCGAAGCCAAAGAGTTCCGCTTTAACCGACCGTGGCACCTCACCTCTTGGAGCGGCCGAAAATAGGTAAGGCCGGACATTTGCCGATATCGATTCTCAAAAGCATATTCGGAGGATTCGCGTGCTGTTGCACTAGAAGATTGGCACTGCAAGGGGCAGAGGGACCAAAACACTCTCCAAATGATGACCTCCAGCATGTAGGAGATATTCAGACCCTCAAACATCTTCTAGAACGGAGGTGGCAGCCGGCTGTAGATCTCGACGTAGCTCGACGCGAACGTTATGCACAGCATCGTGTAGTCGGGCGGGTTAGTCTTAAAGCACACTTCGACATGCCACTCGTAAGCCGCCGTCAGCCGCGCCATAACCTCTTCGAAGTTCTACCTAGTGCGCTGGCTGCTGCACCTTAGCGTCTGGCTTGGCGCAGTCAGGGTCACCGCCCCGCGCGCCGGCGGCATGAGGTGCTTTTACAGCTCGCACTCGGCCGGCTCGCCCGACGGCTACTTCTGCTGCTCTGGGTGTACATCCGTCTACAGATTGAATGTCATAATACCTCGCTGACTTTGTAGCACGTTGACTAAGGCCAATGAGAGAACGAATCGAATGTCATCAACTCGCAGACGTTCCACTTAGTACCCTGGCTTGATCTTTTGTAGATGTACTAACATCTTTCTAGCTCTATGGCGAGGCTGAGAAGATCTTGGAAATCCCAAATATCAAGGACTTACGGTTGAGCATTTATTATTTTGATTCAGTCGCCATCGCCATCACACCTGCTTCTCGAGAAACGAATCAGCGAAGGAAAATAAAATTCCCGTTTCAAACAAGCTTAGTCCCCTTTTCTTAATAGCGTTATGGAGGATCTCGTCAATGATCGAGCAGACTATGGGTTCTTCCACCAGTCGCATTTTCACGGTTCAGATTCAAGTCATTCCCACATATTACCGAGCTGTAGATGGCGGTATGTGGGCGGGAATATACTTTTCACCAAGTCAATATAGGTAATTTAATTATATCTTAGCGCGAAACTGCAGGCTATAATGTCTATAAGAAGTTCGCTCGCTTTTAGTGCAGCCACCAAATCTCGTATTTGTATATTTTGGCGCAACTCCCGATCTCCATGCGACAGCAGCTCCGCACCAATCACGACTAGTCGTCTCAGATTTGCAACGCCCCTTCTATCCCTTTCCGTGTAGGTACAAACTCCTATCGAGATGCATCACTTGACCCTACCGCTTTCCTCTTTTCTTTCACAATAGCTCGTGCTCAGGCCAGTTAATACCAGGATGCTAAGCTTTTTAAAGAAGCTTGTCTGCACTGTAGATATAAGTCCCTCTCTTACTAAATTTTGGCACACTAAAGCTCTCGTGCAGCTCAGAACTAGATCTCATGCGGGGCAACTTCGGGGGTTTCCACAGCCATTGTGTGGCTGAATATCATGTTCCCGCAGTACACAGCGGAATACGGACGCCTCGAGGTCTCGATCGTGATGCGAGTCGCGTTGTGGCTGCAGTTCACACCACCTTCCTAATGGCTTGTTTCAGGGTCCAGCTGACCATCGCCACGGAAAACTTTCTTAGCGATGCCTGCTTTGATTCTAACGTGGGTGAATGGTACCATGCCAGTGAGTACGACGATGATGTATAAATGCAGTTGGGAGTAGCTTCAACTACTTGCTTTTCCCTTCAGCATACTCCCTCCTCAACTTCAGTCTCGCTCCAGAATTTCAAGATTCGCCTGGCTTCCTCTCAAGATGGTCAAAGTCTCCTCTCTCGTTGCTGCCAGCATTGGCATAGCATATACTGCTGCTGCTCCCGCAGACCTCGTTGAACGTGCTGGATGCACCTTCACTGACGCCGCTTCCGCTATCAGCGGCAAGACTGGATGCACCACCATTACCTTGAATGGTATTGCCGTTCCTGCAGGAACCACACTGGACCTCACCGGTCTCCAGGCCGGCACCAGCGTCATCTTCCAGGGCACTACTACCTTTGGCCACAAGCAATGGGAGGGTCCGCTAATCTCAATCTCGGGTACCAATATCAAGGTATCCGGAGCATCTGGCCATGTCATCGACGGCAATGGTGCTGCGTGGTGGGACGGCGAGGGCAGCAACAGCAAAACCAACATCAAGCCCAAGTTTTTCTACGCGCATAATCTTAAGGGGAAGTCTTCGATCAAAGGGTTACACGTCAAGAACACGCCTGTCCAAGGCTTCTCGATCGATGGGTCCTCCGGTCTCACCTTGGATTCCATTACCATCGACAATTCCGCCGGTGCCTCGCTTGGTCACAACACCGACGGTTTCGACATTGGCGACTCCTCAGACATCACCATTTCCAACTCCCATGTGACCAATCAAGACGACTGTCTTGCTGTCAACTCAGGCACCAATATCAAGTTCATTGGCAACACTTGTATTGGCGGCCATGGAATCTCCATTGGATCTGTCGGTGGTCGCTCGAACAACGTTGTGAACGGCGTGACTGTTCAGAATTGTAATATCCAGGACTCTGAAAACGGCGTTCGTATTAAGACTGTGTCCGGTGCTACCGGAAGCGTAACTCGTAAGATACCACCTCCATTTACTATACAGCGCTGACGTCCTTGTAGAGGTTACCTATGACGGGATCGTTCTCAGCAATATCGCCAAATATGGGCTAGTCATTCAGCAGGACTACGAGAATGGGAAGCCTACTGGCACACCTACGGCGGGCGTTCCGATCACGCATCTTACTCTGCACAACATTACGGGCACTGTGGAATCGACTGGGTTTAACAAATACATTCTCTGTGCTTCTGGTGCTTGCAGCTCTTGGACGACCAGCCTCATTAATATCCATGGTGGTAAGACAAGCACCGCATGTACTGGAATTCCCAGCGGCTCAGGCATTACTTGCTAAGCGACCTGAATGGAGGTATCGATTGGAGAGAGCCTGTCATTTATTCAAGTTTGTATGAAAGAAATTTCAGTTGAATCACTTGTCATCAGACCCTTAAAAAGTGTGAGAAATAACGTCTCGCTCGAAACATTAAAGAGCCAATGCTTATTACAACGACCCACGCTCAACTTTACCAACAAAGCACACCAACCTCCATATGCCGCTCGTATAAGCACTTTCCGGCCACAATCCATCCCCAACCAAAGACGCCAACGCCACTTCTACCTGCTGAGACCACAGCAGGCCCAGCAAACCATGGTCCCGTGACTTTTGCCCCTGTGGATTCGACAAGGCAGTGTACACAAAACGGCTGTCCGAGTGTCTCCAAATGGGGGAGTAATCGACCCCTGGCCAATCATACCTAGCAAAGGTCATGATTCAGATATTTGAAATTCCAATTCGTATCCTCTGAGCGAGTGGCCTGAATCTTGCGCTGCCCAAGGGTCTCGGTGTGTGAAAAATCGCATTAACCCCCTTTCGGCAAGACTAGCTCCGATGAGGACATGCCACCACAGATGGTCACACTCTCTTTTTCAGAGACTTGGTTCTTGCAAAGAAGCACCAATTTCGCCTGTGGGTTGGTGCAATTGGCGTCTTGAGCTCCTGACTTGGACTTGCCGCTTTTCTGCCACACCCTGACGTTGTCGTTGGGCGATATCTCGTATGCCAGAGCAGCCCTCATGCCGCTGACACCCTGTGGGTGAATGGCTTTCACTGTGTTGTTGACCTCTTCTATTATTGGCTACTCGAGATGTCTAAATTAGCTGCGGTCGTACACTCTGCCATCGCTGTAAGGGCCTCCGTGGAGTGAGATCGGGGGGCGGAGCGCGACGTGCACTTTCTCGTGCCCTTCGTCCACCTGCCTCTCGACAAATGCCTACGACATCATTTCCCAAAAGCACTTATAGTACGAATTAAACTCGAGATACTGGGCCCAAGGGTGGTAACTGATCTCTGGCGTGACGGCCATTTCGATGGTAGTCCAGCCGTAACGTTGGGCGATGAGCTTGCTCTCGTTGAGACCGACACCTGACCAGACCATGGCTCTGTTATGGGGGATGCTGCCGATGTAGGAACGTGCTTGCGCGGGCGTTGCAATGACCGGGATAACAGTTCCGTCCTCGAGAGTTACGTTGGTGCCGTTTACGTAAGCCAAAAAGGTGCCATTGGTAATCCAAATTCCGTCATTAACAATTGGGGTATTACAGGCAGTATAGTTGGAGGCATCGTTGTAGGCGCTGCGCATATGAAGGGGCTGCTGCGTTGGAGCCTGAATGGTGGTTCGAAATAGAAACGAAAACGCAAAGACAAGTCTCAGCAAAGTGCAGAGACCACCGTGACCCAGGAGAATTTTCGTGATGCCGGATAATATGAAGCGAGATAGACCTTTAGGCTTTGCTGCTTGGAAAAGATGTCCTTCCTCAGGTGCGAACTGACAAGACATATGTACTTTTCCTGTGCAAGACCACATTTCCTTCCGTCGTCTTCGTCTACATTATCACATTCCCATGGATCTGACAACTGAGCACAGTGAGCTCTGGCTATGCCGCTCGTCTAGATACGAACTCAACAATCCATGCCAATGGCTGGGATTCACGGTACCTGATGCCGTTGAGTTGCATTCTTACCATATTAGGAATGCCATGTAGACTTGTCAGATAAACCTAAAGTAAGGAGGCTTTCGATCAACCGAGCGTGGGACGGGCCGATCCGCAAGTGAATTGATGAGCCTTTCCCTTTTCGGTAAGCCAATATTTGTACGATCTTCCTCGTATCTTCCTCGTATATATAGACGATTTTAGACGAATTTGTTGGTAGATTTTAGCACTGCTCGTTAAGGCTTGGCAAGAACGTCAACACGAGCTTTACTTCAGGCTCGCAGACGGAGCACTGAGCAATTATCGAGTGGTCCTTGAATATGATGTAGTGCTGACTTGGCAACGACAGTCTCTTTTCGTCCCTCACCGCGCTGGGGTGTTCGAGTGCGAGCATCATGCTTGCTGTTTAGCCCACCGACGCACGATCCCCGTAGCGCGTATATCTTATAGCTCAGCTTCTCATCGCATTCCTTTTGTTATTATCGCCTCTCTTCGAAATTCAGCAAGCCTCGACCTCACCGGTGATTCCGGCCTGGGGACTTTTGAACAGAAGAAAACAGTGGGGCGAAAAGAACAGGCGTTGGACAATATGCTACGGTAAATTATACAGCGCCTCAAAGTCCACAGCCTGTCAGGAGAGGTGGAAGACTATCGACCAACGAGTTGTGAGTTGATTCCTGTCTCTCTTATGGGGGTAATGCCTTCTCGTCTCTGCTCAGGAGTTGAAATCTCGAATTTTTCACATATACTCTACTAACATATACCAGGATCCAGGCGGTTTGATGTAGTTTATTGCAATATCATACGATGGCAATTCCCATTTAATGAGAACAGCTGGGTGATATTCATTACGTCACGACCTGAAACAATCATCTTGCCATGCGGGAGTAAGTGGAGGCAGGCTTCGGCTGATTAGAAAAGAAGACAACGTACGATGAGCTCGATGACATCTCCGGCATCATCTCACTGGTGGAGAAGTACTCGGGGTAGCCGACAGATCCACTCAAATGATTCGTCGCCGACACAACCCATGTTTTTCGTGGCGCTTGCCGAGCATCTTATTCATAATTTTAATAATGAAGCTGAGATTTTCTCATCTTCTTACGTTCTCGTGCTTGAACGAGTGAGACTGAGACCTGCAGGTGCGGCTGCACAGATGCGAGTGAAGCGCTTGGCGGCGGCTGTTGCGACTGAACATGCATCGTCGCCGAATGAGCATGTCCTATCTATAATATCAGCACGGATATGTAGAATCCTTTTATTATTAGTTTATCTTGATATAACGCCATTTTGACAACATCTGTCGACTGTATGGCCAAGTTTCAGTCATTCACAGTTTCAAGTAATACGTTTTTTTGTAAAAAGAAAAAGGTTAGCATATTGCTATTATTTCTTGTTCTGTGTGATCCAAACTTTTAACGTGAAAGTTTTGTTAAGAGCGGGAATCCGTAGCGGAATTTTAGAAGGTCACCATGAACGAAGACCTGTGAAACCCAACCTCGGGCTCCCTGACGTGATCGAAACACAGGGTCGCACAGAGCCGCATCGGCTAGTGTAAGCAGCCATGACCAACATCGACAGGTAGCTCAACCAGATGGTCGTATATTCAACACAGCTTCTCCACCGGTCACCTTGGCGGCAGGGGAAACACACCTAGGAGCAGCGGGACTTCCAGCTCGCCACTTTCCTCGAGGCTTTCAGGCCGGATATGATGACTGCAACGTAGGCTTCATGCTTAATTAGCCAAAGAAAAGGAAAATTACGAGATGTACGCTGACAGCATACCAGTCGTACGATACGGGACATCCGCCAGTCAGCCGGACGAGGTGCAGTAGTCTGTTAACGAAGTGCCTGCACACGCCAGTGCAAAGAGCGGTGGCCTTCTACCGTATCAGAGTTATGCGGGGTCTAGACACAGAGAAGTATGCCTGGTGGCTTCGATGCGGGGCTCATGATGAGCACAGGATGATGAAGGATCGTTCAGACAGCGGCAGGAAGCCGTACCGCTCTTCAGACCAACGATTAAAGTTGTTCTGCTTAGATTCTGTGTGAAACCCCAAATTATGCAGAAAGCCAGCCAGGGAATCCAAATATGAGTCAGATTACAAGCAAACTTTAATGATAAATCACTTTTCAAGAAGAGAAGGTACCTTACTTTACAACACACTGCAAATAAATGGTCGTATAGTCAAGAAGTCTCCTCGATAGGTTCACGCTTTGATAATGTTTCCAGCTGATGAAATGTACACATGCAAGAACTTCAGGCAGGGAAACGCGAAATAAATTTAGTCTAAAGTTCTAATGCAGGCAGCTACTGATCCATCCGATAGTATGCTGATTTCCCAACCCATCTGTCTATCTCTAAAAGCTGTGATCAGAAACCTTCGGCTCCCACGCTCCAGTATTACCCTCCTTTATCAGCGAGTGGACGATTGCCGGGCCCATGACGCTGCCGGCTGCCATGGCCATGACCAAGGCCTTCATGGGATTTCCTACATCACCCACGGCGTAGCAGCCAGGAACATTGGTCTCCTGGAACGGACCGCTCGTCTTGATCTCCCCTCCGCTGGGACTGAGCTCCAAGCCAAGCTCCTCGAAACCGCCGACGTTGGCCGAGGTGCGGGGATGGTAGGCCAAGAATGCGTGTGTTGTGGAATCGTCGTCGGGGAAGTACAGAGTAATGCCACCGACGCTGCCCTCCTCGTCTTCGGCGCGGACGGGAGCGACCTTGGAAGTCTTCCGTGTGTCGATCGTGTAGTTGAGTGCGGTGGAGGGAAGGACGGACTGTACCTCCGCGGCGACCTCCTCGGAGCCGTTGGTGTAGATGACGATGCTGCCGACGAACTGGCGAGCCATGGAGGCTAGCATCACACACATTTCTTTGTTGCTCAGCAAATCTGTGGCCAGCACGCCGGCAGAAGCAGCACCCGTCTCTTCGAAACCGTGGCAGAACATGCAGTGATGTCTGTGTCATGTCAGGTTATCAATTTTCCTCGAACAGAGATGGGCTCTTCGCACTCACATCGACTTTCCCCAGCACTCAGCAAAGCCCGGAATATCAGGAAACATGTCTTTCACTCCCATGGCTAGGACTAACCTGTCGCCAAACCATTCCGCGCCGGATGCGTCAACGGCCTTGAACTTGCCGTCTGATTGCTTCGATAGGGATGTGACGACCTTCGATACCCATTGGGTCGTGTTGTAGCGGCCCTCGAGAAGCTCCTTGCGTGCGGCGGCGCGGAGGTTGGCCGGGTCTTGGTGATCCCAAGTGAGGAGATTGTGGAGACGTTTTGCTGGCTTGTTGCGAAAGACACCTGAATCGAAGACTACGGTGGATCGGCGAGCGCGAGCAAGGGCGAGGGCAGCGGAAAGACCGGCGCCGACGATCAGGACATCGACTGCGTTAGAGCTTGGCAAGGGTGACATGGTGGTGATGATAATGGACGTGGCTGCCGCTCTTGTGGGACCTATTGACCTATCCTAGTTGCTACTGCATTTCCGACATTTAAAAAAGCGCAGTCGCAGACTATGTGGAGAGCCCTAACAAAGGCGCTGACTTTTGCGGGGACTTAGGGTTCTCGGTACTTCCATTTCGGGGACTTTTACGTATGGGGGCCACTGCGAAACAGGAGCCGCGAGTCTGGACGCACAAAGCCTCCGGCTACGACATCGGACGCAGGCTGTGCGACCTGGACTTGATAGATGTGTTCCTAAGTTGCGAGGCTGTGGAACACAAGCCCTATGCATGCAACTCTCAGCGCGTGTTTTGTGGCACGTAGTACAGAGACGTGCGATGTGACCGGATTAAAATCTTCGTAATCCTTACTAATACGAAAAATGGAGAGGGACACGGCGGGCAACACGAATTGAAATGAAGAGTGGCTTAAAGAACCCTCCATTAGTTTAACGCCGCGAATGGAACAAGACTAAAGGTTGCTGTGGTAGGGTTCTACACATGTTTCTGCCGCGCCGTGGTGCGGTCGACTGCAAAGAGCCGAAACTTCTGAGTGAGTCTAACGCAAAATTTTCCAGCCTTCGTACACAGATAATTGATTTCTACAACTTTATGGTATTGTGTGAAAGAGAAACGCCGGTTTGTATCTAGATTCTTATTTTCACTGCCAATAGAGACGCTCGCTAATAGCCAAAAAGAAAAAGGAAAGAGATCTGCAACCATCGGCGCCGGAATCTTGTTCTGCTTACATTTAATAATACAAAGCTAAGAAAAATGTGCTTCATGTCATTGAACATAATTCTGTTGGAAGACCAAAGCACAGGCTTCAGCGCGAACGCTTCCAGAGCTGTCCAGATGCTGCTCGCATCTGGCCGCTGAGTCTGGCAATTCCGTCCATTGGGTCGGCCAGTAAGCTGCGGGCGCGAGTGGATGAGATTGGGCGGTGTGACATGTTGTTGTGAGTGTCATCGTCCAGCAGGGCTTGAAGGTCTTCGAGGGCGGCATGCAGGTTGTACAGGCCTTCGGTCAGTAGCTGTCCCGCCAGGACGCACGACTCGGCTGCATCAAGCGTGAGCGGTCCGAGGGCCATGGTGGCGGGGCTGCACTGAACGGCGGCATAGCTGAAGGTATCGGACGGGGACCAACGCGGTGGGCTTGCAGTGATGCAGTAGGCAGTGCACGCGGCTTTGTAGAAGCAGAGGAGGCGGGCGGCAGTGTTGGCCAGGGCGGCTATCGTATCGTCATCACACCAGCAGCGACTGCAATGGCGGACACGGCTCAGAGATTTGGCCAGTCTCTCGCTGGCGGCAAGCACAACATCTAGGGGCACATTTATCTCGGCCAGAACGGCGTATTCGCTGCGGGCGGCGGCATCGAAGCAACTGCAGGGCCTGGCGTCTGCCAAGTGATTTAGCTATGACCATAATCAGATGGTGGTGCGGGTACCTTGAAGATCGTCCGAGCCCTTGGTGCGCACGTGGAAGAAGGGGGAGGGAAGTGAAGGTGCGAAGGCCATGTTGGCGACGACGTCTAGCAGTTGACCTGCTGCGGTTTTAAGTAATACCCATGGAAGTTTAACCGGAAATATCTTCATGATTCCCACTCCAAAATCACGGCGCCGCCAACGCGGTTCGGACCGCAGCTCCAGCCCTATTACACGCCTATCACGACACGCTAAGCAGGGCCCTGCTTCCCCACACCACTGCGTTCCTTCTGCACGTCAGCCGCACGACCAACACCACAACCACCGTCAGTGCTGACAGCGGCTTGTCTCAGCCTGCAGCGCTGCCTGCTGAACATCCACGGTGCCTGATGGAGAGGCGCTGGCGAGGGCTACCGCCCCCGCCGGACCTCCGCAGGCTGAAGCCCTTCTAAAGCAGCGCCGCCTGCTCTACGTCTCGACAACATTCAACTCAGCTTCCGCCATGTCGACTACCTCCGCATCCCGAACCTCTCCGTCACGGGCACCAACTTCTCAGCCCAAGATCCGTTCGTCCTGTGACGCATGCCAGGCCGCCAAAATCAAATGCGGTCAGGAGAGACCCAGCTGCCAGCGGTGTTGCACGCAGGGCACCGAGTGTGTCTATGGCATCTCGCGTCGCATGGGCCGCCCGAAGTCGAAGAACACGCGTGCACCACCTAAGAAGGACACCGTACCCCCACCCCGGAAGACGTCGCCGCTGCATCCGCTGCCAGATGCGGCATCCGACTTCCACGACTTCGACTTTTCCACCACCACCCCCATGGGCACCCAGCCCAGCGGCACCACTCACTTCGCCACCCTGGGACCTGCGCCAGATTCAGGCCCCCAAGATTACCCTCCGGCCACCAATCTTCAGCAGCAGGATGCGCCTTGCCCGTTTCCGCACACGCCAAATTCTGACGCTGGGCCTGCGCAACCGCCGCTGACGGCCGAGCTGGATTGGCATCCCGACATGGCATTGGCATTGGACGATTCCACCACCGTCCGTGGCTTCTCCCCCACTATGGATCTTTTCGGTGCCGGTCCGGCCTCAATGGATGCCTTCTCGCACGCCCAAGACTTCGATCCCATCATTTCTCTCCTGGCCCACTCCAACAATGCGAATGCGAGCTCGCCGAATGACAGCGGTTGTGCCGGACTCCCCTCACCCGGGCCCCCCGACTGCAGCTGCTACTCGACCATACTGGGAAGCATCCTCGCTTCTCGCCTGGAAGAACGTACCACTACTGTAGCGTCAGCCGATGCTATGCTAAAGACGGCGCGGGACGCCCAGAACATGCTCTCGAAGATTCTGACATGCAGTTCGTGCATGCAGGATCAGTTTGCCCTCCTGCTGGGCCTGACTAGCCTGAGCAAGACCGTGTACCTGCTCGACAGAACCGCCAGTCTTGAACTGAGACCGGACCGGCGGCACCCTACATCCGGACGTATCTCCGAGCCACAGTTCAAGAGAATGCGCTCACGCTCCTCCTGGCCGCGTCCGTTCGTCAGCGACTGCAGCTTACGTGTCGGCTTCTTCGAGGTGGTACCAGATGGCCGATCTGACTTCCTGCGCAACGTTCTACACCTCCGCTTCCACAATCTCGCCCAGAGTCTCGAAGACCTTCAATCTCGCTTGGGACAAGTTGCGGACAGCCCGGTCAGCAAAGCGGGCCTGATCTTGGCCAGGGACGTGGCAGAACGCTTGCAGGCCGCCCAGGGGAAGATGGAGCTTTGGGAGTAATCTTGCGTTATAGATTTCCTTTTCGACAACAATGCTACACTTCCTTCTCGCCATCCCTGGCATCCTCTACTCCACCACTGTCGTCTAAGCCGTTCCCACGGCGCCAGATCCCCGCGGTATAGCCACATAACAGCCAAGATAAAACGCACAATGACGTGAACGATAGGCGGAGGATTTCCTTCTCCATCCCAGTTCGCCGTAACTCTGGTCAGCATTTCAGTGCATTGCATGACAGGCGTCCAGAACGCCAGGAAAACCAGTTGACGCCAGGTTTTCTGTGGTTCCCGGTACTACGGCACCTGCGTTCTCAAATAGCGCCTATACCTACCGGGAAGGCCAGACTCGGAAGTTCCTCGTATCAGTATGTCCTAGACAAGCGGCCATTGGACGGACAGACCCACATATTAGGGTGGATACACTCACCCGGTACCGCTCGCTCGCGCATCTCCAAGGGCGCGAAGCCAAACGCAGTCGCTACTAATGTGTGCGAGCCGACTGTCAGCACATCCCAGCCACGCGAGGCGCGGGCCAGGGGTCCCTCGAAAATAGCGGTGCCCTAACGTTAACCAACTTCTTCCTCGCTAGCAGGCGTCAACGGCGATCAGCAATTGCCTCTCGCTGACCCGCGTGGGTCCGGCCGCCCCCACACGGACTTTTTCGCTCCGGTCTCTCACCACCACCACCACCACCGCTGCCCATCGATGATCATGTCGTGCTGCAGAATCGGCCCCGAATGGACACTGTCGTTATCTCCACGTCGTCGTACGCGACGCCGCCTGCTTCCGACTCGACCACCGCCTCGACGTACTGCTCTCGCGTCAGCAGATAGGCCATCACCCCGTGGACCATCGGAGGAGGCGAGTCCGGGCCTAAGGCGTGCTGCTGCTACGGTGCGGCGGCCGTGGTGGTGGATGAGAAGGCCGGATCGCGATTGGCCATGCCGAAGGTGCCGTAGACGAGCGAATCCAAGCCCGGAAGCCACTCCGGAATTGCGCGAGAGCCTGGTTACCGCGCACCCCTCACGGAAGGTGGAAGGGAATAGTTGGAGCAGTACGCGAAATACCAGATTCCCTCGGCCGGTTTGTCGGGACTGGAGCGATTCATGTTCGAGTTCGTGTTCTTTTTCGTTCGTTTCGTTTTTTCTTTTTTTATTCGCTTCTGTTTGATTCAATTGGATCATAGTCCAGATGTGGTTTAGACGCAAACTTAGGGCAGGTTCGGGGGTTGGTGACGTTAGTGGTGCAAAGAGTGACTGAACCCGGGCTCAATGTTCGATGAAGTTACTGAACTCAAAACACCTTTTGCTTATAGGGGCGCGGGATTAAATATTTAAATGTACAGATGCCGGCATTCTTTAAGGCCTCTTCGTCATCTCCGGTGAGGGAATTGTTCGCTATTTCACGCTCACCGATGCGGGCAGCGAAGGTAGCACCAACTCGGTCTCCGACTTGCGGTGGGGAAAGCTATACACTACGGGAAATAAACACAAAAAAAGGTGGGGAGTTAGCATAGAATGTGCCGATGCACTATCACGAGGACGACATCTTCAACGACGACTGTAGAATCTTAATTCCCACTAGTGACAACAATACATGAGTACGAACACACGGGAAACGCGGACCAGGAAACCAACACTCGCCCTCCATCTTCCTGGGCCCCTCATCTCCAAGACTTCAATTTTTCTCCACACCGACAACCCGACCGTCTCCGCCCCCGGCAAAAAGATCCGACGCATCCACGCATCCAGCGGCAGGAGGATCACGGCGCCCAATCCAGGGCCGCGGAGACGATTGCAGTCTGCTCTGCGCCGCGCCCCCAACATGAGTGGCGACAGCAGCGTGCCGAGCATCTCGCCAAGTTCCAGAGCGGTGATTGCCGCCGGTGCCGTCTTGTCGGGACGCGGAATCGATCAGGCAGCTGCGCACGAACGTCGGCTTCGAGAATCCCAGCGACAACCCCCCGGTCCACTAGCTCGTACAGCTGCCCTGATCCACGGCACGATGCCGGCCATTAACGCTACGTTTGCTAATGCATACGAGGGGGGTTGGATCTGAAGGGCGTGCGTGGGGCGATATTGTTGTGGGTCATGCTCGACGTTGTTGGTGTTGGTGTTGATGCATTCGCCCTCCTCATCAGGGCATTGGCAGCGTGAGTTTCCGCTGCTGGTACTACTATTTTTGCTGCTATTACCCACCACCGCGGCGACACACATGCAGCTTCGGAACCAGCTAGTGCATTATGAACAGGTACACGCATGTGCTGGCGGCGGCGGTCGAGATGAGCACGCCATTCTCACGGCCAGTGAAGCTGAACTGCACCGTTGCGAAGACCATGATGTCATAAAGACGTAGGAAGCGGCCGCGAAGTACAGCATCGTAGCCAGTCCGGTGCCTGCAGTACCGGTTACTGTACGTACGCATCCAGCAGCTCAACGAGCTTGCGTAATATGCTTTCTGCAAGCCGGCAAGTTTGCCCGAGGGAGCGGAGGCCGGAGTGCTCGCTACTTGTGTCGTGATCCTCGTCGTCATTATTCCGAGAGCTGGCAAGGGCGGCATCGGTGTCCGAATTTGCGAGGTACGAGCTTGTAGAGGTACGAGGTGCAGAACAGCAATGTGACAATAAACATGGTAAAACTGACTTGGAAATTGGCATATGCTCACGATTCTGGGACCGAATGCCTGACTCAACATGGAATGCTGTTCTGCTCTGGTGGGTAATATTGAACAAGACCCTTCTCGTTGGCCTGCTCAAACAGTTTAGGTTTACTATATAAGGCAACCAGCAACTCCTATTTGTCAGAACATGCGCGGTTTCTTAGCATGTGTGGCTGCTAGGTCGGTGTCGAGCTGGCTCAATCTGATCCGCTACAGTCCTTTTTGCAGATTCTCAGTTCGAATTTGAGCACCACCAGCTTGAATTCTTTTTTCTCCCTTTTGAAGTGTGAACCCAGCTGTAACTGCTGGCTAATACCTCGCATGTGTGAAAGGTACGTGTCATGACCTTGTCACCACAACCCAAGCTGTGTCCCAACGCAAACCCGCCAAACCAATGTATAAACATGTTAGTGACGATATACAAAACAGTCGTAGTACCTACCTTATATCTACAGCATGTAAAAAACTGGCTTTCAATGCGTACTGCAAGATGTTGTGTTTAGCCAGGCATTCGAAGACACGGCTAACCAGGGCAATTTCCACGTTATGGCTCCAGACTGCTTATGTCTCAGCCATGGAAAGGAAGTGAAGGATAGATTGCAAGATATTCTAAAGTCCTATAAGAGTTTCCCGTGCCTTTAACCGCGAGAAATGCCACAATGACGGCTCTCGAAAGTAACCGGAAGTATAACGAGCGCTTGGTTCCCCGCCGCGCCAGGAAAGGGAGCATCTCAAGTATCACCACCCCGCACACGTTGCTGACCCTCACAGATAAGGCAAGCGTCTTGAAGAAGGCAGCTTCGTCTGTTCCAGTGCATCGCGCTGCATCGAGTAGCGTCCTGTAGGCGAATATCGTCGTGACGCTCGTCGCCGCCACCCAAGATAACCGAAGAAAGCAATACCTCCTCGCCGCCGTCCGCCTTGATGCAGCATCAACCTTCCCGTTGATTCCATTCTGACCGACTCCTCCCTCAATCATGTTGTACAGGCCACCAAACAGCGGTCCTTTCTTACCACAGTGTCTATTACACGTGCTTCTCCAACTCCGTCCAGGCAAGCGCCTTAGCCTCCACCTGCACCTACGCCACACGCTATTTCGCCATCAGCCGAGCCTCCCATCTTATCTACTACACCCCTTCCCGCAGCCCCGGTTCTGGGCGGCGTTACGGCCCGGTCCGCGGCCGCCGCTACACCGGTACTGCAGTGGAGCGGAGAATGCGTAACCAAGATGCAGCTACCGCTGCTTCAGGCCACCCTCAGCAATTCCCGGCTCAGCTTCATCTGCAACTGTTACACATGGCCTACCCATGCATTGCCGCTGGCAAAGACTGCATGGACCCGCGTCATTGCTTCGGAGCCCATCTTTCAGCGGGATGAGCACCGCACCGGCCACGACGGCTCTGGCCACTGTGTCTCTTCCGGAAGCCTTTCACCACCAAGTTTCAAGAGCTTTATGAGTTTTACACCTCCCAGGGCAATCAGCATTGGAGTCGTCAGTCATCCGCACTGCTGTCCGGCATAGGAGAGCTACAAAACCTACGGACGGTTAGTGTTGATCATGCAACTACGACAGAGAATCGAAGCTGACCTACGAGTAAGTCCATCTCGTAAATTGGTGTATGCCCCCTTGCGGGATTGACATATGAGGCTCAATCGTGGCGCTCTAGAATATATGTGGACTGACCGAGGGCACTGGTGGAGCAACCATCACTCGCCTCCGACCCGGAGAGCCGGTAACGACATGCAAGCTAAATCCCAGTAGCCGCATACGTAGATTGGAGAAATAGCGCACCCTGATGTCACCGAGGCCCACCGACAGGATATACCCAGACGATGTGCAAATTGAACCCGCCTACTTGGGACTGGGTGCGGAAAGCAAGGCGCGCTGCCTCCCGGATAGCGTGGTCCGTGGCCTAGGCGGAGAGATGTACGACACAGGCGACCCCGGCTACTGGGATACGGAAGGCAAGATCGTCTTCTTCGGGTGCAATGATCGTCATATCGAAATATGCAGGCTCCGCATCCACCTCAAGGATATCAAAGGCCGCATCCCATCATGCTCCGGCGTTCAGGGTTGCATTGGTCGCGGGCCGAGCCGTCGGGCCGGGCCGACTGCCGGCACCAATCATCGGCCCGAGCGAGCGTCGGGTTGCGGCGGCGTGGCGAAAGGTCAGGACACGACGGTCGAACTGGACGGTGACTCGAGCTTTCTTGAGCTGGATGGACACTTGCTGGTGCAGCTATGGCTGCGAAGTGCAACCTTTTAGCTGTCGCATCCCGGGTAGTACGGTTATCGAGACAGGAACACTGCGCGAGCTGGCGCAGGCCATTGACGCACTTGGAGCCTCGAGCAGCATTCAAAATATCGATGAACAGCCGCTGCGCAAACACCGCCTCCCGTTCACTGAGCATGGTTGGGCGGCTACATATGCACAGGATGACAGCTCCTCGGTGTTCAAAGTCAGCGTCCTGAGCACCTTTGCCCCAGGCAATGTCGATACCCGTTGCCTGGCCGAGGCCTGGGATGTCATGTTAGCCGCCCACCGCATCTCACGGAGCCGCTAATCTGCTAGCCTCAATGGACTAATGGCGATGCGGGCTTACCGCAACGATCCGCCCTGCGCGCATCTTTCCAGCCGCAATGACAAAGATTGTCGTATAAGCGAAGCTTGTGTAATATCCAAGCAGGTGGTCTGCTGCGACAGCAACGGTCAAGCATAATAGGCTTTTGTGAGGGTGCCCAAGCAGAAACTTGTATCTTGATGCGTCGGTAACCGAGTGTTCCATTTCATCTCCCTGATATCCCGAATAGGAAAAGCGCAAGAGAAGGAAAGTCCCCGGTAAGTCTCCGTGCAGCCCCTCGGCCCGTTCCGTTCTTTTCTGTGCATGCCTCCCTGCTCTTACTATTAATGTCGTTACCTCGAATAGACACCAGCTGTTTCTTGCCTACACTGCATCTCTACTTGCCTTTCCATCATGGTTGAAGCCTCTGCTCTTGCAAGAGGCGCTGCAAATAGTCAGTTCTTCAATCGCCGTGGAATTCCAGCCGTTCTCACTAACCTCACTAACTCATACGCGGTTTAGCAGTGCCCATATAATCGATGCACACGAGCATTAATCTGATTGCACACAGTAGTACTTAGAACATAGATTGTCCACAAAGGTTAAAATTTCATGACTTATAATCCTAATCTGTACCTGTCCATTAATAACACTGATATGAATGTGCATCGAGAGGTTAATCGCCTGCCTAAAAATGTACTGCTACGGTCTACATGCTACATACAAATAAATTGTTTGCCTTTAAATGCCACGTCCATCCCATGCGGCACAGGTTCGACTAAATCATCATGAAAGTCTTAATAGGAGAGCTCGCATGCCAATAGGGATTGTGGTTTTGAGTTGGAACGCCTTCTTCTGTACCTGTTCTGGTCAGAGGCGGCCCCCACAACTTGCGGCATTTTCCCCAGCTGATGAGTTCTTCTTTCATGCGAGTGAATATTACATTGGTTGGCAGCGTATACACTGCTCCGCAATCGGACTGATTAGCCAGGACATCAATGGCCATCGACGCTTCCAGCCAGTGTGAGCGGGGCAGCTCAGGGGGCTGGACCTTTTAATATCATGACCATGGCTCTGCAAGTGGATATTTAATGGTACGGGAATGGGAGCGGATATATAAGCTTTCCTGGGTAGAGCAGTGATGGAAGTCTTCAATGGGGTTAGCGTGTTTATCCCTTCACTCGTGCAATGCTACGAAAGGGCTGAGGGGTACATAATTGGGCTGCAAACAGACCACCAGAGCGTAATATGACGCTCACAGCATTTTATTTGTAAAACTATCATTTTTTGATTTTAATAGCTCTTCCAAATAAACCCGTGCCAAGCCTTTATCTTATATTTAGGAAAGAGTTTCGCTTATCCCTCGGCCTCTTCTCGCTTTTCTATACTCTATTCTGTCATCCAATACGTCTCCATAGATCTACCATCACATTGGATCAAAATGCATTCGTTATGCCTCGCTATTGTTCTGTTCTCCCAATTACTGCCAGCTCATGCGCAGAGTTTTTCTTTTCAGGACTTGCCTTCAGGAATCTGGAGGGATACCGGCAATGATGACGACAGGAAGAACGGCGATGCAAGTGTGACGCCGTCGATTCCTAGCACCGAACAAGTCCGTGCTTCGTCATCTATGGCGCCTTCCACTCGCTACTCGAGCAGCATGAGCATGCGTACCTCCTCGCCGGCAATCACAGTACTGCCGTCCGCTACACTCGCCCTATTCTTGAATGGGCCATCAACAGCCTGGGATGTAGGAAGCAATATTGCCAAGGAAGTATACTCTCTTTCCGAGAGCGCCAACAGCTACTCGGGTGAATCTCTTGACGAGACGGCAACACCCGACTCGGACATCGACACCACTGCCGCCGGCTACAGCGCATGCATCGAAGCGGTAACAACCTTTGCAGACTGCATTGACGCCAGTAGCAGCGCGTTTGTCACGGGCGGCGCCGACTACGCGTGGACATGCCTATGCAACGACTGGGACACCAGCGCGCGGACCTACTCATGGGTCGGACCGGCCTTCGACAGGCCCTACGGATCATGTATCGACTATTTGTCGAGCGAATCATACGATGGCTGGAATTCCTTTACACCGATGAATGGCTTCTGTGCGAAGGTCTCTGCATCTAAATTTGTTGCCCGAGGGACGTCAGGCCCTATGACCCCCGCGGACCCGCCGGCCGCAACGACGCCGTCTACCCCAATGACTCCAACAGCTCCGTCAACACCTTCAGATGACCCTCCCAATGGCACTCCCATGAATAATGTATTCCTTGGTTCTGGAAATAAGTTCTCAGAGGGAAAGCACAGTGTAAGTCGAAATTCAGAAACGCCGAATTGAATCCATCAGGTAACAAAGCAATAGGGTTGGATTGTGGTTTTGACCGCTTTGGGCACTCTATATCTCAGCGTGTTCTAGGCAGTTCGCTTAGGGTAGGTGGCTTGCTATAGCAGAGTTCGATGCAGCATACAGCTGGTACCAGAAAAAGCCAGGACTTGGAGAGAAGTGAGACAGCAACTGTCGGCTATTGTACGAATCAAGTCGTTATCAAATCCATTTCTTTTCATTCTCGAAGAAAGGCATGATCCTCGGTGCACTACATAGCTGCCATGCTTTCTTTGATTGTACTTAGAAGCATTCCGATACTGGCTGTTATTGGAGTAAAAGTAATTTATAATTCTGCGATGAACAATTGGAGATGTTTGACCTCCTGGCAGTCCGTCGAAATTGAGAGTTTTTGCTAATAGCTACCCGAGTATAAATGAAAGGTGGCTCCGAGAAATTGGACTTGGTTTTAAATCGATCACCTGGACATCCCTGCAGGACTTCTTCATGTGAAAATGGCATTTATTGAGTAACGAAAGGTTTTTTTGTGATATAAATTTTTCATGATACTTCTATTTCAGTACGCCTGAGCTATTTTTGTTGTTCCAGAACCAATACCCAGTCCGTATGTTGTTCATCTGTTGGAGGAACGAATTCTGTTATTGGTTTGGGCGTAGCTTCAGAAGGGACAAACTCGAAACTGGAGTAACTCCCATCCAATGGATTGTACCAGCTGGCGCTGACATTGCATCCTGCCAAAATCCCTGTGTCAATAGACATGCTCATTCCCGTTGGAGTGTAGACCATAATCCAGGATCCGCCGGCGTCGCTCGTAGCTGTTACTCGTTTGTCATCTGTCCCTACAAGGGTTCAGCGAGGTGCTTAAATTATGGACAGCAGAACCTCATACCTGCGTCACCAATTATAACATGTTGTGTGGGAAGCCTTTGGAAGTAGCTTCCATCCCCACGATCTTCGATGACCTTCTTGATGTACTGCATTTGAACAGACCCAGGAAGATGGATATCTTCGGCCCAAGATCTCGCAGGACCGCTGCCAGCCGGCTCGAATAATCCTGGGACGTACATCTGCATCACGTTATCCGCACCGTACGTGACACCGGCAGCACCGGAGAACACCTTTTTTATGCGGTAAGCTATTGACCTTCAACGGTAGCGCGGGAACTTACTGCCTGCCAGCTCCCGATACGCACATCGGTTGCATTCCAGTATGAATTTATGCTTTTACCGTTGTTGTATCTGAAACCGGTGAGACGTTAGTGAAATCGTGTTATTCAACTACGTTCCTTTGATGCAACGCACCGCGCCTCATAATGGGCTTCGTTATCCAGCGCTGGCCGCGTTCTTCCATCTGATTTTTCCCCAGCGGCATACATCAACTCCACCGGCTCCCATCCTCTTCGCGCGTTCCACCATGGGATCGGAGGGTTGGGCGGGTAGTCTGCATGTCCTGACTGACTGGTGTCAAACGTCAGCCACTCGCGATCACCAACTAAAGTGCTGGCAAGAGCAATTGGACCGCCGCTAAACCATTGATTCGTAGGATGAATGGTCATCAGCGGCTTCCAAGTTGTGGAGGATATTGCTTCACGTTCTCCTGTAGTGACTCCTTCTGCTAGAGCATCGTATACGTCACTCCAGTCTACGTGGTCGTAGGTCGGTGGAACGCCTCCGGTTGCATAGTCTACCTTCACGGCAGTCTTGTTCATCCACCATGGGTTGGTATCCGCGACCAGGAGCTTGGGAAGATACGGGTAACGCTGGCCGATGAAGTTCCCGAACGGCTTTGCTGTGGTAATATTGATGACAGAACCGGCATTTGCTAACATTTTGTCAACACAGAACCTTGCCCTTGATGATAAGGCACACTAACTGTCTGAATGTACATATTTGCCCCATGCAGGGACGAGCGCAATGCGAATGCCCTTGCTCCAGGCAAGCTCGACTATGGAATCGATGTACGCCCAGTATGGCTCGTTGGGTTTCGTAACATCGTAATCGATAAAAGTCAGGTCGCCATTGCGATTCGGACTGTCAATGCCAATCTGCGTAAAACCGACCGCAAGGACTACGTTGAAGCCTTTAGACGCTCGATCGGAGAGGTATGCTTCGCATTCGCTGTAATTGAGCCTATGGAAAAGGAGCCATGCGGTGTCGGCTTGCCAGAAGAAAGGTGATCCGTCGGCTTGTTGAAAGAAATGCCCATCTTCTGATGGCAGGATGGAATACTCGGGTGGCACCTCCCAGGAAGCCACAATGGGCAAAAACGACAATACGAACCATACCAGAGCAGCAAGCATCATGTTATCTGGGATGTGACCTTTCTTGAAAGATTTGAGCGAATCCTGTACCTATCCCAGCTGTTGCTTAATAAATAGCAAATTTTCCACGATTTGCGCCGGCATGTACAAAGAAGTTAAATTTTGATTCGAGCAACCATCCGTGTTATTCTGCGGGGCACGCGGGGTAATTGCATCGGTTTGTTGTGCTATCAGCCTCAATCCGGGAAAACTACGTCCGTATTCTCATTGGAGGGAATTCTTAACAAGATGTTGCCGAGGTGGGGTTATGTGTAACAGCTACTATTGCATGAGTTTGATAATCAGAGTATTCAATTCAGTAACGGCTGGGACATGGCCTCCTACGCCCTTTACGACATGAAACAGCAGGATGACGCGCATGCGAAGTGCCTTAGGTTCAGGCAATTGTATTTATATAATAAACGGACATGCAGCCTCGATTTACCCCTTAAACTTCTATGACAAAATGTGGCGTTTTTTCTTGGGCCAGCTGGTCGTCTCTACTGCCACCAACATTTTCACCTCCATCATCTCGACGTTTCTCATCAGTAGAAGTAGCCAAGTTTCCAACTACTCTTTTTTCTCCTTGTGGCACCTTTAAGCCGCCTGTAGCTTTAGAAAGCTTCGTTGCCAGGTCATGCTCCATATCGTTTTCTGCGCTTTCTTTTCCAAGCTCCTCCTGCAATGCATAGCCCAGATCAAGCAAAGCTCGATATATACCAGTTTTGCATCTCGCTTGCACCACCCGGCTATTCCTCCATGCGTCTATCCAGAGACCATAAAGGAGAGATACGAACAAAAAATTGCAAATTGACCATAACAGTGAAAGATAGTAAGAAAACCCCCATTGGTACGCATTATCAGGCTGACAAATTTGGTTTTTTTCGCGGTAGTCTGGGCCGTAAGCTTTGCCATTATACTCAAAAACTTGAGTGCTGATGTTGAGAATGGGTGCTTCAATATTCACATTAGTGCCGTTGATAACGAGTACCGACGGTTTAACGGAACCATTTATGGGGTATTCTCCATCTTTATAGAATGTTTCCATATCTTGCTCGCGTTTGTAAGTGCCATATCATGAGCTTTAATAAGGCGTAATAACTTACATAAGTCAACATCAACGCGTATTCCACTTGGAGGATCGAGAATCCCTGAGTTTGCCTCGCAATCATAAATGGCTAAGGACACTTCCCAGTTGGTAGGAACCGTCATACCGACGGGAGCTGTTAGAACTGTATTCTTCCATAGCGTTGCCCCTCTCGATGTGCTGTTCGAAAATTGTGTTCCATTGCGTGCGGTCAGGGAAATTCGTTGCCCATCGTATATTATCCTCGAAGTCGAGTAGTAAGCAGTGGGAATTGCGCTTCCGTCGCACGCTGCTACCATTGTGGTGAAGCGAGGAGTATATCCGGTCATCGCACTGGTAAGCGTTGGCCATACCCCGATGTAAGCGGTCGTGACAAGAATCGTGGCCAATATGGCTTTAACATGGAGAGGCCGGTTCTGCGTCTTGCACCTTCTGATCAACTCATGAATTAGAGCAGAACAAATGGAGAAAGTTCCTTGTTGGACCCTCGTTGCCAGAAAGAGGTCATAAGACATGGTGTAGCTCTCCATGGCCCTCATAAGAGCCATTTTGTACACAGCCAATGCGCCAGCCGCTAGCGCAATTTGGAGCCCTCGCGCTACGGCAATATTCCAAATTGTGTCTATGATCTTGACGGTAGTAAAGCTGTAATTTCCGAAAGCCATGTTGACGGAGAACAATTCTGAGATGCGTGATCCGTCAGATATGCAAGGACGATTGTGCAGCTCGGTAACGAACCCGCGGCAGCCGTTGGTAATAAGGTAAAAGAGTGGTGGAGTAGTAAGGAGTATTGAAGAGATTACAGCAATAATGTTTGGTACAACGGGTACGTAAAGGGATTTGCTGACCCTCCTCGGCGGAGGAGAGTCCTTGGTTGATGTTAACAAGGAAGAGTCGGACATTTTTAAGCCATTCGCCTCAAAATGCATATGGCACGTTTTCTTCCGTATAGGTTGCCGAACAAAAGGCGTTGTTTGATTAATATGCCTGAGTGCGGTGTGAACTTTTTTGATTTGCTTGAGATGAACCCGGGTACATGGGCGGTGTTGGAATTCTGTTCTGAAAATAGTCATTCAGCTGTACACCTTGCGACCCACCTCATTCAGCTAGCGTTCTGCAAGAAGGCCGTTGTTGCCGTGTACCTTGCAAGGTACCAGGGCTAGCGAACGTGAGTGCCATCTGATAGGCTTCGGCTGATGAGCACTGACTGCCTCAGCCACATCAACTTATCTCGGCCTAGCTCAGTATGGTGATCGTGTACTGCGCATCCTCGTGGTCACCATCAGCCTGGCCTATTAATAGACCAGATGCCTGCTTTCTTATGAACGTACAATCAATATCATGGGCTTACATTTTGCAGGAGAGAAGACTGTAATGCGGATCAAGCTGTAAATGGCCCTGGCTACCTCACACTTGTAATCGGTGCTCGTGAGCTCGCAGATGTAGTGCGGACTCGATCTCACTATACTTGAACAGCTACAAAAGCTGGCATCCATGTGTATGATCAGATGTGAGCAGGTCGTCATTCCTGTGACCCAACAGCTGAAGTCGGTCAGTTTATCCCTGGAAAAGTATGCTGCATCTCCACGTCTTGCACGTATCTGTGCAATGAGCTAACCTGGCCATTCAAATTCAAGTGGTTCCCATTTCAGCCAAGCAGGGCGACGATATCCTGGGGTGTTCATAAGCTTCTAAATCCGATTTGATCTTATGTATTTCTAATGGGGATGAAATGCTTTTTTTTTTTTTTAGTTTGCAGATACACAACACTTTTAAAATACATCTTCATTGAAGAAACAGCATAGTAGAGATTGTAAAACCATTTGAAAAATGTGTTTTATAAGTTTTGTTCAAGTCGTGATTCTTTTAGAACAAAGCGACTAGACCGAACAGCCGAAGCACCAGCGCAGAAGCGACACCATCGCAACCAATAAAGGCGGATACGTTTCTGGAAAAGGAGGAATCTGTTTGGCCCCATCGCACGATCGGTGGCTTCCCGGTTCGTCGGCAATGCCATGATGCGCCCCCTCGAAATAGATTGGAGGGAGCTTGTGCCACTTACCCCTTTCGGCAGATGAAACATGTTTCGTGCAGGTGGAGGGGCGCCAAGCACGGCGTTTTCCCGCCGTTGAGCGGTCTTTGTGATGTTCTCGGAAACGCTCCTTCGAAGCGAGCATCGGGTGGCTTGAGGCGCGTCAATGCCGAAACGCCCGGACGTAGCGCGGTAGTGGTTACCCGCGGGCTCAGGAGTGCGAGCTGTGATGCTTTCAGAGGGAGTATATATAGGGCAGCGGCGAACCACGGGCGTGGGGATTTTGTTTCAGTCTATTCACTCTCTTTCCGCGCTTGTCGCATCATTCGTTCTTTTTCGCTTCGCTCTCTTGCCTAAAAATGCTTCGCTCCCTTCTCGCAACCGCCTACTTGGCCGCGCTGGCTGCGGCCCAGAGCAATGTCGTAGGATCGGCGGTCGGTTTTGCTGCGGGTGTGACTGGCGGTGGAGATGCTACGCCTGCCGTACCTGCCGATATCGATGAACTTACTACTTGGCTCACGGATGACGAGCCTCGTGTCATTCTTTTGGATAAGGAGTACGACTTCACCGGCTCCGAGGGCACCAAGACTGAAGATGGTTGCCGTCCGGACAGCAACACTTGTGGAGTATGTATCTACTGGAGGACAACCGTACAAAAAATCCCAACTAATAACTCCAACAGAGCAGTGGCCAAGACGCCCTCGACGGCCCCAACTGGTGCAGCGCCAGCTACCCGACGGTGTCGGTCACCTATGACGTTGCGGCCACCAACCCCATTGACGTTAAGTCCAACAAGTCGATCGTCGGTGTCGGCGACAAGGGTGTGATCAGAGGCAAAGGTTTCCGTTTCGTCAGTGGAGCACAGAACATCATCTTCCAGAACGTCCACGTCACGGAACTCAACCCACAATACATCTGGGGCGGAGACGCCTTCCAGATGTCCGGCTGCGACCTCATCTGGCTGGACCATGTCAAGATCTCGCTCGTCGGCCGCCAAATGCTCGTCACCGGCTATGAATCTGCCGGACGCGTAAGCATCACCAACTCGGAGCTGGACGGCCAGACCAGCTGGAGCGCCTCGTGCAACAACGAGCACTACTGGACGATGCTCTTCCTCGGCGACGGCGACCAGATCACCTTCGCCAACAACTACATCCACGACACGTCGGGCCGCTCGCCCAAGGTCGGCGACGCCGTCACCCTGCACGCCGTCAACAACTACTTCCAGACCAACAAGGGCCACAACTTCGACGTCGAGCAGGGCGCGCAGATCCTGATCGAGGGCAACGTCTTCGAGGACTGCAAGGCGCCCATGACCGAGGCGGCTCTGGCCGTCACCAGCGGCCTCTTCACCGTCCCCGACAGCAGCGCCGCCGCCCAGTGCTCCAGCGCCCTCGGTCGTGACTGCCAGGTCAACCAGCTGACCAGCTCGGGCGACCTCGGCTCCTTCACCGACACCACCGTCGTCAAGGCCATCGGCGGCGCGGACTCCATCTGGGAGGCTATTGCTGCTGACCAGGTTGCTTCGACCGTCAAGGCCGGTGCTGGTATCGGAAAGCTGTCTGACTCCTCCTCTTCTTCTTCGTCCTCGTCTACCAAGGTTACCGCTGAGGACGCTTCGTCTTCTTCTGCGGCTGCTGCCGCGCCGGCCGCCACCTCCAGCGCTGCGGCTGTCGAGTCGAGTCCCGCAGCTGTCGAGTCCAGCGCCCCGGCGGCTTCTTCCTCTTCTTCCGAGTCATCCTCTTCCTCCTCGTCTTCTTCCTCGTCGGGTTCCGCCGTTTCCCGCTGGGGTCAGTGTGGCGGCCAATCTTGGACCGGGTCCACCACGTGTGAGGATGGATACACCTGCACTGTTCAGAACGACTGTGAGTATTACCATTAGCCTTAACCTTATTGCATATTGATACTGATTTTGAACGTGCAGGGTACAGCCAGTGCCTCTAAGCTATCCAACAACCCTGGGGTGGAAGGAACAGTGGGAGAAAAACTGGAATGTAGTTCTGTAACGAGATGAAAACAACTTACGTAATAGTCAAAGTCTATTAATTCTTTCAAAAATCCATCATCCAAATACGCGTTGCCCGAGGGGATATTCTGATGAATCTTCGTGGAAGAGAAATCTTATGCCGGGTTGACAAGATGTGGTTCCAATAGAAAAACTACCAACATGCGCAGCGGTAATATCTGAAACGAGAAGATAGATTTCCATCATGAGATGAATAATTGTACCGAACTCTACACGGCCGGCATTTACAGCTTTGCCTTTGAAACCTCCAGCTCTATTTCGTCCACCAGCTTTGCAACTTCCCGAGCCAGCCCAAAGCTATACACGTACCCACCTCCTGGTGAACCTGTGTACTACGTCTCAATTTTGACTTCTTGTACATCGCGAATGAGACTTACCATATGCGTGGACTACTGTTTGGCCATTGATATCTTCTCTCTCCGCTCGGACTCCTGTCTTTCTCTGAGGCCGGATCCCCACGATGTCGCGAACGACCTTGAAATCTGATGGATTTTCTGGGAAAATCTTCGGGAGGCCCTCATGAACGCGACGAAATATCTGTTTAAGTTGTGTTAGGATGATCGAACCATGCAAGCATAGGTTATTTCACGCTTACATCGGCCCTGAGACCAGAATCCACCGATGTATCGCTGCGTACCTTATCAGCAGGGACAATGCACGATGCCTCCATATCAAGACTCACGTGTTTCCAAATTGCTTTATACCGCCTAGTACAGCCGTCCCATCGCCCCTGGGTATGACATACGTGTAGTCCTTGCCGCGTCGGGTCCATATCTTGTCGTAATCAGTCTTCACGAGCACAGTCTGACCGCGCACTTGCTCGACGTTCTCATCTGCCACATCACTCAGGAATCGAGCTCCCCAACCTGTGGCGTTGATGAGGATATCATGCCCCATCCCGCTTAAATCCGCTAGCGACCGGACGTTGACACGCTTGAACGTCACGCCAGCCCCTTCCAACTGCGAGCGCAACCAGGGAAGAAAGACCGGGGGTGTCAGAACCCAGCTATGATCTGGACATATGTAAAATTAGTAGGGATATACATGTGGAGGCAGTGGATACTTACAGGAGATCCCGTGCGCTACCCCCTCGGGAAGCTCGTCTTTGGACATGACACGAAACTACGTTCGTATTCTCAATACGTAAAATATGGCAACGCAGCCTTCATTGTTTGACTTACCCCCGGCATCTTTCCATGGTACCACATGTCCTCTGGCTTCTTGAAATCAAGCAAGTCATGAATCTCGATCCGCTTGTCAAGCGAAAATTCCAAAGTCAGTCTATGGAGTCTAGATTCGCGCCATCACACCGTGTCTTACCTTTACGCTGCTTTCCGGGTGAGCCATTGCGAGCTTCCACATGTGCGCAAAGGCTTCGAGCTGCATATTCTGCTCTCTCGGCGGCGAGTCGTCCATGCCCAGCCAGATGGCGCCCGCCCATGGACTGGTCCAGGTGAAGGAGTCAGGATCTCCGGGCAGGTCGCGTGCGACGATGGTAACTTCGTGGCCTTTGGGAAGCTGGCTGGCAATGGACATGCCGGCGATTCTGAATTGTGCGTCATTGGCGTTGCGTTCTCCGGGGGGTTTGGGTTGGCATACCCTGCGCCGAGGATTGTAACCTTGACCATGTTGAGCTTTCGTCGGTCTATTTACGGCTTGTAAATTGTGGTTTCGATCCTGATGCTGATGTATATGGTCACTGCTGGAGCTCTGAAGAGGGCATTGAAATAGTCGACCCATCCCGGGGATTTGGATCCTTGATGGGCAACCACTCACGATCTTGTTTTCTTCCCCTCAATCATCATACCACTGATCTACATCACTCATGGTTCTTGATACTCCATGCTGAGTGGAAAAGCTGTGCTGGCCAATAATGAAAGGTATGGAAATCCAATCTCGGTCACCTTGCATGCCCTGCCGAGACCCGCATATTTCCTATCTCGCCTACACCAACCTCATACTTCCACCGATATATACGTCCGATCATGTTCGCATGATCGTTTATCAAAGCGACTGGTTGGAATGAGAGTACATGCAGCCCTTCATGTGAAGTTTCTGTGTGCATTGCAGCTTGCATTCCGCATTGCATGAGATAATGGAGCCAATGACTATTTGACGGTACGAAAACCTACAGTTCATACCCAAGATTCTATGACAATCGTAGTCGATCAACTCTCAACATGCCGCGGCTTCAGTCTTACCTCCAATCCCCTGTTATACGCCACCCCACCCGCAACAACATACCTTCCCTCCTTCACCAGCTCCAAATCAAATTGCCTCACAATCTGCATCATCACTGACGTTAGCCCTGGCCCAAATCACAACCAAAAAAAAGCTGTCTACCCCCATCACCGTCCCACCATCCAGAAACCCCCCCAAAAAGAACAAACAGCAAAACTCACCTCAGGCAACAACTTCCACATCTCCAAAACCGCCACATCCTTCCCAAGACACACCCTCGGCCCAACCCCAAACACAAAACTCGCCGCCTCCATCTCCGCCACCCTCCTCGCCCCGACTTCATCCCCCTCTTCCACCAACCACCTCCCCGGCCTAAAACTCTCCGGATCGGGCCCATACATCCTCGGATCCCGCTGCACGACGTACGCATTACTCGTCACCTCCGCGCCCGCCGGCACCCACAGCGCTCCGGGAAGACTACCCCCAGTGGCCGGCACGACGCGCGCGAAGAGGTTCGTCGCGGGCGGGTTGAGGCGCAGGCTCTCCTTGATGCAGGCGACGAAGAAGGGCAGGTGCGCGCGCGTCTGGTCGAATTGGATGGGGTCGGATAAGAGGTGGCGGGCGGAGGCAGAGGCGATCTCGGCGCGGCAGCGGGCGAGGCAGGACGGGTGCGTGAGGAGGAAGCGCAGGGTGCTGCCTAGGGCGGTGCCGGTCGTGTCGGCGCCGGCTTGGATGAGGAGGGTGATGTGGGCGCGTTTTTGGGAGGGGGTGAGGGGCGCGTTAGTGGTGGGGTTGCGGGCGGTTAGGCAGCTGCGGGTTTTGGTTAGTTGGGGGAGGATGGGGGTGGTGGAGGGGGAAAGAGGGGAGGGACTCACTACTGCAGGAAGTCTGGCTTCTCCTGTGTGAAGCCTTCGTTCTCTATGCGTTTCTCGCGGTCTGTGACGTGCTTGTCCGCTTGGCTCATCAGGAAGCCCATGCCGTCATCGTCGCTCACGCTGGGGAGGAAGTACAGGCCCCAGCGTGTCTTCATGACGACGTCGCGGAACCAGCGGAAGCGGCCGACGAAGCCGAAGAAGTCGAGGCCTTCACGCCAGCTGTGTAGCATGTGGCGCTCGTCGCGGCTGTTGTGTACGAAGCCCCAGGGCTCCGTGAAGGAGAGCATCGTCATGATATCGGCGGCAAACTCCCTAAAGCACAGGAGGTGTTAGTAGAGAAAGCGTAGGCAAACTGGCTCATACATGGGGTTGCCGTACGCTACTTTGTCCGAGATGACGACGCTTTCGCCCCTCTCCGCCCGTTCGGTCATTCTGCGCACGAAGAGTTGGATGAGTTGGTCAATCCTGGGCTCCCAAGCATTCTTCAATCCTCCGATGGTCCACTGTAATGGTCATTATTCAGCTGTTTGTTTAATTGAACGTCTAACCGGTTCAAGGTGGTTACCTGCTGGCCTCCAAGTGCTTTCCTCAGTGCCCTATGTTCGTCTCCATCGATGGTAGAGAACAAGTGCGGCGGCCCCAACGCTCCGGTTCCGTAAAGTGGGGCTTTCGTGTTGAATTTCAGGTCCCAGTATATTTCTTTGATAGCAGCGGGTTGTGGGAAGAGCAGCAGAGTTGGTGCGATGCGGATTGGTTTGTCGGCTTAACAGGAGAACACTGATCAGTAATGGAGCGCATGACCATTTTTCTTAGGGGGGGGAACCAACTTCCGTAACGCTTCGTTAAAGACATGAGCCATTGGGGTTCGACTTGGAAAACTGAAATCATTGCTGAAACTAGCGAAAAGGACGCCGCATACCACGGTCCACGGAAGCTCGATAATGGGTGCAGATAGAGGTTGTAAAACATGCGAAGTACCAACAATGAAGCTATCGAAACTCCTATCAGCAAAAGACTGGAGCCTGCGGATAGCTCAAGGAGCTTTCCAAGTGCCATGATGGCAGCCTTTTCCTCTTTCACCTGCTGGTTAATATCAAATGTGAAGTGTTCTCAGATCCACTCCGCGACGATGAGCTGCGGCAGAGGACGCTGCGGGACTTTGATTCTCAATCGAAGCTTCCTTAACTCAGGTTGAAATACTATAAGCGAGGGGAGCGGACCCTGGTCCGAGCAATGCGGAGTGGTGGGGGCCATTTCGAGGCACGCGGGGCAGAGCATGTACTTCCTTGTCGCTACGAACCAATCTTGTCTTGCCAATTTCTTCCGAGCATCCGGGATTGAATACTTCTGGCTGCATCACAGTCACATATGGTCTAGTCCTAACGATACTACATTCATGCGAGCCTTTGTGGTGGGCTTGATCTGCATACATCAGCCCAGTTATACGAATGACGAAAAAGCAGTGATCTTGGCAGGTGTGGAACAATGTTACGGCTAATACCACAATGAATTTAGTGCTGACATGTACCTCCGATCCCTACCCTCGTTCGCTAGCAAATGCAGCTAATGTGAAAGAATATATTGCTAATGACGTTTATCAAGGAAACCCAGGACAAGGGAAGGGCGTCAAAAAAATGCAATCGCTTACAAGTGCTTAGCAGATTGGGGTAAGCCAAGCGCTTTCAAGCGCGGATCTTTGATGGCGTCGTCATATGTGGGAGAAGGTAGGTTTTTTTTTTTTTTTTTTGAAACGATGACTGTGTAACATGGCGTCCACGTGGCGAGGAATGAGCCTGAGAACGTCATCAAGATGCATGAACTTACATTTAACGTTCTCTAGTCGCTCCGCCCTGATTCTCTGACTTAGGGTGTCTGGGTTCGCTTTGTCCCTAATTTTGAAACTTTCAACTTGTGTAGAGTGGGCAGCTGCGGATCGCTGTTTCTTCAGGAACAGCAGCAGTCTCTCACGACGATATGTGATGGATCAGGATCCGGCAATAGTAGCTCAAATTCAACCATTAAGTACGGATCCTCTATAATCAGTAGCAAAGCTTCACGTAGAAACTTTTGACAAGGATACCCTACCGGCTGTAAGACCTTTCGATCCAGAACTCCAATGATACGGCTCCAGGATTCTTTCGTTGTTTGAGGATCAAGAATAGCACATATTACAAACATTGAACATCTGAGATGAGAAAGCGGAGGTGAGAAGAGTAATGTTGTTACCTATTGATGCCATACAGCCTTTGTACTTGGACACCCTACAATCCGTAAGCGTCTCACCCATCGATGATCGGAGATATTTTCCGGCTCTTGAGCGTGTACGCAGTATGCAGCATCATGCAGCAGACCAACGACGCGAACGAGTATGATCAAGCGTATTGATAGAGTCAGATCGCCAAGCACCTGTTGATCATTTGCATAAAGTTCGTCAGCCCTTAGATAGAGGAGAGTACAATTACGTCAACAAGGGCAGCAGACTGTTACAGTCCACCTCCCTCACTGAAACAACGTAACCGCCCCCCTCCCCTCCCCAACACCAACAACCCTCCCCCCAATCTCCAACGGACTCCCCTCCCAAACAACCCAATCCCCCTTCCTTCCCCCCTCCCGCTCCCCCTGTGCCTTCCCCTTCAACCCAAGAACCTCCCACACATTCCCACTCACCAACCCGACCGCCTCCCTCTCGCTGAGCCTCCCCTCCCCATTCGCATACGCCCACCCCGCCATGAGCCCCAAATCGCGCACCTCCCAGCTCTCCGCCACACCAATCGCCGTCGTCACGCCCGCATCCAACAACTTATCGACCGTCGTCCCGTTCGTCAGCGGCGCGCCCGTCAGGCTGCGGCGCTGGTCCCAGTGCTGCGCGTACTGCAGCAGCGGCGCGAGGACGACGCCGACGCGGGCTGCCGCGAGTTGGGGCGCCAGGAGGTGTGCTTCGGAGGCGCCGATGAGGGCGAGGCGGATGGAGGACGACGAAGAGGAGGAGGACGAGGACTCGGCCAGGAACGCTTCGACGTCAGCCTTGACGCGGAGCAGGGCGGCGATGGTGTCAGCGCTGTCGACGTCGATGACGAGGGCGAGGTCGCCGGCGACGACCTTGCGGAGGTAAGACTGCTCGGTGTAGCGATCCGTCGGCTTCTCAGCGCTGCTGTCACTGCCGTTCAGGGACGCCGCAGCGGCCTCCAGCAAGCTATCCCTCAGCGCGCCGACGGCGCTCGACAGCGACGGCGTCTTGCCGTCCTTGACGCCAGGGCCGAAGCTGTAGTGGACGGCGACCTCGTCGGCCCAGACAGCTCCATCAGCGAGGGAGTGCTGCGCGCCGCTATGGTGTGTGCGGAAGCCGACGCTGACGCCGCGGGAGCCGCCGGCGGACGAAGAGGGCGCGGAGATGGCCCTCGTGACGCCGCGGCGGTGGGCGGCGGCAAGCTGCTTGGTGTCGAGGAGAAGCCCATCGACGGCGCGGGCGAAGCGCGTGTCCGGGCTGTTGCGGCCGTCTTGCGTGGCGCGCTCGGCGGCGATCTCGCTGAGGCCGAGGTCGGAGCCGAGGATGGTGAAGGCGGGGGAGAGGTGGCCGTTTTTGAGGTGGACGGTCTTGACATTTTGGGATGAGGCGGTTTGGAGCTCCGTGCTGCAGGATCCGATGCAGGAGATCTCGCCGTTGGTGATGATCACGACGCTGCTAGATTCTTCGGCGGCGTGTTCGAAACCTGGGATCAGGATCTTGGAGACGCCGGTGAAGACGACGTTGCCTGTCTCAACATCCTCCTCCTTCTCTTCCGTTGGCACGGCCACGAGCTCGCCGGGGTAGCCGGGGTCGGTCCGCGATTTGTTAAGGACGAAGGGGTGTTCGTATTGGGCAGTGCCATCGATCCAGATCTGCACCGGTGTGGCTGCCACGCTCAACGGATCGCTGTCCCAGACGACAATATCCGCGTCGAATCCGGCTTTGACCTTGCCAATGCGCTCGCCCAGACCAAGCAGTTCCGCAGGCGCGCTGGTCACGCCCGCGAGCGCTGCGTGGTAGGGCAGGCCGTAGCCGTACGCCTTGGCCGCTTCGAAGACGACGTGCTGTGCGTTCAGCACCGGGTTGTCGGACACGTAAACGGGCGTGATGCCATTCTCGTACAGGATTCTGCCTGCTTGGTCAGTACCGCGGTAGGCTTCGCTCTTGTAATCCATGTTATCAGCGAATAGAGCGGCGGCAGGAGCCCGACCACCCCAGGCACGCTTCAGGATCTGTTATTTTGATTAGTCTGGGTATATCTCAGAGCCTTTTCATCTTACGTACCTCGGGGACAATGTAAGTTTCATGGGCGTGGTGGAAGGCACGGATAGGGAATTTGAACTCGTTGGTGTGGTCGATGAAGGCCTCAAGATCAGGCACGGTGTAGCAGTGCGTATTGACGTGCACCTGACCGCGTAGTACAGCGCTGAGAGACTCCCAGCGGAGGTCCTGGGGGAGATACGTCTCAACCGCATGCAGGCCATTGGCCTGGGCAGCCGAGCACCAGTCGTCCTGGGCCACCACCAGCTTGGCAGCCTGCTCGAACGCGTGCCTGAACTCCCACGACTCGCCCATCCTGCTAACGGGGCCGTGTTCGCCGACCTTGCCGTAGATCCTTTTGGGGTTCTCGCCGCACGCCATCTTCATGTAGCGCCAGGTACGGTCCGGATCAGCCAGCATGTCAGCGGCGCTGACCTCAAGGCGGCCATCAGGCTTTCCGACGGCATGCTTGATGACGAAGGCCTCGCCGCCGATGTTGTTGCCCGAGCCGGGCAGGATGAGCGAGGTCGTCACGCCGCCGGATTTGATGACCTGGATCTGGTGGTCCAGCGGGTCCAGCCCGTCGATGGACCGCACGTACGGCGTCGTATCTGCCGACATCTCGTTCGTGTCCTCGTTGCCCCGCAGCTCCGGCAGCGGGTTGACGCCCGCGTGGCTGTGCATGTCGATGATGCCTGCCGTCAGGGGTCTGCCTTGGGCGTCATAGACCAGCACGCCCTCGGGAAGCTCTTCCTCGGAAATCTTAGCTCCAACACTCTTGATAAGGCCGTATTCGAGAAACACGTCGGATTGGACCCAGGAGTAGCCCTTTCCGGCCCGGGCGTCTTCCTCGCTGGTCCCAGGCACAGGCTCGCCGACCCATACCGATGCGTTTTTGATCAATGTGGGCTTGTGGCCATCAATGTATCGAGCATTGCGAGAACGCTGGCCGCGGGGATCCTGTGGCTTTTGCTGCAGATTGGCGCACGTTGCCAGGTCTTCTTCAAGTCGCTCCAGGGATAACGTGGTTGTTCGATGACGGACATGGTGTGATTGATGCCATTGGGCATAGGCCAGATAAACAAGGCACGCGACTGCGATAAGTCTGAGGTTGCGTCTCTTCCGGAACCGCCGCCGGTGTTGCGGGGCCGACTGCTGAACTGTCGCACTGTACGTGGGCAGTCCGTCCTTCTCCATCTTCAATGAGTTGCGATGGAGATGAAATGGAAGAAGCGATTGCTGATGCTAAATAGGATAGGTTACACGTCAAGGCGGTGTCCAATGATGCGATGATAAGTGGGATGGGCCGACGACGCGCTAACCCGTTTTCGGCAGGAGATGGTGCGATACCGCGGAGCTGACTAACATCCCTTTCTACCAGCAATCGAACTCCGCCCTTTGCATGTTTCAAGAACAAATCATCTTTTTTGAATCGAGGAAGGAGCCCAGCCTCTCACGTGGTAGCTGTGCTGAGATGCCTACCCTGGGCTTTCGTGCAAGGATGTGATCTTACAACCAACAAAAATGCATCCTTTCCGTCAATATCTTCATTTAGTCCTTTACCTAGGAGCCTAAATGCTTAAAAGTATAAAACGTCCCCATTAAGCATTCTCAGCACAAGAAATGACGCGGCTGCACAGCCCTGCTGTCTACAGCGGGGCAATCTTTCCCCGCAGCCTTGCACTGCCAGCTCCGTTCCCAGCTTCGTCACACTAGCCGAGACGCTTCCATCTGACTGCTCTTGGTGCCACGCGGCTCAGAGCCTGCGCAAATCTGACAGCGCAAGGCAAGGGGGCCAATTCGCTTCACACTGTGCTGCGCAGCCGCGCAAAATCTATGGTGCGTACATCTCGCATGGCGCATTCACCGGTCGTCTGCCTCCTAGGCTGAGAATCTGCCTGATGCCACTTTGACTCACGCGCCGTTCTGCACCCTTGCCCGGTAACCCCGTCTCGGAACGGACCGCATGCCCGTCCACATCCGCAGCCCCGCTGCGCCGTGGCGCAGCAATGATAACGGGCGAGGCGCGCAGAACCCTGTGTGCGAGATTCGCAGACCCGCGAGAATATATGTTCGCCAGTCAGCCCGTGAATCCTTCGAGTAAGCTCTCACACCATCAGGCGCCAAAAGATGGCTGCGCAGGGACCTTCGGTGAGCCGTATCCTAGTTACTGCTGAAGCTACGCAAGGCTGACTTCCGCTCTAGTCACCGCTACCTCGCCGTCACGCGGGCCCCAACAGCGTCCATTCCAGAGGCTTTGTTGGCAGAGATGATGAGAAATCTACGCTTAAGCAGTTTCTTCAAACCCCAAGGCAAGGTTCTGCTGGCCAGAGACGGCTAGTCATCGCCGGAAAGGCAGGCCAAGGAAAGACGGCATTGTGTACCGAAGTTGTAGAAGAGCTTCAAGACGGGTAGGATAAGCTTTCCCACTACGGAGCTTGGTGGTTAATCCAAGACAGGTTTTCGGGTGTGTTCCGGATCGACGTCAGCACGCCTCAAGCCGCCCAGAAGGATTTCGCCAATCTTATTGGGACCTCCAGATCTACAGCCACGGACATCAGTGCCGCTCTTCAATACCTTGCGAATAGGAAAGATGACTGGATTCTTATTCTGGAGAACGCCAATGATGTTGAATTCACGTACGGTGAATACTTCCCACCGTGCCGCCATGGATTCATCATCATCATCTCCAGGGAACAATCCGTCGCTCGTTTTGGGACAACTGAAATGTTGCTTCTCGGTCCCATGAGCATTTCCGATTCAGTCTTGCTTCTGCAGCAGACCATACACTGGTCACTTCCGCATAGGTCCCGAGAATCTGATTGTGCAGAACGCGCTGCATCCCTCCTGGAAAATCATCCCTTATCCCTCATTCTGGCGGGAACTTACATCGCCAAGCAGCGCTGCCCTTTCGAATCCTACGTCTCTAATTTAGAGAGGCAAAAGACTGAGATGCAGAGCAACCAGGCGAACCCGGAAAGCCCATGGACAAGCGCCTACGCTGCCTGCGAGCTGTCCGCAAAGACACTTGTATCTTCTGCAGACGGAAACGCAGCGCTGGATCTTCTCTCAAGACTGTCCTTGATCCCTCGCAACCCCGTTTCTATCGAGACCGCAAGGTCCACATGGCAGAGACAGGCTCCCTCCAACGGCAACGAGCTTTACCCTCCCAGGCGAGAACGCAATGCAGTCACCCCCCCACCTGCCGGCACCACCTCATTTGAAGCTGCGTTAAACCGTCTCCTCTCGTTTTCATTCATCAGCGTCGCCTCCGACCGCATCTCAATCCACCCCATCATCCGCGCCTGGGCACAAGACAGAAACCCCCATCTCCAACACACACCGCCGCCCTTTCGCAGCGATAGCAGCCGCTCGGCATCTCCCTACAACCACTATTCCATGCAGGCTCCTACAACCAATCTCGAGCTCTACCCGTACGGAGCGCATTTCGAACAAACCAACCGCAGTGGCAGCATGCCCGACAATGAATACTACCACCCACTGCCCCGCGTGGACGCCGCCACCGCGATGCACTTCACGACCACACCCCCGTCGCCGCGGAGCCGAGAGCCCTCGCCCTTCGATCGCCGCAGAGAATCCGCATACGGCCCCTTCGCGACAGGCGAGACGTACGCAACAAATTCCGATCCGGAAGAAGAAGCGCCGAGGCGGCAGTCCACTACCACTATTCGGCGTTACTTCTACGCCGCTGCGTCGCCGGTGCGGTCGCCTGGTACTGCGAGAGAGGTGGAGTACTATCATGAGCGGGAGGGTGAGCGACCAGATCTGTTCACGTCGGACGAGGAGTCGGCGGGTGAAGAAGAAGAAAGATATAGGAGGAGTAGTCGGTATCTGCGGGTCGAGGAACCGCCATCATCACGCCGCTCTAGCGGCAGCCGGAGGAGGGGCGATGGAGAGGCGGGGCGCGAGCATGGGGGGAGAAGAAGGACGAGGAGCAGGCATAGGAGCAGAGGGAGCCGTAGCAACGACCGGAGGTCGGAGGAGGAGAGTAACCATCGGGGCAGAGAAGCCAGAGAGACTAAGCTCGAGGTTCGAGGCAGCGTGGGCTTTGGCCGGTGGAATTATCAGGCGGTGTTCGCCGCGTCTTCTGGAGGCCGGACGGGGTGAGCCGGTTTTATTACTGCTTTGGCTTCGAGGCTAGTGCTTCTAGCGTGTTACTGGTAGCGAGCTTTCCTGTTTGTTTGCCGACGAACGAATCATGATCAGGTTGATTACGACTAAGTCTTACAAGCTACTCTTTGCTTCCCATGTAGTAAACACATTCAATTTACTCCCATGCTGCTTCATAATTCAGTTAAAGTGATTATACATCAAACTGGCCTTAGAGATTTGAATACATTAGAGATATCATATCATTCTGCGCTTCCCACACACCATCTTTGCCCTTCATTGCTGTGGCGGAAACGGAAGGTGTCAGAGTAGCGGCGAATGTTGTGCTTTCGGTTGCCGGCTTGGCGATCCCCACTCTGTCGCCCAGTTAGATGGCGTGCTCCCAGTGCAGAACCATACATTCAGCATTCTATTACATTTAACCTGTCAGGCCAGAAGATTCTGATCGGCGTTGCTACCATTTCTTTTCTCCTGTCCGCTTGACATGTGCCGCCAAGTAAGCTTGGGCGTTATGATACTCCCACCCGGGAGCCAATCCCTGTTCGATACGCCACCGTTATCTGCAGTAAAAACAATGGCCATTCCCAAAGTAAAGTAAAAGAAATTCGTCGCTCTTACGGCTTTTCAAAACAAATAAATGCCTGCTTGAACCTGGTTCAACCTTCTTCTTTTTTGTTTCTCACTTTGGTGAATTTTGTTGATTGCTACTAGTCTGCTGTGATGCCATATTTTCGAAGGTTCTCTGGTCAGTATGATGCAGGAATCTTTCAATTTTGGTACCGAACGGACCCTTGGTAATTTCTTTTCCTCAAGTGAAGCAAGGTTGTTGAACAGTGTGAATGAATCGAATTGAATACTGCTGATTCCTGTAATCTAGCAGTAAAACTACCTGTTCATTATACATAATTGCTTGGAGTGATGTCATAAAGTATAATGAACGGGTGACGTTATTGTGGTGAGATAAAGAAGATATGATCCTTAGTGTTGAGAAAAAGCATAAAACACGGCAAATACATGCGGCAATGAACATGAGTAATGATGAGGTCTGACACAACAGAATCATGTAAAGTGGTAGTTTTGTTATGGGGCCTTACAATTTATTTAGTTTCAATACAACTTTTACAGATGTTCATGTGGATCTGCTGCGTTGGGCGATAAAACGGTGGCGTCATAGAACCCTGGTACCCGGCATTTAGGTCCTTGAACAACTAGTCAGGACATGAATACTGTTTCCGACACAACGCTCCGGGATGGGCCACGTAATGCCTCGAGGATATTTAAACCGAAGGGCCTTTCTCTCTCATGATCTTCACTTTGTTTCCTTACCAGGGTCGAAAGTGGGCATGCCTCTACTATCAGATAAGGGCAAGGACGTATCAGCGTCAGTGGGGGAACTGAGCCAGGTATGCTAACTTGTCGCATTCACTGATCTTACAATGAAGACCAATTAACTTCAGGTCCAACAGTACTAACATCTTGCTTAGAGAAGCCCCAGTGATGCGGATAGCCAGCAAACTGAGGTGGAGCATGCAGCCAGGTCAATCTCGGTCCTTTTTTAGTTCCTGAATATCACGCTAATGTTCTACCAGGCAGCTCAACGCAACAGTAGAAGAGGTGCTCGCTGCCCAGGAGTACGCTAGGTCCCTGTCATTGGAACAAACAAAAGAGGTCTGAGTTCCTTCAGCCCCACATAAGCATAGGCCCCTGACCCAAAACACAGCTCGCGCGTCAACTTTTTGAGACTCATCAGCATGATCCGAACTTTCCAAGCCAGGCCCTCGGTCGTCTTCATGATTTCCTGGAAAATGATTCTATAACCGGCGAGCCGGAAAAGAACAGGAATATTATTGAAGAGACAAAGCTGGAGGTTTCACTCCTTACCACCAATAGTCCTTATGCCGAGGTAAGAGCAGTGGTCGATAATCATGACGATCCCAAGACTCACTGCTCAACCATTCGCGCCTGGATCATCGGCCTTGGTTTTGTCGTTTTGCTTGCTTTCGTAAACCAGCTGTTCAGCGTTCGGCAACCGACTATCTTCCTTGAAGCCCCGGTTGTCCAGTTGCTGAGTTTTCCAGTGGGCAAAGCGGCTGAAAAGTACCTTCCGGACGTCGGGTTCACGCTGTTTGGCACTAGACACAGTCTTAACCCTGGGCCTTTCAACAAGAAAGAGCACATGTTAATTTCGATTATGGCTAGTGTTGGAAAAACCTTGCCAAGCTCAAGATACATCAGTAAAATTATTTCCCACTCTGCCTGTTTTCAGTAGAAGTCGGCTAATCTATCACAGTCTTCACACAATTCCTGGACCGATATTTCAACCAAAAGTATGCTGGATCATTCGGTTACCAGATCCTGTTGGCGTTGTCAACGGACTTCATGGGTAGGCATCCCCTCTAATATCTTCTGAAACATACTTACAAATATTACGAAAGGATACGGGCTTGCTGGCCTTCTAAGGAAATTCCTTGTATATCCCTCGTTCTGTCTTTGGCCCAAGACGATGGTTACCATCGCTCTGAACAGCTCCCTGCATAACGGTACCAAACATGCGTCCCGCAAAAGTTCCAGCATTACTAACATTAAGCGCTCCAGAGGCAAACCACGCGGTTTCTGGTCCGTTGAAGCGGCTGTATAACATTTCCCGCTTCCGTCTCTTCCTTTACGCCTTCGCCGCCATGTTTGTCTGGTTCTGGTTCCCCGACTACATCTTCGCGGCACTCAGCCTCTTCAACTGGATTGCTTGGATTGCGCCTGACAACTTCAACCTCACCGCAATTTGCGGTTTGAAGAAGGGGCTCGGTTTCAACCCGCTGCCAACATTCGACTGGAACGTTGCGACACACGTGTTTGACCCATTGGTCATCCCTTTCGCCGTGACGCTGAACACGTTCATCGGCTGTCTGGTGGGCGGCTTCGTGCTGATCGGGATGTACTACACGAATGCGCTCCATACAGGCTATCTGCCAATCAACACCAACTCCATGTTCAACCACTACGCTAAGTCATACAATGTTTCGGCCGTGCTGGATGATCGCGGCTGGCTCGACGAGGAGAAGTACCAGGAATACTCCCAGGTCTACCTCGCTGCGAGCAGTTTGACCATGTATTGGTTCAGCTTCGCAGTGTATACGGCGACCATATCGTATTCCGTACTGTACCACCGCCGAGACATCGTCAATGGTTTCCGCAGTCTATTTCGAGGATACAAGGACACAGCGGAAGAGTTCAAAGACATTCATACTCGGCTAATGTCTGCATATCGCGAGGGTAAGTGAAAGGCGTTCTTTAATTTCTGCAAACGTACAACGCTGACTCGAGGAAAGTCCCTGAATGGTGGTACCTGATTTTGAATGTTTTTGCGATTGTCCTCGGCGTAGCTGCGGTAGCAGGATGGCCTACATACGTGAGTACTCGATGTTCCCTTCCAATGAGAAATGCATATTGAATGGTGTCGCAGACCACGGTTGGAGTCGTCTTCTTTGGAATTGGCTTGGCTCTCGTCTTTGTTATTCCGACTGGTATCATCTACGCGACAACTGGATTGCAGGTCGAGTATAAGTAAGTCCCTGCTTCTGATTTCGCTGACAAAATCTGGCTGACCATTCAAAAGCTACATTGCAGAGTTCATCGGAGGCGCTTGGCTTCCCGGAAATGCCTTGGCGATGAACTTCTTCAAATGCTACGGGTACGTCTTCAATCCCCACCCACTGAGTTTCAAATTAACGTTTCTTTTTATTCAGCTACGTCACCACCGCCCACGCTCTCGCCTTCAGCAACGACCTGAAACTCGCACACTACGTCAAGATCCCACCGAGAGTGACCTTTTTCGCCCAGTCAGCTGCAACTCTCGTCTCAGCATTCGTCTGCACGGGTGTGATGAACTTTCAGATGCGCCACATCCATGATATCTGCGAATCGTAAGTACGCCCTTCTCTTCTCTCATTCCGCCCACCCAAACCATCCTTTGCCACAAATGCTCGCATCGTCATTTCCATGCTGACGCAATCCCAAAAGTGATCAAAAGGATAAGTTTACGTGCCCTGGTGTGAACACCTACTTCACCGCCGCCGTCCTCTTCGGTTCGATGGGCGCGCGCAAGGTCTTCGGCAAGAACGGGCAATACACAACGCTGCTCTCCGCCTTCCCTGTCGGCGCCGTGATCCCGGTGGTCTTCTACCTGGTGCAGCAGCGGCTGCCCAAGACACACTGGTTCAGGCGTGCGCACCCGATTCCGCTGCTCAATGGTGGGACGACGTGGTCGCCGGTAAGCTCATCTGCCCACTTTTCTCCTCTCACGGTTCCCCCCTCTCTCCCTCTCAGACATCTCCATCGTCAGGAATGTGAGCACGCTAACGCTTTCTTTGCGAAAAACAGTACAACATAGGCTACGTCTGGCCCGCCGTCCTGCCCGGCTGGCTGAGCATGGTCTATCTGCGACGGCGTTACCTTGCCTTCTGGTCGAAATACAATTACGTCATTTCCGCGGCCTTCTCGACGGCCATCGCTGTTGCGGCCGTTGTCATCTTCTTCGCGGTCGAGTACAGCGGGTTCGAGATAAACTGGTGGGGGAACAACGCCGAGAGTGGTTGTGAGAGCACGACGTGCACGAGGTTGAAGCTGCCGGCGGGTGAATACTTTGGGCCGAGGATTGGGAACTACTCGTGAACGAAGGTGAGGAAGCCTGCGACAGCGAAAAGAGCAAGGAACACAATTGTTGCAGAGGATAGGTTGGTTGTGGTGGTTGTGATTGGGAAGAGGCGGAGGAGATTTTCGGGCCTGCCGCTGCTTTGTTGGTCTGCTGCATCGTTTGAACTGGGAGATGCCATTCAACGTGTTAATGATGGATAACTTTCCAAACTACAGCCAATCGTTTGAAGTTTCCCTTCATGGCGCGCAGGATGCAGGCGCAAAGTGGAGCTAAGAGTGAGGACCCTCGAATCGCTGACCGAAGCCTTTTCAGCCCCCGCCACGCGCCACTCACTCGACGAGTGGAAGGATTACACACGGCAGGATTTCATGCGAGGCGATTCGGCCATGCCGGAGCAATGACGTACCCATTTCTCTTTCTCTTATCCTTATCTTCTCCGCATCTCGTGAGTATGACGGTTGCTGCATGAATGCAGGCAGCAGCCGAAATATAATGACTGAACAGTAATTGAAAATCCACGCAAGCGTATCTTTACCAACCGGCCTCTACAATATTACTTTCCAGACTATCTCGAATCACCTACCGGGCGGGCGGCTTTTCAGACACCCAACATACATCATGGGCCAGGGGAGCAGCAAGACAGAGGTTCAGCAGGGATTACCGCCACCGTGAGTCTCAAATCTTTCCACTCCACCTACACGGCCACACTCACGTATGTCGCATCAGCTACACAGAGGTCGATACCAACTCAGACGGCAACGAGAATTGTAATAACTGTGTTCGGTGCAAATCGTGTGTCAATTGCTCCAATTGTGTCGACTGCACGTCGTGCACCAATTGCAGCAACATGGAGAACTCAACAGGGTGCCGGAATTGCTCCAATTCATACAACCTAGTTGGTTGCGAAAACTGCAGGTAGGTGTGAATAGACGTATACAGCAGTGATACCAGCTTCTGACGCAATCGATCCGCGTGTAGCAACTGCAGGAATCTCAGAGGCCGGAAGAATTGTAGCAACGAGGACGGAGGAGAGTCGAAGATTCCGTAGGACAGCCATGAAGCGGAGGGAGCTTGGATTATCCCTGGGGTGCTGGTGCGTCGTGGCCGAATGAGGTGTGTCATGAGGAGTGCTCGAACGATTGTGCGACAAAGGGTATTGTTTTGTGCGCCCCGTTTTCCTTGATTTCGGCGCAGGGACCTAATCACCTTCAGAATCCTCCGGCCTCTCCGGCAGACTGAAATGATACTGTCCCATGCCAAGTGCTCCATGGATAGAGAACTACTGGGGTCTATTCGACCTGTCGGGATCCGTTCCATTGAAATCAGCGATCAGGAATGCTGAAGGATTGAGATATCCTGTATACAGGCTGGATTGTATTGATTGGGACTTGAGGACGTGAGGCTTGGCTTTCGATAACCACAGTGAGAAGTTCATGGGAGGCGGATGAAAGGCAAATGATCAGGGTCTATTTTTTTTTTGAATCTTTATTCCAGACTGGTCGCTACCGTTTTCGGCAAGAGGCGAACGTAATGAATTGAGATTTTTTAGCGCGTGGATGGCCTTTCCAGTGACGAGACTACAATATTACGTCAGCTTGGCGCCAGACACGATCTCGAATGGCCGTAGAGCGGCTGAGCGGTGAGTTTGGTGGATGGTAGGAGAGAAATTGGGGGGTGGAGCGGAAAGTGTAAGAGCGGGGAAGAGTGACAGAGCACAGGCTCCCGGTCGTTCCTGCCTGCAGCGACTGACTCTCTCGCCATCGTCTCCACACTCGCCATCGTTTCAACACTCATCATCATCATCGGTAAGGGCACTCAAGCACCATAATTTCTACTACTTCGCCGCTCTTTCCAAATCAGACCGCGTATTCTTTGTTCGCCGCGATGGGTAACGCATGCGACCAAGTATTTGAGACGACGGAGCTGCTGGAGCTGATCCTTTCCTTCACCACCCTGATTGACCTCCTTCGAGCCCAACGGGTATCTCGGCGATGGAAGACGGTGATTGAGGGATCTCCGCCGCTGCAGCGCTGTCTCTACTTCCTTCCAGACCCGCGCGCCGTCGACACCTACGGGCTCAATCCGCTATTCATGCAGCGTTTCAGACTGCGGAGAGAAGAGCCCGATAACATCTTACACGTCTCCAGTAAGCCCCAGTGGCACAGCCGTCTCAACAAAAGCTCTCCTTCTGCCTCGTGGCGCCGCATGCTTGTTTCGCAGCCACCCGAGCCGTTCCGCATCGATGGAGAATCGTTCGTATCATGCGGATTCGGTGCCGAGACCAAATGTGGCGATGCTTGGGATGTTTATTACCATAATCTCAAGGTGTCCGCTGGCACTTATTCGTCCACTTCCAATTCTTGGACCGCTACCAATTATTCGCCCTAAGACGAATAACGAACTAGAGATAGACGGACGCGCAGAAGCAGTCCAGAGTAAAGATATGTTACCCCGCAAATACTGTATTCAACCCTCCTCCAACCCAACGATGTCCGAATATTTTCCTTGCAACCAAGCCCTTGGACGCTGAGATCAAGCTTCGCCGTTTAATGGATCGACGGCAGATCACCCCGGTGCTTTCCAGCAAGTCGCAGCCAGATGAAGCCTGAAGCGTGAGGCGCCAGCGCTATCCCGGGCTGAATTCCGGCAGAAACACCTGAAACGAGCAGCTTGATTACCCTGCAGGGTTGCTTGGCGACGAGCTTGGTGGTTGAGACTGCTTTTAGGAGGAAACGAATTGGCCAGAGCTTCAGGTTGATTAAAGAAATGTGGACTGGACACGGGATCCGCGGCGCCACAAGCAATAAGGCCGGCCGGGAGCAACAGTCTGACTCTCGACGAGACGGCAAACTGGCCAGCCCGGTAGCGAAGACGTCCAGAATCACCGGATCCACGCATGACGTCGGAAGCAGCGGCCATTGTTTCAAACGGCAAGGTCGGGGCGGAGATGCGGTCTGTAGGTATATAAATGAACCAGCAATGCCTTCTCTGTGGCATCACACCCCTTATTGTTCACTATCGTTTCACTCCTCGACACCATGTTCGCAAAGTCGCTCATTTACCTCACTGCTGCGCTTGGCGTCGCCAATGCCGGCACCACCTACAAGGCTACCATGACGGCCTACGGCTCCAGTGACAACAACGGCTCGGGAAACTGCGTCAAGACAGGTGCTTGCGGCTTCTATTTCAACGTGAGCATGAACCTGTCAATTGGATCACCACCAAAACTAACAACTCCATAGCCCGGCTACTCTGCAGCCGTCTCCCAGAACCTTTACGGCGCGGGCCCTGGTGAGGGCGCTGGTCCTGCTTGCGGCAAGTGCTATGCTTTGACCGCGGAGAAGGACAGCACTGGCAACACTCTCAGCGGCACTAAGACTGTTGTTGTCCGCGTCGACAACCTCTGCCCTGGTAAGCTCCGCTCCCCTAGCATCTGACTTAGATCTACGCACGGCCACCATCTCAAACAAGCCATCGACAAAATGGAGATGCGGAGGTGGCTCTCCTTCCCCATTCGGCGTGCACTGCTCGTATAGCATCCGCCCGGCTTTTCGTATTAGGATCACCGGCAAATGCTGACTCGTTGACTTCTGTAGCTTCCGGCAACAACGTGTGCTCGATGGGCTCGCTTTCGGAGACGAACTCGTACGGCGCGAACGTTAACTTCGACCTGTGCATCGACTCGGGCGCCAATACGGCCGTGTTCGGCGGCAACGACATCGGCCTGGCGCAGGGTACGGCCGAGGAGGTCGACTGCTCTCAGTGGAGCGGCACTCAGATCGGCTCCGGCTGGAAGAGGCACGCCCACATTTTCTCCGGTTAGAGATCTCGTGAATCGCGGATCGTCGTATTACTGCTGGTTGTGGATATTGCTGGCTTGGAGGGCTGATTCAATTGGAAGCCTGGTGCCGGCCTTAGCTGTCCACACAAGTGCCTCTGCTGCAGAGGCCAATTCTCAGCGTTAGCAATCTTCCTGTATCATAATTACCAGAGATAAGATAAATAAAAGCGAAAGCAAAATAAACAGCAAAGGTGTCCAGACTCAAACCAATCTCTCCCGCCAAGCTTTACCCTGATCGACCCGAGCTGCATCATCGTCACCCAGAACTATTCTTGCCGCACGCTAGTCTCCACACCCCAAAACATTTCCCACCCACACTCTCCACCGCCACCTCCGCAAATACTTCGACAGGACACCCCAAGCCTTGCCAAAGACCATGCCGTCCGACCGTCACCACCACCGCCGGCACGCGACGCGCTCGCGTTCTCGCTCCCCGCGCCGCGACGACGACAACGACCACCGCTCGCGCCGTTCGCACCGCACGCGCTCCCGCTCCCGCTCTCACTCGCCGCACTCGCGCCGTAGCCACCACCATCACCACCGCTCCCACCACCGCCACGAGTCCAAGCATGCGGGAACAACAGCGCGCAGCAGCAAGCCTTCTTCCTCCTCCGCTGCCCCGACCACCCTCCCGTTCTCCGCCCGCCCGCTGTCCAAGCACGGCGACTATCGGCGGTACAAGCCTATGTTCGCGCTGTACCTGGACATTCAGAAGCAGCTGGTGCTGGAGGAGCTACCCGAGACCGAGGTGAAGGGGCGGTGGAAGAGCTTCGTTGGGAAGTGGTGAGTTTGCTGCTTTTCTTCTATCTCTACTTTCATGGTTAAGAGACGAGCTTCTTGCGGGATTGATAAAACAAAGGAGCTTGTGCTTGTTTTACATTTATTCTTTCTATCTATTTGGGAGGGAAAATTGGTCTATGTCTTCCTTTTGTTTTTTTCCTATTACAAACTCTCCGAGGATGTTAGACTGACGCTCGTGAGGAACCGTGGAGAACTGGCAGAGGGCTGGTATGACCCAGTCACGTTGCAGAAGGCCATCGATTCGTCCGCCGAGAACGACCTCGGCGGTAGCAACAAGGATAAGCACACGGAAGAACTGCCCCAACGACAGAGGCGCGCCTCGCCCGACTACGGCTCCAACGGCACGCCGGGCGAAAGAGAACCGGCATATTCTGAGGAGCCCGGCCATGGAAGAGACAAAAACCAGAGCGAGCAAGATGAAGACGAAGAAGACGAGGAAGACGAATTCGGCCCCGCTGCTCTACCCTCTGGTGCCATAAGCGCCTCGATGACACGCAAGTCGGGCCCTGCTATACCACGAAGGGAGGATCTGGAATATCGTGACGGTACGTTCCTTTCTTGTTATATGCCAGACGAAACATCTAACCCCCAACCCCAGAACTCCTCGCCTCAGACGCGCACTCCTCGCAAAACCACCTCCGCGCCCTCCGCGCCGCCGACCGCGCCCTCCAGCGCACGCGTCTCGACGAACTCGCGCCGCGCGCCGACCCGGGCTCGCACGAGCGCAAGCTCGAGAAGCGCGCCGAGAAGACGTCGACGCTGCACTCGTTCCGCGAGGCCAAGGAGGGCGGCGCCATGGAGGAGGTCGGCGACAGCGACCTCATGGGCGGCGGCGGCGACGGCGTCGAGGATTTCCGCGCCAGGCGCAAGGAGCAGGAGAGGCGCAAGACGGAGCGCGAAGTGCGCCGCGAGGAGATGTTGAGGGCTAGGGCGGCGGAGCGGGAGGAGAAGTTTGCCGAGTACCGCGCCAAGGAGGACCGGACGATGGAGATGCTGAGAGGGTTGGCGAGGGCGAGGTTTGGGGGTGGTGGCGGAGGGAACGGCGGGCAGTGAGGGAGAGGCCGAAGAAGACTCGGAGAATACTAGGGCAGAGGTTCTTGGAAGATTGATGACCTTGGGATGGGTAGGTTTGAGTATTGAGGGCTAGTTGATTAAAGTAGTGTACTACCACTTAAAATATTGACAAGAAAAGATCAAAAAGAATATATCCTACAATTGCAATCTGGGTATCATGACCGCTACTTCTACACACACAAGTGCTTTTCCATACTCCTCACATCAATACTGCCCACTACTCCCCACCACCACCGCTGCCACTGAAAAATCCAGACCTCCTCTTCCTCACCGCGTCCCTCCTCCTATCCTGTCCGCTCTCCATACTCGTACCCAGTCCCGAATCACGCTCCATGTACCTGCCCGCCGTGTCAAGCACGAAATCCGCATCCTCATCATCCTCATCGTCGGCCTCCTGCTCAGGCGCACCACCGACCCCACCCGCCGACTCCGCCGTGGGTCCGTCATCCTCCTCCTCGCTCTTGACGCGGGGCGACTCGTATCTCAGCGGCTGCTGGCCCCTGTACGTCGGGAAAGTGCGAGGAGTGTCAGACAGATCAGGGACGTCCGTGGTTTCTTCCGTCTCCGGTTCTTCGGTCTTGATCTTGTTGAGGTCGATTTCCGTCTCTTCTTCGTCAGGTTTTGTGGTTTGCTCTTTCTCCGATTTGATAGCTTTCGTGGAGCGGGGTTGGACGGGAGAGAACATTTGAGACAGGGCGAGCCAGGCGAGGATCATGAAGGTGAGTTCGACGACCCAGAAAAGGGTGGTAAAGACGAGGGCGGAGATGAGGCGGTAGTTATACATGATGTATCTGGTTGGATGTTAGCTTTACACCCATAGCAGAAAAAAAGACGAAAAAAGGACGTAAATGAGAGAGAGCATACCTCAATCCGCGCAACTTCGCCTCAAACACAACCCTCACCCCATACACCTGCAGTCTCTCCACCGCACGTATCTCGACCCTCAGTGCCTCCGGCAGATTCTGCCACCCCCTCTCGAACCTGACACCCTCCATCATGCCCACAGTCAGCCGCTCCGCCTCCCTCCTCCAGCCCAGCAAATACCAGGGCAGCTCGATCGCCTTGTTCACATTCTCCACGACATCGCTATACCAAGTCAAGATGGCTGGGCGCTGCGACACAGCCAGCACAGCCTCCGCCTTATTCTTCTTCTTCCCCCCACCCTCCATTCCCTCTGGCGAGGAATACGCGCCGACGATGCCCGACCCGACCGTCGTCCCGCTGCTCGACGAGCCGGGCGGCCCCAGCAGCGCGAGCTCGACCATGAAGTTGCCGGCCTCGCGGTTGGCGCGCGTGCGCGGCATCTCGAGCTCGACGCGCACGTCGTAGCCCTGGTCGCTGACCAGCCACGGGCGCAGGCCGCCCGCCGTGCCCCACGGGTGGTACACGACCGCCTGTTGCTCGCGCTGCTGCGCGCCTACACCAAGCCCCAGGCACAGTTCGTCTTTCCACTCGGCGAAGCTCCTGTCGCTACCGCTACCGCTGCTGCTGCTGCTGCTGCCGCCGCCATATTGTTGCCGCGAGCTGATTGCCGTTGATGTGGTCGGAAATTGCAGATGCACGGGCACGTTGAAGCCGCGCGTGGGTACGTAGGCGAAGTAGAAGATGGAGTAGGCGGCGATGGCGATGCCTAGGAGGGCGAACGTGCCGAAGAGCAGGAGGACCGTTTGGATGTAGGCGCGGCGGGCGGGCTTGGAGATGGCTGTGCGGACGGGCGCGAGGAGGCTGTCCTGTTGGTTTCGTTGCGGTTTTAGCCTCTGCAAAGTGGGTACGGGGAAAGCTTTAAGGGTCCAGGTAAACAGCCTCTTATGCGAAGTGAGAGGTGGCTGCAATGTGTGTTGCGACCCAAATGATTGTGGTGTGGATGGAGGAGGGAGCTCGCGGAAGAAGGGGGCGCGGTGGGGAGCTGTCTCGAGCTACTCTTTCGAAGAGAGGCGCAGATGACTGACCTTTACGATTTCGATGGCGCCCTTGACGTACTCCTCATCATCGGAGCCGGCGGTTGAGGCGGTCATTGTCGCGCCGACAAGCTGGACGGATGTTTTGGTGAGGTGTTACAACTTTCACATGTTGTCGCGTTTACGCGAGGACCGTGAGGGGGATGGGAGCTGCCAATTTAGCTAGGTCTGACGTCGGCACAAGCTCTGACGCCATCAAATTAACGCTTATTTTCCGCCCCAACACCATGTTCGTCTGTCTACTTAGTATGCGATCATTATCAAGTCGAAGTTGACTGGAATCTAAGAACAATTGAATTTGCAGTATCGTCATAAACAACTTCAGGCATAAGTGGTATCGATCCCGAATCCCTCATCCCAAACACCGTGCCCCCAGGAATTCAAGCAGACATCCCACTGCGCCTGAACCCCATTGTCGTTAGAGCTAAAGCACCCAGGATATCAAAAACACCGCTACTCTCCATCCACAATATCGTCATCGGAAATAAACAAGAACTCAAAAACATCAACACTCTGCAGCTTCGAGTCTTAGTACTCAACGCCGTCCATCGCATCATCGTTCATATCAGCGTCAAGCGGCGTCCCCGACTTCCTCTTGAGGTCTTTGATATGGGCTTCCACCTCTTCCTCGAACTGGGATAGATCGCCTTGGATGGCAATCTTCCACTTGACAACGTCGTTGAGTATGCGCTCAATCTCCGTGTGCAGGTGCTCACGGATCTCATTAGCTCGGAGTTGCAATTGCTCGTATCTGAAATCCACCCGTTAGTATGGCAGTCTTCAACTTCCGTATAGCGAATTCACTTACTCGATATTGGTATTCATCTCCCTCTGCTCCATCAGCTGCACGCTCTCGGACAAACCGGCACGCATCTTCGCCAACTCCTTCTCCATGCGCTCGATTTGGGTGTCTGACGCCATCTTCTGTGCTGTCGTGATCTCCCTGGTCTTTTCGAACTCTTCTTCTGCGGCGCGGACCCTGTGGCCGAGAGCCTCCACCTCGGAGAGCTTGTCGTCCATGGCTTCCTTGACCTTGTCGAGCATTTCGTGGTTCTCAAAGTCAGCTTCTTGGGCCGCACTCATCCGGTCACGGATATCCTTCCTCAGGCCAAGGATAGAATTCTTTAGGTCCCTCCGCGCATCCTGGTTGAGGAGGTCGTGGTACTGGTAGCCATTGCCCGCGCTGGTGAGCAATTTCTCGGATGTCGTATCCATTTGAGACGAGTTGAAAGGGACTTCGCTGAGTGTGAGCACCAGCTCAAAGTCCGCGCCGTTGGCCCTCGGCGCACTCGCGGGGATAATGCCGATCTCGTAGCCCTGCGAGTTGTACTTTTCCACTTTCCTCTCGAGCTCGTCGAGCTTCTTGGTAGCCTCCAACTCCTTCTCCGCAATCTTCCTTCTCGTCTCCTCGAGCCGGGCATTCGTGGACTCTGCGCTCTTCTGCAGCCGGTCCCGCTCCGTGTTCATGCGATCGATGTCCTGGATGGTGATGCCCTGCTCGTCGACCTTGGCCTGCAGGCTTGTCTTCTCCTGCTCGGCCTCCTCAAGTTCAGCCTCAATCTTCTTTATCTCATCATCGAGGAGCTTGACACGGTTCTGGTACTTCTCCACCTTGGCCTCCATGCTGTTGTTGTAGTTTTCGAACTTGACGCGGTCTTCCTCAAGGATCTTGATCTGCTCATCCAGCTTGGCTATCCTGGGTCCGTTCTTGCTGAGCTCGTCGATTTGGTCCTGCAGCGCCTGGTGCTCGGCCTCCAAGACTCTGACTTGCTCAAGGTGTGCGGCATTCGCATCGTCAAATCTCGCGGCCATGTTCTGAACGTGCCTCTGAATAACTTGATCGGCCTCATCCTCGGCGTCATCCTCCACCTGAAGCCAGTCCCGGTACGCATCCGTGAGGAACTGGAAAATGATCTTATCGCCGGTCACATCAAATCCTGCCTCCATACTAGCCTCGTCATATGTGCCGGATGCGTATTGCTCAATCATCTGCGAAAGCTGCATCATCCAGTGCAGCAGGCCAAGGAAGGTCGACCAGTTGTTACCACCAACTGCTGCAATTTGCGACTTCATGATGCTTTTTTCAAAGGGGTAGCGCATTTGCTTCAGAAGTGGTGGGACTTCCTGATCGATATTCTTCTGGAAACGGTAGCTGGGGTCGATGCGGTGATACAGCCACTGGAACATGCAGTTGAAGTCCTTCTGCGTGGGCGACGTGAATGATTTGTGGGTGAGCGAATGCTTCATGTCCATCTCAAAGTTGTTGCGGGTCAGGTACTCGCTGAGTTCCTGTGCCATCTGCGAGCGAACACTGGGGTCCTTCAACCGACGCGGATCCTGCGGGATGGCCGCAGCGGGCGGGGCGGTGGTGAAGAAGCTCTGGTGAACACCCATAGGGCCGCCGTGTGCATTAGAGGGACGCGCGTTCCAGACGCTGCTTCGTCTCTGGGAGCCCTGGTCAAGGCCTGCGGGCGCTGGTGCCGGTGTGGACATCATGCCTGGCGCAAAGCTCTTCCTGCTGCTGCTGAACATATTTGGCGCCATCGATTGACGCTTTGCGGATGCAGAACCCAGATCTGAGAGATTGTTCCCCGAAGAAGAGCGATGGAAGTTTGGCTGCGCGGGGCGACCCATGCCCATACCCGGTGCGAGGGACATGCGACCACCCATGCCGCGGCCGGTCATGTTCGAGTTCGAATTGGAGCGCTTCATAGCGGAGGCAGGCACGGGGATACCGGTCAAGTTGCTGTTTATACCTCCGAGAGTCTATATATATTGTCAGAGCAGTCGCGACGGGAAGAGCGGGATGCGACGTACTTCTCGGGGTCGTCGGACGGAGGAGAAGCCCTGCTCGTGGGCCATGGCGACAGTGTGCGTGTGCGTGTGCGCGCGTAATAATGGGAAGAAGGAATAAGGCTGCGCAGAGGTAGCGATCAATTCGATACGGTCGTGGAAGTCGCGATTTCGGGCAGCGCAATGGTGGGTGGGTTGGACAGCGGGGTTAAGTTGTCGCAACGGGATTGTTTGGGGTGGAAGGTGCAGAGTAAACAGAAAGCACAGACCACCCTCTCTCTAGTCGCAGGGCCAACACCCTTGTCACTTTTCTTAGCGCCACACGACTCCGCGCCGAGACCACGCCGCCGCGGCCACTTTTCTGGCCACCGCCTCCACTGTCGTTCACTCCCCGTCTCACCCCCGAGGTATCCGCAAAAGTCGAAAACAGTCCTCGAAAAACTACCGCCAAGATGCCGTCTGGAATGGGAAGTGCGTATCTTTCGCCTCCGTCTCTACCCCGCGCCACGCCTATCCGCCCGCTGACCGCGATGCCCAACAGACGGCACCAAGCCGATCCACAACAAGAAGCCCAAGAAGAAGGAGCACGAGGATGACGATGAGGACAAGGCTTTCAAGGCTAAGCAGATGGCTGGTGAGTATCAAGCGCTCCGGCCGCCGCGCTCGCCGCCGCCGCAAATCCTGCTCGAGCACGTCTGCCGAGCGCTTCTCCGTACAGCGCCGTGTGCTTCTATCCGTCACCGCCACTACTTGCTGACACCCACCCCCCTTTCTTCACATGATAGACAAGAAGGCCCTCCAGGAGATGCAAGCCAAGGCTAAGGGCAAGGGCCCTCTGAACGCTGGTCAGCAGGGCATCAAGAAATCCGGCAAGAAATAGACGAAGACACGATCGATCGACCGGACAAAAATCTTTACCACGACCTGGCAGGGGTACAGTGTCATGAACAACGACACACGGCGTTTTATGCTTGGTCTACTTGGCGCAAGCACCTCTTTGGGAGGGAAGACATGATACCTACGAATACATTAGACTTCGACGGACTTTTGTTGCCGTCGTCAGGACCTTGTTCTGGCATTTTCCCGCCAAGCGCATGTGCAACGTTATACATGTGACCTGTGCTGCGGATTTTCTCATCGTTTAATCCGACAACAATTTGCAAATACAGCGTATTGCAAAGATGCTACCCTTGTATCCCAGGGGAATTGGACCCTTGTCGTGAGCATGTCACAGCGGGTGCAAAAATAAAGTCAACCTTTCCGAACCTTTTTCACCGGAAATTGCACATTTCGTACGTTGGTGGTCGAGTACCGCGCCTGGAAACCTATGCAAGATGAAGGCCTGCCTCTGTGTATCTGGATTTTACTTCGACGGCCAACGTAGGGAGTGGTGCCCTTTGCAGAATATGGGAAGGTGGAAACTTTAGTTTGATTATGAGAAGCCAGTGTCCGGGCGAAGATTCCAATGTAAAGACTACACGAAATATGTAGAGGTGATTCTGTGCTCTCAGCGTAAGAAACGTGCGGAATGCCTTGTGCAAGCAGGTTTCAAAAGAGTGAATTAATCTGCAACTCACGGCGTAGCTTCTTTCTACTTTGTGTGGTGGTTACAGTCTGTACGCCTCTGGAACGCCATCTCAGGCTCCCCATTCGGGCGATAATAATAGGAATTGGAGGGAGAGGTTGGATTTCAAATCCACGCTATTACAGAACAAAGGGAAGTAATGCTGAAGGGAAAGCGCAGGAAGGGTATGACGCCGCCAAAAGAAGAAAAGCAATAATCAAATGACCCCAAACCCCTTCGGAATCCTCCTCCGAAACCCGTTCCATGCAGAAGTTACCAATGAATGTCACCAACCGAAAGCCCTTTCCCTCCCAGCCCACTCTAATGCTTTTCCGCTTTACTTCCTTCCACGCCTTCCCTCGCGTCCCTCATCAGACTGGGTTTGTCACCCTCCTCACCCACAGCGCCGTCGTCCCGCTTTCGTAGCCCTCCTCCCTCTCGGCCTTCTTCCGCGCGCGGTGCAGCTTCATACCAATCTCGTGCTCCTGGGCGCTGATCTCGGTCAGCTCGTCCTGCAGGGCCTTGACCTTGCGCTCGTTGGCACGGCGGGTGGCCAAGTCGACCTGGAGCGGGTTGTTGATGTCGCGCAGGCTGGTGAGGTCCTTGATGACGCGGTTGATGTTGGCGCGGCGCAGGCTGAGGTCGTCCAGCTGGGCGGTGTACTTGGACAGCGGGTCCGCGTTGATCGTCGAGTCGCTGTCGGCCAGCTGCGGCGGGAGCGGGAGCGTCTTGTTGGCAGAGGTCGGGGTCGTGGGCTTGGAGGAGGTGGGGGTGTGGGGGTAGCTGTTGTAGTTGTTCGTGTTGGTGTCCACGGGCTGGGTTTGAGCGCGCTTCACGGTGGTGATGGTGCTCGAGAAAGAGGGCGCTGGCACTGGCTTGCGGGTCGTCATCGTGGTTGCTGTGGTGGATACGGATCTCATGCTCATTGCCGGGCGCGTAACAGGACGCGAGTCGAAGCGCGGCGGAGGCATGAATTGGGAAGGGTCGCGAGGTGCGAATGGCCCGTTTCCAGTGTTGTATTTGGCCGGTAGCGCGGGCGGAGGGCTGGGCGGCGGGCTGTGCTCGAAGGCCGTCTGCGGTGTGGTCTGCTGCGTCGCCCGAGTGGACCAACTGAAGCGGCTCTTTGGCTCCTCGTTTGCGCTCACGTCGGAGTTCCGGCGCCCTTCGTACGGGTTGGGGCTTTCCTCTACGGGTGAAACGTCATAAGGGTAGGTGAATCCGAGAGCATTTGTGGGAGGCCAATGCTCGTACGGGACTGCTGGTGACGGTTGGGAGTAGAATGATGAGGCGGCGTGGGAGACGCGTGTGTCGGGTTGCAAGTAAGAGTCGGAGGGAGCCATGTCGTCGTCTTGCAGGTCCATTGGTGCGAGTGGCGCGAGTTGTGGTGGGCGGAAAGGGTGACTGGCCGCTGCCTCGTTGGCGGCCTCCATGAGCGGGCGGTGCTTAGATCGACTGTGAAGGTTCCGCGTGTCGTAAGAAGTCTCGATCAGTACCGGCTGACCGATACCGATGCGCGGGTTTTCCTTCCCCCGCCCCAAGAAGCCTTTCTTCCACATGGCTGCGGTTTCTGTGGGCAGAAGGTTAGCCGTGTCTTCAAGGCAGCCGGACAGTGCTATCAATCAGTCCAGCCTCTGCAGCTGACCGTTGCCAAGGAGAGGCACACCAGTTGGTATAGATAGAAAAGGACAGAAAAGAAAAAACGGCGAACGGCTGAAGAAGGTTGTAGAGAGGAATGACAGGAAAGAAGGTGTTTTCACACGCAGGCCTCCCCGAAGCACTGCCCAGAACCACGGAAGGCCTGGCCACTGCTATAGCAAGCGACAGAGCATCCGCCGGGGCCACATGCTTCCAAAATCTTGGAAATCATGTTGATCTCGCGTCGGGCGCAATCTTGCAGGGCTGAGCATTGCCCAGATGTGCAGGTAGGGGCAGATCATGTGCAGCGCATGACACGGCGCGAGATCTGAGGCTTTGGACGCGGGGGAGCCGCGGACAAGGCCCAATGCGGTAAAACGGGGGCAATGAAAGGCACTAGAAAATGGTTTCACCTACGTCGAGTTCGCAGATTCGGGGTCGTAGTTGCAGGATGCAGGCGGCGGGAGGTTGCAGAGGACAGCAGATCGGTGCAGCAACGCACGGCAAATGAGGTGGAGAGAGAGAAATGAAGCGGACGAGGGCAGAGGAATGAGAGGGCTCGCTATGTGCGCAGGCGCCGAAATTGTAGCTGGCATGCAGGTGGGCAGCCAGCTGACAGGCATACGAAAAGAGGTTTCAGGGAAATGGCAGTTGTTTCAGAAGCTGAGCGTTTGCGGATTGCGCGCAGTTCGCAGCACCCCCGGTCGCCTCTGGCTTTAAGCTGGCCGCCCGCCGGCGGATCGAGTCGCTCATGGCGCGTGGTCAAGCAGGTCTGGCGCACTCCGAGACAGCTGCCCTGGATTCCGGGCGTGTCAAGCGGTGACAGGGTGACCCAAGTTGCGCGAGGATGCTGCGCCACGCTGACGATGGTTGGCCGAGAGTGATTGGAAGGGGCACAGGCTCCCGTCGAGTCCCGGTCGGCAGCTCGGGAATCCAAATCCAACGGTTCAACACCACTCGAGCTCCCCGCCCTTTCTCTCCCTCCACCCTCTCCGCTTCTCATCTGCGACGCGCCGCCCCTGTCCCGCCCCGCTGCGCGATTTCGGAGCTTTGCACTCTTCGCTGAGGCCCGCTAGTACTGCACAGAAACCCCGCCGACCCCGCGACCATGGAGAATCCGGCACAAGCCGCTGCGACCGGTAAGCTCTCGCATGCTCACGCAAGCACCCAACCACGCCTACTAACAATCTAATGCTCTAGAGAATGGTGCTACCGCACCCCCCGCTGCTGAGGCGTGAGTAGATCCACTTTCCATTTCGCTGGACTGCCCCCAACTAATCCGACCCACAGGCAGCCTGTCATGACCCCCATCAACGTGCTGTTGCTCTCGCTGTTCGTCTTCCTCGTCTACCTTCGACTGCGCCCCAAGCCGCCGCAGGTGCTGCCCAAGGCGCCCGCTCCGGTCGTCTTCCGCACCTTTACCCCGCACACTCTGCTGCCCTACAACGGCACCAACGATATGCCCGTCTACCTTGCTGTACGCGGGCGCGTGTTTGACGTCACCCCCGGCCGCAACTTCTACGGCCCCGGTGGGCCTTACGCCAATTTCGCCGGCAGGGATGCCAGCAGGGGTCTGGCGTGCGGCAGCTTCGACGAGGACATGCTGACCAAAGACCTCGACGCCCCGCTCGACACCCTCTCGGACTTGGGAGACGAGGAGATGGAGGCCTTGATGGGCTGGGAGGAGCGCTTCTCGGAAAAATACCTCGTCGTCGGCAAACTGGTCCCCGTGGGAAGCGAGGAAGCCAAGAACGCTTGAATTTGGAACCGGAAACCGCATGCCCTTGGGAAACGAATGGACGAAGCCACGAATTGCCACGGTCTGTAAACACATGCTCAGAAGGAGCAGGAGTAGTCGATGGTGTGCGACAGGCCCAAGCCGTGATCGGGTTGAGACCGCCATGCCAGCGGAGTAGTCGCAGTAGCTTGAGTCAAGCTTTCATTGGGTGCATCCATGCGATGGACCATAATACCAATGCGTGCAGACATTCACTAAAATATCACCACGTTTCTCGAATAGAACTTGCCTTTACTGGCCACAACAATTCCAGTAACTGCACGCTGCTACGGGACGGAGAGTGAGTTTGCTTAGAATCACCCCAGCTGCAACATTTACGTGCGTTTAGTGTTCCTGAGCAGCAGATAAGGCCTAACGCGCCGAGTAGACAAAGCAGGCTGGGCGCAACACGATATGGGCTTGTGATTGGCCGATTGCAGATCGATGTCGTCGCCACAAACGTCTGCGCCCGTTTCGCAGGAGCGCCATAGCGTAAACGACCCGAGGCAAGTTTCTCGCAAGGTAAGCTCTAACGGGACAGTCCATATACATAAAGGCCCCGCGTGACACCTCGGTCCATGATGCCTACACGTCGGCACCTTCGACAACATCAACACCAACACCGCCCAACATGTCGGATATGCCTGCATCGGCCCTGCTGGGCATGCTGGTTCCCAAGCTGCCTTACCTGCTGAAGACTGCTTTTCTGAATGCATTTTCCATGTCACCAAACTCGTCGAAATGGGATCTCAAGACAGAACTGATCATCGCCCTCCTCCGCTCAGAGTTATCTAAAGTGCCTCCACCTACAATCACCGAGCAGCAGAACAACACCACCAAGATTCCCGAAGTCAAAGGACCGATGTGGGTCAGCAAAGTCACCATGTCCGCCCCGCCAGAGGACGACATACGGCAAAAGCTATTGCAAGCAATCGACGACATGAAGAGAGGCAACGAGCAATACACCATCCCCTCCCTCAACTCCGTCGAAGGCGAGTGGCACGGGCACCGCGCCGACGCCGCCAAGGACACGCCGGAACCGGCCGGCCTCAGCGAGGCGGACAAGTACACGCGCATGATGAAAGAAGCCGGCTCGGACGCCGTCGTTCTCTACTTCCACGGCGGCGCCTACTACCTCATGGACGCGGCCTCGCAGCGGCCGTTCACGGCGCGCTACGCACAAATGCTACCAGGAGGCGGGGGGCGCACCTTCGCCGTCCGCTACCGCCTCGCGCCGCAGCACGCGTTCCCGGCGGCCCTGCTCGACGCCCTCGTCGCCTACCTCTCGCTGCTGCACCCGCCGCCGGGGGCGTACCACGCGCCCGTGCCCGCCGAGCGCATCGTCTTGGCCGGCGACTCGGCCGGCGGCAACCTCGCCCTCGTCCTCATGCAGACGCTGCTGCAGTGGCGCCGCAGCGGCGCGTCGTCGTCGCTGATGTGGCACGGCAAGGAGGTCGACGTCCCGCTGCCCGGCGCGATGACTCTCGCCAGCCCCTGGGCCGACCTCACCCGCAGCCTGCCCTCGCAGAGCGCCAACCAGCGCTACGACTACCTCCCCGGCGCGGAGTGGCGCGGCTCGGTCTACCCGCCGTGTCCAGCCTGGCCCGTCGACCCGCCGCGCGCGCACCTGTACGCCGAGGCGTCGATGCTGCTGCATCCGCTGGGCAGCCCGTGCGTGCCGGGCGCGGCGTGGAAGGACTGCCCGCCGACGCTGTTCATGGTGGGCGAAGAGATGATGGCGGATGAGAGCAAGGTCGTTGCGGCGAGGATGGTTGGGCAGGGGGTGAGCGTGGGCTGGATGCAGTTCGAGGCTATGCCGCATTGCTTTGGGTTGGTGATGGAGGACTGCGAGGCGGCCCGGGTCATGAGGGAGGGGTGGAAGGAGTGGGTGAAGCGGGCGTTGGAGAAGGGAGATCAGTTGGAGAATCAGGGGAATTTCTTTGCGGCGAAGAGTTGTGCGGCGAAAAGGGTGGATGTGGGAAGGTTGGGGGAGGGACTGAACGATGAGAAGGTTCTGGAGTTAATGAAGGAGGCGCAGGAGACGTTGATGGCAGAAGGAGGGAAAGACGATAAGAAAGTGCAGGAGACTCCCGTGGTGTAGGAGATCTTCTAATGATTGAAGAGCGGGCTGCACTTTCAGGATAAAGAGCGTACATATTAGAGGCTCAATGGCAACAATGTACAGCATGCAATATATTACGAATTTCATACGACACACTGCGGGAATGCAGTGATAACGTTGATAGCGCAATGCTCGCAACCCTCAAGAAACTTTGCGAAAATTCGCTTTAGCTTTTCTGACACGACGGCTGCTGATCGGAATCACCTCCCGTACCATCCGTACGTCTTGTGTATCTTTTATTCTTTTCTGACGCTTACAGTTGCAGTTGCCGCCGCCGCCAGATCCATTTAATTGTTGACCGGGGTAACCCTTGCGCATTGTCCATAAATTTCTGACGCGACGGTTCCCGTCTTGCCTCAACGGTTTGTCGCAGCAAGGCCGACAGCATTTCCTAAAAAGTGCTTTAGGCTATGCGATGAAGTCATTCTGGTGTTGGGAGAAGCGTAAACTGACCCTTCTTTAGTTGAGCATTCAGTCTCACGAATGTTAATTCTCAGAATGTGCTATTGAATAAAGGTTTTGGGATAAAATAATTGAATAGAATTGTCGAGTAACGAGCGTATATTTTCGACAGTTTCAAGACTTTATTTAAGGAAAACCGATCCGAAGTATACAGGAGATTAGAGAACCGGCCCAATCTCGAAAGAAATGCCTGGCTTGGCTTGGTATGAGAATGTCCTTCACAGTTTGTCCGAATGCCTTCGCTCCACAACCAAATAACAAAAGAAAAAAAAAGAAAAAAAGAGCAGTCGTGTCAACACCATTAATGCCGACAAAGCTATGAGCCTTACCTGAAAGAAATACTGATATCGAGTTCCCGATAGCACCGTTCAATCTCTCTTCCTCACCTTATTCTCCAACGCGCGTGCCAGCTTCACCACGGGAATATCAACTGCCCGCCAGAACAAATCAGCCAACCACACACTCATCGTCAGCAACACCACATAGCCCACGAACAAGCATCCCACGAAGCCCATGTTCCCCAGCTGCCCACTATCCGTCATCTTCACCAACACCTTCATCGGCCACCCCTCGGGCAACCCTTCCGTGGTCCCCTCCGCGAACCCCTCAGGCAAACCGTCCGGCACCTGCTCCAGGACGACGTTGTACCGGCCGGCGCGCTTGAAGATGGCGCGCATGAGCACGAGGCCGACGCTGTGCAGCACGGGCCCGTGGACGAGGTAGAAGGCGTAGCTGATGCTGCCGAGGTACTGCGCCAGCGGCGTCTGGAACGGGCGGCGCAGCGGCCGGCAGTTGCAGACGGCGTAGAGGGCGAGCACGGCGCCGACGGACTGCCAGAAGCGGTAGGGGCAGCTGGGGCGGTACGCGTCGGGCATGTACTCCGAGAGCAGGACGTAGCCCGGCGTGACGTTGGCGAAGTCGTCCGGGTAGGAGAGGAGGTAGAGGGCGAGTGTGAATATGGAGAGGTGGAAGAAGGTGAGGGGGCCGCTGTGGACGGGGGATGAGGAGGAGGAGGAGGACCATGCTGCCGGGGCCTTTTCGCTGATGGGCGCGATGGCTGGTAGGGGTGGGGTGATCGGGTTCGTTGTGACGGGAAGGAAGGAGGGCTGACGATGCGCTGGCGTGCCCCAGGTGTTTGTGATGAGGTCGAGCTCGGCCAGCAGGGAGCCGGACAGAAATAACACGACCTCGAAGCGGGCCCAGCGGGCGCAGAAGATTATGAAAGACACCGTAAATGCGAGGCGCCAGGCGGTGCGCGCGCGAGACAGGCAGATGAGGTTCAGGAAGAGAACCATGCTGGCGCGATATTCGAGCGGGATCGTCCAAACGTGTGGGTCGTACAGATTGTACCACTCTCCCCAGTTGGTGAAGTCGATGTAGTTGCGTATGAAATTGAAATAGTCCCACGCTTGTTCCTGCCATGTGTCATAAGTGACCACGTGGTGTTCGAAGAAGGCCAACGTCACCCCGTCCTCCCCAACCTCTCTTCCTCTTTGAAACCAGCCGGTTCGGACAATCAGTAGGATGATAAAGGTGCTGATTAGGGTAGGAAGGAAGAGCCTGATGCCGCGGCGGAAGATGGATGATGAGAGAGTCTGCAGCATTGAGTCGTACGACTGCGACCGTAAGGCCATCAGGGGCTTTCGAGAGAGAACGTAACCCGAGAGCACGAAAAAGACGCTCACCATAGCCCGTCCGCAGTAGAGAATTTTGATAATCGGCAGCTGATGTATCCAGAGCTGCGACGGGTCCGAGCCATATCCATGATTCACGGTCGACGTGTACATGAAGAGAAAGTGGAAGTTGAAGACGAAAAAGCAGGCGTATCCCCTCACCCCGTCCAAAGTGGAGATGCTGTTGACGTTCGATGCGGATCCTGAGCTGACAGCGCCACCCTCACTTGTTGCTCGTGGGCGAAGGAAGCTGGGGAGGACTGGAGCAAGGGCGGTTCCGCCCACGCAACGTGATATGTCGTACAGCCATCGTCCGCGAGACCTGCCGTATGCTCGTAGCTTTACTGAAACATCAGCGAAAGACTGCTGAAAAATATCGGCTGTTGGCTGCTTTTCATTAAATGATGACTCGGAGGCGGGGCTGCTTGGTCCTGGCGAGCCTGGCAGGACGACATCCGGGCCGTCAATGCCGGATGGCACCCGTTGGTATCCCCCATACATGGCGGTTGAGCTGGACCGGACGGACAGCTGCTTAGAACACCGAGCCAGTGATGCTTGTTTTAACTGAAACAGAAGAAATAACGACAGTGGATCATTGTTGATGGAACGTGTTTAAGCAAGGATGCAGGATGCCAGAGAAAGGGATGCACTGAGAGCTCGGGTGGGACACTGGATCTTCAGAGCGATGCCACGCGTTAAATATATGTCGCTAGTATATTAATAAATGATTTGGATTGAAAGATGAATTTGGCCGAGCGAACTCAGAGTCAAATACTAAATGCTGCAGGAGCTGAGAGACTAGCGGCATGGTGAGAAAAAGCCACCATCGCACGTTTGAGAATGAAGCATGGCGGGAGAACCTCGCACGAGCCGTGTCTGGGAATTCTCAGACACCAGATTGGAATTGCAAATTTCACAGCACATGATAGGCAATGGAATGGAACTTCGAATCGCGACCGGAACGCAGGGCTGGCCGGTCAAGATGGGCGGGAGGATCATTTGAATTGCAGGTCAGGATGGACCGACATTGCCCATGAAGATCCATAATGTGTTGATATAAAGCATCGGTTCCAGCTGGATCTCTCATGACTGGTGACGCAAAATTGTCAGCTGCTGAACTCAGTGTAGACGTATTGTCTTTCGAGGGTGTGCCCGCTACACAAAACGAGGTGCTCAAGGCTACAGTATGATGATGTAATGAGTGCAAGCGCAGGTATGCCATTCTGCTTGGGGGTGACTGAGGGATCGCGTCGGAGTTGATGAAATGTGGCGTTCACTTGCCACCAGATTAATTCATCCTCAAATGCCTTTCTGGCGGATCAACCTTTTGCTTAATAACTCAGCTTACATTCATTATGATACCTGCGCAATATAATCACTCTCGGGCGGCTATTAAGCATATTCAAAATCTATGAAATGCCAATTTCTTATAGCGATTCTAGTTGCTCATGGCTATGGAGTCACACAGAAAACTTTTCGAAAAGGACACCGCTGCACCGCTCGACATTAACAATAGTGAGGTTGCACATTCTACAGTAGCGCGCTTCATCTTCCGTTTACCAACCACCTATTGACTGCCAAGACCAGCAGATATCCGCGGGTTCTGCCTACCACATCATGTGCACGAATGCTGCCGTCCCTTGTTCTAAGGCCCTGTTATTCTTCACGTGAGCTGTCGGACGTACAACCCATCTTTCTGCCAGAAGAGAAAAGAACGGCTTCCGATCACCCGATCAGTGTAATTTGCAGTGCGTTCCTATGGGAGACTTTGCAATTAGTCTGGCCATCTTTTCGTGGGAATGCAACTTACAGAACGATTCGTCCCCAGGAATGCGCGGAGGGATGCTTAGACCTCTTTGATACGAAATTCGGAATACTGATTTAGGGCAGCTTGCCGGAGAGACTCGGGTTTCCGAAAAAAAAAAATAGTTGCCGCGTATTGGCTGCAAAGTCATCCCTCCACATGTGAGTTTGTGCATCGGACCATTGGGAGACTCTAGGCGTCCTAAAACTTTGTGCTACGGGTCCAAAATTTACGTCTTTATCTCAAAATTATGGAGATCATACCCATTTCGTCTCCCTGGACTAAATGGCGAATATTTCTTGCAGGGGGTGCTCGCCTCAGTGTAATTGGAGACGCCTTATAGTCCTTGGTACTTGGAAGCAGAATGCGAGAAGCTTTCCGCATTTGTGGCAACGGCCTGCTCGTAGTGATAGACGGATGGAATGCTCCTTTGACTACCTTATAGACCACCTTAAAATGCCTACTGTAACAGAAGTGGGCATAAGTCCGCCTGGTCGAGAGAAGATTTGCAATGAGGCAGATCTGTGTGTGAGTCAAAAAACCTTCCTGTCGGCTTTGATCGTGCAGGCTACGTGATGAATCATGACCGCAGAATACAGGTGGAACGCCAGTCTGTAGGCTAACTTTCAAGAAAATCCTCTGTGCTTTCTACTTGAGCAAATGAATGCTCAGGTAAGAATATGGACAGAGCACAGTTATTATTACGTCGCTTTGTGTATGGGTAGACATTGTTCACCACCCCCAAACCAGCTCCGCAACGGCCCACAATTCCACTACACCGTCCCCGAGCTGCTTCCAAGCCATGGTAAATGTGCCACCGCGCTCCACTCAGACCCATCTCTCTGAACCCGCAGCACGCCCTCTCCCTCCAGCCCCCACGCCTTGACGGTCTCTTTACTCCACGACACCGGCAACGCCCGCCCGCTGTCCCACGTGAACTCACAATTGGTCTCTCCCGCGGCCGCTGACCTGACCTTAAGTATCGCCCACATATCATGGTGAGGAGCGTCAACATCCACCTCCATGAACTTGAGCTTCGGCATGCGACGTGCTGCATGGCCCACAGCAGCGATGATCTCATTGATGCTCTCGACGGGCCGGCTAGCGGCAACGGTGTCTGGCAGCTCGGCTGAAACCTCGAATGTCTCCAAGTTCGGCCATGATGGTAGTAGGGACGGGTCATGATCGCTATTCTCCTCATCCGTCTGGCTCTGTTGCTCGTCGGCGCCAGGCCAGAAGAGTGAGGGCGAAATGCGGATATTGATGAGCTTGATCGAGCGGAGGCGCGTTGATAGGTTTCTCAGGCCAATGCCTACGTGGTCGGGCACTAGGAGCATGGCGTCTACCGGACCACGGAAGTCGTTTGAGGAGTCGTCCCACGTAACATTTACACTCAGGCATGTGCTGGGTATTTGGCTGAAGGTTTTTCCTAGCTCTGAAGGAAGAAGAGTTCGTTAGCATGCTTATCGGAAAGAACGAGGAGGAGACTGGGTAAAGTTTGCAATACCTTGAAAATATTTGACAGAGGTTTCACTCTTTTCATCGAACAAATGACATAAGCCAATGGTAGCATGCTCGAGTCTTTGCAGAGATGCACTAATGTCCAGTAGGGCTGACGGCCATAATAGGTTGACGTCGTCGTCCGTATGGAAGCTGCTGACGGATCGTAGTTGCGGCAGCGGTGCGCCGACTAATTTGAGGTGTGGTGGATTCATCAAATCAATGGGAGACTGGCTATCTGGTGGTGATGGGCTGTCGACGGAGTCACAGTAGAGATGAATTTCCAGAGGGTCATTTGGCCTTATCGCCTCCAAATTGCTTAGCATCTTCCAAAAAATGAGTATAGATCGCGAGAAGTGCTCGTCATTCTCTTTCCGGCCCATCTCCGAGTGCGCGTAGGAGGTGGTGAGGTCATATTTGTAGCTGGCATGAAAGAATATTTCGTGCGGAATCGCACATCGCCGACGAGGATCCCTCATCATCATTCTTCTCAATCGAGCAGTGGTGATTGGGCCCTTGCGGATATCTTTAGGGATATCCGATGAGTAGACGGAGAGGGACTGGAAAGTCATGCTTTCGATGACGACATTCCATGTCCGGTTGATGACCGCATATTGCGCGAGCCCACAGCTTGTAGAGCTGGGCCAACTTCTGTCGTTAAGAAGGAGTAGCTTGAGCTCCTTTGCGATCAGGAAGACGAGATCGTGTGGCAGTTTGTTCATACTGGGTACGTTTGGGTGTGACATCGATTGTAAGTCGACAGACATCAGGGGAAATTAAGTAAACTTAAGCGAACCGAGTCACGTGCCAGATAAGCAAGCAGATGGCTTTGATTGTTTTGTCCCAGAAATTGTTCCAACTGTCAATTTCGTAGGCTGACTTATCCCGCCCAATCAAAAATATCTGCTGTCATTACACACTTTTTGACCGGCCGTCCCTAGAGCGAGAGGGTACTTTTAGCCAGACCGGCAAACTTTCATCTGAGAAGACGCCAAGGAGTTAGACGACAACACAATATACACACCTGGGCCTGAAACGTATTTTCCGTTCTGCCGGCGGAGCAAATGCAGCCCCGCAGGGCGAATAGGAACATGATTCGTCCTTTGGTTGCTAGCCGAGAGATCTCATCAACATGGGTCCCCAATTGAGAAATCACGGCCGGGTTGAGTCCGTTTCTCATCCGCCCTCGTCGGTGTGAACCAGTTTGCCCTGCCGTAAGTGGATGAAATTGTCTTGCTTTAGATTGTTCTAATCAATGCGACAGAATCAATCTGTATTAAAGGTTCGATGAGGAGCCCTGCTTGTGAAAGGATCCGCTGCCATGGTCACAACATCTGAGAGTATTCTGTCTACACTCGGTTAGGGTTCACCGCTAGCGGCTACTTTAGATGCACAAAGCCGTGGAAAGAACCATAGTGGCTGCATGAAGGATTAGATACCTTGAGAGCGCTGCATATGCATACGAGCAGACGAGCAGGCCGTAGCGATGTTTCGTGCTTTTTTTTTCTTATTTAAATTCTGCTGTCGCTGCCATTTCGATTCTTTGCACCATGAGAAATTGAACTCGAAAATGAAAACACACAAACCTTTCGGAGTCGCTTGGCTCCAGCTAAAATTTGTTGGGATAGTCGCGGCACAAGCTAGTGCCACTGCGCCATTCTTCTCTTTCGAAAAAAGAGTGGTATCCAACACCACGTTAGCGTCAACTGGATCTCAGTACCACAGCTACTTTACATTTGCAAACTCGACCTCTAGCGTTCAACCACTCCTTAATGGCAGCTGCAAGGTCTTCCCGGGCGATGCTGCATGGCCGTCCCCAGATGTTTGGGGCGCTCTGGATCATGTGCTGGAGCAGTCTCTAATTAAGACGGTCCCGCTTGCGCATGACTGCTACAATACAGCTTGGGGAGGATACGACGCCGATCAGTGTGCCTACATTGCATCAAAGTGGAATATTTCCTATTTACAGTAAGCATCCATCGTCAGCAGCGCCTCTCTCTGCATGATGCTAACGTACTTTAAGCGCGGACGATCCGACCTCCATCGCCTGGCCATTCTGGCAAGGCCGCACTTGCCTCCCAACAGGGTATAACGTGACAGATACCTGCACACTTGGAGGCTATCCATCTTACGTCGTGAATACTTCCGCTGTATCTGACATCCAGCTTGCTATCAACTTTGCACGCAATTCCAATATTCGCCTTGTCGTCAAGAATACCGGCCATGACTTCGGCGGAAGATCGACTGGTGCCGGCGCTCTCAGCATTTGGACGCACAACTTGAAAGAGTTGAAGCTGATTGATGAGTATACCACACCGTCATATAGCGGCAAAGCAATTCAAATTGGAGCGGGCATCCAAGTCGAGGAGCTGTACGAATTTGCAGAAGCGAACGGCGTCACAGCCATGGGAGGCGAATGTCACGTAAGATACTCCGCTGTTACCCCTTTCTAGAACAACTAGCAGTTTCGCAAGCTGAAAATCACCCACAGACAGTTGGCGTAGCCGGCGGCTACATCCTCGGCGGCGGCCACTCGCCGCTCTCCAGCATCTACGGCATGGCAGCCGACCACGTCCTCTCCCTCAACGTCGTCCTCCCCTCCGGCCACTTCGTCACCGCGTCCGAAACCAGCAACCCATCCCTCTTCTGGGCGCTCCGCGGCGGCGGCGGCTCGACCTTCGGCATCGTAACCTCCATCGTCGTCAAAGCCTTCCCCGCCATCCCAGTCACGATCTCGCAATTCTCCTTCTCGACAGGCCCCAACGTAACCGCCGACCTATTCTGGCAAGGCGTGCGCGCCTACTTCTCCTACTTCCTCGACCACCCGGACGCAGGCATCTACGCCTACTGGTGGGTCCTCCCACTAGGAAACTCATCCTACCTCTTCCAGCTCCGCCCTTTCTTCGCACCCAACCACACCATCGCCTCGACGACCGCCCTCCTCGCCCCCTGGCTCGCCGACCTCGCCGCCCTCGGCATCCCCCACACAGCCCCCAACACGACGTACCACCCCTCCTTCCTCGCCGCGTGGCGCGCCGGCTTCGACGTCGAGGGCGTCGGCACCGTGTCCGGCCGCAGCGGATCGCGCCTGTTCCCGCGGTCCTCGTTCGCGACGGACGACGCGCGCGACGCCACCTTCCGCGCGCTGCGCGAGACGACTGAAGCGGGCAGCGTGCTGTTGGCGTTCAACATGAAGAACGGTGCGCCTGCAGAAACGCCCAGTTCGGCGGTCAACCCGCACTGGCGCTCCAGCTACCTGCACGCGTGCGTCGCGACCGGGTGGGCCGCAGACGCGTCGGTCGAGGAGGTCAGGGAGGCGTTTCCGTACCTGACGGACGGGGTGCTGGCGCGGTGGCGCGCGGTGAACCCGACGGGCGGCGCGTACGCGAACGAGGCGGATGTGGCGGAGCCGGCGTGGCAGGAGGCGTTTTGGGGGGGCAGCTACGAGAGGTTGGCGAGGTTGAAGGGGGAGGTCGATCCGTGGGATGTGTTTTACGCGACGACGGCGGTGGGGAGCGAGGGGTGGGAGGTGAGGACGGGCGATGGGTTGGTGACGCAGGATGGGAGGTTGTGTCGAAGGGGGGAGGAGTAGAGCGTGTTGAGTGTGCTGCGGATGGGTTCGGAGATTCGGTGGTTTGATGCTTGTTTCCATCAAGGCTCTTCATTTCAATATGGTGAGGGTCTTCGTTATTGTTGACAGTTCACTTGCACGATTCATGAAAATGTCTTGCGGTTGGCACAACTTTATTGAGATATTTACAAGCATCCAGCGTTATAGATACAGTGAAGGATGAAATGGTAAAGAGAGAAGCGCGGTGCGAATACCAGCTAATTTCTTAACCGGAAAACCCGCGTATTATGCCGATCAGACATCTAGCAAGCAGGGACGTCGGTGTACTTGCAGGCATCGCTGGGGCCCTCGCTGACCATGCTGGGCTCATCGCCAGTGTTGTTGCCCTCGTACTCAGCGCAGATCTGTTGCAGGCGAAGTCAGTAGGCGTCAAAAGCGGTCAGATAAGGGGTGAGCTTACAGTGTCGACCGAGGTGGCGCAAGTGTCGGAGATGGTGGCAGTGTCGCCGAGGTTGGAGTTGATGCCAGCGAGCTGGCTGCCGGAAGAGGCCTTGACGTTCGAGATGACGACGTGGCGCTCGCCCTGCTCGTCGCAGTTGCCGCAGGAGCGGTACAACTTGCCGAAGTCGGAGACCTGGAAGCCGTCGATGGTGACGGTACCGACACCGTTGTGCTGGATGACCTTGTCCTTGGCGCCCTGAGCACCACCGCCGCTGACCTTAGCGTTACCGTTGCCCTTGATGGAGAGAGCGTCTATATACAGTTAGTGTGTGGGGAATCGGATCGAGGAGTGCAGGAGACTTTACCCTCGCAGACGGCCTCCCACCAGACGTTCTCAACGGTGCAGGCACCCAGGCAGTAGACACCCTCGATCTGGTCGGCACCGATGATGGCGTTGCTGAGGGTGGCACCGTCCTCGAGAACGAAGACGGCGTCAGCCTCACCACCCTCGCCCGAGGAGCAAGAGACACCACGGCCGTAGGTCTTGAGGCCACCGTCGAAGGAGCCGGTAATGTACTGAGGCTCGCTGAGCGTCTCAGTGCCGGCAGAGGCGGGGATAGAGAGAGCGCTCTGGCGGCGAGAGAAGCCCAGGGAGCGGGCGTTGACGAGGGCCAGGCTGGCGGCGAGAGAGATGGTGGTAGAGTACTTCATTTTGAAGGATTGGAGTTTTTGAAATGAGTGGGTTTTCAAAGAGTGAACTGGTGTTTGTTGCTGGATGCTGTGGACTGTCGAGCTGAGGAAGACCGGCTTGCTGGAAAAAATGTGGAGGCAGTCCGCTGCCTGCTTTTATACATGTTGGAGTGTTAAACATCCATCTCCCTTGGGCGCTTCGATGCGAGTCCTGGTCACCCGCAGCCGCTTTGGCCAATCTGTTTGAGGAGTCAAAGAGGCCAATCGGGCCTGGAGAGTGACCATGATGTCCCGTTTGAGGATGACTTGGCGGGTGGGGACATGCTCCCAAGAGATTCAGATAGATGTTCGGCAGCTACGCGAGGGAGTTCCATGTTGGGCACCTGAGTGGCAGTGTACTGACTATCCACCGGCACTTGTTCGCTCCATTGTATTGCATCCTTTTTTATCCCCAAAGCTCTTGATTTGAAATATTATGTGCCTCCTGTGTCGTCACTTCACTACTGCCGAACAACACACTCTCGCCTCGCCCATATTTTTCTTTATTTCTGTAGCAAAGAAGCACCAAAAGGAGCTGTACACGCCGGCAATTATTCGGGCTCGGGAAGTCGTTTGGCACATCGTGAGATACCGAAGGCTCTGGGCGGTATGCCTTGCGCTGCTCTCAGGAGATTGTCGTTCTGTTTCTCCGCCACTTACCAACTGAGTCGCGGAGGCGCGAAGCAAATCCAGGCAATTGCTGAGACGATCGCGGTGCGCAACTGTTAGTGGCCATGCATGGCGAGACGAGCCAAGGTCTCGTCCCGCCCGGTTGCACACTTGGCGGCGGGCCTGTATGTAGTAGCGCCAGGACAATCGAATCTGCGAATCAATGATTCAGCAAGAAAGGTGAGGGATTTGATTTTCCACCCCATAGTCCATCGGAAGAGACGCGCTTCGAAAGGATGTTGTTGAATTACGGTTGGAGAATGTCCATGGTGTTGGAGCAGTTTCGACGTCAGACTTGGCAGCAGGCGCGTTTTGTAGTTGGGAACCGTCATGAAACGCGATCTCTGTGAAACTGTGCCACTGTAGCTGCATTGCGCAAGCAGCACCCTATTTGGAAAGTTCGAAGCGCGTGGAACCAGTTCCGCCGGCGCTGAGTCGTGGGGTGGAAGAAAATCCATCTATAACGGTGCGCCTAATAGCTATCTAGGCGGCCGCGCATTCGTTTGGCCCCTGGTCCGCGCTCCCCGGGGCGGACGCCTTTCGAACTCCGCCACTTTTCTTGGAATGGATCGTCGCGCCGTATTCTGATCAGCGTTGACTGACTCGCTTTTCCCGCTCCGCTGTTGTTCGCCCGCGCTTCCGCTGCACTTCTGAAACTCACCTACACCATCCAGCGCAGCCTACAGGAGCTAGCGCAGCTTGCATACGAGCGCTGGGTACATTTCCTGGCAAGTTCTTTGCATCTCAACGACAACACACGGCAAAATACACACTTCTTCCCGACGGTTTCCTAGCCATTCCGCCAATTATTCGGCCGAGACAAGGGCCCCAGCGCTGCTTCTTCTGACGTGTACACGGTTATAGCAGGTAAATGCAGGTGGCGAGATGTTTCACCAATGCTTGGGACCCAAGAGTCTGGGCAAAATACTGTACATACAACTTCGCAATAGAAGCCTACGTCATATAGCCTCTTCAATACCTGTAGTGACGATCTAAGATCAAGCATGGCCGGTCACTCAGCCTCAAGAAATTTGGATATCGTTTTTGGAACGTACGCATTCGCCCCACACCGTTCATGTGGCACGTTCGGATCCGGGGACATCCGGCGACGATGTGTGCGCAAAGTCCAGGCACTGTGTGGAGTGTCAGCAATCCAGTCAGCATGATGTGGTGGAGATGGTGGAGTCCAATTTAGATCTGCCATCACATTTTGTCGGCCTTAAACACATCTACCACATGTCCCCGGACTATCCTCTGATTGATTTCTTGACGCTGGCACGTCCATACCCCATTACTCGTGAACTTTGCAGTCTTTAGCGAAAAAAGAAATACAGCAGAGCTCAGAAAAAAACTGATGTTGCTTTCTTATACACAGTTCAGATAAGCTTAGTCTACTCGTAGACTAAAGTTACTGTTCCTCGGCGAACAGTTGGCCCAGCCACCCCCCGTCTATTTAGTGAAAGTGTATGTACAAGTCATGTAGGCGAAGCTGCACGCCACGGGCGCCCCCGAGAAAGCTTCAACGCCGCCCGTCGATCAACGTTGGGCACCTGACTCGCTGCGGGATCGCCGCAGAACCACATGCAGAATACGATTCGAAACACCAAGATATCACCGCCTTAAAATTGGCAAGGCCGCCGGTCACGAGCAGAGCTCGGGGATAATCGTATCTCGGATTTCTGTGTTCGGTCCCGAATGCGGGGCTCGGGAACATGGAGTATTCCGGTTGTGATAAGTATCGGGGCCTGAATCGTATTTTGTGCTTGCGACCCAACAACTGGCGTACCTGGCATCAAAGGGCTTTGGATTAGCTTGGCTTACGGACAAATTTTGCGGCGTGGATGGAGCCTCGGTGGAGACTGCATTGAACAGGCATCAAAAGAAATCTCTATGTCGATGGAAGACCAGATACCACTTTAAGCCTGTTGGCCTTTGCCCTCTCTGAACTGATGCGCAATCCAGTGTTCCTCGCCGTTTTTCATTGCTGTCCCATTCCCCATCCCCCTCTCAAGGCGGCGTAGTAAATCTTCATCAGAGGGAGCAACCCAGAGAATATCTTGCTCCGGCATTGAGAATTTGAGGTCTTTTGTGGACAGCAGTTTGTCACCCTCTGCATCCGAGCCCTCGCTGCATGTTGACCATACGTGAAAGAGTGTCAAAGCGAGGCGCTTAACCTCCTCAACACCCACCCAGATAAAGATGAAGTTGCTACTGCGACCATTGAACTGTGCAAGCATGTCGGGATAGAAAAACATGCCGCGCTGAAGACAGCTTTTGATGAGAGCCACCATAATCCGGTATTTGTCCTCGGAAGGAGAAATACTTTTTCCTGCTTTCAGATCAAGCCTGCAGGTGCTTCCGCGAGTACGTTGTTCTTCTGAACTCAACAGCAAAGCAAAAATGATGTTCAGAAGAATGCCTTGGTAGGTTCCCACTGGCCAAGGTTCATTGTTGCCGCCTGATTGCTCGCCACATGCTGGGCTGACCCAACTGCCCTGCTGCTGTATGATAGATGCGATCAACTTCTCGTGAAGTTTGATTGCGGCGTCCTTGGCTGTCTCATCCTGCATGGTCCACAGCCCGATCATGATAACGGACTGAAGGAGTAGAGCAGGCTCTTGATCCGGGTTGAACGTTGCCTTGTGCAGAAACGGCCATATGGGATGGAAATGAGTGAAGTATGCGTCGATGTGTTGCTGCACCTTGTCGCCGTTGCCGGGCTCCTCGACGGGTAACGTTGAAGCGGACGTACCAAAACCGCATCCGGCGTTCCGCGCCACGCATGTCGAACAGGGGAAATTGCCATCACAGCGCATCTTGCGCATGCGACAACGATTGCAAGCTTGCGGTACTCGAGTGCTCGGTAGATTTTCAGCTTTATGGCGCCGTTTCATGTGCCGGCGCAGTGTGTCTCTGTCCACGCTTGTTCAGTCATCTTTGACCCGACGAGGTTCCATAATAAGGAGACATGCTCACGTGCGAGAGCAGGTGGTGCTGCAATAGGGACAATCGAGTGTTTGAGCACGGAAGTGATTCAGTTGGTGACGGGTCAGGTGCTCTTTCCGCTGGTACCCGCGGCCGCATCCGGGAAAACTGCAGACAAAACTGGCGATGCGTTGATCCGTGGGCATTGTTGTTTTCGGTAAGTTGGGATGACTTTGCAAGGGGTGGTTCGTAGCGGGATGCTGTGGTGGGATGGCCGCGATGGAGAGGTTTCAATGGGATGACCGCGGTGGAATGCCATAGTGGTATTCCGTGGCGGGATGCCGTAGTGGGATACCACCGTGGGATACCGCTTCAGAATACCTATTCAAGCCAAGTGTTTGAGCACTTGGGCGGTTCAGGGGATTGTAGGACTGCCTGCACAGCCAACCAAGGACCGGATTTGCCACTCTGCTACGGTTAATCGGACCGCTAATAGAAAACTAAACGAGCCAATTGTGCGCGTCTTTCACCTGTGCGCAGTTCTCAATTCGGCCTCAACAACATTGCTCAAGCTCGATGACAACTGCTTCTGCTTCGGCCGTTGTTTCTCAGCAGAGGGAGTTGCATCATCAATCATCACTATGCAAGAACTTTTGGTCGGTTAAGTAAGCAATTTCCGTAGAAGATAGGATTTCAACTACATATTTAAACAGAAGATTCTTCCAGTACTCTGTTGCATTCCTCTCCGAGCAACGTCGAAACAAAAGCCAACTCACTCTACTTCTCAACATGCCCTTCATTTCAGCTTTCGGCGAAAGCCAAATATATTACGAGATATATGGCAATGGCAACCCAGTCGTCGTCTTCGTCTCTGGTTTCATGGGTATTGCCGACATCTGGAGACCTCTAGCCACCAAGCCCAGCACCAAATACTTTTGTATCGCCCACGACAACAGAGGATTCGGCTGCTCCTCGAAACCAAAAGATCGCATCGCCTATAGCGTTGAAAATCATGCCCACGACATTACCTTGCTCCTCAACGTCCTTGACGTCGACCAACCCGTCATTTTGGTTACCCACTCAATGGGCGGCAACATCGCGTCGGCCTTTGCACTTGCGAAGCCAGAACGAGTCGCGGGCATTGTCTACACCGGTACATACTACGACGGAAAACAGATGCGCGAGAAAGGAGTTACCTACAAAGCGCTTACCGAGAACGGACACAATCCCACGGACATCATCAAATTCTACACCAACTTCGGCCTGACTGAGGACATTGCATTGGAGGCAGCAAAATGGTCTCCTTGCGCGCGAGAACACAACGCTTGGAGCTTGGTCGATTTCGAAATGGGAGATAGATATGCCGAGATCACAATCCCCACGATGATTGTACAGGGCAATAAGGATGTCGTCAACCCTCCAGACTTTGTTCGTCAAATGGCAGAAGAGTTACCTAATTGTAGGCTTGAGTTTCTGGATGTGTCAATCACTTCCCTCCAACTGAGGCGCCGGAGAAATTAGACGGGTTGATATGCGAATTCGTGGGAGTGCTACCCCTTTGAGGCGGCATGGTCGTGTATAATTAAGGGTGTATACTATTTCGCAAAATAGAGCTACGGCATGCTTATTAACCGTTTCCCATCGTGTTTCATAAAGTTTCCCTCAAATGAGTGTCTGATTGGCCACAATAAAGAATGCGGCCTACATTGTGCTTCCTGTCGCTTCTCCGTCCACATCCAGCACCGCTCCTTCCTCGACAGTTTTGGGAGTCTCCAGCCTGATTGTGGTCGCGCAGTCTCTTGAGTATACCCGCAGACCAATCACGCAGACTGCATTCCAAGGATCGCTCCCTTCATCATCGGAGTCTTCTGGATCCTCAGGCGGAGGTGGGGGCGCAGACGCTGGCTCTGGCTCTGGCTCTGGTACCTTCGTTTCTCCTGGTCCATCCTTCTTCTCCTCAACCGCTTTAGCGGGCTCTGTTGTACTCTCGCCCGCCTTTGGAGCCGATGGAGCTTCTTCTTTGATCTCTGGAGCTTTCTCTTCGCCGCCCTGAGCTGTCTCAGTGTCCTTGTTTGCTGGCTCAGTCTCTTTGGTTGCCTTTTTCGCTGGCTCAGTCTTCTCTTCGGTTGCTTTTGTCTCTGGCTCGGTCTTCTCTTCGGTGGCCTTGGTTTCTGGCTTGGCCTCCTCTTCGGCCGGCTTTGTTGATTGTTCCTTCTTAGCTTCATCCCCCGAGCCTTTCTCTGCCTCTTTATTGACAACGACTACCGATGATCCTTCCGAACTTGATTTGCCTCCAGTAGGCTCCTTTGGCGGGGCGGGCGGAGGCACAGCCTTCAAGTGAGCGAAATCGTAGTTCAAGCCGATCTGCCTTAGCTTCTGTGGCTTTTCCTTTGCCAGCTTCTTGACAACATCTTCGACAAGGTCTTTCTCGTCGTCTTTTGTAGCAAGAATCTTGGGGATGACCTCGTATGTGCCTGGTTCGAGCTCAACTTCCGCACTGACGGCCCGCTGCCAGCTGCCGGCGCTAGAAGGCCTAACGCGTGCGATATGGTCTCCGATTTCGGAGCCTGCTTCTTGGAGGATGAAATGAAGCTCGAAATCGTACTGTCCCTCGAGGCCTTTAAAGTAGCGATCATCGAGCTAAATTCATCAATTGTCAGCGACCGTCTGCGAACCAACGCAAGAAGGTCACACTCACCTTAGAGAGAACGAAGACGAACAGACCGCCTTCTTTGATCTCGACCACGAATTTTGCGTTGATGTAGCCGCTCATCCACGAGACGTTAATACTTGTCCACTGCTGGGCCACTGACCAACCGTCGCAGAAAAGGCGTGTGCGGTCAAGCGAGTTGAAGCGGTTCAGCATGTCGTCGAAAGACATCCAGAAGATGCCGTCATCTCCAAACTGATGGTCGAGCTTGTTCAGCCAGTACCCATTCCACTCCTTTGAGCCGTCACTCCAAGGGCCGTTCCATTCTCCTTCTCCCATCCAGTTCCTCCTGCCCCAAGGGTTTCTATTGCGCAGGTCAGTTTGATTGTCCAATCCAGTGAGAGCGAGGTGCCATACCTGATACGAACAAGTCTGAACTTCTTCCCATTTTGGTCCTCTTCCTCGACAGCTTTGAGCACAGAATAGGCATGCTGGTAAGCAAGGCCACTCCTCGTGTCGGAATCGCCGCCCGCAGAGCCGGGAGTGCCGATAGCAAAGATGAAGTCCTTGTTGACATTTAGGAGTTCCTCCCACAACACGTCCTTGTCCAAGATCTTGTTGGTGTCTATCGTCGTAGTGACGCCGCCAGTCATATCCTCGACGCCCTCTCCAGGGAAGCCTCCGGCAATGGCATCATAATCGCCATGGATCTTCGCATACGCCTTCTCCAACAGCGGCAGCCACGTCTCATTCGGGTCCGCGCACTTCGCAAACGCCAGGGCCTCCGATCCAGTCTGCTCGCGCTCCTTCCACTGGCGAGCTTCCTTCCCCGTAGGATCGTAGACGCCTGCGCCGCCAACAGAATCGTAATCGCCCCTGGCGAGGTACAAGTTGTCATCCACAACAACAGGCACCCACTCGCCGTCGCGGTGAAACACGAAGCCGTAGACGCCGCACTTCTCGTCGCGCGCGACGCAGATGCGCTCCATCTGGCCCGGCATGCTGCACAGCGTCGCGACGGCGGCGACCCACCAGCAGTCGCCCGTGCCGCCCTGCTGCACGTCCGACACGCCGAAGCCGTTGATGGTGAAGGCCGGCTTGTCGTAGATCCAGCCGATGCGGTGCACCGACGCGGCCACCGGCATGCTGCTCTTGGGGTCGTTCTGGAGCACGCCGAGGAGGCCCGGCACCGAGACCTCTTGCACGCCGTTCAGCAGGCCCGGGACTGAGGTTAGTGTGTTGAGGGCGCTCTTCAGGTCGTCGGTGTCAATGTTGTGGGAAGAGTTGTCCTCTTCTTCCACGAGGCCGTGGAGGCAGTTGCCTGTGTCTGTGTCGAAGTCCGACTCGATGTCGAAGTCGGGATCCGACCATTTTTCGTTTGTGCGCCTGTTGTCATGAGTGAGCAGTTTGTTTGATGATTTGCAGGAAATTTCTTACTTGCACTCTCGTACGATGCGTTGAACCTTGCGCTTGCAAGCTTCCTTGGCGGCTTCGTAGCTTGCAGTTGCGCTGACATCTCCGGACAGGGCTTTCGGCGGGGTATGCGGCAGTAGGCTGGCATAGAGGCTAGGCGGGAAGATGCGAGTGACCTTCCCTGGAGTTTTGGTGATGAATTTGTCCCAGTACTCATCGAGAGCTTTCTGTGGCTTGCTGGCTGCATGCTTCTTCTTCTTTGGGGCGCCGGCAACTGAAGCCGCATCAGCCGCAGGATTAGCCTGATAGTAGTAATCCATGATGTTGATGGAACCGAATGATTCTACCGCTTCAGACAGAAGCAGGAATCGTCTGCTTCTTATAGACGCTCCATCGTGTGAGAATGAGGCGTGTTCTACCATTGAGCGTTTCTGTTCTTGGCCCCCAAAGTGGGGTCGGAGCTGCCCCGGCCATTACCATACAGTATTTAGCTCGTCAGCGTGGCTTGCAGACGGCGCGTAAGCTGCGACCTTTGATAGGCAGCTACTGTACACTTAGCTTGCTTTTCTTGTCATATGCCTCGAGTGGGCCCGAAAAAGACGTCTTTCCATCTCGGGATGAAACTGCACGTCGCCTGTGCGTGGAAGTGGTTTCAAGCCCCGATATGCACGGCCTCTTTCAGGTAACAAGCACCGAATGTGGCCGGTAGTAGCGGCATCAATTGGTCACGCTGTCTTGACTTACTTACCAACCTATGCGATCCATTCAATATTGGTACAGGCGCGGATATATCCGCGCAACGGACCAAATTTACATATATTAGTGAATCTCAGCACGCTGTTCTCGAGAAAGGATTCAGCGCATATCAAGTGTCAGCCATGCACACTCACATGGTTTTCCGACGCGTAGATCGAGATTTCTCGGACGGGTAAACGGCACCTTGGATGCGTCGAGGATTCTCTTGGCCGTGAGCAGATACTCGCTTCACATCCTATGGGAATCAACAGTCTCTTGATCCATGAATGCCATATTTAGAACCGGAAGCATTTGTTTGAGGAACGTCGCAGAGTTTCACCATTCGCGGCCTCCATGCATGGCATCGAATCAGTACCCAGACTGTTTCTCGTTGTAATTATTGAAAATAAATGAACCCGCGGGCAACTGACTGACTTGATTGGAATATATAAATTGTGTGGCGGCTTTTAGAGCCCAGTACTAACAAGTTCATTGATAACCAGAGATGGGTGCTTTTTTCAGCTCGGTGTGAAGGACCAGAACCTCTTCCGGCTCGATGTAGCTGAAGGTCAGTGGATGGAAATAGTTTCATTGAGAGGCTTATGCTTTCTCCGAACCAGATAGCGCGAGAAGATATAGCCGTTGGTTGATATAAGCAATAATGGATAGCAAGCCTACTGATAGCGTTTTGCAAAAGTGTCAACTGCAGTCGACGGGAGCTTGCTGCTTGGTCCTCTGACATAAGCCATCTTGAAAGACACGCACTTAAGACTCATCGCAAAATATGCCGTGCAGACCCCGCAGTTCTGACGTTAGACACGATCAGATATGCACCACATCTCTGCAGACAGTTCTGCATGAGGTAAACATTTCCATGATTGGTCGCAAAATTGGGAGAAGTGATTGGCATATGCTACTTGACATCATGATGGCTATAGGAAGCCGCACGATACTGAACCAACACCTCTTCCACCACCACCTCCACCGCCAACAGCACACCTCCTCACAAAGGCAAGGCCCTACCTCAGTCACATCCTCCACCACTCCAACCCAGCACCCCTACCCGAACCCCGCCTCCCGCAATTCCCCTCACCAGAACCACACCTTCAAGCCCACTTCCCTTTAGGCCCACTTCTTCACAAACCTCAACTGCACCGCAACCAGCACGACAGGCACCACACTCACGACCTCACCCAGCCCTGCAAACTCAGGCGGAATCCTCGCTCCGTCAGGGAAAGCGCCAGCAGCCAGCAGGATCGCAAAGACGTTATAGACGAAGCTCCAGCCGAAATTCATGACGATGCGCCTGAACGTCGCACGCGAGATAGCCAGCAGCGTCAGCAAGCCACGCAGCGAGCCAGCCGTGAGCACGACGTCAGCAGCCGCGGCAGCGACGTCCGTTCCGCCCTCACGACCTCCGCCGCCGACGTGGACGCCGATCGAGGCCTGGGCGAGGGCAACGCTGTCGTTGGTGCCGTCGCCGACAAAGATGACGGTGGGGAGGGGTGTGTTGTCCGGGCCGATCAGGAGGAGGTCCTTGACGTATTTCTGCTTGTCCGCGGGGCTGGCGCGGGAGCGGACGTTCGCGGGCGGGATGCCGAGGTCGGCCGCGACGGCCTGGACGGCGGCGTCGTCGTCGCCGCTGACGATGGAGACGGCGATGTTGGAGGCGAGCAGGCGGTCGATGACTGGCTTGGCGTCCGGGCGGAGGGTGTCGTGGAGGCCGAAGGCGGCGTGGAGCGTGTCGTTGATGGCGAAGCAGAAGACGGTGAAGCCGGAAGAGAGGAGTGGTGATACGGCCGGGTGCGACTCTACGCCCAGCCAGCGCGAGTTCCCGGCGCGGATGTTGAGGGGAGTGTGGCCGTCGCTGGCGGTGGTTGTTGCTTCGATGCCTTTGCCGGGGTGAGATTGGATATCATTGACAGACGCCCCGTCAATACCCTTTGACTCCAGGTGTGAGGCGACAGCAATAGAGACGGGGTGCTTGCTCCCTCTGACAAGCCCAAGGAGGAGACTGAGTGTCGGGTCTGAAGACTGCTCCGGGTAAACCTCCTTCGTCACACTGAGCTTGCCCTGTGTCAATGTGCCTGTCTTATCCAGGACTACGTGAGAAGTCTTCTTCGCAATCTCCAGCGTCTCTGCGCTCTTGACCACGACGCCGTTCTCAGCTGCAATACCGCTGGCCATGACGACGACCATAGGCACAGCCAAGCCAATAGCACAAGGGCACGAGACGATCAGGGTTGCGATGGCGTATGTGATGGCCTGCACGGCAGCCTCGGAGCCTCCCATGCCCTGCTTCCCCACGCCTACTCCAACCCACACCACGAAAGTGATGATAGTGATGGCCACGACGACAGGGACAAACCACCCAGCCACCTTATCAGCAAGGTCTTGAATCTTTGGCTTGGACATTTTTGCCTCATCCACCATGGCGGCGATCTTCGCGACTGTGTTTGAGCCTGGCAGCCGGCTGACCCTGACCAACAGAGTGCCAGATCCGTTGATCGAGCCTCCAATAACAGGTGTGCCGACCTCCTTGGTGACAGGCCGAGATTCGCCGGTGATCATTGACTCGTCAACTTCCGAACTGCCAGAGATGACTGTGCCATCAGTAGGGATTCGGGTGTCCGGAACAACCTTGAAGATGTCGCCGAACTGGAGCAAACGGGCGTCGATCTCATCCTGGGTCTTACTGTCTTTCGATGACAAAAGGGCCGTGGCAGGCTGAAGGGATAAGACGGAAACACTCTCGACAGCCTTCTGACGAGCAAGGGCGCCGAGGAAGCGGCCAACCATGATGAGAGTGACGAGCAGAGTACTAGTCTCGAAAAACTCCCCGGTCGAGAGGGGCGACCCAACCACGAGGTATGCAAAAGCTATGATGGAGAAGACGTAGGCGGCGGTCGTGCTGAGTACGATGAGTAAGTCCATTTCGATAACGCGAGAGAAGATGAGGCTGCGAAGAGCACTGGAATAGAATGGACCGGCAATGAAGACCTGGATGATCGTGGCAAGGGCCAAAGAGGCGCTACCGTAGGCAATCTCATGTTCTGGAAGCGGAGCCCATGACATGATCAAAACTGGGATTGTAAGCAAAGCTGAAATCAAAGTCATGAGACCGACATTCCAGACGTGTTTGCGGCCTGAAGAGATAGCCGGAGGAGGCCGCAATGGGGCCAGCTGGAGAGGAGCGCTGAAAGAATGGTTGATCAGATCACGAGCCCCGATTACCTTGGGATCGTACTGCAGCGAGACAATCTCCTTGTCCACAACTGATGTGCTGACAACTCCGACTGGCATTTCCCGAGCAATAAAGGCCTTGGCGTCGCCGCCTGTAAGTACTTCGATAACTTCAAGTTCCTCATCGTCCTTGGCAACTTTGTCAAAATTGAAGCCTGTCTCTTTCTCGAGACGAGCCTGGACCTGGTCCGCCGAGAGTACCCTACTGTCAAGGTTAAACTCAGCCCGCGAGAGAAGAAGACTAGTTTGCGGCCGTGAAACGCCTGGAATAACGGCCAAAGAGCGCATCAACTTTGTTTCGCATCCAGTGCAGGTCATTCCGTGTACGGTAAGAATGACATGCTCGTTCTCTGCGTCTCCTCGCTCGACATCGATATGGTCAATGTTGACATTGACGACAGAGCCGGGCTTCTTGCCACAGCAAGGATCCTGGCACGAGGCGACGCTTTTGATGCTAGGAGGCTTCTTGGTGCAACAGTCGTCCTGGCACGAGGCAACTCTCTTGACGCTGGGAGGCTTGATGGCACAACAGTCATCCTGGCACCCTGAGGAAACGCCCTTAATGCTGAGAGGCTTTGCAGCACAGCAAGAATCCTCACAGGCATTGTCCTTCCTGCGGGGGCTGCGGCTCGCCTTGCGCGGCTTTGAGGTCCCAGAACGGCACCCGGATGATTCTCTTTTCTGGCTGGAAGAAGAAGTCGATGGACGTCCAGCGCGCCTCCGCCTCAGAGTGGCTGTCTGGTTGCAGCAAGACTCGAGGTTACGGGCAAGCAGAGCGCGGCAGATGCAGCCGAGAGCCTCCAAAGAAGCGAGGTACTGACGGCGCGTCTTCTTCTTGTGGTAGTCACAAGCGGAGCTTCCAGCCTGCGAACATTTCTCGTCGTCGCATTCACGGAGTGCAAGCTCGTCCAAGCAGCCATCTGGAAGTATTAGCACGTGATTTGTTGAAATTATGGAGGAGGTCAGGTTGCCATACCATCGCAGCATTGCACCTTCTTGCCTTTACTGCCGGGCGCCGTGCCTTCGCAGCAAGCACTGCGCGAACAGGTCGTCTCAACCTTGGCGGGTTCATTGGCAACGGGAGGTGGCACAGCGTCAGCAGCGTTGGAGCAGCAACCACGCTGACAACCATCTTCAGTGGTAGGTGGACCGGGAGGCGGGGAGGGTGCACAACACGCGTCCGCGCAGTCATCTTCGAGCTGAGTAGTGGCCTCCTCGCCAGAGCAGCATGCATCAGCACAGCCGCCGCCGAGAACCTTGGGCTCCTGGCGCGCAGGAGCTTCGATGGGGGTAGCGGACGAGCAGCATCCATCCGCGCAGCCGTATTTCTTTTCGGTCTCGAGGCGCTCCGCATCCTTTCCCGAGCAGCAGCCGTCAGCGCAGCTGTCCTTGTCGCTGGACTGGTCGGGCAGAACTTCGGCAGGCGAAGGTGCGACTGCAACGGTAGTACTGGAGCAACAACCCCCAGCGCAAGTCTGTTCAGATTGGACAGGCGGTGCCTGACAGTCCGGAGGTGGCTCGTTGGACGAGCAGCAGGGACTCATTTTCACAAAGCTTGTCTTCGATGATTGAGAAAGAGAAGTGTTGTGGAGAAAGAATGAGGTTGAGCGCGGGAGATAAGGACGCAAGCAATCGCAGCCGAGACCGGGCAGGCGGGGTCGTGTCGACCATGCGTCTCAGCCCGCGTTTCGGAGACTGACCCGTTACCTAACTCGTGCGCCATCACGGCGATCTTTCTACTTTGACGGGCCTGGCTACGTGCTTGCGGAGACGAAACTTTGTTAAAAGTCGCCAGATGGCAAGATTGCCTCACCGTCTTTTGTATACCGACGCGCCGGGTCCCTTCCCTGCGGACAGCGTCAACACTATGCACTGCAACATCAGAGAGTTGATTGTAACTTATTATTCATTGCGTCGCTCGAACAAATATCCAACTTCCACTGAACATTATGTGTTCGCTAAATTACAGGCAAGCGAAAAGAAAGAAATTGAACAGCTTCAACCCTGTCTTAAAGAAGTCAAATATATGTATGCATCTTGCACAAGCGTACACATCGCCAAAAACCTCTCTACAACATCACCATACCAGCGCCGGTCAACAAAGCAGCAGCGAAGTAGACGCCCGCGCCCATTGCAACGCCGAACATAGCCGGAGCCTGCGCACCGCCAGGCGCAGCGCCCTGGCTGGACGACGCAGCAGCGCCGCCGGTAGGGTTGCTGGTGACGGTAGCGGTGCCCGCAGTGCCGGCCTGAGCCATGAGCGAGCTGCACTGGCCGGTGGGCTCGACGCTGCTCTTGAGCGTGGCCGATCCAGAGAAGGCGCAGGCCGACTCGGACTGGTCCTGCAGCTGGTAGTAGCGGTCGAGCACGAAGGCGAGCTTCTCAGTGCTGTTGCACATGCTGTACGCGCCGTACTCGCCAGTGGTTGCGTTGGCAGCAATGCCCGCGCACGCCTCCTCCGACGAGCCGCAAACGGTGCCGAAGAGCTCGCCATACGACTTGACCTCAACGTCCTCAGCGACGACGCAGGAGAGGGAGTTGTACATGCACCTGTGTGAGAAAGTTAGTCATGTGTTCACAGCAGTCATTCATCAAGACTCTTACCTGCACAGCTCAGTGTTGGGGGTAGGAGGCAGAGGGCTGGCAGTGGCCTCCCAAGCGGTGTTGATAGCCGGGCAGTCGCGGGCACGGGTGTTGGTGGGCGTGTAATCATCGCGGTTAACGCCAGTAGGGGTGGCCTTGGCGATCTGGCTCTTGTAGTTGCTGAAGTCGGGCAGCTTCGACACCTTGTCGCCGTCGATGGACACAAGGCCGTAGTCGTTGGCCTCCTGGTGGAACATGTACACGATACCACCAGACCACACGTCGTTCATGTCGTCACCGTACAGCACGGGCGTGTCGCCGAACTTGCGGGGCTGAACCTCGTTGCATCCGTACTCAGCGAAGAAGACCGGAACAGGGTAGTCGGCAAACTTCTCGGTCTGCTTGTCGTAACCTGACCTGGAGAAGGACGAATCGCCGCACCAGGAGTAGATGTTGTAGCCCCAGAAGTCAACCGAATCCTCGTTGTCGCCGCAGTTGAAGAAATCCTCCATAGGCTCGCGAATATCAGCGTCGTCATTAGTCGCGTAGCCGACGCCAATCGCACGGTATCCCTTCTCCTTGATGTAGGCCTTGCTGTCACGCACGGCGGCCTTCACAAAGGCAGAGGCATCCGTGTTGTTGGCCCTGTGCGAAACCTCGTTTCCGGCAAAGAAGCCAATGGTGTTGTTGTAGGGAGCGAGGGCGTCAATGACCGAGGTGTATCGGTCATAGAGGTCATCATCCCAGGTAGGATCGTCCGACTTGATCGACCGGCCGGGTGAAGACAGGTCGGCAACCACGTAGATGCCGGCATCCTGGAAGGCGGTCATGCACTCATCGTGGTCGAGCTCAGGGTTGATGGCATAGATGCGGACCGTGTTGGTCCTCAGTTCGACAAGGTACTCGAGATCGCGCTTGCACGTATCCGGGTCTGCCAACGGATCGATGTACCTGTCATTAGGTGTGTCACTGGCGGATGCCGCGTCGGCGTTGTATTCGGGCTGGTAAGCAATGCCGCGCATGAAGAACTGCGTGCCATTGTTCGAATAGAAGAATTTGGAGCCCTGGACCGCGTTAGAGTGGTTTCTTGAACACACTGAGGCAGGGCTTTGCACACCTTGATCTCGATGGGGGGCACATCGGCAAGGGCGGAGCTGGCGAAGAGGGCGCCGGCAAGAGCGGCAACGCTGACGGACTTCATTTTGCCGATGCGAAAGAAGGGGAGAGGAGCGAAAGGAAACGGCAATGGTAGAGCGAGCAGACGAGAAGAATCAGTGTTTAAACGAGAGACTGAAGGTAAAACGGTGCAGGAGGCGGGCTCAGGAGGTTGGAGACAGGGCGCAGATGCGAGCAGATGTTAAATAGGATTGGTGAGGCCAAGATGCAGGCGCAGGACTGCCCAGAAGTCCAATTCCCAGGTCTGCGCAATCGTAGGAATGCCGCGCCTGCAAGAAGAGTCCCCGCTGGGGCGGCGTCCTTGGCGACATGCTGGGCGACGCTCCTGTCGCGACGCAGCCAATAGTGCGCATCGTATTCAGTGTGCGGTCGCACCGGGTGTTGCGCGACGCGTACGACGGTCCATTTGCAAATTATGCCGCCCGTTGACAGTTATTCCGACCATGTTGGAGAGGTTGAGAAGAAGTGCGGGATAGGAAGCAGAGCAGGACCGATAAAAATAACGGTGGAGACGCGGCCGCTGATTGGTCGGAACAGACGTCAGACAAGCAGTTGCCGTTTAGACTTCCTTAGCGCCCAGGCTCCGCCTCTCCTGCCGCGCCCGACAAGACGCGCTGGCTGCCACTCGAAACGCGCTCGAGAGATTGCTTCCGGGCACAGATCGCTCGTCCGCCTCCATGCCCGCTCCCCAAGAGTTCGGCTGAGCCTCATTTGCCGCGTGCGCCATTTCCGCCGCGGGCTTGCCCAGAATAACAGGGCTTCCCGCCTCAGTCCGACCCATTTCAGATATCGACTGCCGCATCTTCCATCCCAGCCATTCGCTGGCCCTCAGAATTCCGCTCATCGACACACCCGTCTACACGTCAGCTCCGCGGCTCCCCGCCGAAAACACAGGTGGTTGGCGTAGCGATGATCCTGCCGAGTCCCGCACGCTCGTCTTGGCCTTACCAGCCGGCACTTGGGGCCACTCGTATCGTCAACGTGCCACCACTCCTTACCCGTCGGTTCCCCCGGCCCCACCATACTTAGGTTTAGGACGACTTCTGGTAGTTATTCTCACCAAATGCGATCATCTCCGATCAGCTATGGGATCATCGCATGCGGTCCGGCTCGTCCCTATCCTCGCAGCTTTGGGGCTCTGACGAAGCCTGCGAAACATGCACTACCCTTGACGGTGCATTTCTTCATCGTATATGCAGCTTCATGTCGGCTGCGATGTTGAACCGTTGATGGATTCACGTGTGGCGCGAATGTCCCACTTAGCCTATCATGGCTAGGGCTGATTTCCTGATCGACACCGGGGCTTTTCTCCATGCTGCTGACCAAGCAAAAACGGCGGTCGACAGACGTCAAAAAACGTTTCTACGTGGCTGAACTGGGACTTTATGGATTGATCACTGTTCGAAATTGCCAAGAAAAATGCCATCCAGCTCTTCCGAACGTATCATCGCAAGGGCTTCTCGAGCATGCAAGATTTGCCATGCCAGAAAAGTCAAATGTAGCGGAAGCCAACCGTGCGAATCTTGCGCCCGCGCACAGCAAACCTGCGAGTATGCTGCCATCGAGCCCATGCGGAGGAAGCGAAAGATATCAGTACTCGCAGAGCCTCCGCGCATTGCCCCCGCTTCACTGCTCCCAACTCCAGCGGCATCCGAATCCCCTGCGGCAACACCACATGACCCGTTTCTTGATCCAGCCGAGCATAAACGCCAGCAAGACATCCGGACCGGCATTGGAGTCCATGAGCCGGAATCTGGATCTTTCCAGTTCTACGGCCCTGCGTCCCACTTCTGCTTCCTCGACCGGATTTACCAGCATATCGACCGCACTGGCCACGTTGGCATGCCGAAGGGAGTCCGCAAATGGAGGCTGCACCACTTTATGTTTGACTTTCGGAATCCTCACGGTCCATTAGGTAATTTACTATCTGAGGTTCACGTTCGAAAGGAGATAGGCGACCGATTCATTACCGAGTATTTCAGAACCATCCATCCCACCGCACCCGTTCTTCTCAGATCCGAAATCGAAGACACTTGGTCCAAGTTCTGGAGCGCACCGGGAATCGATAGGAAACCACTGAAAGGGAAAGAGCTGGTTCTTCTCGTGCTTGCACTTGGAGCGAGAGTGTCGTACGTCCAGGGCAAATCAGATGCGTGTCAACTTGAAGATTGGGCTGCCTATTTTGCCGAGAGGGCCGACACCTCGTCAACCTTCATGCTGGGCCCAACTCTCAAGGCAACACATTTCATGCTCCTCAAGGTGGATTTCCCGACCGCCTTCGCTTGCAAACAGATGTTAATTGGTAGTTACAGGCCCTATATGCATTTCAGCTCATGAAGCAGAATGATGCATATCTCTACCTCGGCTTCGCTGCACGAAGTGCGCTCGCCTTGGGTATGCATAAATGCGAGGTCGTCCAGGGGGACAGCTACAGCCAGCATAGACTTAGAACGACATTCTGGATCATCTACGGGCTTGAACGGATCACCTCCTTATTCACCGGTCGTCCTTCAAGCTTTCACGATGACCAGATTGATGCCAGTCGTCCCTCCAACATTATCGGCGACCCCGACAAAGCCGACCTTCTAAGTGCTTGCTCTGATTTTTCAGCTGCGCGAGCTTCGGCTGAGGTGGGTCGCATCGCTAACATAATCGCCAGCGGGATATACTCCCCTAAGAGCATCAAGCGCGCATCAGACTTAGTAGCCGTCCGTCAAGTTGCAAACGAATGCACTGCTGCACTCGAATCCCTGGCCCACTCTCTGCCGCCTTTCCTTCAATTCTACGATAGCAAACTACCTATTGGAGAAAATTGGCAGGAGATCCAGCGAGCCTTTTTAGGGATGTGGTATCACCTGATACACATCTTGATTCATCGACCGGCTCTAACTTATGCGACGTTTTTCGCTTCAAGGGCTGAGGCTCAAACGACCGCTGGAAGCTTATTCGACATAAATGCTTCGGTTGCTGCTTCCGTGATGTCAGCCAAAGCCATTATTCACATCGCCAATGAAGCATGCGGCAACAGGGCTCCCAACCTCAAATCCGATGGCAGCGTGGCTTTTTTCCTCCTGGTTTCTTCCATTACTCTCCTCTACGATGTCCTGGATCCTGGAACAACTCCGTCCTACGCGAAAGCCACGTTTGAAGTTGTGGAAAGCGCCATCCATACGTTGGGCACAATGCAGCATGTTGGACCCAACAATAGCAAAGAGCTTAGCCTTGACATCATGAAATTCGCCAAGGATGCATTATCCTCCTCTAGTGGTGAGGAGGTGAGTTTGGAGAGAGATCTTACCGGGTCCTTTCCATGGTTAAGGTAAGCTCATGACTTTCGACGATATAGCGCACTTCGGACTAATAATCTACGTATAGCAATGTTTTTGTGGAGCCTTTCACGGGATTTCCGTCCATGCTACCAGACTCTGTAGTGCCTCCTGTACAAACACCTGAGTATCCCACTACGATGATGCAGTCACCAAGTGATGGGGATGTTAGTGTGCCTGCGACAACATCCGGAAACACACAGTATATATCACAGTGGCCCCCAACTGGCTCGGGGATCCTGGATATACCGGACAGCCTAATGTAACCTGGCTCCTTGAGCCTGAAAGCACACATCGATGAGAGGACATTCGAGCAAAAGAACAACAACTGCAAAGATTCGTACACGAGGCAATGATTAATCATCTTCCGAGGGAACGGCCCTTGACTCATGTGGCGGTACAGAGTATCATCCGAACGTTATTGTGTAGTTGATTAGTAACTACATTTCTGTCTAGACAATTTGTTCTAGCTACACAAAAAAAAAGAGCTTGGGTGCTTGTCAAAATGACCTACTATGGTTTGCTATTTAGACAAGAGTTGAACTACTCTGTATTTCCATTAAGTGGCACCGAATTTGTTTCCATTCGGTCACCGCCAGTCGTATCCCTAAGACCACAGAATCCTCAACTATCAAAAAAGCGTCGGCCGCAAGCATTGATTTGATTGGCTAGCTCGGGCCGGGCCTACCCTTGACTATCAATGAGCTTAGGCTTCGGCGGTGATAAGCCAATCATAACGCGGCGTTCTACCTCTCGGACCGATCTACTTGAAAACCAGATGCGAATGCTCACTTCAAGATGGCTTTGGATTACCAATTGGCACGGGCCGAAACCGTGTGATGCTAGCTCATTGGTTGGTTCTCGCCCATTTGTGGAGATAGCACGTCAACCGAGAGAGGAATAGAAATTCCGCCCTTCCAGTTGAGACCCATTTCTCGGCCCGAGAGAACATTTCCATGGCTCTCTTCCAATATGCGGGACAAGCGGTTCTTCGACAACTCAATGGTGGCAACTTGCGTGCTCGAGACAGATGACAAATTGCTGGACATCCCTTTTCTAAACTCCGAGGCGTAGTTCTTTAATATGTATTCTCTTCATCTCTCTGGCAGGTTCATCAGACCAGAACCAGTGCCTTATCTGGCCTACGTCAGAGGCACAGGAGCCGTGCGTGGACACAAGGTCATTCAAACATGCCTTCTGAGAAGGTATGTATCCCCCGCCATCAATATTTCGATGGAATGCACATCTTTCGACCCTGTCTCAAAAAGCATTTCGCGGCTACACTACATGAACAGTTGCGTATATTGGCTGGACAGTTTCAAAACTTACATTTCGTCCGGCTCTACGCTTCAAATACCCACATATTCTATCTTCAGCCGTCTATTATCACTGCTCAAGCTATATAACTGACCGTCTACAGAGTGCCGAGCACGGCACCCAGCAGGCCACGCTGCCCATCTACCGTCGCAAGGGCCGCTCCCTCGGCATCGCCTTCGACCACGTCAGCGTCCACGGCTTAGACGCCAGCCGCAGCACCGTCCTCGACCTGCCCGAGCTCTTCTACCGCACCGCACAAGCGCCGATCGCCCTCCTCCGCGGTCTCGCCGGCAACCGCAGACGGCCGACGCGCCGCATTCTACATGAAGTCTCCGGCGTCGTCTTCCCGGGCGAGACGCTGCTCGTGCTGGGCCGGCCCGGGTCCGGCTGCTCCACGACGCTGCGGGTGCTGGGCAACAACCGCGAGCCCTTCGCGGACGTCGAGGGCGAAGTGCGATATGCGAGCATCGATGCGGATGTCGTGGCACAGCGGTACGGTGCTGAGGTCGTGTATTGCGGTGAGGATGACTTGCATTACCCCAACTTGGCTGTCGGCCACACGGCGCGGTTCGGGCTGCACCTTCGCGGGGGCAAACACCAGGAAAACAGCGGGGAGGAAGAAGAGCATGGGAAAACAGGCTTCGTGGAGAGCATGGCGGAAAAGCTGCTACATTCGCTGGGCATCGGACATACTGCCGGTACGATCGTGGGAGACTCTTTCGTGCGAGGCGTCTCCGGTGGAGAGAGGCGCAGGGTCTCCCTAGCTGAGGTCCTGGCGTCGAATCCGGCAGTGGCGTGCTGGGACAATCCCATCCGCGGACTGGACAGCTCGGCGGCGCTGAAGTTTCTGCGCATGCTGAAGGACCTGTCGAGGACGACTGGCATGGCGAATGTGGCGACGCTGTATCAAGCGTCGGAGAGCATGTATGCCGAGTGCTTTGATCGGGTCATGGTGCTCTACGAGGGGAGGATGATCTTCTCCGGCCGCGCCGAGGATGCGAAGCAGTACTTCGTGGACTTGGGTTTCTTCTGCCACAGCAGACAGACAATAGCTGAGTTCTTGACGGCGGTGACGTCTCCGGTTGAGCGCGTGGTGCGTGAGGATCATCAGGGACCAGTCCCACTTGACCCAGATTCCATGGCCAAAGCATTCAGAGAGTCGACGCACTACGAGAAGTTGAAGGCAGAAATGGCTGTGTACGACTCCAGTATTTCGTCGGATCCTTCCTACGTCAAGGCTTTCATCGAGGAACACGCACGCCTGAGAGCAAAAGGAGCCATTCCCGGAGCACGACAAGCAGCTACCATATGGCACCAAACACTACACGTTACCCGGCGGCACTTCCACCTCGTCTGGAACGACCGGCAATCCTACCTCATCGCCCTCTTCCTCGCCCTCGTCACGGCCGTCGTCAACGGCTCCGCCTTCTACATGTCGCCCAAGACCAGCACGGGCTCCTTCATGAAAGGCGGCGGCATCTTCTTCGTGCTCATCTACTTCTTCCTCGCCGCCATGCCGCACGTCACCTCGACCGTCTCCAGCCGGCACATCCTCGCCAAACAGCACCGCCTCGGCTTCCTGCACCCAGCCGCCTACGTGCTCGGCCAGACGCTCGGCGACATCCCCCTGGCCGTCACCGAAGTCCTCGTCTTCTCGCTGCCGTACTACTTCATGCTCGGCCTCACGCCCGGCGCGGGGGCCTTCTTCACCTTCTTCCTCATCGTCGCCGCCTTCTACTGCACCGTGCTGGCCCTGTTTCGCGCGCTCGGCGCGTGGGCCCCCAACGGCAGCACCGCCATGCTTGCCGCCGGCGCCGCCATTCCCGTCTGCCTGCTCTACTCGGGCTACGCCCCGCCGCCGCCGACGCAGCTGCGTTGGGGCGCCTGGCTGCGCCGCGTCTCGCCCAGCCCGTTCGCGCTCGAGGCGCTGCTGGCGAATGAGTTTGGCCGCATCGCGCTGGGGTGCACGGCGGAGCAGCTTGTGCCGAGCGGGCCCGGGTACGGGGGTGGTGGCGATGGTAGCCGCTACCAGGGGTGCCCGTTGCCCGGGATGCAGAAGGGCGAGACGACCGTAGGTGGGGAGGCGTATTTGCGGGCGTACTTTGCGTTCGAGAAGGACCACTTGTGGCGGAACTTTGGCATCGTCGTCGCTATGTGGGCCATCTATGTCGTTTTGGCTGCCGTCGGGCTCGCGGCTACGGTGAGGCTGGCTGGGAAGGAGGGCGGCGTTGAGTTCAAGCGCGGGGCGAAGACGTCGTCGAGTGATGGCGACGAGAAGCCGGTGCCGAGGGGCGACGATGGTGCGGAGTTTGATATGGAGAAGCACGCCGGTAAAGCTGGTGGTACTGCAACACCCCAGAAACTTCAGCAATCGGAGTCTCCGTCAATTTCGAGCCGTGGTTCGCCGCCGGACTCGGAGTGCGGGAAGGACGAGAGCAGCAGCGATGACGACGAGCAGCAGGGTGGAGACTCCAGCGGTGTGGCTTCCTCCGCAGCCACCTTTACGTTCAAGGATGTCACGTACACGATCAATGTGAACGGGAAAGAGAAGAGACTCCTCAACAGCGTGAGCGGCTTCGTCAAGCCAGGCCAACTCACCGCGCTGATGGGCGCGTCTGGAGCGGGGAAGACGACGCTGCTCGATACCTTGGCGCAGCGCAAGACAGAAGGCACGGTCGAGGGTGAGGTCTTGCTGAACGGTAGGCCCCTGACCGGTGCCTTCGGTCGCTCGTGTGGCTTCTGCATGCAGCAGGACGTCCACGAGCCGCACACAACGGTCAGAGAAGCGCTGCAGTTCTCCGCCATCATGAGGCAGCCCGCGGAGGTGCCCGAGTCAGAGAAGCTGGCGTATGTGGAGAACATCATTGAGCTGCTTGAGCTCTCCCCGATTGCTGATGCCATCATCGGGAAGCCTGGCGAAGCGGGCCTGGGGGTGGAAGAGCGCAAGCGCGTTACGATTGGAGTTGAGTTGGCGGCAAGGCCGTCTGCGCTTCTTTTCCTTGATGAGGTGAGTAGAAAGTGTTTCTTCCCATGCTGACGTTGTACTGATTCTCTTTGCAGCCGACCTCTGGTCTGGATTCTCAGGCTGCCTTCTCGATCGTTCGGTTCCTGCAGAAGATCGCAGCGCAGGGTATCCCTGTGCTTTGCACGATTCATCAGCCTTCGGGGATCCTTTTCGACATGTTTGACCACGTCCTACTCCTCGCACCGGGTGGCAAGACTCTGTATTTTGGAGAGACTGGCCGCGATTGCCGGACGGTAGTTAACTACTTTGCTCGATACGGTGCCGTCATGGGCGACAACGAGAATCCTGCCGAATTCATCCTGAACACAGCGACGTCCAACCAAGACCCGGAAAAGGATTGGGCCCGAACTTGGTCTGAGTCTCCAGAGGCTCAATCGCTCCAGGCTAAGATCGCCGAGCTGAAGAGCACTTCATGGAAGGCGGAAGACGACGACGCCAACAGCAACGCCGCCTTGCACCGCGCCTTCGCCCTACCGCTCAAGGACCAGATCATCAAACTCACCAAGCGCCACTGGGTATGCGTATGGCGCGACGGTCTGTACAACTTCAGCAAGCTCTTCAAGTGCCTCTTCGTCGAACTCTTCATCGCCTTCAGCTTCTTCCACTCGCCCTCCTCACTGCAAGGCACGCAAAACCGCGTCATCTTCTTCCTCATCTTCTCGTGGCTCGTGCCGGCCATCATGCCCGACATCCAAGCCTCGTGGTTCGACGCGCTGACGCTGTACCGCGCGCGCGAGAAGAACGGCATCTACAGCCAGCCGGCGCTGATCGCGTCGCTGGTGCTCGTCGAGCTGCCGTGGCAGAGCTTCAGCCTGTCGCTCGTCTTCCTGTGCGTCTACTGGACCCTCGGCTACCCGGCGACGGCGGCGCAGACGGGCTACGAGTTTTTGTTCTTCGTGCTGTACGGCGTCTTCGGCACCGGCTTCGCCCAGTGCATCGCCGCCCTATTCCCTTCCGAGCGCCTCGCCGGATACGCGAACTCGCTGTCTTGGGTCGTGCTGACGGCTTTCACTGGCGCGGCCATCCCGCACGCCCTTTTTAATGAGTTTTATCGGCCCTGGATGTTTTGGGCAGATCCGTTGAGGTATCTTATCGGTGGTAGTGCGGCGAACGTGCTGCATGGTACTGAGGTGAGGTGCGTTGAGGGCGATTTGACGAGGTTTGATCCCCCGCCGGGGCAGACCTGCGGGGCGTATATGGAGCCGTATTTGCGGCGGAGTCCGGGGTATCTGGCGAATCCAGAGGCGAGGGCGGATTGTGCGTACTGCGGGTATGCGACAGGAGACGAGTATGCGGTGTCGTTGGATTTCTACTGGGATAAGAGGTGGAGAGATCTGGGCATATTTGTGGTGTTCTGTGTGAGTAATATTGTAATCGTGTTTGCTGTGCCGTGGTTGAGGGAGAAGGGGTTGCGGGGTTTGTGGAGGCGCAAGTAGGTGGATTTCGGGAGTGAACAAAGATCCCGACACAAGTTTAAAATCAAAATTGCGCAAGTGCGTCCGGACAGTAGATTTATCGACTTAATGAAAGCTGAATGATATATGCTTATGGCCATTTCGGAAAGATCCAAAGTTTTCCCACCACCCGCTGTGCTGATTTTGCTCAAAGTATCAATCTCAAAAGCAGGCTATATAGACTAGAATTTTGAAACACTTCACAGCCTTATAGCCGAAAGGTGACCAAAGGAGTCAAGAGCCTCTTCAGTAATCACATCTGTGGCCCAAAGCTCCGCATCCTCTGGGGTAGGAAGCCATCCATTTTTCCACAACCACAAAGCCGCCCATTTCCTTATGCTGAGTGACTCCCAGGAGATTATTGGATCCCCTCCAGAATAGTGATCGTCTCTCATACAACTGTTCTCGTGTATAGCGTTCCTGCAAACAAGGCCGTCTTCATGTCTATTGAAAGAATGATGCGTTGGCGCCTCTGTAGCTATGATACGGTAATAAAGGTTGAACGGTGGACGATAGTATACCGGCCCAACGTCGCCCCCACAAAGATCACAAGTCCCTTGTAGCCTCTCATCCAAAAGAATTTCCAAAGCCACGGTCTTTGGGCCGGCGATGTCACCTATCAACTCTTGAATATCTTCAGAGCTGGGGGTCCGACACCCAAATAGCTCATCTTCTTTCCGCAATAGATCTTCGATGTCAACGCCTGATCTGTCCAAGGCTTGGCACCAAAGTACCCAAGCCGCGGGCATGAGGGCCACTTCAGTCGGGGAATAATCATCTCCTGCTCCTTGGACCGGTGCACCTTGGGAAATCAGCTCCTGAAGAAGGAGTAAGACATCTTCTTGTTCCTTTCCGTTTGCAATGTAAGCGCGACAACTTGAAAGCCGGTAACAGAGATGATAAAGGATGCTTCGCCCATCATGTTCAACTGCTCGAATATCCGCATTTGCTTGTAGGAGCTTCTTTACCAGCCGTACCATGTTGGAAGAATGTGTTTTCGTAGCTTCCATGAGAAGTGTTGTCCCATTGTATTGACACTCATTGATGTCCAGGACCTGCGCGATTAAAGCCTGGAGCTGATCTTCGTTTATCGTTTGACAAGCCAAGAGATTGCTACAAGCGTAAAACATAGGTGATACTGGATAGGAGGCAATGACTCCACCAGAAATGTTGTGAAGTGTTATCACAACGTCACACTCGAAACAACCATGTGTTTCAAAAAGTCGGATGAACTCTGCGTATGGGACTTGGCAATCTTCCGGAATCCAGTATTGCAGAAAGTATTCCAATGCTGTCGTTCCATATCTAATCGATAGTCAATATCAACTGCTATCGCCGAAGGGTGAGTCTCTTACCTGGTGCAGTCAAGTGCATCTGCCCCGAGGCGTAACAAAAGACGGCATATATCAAACTGGTTGTTGAAGATCGCGTACTAGTATACTGTTAGCTATGTAATCTCACCAGGAGGATCACTGATTCCTGACCACGAGCAATGAGTCGCCATCCATATCTCTATCCGTAGCAGAGCACTCGCCACGTTCTAGAATTCCTCGTACTTCTCCGATGTCTCCATCACATATTCTGTTGATTATGTCGCATTCCGGTGGAACAATGCCGAATGTGCGAACTGCCGATGGAATTTTCAGATGATTTCCGGAGTAGTTGAAGCAAGATGCAGATATTCCGGGAAGTAACCGAGACGAATTTGGTGCAAACAGGATGCGAAATCCTTTAAGATTGCACGATAAACCTCCGCCATCGATATGACAACCTTCAGTGATCCAGATAGATAGATTGCCCTCTGGAAGATGGACGACCATTTCCATCTCTTCGTTTCGAGTCATGAAAATCGTCTGTACCGAACGTCTGGTTCGACCACGTTGCGTCATAACGGAGGATGACTGTGACCTTACAAAGTGCAAGGCCTGAACTGCAAGCTGCTGCGTGGTTCTTTGAGTTCCATAAGGAACAAGAACCTGCCCGCCTTGGATCTCCGAGTCAGCCAACACGCGTACGCCACAGATAATTTTTCCCACTTCTTTCTTCACCCAGTTTGAATCGCCCCTGGAAGTTCCTGGTAGAGTGGTTTTCACTAGCACAAAAGGTAGGAGCCGCCAAACTACAGCCAATGTCGCAGCTGCATCGTTTGCAGAGCCGTTGTGCAGGAGGATTGGAGTGCGATTATTGACATGATTGGTCTTGATCGAGTCGAGGAGATCGGCACGCAATTGTGTTTGTCCATTAAGAATATCGACGCGAAATTGTTGTTGCTCCCTGAATAATTGCCGAGAGGCAGCTATGTTGCACTGGAGAGCCCCCAGAGTATCATATCGGAGCTGTGTCTGGTTGTGGAGGACTAGTCGTGTGTTCTCATTGACGGTGGCGAGTGCTCCGATTTGAGCAAGATCATTGCTCCTGAAAGCCGAATTAGCGCGTGAGTTTTTGGGATGTATGTAGGGCATATACCTTCCCAAGATACTTAAAGTGGTGTGAGTGAGCAAAACCCTTTGTTCAAGTCGAGAGCAGATCTTGATGATAGACCGTTCTTCGTTGCGGACACGGAGTGCTTTGAGAAGGCGACGAGCGAGCGAGTCGGTATTGAAGATAGGTTCATCTATCTTGACACGAAGAAAGCGCAAGTCTTCATTGATACTCTTGACGGCGAGACGTATCGACGATAGGTTCCGAGGGTTAATGTGGGCCATAGAAGACTTGCGATAGGTGTTCTCTAAATGCTGCAAATCCTCGAGCAGGCGCTGGACCTCACATACCACCTCATGAGTGTGGCGAAGTGTTTCCGAGGCATCTTTCAGGGAAGCGATAAGGTTGGAAATTTCGCGGGCTGATTTGATGGTGACATCAACAAGGCCAATGGCCGCTGCGGCCGCTGAGAACGGCTCTGCCATTATTGTGCATTACCGAAGGAAAAAGAGAAAAAATCCGATCGAGTATCTGGCGAGCGTGAGCAGAAGGATGGGCCACTGGCGAGGCTGGAAGCGCATGTGAAGTATGGGCCCCTCCGATTATGAGTGTTTCAAGACATTACTATCGGGTGGGAGGCTGTGCACTGTGCCAGGCTCGCACGCCTTGGATTGTGGCAGCTTCGGATCGGCCGGCTGGCAAGCTCTGGAACAACAACGCATTTCCATGCTTCTACCTAATGCACCTCGCCCAATCTAGTTCCGACAGCTGATGGAATTGAGTGCTGGGTACTCTGTCTGGCTGCACAATATAAGATTCATTCGCTCCAGCACCGCTCAGCCTTGCCCAAAACCCCGCAATCATGCACGACACAGCCCCATGTCGTCATCTGTACCCCTTGCAGCTGAATATTTGCATGGTTTTACAACAGGGGAATTGTGCTATGAAAATTATGGGATAGGCTAAACCTGGTAGCGTCCTGCTGTTTGAGGGGTCAACGGGTATCTAATACTCAGAAAACTTAACTCATGCTTGCTACCGGCTACGAGAAGGAATTGTGTTTCTACTATATCAGAGATACAGAATTGAAGTTTTGACCATATGAACGACGCTGTGGCTCATGGAGTGCAAGGGAGGAAGGAGTAAGCGGGTCAGCTCGGCCAAGTGGCTGTTTCAGCCGCGTAGGGTATCTTGTTCGTCCGATCCGACTTTTTTTTCTCTCGGATTTCCATCTTTAATTCATATCATCTATTCTATTTCTTTCTATCAGCTCCTGTTTTCGTGTGTCTCTCTCACAACATTAATGGTGCGAACAGAAACCAGATGCTTGTCGTCGGGTTCTTGCGGCGTGCGGAGGTTTCGATTGGCTGAGGGTTTGACTGGGCCACACAGCCGGCGACCCGCTTTCTCAGCCTTTTCATTGTGGATATGAACGCATTTCAACGTGGTTAACTGAATGCAATTGCTCAATACTATTTTTGTACCTTTGGAAATCAACATTTATAGCTTGTAAGAGGTGTCTATCGTGGAGACCGTAGCAGGAATACTCACTTGCCAGGTATGAGCAAGTTTGCGTCATGACCTTTTATCTCTACACGTTCACCTGTCGTACTTTTAACCATCAGACTAGTACAGGTCACGCTCTCTCCCGAACTTTCTACCTTAAATCATACTATGACGATAATTTCATAAGATTCTATCATTCGACCAGCGTTGACCGAAAGACATGGCACTTTGCGAAAGTATAGGATCTGAGGAGACAGATGTATAGTGATAAATGTTTGAGATCTGCACACTGCTCCATTCGTTGATTTCCTTTTCAATCATCTGACTGCGTCAGTTCGTGGACTTTTTGTTCTCTCCCCTTGCAGAAACAATTTCGATCTCTCTGATCTCATGTATGGATCATGCATCATACATCACTCATTTACTATTCCAAGATGGTTCCCCGACGCTACGCGCAATAGCAATTATGTGTTGCAGCGATGCAGTTCCTGGAGGAAGAGCGGTAATAAGCGCAGAAATACTAGATCTGCCAATGAGAGGCGTCCACACGGACAGTCTAACCGAGATGGGGTTCCGGAAGAACACTTGGTCAAGATTTCAGGCCAATGAAGGTTGGGGGCCAGAATCCTTCGCGGCTCGATCGGGTAAATCAGCTTACGCCCCTTTCCACAAAATGTGGAGCCGCATCAGTTGGGCTTCCAAATATAACTTGACACAAGTATTCGACAGCGGCGCTCGGCCTCTAAAGGAAAACACCAAACGTCATTGCCCGGAGCCGCGTCCGTGTACAAGGCGGTACAAAAATACCGCCCATCTCCCAAACGCTCCGGCGCAGCACTGCATGCCGACCGGCTGATCCAACAATTCCCTCGTCCGGCTTTCGCATTTTCCACCATGGGAGCACAAAACCTTCAAGCATGGCTCACCGGCCTTTTCGCCATCCTTTCCGCCGTCGCCTTGGTTGACGCCTCGCCCACACTCCACCGCCGCGCCGGCCTCACGCCCAGCCTGACGGGCGCGCTCAATGCCATGTCGACGGGCTCCAGCACCTACCCACGCGCCAACACGCTGTCCAATGGCAACATCCTGGGCACCTACACGGCCTTCGCCGACGGCGACTCGATCATCACGCTGGCAGAGAGCAGCAACTCCGGCGAGACCTGGACTACACTCGGCACGGCGGACCGCGGGCCCACGAACACGACGGACATCGACAACCCATTCGCGATCGAGCTGCCGTCGGGGCGGCTCCTCGTCGCGTTCCGTAACCACGACCAGGAGCTGGACGAGACGTACACGTACTACCGCATCACCGTGTGCTACTCGGACGACGGCGGCGCCTCGTGGGCGTACCTGAGCACGCCGGCGCAGGAGCCGGGCCCGACGACGGGCGTGTGGGAGCCGTTCATGCGGCTGGCGGCCGACGGCCAGACGCTGCAGCTGTACTACTCGCGGCTGAACAACGACAACGACCAGGACAGCATCCTGCGCACGAGCGCCGACGGCGGCGCGACCTGGTCCGACCCCACTTCCTTCACCGGCACCGAGCTGAGCGACTCGCGCGACGGCATGCTGGGCGTCGCCGAGACGGACGCGGACGGCGGGCTGATCGCCGTGTTCGAGACGGAGACGGGCGGCGGCAGGTTCCACATCGAGGCCGTGAGCTCGCCCGACGACGGCGAGACGTGGACCGATCGCCGCATCGTGTACCAGTCCGAGGGCTTCAACGCGCAGGCGCCGCAGGTCATTAATGTCGGCGGCACGCTCGTGGTGAGCTTCCAGACGGATGAGGACGGCGATTATGTCGTCAAGGTGGTCACGAGCGCGAATGGCCAGGATTGGGCGGATAAGACGACCGTCATGGATGCGACGAGTCAGTGGGCCGGCTTGTACACGTTGGATGATAGCAGCTTCTTGGCCCTGGCGGGCCATAATGGCGTGGCGAGTGCCCAGAAGGTTGTGCTGGTCTAGAAGTAATCAGCCATGATGCATATAATGACCGTATATACCACTCCTTGACGGATATACATAATGAATGAAACAGAAATGACGGAAATTACTATCGTATGTGAGGATGGAAAACATATTACCATTACGCGCCTGATATTCGAGTGTGAGGTGTCCATGTATAGTTTTTGAAGGTAGATATTGCTGAAGAGCTCGATGCATCACATACCCCTCTGTGTGAGCATTGGAAGTACGCTAGGTAGCCAAAGGGAATAGAGAAATTTAGTGTTCCGTGAACCTAAAAGTTACCCCAACCGGTAACGGAAACTTTCCGATCCGACGTAGGACTTCATCCCAACCTCCTCGATCACCTTCATGACTTTCTAGAGTGTGGGTAGTTCGCATGATAATAACAAAGATGGCTGACCAAGAGATCATTTGATTAGCTACGCATGCCCCTCAGATCAAGAGGTTCGAAAGCGCGGTAGCCAATGCTTCAGGTTCGGTGACGTATGGAATATGTCCTCCCGGCGCGACAAACAGCGTCTCTTCGCTTCTCCCCAGCCGTTCCATCAAAGCCAGCGTGGCTTCTCCGGCCCGCTGATCCTTCGTACTCTCGCCCACCGAGAGCACGAGCTTATCTCCCGCCTTCTTCAGCGCCTCCAGATCCCACTTCTGGAAGACGTACGGCGGCTCCCTTTCAAGCCAATACATCACATCGGCCCTCGCGTCCGCGCTCGCCGCCGGATCCAGCAGCACCGGCAGCGCCTCGCGATCCTTCCCGTCCGCAAAAAACGACGCGAACGTCTCGACGGCGTACGGCGCGCCCTTGTCGCGATACAGGCCCGTCAGCGCGCGGTGCTCCGGCTCCCGCTGCGCCAGGACCTCTGGCGGCAGCACCGTGATGGCCGGCGGCTCGTGCGCGACGCATTTCCTGATGGGGTAGTCCGGGTGGCGTTCGAGGAAGCGGAGCGAGACGATGGCGCCGCTGCTCGTGCCGAATATGCAGGCACCCGCCGCTGCCGCCGTTGTGTCACCATCGCCCGGGACGACGACGGCTTTCAGCAGGGTGGCCAGGTCGTCCGCGTCCGTGTCGAGGCGGTGCGCGTAGTCCTGCGCGCCGCGCAGCAGGCTGCCCGACAGCCCGCGCCGCGAGTACGTCGTCACCGTCATGCTGCGCGATAGGAATGGCACCAGGAAGCGGAAGACGCTCTGGCTGCCCGGCGCGCCGGGGACGAGGATGATGTGCAGCGGGCCGGAGCCCGTCGTCGTGTATTCGAGCGTCGCGCCGGGTACGTCGAGCGTCGGCATCGTGGACGGGAGGGAAATTGGATTGGTTTGAGGAGAATATTCTGTACAGCAGATGCCTTCGTAGAGGCGGGGTAGGCAAGTGGGGTCTTATGTTATTGCACAATAAGATCTCATTCGATTGCTTATGTAACAATTCAATTCATTCTGACATTCCCTCTGCCTCAACACCTAGTAGAACTGTGCCTACGAAACCCAATGTAACGAATAACCTGAACACCAACGTATGCTGTGTGGCGTATGGTGGATACTCTGATGGTGGACCACCTGCCCCTCTCCGCGTGTTGCTTCCCTCTGCGCCCCGCGACTCCTTTCCCCTTACGCCTTGATCCTTTAAACAGAAGTTGTGTTTGCAGAGCTTGCTTGCCGGCGTGAACCTTCAGCCTTGTGCAAGCTCTCTCCCCAACGCCCCCGTCGCCAAAAAAAAAAAAAAAAAAAAACGCCGTCAAGTCATGCGAGTCGAGATTGGGAAGAAAATCCAGTATGAAGGCAGGTTCAGGCCGGAATTATTCAAGGCCGTCGGAGGTCTCGATCTTGGTCGTGGTTTGGCTTAAACGTGGTCCCAAAATCTCACTGTTCTCAGGCGGCGTCCGGGGTTGGCGGATTGCTCTGGTCGTACTTCGTTGGCCGGCTGAGCTGGGCTGGTTTTGCCCGCTCCTCGTCCGTCGCTGATTGCCGCCTGTATGCCGTGTGTGATCTTCTCTGCGAGAGGAAAAAAGAAGTAGAAGGCCAAGGCCAAGAAGCCTGTGAGACTGAAGAGGACGAAATCCATTCTGATGAGGGAGGAGAGGTATGCGGTGGCGTTGACTGAGCAGGACAAGATGTCAGATAGTATTTGAGTTACTGAATTCATGATTGATGTGAGGCCGCTTCCCGTCGCGTCTTTTATAATTGCGCATCGTCGAGTATTCATAGCATGCGAATAAAAGTTAGCATCATTGTAAGGCTGTGCAAGATGCGGCTGAGCCCAAGGCATCTCTTGCCCTACCACACCGACTTGGGGGCGGCCTCAAAATTGAGAGTGCTTAGACATGCTCAGTCCTCGTGATTTTGTTCAGGGCTACGTTCGCGCTCTATGGGGTAAAATGATCTCGTGTTGCAACCCGTCGATCATCGGCCTGGCCCCCACAAACTGCGGATGCAACGCAAGCGCTGGCCTGCTCTGCTACCTACAATAGATACATTCGGCTTTGCAATGACTGCCTCTGCGTACATTCTGAAAAGAATGAAATTCCGAAGACGTGATGAGAGAAAGGCGAAGTCTGTACTGCACACCCTGCACATATTTTTCTGGTCTCAAAACTAGAGCGCATTTGCGGCACAGCAGCAAAGACCAACAGGCAACAGCCCACCACAACCCTATAAATAGTTCGTTTCTTGCAAGTGGGCCAATAACCAATTCCACCATAAGCCGGCGACACATTATTCCCGACCCCAGCGGCGCTTCTGCCTTACAGTCATCACCGGCTTCGAGTCAACTTCGCTGTAGTTTCTATTCTATCCACCAACGCTCCAGTTGCCGAGTTCCTTTGACACCTTCTACCTGACTCGAACTTTCAGCTATCGCGTCATCGGCTCCACGTGGGTTTTGCATGCACCCTCCGTTCAGCCAGCCACACCCGCTTCGCACGCGTCCCCATCCAGGCCACAGCCTCGTCTCTCGCATTTCGTCAACGATGAAGACTTGACCCATAATTTCCGCCACATCGGGCCTTTATCGCAAAAACCCCAATAACAATATCGCTGGGATTCATCTGGGCGATGGCGCACAACCCAATAGGAGGACCAGCAACCATTTCCGAGGAATACCAACCACTGGATCGAACTTCCCGCAACATCCGGCTTCTTGAACTACTTCCAGGAAAATGGACAGACGAGCTATCTTGCCAAATTTTTGTTGTTTCTCTCGACGATGATCCATATTACGAGGCACTTTCCTATGTCTGGGGAGAGCCCGACTTCTGCCGGCCTATTTGGATAAACGGTTCTCCACACTCCATTACCAGGAATCTCGACAGGGCTCTTCGGCGTCTCCGCCAACCAAACAGAGCGCGAGTCATGTGGATCGACGCGCTATGTATCAACCAGTCCAACGTCGAAGAAAGATCCCATCAGGTCAACATGATGGGTGCCATCTTCTCGCGTAATGCAGAAGCCCTCCTCTTTTTAGCAGATTATGAGGAAGGCCGATTGTTGCCGGACGCAGGCCTACGCGAAGACTCATCTCTGAAAACTCAATCCGAAAATTCACCTCCGATCGAGAATGCCACCGGCCTCTCAGAAAATTCAGATGGTGTTCTCACCCGGGAAGATGCGGTTAGGGCAGTCGCATTGCTGCATAGACTATCCAATGGCGATCACTGCGCGCACTCTGAAGCAGAAGCGCGCTCAGACTCATACACTATGAATCTCCAGGCCATTGAAACCATCGTCAGTCTACCCTGGTGGAGCCGTATATGGACGGTTCAAGAAGCTGCATTGCCTCCACAAATGACAGTTGTCTTCGGCTCAATACATGTTCCGTGGTCGATATTCTCGAATGCTGCCCTAAATATATACAGGCATCTTTCCCAATCTTGCTGTTACTTTACTAGACAATCCGTTCGAGCTTTTCAACTATTCTACTCGAGAATGTTCCCTCTGATAGACCTGCGCGAGTCTTATTATGAGGGTCCATTAACCTTGTGTCATTACCTAAATGTATTCCGATACCGCCAGGCGTCCGACCCTCGAGACAAGGTATACGCACTCATCGGTCTTCATCCCAACGACACTGGAACATACGTAGATGCAGACTATTCTATCACTACATCTCAGCTGTATGAAAGCTTTGTCGTCAAGTCAATTGAGTTTGGGAAGGATCTGCTACCGCTGCTCCGAAAGTACGAGCTAGTCCGTCGCTCAGGTTTGCCATCTTGGGTGCCAGACTGGAGCGCCGAGGGAAACGGGTGGTCTGAATACGAGATGCTTCATATCCAGACGTATATATTCTTTGACGCATCAAAAGGTACTACACCCGTCATCTATCCAGCTATTGATTCAGTTTTAGCGCTATCAGGTATCGCTGTCGATCATGTCACGGCGCTAGGTTGCTGCCTTGCAGATCCAACTCCAGAATCTTCTGAAAGAGCTGTGAAGCAGTGGAAAGAGCTCTTGAGCTGTGAAAATATCAAAGGATGTCAGTACGTTGGAGGGGGCACATATGAAGCTGCATTTTGGCGACTTTTGACCTATGATGTGATATGCCCTATTCAAGAACGTCCAGGGGTGAAAAGGCGCCGTAGGACCGTGCCTGGTGACTATGAAACATTATTACACAGTTTCGAGTCTCAAAATGAGCAAAACGGCTTCACTTATGATCATGTTTCCCTCGGAAGGTTTTTCATCACGAACAACGGGTATATTGGCCTGGGATCACGCGATACAAAGATTGGGGACTGTATTTACGTGCTACACGGAGGCAAAGTCCCATTCATTCTAAGACCGGTGGAAGGTCAAAGCGTTTCTCCATCATTTCAATATATTGGACATGCTTATGTACATGGTATCATGGACGGAGAGGTGATGCAGAATCCAGAGAGTCAATCAGAGGTGGTATCTCTTGTGTAGAATAAGAACTGGGTAAAAATCTATTCCTCGTGTTTTCAAGACAAAGATTTGAGTAACAAATACAATTTTGTGGGATGTAACTGCTTTTGTGAGCGATGGCATGTTAGAAAAGGCACTTACCGCTCGAAACTAAGATGTGACTACTCATGATTTCTTCCTAAGGTACGATATGAATATGAAAATGTCAAGGAGCCGACTTGATTTGTTCAAGTCCCAAAGTGACAAAATAAGCAAGGCAAAAAGAAAAAGGAACAGTATGAATGTTGTAACACAGGACGAAAAGAACAGTCCGAGTATGGTAAAAGGTAGAAGAACCAATGAAACAAAAGAGTCCTTACCAAAAGTTCAAGTCACCGGAGCCAGCCATGTCCCCATTCTCAACTTCGCTCAGTACCGTCAACGATCCCAAATGAAGCTTAGCCTCGGCCTCACTGCGACCCTCGAGGTAATCCTGAACGCTGAGTTGGATGCAGCGCATGGTCTCGTCGATGAGCTCTTGGGGGGCCTCGTTCAACTGACGTGGCAGATAGTTCCTCGGGTCCGCCCACGTGTGTTCGACACGCAGTAGCCAATGACCATGTCCTGGGGTCTCCGCCAAAGGGCAAGCCTCAAGCTCGCACACATGCTTGTGCGGCAGGAAGCCATCAGAAAAGTTGTAAGAGCAGAGTGGATCGAGGCATTGCAGACGAAGTTCCTGCTTGAATGCTTGCGCTCTAGCTTCTTCCTTACGGCGCTTGCGCTCTTCGATCTTCCTGCGCTGCATATCACGCCACGGCTCCTCTACGTTCGTCATCCAGTCCAAGTACTCCTGGCGATGAGCAATTTCGGTCTTCTTCAATTTTCCAAGGATGCTCAGCGCGTCCTTGCGGTGCCGGGAGATGGTCACCGCGCTGCCGATGGACGCGTTGAACTCGGCGGTGAAGTTCTGGCCGCCGCGGTGTTTCTTGTTGGTGCACTCCTTACGCCTGAACTGAGGCCAACCATCCTCGTTGTGGAAGTATGGCTGGGTCCTCCAGACGCAGTAATACACCGTAGCGCCGGTGGCAAAGACGTCGTTGCTTTGATCAGCCATGTGGCGGTCCATCTTTAAGAACTCCGGTGCGTAGTAGCCCTCGGTAAAGAAGTACAACTTGTTGTCATCGTCCTCAGTCCTAGGGGAGGACTTGACCTCAGCCGCGCCGCCGAAGTCGGCCAGCTTGACTTGAACAAGCGAGGGGTGATCGCCCGGCGCTGCAGGGCAGACGAGGACGTTCTGGGGCTTCAGATCGCGGTGGATGATGGGGTTGCGGCCTTTCGGTGGCTTGTTGGGCCCGTCGAAGGCCGTGGTTCCGTAGCCGTGGTGGAGGAAGGCGACACCCGCCAACAGTTGGGCATAGATATGGCGCAGCACGTACTCATGCGGAGTGCGCCAGGCTCGAACACTCAAGTCGTTGCAGTCGCGCATCAGGTAGTCACGGAGCGAGCCCAGCTCGCAGTATTCCATGACGAGCACCTGGGTGTCTGGGCTGGGGGTGGCGGGATACCACGCCTCGTTTTGGCTTGCCGGGTGGCATATGGTGTTTTGGCCGTGACCACTGCCTACGTTCGTCAGGAGAGAGAGAATTCGCACCTCATTGTGGGCGATTGGGGTCGTGTAAGACGCCGAGGTTGTGCTGTACAAGTAGCGTTGCTTGATCTTTTTGACGGCGTATGCTGTACCAGACCTGTGGCGCATCAGGCTTACATCGCCCTCGCCGCCGCTTCCAAGTTTCTGAACGTACTCGTACTGTTGAAGGAACGTCTCACGGCGCTTTTTCCTGAGTTGAACATCGACGAGTCGGTCAATCTCAGAATCGATGAGCTTCTCCATGTCCGCCGAACTGATTTCGTCCGACATTTTGAAAGTAGGGATTGCGGTAAGCTTGTGTCGTGAATGTGGAGCTGAAGAATCGAAGAGGAAGAACGGCGCTGCCGTATTCTCCTTGAAGCTCCCTGAGAGTGTTGTGGTGGTCGTGCATTCACATCCAGAGCAAGGTAAGGTCCTCATTTTATGATTGTATGAACATGGAAAGTCCATGAACAATGCTCTTGTGATGAAGAATTTTGAAAGTCGAGATACGTAGATTCAACGAGTATGTTTGTGAACAATGAGTTGTTCGCGATAGTACCTTTGGGTTTCTTTGAAGCGCTTGCTCCCGAGTCTGCGGTCGACTTGGCCTAGTAGCTACCCACGATACCTACTATTTGGCCGGCTGCTGTTACAAGTGAAAAATTGTCATGTAGATGTACTCTGTATGTAGTTTATTATAATCTCAATTTGTTTGGTTCATGGAAACAAAAGCGGCCAGGCAAAAGTACAAGTCTAGTCTAAAGTGTTATGCAGCAATCGATAAACACAAACTGGTACTAGATCTGAATGAGGAAGAGATTCCTCCCCAAATTGTATGGCAGAGCTAAAGATGGGTAGCTGAAGAATCTCCAACTGCGCTAGTTCTACTCCAGTATTGAATTCGTTTATGCACTAAACGAATAAAAAAGGAAGCATTGTACAACACGGGCTCAAGCATGTGCCCATGACGTCATGGGAACGCAACACCGCAGCAACCTCGTGATATATCTCCCAACGGTCCTGACGAGTCTCTCCGCCGCCCCTCAATTGACCGCACAAGCACACCTCAAACTAAACCGATTCCCCACACAAGCCTCCACCACCTCCCATCCTCCACGAGACTCAGTCAAAAGCACAACCACTTCCTCCTCCCCCAATGGCGCCCTCCCACCAGCTCCAAACCGCCCTCCTCGTCATCGACGTGCAAAACTTCTTCACGCCAATGACCAAGCAAGCGCTCCCGCAGATAACGACGCTAATCCACCACTTCCGCGCGCAGCAACTACCCGCGTTCTTCACACAGCACGGACACCCAGAATCCGAACTCACCGGGCCCCCTTTCGCGAACCAGCTAGTCCGCAAATGGGGCCCGGACGGCAGCATCCACCGCGGGTCGGACGACTGGCGCTTGCAACCGCCGGTGCAGGCGCTGATCGACGACCTAGAGGCGGATGAGCGCGAGGGGCGGCGCGAGCGGGGGTGGACGGCGGTAGTGCAGAAGAACACGTACGACGCGTTCGTCAATACGGATCTGGAGGAGAGGTTGAGGGGGCTCGGGGTGGAAAGGGTGGTGGTGTGCGGGGTGATGACGGATTGCTGCGTCGACACGACGGCGCGCAGCGCGTTCGATCGCGGGTGGGAGACGTGGGTGGTCGAGGATGCGTGCGGGAGCGCGAATAGGAAGCAGCATGAGGCCGGGTTGAGGGGCTTTGGGTTTGCGTTTGGGGAGGTGGTGGGGACGGGGGATGTGTTGGCGGAGGTTAAGGGCTGAAAGGGGTTGAGAAGGAAGGACGAGGAGTAAGTAACAACGAGAAACAGGCGTCGGCTTGGTTCGTCTCTTTAATTCATTCCGCTATTATTTTCCTTCTCGTGGTCAAGAATTTTTCGAGGACAACTTATCAGTGTAAGAGTTCAAGATTGGACCAGATATGGATGGGAAGATTGTATTACTAAATGTTCGAACAGAATTCATACGGTGCGGCTGTTCTATATTTACAATGCCACTAGGAGAAGCTCTTTAGAAAAGACAGCCTCACCTTGTACTTCTTAAGCGTTCTTGCAAAGCTTCCCACTGTCCAAGTCATACTCCCATCCTTCAGTTCCAACGCCATTGATCACGTACAAGCTCTCGGACGGATCATACTTCTTCTTGATCTCAACCAGCTTATCATACGTGGATCCGTAGAAGTCATGCTTCCACTCACTGTTGTAGGGGTTCGCCTCATTCATGTACGCCCCAGTCTCGGGTGCCCACTCCCTCCACATCTTCTCCTTGTGCTCCTCCATCCACGCCGCAGCCTCGCTCAACGCCTGCTTCGGCCCGCCAGGCCCCGTCGGATCCATACTGGCGCCTGTAGTAATGACGTGCAGGTACGTATCGCGCCAGACCGGGTTAACAGCGCCCCAACGCTCCTCAGACACGCCCGCAACACCCGGACCACCTTGCAAGCCGATGGTCACGTACGTGCCCGCGGTCTGGTTCTGAGCCAGCAAGACGCCGGTGCGCAGGTACTCCTCAACTTTTTCGAGCGGCGTGTCGACCAGCTCGCGGCGGCCTAGCAGGCGGGTGGACATGACGGCGCCAGAGCCAGCAGCGTTGCTGCCAGAGATGCTGCTGTAGAAGGTCTTGTAGTCGGTCTGGTTGCCGGCAGAAAACGAGACGTCGAGCGTAGCGTTGTTGCCCACGGCCTGCAACTCAGCGACGACAGGCGCGACGAGGGCGTTCACGGCGGCGGCGCTCATGTTGAAGGCCCAGAGCACCTGGCTCACGGCCACGCCGTCGATGCGCTGCTTGATCGTCGGCACGAACTTGGTCGCAGACACGCCCGTCGACAGCATCGAGGCGCCGGCGAAGCCTGCGTCCATGAGGTCGGGGAGCTTGGAGAGCAGCGTCGCCGCGGCGGCCCAGGAGGCGTTGACGCTGGCCTCGTCGTTGCTCTTGGGCACGATGGACAGCGTGCCCACGACAGCTTGCGGCGCCGGGTGCGTCTTGATGACGTACTCGGTCACGACGCCGTACTGGCCGCCGCCGCCGCCACGAATGGCCCAGAAGATGTCGGCGTTGTGTTCGTCGTCGGCGACCAGGATCTCGCCCGTCGTCGTCACGATGGTCGCTTGGAGGACTTGGTGCGCGCCCAGGCCGTAGGTGCGAGAAAGGGGACCGTGGCCGCCGCCGCCTTGCACCCAGCCGCCGGGCCCGACGGAGCCGTCTTGGCCGGTCGTGACAACGCGGCCGAGCGAGAGCGCTTTGGTGAGCACGGCGCCCCAGCCGTTGCCGCTGCCGATGGCGAAGGAGTGCGGGATGGTCGTCGTGTTGTCCGGGAGCGTCCAGGTGGGGTGGTGGACGATGTGGTTGAAGTTGCGCGTCCAGATGGAGAGGGAGTAGGAGCCGCTCGAACTGGATCAGAAATAGTTAGCATTTGGAGGGGAGATAGAAGGGCGTGGTAGCTGTACCGTCCATTCATGTCGTGACCAGTTCCTTTGACAGTGATACGGATGTTTCGTTCAGCTGCCCATGTCATCGCCGTGGCCACCTGCTCGGCCGTCGTTGCATTGACAATGTACTCCGGAAGTCCGCCCAGCTCGCATCCCCTGCTCTCATCGTAACCTGAAGCCCCTGGTGGCAGACACGAGTTGTTGGCAAAAATGGGGTAGTCAATCGACTCGGGCAGTGCGGCGTGGAAGATTCCGGAGCTCCAGTTGCCCTTCACTGCGTCGCAAGAGTAGGGCGAGTTGAAGGGGTTGCCAGGCCAGCAGGAGGAGGCGACGGGTGTGGTCCGAAGGAGGGCGCCGCCGATCGTCTTGTTAAGGGTTGCCCATTCGGCATCCGAGGGCCAGGCAGAGTCCATGGGCGTTATCTTGCATTTTTGTGCGGCAACGACACCATTTTCAAATAGGAGCGCGAGTGCGAGAAGATTGGCCGGGTTCCGCATGTTTGCCGCTGTGACTCTTGTTCCTGATCATCTCTGGAGGACCATATGGACCATTTTATACTTGGGGTTAAGGGGCTATTCTTGTGGATACGGTGAATTTGCGTTTTCGCCGGACCGACAGCCTTGACATGTTTGATGATAGACGTCATTCCTTCGGCGAAGCTACAAAGTCGGCCCGCTCACTATTGCAACAGTGGACATAAGGAGGTCCCGACTTTGCGACGACGCTTTTCAGAGTCTAGATAAGGAGCACTGATTCTTGGCAGCGTTTCGCCCCGGGTGTTCGGCCAGGTGATTGGACTTTCTAAGTTTTGTTTGATGTCCGCGTAGTAGTGAAGATGTATTCGTATTCGTTAACAAATACGTAAAATTACGAATTTACGTATTTGTCGGCCACTCAGAGGACGCAAAGCTTCCCCTCTCCACAAATGGAGAAACTATTCTACACTATGACGCGTCTATATTGCTCTCCTGGAAATACGGGCTCCTGAGTGATTAGTTCTAAAGGCCTGGGAGTTGGTTCAGTGCATCAGTGTTGGTAGTAATTTACACACTTCAGTAGCACCAGTGAAAAAGATCTTCTATTAAACAGCTTTAAAAGAACGGCCTCGAGCCTAAAACGGATAAATCTCTACTGGGCGAGCATTATTCCTTGCTATTAGAGTAGGCTTTCAAGCGTGAAAGATCTCCTGGTGGTTGTTGATGGACAATGCATGCTCCGGCCGGTCGATCTTCGGCAGAGGCTACCTAGCCTTAAGGCATGAGGCTGCGCCACTTACTCTTCGTCCTTTCATCCCCTTCTCCGCTGTATCCCTCAAATCTAACGTCTCGTACATCAACAACTATCCTAGAAGCTCTCTCCATGACATTTCCCGGACTTGAATGCCGGGCATGCTCCACCTCGAAGTAGCAATACCGCTAATCTACGGCATCCCCGCATTCATTTTCCTCACTACTCCTCAATCACATCAAAATGTCGCCCATGCAAATGTCCGATAGTGACAGTCCGTCACCTGCGAAAAGGTCACGGAGATCTCACAAAAAGTCCCGGGCCGGATGTAGGAATTGCAAAAGACGCCGAATCAAAGTGAGTCCTGCCCTACTCGCCGGGCAATGCTCCTGCAGCCACAGACATGACCGCTAACCTTCCAGGTAGTGCGATGAAAGCAAGCCCGGCTGCCAGAACTGTGCCGACTTCAAGATCCATTGCGACTTTGACCCAAGACGGCCTGCCATCGTCGAACCCACAAGCAGCCCCAGCCCCAACACACCCGTCCGCCGCCGCCGCGGCAGGCCACGCAAAGGATGGGACACCATCAGCTGCGCGTCGACGGCCACCAGCAGCGCAGCACCCAGCCCAGCATTTGGCGAGAGCGCCTCTTCTCCACTACCGTCCGCCCTCAGCACCGCCCAAGACATCCAGACAACCGGCCTGAACCTCGCAGACCTCGAACTCATGCACCAGTACAGCGTCGCGACCTTCCACGAGCTCGGCCACGACGCCATCGGCACCATGTGGCGCATCGCCGTCCCGCAGCTGGGCTTCGACCACCCCTGCGTGCTGCACAACGCCATGGCCTTCGCCGCCATGCACCTCGCGTACCTGCGTCCGACCCGGCGCGCCCACTACGCCGCGCTGGCCGCGCACCACTCGACCATCGGCCTGCAGCAGACGTCCGATTTACTCCTCCACCTCGCCCGCGAGAACTGCCACGCCATCTACGTGTCGGCCGTGCTCGTCTGCTTCTACGTCTTCGCCAAGGGGCCGTCGCCGGGCGATTTTCTGGTGTTTGGCGAACACGGCCCGTCCGAGTGGCTGCCGCTGCTCAAGGGCGTGCGCTGCATCATCGAGCTGTTCGGCCACGACGTGCTGTGGACGGGCCCCCTCGCCGCCATGGGTAGTGGGCCCAGGACCGCGTCGCAGCCTATCGCTGTCAAGTTCAGGAAGCCGCGTGTCGATTGGGAGAGGCCGTTTGATGACTTGCGCCAGCTCGTTGCGCTGTCTGGACACCCGGATGCGCAGACGTATATGAATGCGCTCGAGGGGCTGGCGCAGTGCTATGAGGGCGTTTTTGGGAAGGGCCCGGATGCGGAGTATAATGGGACGACGGCGAATCAGGTCCATTTGGGGTGGTTGTATCGCATGGAGGAACAGTTTGTGGTGTGCTTACATCAGAAGCATCCGCTGGCGTTGATCATATTGGCGTATTTCTCGCCGCTGTTGAAGTCGATGGAGCCGCTTTGGTTTATGGAGGGTTGGGCGGAGCATTTGATTGCGGGCGTGCATGGGTTTGTGGATCAGTCGCTTTGGAATTGGCTGCAGTGGCCGATGGACCAAGTTGAGAGAGCATTTACGGCTCAACAAGTTGATGTTGTTCTGGAAGGCTAAGGGGCAATGGAAGACGAAGAGACTTTACGTTAAAGAAGTTCAAATAATGTTTCGATATTGTTCATGACAGCAATACTTCATGGATCTATGAAGCTCAGTGAGTGACCTTATCGAGGGCGCTGACCGTCCATAACTTATCCTGGACTCAGGGTTGGTTAGCTAATCAGTACAAGGCAACGCATTCTGTTAAGGTTTAGCCTCACAGTTGTCTGCTGAACATCCGAGCCCTCTGCATCCATGAACAAAGCTACACTCGGCTTGCATCTCTGGTGAACTTGCCTTGTATACAACCACTGCCATCCCCCTTAATTTTGAAGAAACAAAAGATCTTAAAGCCAAGAAGAAAGAGTGCGAGGCGTGAAAACATAAGCAGTGCATATTAACCCCTGACGGCCTTTACCGTGCGTTTCTGCGATCTCACAATGTTGGCAACAGTCCTTAGACGAAGCGGGATATGTTCGCGAATCTAGAGCGCGCTCGGACCAATGGGTGTGGCTCCATGGCATGACCCTGGCTTTCAGCTGGCTTCCAGCTTGTTTTCAGCTGCCGTGAAGAATGCGCCACGGAAGGAAGCCCGTAGAAAAGGGGCGGCAGAGCTGTAGGAGTCAGAGGAACACTTTTCAAGCCATTATTGACATGTGGAATTTTTCTTTGTCCAAAGAAATCCTTCAATGCCGGAAAGGTTAAAGTAAGCGCTCCTGAGCTGAATTGAGCTGAGCTCGGCAATTGATGTGGAAAAATAGAACCTTCGGCTTTTTGCACTAAAAAAAAAAACTCCGATAGTCCAGTCAAAGCTGGAAGGTGGTATCATCAGAAAAATCGGCATCTGAGGAATGAAGAAGTCTTGGAGGGCAGGGCCATCCATAAAGCATCGGCAAAAGCCATTGCGAAAGTGCGGGAGTCCCGGGAGCGCCAGCTCGGCGCGAGCCCGGAAGGCGGAAAGATCTCCACCTGGACCCCGGATGCTGCCAATCCGGCGGGGCTGGCTAAAAGCCCAACAACGCCAAGCACCACGGTCCGTTTCACCACCTGCCGGGGTGTCACAACATCCGAGCAGGATTGGGCTGCCGAATGCTTGCCTTGTCGAATTGCGACACCCTCGGCAGGTTAAATGACGGATATGAATCCCTTCCTGGAGGATTACCTTCCTCGAACGGGCAAAGTACCGGTGAACACCTTGGATCATCCGCACGTGGGCCATTGAACCATATCGATAAGTAGCAACCGAGGCCTCGGGTCCCTTAAGGACATGAAAGAAGTTTGACGTCCGAGCAGCAGCCCTACCAACATGCAGGCATATTGCGGGTCTTATAGGACGGAGGAGGGGGCACAGCTACAATTGTGGGGATAGAGAAATGTATTTGAGTAATGTGTTTAGGATATTCGCCGAGGTCTAATAGTAGCCTTCTTGGCTCGGGAGAATTCCCTTCAGCCCCAGAGCGTGGGATCGCGCCGTCCTCGTGGCTTTCTTTTCCATTCAATTTAGAAGACAACGCACTGAGCCTCTCGGAGGGATTCACTCTTTACTTCCCGGACGGCACGGCCTCTGACATGATCTGGCGGGTCCCGCGTAGATCTGAGCTTGAACACCTTCATGCCGATCGCGGCGAACTTTCTATGCAGGACGCCTTCGACTCGCGGAATTACCGGATCAAGGCGGCCAAAACCTGCAGTGCACCGCGGTTGCAGAATTATTTAACACTCCATGTTGCACACTTGCTACCGAGTCAAGATAGACCGGCGAGCTTCCGGAACTAACGACAACGGTCACTTTGTGAGTGAAGTGCCGTGAAAGGAGTCAAGGGTCCCTTGTACGCCCCCCTAGACACTGCCGGTGGCGTGCAGCTGCAAGAGACTCAGACCGTGTCACGCAGGCGGGAAGTCCCCAAACGCTGGGCTCCCTCCGAAACGGCCCGGCTTCCAGCGCCACCGCTGCGGCCAGAGCTGGCCAACCCTAGCAACATCACCAGACACCTGCCGTCTAGCGCCTTCGTTACGGATTGATGAATAGGACGGGCGAGCCTTCCGAGTGGCTTGGTTATTCTCCTAGAGTGCCACTTTGCGTGTTGGTCATATCAAAATGGAAGGCGGTGACAACAACCTCACATCACTCACTGGCCTGTTAATAATGGAAGGCGTATGATCGACATCCTGCGATCTCCAAGCAGTCTGGTGTCTATTGGCTCGCTCTCGGTCAGGAACTACCCGCTGCATAAATGGTCTTGCAGGCACATGGCTTGCGCAGGAGCAGCCTTTAGTCTCCCGCACCACTGGGAAAAACGAGGGTGTGAATGCCGGCCTGATGCTATAATGAGAAAATCTCCTGTTCCCCTGGCGAATTCACATATTTCTCTATTCTTTCGATGTAACAACCAACACTGTTCTACAACAACAGCAGCTTTTGTCGTCGCGACAGCACGGCGCACATGACGGAGCTTCGCCCCATCGCCGTGCAGACACTTCAAACTGCAATTGCAGGCTCTGCATGTTCTCTTGTCGTCTTATTGTTGAAGTTCTTTTCGCGGTACCGCTCCAAGAGTGATTTTGGTGCAGACGATGCGCTGGTAGCTCTCGCGTGGCTGATCACTATTCCCCTCGCCGTGTCGTTCTACATACGTGAGCTTCTCTTTCCTATAAATTGCGTTTTATAAGAAGGGATACTGATTTCACCAGAGGGTAAAAATGGAATGGCATACAGCACGGATGAGATCCCCCTCAATGTCTACCTTACCGGAAGACAGTGGTAAGTAATTTATCTCCAACATCCAAATTACTTTTCACCATCAATCGGCTAAGACTTCATTATGCGAGCAGGTTCTGGGCTTCATCCTGGATGTACTACCTTGGTCTGGGCCTCTCAAAACTGAGTGTGACGGTACAATTTTTCCGCATATTCGTCACACCAAAGACACTGCTCGTCACCAAGTGCACTATCGCTTTCGTCATGTCCTGGACCATCATATCCGTTTGTGTCGCGGCATTCGAGTGCATTCCAACAGCTCGGTACTGGGACAAACGCATCCCGGGAAAGTGCATAAACGGCAGCGATACTTTTCTGGCCAATGCCTCGATGAACATCCTGACAGACTTCATCATCATCGGCATCCCGGTTCCCAGCCTGTTCAAGCTGCAAGTCAGCATCGCCAAGAAGATCGGCCTGATGTTCGCCTTCTCGCTGGGCCTTGTGTAAGTGACTGCACCCCTACCTCTACATCCTCTTCCGCAGACCCCGCACCGCAAATGTGGTGCCCACCCAATGTCGCACATCGGCCCCACACATCTTGCATCTGCAAACTAACGCTCACATCTGCGGTTTAGCGTCTGCGCAATCTCAATCGCGCGCATTCCGATGGTCATTCTCGCGTTCCGTTCGGGCAAGCCGGGCAACCAGTCGCTCATGATGTGGTCCACCATCGAGCTCCACGTCGCCATCGTCTGCGCCTGCCTGCCGTCTATCCGGCCGCTCTTCGTCTCCTTCCTGCGCTTCACCGGCATCGATTCCTACCTGAAAACCATCACGCCGACCAGCATCGGGGCAAAGTCGAGCAGTGCCCGGAAGATGGGATATGGACGCGGTCGTACTGCGACGGGTGGCAGCACTGTTGTGAGCGCAGGAAGGAGGGGAGGGGCTAGGGTAGAGTATATCGAGATGGAAGAGGGCATGGGAGACTCGATTCAGGTGCAGAGAAGTGTGGAGGTGAAGTCGGAGGTGTACCAAGGGACGGAGAGCAGGTCGAGTAGGAAGAGCGATGAGGATAGCATTGATAGGTTAGTGTCGATGCCGGATAGGACGCATCGGGTGACGTGGTTGGCCGACCGGTGAGGGGAAAATAGTCTTAATTTCTACGTCTTTACGAAAACTGCAACATGCAAATAAGTGTGTGAGGTGATGGTGCATATGTATGGCAACACTAGTACCTATAGATGAGTGGGCTCTATTACACCCGTTGTCGGACAAGATCTTTTGTGTTTTAGATATTGGAAGCACGGCGTACCGATGGCGGGATTTTACTGGATCCCTGTTCCACAGTGGCCGAACACCGCTTTTATGAACTAGTGAATCACTGCAGCGAACGTCACCGTCCCACCGCTAGACCTCAAAGCTGCTGCCCACCGTGGCTAACCTACGAGAACAAATGAGGGGAGGTGCATCCTGTCATTGACGCCACATATAAGAACTGATGCGCCGCTGTGTAAAGCCTCAGACACTTTTTTCTCCTGAGAAACCCGACCGATATTAACATTGTTACTGTTTAGCGCAGCTATGTGGCATATCTACGTTGGCTTGTTGCTAAGTCTAATTAGCACGGCTGTGGCTCTGGGCCCGACCGTCAACATTACAAACGGCACACTTGAAGGCATTCATTCCTCCCAATATGACCAAGACTTCTTCTTGGGCATTCCTTTCGCTGAGCCTCCGATTGGGAATCTGAGGTTCCGAGTCCCCAAGCCATTCAGTTCCGCATGGAATGATGTGAAACCGGTAACGACTTATTCGAAGGAGTGCGTTGGCTATGGCGTACGTTTACGGCGAGACTCATATGGCGGCACTTGCTAACAGAATCTTAAGAATGATCAACTGAATTTCGAGACGTCCGAGGACTGCCTATTCCTGAATGTTGTCCGTCCAGCCGACATCGACCCCAATGAGCCTCTTCCCGTTGCTGTCTGGATCCATGGCGGCAGATTCACTCAGGGGGGCGGTGTTGACCAGCGTTACAACATGTCTTTCACTATCCAGAACGCGGTCGAGATCGGTAAACCCTTTATTGGTGTCACTCTAAACTACCGTCTCAGTGCCTGGGGATTTTTGATGGGGGAGGAGGTCGAAGCCAGCGGCAACGGAAACCTCGGACTTCGTGACCAACGTCTTGCTCTTGAATGGGTGCAGGAGAACATTGCAGCATTCGGAGGTAGGTCCCAACTCCTTCAAATTTTCGAATGCAGACTGATACCTTAATAGGCGACCCAACGAAAGTTACCATTTTCGGAGAATCTGCGGGAGCCATGTCGGTAGGCTTTCAGCTTGTTGCATATGGCGGGCGCGATGACAAGCTCTTCAGAGCAGCCATTATGCAATCAGGGTCTCCCGTGTACTACTACAACCTCAACGATAGTTCGGCGCTGGAGCCGAAGTATCAGTCCCTCCTTGCAGATACTGGCTGCTCCGACCTGGCTTGCCTCCGCTCTTTGCCATTCGAGGACTTGAATGACGTCTTAAACCAAACCAAGTTCATTACATGGGTCCCAGCAATTGACCACGACTTCATTCAAGATTTTACCTCAACACAGCTAGTCACTGGCAACTTCGTCAAGGTCCCCATAATAGCCGGCACGAACACCGATGAAGGTACAGCCTTCAGCCCGCTCGGCATCGACACTGAAACCGACTTCATCAACGTACTCACCTGTAAGACCCTCCTTTTCTCCGGTAGTTCGAAAATGTACACTTACTTATCTCCAACAGCCCTCGACATCCCCGGCTACTTCATCCCGCAGATCCTCTCACTCTACCCCGATGAGCCCGCCAGAGGTATCCCAGGCTCACCACCCCTCCCTTCCGATTTCCGGTTCAGTCTCCCCCAAGGCGCGCAGTACCGCCGCAGCGCAGCGTTCTTCACCGACTACACATTTGTCGCGAGCCGCCGCCTGACGTGCCGGGCGTGGGCAATGCAGAACGTCACCGCATACTGCTACCGCTTCAACGCGCAGCCGGCAAGCGTGACGTGGCAGCGCGGCGTCACGCACTTTGCGGAAGTTCCGTTCTCGTTTTACAACCTGCTCGGCGTCGGGTTCGAGGGCGTGAAGAACCCATTCGAGGGGAAGCCGGCGAGCTATGCGGAGCTGGCGAGGACCATGGCTAGCATGTGGGCGGCGTTCATAGTGGATCTGGATCCGAACAGGTACGATGATGACGACGAGGCGTTGGTGACGGCATCGGGGGTGCACGGTGAGGAGGCGGAGGAGGTGGCGGAGAGGATGGGGGGTCCGTGGGGAGGTGGCCCTGGCGGTCGTGCCGCTGCTGCCGCCCTGTGGCCGAAGTATGATCTGGGCGACCCGAGGGATTTCGTGTTCGACGCGAACGTCACGAGCTTTGTGGAGATGGATACGTATAGGGCTGTCGGGGTTGACATGATCAATGCCAACGCTGCAGCCGTTTTCGGACGTTGAAATTGCCGGGCCGGGATTTGTCTTCGGATCTGTCTGGACCCGTTGCTAGCGGTGCATTGGGCTTCCAGATAGCGTACACGCAATGATGGTCTATGTTTTCCTTGGCGGTCATTTCACAGGTGCTCTATCTACAGTTGATGCGTTAAACCCATAAATAGCCCGCCAGTGTAGGTACAGCAAACGGTCTGCTCTTCCACCCCGGGGGGTCTGAGCGCGCGGTGTTGCTCTGGTGCCCATTGCGGCTCGATCACTTTTGGAACGAGTTACGAGACCGGCCCTGGTCGTCCAGGTATATGTTTTAGCTGGGTAGTAGTACGGGAAAGGGGGTACGGCCTAGCCAGCGAATCAAAACTTTGAGTGAAATTGGACAACTCAAAATCCTTTCAAATCCGCCCAGTAAGGCGAGGAAGAGAATCCACAGCACAAGGCTGAAGCACGTTCCCCATTGACACTTGGGCCACCACCAGTCCGGAATAGGAAATTCAAAGTTGATCCCGACGATCACCCACAAACCTTTCAAGTCTCCAAGCACGACATCTCTTGCCGAAAAATTCAATCGAACACCAGAACAAGGTTGTTTTATGAACTACAGCATCTTGTATAAACTGCAGAAACTCGGGCATATGCGATATTGAAAGTACTGTTTGCAAGTGCATCGTCATCTTCACCGCGTGTTTCCCCTGAGCGCTCGCCATCACAATTTCCTAATTCGGGCCGTGAAATAACCACACGAAGCTGATAGTGACGTTTCGGTAACCCTATTCCCCGCATGTTCATGATCAGCGCGATCCGCAGCTGCTCAACACTGCGTACAAATTGATCTTTCGCGCCGCATATCCGCCTCATCCGCATTCCAGTCGCTTCAGCCTTCAACGCTCTCTCGCTGCTCAGCAGCTCCGCAAAACCACTGTCGCTTACGCCACATCCATTCTTTAACAGCATTTGCTCAACCAAAGACCTTTGTCGTCTTCTGTCCCGGATTTCTCCCGACTTCGCCCCATATTCCATTTCGACATCATGAAGGCTTCCGGTATCTTCCTCGCCTCGCTGGTCTCCGCCGTCATGGCGTCGCCAATTGCCAACCTCGCACAGTTAGTCTCCACCCACCAACCAGGAAGATGCCTTTGACTCCACTCGAGGGCCACAAAGCACACTGCTCCCGCCTCCTTTATGGCAATTCTTCAATCTTACTCACAACTGAAACTAGGCAATGCTCTGGTCAGGCTGTCAACGGTGCCACCACCCAGCCCAGTGATCCCTCGGCCAGGATGTGGCTTGCACTCCACAACGCGCACCGCGCCAACCACACCCAGACCTGCTCCGTCGCCTGGGACCAGCAGCTCGCAAACGAGGCCATGGCCTCCGCCCAAGCATGCCAGTTCCAGCACACCAACAGTGGCAAGTATGTTTTGCCTCTCCACCTTTTGCTTTTTAAAATATTTAACACGCCAATGCAGGGACTACGGCCAAAACATGGGCGAGACCAGCCAAGGTTCGAGTGAGCACGCCGTTACCGCCATGTTCTACAACGAGATCAGCGAGTTCGGCCCGTACTGGCACCAGCCGAACGTCCCGATCGGCAACCCGATGATCCTCCACTTCACTCAAGCCGTCTGGAAGAAGACCACCACCATCGGTTGCGCCACCTGGAACTGTGGTCAATGGCTGCTGTCCTACTGCAACTACCGCGGACCTGGTACGTTGCAACCCGCGCAGAGAGAAATTTTGACTATACTGACTTCCTGCGATTAGGCAACTATGCCGGCGAGTACGGTGACAACGTCGCTGATCTGATCCCCAACCCGCTTCCCCCGATTTGCTCTGAGATCGGTTCGAGCGCACAGGACGGAAGCTGCATCACTGACCAGCAGTTGCTGCAGTACTTCTAAGCTTAAGGCACAGAGAGTGCGTATGGCGGAGGAGTTTGTTTTCACCTTCTGCTGGTCATGTGTGCATGATTTGCAAAAGAAATAATTGTTAATGATAATTCAAGGCTGATCGACGTTACCCACAAGAACTGGCTGAGCAGTGACACGCAATTTAACTTCGTGCATTTAGAGTATTCCGAGGGACAGGGCCAGAAAGCAATAACGCGAGCCGGAAGTCGGAGACTTTTAAAGCGTCGTTTTTCTCCTTGGAATTACCAGTGAATAACATCAGTAGGAAAACGAGAAAATTGTGGACAAGTCTTCTGTTTGAGCTCAATGGATTGCTCGTTCTAAGGGCCTACACGATGAGCTACGTTTTATGAGGAACAGGCTACGCTAAACCACTTCTAGATTTCCCAATTAGGCTAACTACTTGGCGGTGCTGAGAGTCCTGAAAACACATGCCTCATTAGACCTGGAGTATGCATGATAGCACTCAAAGAGAAACGGGGACATCCAGCCCAGCTCATCCCTCTTATAGTGGGAGCTCAACTTGCCGTCCGGCCCTTTCAAGTAGCGACACGGACAAACTGTTAGAACCACAATGGACAATGGATTGACCGTCGAAAGGGAACGCCAACAGAGACCAAATACAAATGAGGAGGCTAGATCATCGCAAAGAAGACTATCACCGCAGCGACGCACCAATGTTGATCATCCGGAGCTCGAGTACGCTTAGAGATAAGACTAATCGGCCCTCTGTTCTGGCCAAATACTATGTGGAGATCTTCAAGCTTCAACAGGCTACTGTACCGTTATCTAGCGCAAAGAGGGAACTTGACAATATTAGCTCCACTTTTGATCCGCCAGTAACAAGCGAGCAGTCAGTGTGGAAGATGAAGATTAGCTATAAAGGTACCGAAACGAGAGATTTGAAGATGTGACGAGTTGGAAACAGCAACGTCCTGAAATTGGTTCTACGTTGACCGGTTTTCGCGTCTGCCAACCACATTCTGCGATCCCACTCGTGGATTTTCTTCTGTTTTCAACGCAAGGTACCTAGTGATTCACGCGAATATTCTCGTTAGTAGACGCAAACCCCGTCAAAAACAAATCCAAATCCAAATCCAACACAATAGTAAATAGATATCACAAATAGCCAAATAGACGAGTTTACGATTATTCATGTTGCAAGAGACAGAGACTCCTCAAGCTTGGCAGCTTTAGCTAGACGTACCTACCTATTTCGATGCTCCCGTCTGTTGCCAGCACCGTCAACAGATCATGGCCACGGGGTAAGTGATCTCTTGGAGCTTCAAGGAGCATACTAGTCTCTACAGCGCTCTATTAAAGCCACGACAAGTTTCTAAAGGGCTGAATCAGTTCAATTTGTAGCGTGGACAAAAATAATAGCATTTTAGTAGGTGGGAAGACAGTTTCTCCGACAATGTCCGAGCTTTTCCCGATCGGGAAATTGGCCGACAAAAATTTCTTCTGACTCCCCCACACACACCCGTTCCCTTTGAAAATGCATTGGGGTCTTCTTCAGTGGTTTTCAAAGGTATCTAGGTAGTTTTGAAAAGCCTACGGTATATAATGGGTGTGGGATTTCGAAGTGTCATCAATACCCCCAAGAACACCATCAGTTCTTGATTACATTGCCTGGCTAGCTCAATCGGTAGAGCGTGAGACTCTTAAACACTCTCTAGAGTGCTATCTCAAGGCTGCGGGTTCGACCCCCGCGTTGGGCTCAATTCCTGACTTATCTTTTTGAAGTTTTGTTGGTAGTGAAGTTTTTTGCTCGGGGGCTCATACGAGGGCGCGAGCGCCTCTTTATGTTCGGGCCGGCGGTATCGGGGCTACCTCGGTCTGCTGCGGATCCCAGGGCTTCCGTAGAGGACTATCCACTATGATAAAACCGGCTTGGTGCTCAGACAGGGGGCTTCCCAGATCTTAACCTCTAAAAGAAGTTGCTCGTCATATGCTTGTGTACGAGCGCAGGAACACGGGCTTACGGTTTTTTAGGGAGTCGGCCATAACAAATCTAAATTGTGTTAGGTAAGAGTCTCGAAAGGAGGCTGAGAATAGCAGTACATACACCTTCCAGCTGTGACCATTCTTCTCGTCGCTCGCATCCTCGAGGAAACCCACCTTCTTAGGGCTTGTTCGGCCGCGGATTACGGGGGGGTCCGTTTCGTGGCGAAACGGAGGCTAGAGACGTAACATACTAGACTATTCGGCCGCGAGGATGCGTTACGTTCAAAAACGGACTCCATAGGAATTAAGATTTTTAATAGCGCCGGGAGGCCTGCCCACCTGCTTTCTCTAGCAACTTTTCTTTCGATCACCTCTGTTCTCATAACGCAGCTTGCACCTTCTGTTTCGCAAAACAGACTCCGTTACGTGTGGCCCGCGATTACGGACTCCACCACAACTTTTATTACTAGTGGCCGACAAACAGACCCCCCATATAAATCGCGGCCGAACAAGCCCTTATCGAAGATGTCTTTTATGAATTCTTGGTAAGTGTCGATGTAATCTTTGACACTCATCCGAAGACGACTCGACAATATGGCGATCAAGCTATACAAAATTAGTGAAAGAGCGAAGAGAAGAGGTCGGCAGCTTACCCGCTGGTGTTTATACTGCCGATCATACCATACACTTCACACGGCTTCTTGCCCGGCGAATATCTATTCATCACAGCTTCAAGCAGCTTCGGAGTTGAGAGGCCACGGAAACCTCCACCATCTTCCATAAAAGGCAGTCCTCACTATATTGAGAGGAACAAAGCCATACCAAGAGAGAGTACACAGAGAGGATGCTCCCTAGCACCCTTTCTAATTGTGTAAGTTGTGTTGAAGCCAGGTGGTAGCGCAGGCTGAAAAGTCTGCATTCATAGTCTGCTGGCTTCAGGAGGATTCCCTTGATATTGTTGTACACATGATCATGTGGTTGAAATGTCTCATTATGATTACGTCTAATTATACTCTGGTATCATCTGAATGCTCATCCCGGGCGTCATCCCAACTCAGCGCTTCTGGATTCCACACTTGGCCAGACAAGAGTCGACACCCTTGGCCACGTTCTTCGGAATCATACTGCGGAACTGGTCGATATCCTTTCCATCAACCACGACCTCTCCGCCGATGGAGCCCTTGACAATCTCATTGCTGAGGCCAAAGTATTCCTGGGCAATCTGACCAACACCGGGATCCTCATCCGGGAAGCTGGCGATGAAGATGGCATCCTCACAGTCAGGGTTGAATTCGGTGTGCACGGCGCCCTGGGGGAAGACGGTCATCTGGAAGGTGTCGAGGTTGTGGCTGATGGTGCGCGCGCCGTTCTCATGCACCGACTGAGACACAAGCCGGCCCTTGACGACGAGGTTCAGCTCGGCCGCGCGAGGGTGTACGTGTGGCGTGTTGAATCCGCAGGGGCCCAGGAAGCCGATGGCCACGGAGCCACCAGAGCCAACCAGTGCGGGGAAAGTGGCGTGGTCTGCCCGAACGATGGAGCCGCCCTCGCCGGTCACAACGCCCTCGGCGGGTGCGTTCTTGAAGTCGAAGATGAACTGCTCATCGTTGGGGAGAAGCTTGGTGCGTTCAACCGCATTGGGAGCGAGGACGAGTTGTTGGAAGAGGGTTAGACCCGCGGGGTTGGAGGGAGGAACGTCGGTTGGTTGAGTGTTGTCATAGGTAGTGTTGGGGGGCGTCGGTACTGCGAGGGAGACACCAGCCAGGAGGAGAGCCGAAGCGAAGAATGAAGTATGCATTTTGGTGGAGGTTGATGTGTTTGGATGGTGAATGGAAAGTGATGGCGATGGTTGATGACTCGTAAAGGTGCCATCACTGGCCGTCTTTATACTGTTCTCCCTCCGAAAAAGGCATATACCAAGAAGCACAGCAGATACAGCCTCCAAGCCCCATCTCCAAAAGGATCGTTATGGTGGAGCGTGTGATATAGTCAGAAGGCGCAGTACGAATCCAGTCTGACGTAACTTGTACAGCGCAAACTGGTCGCTGGACCCTGTGTGGCGTGTGCTTTTCTATGTGGGGTAGTTCGGCGGCGTCAGCCGTGCGAAAATAGGTGCAGAAGTATAGGGCTTCGTTTTCGTTGGCTGGGTTGTGGAGGCTCATCATCGCTGGTTGGTGGCTGCTTACTACATGAGTTGGTCTGTACTATAAAAAGTCATGTAGGGACTATCCTTGCGGTTTTGAGCGATATGTGCTTCTGCAACCAATGGAAGAGCGATAATACGCGTACTGTAACAACTTTACCGGCATCCTACGGAGGGATAGGTCGTGACCCCTGCCGCCAAGATGGCGAAAGGTGAGATTCTGCGTTGAGCCCCACCCGAACATCGGCCCCACCCCTGTATACCTCACCCCTCACTATGATGAAAGCGGCTTGGTGTCCGAACCAGGGGACTTGTACAGGGCGAGGAAAGGCAAGCCCAGCAGACTGAAAAAGGAACTGCAGCTCTTCTCCAGCCCCGGAGGCTCTTGTTACCTCGTGCAACGTATTTTCTCGGGCGTTACGGTGCTGAGCCTAGCGCTAGCTCCTGCACGTACCTGGACTTTTCTTTTTTTGGGCCTAGGAGTTCCAATGCATGGTGAAGAGGTCTGTCTTTCGAGAATCCAGTGGGTAGTATATCAGTTCCGCAATTGCTTTGTCAACGCTTTGTTCCTCGAAGTGTTTGCCGAAGTTTGTCGCCTAGCTATTTTCGGCGCTCATCGAACCTCGCTTACAGCCGTCCGCTTATCGCAATCTCGAGGCAAGGCTGTAACGAAACGGAAGCAAGCGGTGAGCTTTAGCTGCCGGTTCGCGCCCCATTTTCCGGGTCGTGCTTGCTTCTTGGTCCCTGAGTGGCGAAATTCCCCAAGATTTCTCCTTCGATTGTCTTCGGTGTTCGGTTAGAAGATTCCCGGAATGTCCGTTGCTCGAAAGTTCGGATAAACAGCTCGTATAGAATAGTGATATGCTAAGCTCTTCCAAGAATTGATCCGTGTTAGAGCGGGACGGAGCGACACAGCATCATCGTCATGCGTTGGGCGGCCTGAACAGACGGATCATCTTGACTGGAGAAAGAGTCAACATGATCGTATCTCTTACGAGCTCAATAAACCCGCAGCCATTTCTGGAACTGGCTGCGAAGCTAAGGGTCCAACTACATGACACTAAGATCGCAGACATCTCAAGGCGCTGGCCGCGTGGCACTATTTGTAGCGTCTGCTTGTTCTACGATTCGGAGAGTGGATGTCGACGGCTCCGGTGCATAGCCGATAGCTACATCCTTGTCCGTTCCTGAAACAGAGCCGATCCGAATCACAAATGCCGTCTCGCCAAGCGCCTTTATAAGGCTATGATAGGCAAACGTCTGAAGCTGCCTTCCAAATCGGTGCATGGTGCATCGCTTACTCCACCTCTCCCGTACAGGGCTCAGCACGTGGGTAGCTCCTTTTTGAAGATAGGGTACATCAACGGGGAAATTTCACCTACCTCCCTCTTCATCCTGACTCAAGTTCCTAGAGCTCGCTTGATACATTCGTTTACTATCTATAAAGCCCGCCAGGCCCGTTCCTCCCGCCGAGACACATCATTCTTTTCTTAACTTCGCTCGCTATAATACGAACGTCAGTGCACCATGTCGCTCTCTATCCGCAACGGTCTCGTCTACCTCCTTGCTGGTGCCAGCTGCATCAACGCTGCAGCTATCCAGCGTCGCGATGAGATTGCCCACGATTCCGTCGTCGGCTTTCCCGAGACTGTTCCGGCCGGCGCAACCGGCGAGCTCTACGAGAAGTTCAAGCCCTTCTTGAAGGTTGAATCCGGCTGTGTTCCCTTCCCCGCGGTTGACGCTTCGGGCAACACGAAGTGAGTATATTTCTGGTCCCTGGCGTTATAATCGAAATCGAGATGTGCCCTTCCAAATCCACGCTGCGCATCGTGATTTTTCACAGAGATCAACGGCATGAATCCTTCGAGATCCCCGAGCTGTTTTACTTTTTTCCAAGCCCGCACAATCCACCAAAAACCCCCTCCTCACAACCAAATATGGAAACGTCATCAAACTGAGCCTCAACTAACAACGCCACCCCCATCAGCGCCGGTCTCAACCCCACTGGCAGCTCGACCGGCGACTGCAGCAGCAGCCCGGGCCAAGTGTACGTGCGCGGCGCGCAATCCGGATCCAGCTACGCCCTCATGTACTCGTGGTACATGCCCAAGGACTCGCCGAGCACGGGGCTGGGCCACCGGCACGACTGGGAGGGCTGCGTCGTGTGGCTGAGCGACAACTCGTCGTCGGCGACGCTGCTGGGCGTCGCGGCGTCGGGCCACGGCGGCTACGAAACAAAGACCGACCCGGCCGTCAAGGCGGGCACGACGCGCCCGCTGATCCGGTACTACAACATCTACCCCGTCAACCACCAGATGGGCTTCACCAGCACCGTCGGCGGCGAGCAGCCCATGATCGCCTGGGAGAGCCTGCCCGACGCCGCGCGCGAGGCGCTGCAGAACACCGACTTTGGCAGCGCGAACGTGCCGTTCAAGGATGGAAACTTCGAGGCGAACCTGGTGAAGGCTGCGTTGTAGAGGAAGAGAGTGGTACATGATGCGGGCCCACATGAGTGGGGTTCCGGTTTAGGGGGAGGGAAAAATTAATAGTGGCCGGGGATGATGGCCCGCCAGTAAAGTATCGAGTTCATGATATCCAAATTAAGAAGTTGATTGAGCATCGCAGTTTTTTTGCATTGATGTTCTTATGATGCGATGCGCGCGCAGGTAATTTTGGAAACAAGTAATTTCTTGTTTGAGGGTAGGTTCGTCGATTTTTCTGGAATTTGACTGACAGCAGCAGTGCGGCAAGGAATTTCGCCATACGGGCCTGGCTCATCCTGTATTGCAACCGCATGAAGAGGCGCAGTGAAACATGATCGTGCGACGAAGACGCCCGAGCGAAGCCTCGATTCACCGACCGTTGCAATACCAAGCGAGCCGAAAGCTTAGGTGGCTCGGCGACAGGAGAGCGTCCCACGCACGATCGCATCGTCCTTGCGCATGACCTCAAGTTTCAACCCTGCAGAAGCCGCTCGTTACGAGTCCTTGTAGAAGCTGCATCAGTTGCGCGACCGCTACCGGACCTTCTCCCACAGAAATCTGGCCGACATAGCCGGCCAAATCGGTTATGCGGACCGGTAGTTCCATGGAAAAATCGGCATGCGGGTAGTCCACAGCGTGGAGAACTCGACTTTCCGCCTTCGGTTTCTCGGATGCGTTAACTTGGAGGATGAGCGCAGGCACTGTCGCTGACGACAGCCACACGGGACGCGGGTCAGACACCACCACTTCTGCCCTACGGCAGCACAGGGCAGCAAGGATAGGCACAATCTTGCCGGAAAGTATTGAGAGACGGGTCTCTATTCAGGATCTGCGGGATCCATTGGTCAGGAGGTGCTGCAAAAGACCCTGTTTACTGACGAATCGTGGTCAGTGCAACGCCTTACAATGCCGTCTTTGCCGGGATGTGCTGTATATCCTAGGTCGTGGCACCCAACACCGTCTTTTGACCTCTCAAAGGGGTATCCTCGTATTAGCCGTCTCTAAAACGCTTTAATCGGCGCCTTCCGCACAGCACACAAATTTTGCGCGGAAACGAACTCATGGATGTCTGTCCTAACCACGTGCTCGCGTTCGGGGATGAAAGGGTGCCAGTTCAGCTTGATGGTAAGTCGCAGCAAGCTCTTTCACTCGGCCTTTGCTCGTCAAGGCTCACTGGGCGCACATCAGACAAGCCGTCGGTCGTTTCAACGCACCAAAACCACAGCTTCCACGGATTCGAAATGCCACGAACAGCGAGAATATTCCCTGCTCTCCTTCACCTACACAAAACCGCACAAGTGCAGCAAGTCGAGAAAGTCTGGAGGTTCCGAAAAGCCCAAGCCGACGCTGAAGGCCAAGGTGAAATCAATCGTGTTTGCCATGACCCTCTGCCACGCAAAGAAACGCCGGCCGTCTTCGTTTTCCGTGTCCAATGACACTTGGATCAGGAAGGAATCCCCTGATCCTCCCGAGCTCGAATGTATCGAGAGACCGGTCGAGCTTCGATCTGAGCAGGAACCCCAGGAACTCGAAGGCGACTATCCGGCGGGTTACACACCGCCTCCTGACGAGCAACCTGCTCGGACAATTCCACAGCCCGAGGCCGAATCTGCTCGGCCAAACATCCCCTCGATACAGATAACAGAAGACCAGGCGCCAATTCGACGAAGACCAGAATCGCTGCCGAATGCCAGGAGAAAGCCCCGTCCAAGAGGATCAGCAAAGTCAAGGATCCAACACCCCATTACTCCAGCCGGGAACGGCGCACGGACGACAACACAGAACCCGAGTCGGCTCGTTTCCAGACTGCTGGTACCATCATCACCGACCACCCCCTTTCGGAAGTCCGAGAGCTACCCGTGGAGTCCAGACGACGTCGCTGCTGAAGGGGCTAGACCACCTCGTTCTGATGCTCAATCTCGCACCCCCACAACCTCATTAACCCCTTCGACAAGCTCTCCAAAAATATCTCCAGCCCCCTTGTTCTCCTGTCTTTGCTGGCGTGAGCACAAGTCAGACTCATTCAACCAACCGCTTCCTGCGTCCCCAACATCAACGACTAGCACCTTGGTGGAGTCACGTCCGGAATCATCTTGGTTGACGGAGAAGCAGGTGTGCGAACCACCGGATCCTGGTGATGATGGTGATGATGCCGCAGCGGTACCGCAGCCAGATCCTGCGCCTCTTGGCTCTGCAACGTGGTTCCAACGCAACTTTCAGCCCGTATTCTCCAGCACCACCGACAGCTTGCTGAGGAATCCTCTTCCGAACCCGTCAATGTTCCCAGGATTTCGGCTTTTTCAACGCTGTGACCAGGTCCGCGTTGATTCCGCCCATGAGGAACACACCGAGAAAGTTCGAGACCGAGACGAACAGGATCCAGAAAAGCCCAAAGTCTTGAACCATCCACCCGCTCTTTCAGAAGTAAGGGTCCGAGATGACCTGATAGATCCAGAAAAGACGGGGGGTCTCATGGAACCACAAAGGATGCCAGCTGGTCATTCTCTCAATGTCAGACATGTTGAACGGGCGCAAGGCTGAGTGAAGGAGGCATGGTTGGAGTTTTCGAACTCATGCTCCTACTCAATCCTCTGGTCAGTTCCTTCGTCATGTGGAGATGGTAGCCAGCAGCGACAACACCCTTTTGTGTGAAGTGGTCTTGTCCGTGCTGTGTTCTGCTGAGGAAGCCATCGTCCGTCAGCCTCAGGCAAAGACACAGAGTTTCATCCCCCGCTCAAATGCAGATCCAGATACCCATCACGTGCTTTTGGGTTGATCACCTGGCAGAGATTGCAATTGAAGCCGGATGCCTGCATAGACCCTCGGCAAACTCTCCAAGTCACTGCTTCTATGTGTCAATGACGAAGATAAACATGTGTATTCCATCGAATCGCTGCAAGGTTCTCTAGAGTGGAGCGCCGGCAGCGTTGGGAAGCGCCTCTACAGCGTTGTCTGATCGTTATCCAGTGGCGGAAGCTGACGTTCACCTAACAGAGTCTTTTGCCCTCTGACAGGGAAGATGCAAAAAACCACATGCACAGTGTCGTGTATGTCATTGGGGCGCTGACAGGTGCCGAGCGACTTTCTTTTCTCTGTAAGGACAAGCTGATTACCGCCTGCAGCCTCGAGGGTCTTTAAGCGGAATAATCGTGACGGCGCGGCGTTTGAAGTCATGCGAGTCATCGTAGTGCGAATCGTCTTCTCGCGGACGGTGTCTGGCTATGGCTTCAAGAATGTAAGCTGCCAGCTGCCGAGATTGAGGCTCTTAACAGGCGAGGCTGGGAAACCAGGATATTAATAAGAGTGGCAATTTACAAGGGAGGGTTGCGAAGGGCGGTGTGATGCCATATGCCGTATTTTCCTCCCAGTTATTGCGCTGAAGAGAGAGTAGGGTGGTGGTGTGCAGTCTGGAACTGCACGGAAGGCCGGTGTGCAGCTCCTTGTCACCGACCGGTACTTTCAAATTGGTTGTAATGTATTGTTTTCAGGCGGCTGTGGCTGCGTTTCGTCGACATTATTTCGAGTAGCTCTTTTGAGAACGCCACGCAGTTTGCGTCTCCAATAATTTTCCAAGCTCTTTCTCCTGGCTGAGCCAATGCCGTACTGTGACTCATTGCATCCATTCCAATGACACAAATGGCGCGCTTTCCACGGCCCAAGTGCGTGCATACGCGCCAGCTCCACAGGATAACCACTGAGTCTTAAACTGGGACTTCCCCACTTCTCAAGACATTGGTGTTCTTACCCACAACGACGGCGTGCTCAGCCTCATGGGAATCCAAGACACCTTTGTTGTTCCAGGCCCGATGCAAGCCCGTACTGCGTGACCGGACCTGTAAATTAAGCTGACATCAACTGCCCATCACAGTGCTCTGCACGCACTCCCCAACACCCAAACTCTTGAAACCGGGTAATGGAACAGCTTCATCAACCTACTGGGTCCTTCGCCCGATCTATCCAGTAGTGGCCAAATGGAATTCTGGTTTGGCAGCCGTGTCTATGTCGAGAGCGGCCTCAATTCTTTCTTTACACAATCCTGCGGACTCGACTGTTGGCAATAGCGTATCTCCTGGTGTAAGTCGGAACTTGATATAGAAACGCATCTGCTGTAGCATCAAATACCAGAGCAAATGCGCCCTCAAGCGGCACAAACGTGAATGCGCTACCTGCCTTGAGCGCCAAAGTGAGCCGTGGCTGTTCAGATGCTTCAGATGCATGCTGGTTCGGTGCATTGAAGATAGAAAAGCGGCAGGCGACTCTGGTCCAGCAAGTTTGGGGCAAACACGGAAAGCCAAAGGATTAAGCGAAGGCGGAGACAGATTGGTATAGCCGTAATGGAACCGACAGAGGTATCGATTGGTTTTGAGAGATTTCACACGTTACTCCTGCAGGCTTTTTTGAGTAGTAGAAGCTGAGAGGCGGATCCTGGAGCCATTGCCGCTACTCAAAAGTGTAGTGGAACGTAAAAACCCTGGAGTGCAGCTCAAGAGTTTCCATGATGGATTACTCCTATGGGGTGGCGCACGAAGAGACGTTAAGATCCGTAGTTGGTACTCCAAAATGCAGGAAATTAGTGTCGTTTGTCATATAGGCTTGTTCAATGATAGCAGCAAATGGAGGGGCTTGGAGCACTGGAAATGGTTGGCTGACTTGGAGTTGACCCTCGTAGAAGGACGGCACTTGGACACTGAATTGTAAAAGAAAGGCTGGAATGCACAGGGTTGAAAGAGAGGATCCTATTAAATCAGCGAGCTCTGTGCAGAAGATTAGGCCAAAATAAGCTGTTCTGGAATCACGATGACTGGTTGGGAATATCAAACCGGAAGTATTGATGGAGGGTGGTCATCCTACTATCTCTGGTTAGACCGGATATAAAAGCAAGGACAAGCTCGGTGAAGGATGGATTATAAGCGATGCTGGCCATTTCAAGAAGGAGCTCATGATCTCGGTGATGGAGTGCACGGCCGGTTCGTGAAGATGCAGCTCCGGAGCATTATCCCCCATCAGGCCATCGATGAGGCACGAAGCGGGACCTGCATCGCGGCGATGTGCCCAGCACAAGTAGGACGCCGCGCAAGAAAGCAAGTTCTTGGCTCAAGATCGACCAGCAAGTGGGCCAAGGCAGTGGGCGTAAGGGGCTGATAACGAGTGGGCGGCTCCTGAGATGGACTTGACCAACGGGAGACCATTCTTGAAAGTTATCGAAGTCGCACAGAACGACGGCGTGCATTAGTGCTCACCGGCCGCATGTCGCCCTTTCTCGCGCGACGTTCGAGGTTGACGGGGTTAAATCCACCCTTTCGAAGGCGCTGCATGTGTTCTACGCCGCAGAGCGACGTTTGCAGCAGCCTGCTCCGGGCCTTGGACCGGGATTTCGCTGAGAAGAAGCAGAGAAGTGCCCGACAGCGAGAGGTGACTGGCTGCAAGCTGCATGGGCGTCACTGCGCAGGACCCAAGATGGCGGCAGAGTGAGACGTGATGCTGATGATGGCCAGACTGGGGGAGCTGTGGGGCGGACAGGACCCGACGAGGATCGCTCCCGGTGCTTTCGGCACAGTCACGTGGGCGCTATGCTGATGGGAGCCTAGCCTCGCGGGGGACCGGCGGGCAGCCCAATCAACAACGCTGAATCAGCGACGCCAGACATCGGCAAGTTCGGCAACGACCTGGACAGGCGGTCCAGAGCAGGCCGTGACGTCGGCGGCCAAGAGCGCGGCTCTCTTCCGTCGCACTGCCCACACCACCCAAACATCTCATGCGACCGCCTCATCACCATGCGGACACACGCCTCGCTGGAGAAGGATGAGGAGATCAACAGCGCCGCCTGGGTTGCTGCCAGAGGCGCCGCTGTCGGCGCTGCCAAGGTATGACCCGTCCCACTCCCTCCGCCTGCCGCCTCACCTGCGCAGACTTATTTTTGGCATTGAGAATGCGCTGTGCTTCCCCCATGAATAATTTTTTCTCTTCTGTGTTCGGACCAACCACCAAGTCTTTTCTCGCATCACGCCACAATTCCCAGAAGGTAGCTGATCGTATAGTGGGGCATCGCTTCCGCAGTTCTAGGTGGTGCAGGCTACGTCTTCAGCCCTATATACCGCGGCCTCACCATCCAATTCAAAGTGTACGTAACCATGCCATTGGCTATTCCTTGTATATCCTGCCTAACTGCTGCTTAGATTTCTCCAAATGTCGGGGATGATCTTCGGAAGGTATCGTACAGCTGGCCAGTACCTACCGTGGCTTGTCTCGCTGATTTTTAATTGCAGCATTGTCGAAGCCGATCGTCGTTTGATTGCCCACGAGCAAATTGTGCGTGCCCAAAAGCGGCTTGCCAGAGACGCTGAAGTATGGCGTCGGTACGAGGAGGAATTCGAGGAATTGGGCACGCCAGGTGTTGGTGCGGAGAGTAAAGTGAGCAATCAGAGCCAGCAGAAATGAGGTGCGATTTGCAAAGCCGGGGTTCTTTCATCTCTGGCACAAAAGTTATAAAAACGGACCAGACATTCCTAACAACAAATCTCTCCCTGTATCGATAACGCATACACGGCTCTAACCTACCTGCAGCCAACTCTGTAGGCGCTTGATCTCTCTCAGATGCGGTTCCACTACCAGATGGGGGCTTACCATCAATGCCAGTACATGCCAATGTACACTGGTCACGTTGTACATACCCCACTGTTGCATTCAAAGTGCTTACTGCCAGTACTGCACCTCCTACAGGTATCCGCCAATGAACGACGCGGCGCATCGGGGGGATTGAGTCGAGCACAAAAGAATTGGCTTGATCGCCCAAGCCCATCAGCAACCTATGTCATGGCTGCAAAACAACTGCCGGGTTGTTTCGGGACTAGTGATGGAATTGCTCCATCGAGACCTAACAAGTGCTGACACGCTAGTTCTGATTAGGCAATCGCCAAGCATCGCGATAAGCCCTCAGACGACGAACATTCCAAAGTCTGTGGCACCTGTCTTGAATATAGGCGACGCCACCTCCCTGCATAAGCACATTACCTGCTTTAGAGTATTTTGGCCAACTTTCAAATCCATTGATGCTAAATTGCGCGCTGGACAGCATGCTGGATGTATATCGCTCAAAATGGCCGAAACTCTTCCGACTGCGCCATCCACTAGGTAGATCCCGCGTAAGCCTGTCATCTTGCCATAATCCCCTTCACCCAACCACCTTACGTATAAATAGTCCGGGATGCCAACTCACCCATAAGCTGCCCCGCCAGCATCTCTTGCCTAAAAGCTCATTCTTTCCTCCTGCACCTCTCATTTTCTCAACATACCCACCATGGCATCCAAGCCCACCGTGATCCTCGTTCCAGGTGCCTGGCACCACGAGCACACATGGCATAAGCTCATCCCAGACCTCGAGCGCCGCGGTTACGCTACGCGCGCCATCCGCAACCCGTCGCTCGGCAAGCCCGCTGCCGATGGCCTTGTGGATGCCGACGCAAACCACTTGCGCTCTGTCATCGACCCTTACCTTGCCGCTGGCACCGACGTGATTGTTGTTGCCCACTCTTATGGTGGGAGCGTCTTGTCTCCAGCGCTGGCGGATTACGCTTGGAAGAAGGACGAGGGCGGCAAGGGCAGAGTATTGGGACTCGTGTACATTTCAGCCTTCATTCTGGGCGAGGGCAAGAGCCTTGCGCATATCATGTTCCCCCCGGACGGCAATGGTAGCCCGATGAAAGCTGACGAGGTATGTTTTCCTGTGTGCCTTTCGGCCCCTACCTTCCCTCGCCATCACGTGTCATTCTCTTTCCGCATGCAGTAACACCGCGCGAAAAACAAAAAAAAAAATCAAAAAAAACATACGATACTCATGCAAGCTGGCTCCACCAGAACGGTTTCATCCCCCCACCCGACCCGTACATCTTCTACAACGATCTGCCTGAATCCGAGCAGCGTGAGCTGCACAAAGGCCTGCTGCCCAACCCAGGCAACGTTGGCACCGTGCCCGGTACCGGCGCCCCTTGGCATAATGTGCCCACCGTATTCATCAAGTGCTCCAAGGACGTCATCCTGCCGCTCGACATCCAGCAGAAGATGCTGGACAGCATCGAAGGCAGCGAAAAGGTGCGCGTCGTGACGCTCGACAGCTCGCATTCGCCCATGCTGAGCATGCCGGAAAAGGTGGGCGATGCCGTGGCGTTGGCCGAGGAGCTAGGGAGAGAGAAGTTGGTGAAGGAAGGATTCGCATAGGGTGGTGGAGTTGGACACTGATAGATGGTAAGATGGGTGACGGCCTGTGGCGGATGATAAAGAATGCGAAATTGATGATTTCATTGGAGAATTGAATGACTGTGCTCAGAATCCGACTTTCATCAATTCGTCATCTTCCACGTCCTGGACGCACTCAGAAGCTGCCTATAGTGATTTCGTCTGGTGTTCGCCTGGGGATGGTTGAGGACACGTGATCATGCTTTCCATGTTGAATCACGTTCAAATCAATCCACATCTACAGATTTTTGTTGACGTGTCGACCATCGCATCCATAGCACCACAATCAACCAAAGTGTAGACTTCAAGCAATACATCCTCCGGAGATCCAAGCGCCGCGCTTACTACGAGAGGGGGACCTGCGTGGTCTATTGGTTCCGAGGAGAGCAGGACAATGTAGCATCAATAACTCGAGCTCGCTTAAAATAAGCAGTGTCGGTGCGGCGCATTGATTAGAGTGAGATCTCAGACTACCTGGCAAACACATATTAAACCACTTCCAAAGATGTGAAGCTCTGGCCAGCAGCAAAGCGTCACACGCACCCAGTATAATTCGTTCGCCTTCGTGAAATTACTTCACTACATTCAGTGGCATTACTCACCTTCTACATCATTATTCAAACAAGAAGCGACGGATTCCCCAAACTGGCAACATGGAAAAGATGCAGGGAAGCGATCACCACGACAATCCCCACTACCACAACTACTGGGCAGGTGTTGTCTTTGTTCATAGCGTACATATAGTCGCTAACCTCCGGATGCTGCCATGGGATCTGGAAAAGCTGGTCAACGGCTACGGTCGGGTGTTTATGGCTTATAGTTGGCTCACAGTACTATTCATGCACGGATACTTAACGAGCATGCCGACGGCAGCATCTTCCCAGCAGGTTCTGGGCCATGTAAGTATTTTGACCTCAGCAGAACTCTGTTGTTTTTTCTTTCCATCACGCCAAACATTTAGATAACCCGTTCAGTAATGGGTCAGTCTTTGCTACAAGACACTTATGGTGCAATTCTCCGCTGCAGTATGATAATATACCAGTCGAGAGTTCAACTCAAAAAGCCAGTGCTGAGAAGATGACGGTGGCGAGTGCAAATACGATAAAGAAGCAGTCATTTTCGCTAGTGTTTCCTGCGTGCAGACAGTTTTTGGATATTTTGCGCAGACCCACAGTGGATCGCCGGTGTGTTCGCCAATCTTTATTTGAGTGGCATCCTCGATACGAGTCAGGCGGGACTTCGATAATGTACATGTTGCCCTACCCGGAGCTGCTTGAGTGTAATCCTTCGCATCCGCGCATCTGGCATTGTGGAGCTCGAGATAGTCCGGGACTTCCGATCCATCGCCCGTTAGACTTATGCCATTGGCGAGGCTGACAGACTGCGGCTGAGACCTTGACCGCATCTTGATGATGCAACAGTTGCCCTAAGCGCACAGAACCTGCAGGAGAAATAACATATCCACTGTCGGCTATTGTCACTTGAGCTGGTCTGCCTACGTGGCAACGCCCTACCCCAGCTCAAGCCTCAATCGCCAATGATAGTGCTATCACGCGAGAAGTTCTTTGTGACTGGCGCTCGGCTTTGCAGGGAATCCGTAAAAGTGTGAAAATCTTCGCGGTATCGTGGTTGCCGCTAGATTTACAGCGCTATCCTCGGCCAACGCAATGCATTGCTGTCCTCGACTAACCGAGCGGTGGAGTCGGAGGAAGTGCTCCATGCGTCGATTCCTTGTTTTCACGTCGCATCCGCAACAAGGCGTTCAAATCCACCCTGCTTCTCTTTCACATCTCTCGGTCCAGTGAATCCCACAGGCTGCATTCCAGCCATCAAGTCCGCGCCGAGTTTGCTGTGCCCTGAGTATGAGTATCATGGAGGAAGCGAAGAATGTAGAGATTGCCGAAATCCACGAGCGATGTGAGAAACCTAAAACATCTCGACGAGGACTTTTTTGACTCTTTAGGTGGTGATGTATGGGTCCAGAGGCTGGGCAACCTGGATCTGGAGTTGAAGGTATGTCGCTTCATGCATGTGCTGAAGAGGAGCTGAAAATCGAAGACTCGTGCGGAGAAAGGGTTTCGTTTGGTGTGAGAGATGCCCGGACTCGATTCCTCCACCCCTTGTCGCTGACAAGCACCAGGTTCGCCAAATCGGAAAAAATACACCCGGAATCGAAAATCAAAAGTTTGCCAGTGGTTGGAACTTCCTTCCTTAGGGCCGCTTGCAAGGACGCGAATGGCTTCTTTCGGTGTCGGACACAGACAGTTGGACAGGGTTGTCCACAAGTTATTCACGGTATGATGCACGGAATTGACGTGATATTTCGCTAGACACTAAGGACTACAGAGTCATGGTTTTGCTTCAAAACAAAACATGTCAAGCCCGGCTCAACTGGGTACTTTTGGCAGCAGGTCAACGTGTTTGTTACATGGTCATCCGAATATTCTGTCACAATGCTGCTTTGTGTAGACGCGCCGGACAAGGTCCGCCAGTCTATTCTCAACGCGGCCAAGATGGGTACTGTTGATGAAGACAACCCTTACGGCTGGCATCTACACATTATGGAACCTGTATTGGACCTCTACAATGAATCATTTTGGGGTCTTCGTGATAAAGTCCGAAACGAGGTTGAGAAAAAGGTCTGAACAAAAAAGCTTACCGCACTTTATAATGCACGCACTAACGCATGTCATTCTCCAGAGGGAAATCGCAACCCACACAAACTTTCATGTGCTGCATGACCTTGCAAGACACCTCACTCATCTGGAAGAAACGCTGGAGGTCGCTCTCACTACTCTCGAGAGCATGGAAGCAGCACAAGATGTTCTTCGACGCGAAATATGTCGGGTAAAAGTCAAAAGCCCTCAGTTTAGAGAGGAATTGGAGGGCCTTCTCCGTGAGAATGCACTGGATATGTATCATTCGCGTGGTGCAGTCAAAGCCTCTGCCGCACGTGCGAAGTCTCTCAGCGCGCGTCACAAAAACGAAATCAATCTTGTATGTTGGCCCAAGTTCGGAAAGTCAGATTGCTAATCCTATTTTCTTACAGGCTTTCAATCTCGTCATGCAATATGAGAGCCGCACCATGAAGGTGATTGCCATAGTTACGCTTCTATTCCTCCCAGGATCCTTTGTCGCGGTGAGTGTCCATACCCTCAAAAGAACCAAATCGGACGTATTTCAACACTTTAGCATGTTAGCTGACTTCACTTAACTACTTTTGCAAGTATAGTCCATTTTTGGGATGGGCTTCTTCGACTGCTCCGATGAACGCAATCTCATCCTTGCTGGCGGCTTCTGGATCTACTGGGTGATCACTGTGGGCTTGACAACTCTTACCGTGGCTTGGTGGCTACTTTGGCAACGTTTGGAGGGTACTGAAACACTAAAACCACCGTCAAAGCCATCGTGGCGGTGGAAGCCTCTTTCATATAAATCTTTAAGCAAAGATTCCGTAGTCGACGGCTAAGAGAGCTAAGGAGGTGGCACTCTGCGGTCACCGGCGTTGAATCATGCGGGACTGGAAACGAACGAGAAGAAAGCTTTTGAAGTCCAGAGCTCGTCTCGAGAAAGATGATTATAGTATTGGTGAGGAAATGACCGGCTTATGCGGGAATTTGAAGTTACCATCCGGTACCGATTGAGCTAGCCGGGCAAGGGAAGCCGCGAACTCAGATGAGTTCCTGGGGTGTTGATGGAGGGGGAATTGCTGGCAGGCTTTATGTATAAGAGCAGAGCTACTATTACACGTCTAGGAGGCTCTTGGGAAAGATATTCGTAGCAGAGAGCCTCTGGGAAGTAGAATATTGAAGTCCAGGGCTGTGTTGAGGCCGAGTAGGAATTTTATGCTCAATTGCCGATTTAGGACTAGTGTATATTCATAAGGCATCGTTGCACTACGCTACCACACAGTGCTTTGCGAAAGAAAGTAATCATCTCACGCACTCCAAGCGGAGAAATTGTAGCTACTTTTGAAGGTAGCCGAATGCTGTGTCAGATTATACCGAGTCCCGGAAGCAAGCCTTAAAGGTTCCGCCAGTCTTCCAGATCTGCGATGTTGTTAAGTCAATTAAAGATCCCTACCAACCTGTCATCAGTCTAAACTCTTTTTACAGACTGCTTCTGACATATCCTAATAACCACTAAGTCTACAGTCTGCGCAGGCTGGGTGATGTGCTGGATCTGAACTTGCTCCATCATCGCTTTCCATTACAACAGTTTAGACAACCGAACAGTTTTGTACTATGCCTTCATGTAAACTATGCTGTTTGCGGCTAGGCGCTGATTTGGCTATCTTCTGTAACGATCTTTGCTATGAAGAGCGTGCGACTAGCGATTAAACCAATCAGAACAAGCGACGCCCGCATCATGCATGATGCATCTGGGCACCAGGACCCCCCGCCTCACGCACATTTCGACCGTGCCAGCCCGCGCACCGCATCCGCCAGCTGGCGCGCACGCTAATTTTATCTTCCAGACCTAGAATGGCTTTTTTCTCGCACGCAACCCAGGAATCGTCATGGCTGAGTCAGCAACAAGCACTGCCAGGGATTATACAACTTGTCAATATATGACTGTCGATCCCCAAGCAGACTCCTATGCAGAGAAATGGAAAGCTAGTTTCTTAGCAATCAGGTTCGACTTCTCGTACCCTGCCTCAACTACTGGAGCTGGTAAGCAGCTGATCTGGGCTCTTCCCAAGGCTAAGGCTGACTTCATGGGCAAGTAAGCGAGAACCGTGTTACACAATCCAATTCCCCGGCTTTTTCCCTTCATTGCTGCAGCCACACCTTCGTCAATCAGCAAACCTTGCAGAGACACCAGCGCGAAGCTACCACTTGTCCCAGTTGGACAGGCATGCAACAAACATTCACTTGTCAACTGTGCCAGAAGAACTTCCGCCGCAAATGGAACGTGCAGCAGCACTTATCGGAGAAAAGACACAAATATAGCAAGGAGGAGGCAACGGGACTCGTGAATGTTTGGTATCCAAAAAGGCTTGGAGGGTCGCCAGAGTGAGGGACTGAATTCTATAAGACTGGTCTGCTTAACATTACAACACAGCTGAGAAGTTGAGGCTTTCGTTCCAATGATTTCAGCTTGTCTACTGCATGTCAGTCTTTGCCAACACATGGTTTACCTTACCTGCAATTACATCCGCCGCACAGGCGAGCTGGCTTCATGGCAACATCCAATCCTTACAGTAATCTTAGGCTTAGTTAACCACATCAACCACTCACGAATGTTATGACACATAGACATTTCTTTTCGAAGCGACTTTTATTATGGCGAAAACCACTAATCTATCACCATCAGCATCACAAACCTAGCCAAGCCTACCTCTCAAGCCGGCCTCGCATCCTCTCCACCCCACCCACCTCTTCCCCAATCTTCATCCCCAGACGTATTCATGTCATTTTCCATCTTAAAGGCGGGTGTAGAACAAAAAGGAAATCAAGAATGCCGGCATCTTTGTGCAGTAGCCCCCTCTCCAGCCCCAACCATCCGCCCAATGCAGAACAAATTAAGAAAAGAATAAGGAAAAAGCCTACACTTGTGCAATGAAGAAAAGAAAATAGAACGGCTGCCAATTCATCCTCTGCAGCAGCAGGGCTCGCATGTTCCATGCGGCCATGCCTTACGGTGGTACCAACCGGTGGTTTGAATTCGTTCCATTTGGCGTTGAAATGGCTTGTAAAAAGGGAAAGTCCAAAGCATTTAAACACACAGAACTCCAACGCCCCGCTTCATGACGCGTCTCTGCATCTTCATGGTGCATACTTTATCTCCGCCTCGAGGAGCAAGGCACAGAGATGCCGAGGAAGAGTTGGATGTGAAGGAGTAATTTCCGCATCCGGATGGAAGCTCACGTGGCCAAGGGCAAGATCATGAGGCCCTTTCGAACCAACCAGCATTTCCTCCCGGATTGTCTCTCGACAGCGTTTACAAAATCTCCTTCAACTTGTTCTTTTGTTCGGCCGTCAGGCTGGTCGGGAACTTGATCTTGACGCCGATGACGAAGTCGCCGCGCTCGTTGGGCTTCTTGCTCTTCGGCATACCCAGGCCGGGGAAACGGTCGGTGTATTCGGGTGATGTGGGGCCTCCGGACCGGACGGATACGTTCTTGCCGTCGATGGTCTGGACGGTTCTGTTCCAGCCGGTGAGAGCCTCCTTGAGGTCGATCTCGACGATGTGCTTCAGGTCGTCGCCTTCGCGCTTATACAGCGGATGCTCTTTCTGTGACTAAGTTAGCAAAGCGTGGCTCAACAAAATGGTGTCGACCATTTGGATGACTTACCTCCTGGACGATAAAGTGCAGGTCCTGAGTACCCCCCTCAACCTGATCACCCACATCCGAGAACTTGATCTTCGACCCAGCCTTGAGACCCTTCTTGATGGGAACTTCAAGGATCCTGTCTTGGGTGCTCTGCTTGCCGGTGTTCTTATCGTACGTCTTGCGCTTAATCTTCATTTTCTTGGTCGTGCCGTTGTACAGCTCCTCCAACGACACGGGTAGCGGCTTCTCGACCACCGTGACCTCGGGCGTCTGCGCCCTGCGCGGCTCCTGCGGGAAGCGGCTGCTGCCCGACCTCTTCGCGCCGGGCCTCGCCCCGGCACCGGGGAAGCCTCCGGGCATGCCGCCGAATCCTGCCGCGAAGTCGTCTTCGTCCATGCCACCACCACCACCCATGCCGCCAGCGGCGCCGCTGCGGAAGAACTCGGAGAATATGCTTTCGGGGTTGGAGAAGTTGAAGGCCCCGGGCCCCCCAGCGCCGCCACCGGTCGAAAAGTGGAACGTCCTCGTGCCGCCTCCCGGGCCGCCTGCGCCTCCCATGCCGCTGAAGGGGAAGCCGCCGGCTCCTGCGAAGGGGTTGCCACCGTCCGTCGCGAAGCCTTCGGCACCGTCTGGCGGAGGAGCACCGCCGCGTAGTATGAATTCGAGGCCGAACTGGTCGTACATCTTGCGCTTCTCGGGGTCGGACAGGATTTCGTAGGCTTGCGAGAGTTCTGTCGAGCAGAAAGTCAGTCATACCTGCGGTAGTCATTGTCGCGTTGTGCGACAGAGAATGAGGGGTGAGTTCACTTACCCTTGAACTTCTCAGCAGCTTGCGGGTTGTCCTTGTTCTTGTCGGGGTGCCACTTCAGGGCACCCTTCCTGTAGGCTTTGCGGATATCATCTTGTGATGCGGAGGGGCTGATGCCTGTGGGTGAAAGGTTAGCCTCGCGTGGTCAAGTGGAGCAGGGTGGAAGGTTGGGGTGGACGTACCCAGCGCATCGTAGAGCTTGGTCTCTTTGACCATGGTGCGTGTGTGGAACTAAGTGTTGTGAAATGAAAATCGTAGTGTCGTGAGCGGAGTAGAAGTAGTGGGTAAGTTGAAGGTTTCTAATAGCCAGTGGCAGTGAAGGTAGTGCGTGGAAGTATCATGTGCAAGACAGGTTTCTGGGCGATTCCTCAAGGCCCAGTCTCCCCACGCCGGTGAGCTTGGGCGCCCGGGCCTGACGTACTGGTTCCCGCTCTTATCGATTGTGGAAGCTTCTGGTAGCTTCGATCTCCGCCGCGCTTGGCGCCCACCACAGCCGACCTCTCGAGCCGCAACACCATGATCTACAACAACGCGGGTCATGATGAAATGCCGGACTTTTCTCGCATGTTGACTTCGCGAAATCCATAGCCGGCGGACTTCGTGCTGTGCATCGCTCCTCAAGGCCCATATCTGCTCGTTCAATGGGACTGCTAACGACCACCAACCATGTGCCGGAGAAAACACTAGTGGAGTGTAAATTCTACGCTCACTCTCATTACTGCCTAGCGGCTTCAAAGATCAACGTGTCGTTACGGCGGAACGAAAGGGGTCGCTCAAAGCACCGTAAGCTGCAGCTAGGATTGGCGTATTGTAACGAACTATGCTTGTGAGTATCCTCAATTGGTTGATCGCGAGGTAGGTGGATCAATCAGGTTGAGTGCCAAACGAGATGGGTTGAAATATCAGTAATGAAAACTTTTTTCATTCGATTGCTTTTCGCAATTATCAGAAACCCATCCCAATGTTCCGTATTACGCCATCATAATCCGCAAACTCCCCATCCGGAAGTGGTATGGTACAGGCTCAGTCAATGCTATACTTGCAGCCAGGCGGCTGACTCTCCAAAAGGGCCGGCTGAGCTTAAATCCCAACCAAGCATGCCGTTCCCATCCGTGCACGTGAAATGTTTAGAACTTGGTGTAAATACACCCCTTACTCGCTGTCGCTATCCTTGGCCGACTTGAGCGACTTGCGCTTCTCCTTCTTCTCCTTCTTTTCCGCCTTCCTGCGCTTGCGCTCAGCCTTCTCCTCGGCCGTCTCGCCTTCGTGCTTGCTCTTCCTCTTCTTGTCCTTGGACTCCTCAGCAGGAGCATCGGGAAGCTCTTCGCTGTCAGCGACGGGAGCGACCGGGGGTGCGCTAAGAACATCCTCCTTCGAGGTGGTCTCGGCAAGAGCCTCAGAGCCGGCGGCAGCCTGCTCGGCAGGGGAAAGGTCCTTGTAGTTCTGCTTCCAGGCGGCGGGCGTGTTCTCGTTGACACGGCCATACTTGTCGAGCTTGCCATCGGCCTTGAGCTTCTTCTTCTCGGTGGCAACAGGGCCCAGGCCCCACCTCTTGGGGTAGAGGTCACGCTCCATGATAACACGCTTGATCTTGGCAACAACGCCGTGGTCGCAGGTAGTCATCTCAACAGTGGACATCAGGGCAATACCCAGAGCGATGGCCTCGCCCTTGGTGGTCATAAGAACAACCTCCTCGTGGATCTCGATCTCCTTGTCTGTATTCAAGTTAGCCGAAGTACAAAATGAAATTGAGTAACAGGCACGTACCGAAACGAAGCAGACCGGGGATCATGAGCTTGGCACCATAGCAGACGGCGTTAACAGCGCTGTCCTTGACAACAACCCTCTTGTAGCCAGTGAGGAGAGACTCCAGCGGGGAAATGACGGTACGGAGGTACGACTCGTCCATGCTGTTGTCCTGGACGTACTGGGCGTCGAGGACATCGTGGAGAGTGACCATGTTGTCGTCCTCGCTCATGGCACCGGACCTGACACGCCTGAGCTCCTGCATGTGCGCACCAACGCCGAGCAGCAGACCCAAGTGCACGCAGAGCGTACGAATGTAGGTACCCGCCTCGCAGCTCACCCAGAAGACACCCAGGTGGCGGTCATTGTCGAACTCGTAGAGCTTGCTCTCGTGAATAGTACGGATACGGAGCTGACGCTTGACGGCGGAGATGAGCGGGGGGCGCTGGAAGAGAGCGCCGGTGAGGGACTCGAGAGCACGGGCGAATTGAGCCTCGCCGCCGGGGATCTTGTCGTGGAGACGGATGACGCAGACGTACTCCTTTCCGGCGCCCTGCTGCGACTTGACCAGGCGGGTGGCACGGTCAATGCAGACAATCAGACATCCGGTGACCTTGGGGTCGAGGGTACCGCTGTGACCGGTCTTCTCGCAGCGCAGGATGCGCTTGACCCAAGCGACAACCTCGTGCGAGGAGGGGTTGGAGGGCTTGTCGAGGTTGATGACACCGCTGGAGATGTAGCTCTTGAGATCGCGCTTGTGAGGGGCGCAGCCGTAGGGAATGGGGACGAAATGGTTGCTGCGAGCAAGCATGTTGCTGTAGTTCTTCAGCAGCAGCGGCCACTCGCTGGTGTCAATGGGCGCGGTGGTCGCGGCCGGCTTGATGGTGTAGTCCGCATCGTTGGCAGAGACGAGGTTAGCCATTTTGAAGGTCTCCGCGCGGGGAATGCTGGACGTTGCTGTGTTCGCGCTGCGAGAGGACGGTCGTCGCGTGCTGGAGGTGGAGTGCAAAGCGAAGCTCGACTTTTTTTCGCTTGTCGCTTCTTCTTGCGCTGGCCCGTGCGCGCCACGTTTTGATTGGCTCGGGCTCTCCACACACACCAGCCCTAGATGTCCCGTTAGCACGTCGTCTTTGAACAGCCATTTACGCGACGAGATGTTTCAAAACGGTATCACATGTTTCTGTCGGCATATATGCTTGCCAATGTCAGCAGACTCACCCGTTTTCGCGAGCTGTTCGAGCCGTCGTTGAGAGTTTGAAGAAGAGGACTCCATGTAAATACAAAGAATACTTGCAAACGACTATCTTGCTCTGCCCTTCCTTGCGCTTGGTTGATTTATTCATTGTGTGCATCACGTTTCTGAGTCTCCAATACCTCATCACATGGACCGCTACCAACTGTCTGGTCGAATATGGGCCCCCTGCATTGCTGCGCCGCGCTCACAACTGTCAAAACTACGCCAGAAGGGAAGGCGGGCTCGCCAAACACTTCCATCCTTGAGAGACTTGCTTCTCCGTCTCCACTCCGTGCCTGTATCGTTCGACTGTGCCGCAATGAAGATGTATATAGTGAAAGAAACACGTCGCTCGCTCTCTATAGTATCCAGCCCAGAATTGACCTCTTTTCGGCACGATGGCAAGCGATACCGACTCATCCTACGAAACAGATTCTCTCTACACTGATCTGTCTGCCTCGGTGACCTCGTCCATCAGAGAGGGCAGATTCGAAAACGGCCGCCGGTACCATGCCCACCGAGAAGGCACTTACCTCCTCCCGGACGATGAAAAAGAACAGGACAGACTTGATCTGATGGGCCACTGCTTCAGCCTCGCTCTCAAGGGCGAGCTATATAAAGCGCCCGTGAAAGATCCCAAACTCTGTCTCGATATTGGAACTGGGACAGGACTCTGGGCCCTCGATTTCGCGGACACCCACCCGGACTGTCAAGTGATTGGCACCGACTTAAGCCCCATCCAGCCGTCGTGTAAGGACTCTCTGAAGCGTGCGCGGGAACTATGCTAATCTTGAATTGCGCACGTACAGGGTCTGCGCCGAACTGCAAGTTCATTATCGACGACGCCAATGCCGACTGGATTTATGCCGAGAAAGGTCAATTCGACTTCATACATGCCCGTTACGTCTACGCTGGCATCGATGATTGGGATAAGCTGTGGCGACAGATCTACGAGCACCTTAAAACAGGTGGTTGGGTTGAGCACCAGGAGCCATCGGCCTGGTTTGAGACAGAAGATCCGGGGTTCGAAAATTCGCAGTCGCACTTCTGGCAGGTCCAGACGGACGAAGCATCCGCGAAAATGGGAAGAAGATTCAATGTTGCGCATGAGCAGAAGGATCGTATGATCAAGGCTGGCTTCATAAATGTCCACCAGCACGTTGTGAATGTTCCGCTCGGGACTTGGGACCCGGACAAGATTCAGCTCGGAAAATGCGCTCTGCTCAACATGGTTGAGGCGGTTCGGTAAGTCAGCCATCTACCAATTACGAGAAGAATCGGACTAACGGCTCATTTGCAGGCCAAGCTGCCTGGCAATTTTTACTCGCGTCCTGGGCTGGGACCTTGTCCGTAGCGAAGCACTGAGTGCAGCCGTCATCAAAGAGCAACTCTCCCAGAAGTATAAAACCTACTTCAAGATATACTGTACCTATGGGCAGAAGCCGGAGGCGGCATGATGAGGCTTTGTTTTCGTACATCGATGTAACGGACTGAAAGACGGAAAACGAGCCATTCCTGCAGAGAAGTTTGATTTGGATTACGGTACTGGCATACAAGTACAGCCGCAGAACATCATTAGTTCCGATGTGAATCTTGCTCGTCTTCGTGACCTTTCATTCTCCACCGAGACGGCGGCCCGGACCACGCGTTGACGCCCAACTTGAGCCAGTAGTGCGCGCCTCACCAGGTGGGGCGTAAGCCATGCCGAAGCCACGCTGCTGAGGAGCAGGCCGCACACCACCTCCCTCAAAGTACTGCCTAATAAATCTTGGGGTCTTGATCGGATTGCTGCCACCACCAAATGTCGGCCAAATGCGGGTCAAAAAGTCGTAGAGATGAGCAGAAAGAAGCCCGGTGAGCTGGAGCATAGCCGGTGAGGGTCCATCCGCGACGAAGGTCCAGACCAATAGCAGATAGGGTAGGTATTTGGCCTGAATGGTGACGATGAAGAACGTTACCATCCTGCTGCTGTTGTCCTGGGCGAACGTGTACGTGACTGCCATCATGAGGGCGGAGAGGAGAACGACAGAACCAAGCCAGTAGCCAGCCAGAGCCTTGAACGAAGTTAGCAATCATTCGTCTGCTTCGTCCGTCTGTGGGGCGACAGTATAGGCTAGGCATGTGAAGGTGTGTAGGGAGTCAAAACCACAAAACGAAATGGATAATCCGTTCAGTTTTCTCAAGACATTCCCACCATGGCTACACCGCACATGGACCATAAGGATTTTGCGAATGATTGACGCATGTGAAGTGCAGCGGTGATCTTCCTCGATTCCAGGAACCGCTTCAGCTAGAGAGACTGGGCGGGCAGATATTCGAGGTTGAAAAAGAAAGAGGCGTCGAAGGGAGCAATGCGCGCATAGCCAAGACACGGGACTTACCGAAATAACAAGGCCATTGAAGGCGATGTACGTGAGGAAGGAACCCGGTTCAGTAAAGCGCGAGGAGCTGAGCTCCAGCTGCGAACCATACTGGTACAGGAAGTATGGGTCGAATATGATACCAGTCCGCGGCCCAGTTATGAAGAAGGCAGTAACCAGCCTCCAGATCTGTGGTGGAAAGGCGAAGATCTTGTATGGAAGGAAGACCAAAGGGTAGGCGGGAATGAGGTTGCTATAGACGCCGATGGAGGTGACAAACGAGCCTACAACGAGGGTCCTGCAAATCAGCATCTGAATCAGTATCTGCGTACGAGTATGATCAAGCTACGGACATACCTCGTCACCGGCGGCCAAGACCAAACGACATCCATGTTTGGCAGTGGTGTCGGCGGTGGTGGATTGGAGTTGGACGGAGACAGACGGATGGACAGGCGCCGGGCCGCGCGCAAGGTTTAAGGTCGCGGCTGCCTGGAAGCCTCTGGAAGGCCAACCGTTGTTTGTGTTTCGTGGCAGTTTGGCGACAAGCTCCAGCTGCGCCTCTCGACGCCGGGAGCACAGAAAGGCCGATCGCCGGCAGGCACTGGCCGCAAAAGCCGCAGCCAAGCGCCCGCGCGCGCCCCGCACAGGGGTTTGCCGCAGCGATGACGGAGGCGGTGGCACCCCACCATAGAATTCTTTTGAGTCACTTTCAGGCGCGCCCAACGACACCTCGAAGTAAACATCAACGAAGGTGGGTCTCCAAGCTCTCTGCTGCATATAAATCCGTCCATTTCAATCGTCCTCTCGCCCCCGACCCTTTGCATCGGGTTTCGAGCTCAATTGATCGCTCACGCTCCGTCTGCAGGACCATCGTTTATTTGAATCTTCGCCAAAATGGACGCTATTCCCCCCGTTACCGGCTCTAGCCAGTCCATCCTCCTGCTCGGCTCCGGCTTTGGTGAGTGATGATTATGTCGGCTAAATGGCTTCGTTCTGATTTGGTGTTCAGTGGCCCGTCCCACTGCCGAGATCCTGAGCGAGTCCGGCTTCAACGTACGTGCCACCACCCCACTGATTACATCTGTAAATTCTAACGTCACTTAGGTCACCGTTGGTAAGTAAAAACGTCACTTCGGAAGTCGAATTAGGAGCCAACAATCTTCGTAGCCTGCCGTACCCTTGAGAACGCCAAGAAGTTCTCTGAGGGCATCAAGAACGCCACCGCCATCTCCCTTGACGTCTCGGACGACAAGGCTCTTGATGCGCAGGTTGGCAAGCACGCTCTTGTAAGTGATACAATCCACCAGATTGACCATTGGCCCAAAAACTGATTGATTGCAGACCATCTCCCTGATTCCCTACACCCACCACGCCACTGTCATCAAGTCTGCCATCCGCAACGTAAGTCATGACCTACTACTGATCAAACCAAGCAATTCTCACACCCATGTAGAAGAAGCATGTCGTCACCACCAGCTACGTCTCTCCCGCGATGATGGAGCTGGATGCCGAGGCCAAGGCTGCTGGCATCACCGTCATGAACGAGATCGGTCTCGACCCCGGTATTGACCACCTGTACGCCGTCAAGACCATCGATGAGGTGCACAAGGCTGGTGGCAAGATCACCTCCTTCCTGTCCTACTGCGGTGGTCTCCCCGCCCCCGAGGACTCTGACAACCCGCTCGGCTACAAGTTCTCGTGGTCTTCTCGCGGTGTCCTCCTTGCTCTCCGCAACGCCGCCAAGTACTACGACGGCGGCAAGGTCGTCGACATTGCTTCCAAGGACCTGATGGGCACTGCCAAGCCCTACTTCATCTACCCTGGCTACGCTTTCGTCGCCTACCCCAACCGTGACAGCACTCCCTACAAGGAGCGCTACAACATCCCGGAGGCTGACACCATCGTCCGTGGTACCCTCCGTTTCCAGGGCTTCCCCGAGTTCATCAAGGCTCTCGTCGACATTGGCTTCCTGTCTGACGATGAGGTCGACTACCTCAAGCCCGGCAGCACTCCTCTGTCCTGGCGCGAGGTCACCAAGCGCGTCCTTGGCTCCTCCTCTGACGCCGACACCGACCTCGTCTGGGCCATTGGCTCTAAGACCAACTTCGCCAACAACGAGGAGAAGGCCCGCATCCTCAACGGTCTCCGCTGGATCGGCATGTTCAGCCAGGAGCCCGTCACTCCCCGCGGCAACCCTCTCGACACCCTCTGCGCCACTCTTGAGAAGAAGATGCAGTACGAGAAGGGCGAGAGGGATATGGTCATGCTGCAGCACAAGTTCGGCATTGAGCATGCTGACGGCTCCAAGGAGGTTCGCACCTCGACTCTCGTCGAGTACGGTGCTCCCGAGGGCTCTGGCGGTTACTCCGCCATGGCCAAGCTCGTCGGTGTTCCTTGCGCCGTTGCCGTCAAGCAGGTCCTGAACGGCTCCATCAGCGAGAAGGGTATTCTCGCCCCCATGACTCCTGCTATCAACGACCCGTAAGTCTTTTCTAGAATTCCCACGAATGATTGGCATGCTAACGTTAGTATTGCAGGCTCATCAAGGAGCTCAAGGAGAAGTACGGCATTGAGATGAAGGAGAAGACCATTGCTTAAATGCACAATTTGACCCATACGAACAACTGACGTAAAAACAAAAGGGTAACTAGGAAAAATAAAAGGGATCCAGGACACTGCTTTTGCATGATGCTATTTGTGATATGCAGACTTTCACATAACCACCTATGTCTCCAACCAGCAATAGCTAACAGTATCCCAATGCCTAATCAGAACATTGCAATTCATGTTCATTCTTCACATGCTGGATCAGGCACAATTGAACTAGAATTACAATCTCGTCTTCTGAACATGCATTGCCATCCCTCATGGTCAAGCTGGAACGAGTTGGCCCCGTACAAACTCTTCCAGCGAAGCCTCTACTATGCTTAAACAAACGGTATCTGGCATTTTCAGTCAAAGTGCATTCTCCCTTAGGGGCGTTGTACAGGTTCACAGTCTAGGATACGGCGATTCCACACTAAGCGTATCGCCTTTCACGGTCCTTGGGGAGATTGATGAAACCCCTCCGCAAGGTCCAGACTACCCTCAAAGTTCTTGAATTTCATGCATCTCCTGGGTATTCATTCTCCGCCTTCTTGGGCTCCACCTGGCATTTGTGATGACTGCTGTTCTTCCTCAGCGTTTGCTGGAAAGCTTAGATGTTTCCAATCCTCGATCTTTTACTGTGTCAGCCAGACAAAACATCGGTGAGTAAAATTCGCGCTTACCTCTTCGATTACACTTCTCAAGCGATCCCTGATACTGTCTACCGCATAAGAGCCCAGCAACAGTCTCAATGGCGGATATGAGCAATGCCCCAATTGCCAGACCAATTCGGCACTCTTGACTGCACTAGTGGGTTGCCGATCATTCAGCCATTGAACCATGCGCTTCGCATGTCCAGCGGGTGCAGTCGGGCCATTGTATGGTTCTCTTGCCGGCTTCACAAAGAAGTGGCCATACCGCTTTAACTTGACGCCCTCTCCGTCGGAATCCTCCGGCTCATCCAACCGCACATGCCCCGGCTCTACCAGCGTCGCCTTGATATTGAACGCATCCACTTCATACAACATACTTTCAATCAACCCTTCCACTGCATATTTCGTTGCGCAGTACGGCCCCAACCCAGGCACGCCCAACGCGCCTGCCGTGCTACTAAAAATCAAGTACCTGCCATGCTGCTGAGCGCGAAACAGCGGCAAGGTGAGCTGAAGTATATGCACGGTGCCGAAGAAATTCGTCTCGACCTGCGCCCGTAGCTCAGCCTCGTCCTGCTCCTCACACGCGCCAATGACGCCGTAGCCGGTACAATTGGCCACGATGCCGAAAGAGCCCCAGCGGTTCGTGACGGCCTTGATGGCAGCAGCGACCGTCTCGCGGGCGCGCACGTCGCACAGCAGGCCGAGGCAGTTGGGCCCGTTGCTGGCCTCCCACCGCTTCATCTGCTCGACCGTGTTCTCCTGCGTCCACCCGACGGCGGCCACGCGGTCGCCGTGCGCCAGCGCCGCCCGCGTCAGCGACCGCCCCATGTGGCCCGTCGCGCCGAAGATGATCCACGTCGCCTGCTTGACCGGGTTGGTGTTGGCGTCGCCGCTGCCGCTCGTCGGCGGCTCGCATGTCGCGGGCAGCTGGAGGCGCGGCTGGTGCCGCAGCGCGGTCGAGGGGGAGAGGCTGGGGCTGTCGGCGTCGTTGTTCATGGCATCGGTCGGGCGGAGCGTGTCGTCCGCGGGGAAATTGGACGGAGACAAGGTGGTGATGGGAGAGTCTGGGGAAAGCCTAGATGGCCGTGACGCGGTGCGGGCGCGTGGACGTCATTGCGGAGGATTTGCTGTGGACCGCGAGTCAGGAAGCACGTCCTCGACCAGCTCCGCGTCAAACACCTGCAGTTTCTTCTCGCAATTTATGCAGAACCATGTCCTTGCGGTAGACGCTAGTCTCCCCGTGTCTCCCTCCTGCACAATGGATGCTGCAAGAGGCAGGTTCCCCATTCTGCGAGCTGAATACCAGACACTGACTTCGACCCCGCCAGACGTGCCCGCCCTGGCACCGACACCGCAGCCCACCGGCCTCTCCTTCACCCAGGGCTTCCTGCTAGGCCAGCTCTCGGTGACGCTCCTGATCTTCTTCTTCATCAAATTCTTCATCTTCGGCGAGCCGCCGCCGGCCGACGTGCGGCACGCGACGCGGGCGGCGGAACGGCGCGAACGCACCCTCGCCCACCAGCGCACCCTCTCCGCAACCGCCGCCGGCGTCCCGCCCGCGTCCTCGACTCTCCTCCGCCACAAACGCAGCACCATCCTGCGCCCGCCGCCGCCCGTCACCAGCGCCACCATCCTCGCCAAGACCTACTACAACGTCAAGGGCCACCAGCCCGAGAGCCTGGACTGGTTCAACGTGCTGATCGCCCAGACCATCGCCCAGTTGCGTGCCGACGCCCGCCAGGACGACGCCGTGCTGACTTCGCTGACCAACATTCTGAACGGCCCCACGCGTCCGGACTGGCTGGGAGAGATACGCGTCACCGAGATCGAGCTGGGCGACGAGTTTCCCATTTTCAGCAATTGCAGGGTTATTCCGGTCGAGGATGGCGGGTTGGGATTGGGTAGCCCGAATAAGAGTGACGGGGGTCTCTCGAATGAGGGCAGGTTGCAGGCACGGATGGACGTGGATTTGAGCGACGTCATCACCTTGGGCATCGAAACGACGTTGATGCTGAATTGGCCAAGACCCAGGGTCGCAGTGCTGCCTGTTGCTCTGGCAGTGTCAGTGGTGCGGTTTAGTGGAACTGTGAGTATTATCTACATTTGACTCTTTGGCTCAGTCGACTGACCTGGTATATAGCTCTCACTGTCCTTTATCCCATCCACACAGCCGTCAGCTTCTGCAGACCTCAATTCCTCCAACCCAGGCTCCAATTCTTCGTCACATACTCCTACTACCCTAGCCTTCACCTTCCTGGATGACTATCGCCTCGATCTCTCAGTTCGCTCTCTTCTTGGTAGCCGTTCACGCCTTCAGGACGTTCCTAAAATTGCCCAGCTTATTGAGAGCCGCCTGCACACATGGTTCGATGAGCGCTGCGTCGAGCCTCGATTCCAGCAAATTGTAGTGCCTAATGTTTGGCCGCGCAAGAAGAACACCCGCGGCGGCGACGAGGGCGGCTCTGCCGGCGAAGAAGGCTCCGAGCAGGCGGCCGAGGAACCCGCCGTCGACGCTATGGCCGAAAGCATCGAGACGGTCATGGATGGCGGCAGCAAGGCCGGTGGACGCACGAACGGCTCGGCGTCGCAGGCAGCTTCTTCCAGCTCGGCAGCGCTACCGAAGCCGCAACGGCAGTTCGCTCCAGGCTCGGCGAATGAGCTTGAGGCCCGCATGGCTGTGGAGGGCCAGAAGCTTCGCGAAGCCGAGGAAAGGGCCGGCCGGGTGGAGCGTGCCCGACAGGGTAGGGAGTTGAGAGACGAGGGCGTGCGGTTAAGGGCGGGACACTCACATTCGGCGAGTCGAGAAGCTAGCGCGAGAGGGGATTGGCGGACCAGAATGCCGGGCGGAATATCTGGTGTGGGTACTCCCACTGCAGAGTGATGGTGCTGGCATTCCGGCTAAAGGGGCTCCGCTTGAATCAAGCAGGAGTAGGAAAACGCTGCAGGTGATTGCGAAGAGAGGGTTGTGGAAGGTCCCACATGCCTTTTTCAAACTTGAAAGCGTGTTGCGTCCCCAAGTGAGTGTACGATTTCAGCATGGCATGGCGTTGGAGGAATTCTGCCACAGGTACGCAATCATCTCTACATCTGTATTTTATCAAAGTCCTGGAGATCACCCTGCATGTTTGGGTGTGGATCTAATTCAATCACAACTCCCATTGCGAACACTTCTTTCGTCCTTCAGATTCTTATTTCTGTAATTCCTCAGAAGTACATGTTCCACGACGCTGCTACTGCGCTGGTTTCCAAGGTATGTCCAACCTTTCAAGAGCTCTTAACTCTGCGGACCCACCGAACGTCTGTTATACGTCTGTGCTTTCTTCGAGTGGTCCGGGAATCCGTGATAAGGGATGGGTCTAAGGGTATAGGAGACTGTTGAGATGGATGCGTAGAGGTTCACGCCAAGTGGTGGCGTCTCGTACACTGTGGGGAAATTTTTCCATAGGTGCCGCCAAGGGTCCAATTTCGCTTCTCACGCCGGACAGCAGACGATAGTGCCATGATGGCGCCAAAGGGTCCGAAGGTCACACCTGACAGCTTCCTAAAGTGCGGTACTATGATGGCTGCTCTGCTGATACTGTTGTGTGAGAGTCATGTATCTCAGAGAAAGGTGTGTGTATCGTTTTACGTGTACTATCTACACTTAGTCACTGCCCTTCCCCCAACAGCCATCGCCATGCTACTCTGATCCACCCTCAATTTCACACTGGGATCGGAAAAGCCGGCTTGCCGCCACAAGGATATCCTCACCAGCGTCCCGGATTCGGACTCGGAACAGAATCGGCAGCTCCGGCGATCTACCCGCCTGATTTTTTGAACGGCCCGGCGCGGGATATACCCGAGTCAGTATACGAGATTGCCGAAGAGCCTCCATTGTTGCCAAGAGTCGGTGTACATAGGGGTGTTGTAGCCGAAGGCTAGCTTGGGTTTGTATTTCGCTCATACCATGGGTAGGCGAAGCTATCATCCGGAAGTAAATGTCGAATTAACGATTGTACATTCACACCCGGGCGATAGCTTCTACTACCCACATATGTTGTTCATTGTAGGAAGGTACTGAGGAATAATTCTTTTGCTATTCCTCGCGCTAGCCTTCGACTGTCACGTCACGCCTCTGGAGATGGAGAACTTCGTATCCGGTATATTCCATGTCCGAATATAGCAGGCGCAAGCAAAGAGGCGAAACGGTGGAGGCAGACGGCCTCCACTCTAAAAGCCAAGAACAAGGAAGAGTCCTGCAGCTAGCGCATTCTCCAGGAAACGGGTAAGGATGCTAGAACGCCGCGCCAGTGATTCTAGCGTAGGTGGCAAGCGCGATTCAATCATACGGTGCTCGGACCAGATGGAGCGGTCTCAGACGTGCCAGGTGGGAACACCAAGCTTGGGAACAGTACGGCCCATCTTGAACATCCAACGGAGACACAAGAGCGTACTCTGCTATAAAGTATTGTATAAGCAATATTGCTGCTCTGGCTAATGTACGTCGAGAGTATGTTTATTCTCCTTGTGCATGTCAGCCTTACGTTCGGGCATTAGCGTGGCACGAACGAGCTAAATTCTGCCCTGGAAATAGAGTTCAGCCGCTCGACTCAGCCTAGCGAGGCTTAAACATCGAGTCAGCTACATAATTCGTGCAGATCCCGCCGTGGCTGTTTCGTCATGTGCGCCATTCCTGCAGTTTCCGTAAGGAGCCGTAGGTACTTATTTTGCCATCAAATTAGTATAATTCTTCCTGATATGTACCAAGACAAGAGTTCTAGAATATGATCGGAACGTAGCATTATCGACTGGTGATGTATGCTTACAAGCATAACGTCTTATTCCCTTAGGTACTATGCACACAAAACAAACACAAAACAACTCCTATCGTTTCCTATGCTGTTGTTGCAAGAGTCAGTAACGTGTGTGGATAGACTAGTGTCTCGTACAACTTCCACGAATCGTGATGCCATTTGTGATATCGGCGGGGCGGAGCAAGCTCTGCCAAGCAACAGTCGATAGGTAGTCACCTGCTAAGGCTGTTCGAGGTTAGGAAATGCAGCAGAGCGAACTCGAGTATCACCTTCTGGTCCTTGCTTTACTACCACTGCAATGGAGCTGATATCGCCAAGATATGTAGCTGTTTCAACAACAAGCAAAGCACGGAAGGGATATATAAAGCACAAGTGCCATCAACTCTAGATCATCATCACTGACGAGCTCCTCACTCATTTGAACCAACCCGAGCATTCTTTTTGCACCGCAAGATGCATTACAGCAACTTCATCGCCCTCCTCGCTGCCGCTTCCAGCGCTGTGGCTGCTCCACTTGCTGCTCCCGAGGCGGCTGCTGAGAGCATCCAGGCTCTGGACAAGCGCGCTCCTACGGTCGCTCACGACTCTCTTTGGCCCATGCCTGAAAAGGTCCGTGGTGGCGTTGAAGGTAATGCCATCCGCCGCTACGAGCCGTTCCTCCACATCGCTTCCGGCTGCCAGTCGTACACCGCCGTCAACGACAAGGGCCAGGTGAGCGGTGGTCTCGACAACACTGGCAGTGCCACCGGTGGCTGCAGGGATGACCGCCGCGGTCAGACCTATGCCCGCGGTGCCTGGCACAATGGCCGCTACGCCATTATGTACGCCTGGTACTTCCCCAAGGACCAGATCTCCGACGGCGGTGGCAACTTCGGTCACCGCCACGACTGGGAGAACGTCGTCATCTGGATTGACAACCGTGAGTTTCCCTCAACCTGGCAGTTCATTTGGTGAATTGCATGACAGCTGACACTTCAATCAATAGCGGCCAACGCCAACCCCCGCGTCTTCGGTGCCGCCGCTTCGGGTCATGGCTCCTACAAGAAGACCACCAACCCCCAGATGCGCGATGGCAACCGCCTCCAGGTCGAATACATGACCAACTTCCCCACGAATCACGAGCTGCAGTTCAAGACCAGCCCTGGCCGTGACTTCTGGATGGTCGATTGGAGTACGCTCCCTAAGGCTACCACGGACGCCCTCAATGAGCACAAGTGGGGCAAAGCCAACTGTCCGTTCAACAAAGACAACTTCAACAATAACCTCAACAAGGCTTGGGTCTAAGCCAAACACTCACAAACTCCTCTGTCTACCCACAATTCAAGCCCGACACAACTGCTTGGGTGTGTCATTTGCTTGCACACTTAATTCAAACCTTCATTGTTTGCAATTTTGCTTCTACATATATACTTATACCTTCATGAACTACACGTATATTATCACATTCTTCCTTCATCAGAATCCTTTTTTATGGGTCGTTAAAGTGATGCAGAGTGCACTAACATGTACCCTTGGCTTATGTGAGCATTATCTGTTGAAGCGATGGCTAAGCCAACAATCGGCACTTCGTCAAGAAATGTGCCCGGTGCTTCTACATAAGACCTTTTACCTGGTGCATTCTCTCTTTTTAAGTAGGAATCTACGGCGAGGTACGAAAGACAAAGGTTACCTTCCATATTACATAAGAGGAGCTATCTTTATGTATGTTTTTTTTACTATGGAGCCTCAGATCGCCTATTTAAAGGCCTTCTACGTAAAACTACCACTAGTAGTATGTTTCTTTTAATTCTATCCTTCTACATTGTATCTTCTTCATTGTTTCTACGAATTAACGTACTCTTATGCTCTAGAGATCTAATAATGGTGTTCATCATTATTCCATAACTTATAGCGTAGACAGCAGATTTACTCACTGATGCAATGCAACAATTTTCAAGAGTGTCTCACCGTGCCATATGACAATTTATATCCCTTTGTAGGCACAGCAACAGAGAGGTCTTATCCACAGACAGCCCAGAGAAGTTTTGAGTCCTTAATAGGCCGGAGAATCAACTTCCCTGGGCGCTTCTTATAGCGGTTGTCATGAGCCTTCAGAGGCTCGCTGCTTTATTTTTCGCCGCACGTTAAAGCAATGGCTGCCACTACACGTGCTCGGGAGGAATTCACGTGTCCACGGAGGTTTAGGTAGCCAATCTCAGGACCTTGTCACATGGTACATATTCAACGGTGCACGATGACCTCATGATCCAGTCTCGGTACATAAACCAGTATCTTGGAGTTTTTAGGCTTCAATTTCTGGGCAATCTGCCACGACTGTGGATCAACAGCTAATTATTTTAAAAAGTGCGGGTAGTACGGCATGCAACTGGGGTGAAATGTATTATGTGTTCCGGGGACCTTCTGCGCACTGTTCTTGAGACGCATTCTCTTGAGCGGTAGCTATACCCTTTCAATACGGTCCGGCAGCGAGAATAAGTCATACTGAGATTCAGCATCTACTTTTAATGATCTAAATTCATCTTTTCCGCTTCGCATGATTTCTAGTCTGGCATAGCAAGTTGCAAAAAGGCTTGCCGAACAGTCGCAGGTCAGCTAGAGATAATGATGTGTGGGTCTCACGCTTATGCAAGCTACCTCCAAGGCAGATGAATAGCGCACAATTCACTATCGCTGTCAGAGATGCTTCAAAAATCGGATAGTGATACGCAAACTCTAAGCCGGATCACGGGTAATTCTCCGCGCGTGAGCTTCCCACTAACCATGTGGGAAACTACCAACATGAACTCGATTCATATAAACAATTGAAGCCATCGTCTGAACATAAATGTGCTACACTTGTGTCCAGAAATTTCCTTCAGCTACCCATGACATTGGTTTTGACAACTGTGCTTCGACTCAGAAAATTTGAAGCAGCACCCTTACCAACTTCCTCACTTTCCATTCCCCACCGACATCATCCCATATCCACCTTCACCATCACTCCTTCCTGCGGCTTTCCATCACCTTCTTCAGCACAGCGTCGTCGATTATTTGCCTTGGCCACCACAAAAATGCCGCCTGGGAATATTGCGGTATCAGGAACCAACACAAAAATACTCCAGCAGTACGTAAGGGATCCGGTTGCTGAGATGACCAGTCATTCCTAGTCAGCATTCCAAATCTTTGAGGGTTTCAGGGAATAGCATGTCCAAGATAGCCTGTACTAGGTATCCCCAGAGATGCCTTTTATACCCCAGCCGCATTCGGCTCTCTCCACCACCGCCAAAGTACCGCACGTGAGACAACTACTGATTCACGTGCCGTCTTTCCCGTCTACCCTTCGTAGACGCAGTACCGCCAAACTGCCGCGCATCGTGGTGTAGATATGTACGTGCCTTTCCTGGCAAGAATACAAGTACACAGCCGCAAGCATTGACTGGTGAAAGCTCAATTTGCATGGTCAAGACCTGAATTCAACGTACGAGCAGAGAAAATTATTCCCCTTCCCCAAGAATCCATAGCGATCTACTTCGAATACTCTCGAGCTGAAGAACAGAGAAGGAACTCGAACAGCAGTACACGCATTCTTCCTTTCCTCCCCGCAAGACACTGACTTCGACCGAGAAATCTATCAGTGGAAATACCCATGCTCGTAGCGGATCACTCTTCCCATGCCACCCCTCCCTCTCAGTACAACATATCAAGACAGTGACTTAAACAGCAAAAAAAAAAAAATCCAACGCCAAGCAGAAAAGATCGCAATCAGTTCTGCACGCCATGCAAAGCCGAAACCAAGACGAGAAACTCTTCCCTAAGAAAAAGGCATAGGAGAAATAGGAATGATGGCACTGAATCAGCGTCTGAACAACGGAAAAGTAGTAGTTAAAAGATGAAGTTCTCCCTGGCTTCCTCGCCTTCCCCTGTTTCCAAAAAGAAATATTTTTCTCCTCCTCCCATCACTTTTTTAAACCCTAACTCTTCCTTCTTTGTGCCTCGGACTCTCCGGCTCCGCATCCGTGCTACCATCCAGATTCGCCGCATCCTCCTCATCGCTGATCAAGCCCTCCAGCTCAAACTCTTCCGCATCGCGCAGGCGCTGGGCGTCGGATCTCGAGTGCGGGCGGCGGGCGTGGCCGTTAAGCTGACCGCGGCCGCTCTCGGGGTCGGGCTTAGTAGATTCCGGCCAAGCCCAAGTGGCGTAAATGTGGAGGAGCATGTTGACGACTATGGATTATCCCTGTTAGTGCCGTGTTTCACGTATATGAAGACGCATAAAGGGGTTGACGTACAGAGGTAAAGAAGGAAGGCAACGCCGTAGAGAATGAGGACGTAGGAAACGTGGGTGACGTGGGCGTCGGAAAGAAGCGCCATTTGCTCCTCAGTCGCGCCCATAAAGAGGAAGCCGGAAGTGTAGAGGAGCTGCAGAAGTTAGCTTTGAGTAGTGCGAGAGCGTGAGAGTTGAACATACGAAGGGAGGGAGGTGCTGCCAGCTGTTAATCTCGGCGCCGTCGTCAGAGACACCATTCTTGTCCTTGAGGACGAAAGAGATTTCGATGATACGGGTGAGGCCGGCCGCCATGAGGGTGTAGCCAAAAACAGTGTGGACCATGGTAGACAGAGGCAGCGTCTGTGGGTGAGCGGACATTGCGAAGCCAGTGAGAAGAATAACGATGCCAGGAATGAGGTTCCTCTTGGGCCTGCCGTCCCTGCTCCTGCTCAGCCAGATACCAAGGAGACCAGCACACCACCAGACGATTCCCATGGAAGTGTGTTGTAGGTCGTTGTGAACCCAAGGGCCTCCCCAGCGGTGCTCTGTGAAAGTGTTGACGCATCCCCAAGCCGCAATCATAACCGAGTCGAAGAATTCCTGGCTCCGTCCGGAACGCTTCAACCACGCCTGCCCGACCAGGAGCAGAATGGTCATAATAATTCCGTAGCCAATAAATGCGCTGCCCATGATGAAGTGCGCCAGACATTGGCCCATGTGGTCACCGCGGCAAAATCCGAGAGAAGTGATGCCGCCGAACAGCATCTGGGCCCAGGCGGCAACGGGAATGAGCTTGCCCACAACGCCGTGAGCGGGGACAATGAATCTCCTGATCTTTCCGTGGATGCCCTTCTCGAGGTGGAGCTTAAGGTAGACACCGAGGATAACTTGGGCGAAGACCATCCACATCAACCATGGGGCGAAGCTGCCGTGAACACCTGGCGCAAATTGACGACCCTTGTGCTTATGTCCGAGCATGTATCCGACAATGGCCATTACGGTCGCGACCGATTGGAGTGGTACATGCCACCTCGAGCGAGTGATCTAAACAGGCAGGTGAGTGGAACCGCTGCGTAAGCGGGAGAGGGCGGGATTGAGGAAAACGCACGCCCAAGACCATGCCCGTGGGGTATAGCACGCCCCAGGCGAGGGATTGAAGGAGAATGTGTATCCATAGAATAGCGTCCTGTTTGGACCATCAGTATGCGATTCCAGCTGGCCGACGCGGGGGAGTTTGGCGGTGTAACGCACTATGGGATCAGATGAAGCGTACTGGCCCTCAGGGATGTTGTCCATGTGGTGTTCGTGTGCTTTGGTGGTGGCAGCAAGGCAGAGTACTGCCAGGCCAACGGCGCGCGCGGGCTTATAGACCGCCCTCATGATGGGTGGACTGTTGCGACGGGGATGAAACAGAAGATGTACGCTGGGCAGCCGAAGTCCGCGACGGACGGTGCAGCAGCGACGGGAGGCGAACCAGGATGCGACAGGAAGTCGGGCGGCTCTCACGGGGCGAGAGGTTGTTTACAACGAGAGGCTCGGAAAGTAGTGAGAAGATCACCCCGAAAGTGAGAGTTGGCTTCGCAGTGGAACGGCACGAGCATCCGGGACGAGGCGGCGTTCGCATACGCAACGCGCGAGTCAGTTAGTCAGCACTACTCACCCCGGTCGCCGCTGCATCATAGCCTGCCTTATCCGCCCAGGGCCCGCCCGCATGGATGCTTCCCGCAACAAAGCCCACCACTATCAGCATGGATTCGAGCAATGCACGCCGTGATCAACGCGACGCGGTGGAGCCGGACTCGTCACTTGGGGGTGAAAGTCCCCAGATGCGCCCGCACGGAGACAAACGCCTGGTATGTTGTGTATTCGTGTCGTTTATTTTAATTCTCCTATCGGCGTTTACGCATTACTGACCTAGAGCCCCAGCCGAACGCGCAAGCCCGCACGGCCGCGCTCCAGGCCACGCTCGCCGATCTGACCGCGCGGCGCGCCGACGTGCTTAAAGAATTGACGGCCATTCCCTCTGTGGCTGCAAAACTCCCCTCCCACGCGGCTGCCACGAATCCCACCGCCAAGTCCGAGGCTGACGCCAATGCCGAAAAGGATGCCGCGGTCCAGGCTGCAAAGGACATCGTCCAGCAGCACATCCGCCGTCTGCAAAACTACAACGAAATGCGCGACATTGGCCAAGGCTTGATGGGCATCATCGCCGAGTCCAGGGGCGTAAGGATCAAAGAAGTCCAAGAGGAGTTTGACATTTCCGCCAACGACTGAGACAAAGGACGCGTGCGTCCTCGAATTGCGCTTCCGATGAGCTGGGCTTATTGGCGCTTGTGGCGCTCTGTGAAAAGGTAGCCATCCGCTTCTGCAGACCCTGTGCAACATTAAGGAGGTGCTGAACTCGAGCGACAGGAGGCTGCCTACAAATTACGACGGCCATATCGCTAGTCTGCTCATTTATGAGTGACGAGGCTGTGCTTCGCTTGCTGTCCGACAGTCAGCTGGCTGGCAAACGACCAGGCTGATGGATGTGCTGTCGCACCCCGCTCCTGGTGTGAGGTCGCACTCAGCTACTTTAGATGAAACAGCGTTAGGGCGGTGTGGAGAAAATGCTCTAAATTCGTAGTGTGACCTCTGTACGATCGCCGTCTATCGCTATGCCGAAAATGAACCCCAAGCAAGAAAGATGTATACGTAGGATATTTTGATCCGCTGCGAGCCTCATGGACGCCAAGCAAATGCCTATATTCCTGGCTTAGAACCTTAGAACCCAAAACGCCTCGCTGCAAATTAGAAGAAAGCCCTAGGGCTGGGCGGCAGATGCCGCGGGGTGGACGTATGAAGATGCGGAGAGACCGAAAACCATGCAGCAATGCAAAGATCAAGGAAATCATGTCGTCGGCAACCGAGTGTTGCGTCAGGCCTTCTTCTTCCCGTCATCACTGGCAGAGTCGTCCTCGTCCATGTCCTCATCGAACTCCTCGTCGTCATCGTCTTCGGCGTCAAAGTCGTCCATGTCGGAGTCGGAGGCACCGAAGTCCGAGTCGGCATCGCTGTCTTCCCACTCCATGTAGATATCGTCATTCTTCTTCGACTTGAAGGCGTCCTCGTGGGTAGGCATGACGTAGCCTTCCGGAATGTCCTGTTTGCTGACGTCCAGATCCTTCTTGACCATCTCCTTGTACTTGGCAGGGTCCTTGCGCAGCATGACACCAGCATCGACGTTTGCGGGAGACGAGGGCTCAGCGTCATCGAGCAGGGACAGGATGGAGAGCAGGACCGACTCGACACGCTGGGCTGGCGACCAGCGTTCGGATGCGAGTTCGCCGGACATCTCGTCATCGCCTGGCGGGTGGAGAATGGAGATGCAGAGACGACCATCAGGGTACACGTTAGGATGCCAGAGCGGGCGCATGAACTTAAAGTCTGGGCTAATGAGCGGAGTGCCGGGTGAAGGATGACCGAGCATGCTCACCTGGCGGGCTGAAGGGATAGTTCTTGGGGAAGTTCATCTTGGCCTTGAAGTATCCGCCATAGTAGATGGAGTCCGGGTTCAGGACGATAAGGGCAACATCCCACTCGAAGATGTTCTCGTTGACAAGCTGCGAAAGGGGCCGGTCAGTAAGCGTGACGTCCCTAGCGAGGAAAGGGCGGCGGCTAGAGCTGTAGAAACGAGAAGGTGTGCAAGAGGGGTTCTCCCTGGACAGGGTCCACGGATGCGGGCGAAGCAGAGGAGAGAGCGGGGGGCGATAAGGGACGGCTTACCTCGATGTTGGTCCACGACTCCTGGGCGAGAGCCTTGTACTCGTTCATCAACACGCGCTCGGCCATGGTGACAGGGTGTGGCGGGGGGCAGCAGTGCGAGGGTCGGCGGGAGGGTGGAGGTGGTGGAGGAAGGGCGCAACCGGGCAGAAGTTAAGAGTCGGGGTTTGGTAGGCGTGACCCAGCAAGGTACGGTAGCGTGGTTCCGCAATCGTCAGGCGGCGGCAAGGTCGAGGCGCATAAGGCTGACGGCAACGGCGGTCCGAAGCCGGCTAGACTGCGCGCGGGCGGATCAGCGAGCGCAAGCATTGCGCCCTTTCTCGCGCCCGCCAGCCCGACGCTCGCCGACGACCGCCGCGAAGGAGGCAGAGCCTTCGCGCCGGCGCTGGCCTTCTGAACCATCGGCTACGCGCCCGCAGCGCTTCGCATGTCAGCCGCTGCGGGCCCCTGCGGCGCTAGCGAAGCGGGGGCGGATGCTGTGCAGGCGGCTGCGGCGCATGATGATGATGCGAGGATGCGGCGAGAAGGCCGGCGGCGGAGGTGTTGAGGGTTGAGCTGAAGCGTCGAGAGGGCGGTACTTACTCCAGCCCGGAAGCCAGTCTCGCTTACACCGCCTTCTGCTCGACTCCCAGCATCTCGATCCTCCCGCCAAGCTGCCGTGATCCCGCACATTCCGCATCCAACCCTGACTGCATCTGCGTCAGCATGAACGCAACAGCTTCGAGATCGGGACACAGATTGCTTGCAGCGCCCCCTGCCGGCCCGGCCCGAGACGCTTTTCGTTCCCACTGCTTGCATCTCTCCGCTTCCCTTGCCTCTCCAATTTTGTCAAATTTTGTTCACTGTCTTGAAGTATCAAACAAAGATCGCCCTGGCTCCCTCCGCGCCATTGAGGATCATAGTGGATCACAAACTCTTCCTCTTCCAAATCAACCCCATCAGAAAGATCTACATCTACTTATGCAGGTAATTGAGGTTCAAATCTAGGTATTACTGTTTCATATGAAAATCACATCCGTATCCGAATATCCGCTTGAAGTGTCCATAGACAGAGTGCAGTGTCTTCCACGAGAGATCAAAGGCTATGTTTTCGGTAACCTACAGAGGAATCCCCATCCACACCTCGCCGCTTGTCATACTAGTTCTGTGAGTTTAGAATGTATTAATGCCTAATAATAATGTGGTCTACTGCGCAGGTGGATGCAGTTTGCAGAGGCACATAAGCCACTGCACCCGTAAGCTGCCTAGGCAGGACAGCGATAGCAAATTTGGGCAATATGGAAAGGCACCCAACACCCAAACATGCTCCAGGAAAATGAAGAGAAAATGAGCCGTCAAACACATCCTCCTACGTACAAACTGCCCTCTTTGTTCCATTCTCCCTCCTCCGCCCCACAATCACACAGTATCCTACCACCACCTCGCTCTCCGCATCTCAAATTCCGGCTCTACCCGCTCCCTCCAGCACACCGCGCACAAATTCGAAAAGTTCATCGGCGGGTTGTGGCAGAATTCGCACTTGGTCGAGCCGCCCGCTCCCCTGGTCGGCCCTGGCGGCGGCGATCCCGGCCCCAGCAATCCCCTACGTCCGCCTCCACCCCAACCGTCGTCGCCACGCCTCCTCTGCGGCGCTGGTCCTGGAGGCGGGTGGTAGGTTGAGAGGTCGGGGCGGGGTCTCAGGCACGGGATGAAGTCACGGAAGCTTCGTGGACTTCTGGTGCAGCACGGCGGCGGCGGCGATGGTGGTGCACCACGCCTCCGGCTGCAGTCGAAGTGGATGTGGCGATGGCGATGGCGGTGGTTGTGGAAGTGATTGGGCATTTCCTCTGCTGAGATGTATCGCTCGAAGGAACTTCCTTGGCCCATTTCTTAAAGGGGTTCCCAGTGTTTTAATGGTAGATGGTGCAAAGAGTATGATTTCGTGTGCCGGTTTGGGTGTTAGATCTGGTTAGGTGAAGTTGTTGCGGAGATTTGGTGGATGAGTACGTTGGAACTATATCGACGACACGCGAAATCTACTGTTTCTTAAGTGTCGGAGGGTTTGCGTTTTCAGCTTTGGGATCTGTACATGTGGACGCGTGTGCAGTTGTGTGGCACCCCTTGTGCGTTGTCGGCGGAGGGCACAACGCGACGCACGTCGTTAAAAGGCAAAAAGAAAGTTTTTACCACATATCTGCGTTTGCTTGATCAGCACCTCAAAGCATGATAGTCAAATAAAACAGTCATCCTACTCAAGCCAGGCATTGTGTGCAACGTAACCGATTTCATGTTGAAAGTGCCATTTCACATGGGGAAGCACTCTTATTGAGCATGAATAGGACTCTTACATTATGCCCAGGGATTTGGGCGTCCTATGTCAGGTGGTGCTTCCCACTCATCGTGCTTCTTAGACTTTTTACCATCACCGCCTCCACGCTTGAAGCACGAAAATCCACGCTTTTTAGGTTTCTCTTCTTTTGAATCCGATTTGCCAGACTTTCCCTTCTTGCGGCGACTGCGGCGATACTGATCAGGCAGTTCATCAGCTTCGTAGGATTGGAATTGACCCATTTCGTTAAAGCGAAAGGCAATTTAAGAATGTACAGTGCTCAATGTTTATTGATACTGGAGTCAAATATTGCTAGTTTGTTGACCGGTAAAGGTAGAATCCAGAGGTGCGGAAAGTTAAGGCGGCTTAAATATATTTTTCAAGGTAAAATCAGGTTCTCTAATTCGCACAGGTGGACTTTTTGAAGCGGACTTTCTGAAGCGCAGCAGCTCAACGTGCACAATGGATGTGCTCTACCTAACTCAGGGGTATGAAAAATCTCAGTGCTCTCTACGTGTCAGCCTTTTTGTCGTACATGAGCAAACACTTCGTATAAAACTAAGAATGAACTCAAATCGAGGATTCAGGGGTCGTATATCAGGTGCTAGATACCAGAGCATGCGGTCTTCTAGGTAGGAAGGTCACTGGCTTCAGGAAGTGTTGTTCTGTTTATTTCGCCGCTGTGTCTTTAACAGTGCCCTTGACTTTCCATGAGTTGGTTGCGGCATTATTGCATAGTGGCATCGTGGATGTGCACGAGCGAACTGGTATACCGATGCCGACTTGAAAATCTATTCGTTGGAATGCACAAGCTCCCTCTATCTACCACTTCTCTTATCTATCAACCCCAATGCCAAAGGCTCCATAGGACTCTATTATGCGATTCTAGTCTCTCAGACCTTAACGGGCTCCACCCCATTCTCAGTCTTTATATTACCCGATACATCATGCTCGTCATCCCACTTCGCCAGATCCTCCTTCTTCACCTTGAGCAGCTCATGCGTAATGGCACCATCCGGCAACTGAATAACTCTCTGGCGCATCTCATAGCCGCCGAGCCTGGGAAGCAGGTACACCCAGACCCAGTAGTAAACACCGCAGATGAGGATGATGCCGATGCCGACGACGCAGTAAGTTGCGTACCAGAAGCTGACGTCGCCGCCCGTGGCGCCTCCCTCCGGCGGGTACCAAGGCATGACGAGCAGGAAGACCTTGACGAGCAGGTAGAAGATGACGGCCGCATCCCAGCACCGGAATTCCGAACGACCGACACCGATGCGCGCGCGCTGGCGTCGGATCAAGTAGACACCGGCGGCCATGAGGAAAAGGAAGAGGGAATCCGGGTAGCTCTGGAGGTCGACGACTGTTTGTTGCGTGTCAGCTCGTCTCGCCTATTTGGGTATTAAAAAGAGTGGTTTGGGGGCGAGCGTACCAAAGTTGAACGCGTCACCCGCCGGGGGAGCCAAGATCATGAGTATTGTCATGCCCCATTTGAGCAAGTAAGGGCCGATGGGTGTACCGAACGGTCGGGTACTGGCCCAGAACGTGGGCCATGGAAGGACGCCCTGACGACCAATCTCGCGGATAACCCGGGACTGGCCGATCAGTACGGAGACGAGATTTCCAAATGCGGACAGAACGACAAGGATGTTGAGGCCTTTGGCGGCGCGCGCGCCGAAGATGGCGGTGAAAAAGAGCGATGCTGCGACTTGCTTAGATTCCATGATATCCTCTTTAGGAACTGTGGAGAAGAGGGTGGTCAATTAGTCAACTCTGTTCATCTGAATATACATGGACAAGAGGCCTCACTTACCAGCAGCAAAGTACGCGATGTTGCACAACATATACAAGATGGCAACGATGAGCAGCGAGAGTGGCGCCGACTTCTTAATCGTTTTGACCGGGTTTTTGATTTCGTTCATCACGTTGAAGGCATTCTGGTAACCCGAATATGCAAAGGTGATCTTCACTAGGGCGTTGGCGAGGCCGTTGCCATTGCTCGTGGTTCCAGCAAAGGCGTCCCGGAAATTGATTTTAGGGTCAGCCACGGAGGTATGGCCGCCAAGGCATACGAGACCAGTAATGCTTATGCTATTTGTACGGGTAAGCAGGCGATCCCCATTAGGGCTGATTATGAGTAAGGAGCCCACTCACAATACCAGTGTCGCAACCTTGATGAAACCGATTATATTGGATAACCATAGAGCAAGCCTGTTGTTTGCGATGAGTACTATGGGTTCAATCAGTGCGAAATTTCTTCACTCGATACAGGGATGCTTACGAATAACAGCAAGTGTGTAACCAGCGACAGCAATTCCTTTCAACTCCCAGTCGCTCCCCTCACGATCTGTCATGCGGAATATGTATTGTGCAAGCACTATTAATTTCTTGTTAGTGTCTCTTCCTACTTATCTCTCAATCTCAAATGGTACTCACCGATAGCATTGCTGCTACTGAATGACAGAATGACGGTTTGCACGGCGAAGGCGACAGGGAAGAAGTATTTTGGTCGCGGGTAAGCCTGTTCAAGGTACACGACTTCGGCGCCGGAACGAGCTGGGAAATAGGATGCAAGTTCGAGGTAGACACCCAGTGCACAGCAGGAGATGATGAAGCCGATGAACCAATACATCAAACTGAGACCGACGGAGCCGGTATTGCTTAGAATCGAAGCGGCTGCATGCAGTGTGGTATTAGCTTGTATTTATGACAAATGACAGAAACATAAGGAAGCGTAAGTAGTAGTTGGGAGAACTGAATGATAACCCTTGAGCTAGTGATTACCACTGTAGCCATGGAGGGCTTGACCAGTGGACTAGAAGCCGTTCAAAGTATACTCAAACATTGACTTCGTCCAGGGCAGCTCGGTGAATCACGCAGAAACGCAAAACAGAAAGCGTGGACTGAAATAAACAGCGCACTTACGCGTCGAGAAAACACCAGTACCGATCATCTGTCCAATGTTCAAGAAAATGATGGTAAACCACTTGACTTCGTACCCAAGGGGTGAGTACGACTCAACAGGTGCGCCGGACGCCTCCTGATAGGTCGGAAGTGATCCATTGCCACCCTGTTCAGCAACGTACTCGAGGCTACCATTCTTGAAAGCAGCCGACTCCCCCGAAGGGGAGGCGACGCGCTCGGCGATGTGTTTGTCGTCTGGGTCGTGGTGCAGTGACATGGCGGAAGTTTGCGGGATCGTCGGCTGGCTCTTTCACTTCCAGGTTGGTCTGCCAGACTATCTCGCAGCAGAAAAATCGTAAAATGGCAACTTTGAATGCTCTCCGAGCTTCCGAGAAGCGTATTTGGCGACAATGAGAATCAAAGGGTGGCTGGAGGGTAGGACATGGCGATGGTGTCCCATGCTGGCGCAAAGGCGGAGAGACCTTCAAGATTAAATGTGCGATCGGCTAGCATGGTTGCATCCAACTCGTAGAGCTCTCTTAGCCCGCAGTAGGCAATGCCGTCCGCCGTGGCGATAAGCAGGGGTTGGGCGTTATCATGCAATGCCTATTCTGGATGACGCCATTGGCTAACGGGCGGGGATGCAACCTAAAACAAATTATTATAAGAACCCTTTCAGCGGCGCCAAGGCCCGTCTCTTCTCACTGGCGGATCAGGCCCCATGTAATTGCGCCAGACGACCCTGGTCCGTCACAATAACATAGCGGCTCTATCTAGATAGCTGATGGTTGACCGAATCGACACACTTCGCTCGGCGCCATCCTGCCCAGTGACTTGGGTTTGCTTGGCACCTGCGAAAAATCGTTAGAACTATTGTCATGCCCGCTCTTGGGTTACGAGGCATAGGTGCTGCTGGCTCTGGTTGCTCAGAGCTGGCTACGCGTGGTGGTGCAACAAATCCTGCTATCGGGTGTTCCAGAGCCTTGTCTCCCCCGATTCCTCATTGAGATAGCAGGACGTCCCAAGCGCCTGGAAACTCCCTGTCTGGGTTCGGAACTTCCCTCTATGACAGGCAGTAGCGAAAGTCACGGTTGCAGTCCGGCCGTTGACAGTCGCCCAGACTGCTGTTAGCGTACCAAGCCACGGCACTTAGCAGAGGCGTTGACTAGATCTTCCGGCATTTATCACGCCTTCAACTGCTTGGGTTGCGTTGTACCAGAACCACTCCTCGGATCTGGCCGAACATTCAAAACGGATCACCCCCGCTGAAGTACGCGGCAAGTGGAGACGTGCGGCGCGGTTGATGGGTAGATAGCGGTTGTAGCCGGCACATTGCATCGATATTCGAACGGGGCTGAAAAATTGCACTAGGCAAAGATTAGTTTTGATTGCACCATCCCGTACATGTACAGATATTGAAAGTCTCAGAATGTTCCTAATAGAGTGTAAAAGGTGTGCGCCGATGATTTTGATAGCTCGTGGCGTAGAACCCGAGCGTACCATCGTGGTATTCCATGACTGCGAAAAAAAAAAAAAGAAACCTGCGGGTGCTAGCAGTAAAGCCATTGTACGTGGTCTGAAACCATCACAGGCTAGTTTAATTGAAATGAAGAAAATATATCATTAAGAACAAGTAAAGGTAGGGCAATAGTCAATCTGTGTGCAACTGCATCCCTGAATGATGTATGCCAATCGTGGTATCTCTGAAAGTCAAACCTCCCAATACTCCAACCTGATAGTCCACGGCACTTTGGCCTCCATACCGATACACCAAGTTTTCGAAATGTATGTTGTGACTATGTTGATAGCATAGACCTTGGGTATGCCTCCAGAAAGTCTCAACGCAATGTTGCGGCATTGGGTCCGGCGTTTTCCTTGCCCATATCCCGTTCCCGCTTCTTTTGCATGACGCGTTCTCTAGCTAGTTTCCTGCGTGTCTCTTCTGATGTAAGGCCGTTGGAGGGTTTGGCAGAAGTTGAAACCGAGGGATTGGCCATAGATTGAAGATGGCGGTCACTCTTCACCCGCCTTGGATTGGTAGCAGCTTGTGCTTCGGAAGGCACAGCAGTCCGGTGGCCGGGCCTTTTCACTGGCGAAACAGGATTGATTGGCCTCGCTTCCACAACGGAGTCTCCGTTTGCCATCCAAGGGTCCTCGACAGCCGATGTACTTGCAGTCTTCGCATGCGCGCGAGAAGTCGCAGGCTTATCTGCTCTATTTCCAGACGTGAAGCGGCGCGGACGCCTTGGAGAAGCGCCCAGTCGGCTTTGCTGTTCCATTGGTGGAGGCATCAAAGTATTTTTTGTCAGCGGCTTTTGCTCAATTGACTCGGGTTTTGGTTTTGGCTTCTCCGACCGATTCCGACCATTGACAGGCGTGGCGTCAAGCATGTAGTGGCTTGCTTCCTGTGGGTCTAGCATCATCTGATCAAACTCGCGTTCCAGCTCAGTCTTTGGCAGACTGTAGTCTGCGGGCAGATCGGACGTCGCATTTCCCTCCAAGACAGCCAAACGTTTCTTGAGCGTAGCAATTTCGGTGGTTGACTTGAAGTTCTCGGCCATGGCTTCCCTCAATTGTTCTTTGTAATCCTTGTTCTTAGCTTCAAGCTCCTTCTCGCGCTGTGCATGGCGCCTTCGCTCGACCTCTAGCTTTTCGTTCAACTCCAGAGCTTCGTGATCCTTCTTCCTAGCGTAATCCTTCGTGATCTGAAGTTTCTTGATGATCTTTCGGGCCTCCTTCTCGCTCTCAAACGCAAATGCCAAATATTGCTCCTTCCAGTACCGTCCAGACTCGGACCGAGGCTCCATAAGGTCTAGCGTCACGTCGCCGTCATCTTTTGCCCGCGGTTTTTGTTTCAAAGGCGGTTGTGCTAGCGGTTGTGCTAACGATTGTGCCGACGGCTGTGTCTTGGCTTCGGTGCGCTTGGATGAGTCCCGTGCTGCGTACAGTTTGGCAGTAAGCTTGGAGCTTGAACTGGGTCCCTCTTCAGGCTCCTCGGCAAGAGCATCGACCTTCGGTGTCCACGGACTCGGAAATTTTCCGGGGCAGTTGTTCGGGATCCCACTTCTACCGCCTCCGTTGGTCCGTTTGCCTTCGTTGTCAACCACCTGGGCGCCGAACGATACAGTCTTGCGGTCTCTCACGGTGCCCGGCGTTGAGAGAATGCCACCTGGAAGCCTTGGTTTATCGGAATCGACAGCATTCTTGAGGCCGAAGTTTGGGGGAAGAGGTCGCGAAGTGGCAGGGAGATCAGCTTTGGGTTCGAACTTGGCGGGCTTGACGGTCTCGGGTGGAGCGGGTGTGCCGAAGATTGCGTGCTTGATGGCGCGGGCAGCGAAGACGGGAGCAGGCGTCTCGGGAGGCTCGAGCTGTGTATCGTCCACAGCTTCTGTATTCATGCTGTCAATGGCATGGCGGCGCAGAAACTACGGAGTGGGCGAACCTTGTGGGTTGTGAGCAGGATTGCGCGAGCCTGACCACCAAGATAACATGGTTGCTAGGCAGGCAGGTGCAGCGGGCGTTCGGTCGCAGATAAGGACTAAGGTGGCAGAAGGCGCGACTTTGTGCGCATTGACCGCGGCCAGGCACGGAGCGAGTAGGCGCGATGCGAAAATCCGGGGCGCGACGTGTGTGGGGAAGGTCGGTGGAGGTGATGAGTGTTTTGGGTTGGGGCAGCTGTGTGTTGACAGTTGCGCGCCGCCAAAACACAGGGCGCCGGGATCCAGCGCGGACCCACGCGCGCTTCACCGCCTTCGCGGCCCCGCTATCGATAAGATTCCCTGGCAGCGCGCGCCTTGACTGTCGGGCTTCGTGCGCCAGCTTCGACGCCTACTCTTTCCACCACCTGCGCTTTTACCAAAACACCCACCCGTTCGCTTCGCGTCATGATCTCCACCGTGTAAAGGGCTGCAGCTTCGGCTGCATTCTCTAGGTCCCCGCTACCCCAGGCCTACTTTCCCATCCCGACGCACTGCCCACCATGGCTCCGACCAAATCCCCGTGGAAGAAGATCGCGACCGCACCCAAGACTCCGACTAAGACGAATGGCAAATCTGCTGCGCGCCCATCCCCGGCGAAAGCCCAGCAGTCCGAAGATGCTGCAGCCCCCACGCCACAAGCTGCAACCGCCAACTATGCCCAGGCCCAAGCCGACGAGATCGAAGCCTTGAAGGCCATTTTTATGGAGGAATATGAGGACGTTGAAACTAAAGGAGCCTGGAGCAAAACCGCTGACCGCGCGTTCAAGCTTGCGCTCAAGTCCTACACTAACTCAGACATCAACGCCCTCCTGTCCGTCCGATTCACAGCCACCTATCCCAAGACTATCCCAATTCTAAAACTTGAGGCCACTAATGGTTTGCGCACCAAAACCCAAAAAGTTTTGGAGGACCTCGTGAAGACGAAGCCCAATGAGCTTCTCGGTGAGGTCATGATCTTCGAGATCGCCACCGCCATTCAAGAGTTACTCGAGGATGCTGTCGCCGACCGCAAGGAAGATCAAGCCGTGCCGAGTCTGGAAGAAGAGCGCCAGGTCCACGAGGCCGCCGCCGAAGAGCTAGCCAGGAAGCAGGAGGAAGAAAGGCAGAAGAAGATAGAGGAAGAAGAAGCAGAGCAGGACCGCATCTTCAAGCACATGGTGGATCAGGAGTTGAATAGGCGGAAGGAGCAGAAGCGGCAGACCAGAATCATCTCTGCTGCTGCTGCTACAGAGACTAGCATGATCTATGGTACGTGCCGCCGAATTATTTCACCTACTACGTCGATGTTGATTTTCCCAGAAATCGAAAATGGCCCAATGAGGCCGCTCCGCCACGGACCTGTCGCCCAGGTATACGCTGTCATTCACAAGTCGATTCCGCTCGCCTTCAAGAAGGCTCTCGTTAAGGCTGAAAACAATCCAGCCCGCGTGAAGAAGCTCGTCGAAGAGTTCGACCAGGCTATGGAAGACCTGAGAAACGTGTCGCACGAGAACGTCATCACCATCCTCGATTTCAAAATTGATAGAGCACCGGAGGGCGCAGAATGGAACATCAGCATTCTTTCAGACTTTGCCGATAGAGGGTCCCTTGTCGACCTGTTCCAAGTAATTGACACTTTCCCTGCGGACAAGGTCCGCTCTTGGACAACCGATCTCCTTCAGGCACTCGACTACTTGCATCGCAGTGGTGTGATCCACAAGAGAGTCCATCCAGGCAATGTACTCTTCTGTGAACCTGCTGAAGGTGGTCCACTGTTTGTCAAGTTGGCAGACGGCGGTTTCCAACAGTGCCTTCACAATGCCATCGACGTCGCTCGAGGAGCCGAAAAGGCTGAGTCAGCGAGGTCTGCCTATTGGACGGCTCCCGAGCTTCAAGATGGCAACGGTAGGCCCTCGAGGAAAACGGACATCTGGGATCTAGGCATTGTCTTCTTACAAATGCTGTTTGGCCTCGATGCACCCCAGAAGTACAGTTCCCCGGGAGCACTGATGGAGGATATGGATATCTCAGCACCCCTCGAAGAGATGATTCGCAAGTTTTTCAGGCCTGATCCGAAGAAGCGTCCTTCTGCCTTCGACCTTATGCCTTCAGAATTCCTTCGCACTGATGCGCCTGTGCTTTCAATGCCTTCTTCGCCCCCGCGAATCCGGCTGCATTCCACCAGTAGCTCGATACCCATAGCTGGTCGTCGAATCCGCCGTGAGTCTTCGAGCTATGAAGGCAGCTACGGCAATGGACCTTTCTCCCGCTATGGTAGCGAATGGACAGAGCTTGGTCGCCTCGGAAGGGGAGGATATGGCGAGGTCGTCAAGGCACGCAACAAGCTCGACGGCGGTGTATACGCGATCAAGAAGATCAGACAAAACACCGCTTCTGCTCTCTCCGATGTTCTGTCGGAAGTTATGCTGCTCTCTAAGATGAATCATCCGTATGTCGTACGTTACTACTCCGCCTGGCCGGAGAATGAATTGGGGAGTGCCATCGACACCGGTACGTTCTCCGTTGCCCTGGAACTTGTACCATTCGTAATCACCCGCAGCGCCAAGCACACTTATTTTCGATTCTGAGAACTAACTTCCAATCACAGAGACGGAAACAGAATCAGTAGTGACTACAGAAGATACAGTGTCTAACAGCGGCCTCGATATACAGTTCACAAGGAGCAACACTGGCGGTCTTGACTTCATAAGCTCCGGAATCAATATCGAGTTTGGGGACGATTCTGAAGATGAGAGTGATACGGAAGATGAGTTCTCTGATGCTGATAGCGAAAGTGGTACTGGTACTGCCGAGACCAAGTCACCACTTAAGCTAAAACGTACAGCATCAAGTTCGAAATCTCGCGGAATCCGAACCACTCTCTACATCCAGATGGAGTTCTGCGAGCGTCAAACATTGCGCGACTTGATCCGTAGTGGTCTCTACAATGATGCAAACAAGGGATGGCGTCTCCTTCGCCAAATACTTGAAGGCCTGGCTCATATTCACAGCCACGGAGTTATTCACAGGGACCTCAAACCTGACAATATCTTCATTGATACTGCCAACAACCCCCGGATTGGTGATTTTGGCCTTGCGACAACGGGCCAGTATCAGATTGCTGACCGCGTCGCCACTTTTGGAAGCACGGCAACCAATACTCAAGGAGACCAGACTCATAGTGTTGGCACAACCTTTTACATCGCGCCCGAGTTGAAGTCAGGTGTCAGTGGGACCTATGACAGCAAAGTCGACATGTACTCGCTGGGTATCATCTTCTTTGAGATGTGCTATCCACTGAAGACGGCCATGGAAAGAAGCGAGGAGATCACAAAGCTCCGTCAAAAGGAGCACGCTCTGCCTGATTGCTTTCAGTCATCGGACAAGGCCATACAAGGAGAAATCATCCTGTCGCTTATCAACCATCGGCCGAGTGAACGTCCCAGCAGCAATAAATTGTTGCACGAAGGGAAAATTCCGCACGAAATTGGAGATGAAACAGTCCGATTGGCTCTTGCGGGCTTGTCTGATCCCAAGTCTCCATACTACCATAAGATGCTATCTGCTCTGTTTGCTCAAGGGGCTAACAAACAAGTCCAAGTCAAGGACTACGCCTGGGATCTCAATGCAACGAACGGACCGCATGAGCAGAAGGCGAGTACTTTGGTTCTCCAAGAGCTGGTGGAAGACAAGTTGAGCGCCGTTTTCCGAAGACACGGTGCCGTCAAGACAAGAAGGCAGTTGCTTTTCCCTACGTCGGCTCATTATGAAGAACAAAACGTCGTGAAGCTTTTCGACTCCTCTGGGACACTTGTTCAGCTACCTTACGACTTCACATTGCCCTACGCTCGGTCAATCGCTAGACAAGCCCCTCCTGTAGAAAAGACATACACCATCGGCCACGTCTACCGCGACGCATTCACAGGAGGCGCACCTCGTAGCAACGGAGAAGCCGATTTCGACATCATTTCGTACAACAGTCTTGATCTCGCTTTGAAGGAAGCGGAGGTGGTCAAGGTCGTGGACGAGGTGATCGATGAGTTTCCGTCTTTGTCGACTGCTCCAATTGTGTTCCAAATCAATCACGCGGACCTTTTGGATCTGATCATGGAGTCCTGCCGTATAGCTCCGTCGCTACGCCGCTCCGTCAAGCAGATTCTCAACAGGCTGAACATCCAAGACTGGACGTGGCAAAAGATTCGAAATGACCTGCGTTCCCCCACTGTTGGTGTGTCATCTACCTCGCTTGATGACTTGGCCAAGTTCGATTTCAGTGACTCTCCAGAGAAAGCCTTCAGCAAGATCCAATCTCTACTTGCAGGCACTGAATTCTTGGACAAGACTCATGCGATCTTCGCTCACTTACGCACCGTTCTTGGCTATCTCAAGAAGTTCAATGTCCGGCGCCAGATCAAGGTCAACCCTCTCGGCACATTCAATGAAAAGTTCTACGCTGGTGGCTTCATGTTCCAATGCTTGTATGACACAAAGAGGCGCGATGTCATCGCCGCCGGAGGTCGATACGATGCCCTGATTGAGGAGCACCGCTCCAAAGCGCAGGGTAAGGCGAGCAGTTGCCACGCCGTAGGGCTCAACCTTGGCTGGGACAGACTAGTAGCGTCAATGGCACGTCTCCACAAGAAGGCTAGCAAGAACAACTTTCTCAAGAAGTCGACCGAAGATGACTCAGGACCTGGCCAATGGGCAACGCGACGTTGCGACGTCCTCATCGCCTGCTTCGACTCTGCGGCACTCCGTTCCACCGGCGTAAAAATGCTCGGCGAGCTGTGGGCTCACGATGTCAGTGCTGAGCTCTCAATTGACGCGCGGTCGCCGGAAGAACTTATCTCGCACCATGCCGATGAAAAGCACTCATGGATCGTCATCATCAAGGCCGACGCAATCAACACCGGCAAGCCCGATCTCAAGGTCAAGTCACTGGTTCGCAAGGAAGACACGGACCTCCGCAGCTCCGAGCTACTCTCTTACCTCCGCCAGGAGATGCGCGAACGCGACCACCGTGAGGGCCGCGCCGCCGCCCGCCTTAACTCCAGCCGCCTCCTCGGAGCGGGCGCGAGCAACGGCCACGAAGGCCACAGCACGCACGGTGGGACCGCCGACGGCGGCGGCGTCCCCGTCAGCGGCGGCCGCAGCTCCAACAAGCCCAGTGGTGGCGTCGGAGCGGGTGGGACCGGCAACACGAACAACGTCCAGGTGCTCATGGCGCAGCACCGCTCCAAGAAGAGCAACAAGTGGAGCATCGTCGAGGCGGCGCAGGCGCGCACCCGCGAGCTGCTGGCGTCGTACGCGGACGGGCCCATCGCCGCGATCGAGACCAAGGACGAGATCCTGGACATGGTGCGCGAGACCAGGCTGAGCGAGCCGGATTCGTGGCGCCGCGTCATTCAGAGCGTGCCGTTGGCCGAGAGGCAGTATCTGCAGGAGGTGCACGCGATGTTGGAGGAGTATCGCAGGAAGTGGGAGGCCGACGGCAAGGCGACCGAGGGGAGGGCTGCGTTCGTGTATAATTTCCGGACTGGCGGCGTGGTCATGTATGACCTAGGACTTTGAGAAGGACTAGTCAACGTGGTGCCAATCTTGCACGTGCAACTAATGCGCTGGAATAACGGTGGTGGTAGGTTCGTGGCGGATTTACGGTTAAACGATGATGGAGATATGCATCGGGGATGTAGTTTGGCGGCTGATGACTCAACGACAGCGTGAAGATTTGACAGCATAAAGAAAATAAACCTCGTCTAACGAGGGCTTTCACATGAAGGTGGCAATGACCTGTGACAATTACGTCGATATTCTCTGCGTCGCAGTGACTGATTGCTTAACATACATTGAGTAGGCGGTTCATATCACGTACTCAAGTTTAGCTTTGCTAGTGTCTGGCTACGCCACAATATGCGCGGAACTTATCAGTTACAGCAATCTCCCGATCCAATCATCATCACCCTGGCCTCCGCTAGATTCTAGATCTCATATGGTTAGTGCTATATCTTCAAACGCTTGGACAAACAGAGCGCGTGATGTGTATTCCCTAGCGATCCTTCCATAGGCTCACGCGGCCATATGAAATCCACGAGCTAGAATCCAGCACATGTCTGTGCACACTTGGAGCCGCAGGATCACTAGCTGAAGCAAGACACCTCCCTTGTGAAGTGGCTGTGGTATCTTTATTCGTTAAGTCTAGGTGGAGATCACGGGTCAAGTATGCAGCAGGATACTGTCTCGAACAAAGGACTCGAGCACGAGGACTTGGTCTGTTAAATGCTTATATATAACGTAGTTGAAGCCTCAACCTCCACATACACGCTATTTACCCACACACATAGGTTCAGCAACGCTGCTCTGAAGCCATGGCAAAGCTCCGCGATATCTGCAAAGACCTTTATATGGGCCTCAAGGAAAGACATGGTGAATCTAACCGCACGTCTCGGAAATATCAGGCAATCGATGATAATGGCAATGATAAACCCCACAGGTGGTGGATAGACCGTCACTACGAAGCGAAGGAGGCCGAACGTAGAGCCAAGAAGGAAGCAAATACTCACGGTAGCAAAATACCAGCTGCAAAGTCCTCCAACACAGCTAAATCTTCTGCGGAAGTTGTTCCGGAGTCGAAAACTGCAACAAAAGCAAGTGCCCCCGCAGCTTCTAAAACCGCTCCTTCAAATATTGCATCATCGACCTCTAAAACCTCCAACAAAAAGAGTTCGGGCGAGCATACTAAAGCAAATGACCGCAAGACCCCCTCCCAGGCACAGGGAAAGGGTGCATCTAGCACTAAACCAGCAAACTCGTTCGCAACTGACCGCTACTATTGGTCTACCTCTGACGAGTTTCTACTGTAATCTGTTGTCAATTTTAGCGGTCCTTAGAGAAGATAGCTCGTGGTGATCAAGGCACTTTTTGCATCAAATAATGTAGAACTGATCATGTAACTGCCACTGCTGCGGGTAAACCCAGATGATTAAGCGAAGGTTGAATTAGTCGAAGAGATATGGTGCGGGCGGACCTGCTTGCAATGGCGATAACAAGATAAAATTTGACAAAATACCCATGGGACAGAGTACAGTGTCCAATTAACTAGCATTAAAACACAGCAAGCGGTCAGGAACCTTGAAACTTTCATGTTTTGTGAGAGTTATATACCTCCTTCTGCACGCGGTAAATGTGCGGACCTAGCTACAGGTTTCATAGCTAAGTAGAACTCTCTAAATCCATGCTCTTACCACTTATTTATGTAGAGTTTGAAGTAATAGGTAGAGAGATAGGCTACTCAATGTTACAATACTAGACAAGTCGACCGCACAGTTGTACAGGTATAGGCTAAGCTAAGGGTTAACAGCCCGGTGACCGACCAAAAAGAGTGGACGTTTCTCAGGCCGATTGATCCAAGCGTGCACATAGGTGCAGAATTACACTCGCAGATGATTCTGTGAGTTGGGCGGCCATTCATTCTAAGGTAGTCTTGTGCAGAGCCGTGGGGTCCTTTGGCCTTAATACTCTTGCACCCGACTCAAGAGTGGTCTTTGTGCAGCCAGGCCACAGCGGCTTCTTCCCATGCTGTTCGCTCGCAAATACTCCTTTGGTCCATATATATATATATATATCTCGATTGCCGGATTCACCAATCCTCCACATCTCAGTGCCGATAGAGAACATCCACCAGCGCGGAACAACTTACGAATATCCAATGTCGTTTCATAAGGAAGCTTCACCCTCTCCCCATCCCGAGCGCGCCAACCTCAATAGTAATGACGGCAGTGCCATCGATGGCGATCCCAAGGGAATCGCCAACCCGACAAGACCACCAGTCTCCTACGCTCCCTCAATGACGAATGATGATTCACACGATTGCGCGGGTCAACGCCATTCCACAGACGTGAAGGAGCTCGAGCAAAACTGTATGCCGCTCGAGACGTGGGAACGCGGGCGCTATTTTCAAGATGGAGATTGGTGTGGGTAGATAGGTGGACTCCGACTCGAGCTTCTCATGGACGCGGGGAAATGGTGATTTAATCCCTGGATTCTACCTTCTCACTGCTCACTCTTTGACTCACTGCTCACTCTTTGATCGCTTCATGAGATAACGTTAGTTTTAATTCATTCAGAAAGGTGACCATCGATATTTGCTGAAACCTATTGCTCACCTCGTCCCGCTCGGCCCCGCTTGTGCTCTATATCCATTTAAGCTCCCATGTCCCCTGTCCGACGCGCTTTTGGCCTTTCCTTTGCCCTTTTTGTCAACCTTCTTGGTATAGCCAAACAGAAACCTTTTGATGCTCACGGCAATGCTCGACAACATTTGGAACGGGTATACCATGAGCGCCCACAACGCTTGCAAAGGAATCATGAGCAATGTACTCAACCAATCAAACAAAATCGAAACAACGCCGGGCTTTTTCTGCTGCCCGCTTCGTGCGGCTGCAGCTGCAAGGGCGAGGGCATCTTTAAGGCGTGATTCAAGATCCTGCAGGCGGGCCTCTGTCGCCATAGTTTGGGTAGTGGCGCGCTTCTCATAGCGGCGTACGGCGCGGTTCAGAGCATCCAATTGAGGCTGGAAGCTCTGGCGGACGATGTTCGCAACTTCGGTGGGTGCGGCAGAGCCGGCAGACTTCCCTTTCTCTTTGGCTGACACGGCATTGGCTGAGGCAACGTCGGCCATGTGCGACTCGAGTTCGCTGAGGCGCCTCCCTAAGTCGGACACGGCGGGCTCCTCGGATTTTAAATCAGGTTCGGCTTGCTCGCGGACGATGCGCTGCAGGTACACTGTCCGGGCGCGGAGCATGCGCAACAGATGGGATGCAGGGCGAACCTCGGCAGCCAGCAAAAATATAGTGAGATTGTAGTTCGAAACAAGTCCTTCGGAGGGACGCGAAAGCGATGCGCGAATGGCATGGAGGAGGTATGCACCGACAACTGGGCCCAAGAAGCATGCAGCCAGGGCGTACAGCTGATCTGACTGCAGTTCCTTCACGGCAGCGATATATTGCGGCGAGCGTTCCGGGGCGGGCATGTCGGCAGCAGTGTCGCTATGCTCCGAGGCAGTTTTTGTGTCGGCCGTGGGCGCATCCTCGATGGCCTCGTCATCTTCAGAATCTTCCTCAGGTATAGTGTCAGACAGGCGTATCCCAGCAGCTTCGGCATATGGCGCAGGCATTTGGGCGGCGCAATACCAATCCCTGTATTTCGGGTCAATGAAAAAAATTTTCGAACACATTCTTGGGCAAGACGTACCATGGCATGCGCACACACCAGTTGAGCAGGAGGGATGCCAGGCCAAGCAGCAGGATGTCGGTGACGACGGCGCTGCCATTTGTGAAAAAGATACCGCTCACAGCGGGCAGAATGGCGAAGACCAGTGGCAGCGAGTGCCAGAGAGAGGGCTCATCTTGTTCTAGCTTGTCTGCGTCGCGCGAACCGGGATTCAGCAGGTTGTCTGTGGAGGAACGGATCGAGGAAAAATCGGAGAGCATGGAGCTACGGCGGCGCAAAACGGGCGGCGGCGGAGCAATGGACGAGGATGAGGCGGAGGGGTCCCATGGAGTGCTATGGGTGCGCTGCAGACGGTGACGCAGCGCTGAAGATTGCTTTGGTTGCACAGGGAAGGATCGTGCGGAGGAGCTGGGCTCAGGCGGGTCGTCGGCCATAGCTCTTTTTGTGGGCTTGGGCGCGGTCACGGGCTGGTGGCTTGGATTCGGTCGAGCAGAGGGAATTGAGGGGTGCTGACACTGGGGTGGCAGCAGCAGGGCGAGGAGAAGATTGCGCGTCTTGCATGGTTCGGGGCGAGCTGAGAGAGGGCGGCGTCGAGGTCGTGGCAGGTCGGGGAGTAAGTAGTTTCCAAAGGGTGGAAGCGGCTCGCGTTCACTGGGCAGTCACGCGTCGCCAGCACAGGCGACGCCCTGACAGCACAACCGGCCCCACACCCGCCAAACTCATCACTGTGAGCACATCCATCACCCTTCGAATCCTCATCGGGCAAAGTTCCCACTGCCCCGGTTCTGACCGGTGCATCCCCGCCATTCCTTCCCAGGCCACAACCGCGCTATCGCACTGCTAATCATCACTATTCCGCGCTCCCTCGCCACGCTATGGAACAGTAGATAACTGGAATCGAGCCATTTCAATCCTGGCAAGCAAGCTGATCGGACGCCTTTCGCCGTCGTTGAAGCCCCAGTTCTATCGAAGCCCGTCTTTCCTCCTGATTCTGTGCTGACCTGACCATGCTCAAGGCGTTCCTGCGAATATGTGCTTCTGGTAGGTCGTGTTCTTCCTATTGACACCCCGAAACGGTTGTATGACGTCTCACACCATGCCAAGCAAACTGCATCTCTGCAAATCACTTCCACCGAACCCGCCCATTGACCTCCATGCTGCCCTATTGAGACCCTCTTCTGTCAATAAGTCTATAGCCATGTCTCTACACAAAACTTCTTCGTCGCCCAAGTCTTCCTTCTGCAACACAATCTCTTTGTCCAGGTGCCTCCGCTTCATCGACCGCAGCTCCAACATCTTTCTTTTTGCAAATCGGCCTGGGAAGCTGTCACGCCTCATATCCCATCTCCCAATCCGGCCGACTTAGCTCTTTCTGACCACCCTCCTCCGGCGCTCTGCTCCTTGGTCGACAATGGCTGAAGTGGAAAACCCAATCTATTCCGCCGCCATCTACCTTCCTGTGCTCGCTTGTTTGGTTGTCTTGCTCGATATCCCTCCGCTGGTATGGCACGTCCGCAACCGCAACCTTGGTGCCGCTGCCTTGGTCGGTTGGATCATCACCTACAACTTCATCGCCTTCATCAACGCTTTACTCTGGCCTCACAATGATCCGCGCTATGGGTTCCACGGTTATGTTGTCTGCGATATCGAGGTCTACGTCGTCGTTGCTGGCTGGACAGGCGTCTCCACTTCCCTGCTCTGCATCATGCGCAGCCTTGCCAAAGTCCTCGACACCAAGAACCAAGTTGTGACACCCCGTCGAGCCCAGCGCATCCGCCAATACCTCATCGACGCTGCAACTTGCTGGGCTCTCCCCATCATCCAGCTTGGCATGTTCGACGTGGTCAAGGTCTATCGCTACTACATCTATGGGATTAGCGGTTGCGTCCCATCTCTCGATACGAGCTGGGCCAGCGTTGCTCTGATCTACTCTTGGCCGTTCGCCATTGACCTCCTCTGTGCATACTACGCTGGTATGTTCAACTGCGAACCTTTACGGAACCGAAGAAAACTGACGTTCGCAGTCCTCATCATGGTGCGCTTGCACCGCTATCGCTCCGAGTTCTCGCGCCTCGTCCACTCACACAACACCACGCGTTCGCGCTTCCTGCGCCTCTTCATTCTCTGCATCCTATTCCTTCTCGGCATTCTCCCCGCCCAAACTATCATCCTATGGCTCAACATCCGCGCGCGAGCCTTGAGCTTCTCATGGGCGCGTAACCACTTGCCCGAAAATCGCTCCAAAATTATGCCCATTAAGCCTTACGGTGCACTCCTCCCTGACCGCTGGACCAGCGTCGTCGGCGGCTTCCTCCTCTTCCTATTCTTCGGCCTCGGCACCGACGCCACGAACATGTACCGCTCGTGGGCCACCAAGCTGAATCCCGCCCGCATCTTCCGCCGCAACAACACACGACGTCGGACCGTCTTCTACACCACCACTGGCAGCAGCCCCGTCTCCCCTTCGGCCCACTCCATGTTCAACTACAAGACGTACTTCAACTCCCGCCGCAGTAGCAGCAGCTCGGCCGGCAAATCGCACGCCTCTAGGTCCCTCTGCAAGTCGCCGCTGAGTTTCTGGCGCGCGAGCAATGCTGCCGGCGTCGCCACGTCCCCCACTACGGACTACAGCAGGGCCGGCAGCACCGCGCCCATCCTGCCCCTTCACCATCTCAACCTCCATCGCAACCCGGATGACGACAACAACGGCAACAAGGTGCGCACCCTGAGCAGCGCTTCCTCCGCGCCGACTATCGACACTGCCATCTCGACGACGCCGCTCAGCAAGACCATCCGGAAAGCGAGCGCCGGCACGCTGGCTGAATGTGACGACGATGACGACGTTGCGTCAGTGATCAGCTCGCCGATGGAGGACGCTAAGGGAAGGGTAGAGGGCTTGGGGATTAGGATGGATATGGCGGGCCCGGGTACAGGAGCGTAGATTGGGGATGAAGTTCGCTCGGCCACGTCCGCCGCCCAGTCAATAAGAGGCGATGGATGCCGGGTGCGATGTTGCATATGGGATGAGATGGGATGGGCTTCTACTTTTGCATCGTGCGGCATTGCAAGCGCCATCTTCATTGCTCTTGCTTTTATTTGGTTTCTAGCGAGGTTTTATTTTACGCACCTTTTAATCCATAAGTGACGGGGGACGTCATATGAAGCGTGGATACTCAGCGCAGCCTAGAGCGTAAGGTCCTTTTGTCCATATCCGAACCTCCAAAAGGCATAGGCAGATCAATTAGAGCCAGAGGCTCGGCTTTTCCGAACGAATTAGACATCGGGCTGTTTGGCATGCTTCCCCTGTCGTCCACTTAATTTCCGCAAGATGCCGCGAAAGTATACTATCACGTCAAGAGCACGTCCCCTTTCGTCATTTGACCAAGTTGCTGATCCAATTATGTACCTGAAGAAACGCATACACTCATCTTTCATCATATCCAATCATCCCTCCTCCTCTTCTCCAATGCCCAGCCCTCTCACAGCAAGAAGCCACCCGCACTCCTGCTGCCCCAGAAGCCCTTGGGGTCGACGCTCTGCTGCACGCCCTCAGCAAACGCCCTGCTCTCAGCGTCGATCCTGCCCCAGTAGTCCTGCCTGAAGTAGCCGTCGTTCATGAACAGCGGCCTGTAGACATCAGGCACCTTGCCGTCGGCGACGGCGGCATCAATAATGTCCTTCATGCCGCCGTACAGCTCGACGGTAGCCGAGTCGATCTTCTCGTCGAGGACGGGCAGGCCGCGCCAGTACGAGAAGTCGAACTCGAAGATGATGCGGTCGGCGGCGTCGTCGAAGGCGATGAGGTCGCCGTCGCCGTTGCCGACGGCCGCGTCGATCTCGCGCGCCTTGCGGGCGAAGACGGCCGGGTAGGGCTGGAAGGCGACCGAGGCGACGAGACCCGGCACGGCGGCGTAGCTCTTGGACACGTTGACCCAGTGCTCGTAGCAGTCCTCGAGGTGGGCCAGGGTCGTGTTGACGGCGTCGGCCGACGCGTCCTGGGCGAGCAGCGGCGTCGTCTCAGTCGCAATAGTGTAGGCCGAGCCCTTGAGCACCGCCCAGTTGTTGAAGGCCAGCAGGTCGTAGTACGAGCGCGTCTTGGCGTTGTTGGTGATGGGCTTCAGGCTCGTGAACATGTCGAAGACGCCCGCCGGCGGCTCCGGCCCGTCGTAGAAGAGGAACATGATCCAGATGTGCACCAGGTTGGCGCCCGTGATCTCCGACGTCAGGATGATGCCGGCCTTTTCGTCAGGGTAGTTTTGCGTGAAGTTCTGCAGCGCGGCCAGGAGCGCCTTGTCCGTGTCGTCCGACGCCGCGAAGATCAGGTTGCCGCCCCAGATGTCGTTGATCGGGTGGGCCTTGAGCGTGTACGTCGTGACGATGCCAAAGTTGGCACCGCCGCCCTTGAGCGCCTTGAAGAGATCGGCGTTCTGGGTGGCCGAGGCCGTCGTGATGGTGCCGTTGGCCAGCACCACCTCGGCCTCGACCAAGTTGTTGGCCGCCCAGCCATACTCAGCCGACAGGAAACTGAGACCGCCTAGTCGAACAATCAGCCGCCTGTCTCGTCTTCTTTTGCACGTAGTCTGCACGAAGAAGCTTCACTCACCGCCCAGGATGTAGCCTCCCACTCCCACATTACCGATCCGGCCACCAATGATGGTCGTGTTCGTCCCGTCCAACACCTTGTGCACATCCTCCCACCTGTTTCCAGGGCCAACACGGACCGTCATGCTGTCCTTGTCCAGCGTGACCTCGTTCAGATCAGCTGTAGAGATGAGGGGGCCGCCATCGATGCTCGAGAAGTTCTGGTTAGGGTTGTGGCCGCCCGACTTAACCGCGAAGGTTTCGTTGTTTTGGTTAAGCGTCTTGATGACAGTCGACATTTCTGCCGCAGAAGCCGGCTTGATGATGCAAGCAGGCTTGAGCGCCGCGCAACCGGTGGACCTGGATGCGCAATTAGCATCGCGTACTTTTACAGTGCAATTGATGGTGAATGTGTCCAATTCAAACTTGGAAAGGGGGTATATCGTCTACCGTACTGGGATTGATGGGGGGCTTACCAGTACTCATTGTTCTCGGAAGTGTATTCCAAACTCAAAGGTCTGTCAATAGAGATGGCAGAAGTGCTCTCCAGGGACTGGCACGTCAGCGAATCAGCTTTCGCAACGGCACCCAGGCCCAGGAGAGCGGCCGCGGCCACAGAACGAAAAGAAGGCATTGAATCTTCTAGCTTATGCTCAACAAGCTACGCTGATCAGACTCCCGTTCGGTCAGAAGAATCCCCGCGGGGTGGAAACGATTGAAAAGAGAGATCTGAGTTATAGACAGTGAATCTATAGCTCGGAGCAATGGACAAACGAGGGCAAAAGAAAGAAGCGAGGGGAAGCGAGCGAGCGGCAGGCTATCGTCGTGCGGGAAGGGCAGGTGGCTCGGCAGCCATGTTTATATTGTCTGCAACGATAGGGGAGCCTCGTTCCGTCCACCCGCCCGGGCTGAGCTGCCGTATGCATCTCCCAAGTGCAAGTCAGCTGTGGCGCACGTCGTCTCCACACCATGACCGTTCTTCGGCGGGCCGTTGGGTTAGGCGGGCACCAGCAGGGGCCTCATGGACTCGGGTGCTTCTCCGGCTAGTTAGCCGCCCAGGCACCGAGTGGCCGTTGATCCGCCGACAGGGTTGCTGTTTGGGCTCGCTAACACGGGCAAGGCCACGCAGGGGCTTGATCGTTGCCAGACACTTGGAACTCCTGGATGATTGGGCTTGAGCGAGCCACGTCCAGGGCAATTGAGACCGCACCGCCCAGCAATGTCTCCCCTCATTCCATCACTTCAACAGCTGAAGTTTATTGAACTATTGTCGTGGGGGCCGGTGACGCTCAAGCCACACTGCAGGGGCCAGGGCACTTGACACTACTGAGTGGGTGCTGGCGACGACATGTGCAGTAGTTGGCTCCTGGCTTGCCCAATTGAGCGGTGTCTCTTGTCCGCTTCGAGCTGAAAGACCAAGAAGAGTTTACGAGCGGCAGCTCGGGGCGCTCGCTTGGAACAGACTTCACGAGGCCGACGGACCAGCGTGCCGGAAAAAGAAGCAACGCAGTTTCTTTGAGCTTGTTAAAACGGGCAAATCTCGCGTGTCATGTGCGTGATAGCGATCGTCCTGATTGCTGGCGATGCCGGGCGCGTGGCCAGGCACAGGATCAGCCGGCACTTAATCGCAGCGTTAATCCCGGGGTTATTGTCGATGGGGAGAAGATCGCTGATGAAAGATTGACGCTTCGTACCGTGGGCCATGTCGTTGGCTACTCGGACTGTTGCGGGAGCCAGCCCAAGCACATGTCGACGCGTCGCCGCACCTGGACACACCGTAAGGCTTCTCGGTCCGCAACGCGGCCAGGCGAGCGCTGATCAAAAAGATCCAGCAGCGGTGAAGCCTGCAAGCGAAGCATCAATAGTGTGAGTTCGCCTATAAAGAAATGCCCGATTCGCCGCCCATTACCTACTTTGCATATCATCGGGCGCCTGACCCCCACTTGATCGTGCTATTGTCAGGCATTCGCTTAGGAATGTCGCCCGGGACCAGGCGGAAGAGCATGCAACTTGTCTTCCCCATGCTCGTATAGGTAGCTGAAAGTCTCACCACTGCTCCCCAGAACTCCACTTCAGCTTCATGCACATGTTTCCTGGGGCGTGTTGGGGTGCACTTTGACGAGGACAAGGGGTGCATGAAGGATGGTGTGGGGAGTTGACGTTCGCTACAAAACTTCAGAGGTAGCACAAGCCTCGTTCCGCACTGCTGGCCCTAGTATCACGTTATTTACATTGTTACCAAATATGGGTATCATCCTACGCGGGCTTCAAGCTTTCTCGTCCGGCAACACAAACAACTCCACAACCCTGCTCATCCGCTGCCTCCTGATCTGCTTATCCTTGTCCTTCAAGTTAGCCTTCTCCGGCACCTTGACGATCGCATCGGCAAAAGCACTCGACAGCCCTTTCTCCACACTAAGCATCTGCATCTTCTGCGCTTCGCTTGCGCTCCTTACTCGCCCCGCCACGCCCGTCAAGGTACGTTTGAGCGGGCTTGTCGGTCCTTTAAGCGCCTGCTCGACCCTTGTCGCCGTACGCACCTCGGCTGCAATGCGCGCGAGCATCGACGTCAAGAGCACGAAGCAGACATTGTGGTTTGGCGCGCCCGCCATGATCTCCAAGATCCACGTGCGCTCCTCTTCGCGGCTCAGCTGCTTCTTGCTCCGGGTCTGCTCTTCGTAACCCGCCTCGATCTTCTTCCATAGCTCTGCCGTGATGACGCCGTCCTCTAGACTGCGCAGGAACAGCATCATCGTCTCCGCTAGGCACTCGACGCGCAGCAACGACGACGTCTCCGCTCCGAAAACTCGCTCTAGGGGCGAGTCAGTGTCGAGCGCATCGATGATGGCACATTTCGCCGAGTCGCGCTCAGCAGCGTCCTGCACCGTCCACGTCTCTGCTGCAAAGGGCCATCCGCCGCCCGAGCTGAGCTGCGCCTGCGACAACCACGGCGCCTTTGTGCCATCTTCGTGGTCAGTCATGTCCCACTCGGCGACGACGCGCTCGACTAGGTCTTCTAGAACCTCCGTCAGCCGGAACAGTTCCCGCGGAGCTGACCACTTTACCCCTGCGTCTTTGGAGGGACTGTCACTGTCGCCATTGCCCTCTGGCCGCTGGCCTTGCAGTTTTCTGATGCCGCCCTCCGGTATGCGGATGAGCTTGTCGATGGACCGAGCGAGGCTTGTTTGGAGCCAGCTGGCGCGCACCTGTAGAAAGTGATCACGGCCGTCGGAGACGCGCAGAACGAGAATATCCTCAAGTTGTGCCTTCCCGTCATTCAGCTCGTGGACCAGACTCATGTCGTCTACCTTCAGAACCATATCAATGTTGCAGGCATCTCCAGGCTCCAGTGTATATGACGCAGGGGTGTTCGGTTTCGTTGACTTATCCGGCTCTCGGTCGAAACGCAACGAGAGCCACGGTGGGGGCTGGACTTCGCTGTTCTCTTCTCCGGGGGTCCCAAAGAAGCTGATAGTCGCAGCCACTTGGCCAGTGTTGGCCACTGTTACATGCCGTCGGCGCATGTCAAGATACTTCACATTGCCGAAATCCACACCCTCGAAATCCGTCTTTGAATCCTCCCTTATTTCTTTCTTACTTGGGTCCTTCTCCACGATCAGCGTAACGCCGGGTCGGCCTTCGTTCTCTGCTCGATCCAGCTCCCAAGCAACTTCGGCGTGCACCTTTGCTTTCAACTCGGGCACAACACTGTCGTACTTGAGTCTGAAGACGGCGTCCAGAGGCTTGTGATCGGACGACAAGACCCGTTGATGTGCCGTGTAATACTCCAATTCGATCTCGTCCTCGAAGCCATCCTTTGTGAGCACCGGAATGGGGTCATCCCGCGCGTCTGTAGCCTCGTTGTAGTCCAAGTCACCATCCGTCTCGGGATCGTACTCGAACAGAATATCGTCGGCATCCTTGTCTAGGCCCTGCCTTTTCATTTCTTCGTCCTTCTTTCTGGCCTCCTCGGCTTCCTTGACTTTTTCATAGTATGCCAGCCGATCGCGACGTGTGCGCCACAGGATGCGGTCGCACCAACTCGGGCAGCGGCGCTTCTCGCTTGAGTCAAAGATGGCCACGGTGCCCACGTCATACTTGTAGGTAGGCAAAAATTCAATGTCACCTTCGCGCCAGCCGTCGTGGAAAGCCTTGCCGAGGCGCTGCTGCTGGCGCAACTCGTCGTGCGGAAGAAGAGACTCGATGGTTGCCTGGAGCGAGGCAGGGTCGAACTTAGCTGGAATGACGACTTCGGCCTCTTCATCGGGCTGCTCGTCGTTGCTAGACTGGTCGGAAGCTTCGGTGGCGGCATCGGAAGATGTGTGGCCAGAAGAAGCAATATCCTTCTCGATCTTCTCTGCATGTCTCTGAGAAAGGTCGTACTCATTCCGTGTATGTAGCATCAAAATCCGGCGCACATCATCACCAGGCATGTCGCCCAAGCGGTAATTCAGGTCACCGACCCAGAAGGCGAAATCCTCGTCGCCAATGCCTTCGACGCTGGGCTGAGTCAGACCAAGAGGGTCGGTGATGGGGTCGAATTTGGTGCGGCTCACGATCTGGGCGGCATCCCAGTTTCGTCTTTCCAACGACGCCTTGTCGGCGCCAGCAGCCAAATGCGAGTTGATGAATACCAAGCGCGTGGTCTCGCCTAAAACTATCCTAGCCGTGACGGCGCCCTTGTTTCCCATGTAGCCCATCAAACCGGTCCCAACGCTTGTTGTGCTCACGCATCTTACCTCAGGGGCGATGGTAGGTGAGGCGTAGACGAGAATGAGCAAGCCGATGAGCTGCTGCTCGGCGACGAGCTGGTAGCCCTGGGGCAGGTGGTATTGCATGGCGGCTTTGAACTTGGCAGCGGTCGCAGGATCGGTGTATGGTCTCAAGGCTTCGGCGGCCGAAGAAATGTCGACGACCTCCTGCAGCCCCAAGACGTACAGAGAAATATCGTCGTCGCCTGGCACGCTGGCATGATCATTCTTGGGCAAGGTCGACTCCTCGTTCGTGTGCCGGGTCTCCTGGGCGGTGGGGCCCTCGCGCGGGTTATCATCAGCTTGTGCGGTGCCGGTAGCCTGAGGATTATTGGGGTCAGAGACACCCAGACCGGACAAGGCCTCCTCGACGCCTTTTCCTCCAACGAACCAACCGCCCAGGTCCTTCTCGGTGCCCTTGAAAGCAGCGACGTTCCAGGTGCCGACCTTGATGCGAATTTCCTTGGGGCGCACGTACTCATGACGTCGCTCGTGGATTGCTTGCCAGAGACTCTGAGGGGTCGACGAGGGGCCCGGTGTGGCGGAGGGAAAGGCGCCCGGCATGGGCTGGTCCAAGTCGGGGGTGGAGGACGTTTCGGACGACATGGCGGGGGAGGGTTCAGGGAGGAGAGCGGGTTTGGTGATCCTGCGCCTCACATGGCAAGCATCAGCAGCGCTGGGACGTGAGGGTCTCAGGCTTTACGGACAGCTATGAGAGACGCGGCGGGCTGTGCGTCATCCCGCGCACAGGTGAAGTCCGAGCTCGGGCCACCGGCCACCAGAACCCGCGGGGCTGGACACAATAGCAGCAAGAGCAACAATAGCTATTCACTTTTACACGCTCGCGCTTAAGTATCGCTCCGCCCGCCGCCTCCCACTCTTTCCTCCATCCTTCTTCATCCGCTCGGAGCATTCCATTGCCGCTGAGGACACCGCGCCGCGCGTTGATCGCAAGCTCCTTCGACTCGGTATCGATTCATCAACCTCGTTCAACGACCCATCCACCATCCGCAGTCATGGCCCCAGCCAAGAACAAGTCGCGCGCAGCCGCCGCCGTCTCCGACTACGAGACCGACTACGCTGCCCAGGATTCGCTCGCTAACCTTGCTCCGCCGCCTATTAACCGCACCAACGACGAACTTAACCTGGCTGTGCTCCGCCGCCACTATCCTGACCTTATCTCCATCGTCTCGATCGCTTCTTTCTGTGTCGTCTATGCTTTCTCACCCACCACTCAGGCCTGGGAGAAGTACGGCGTTGATGGTACTCTTTTCATCAACCAGCTCACTCCCTCCGAGGAAGGAGTGTCCCGCTTCTCCGTTGTGGTTTTCAACCGCCGTTCCATGGAGAAGTTCTCTGTCGAACTCAAGACTGCCGACGATGTCGAAGTGACCGACGACTATGTCATCCTTCAGAGCCAGCACGACGATGGAAGTCTGCAGATTTTCGGCCTCTGGATCTTCACCGAGCCGCCCCCGTCGTCCACCGCTCATGCTCGCGAGATCAACGGCGAGATGATCAAGCAGGTCGCCGCTCTGGTTGACAACAGCCGCAAGACCCTGGAGGCCATGAACAACGAGTCTTCCGACGAGCCCGACAGTGTCCCCATGGGCCGCCAGCTCTCTCTTCGCGAGCTCTTCGGCAAGCAGCGTGAGGCCGACGCCGGCTTCTCCATCCACCACCATGAGACTCCTCACATCCCGGAAGCCTCGACCCTCCCGGCCATTCCCAACTATCCTCAGTCTCAGGTTCAGGCCACTCAGCCGGCTCAGCAGCCCGCCGCGAACCCTGCCAACGTGGCCACTCCTCGTTTCACCAACACTCCCGACACGGATTTCTTCCTGTCGGCCCCCAAGGTCACTCCTACCCAGGGCCAGCGCAAGCCCAAGCACCACCCCCCTCGTCGCCAGCACTCCAAGGAGACCCCGCCCGTCCCGGCCCAGTACGCTGCCGACTACGCGAACATGGAGCGTCAGGAGTTCTATGACGTCTTCCAGAAGACTGGCGCTGAAGGCTGGACTGGTTCGTAACCATACCGCGTTGCTCCCCCCCTCCACTCACGATGCCCGTTGATACTACGTTCGCAGTTGTCAACACCCCCTTTGGTTCATTCCCGGTCAATGGCTACATGCAGGCTCAAGACGCCTTCCTCGCCTACAAGAGCAACCTCCGGGCCGACAAGATCGAGAGTGGCGGCCACAACGTCACCTTCGAATCCACTTACACTCCGACTGTCCGTGGCAAGAAGATGACCTCCAAGAAGGTCACTTCCAAGTCCGTCACCAAGCTCTAAATGTAAGTTTCCCCTCATTTCACCTAACCTTTCTTCTTACTAATCGACTCGGTAGTGGAATATGGTGGAAACTTGGTAATTGGTGATTTGAACTGAAGCTTCTCTACTGGAATCGAAAAACCTCTGCTGGAATCGAAAGCCCCCCGCTGGGATTGATAAACCTCTGCTGGAATTGAAACGCCTCTGGTGGAATTGAAACTCTCTACTGAGCTGGTATATATCTGCTAAAGCAAAAAAATGGCAAGCTAGCCTTAGGCTAGCTATATAGGTTGGCCACCGTTGGGCCTCGAAAATCAAGCTGCTTCTTCTCTCACTATCTCCTCTATATACCTGGCCACCTTCTCGGCTACTGTGATGCTGTGGTTCGGGTCTGTGCTCATAACGTCAGCTTTTGCTCAACGGCCACATCCACAGTCGAAGAATCCATCCGGACTCGGCTCCCAAAGGCAGTCCCTCTCGTCCGGACAACCGCTTCAAAACTCTGGCTGGAAAAAAAAAAACCGTCGAAACTCACCGATGCAAAAGCCGTGCGGAATCCCGCTCTCATCCACCTCCATGACGGGCTTCCACTTCTCCTCGTCCCGCTTCTCGGCCCTCGCCCTGCCCCTGGCCTTGATCAACTCGTCCCTCGTCTCGTCAGCAACCCAGTGGTCCTCCTTTCCGAACAGGAAAAACAGCTTGGGGCGAGCGACTCCAACGGGGCTGGGTTCGGCGGCGCCCCAGACCTCGGCGTCCCAGGCGTCGTGGGTGATGGTCTGGAGCTCGTCGGTGGCCATGTGCAGGGCCTGGCGGACGCCGTGGGGGCTCTTCAGGAACTCGGCGGTGGTGCGGGCGGCGTCAGGCGGCTGGGCGAGGATGAGGGCGAGCAGCTCGGTGAGGAGGAGGGTGGGGAAGAAAAAGGTGAGGGCGTGGGCGAGGAAGTGGGCGAGAATGGCGAGGTTGGGGATGGATTCGAGCAGCATCTGTGACGAATTTTGTTAGTATATTTTCTGCCGATATGGTAGGACGACAACTCACGGTGAGCTTCAGCCCGCTGCTGCTCTTGGCGATATGCGTCACGGTCGGGAACAAGCACACGCTTCCAACAATTCTGCCGCCCTCTTTTTCCTCGACGTCGACGCTGACATCGGCATCCGCATTCAGCATGACCGCGCCGTCATCGACCTTCTCTTTCTCTCCCATCCTTCGCTTTTTTTCTTGCAGCGCCTCCCTCCACCTCTTCACCACCTCCAGCGCCATGTATGCGCCCACCGAATGCCCAATCACCACGACCCTCGTCTCCTCCGCATCCCCCTCTTTCCCGTCAACCTCCTCTCCCGCCCCATTAACCAGCACCGCCGACCCCGACCCGTACCTCTCGCCATCGTCGTCCGCCTCTTCCCTCATCCCCCTCACATGGTCCCACAGAGCCCACTCCACGCCATCAATCTGCTCTTGCAGGTCGAACGGCGGCTTCTTCTGCTTCCTCCATCCTCCCTTGATCCCTCTCCTCCCCTCCCTCACGTTCGCCGGCCACACACCACCAGCCTCGCACCCCCTGCTCTCAAAACCGGACAAGCTCCTCCCGAAAACCTCGAAGGCGTGCCTAGGCGCAAGCGTCGGGTGCGCAGTGAGCAGGAAGTGCAGGTGCGACAGGAAGAGGTCGTAGTAGCCGACCAGGCCTGGGTTTCCGGTGACAAAGTAGATGAGCCAGCGCTTGCGCGGGCCGGCGGCGGGACCGAAGCGCTCGGCGAGGAAGGTGTTTGTGGTTGGGGAGGTAGGTGGGAGGGGAGGAGGTGAAGAGGCGGGAAGAGTGAAGATGGTTGGGGGTCTGTTCCGCATGATTTTTTTGCTATGGAGAAATGAAATGGTACGGGGGAGGGAGGGAGCGTATGTGTTGAAGAAATAACAAGGAAAAATTGTTTGTTGATACTGATGATGCAAGGAAAAGGTGGAGAAAGAGTGGATGATTTGTTCCAAAGGCCCCGGCTTTCTATCCGGGGGAGAGCAGCGAAGGGATGCGGTGAAGGACGGCGCCGGTAGATTCTTTTCGGGAGTGCCGCGTGCGCAGGTTGGATGGCGGGCGGATTAGACCGATAACGATGGCGCGGGCGCCGGGCCGGGAGTCAATGCAAGCCCTTTCCTTTGCTCTTGGCGAAGCTGTATGGCTCCGCTGGGGACCCGAAGGTAATACACAACAAGGATGACAGCAGTTACTCAGGTCTCAGAAAAGTCGAACCAGCAGGGACGATCAGGGGCCTGGCTCTTTTCCTCGCGCGTGCGGCGAGGCAGCAGGGCGGCGGCCGTGGATCCTGGCACAGAGCGAGCGCTGCGAAGGGTGGAAGGAAAGCGGATTGAGTTACATAGGAACGGCGGGCAAAGGGTGGAGTGGATGATGCGTTGATGTTCGGGGGAGTGGGCACCCAGCTTCTTGTTGGAGAGGCTGCACGGGGCAGCTGGAGCCTGCGCCCGCTCCCGCCAGCACACGCCCTCGCTACGCGCTAGCCGGTTGCGGTAAGAGAAACACCCATGTCGCAGCGCCGTCGTCCGTTTGCACCCGCCAGCCGTCTAGAGCGTTGGTGAGCAGCGTGCGCCAACTGAACACCGCCTTTGCGCCGTGGCGGGGCAGCTGAAGGCACATGGTACATGGCACATGGCATCCGCACTGACCCACTCTGTGACTCGACTGATAACCTCGTCATACTGGTCGCTACCTAATCTGTCCCTGCCAGCGGGAACATGTGAAAATTCCACTCTGCCCAATCACATCAACGAGCGTACAGCTCCCCTTCAACGAAAATTTCTTCACCGAGCAGCTACACACTCTCGGTAAGTAGGTCGACCTTTGCGCACTTGGACGTGTCGATGGGCATGCTGTTGATGGCGTCGTGCCACTTGAGCTCGTAGCGCTTGCCACCTTTGCCGCTCGCTCGACACACCACCCACCCGTCGAACCGGTCGTTATCCCACCAGAAGGAGCCCCACGTCACCCGCATGCGGTGCGTGCCGACATCCTTGCTGATGAACACCGACGAGTACGCGTCTTGATCGCTGTCGCGGTACATTGTCACTCCCGAGTACTTGCACTGCTCGTGCGACAGCAACACCGACGTCGTATCCACATCGAAGAAGAACTTGCCCCCCTTGGGACGATCGTACGAGAGCGTGGGCACCGCGTTGGGCCCGTCTGTTGAGTATTAGCAGCAGCAACATCTTGATAGTTGTCTATTTCAACTCACCGTACTTGGCCTCCTCGACGTAAAGGTTCTCAAACTCAGTACTGCCTTTGCCCGAGATGTGCGTGCGCAGCCGGAACAGCTTATTATCCTTCTCAAGCTGGTCCTGACACCGGTCGCCTCCAGGTTGCTGTGACGGCTTGGCGCTAGTTGTCAGTGTAGTCGGCTTGGCTTTTGTCGTCTGCATTGTGGGCTTGGGCTTGGTCGTCTGCTTCGTCGGTCTGACATTGGTCGTTTGCTTAGTTGGCTTCACTTTTGTCGTCTGCCTCGTCGGCTTTACTTTTGTCGTCTTCCTCGTCGGCTTTGCTTTTGTCGTCTGCATTGTGGGCTTGGTCGTCTTCCTCGTCGGCTTTGCTTTTGTAGTTTGCACTGTGGGCTTGGTCGTCTTCCTCGTCGGCTTTGCTTTTGTCGTCTGCCTCGTCGGCTTTGCTTTGGTCGTCTGCCTCGTCGGCTTGATCTTGGTCGTCTGCTTCGTCGGTCTGACTTTGGTCGTTTGCTTAGTTGGCTTGACATGAGTCGTCAGCGTGGACGGCCTTCCCGAGACAGTTGTCGTCCCAAGACAACAACGAGTGACAGTCTCCGTTTTGACGCCCTTCCTATGGGTGCTATGACGCCTTGTCGAGAGCTTCTTGGTAGAAGGCTTTCTAGAGGAGGATCTTGACGGCCTCTTAGTCGGTCTAGCCGGGGTAGGCTTGCTAGTAGATTTGGCAGTAGGCTTGCTAGTAGGTTTGGCAGTAGGCTTTCCAGTAGGCCTCTGAGTAGGCCTAGCGCTGGGCCTTCGAGTAAGCTCGGTGCTGGACTTCTCAACCTTGCTCGTGTCGGGCTTCCTGGTCCTGGTTGTGATGGGCTCCTGGACCTTGCTTGAACTCTTCGGCCTTGGGGGTTGCTTTGGCCGGGATGCTGATTCAGAAACCTGTGTAGTTGTGACTTGCGTCTTCGTGGCCTGGTAATGGCTGATAGTCTCGTAGTATGTTGTGGTTCCAACTTCTCCATCACCTCCAACGACCGAGAAGTATGACACAATCTCACGAATAACATCAGAGTTGGCAGCCGTGAATGTTGTAGTCGAAGGCTTTGGGACGGTACGAGTAATAGTCTTTGTAGTTTCTCCCTTGCCAGAGCGTGTAGCGGTCGCTTGCTGCGAAGTCTTTCCGATGCTGTCCGTCGGGGGTGGTGCTGGAGGCTCCGGCGTGGTAGTGTCCACGGTGGTCGTACTAGCCGTGGAAGTCCCCTCAACACTGTTCGTACTAGCCGTGGAAGTCCCCTCAACGCTGTTCGTACTATCTGGTGCTGGCGGTGGCGGTGGTGGGTCGTCCTGCACTTCTTCCGGCTTCACGCCATTATCGTCTTCCTTCGGCCCAAGTGTGACGCACACGAAGGCTGTAATCTGCCCGACGAAGCTCGTTGTGGTGCGCGTCACATCGTTCTCGATGATCTGCTGAATGTCGTTGCCGTGCCCATCATCCCCTACCTTCACCGTCTGGACCTTCTCTGGCCCCTTTATGGTACATTTGCCGCCAATTGTGGCATAACTAGTGTGAGTCACAGTCGGGATGCTTGTCGTGCACACCTCATGCATGATGCTGACCGTGCCAGAGCCATTGTCAGAGACGTGCCGGACCTTATCAGTACAAGGGTAGCCGGGGTAGACGGTCGACGTCGAAGCTAAGTGAATCTGGCAGAGCCCGCAGATTAACAATGCTGTCCTATTGTTATGTTCACTTGTAGTGAGCTTACCGTGGTTACCGCGTTGAGGAAGTCGCGTGCATCGATTGCAACCATCTTGTTGAAAACACACTGCAACCCTCGTCAAAGACCCGCAACCTGAAGCTTTGAACACAGACTTGTTGAGGCTGGACGTGAAGAGATGGGGGAAAGTAAGCTAGTCTGCAGGGACAAGGTCATTTTTGTATCGCACATTTCCCTCATATTGAGCTCTTTCTTGCCTAGCCTGGTGCGAATACAGGGCTTCCCAACAGCATACGCTAATCGAGGGACGATGGAACTTTTGGGTCCGATAGCAAGCAGTAAAGGGAGGAACGAGCCATTTCTCCTCCTGGTAACAGACTCCAAAGCTTGTATCGATTAGCAATGGTGGGAGAACCTACTAGGATGAAAGCTGCATTCTGACAGCGTGCTCAAGTTGGGCGTATAAATGACAGGACTAGGATACCGCGTGTGTATACAGATGTCGTGCATCTATATTCAACACCTCAATACCAGGTGAATCGAGCATGTGGGACGATTCGTAGCCATCATCAGCAACAAGAGGTGTAGACGCTTAGCTAATAGCGTACGATAGTGAACAGGGCGTAAGCTGCTAGTCCACTACCTAGACAAAGAGAATGGGTCAGTACGGTAGATGGGTCCCACTGACTTTTAAACGCTGGCCTCAACTGCTTTTTATCAGAACCCCATGGGGAATATTGTATCACTGCATTGCCCTAAAATGCCCATAGAGTTTCGATAGGCCCAGCCGACAACCTACTCCCAGTGGAACTCCAAGAACAACGGCCCAGGTGGGTTTTTGTGAATATTTAAGAGGGAAGATGCGGTCGATGATGCCAGAGCAATGGCTTCGAAGGCTGCAGTTATTGACCGAGCGTCATTCAACAAATCTCCCTTTGTAACACGAGTGCCAGGCACGTTAGCGGCTATAACGTCCAGAATAAGTAGATGTACTTACCTGCTCTCTTTGGACGTTGAGGCTGGCACAGGTCGAGGTTCCAATGGCATGACCCAGAGAATTACAAGGGCGCACTACAAGGCGTTCGATTACTGAAAGACGTTAGACCTTCCCCTACCAGTTCCCACATTATCGATCGCCTGGTCTGACTTCCCCCAGAGACTATCAATTGCTCCTGTTACACCCGTCAACCTTTCACTCAGTCGATGCGTAATCCTCACTAGCACCCTTGCTTTATATTCATTTTAATAAGCTTGTTAGACGGGGATAAAGACGTTAAACTGGCATGGAGACCAAACTTCGAATGTGAAAATTTTTTTTGTCTGGCGCCAGCATTCGATCATTCCTCCCTTGAACCCAAGTATCAGATAACGCCGTTGCTCATGCACAACCACCCTTGCATCTGCTATCAGCCCTAAGTGAGAGCTCAACCAGTTGAAGGCTATCCAAGATGGAGCCTACTCGTCTTCGTCGTCTAGCCCACCCATTGGCGTGTCTGCATCACCATTTGCCGGCGCTGCCCCACCATCCTCATCCTCATCGTCATCATCTACGACACGTTTCCGATGCCTACTTGCCACAGGAACGTCCTCGTCTCCGCTCTCCGCATCTGGCCTCGGCGAACCCTCGGCATCGTTGACCTTGGCAGCCAAAGACTCGTTCGCCGCCTGCGCCGTGTCATCCAGGTCCGACTCATCGTCGCTCTGCACGAATTCGCTCGACTTGTACTTGCTGTTCTGCACTTTGGTCTTGCGCTCGAGCTTTCTCTTCTTCTTCTTGCGTGGCTTGTCGTCATCGGACCCACCGGGCGTGGCTGATGTGGTGGTCCGGCGCCTGGAGCGACGACCTTTACCACCTGCTTCACTGTCCGAGCCAGCCTCTCCCTCGCTGTCCGAATCGGCGCCCTTCTTCTTACGCTTGCCACCTCCGCCACGGCTCTTCTTCTGGCGCTTCTTACGCTCACCTGTCTCCGTGTCTGTCGTCAGTTCAGCCTCTTGCACACGCTTCTCTTCCTCAGCACGCTTGGAAGCAAGCTCGCGGTCGCGTTCTTGCATCTTCTGGCGCTCTTCTTGAATTTGACGGAGACGCTCAGCTTCGGCTTCTTCCTTCTGCCGCTTCTCTTCCTCTCGCTTCTTGATCTCGGCTTCACGTTTCTCACGAGCTTCTCGAAGCTTGGCGGCATTCTTTTCCTCGTACTCGCGCTGGTTCTGAATAGCACGCTCGAGCTGCTTGCGCTGTGTGTTGCGGCCCATGTTAGCACGCGCTTCGATGTCTTGGCGCGGGAATGGTGGGTTCGGCGATTTTGCAATAGCGCTGAATGCTTCGATGGCATTGTCCAAGCCCTTTGCTGCAGCCTCCACCTCCTCGAGGGAACGGGCGTTCTCGGGAAGGGTGTGGATGAGCTGAGCGATCTGGATCTGGACGAAGGCGACGTTGAATTTGAAGTGATCCTGTTCCGGGGCGACTTCAAGAGCCTAAATTCCGTTAGTCTTTGTTATCCTTGTTGAATCATATTACTTACCCTTTGCGAGTAGTCTAAGGAGGTCTTCATGGCCTGGATGTTCTTTTCCTGCTTGCCCTTTAGTAGCCAGACGCGACCTAGGCAAGCCAAGATAGTAGCATCGCGTGCGCGGTCCTTTGCAAGTGCCGTCTCATAGTTCTCGATGGCGCGAGAGTATTGCTTGAGTTCACAGTAAACGTGTCCGAGGTTGATATACACGCTTGCGTCCTTCATGGTCTCTTTGACCTTGGTGAAGAGCTGCACGGCGCCGGCGAAGTCCTTGTTGCATTCGATGAGCGCAATGCCGATGCCTTGCGCAGCATAAGCGTTCTTCGGATCCAGCTGAAGGGCCTTGTCGAAGAATTCAACGGCTCTTTGGTACATCTTGCGCCGCTTCTCTTTGTCCTGTTCAGTGTCTCTCCGCATTTCGCGGGCAATTGCCAGGTAGATGTTGCCCATGCCAGTGAGCGAATACCGATCGTGCTTGTCAAACTGCTGCAAAGTATGCTTGTAATGACGTTGTTCTTGGTCCTCGTTGATGTTGTTGGTCCGCTTCTTAGCTTTGCGCAGATACCAACCATACAAAGCGCGCACTTCCAAGTTCGCGGTCTCGGCTTTGTACAATTCTGACATGGCCTTCGGGCCCTCGTCCTGAGGGCTTTGTCGAAGCTTGATATACGTAAGACGGATGTTGGCATCCACATAGTCGCTGTGTCGTTGAAGTAGGCCTTCATAAACCTTCTTGGCCTCGTCCCACATACCCTCAGCCTCGTACGTGCGAGCCAAGCTGTAGGAGATCGTCGTCACCAGAGCATCGGTGTCAACGGACTGGTCCTTGTCGCCTACTTTCACACACGCATTCAAAGCGGACTGGAACAACTCGCGAGCCTGGACGTACTTTTCCTGTTGGTAGTAGAAGCAGCCCATGTTGTTGAGCAGCTGCGGTGGCAGGTTTTCGCGAAGGCTGTTAAGGTGCGCCCGCTTGGCCTCTTCGTAGACCGCTTTTGCGGCCTCGTAGTTTTCCTGCTTAGGCTCCGGCGGCTGGGGTTCATCTGGCCGATCCTCCTCCGGAATTTCGTCCAATTCCATCTGCTCGACCTGGTGCAAACATTGGAGACTCTTCTCAGGATGGTCGGTCTCATACAGACGCGCAAGATTGAGGAGAACAGCCGTATCCGGAGAGACCTTGCGCTTGGGATCTTTCCACGCCGAGCGAACACTCTCAAGGAGAGAGATGGCCTTCTTTAGCTCGTTTGACTTGTCTTCTTTTGAGTTCGCGGCTTGAGCTGCGAAGACATCTTCAGCGTAAAGAGACCCCAGGAGAATCATGGCCTCAGTGCTCTTGCTCTGTTGGATGATCTTCTCCAATCGCAGCTTGGCGCCCTCGAAGTCCTGCATCATGATTCGAATCTGAGCCATACCAAACTTGGCTGGGAGGTAGCCCCGATCTTCACCACCGCGTGCAGTGTCGGCCCTCTGGTAGTACTCAAGCGCCTTGGAAATTTCGTTCTCGTAGTGCTCCTTCCTACCGAGGAGATACCAGCCATCGCTGGCAACGGCATTAACATCGGTGAAGTCGATAGACCTCCTCGACAGCCGCTCCACTTGGGCCATCGCCTTCCTCATCAGAAAGTATCCTCCAAAGGTAGCGCAAGTCAGCGGGTACTTGTCGTCCAGCTTGAACGCCTTCTGCGTGTATTGCGTCATCGCTTTCTTGTACACGGGAGCGAAATCGGGCGAAGAAGTTGGGTATTGGGAGGAGACATTAAGGTGATAAAGGCCAAGGAGAATGTTGGCAGTCTTGGAGTCGGGACACTGCAAAGTCTCGTTAGCGATGCCCCGCTGCTTTCGCACAGAAGAGCTTACCAGTTCCAGTGCCCTTTCCCATGCGTTCCTGGCGTCATCCTTGTATCCCAATTGCCAAAGACAGCATCCGATACCAATGCGAGGATCGGGGTCGACCATGTCAGGAGCTTGGCCGAGTACCTGCTGGTAGGATGCCAGAGCATCCGCATACTTGCCAAGCGAGTATTGAACTCGCGCCTTTCCAAGAGTGGCCATAAGATTCTTGCCTCCATATGCGCGAAGGGAGTCGTCGAAGCATTTTGCGGCTTGCCGCAGCGCATCAGTGCGTTCTGCGCTGTCAGGAGCGCCGGATTTTGTTTGCGTGATAGCAGAGGCGCGAAGGAGGTATAGAACTCCACGGGCCAAGAAAAGAGGGGCGTAAGAAGGACTGATGCGTGATGCGTCGTTGAGGTTTGAAGTAGCGGCCTGGATCCACTGCTCCTTGGTCTTGAGTTCCGGCCCAGCGCCCTCTGTGGAAAGTCAGTTTTTGCATATAAACGCGAGTGGGCAGGCGTGGGGATACTCACCAGGCCTGAGACGGGGAGCCTCGCGGCACATGCAAAGATTCAGCCAGAACAGAGCACTCAGGATGCTAAGCTTCTCCTCGGCACCGGCTCTGCTAAAGGCATCGCGGGCCTTGTGCAGAATGTCGATGGCCAAAGTGATCTTACGCTGCTTGGCATAGGCCAAAGCGATGGTCATCCATGTAGACTTCACCACACTCTCATTCTCCAACAGAATGCAGAGCTCGGTAGGATCATCGGCCAGCTCGACAAGGTCGATTTCGACCTGCTCGACAACATCTCCTTCGGCGACCGTTACGTCAATGACACCAGGGATATCCGAGAAGCGCTTCGACTCGATGATGCCATTGGCGGAGCCATGGCCGTTGACGCCGTTTGCAAGGCCGTTTGGAGCAGCCATGGTGGGTTATGTTCGCGCGGAGGTGAGGTGGGCGCCGGGTCTTCGAGAGGGTCGAGGCGCGGGGGGAGGTGGGCGCGTTATACGCCCATCAAGGTCGCGCCGACGGTCCGGGGTGGAGGGCGGTTGCGGCGATGTTTGGGGTGGAGGGAAGAAGATGCGAAAGCGTATGGCGTTGACGCGAGACAGGCAAGCGTGAATGCAACAGTCGAGCTGCGCGACGCTCGCCGGCCACGCTGGTCTTGGCGCCCCGACCGACCGGCCCGTTAATCCCTGCCGCCGATCACTTGCCATCGCCGGCGCCATAGGTCTCCAGCATTTATCTTTCCTTGCCGTGCATCACCCACTGATTTGCAAGCGCTATGATCTTCAAAGCTTTTGCATATGGACGGGAACTGCTCAGTACCCTGCATCCTCAAACACCGGACTTGCGAAGTCGCTTTGACACTACTTGCTTCTTTGTTCATGCCGATAGTCACTTTAGCTGCGGATTGGGCAAATACCAAGCCATGTTGTTCACTCATGACTTGCAGACCAACCTTGACCAGGGCCATACTTGCGAAAGCTAAAGCAACAAATAAACGTCCGGCCGCGTCACTATTGTCTGACTTGCATCAAAATTCTCTCTTTTTTTTTGCGCCGGTTGTTTAAACTTGATCGTACTAGCGTTTAAATCGCCTAGAAGTATTCGAGAGGTTTTCGTCTAGTATCTCATAATTTGTCCTCCTACTGGAAGTTAGGCTGTGCTCAAGCTTCCAGAAAGGACCAAGCAAAGGCTGCTGCATGCATGGCTCAAGAGTTCTCCATAGAAATGAAATCGAGTGGCACGCCAAAAAGGAAAAAAAAAAAAGGGAGGGAGAAAGAAAAGCATCCATCGCTGTGTCACAATACTGTTTATTCATGATCGCGGATCTTACCGCAGGACCGTCGGGTACCGGAGTGAGTCTCGCCCGAAAGTTAGCATGATTGGGATGTCAGAGTCTCGGATAACAACCAGCCCTGTCTGAATTAGGAAACGTTTGCGAATGTGGGGGAATCGGCATCTGTGCTGGTCAGCAAAGTCGGTGTTTCATCAGCTCACGAGCCACATGAATGGTTCTAGTCTCTCCGAACCCCTTGTCGTGCCATTTCCTATCTCACTGAAGTCGGTTACATCTGTAGATACCAATGGACGGTTACAATATTCCGTGAGCACGGAAGATTCCATTGTTAATAATTGTAGTCTCCACAGTAGGGTCCAGATACCAAGACTATGCCCTTAATTACATCTCCATCATGCTAAGTGTCATGAACACTGAGCTATGATGTCGCCCTCTACGAAGGATTATCCCTGCTTCTATGAGCTTGTACCCGGAGTCCGTTCGACCTGCTGCCGAGAACATGACCATGTGCCTCGCTTCCAGATCCTTGACGCCTCCACGATGGTGAATGCGAAGTACGACTCCCAAAGCGTCGTCGGCCGACAGGGACTAGAGGCAGATGCGCATTTTAGTGTGAGCGATCGGCAGCATTCGCATTGCTATACCACTGCTCCAGCCGCAAAAGGGTCCATGTCTCTGACCGCCCAAGGCAAGCGGGCTTAATATTCGGTTGTTGCCACTCTGGTGCCGTTACACCGCCGGACCCAGAGGCTCAATCGCTGTCATCGTCGCTTCCATAACCGACAAGCGGACCTTTGGGACGATCTTCATCCTTCTTTCCGGATGTGAAAGTGACGCCCGAGGTCTTCAGCATGGCTAGCGTGGACCCAGAGAAGATACCACCGTCTTCCTCTGGGACTTGCTGTTGTTGCCGCTGATTGACTTCCTCCTCCTGATCAGCTGCTGCTTCGAGCAGTCTTTGTTCCTCTGGCGCATCCAAAAGACCTCCATTTTGCGCCGCTTCCAACTGCGCGGCCTTTTCCTTGGCGTACCACACATCGTCCGGGGCATCATATCCCTGCAAACCAAAGCTTCCCTCGATCTTCCTGCGCTTCTTTGAATCCGGGTCACGGCCTTCGATCTCAGCGACGTAATCGGCGGGCAGGGCGCGACGGATGGCTTCAGCGGCTTGTTCTTCAATGCGACGGGCCTCCCGCTTCTGAGCCTGCGGATTCGGGTCAACAGTGGCCCAGCGTACGTTGAGAATTTCACTGTGATCCAGAGCTTGGTGGGCCATAGCCTCCTTCGCGAACTGTGAGTTTGCTTCGTTGGTGTATGTCACGAAGGCGACGCCGCGGGTGTTGAGAACGCGTACTGCAATGGCCGTTAGCATGACTGGCTCGTGGTTCAGCTGGCGTATGTGCAACTTACTCCTGTCAATCTGGCCCCACTCCTGGAAATGGCGGGCGACAATTTCCTCTATGTCGTCGGTGACATGGATGCGGCCAACGTAAAGAGTCCTGTTCTGCCTCATGAAACTTCCGACACCTCCCATGTCATCACGGTAATCCGCATGCTTGTCTCGGCCAAAGCAGTCCACGTTTGGGTTGAACATGTCGTGGATGGTGGGGAGGCGGTGCAGGTAATCGCAGTCAGCGCCTTTGGGACACAGCCCACGGGCAAAGAAGAGGCAAAAATAGCTCCCCGGCACGCTGTCAGCGCGCGTGTAACCACTGTCGCGGGCGACGTTGCAGCGCGACGGCGCAGCATGCTTGGAGAGGTACTTGTCCTCGCGGTCACCGCCACTCCACTTGTTGTACCAGATGTTGAAGATAGTGCCGGTCTGGGGCGGGGGCTCGGACTTGAAGGTGCTGGGGTCGACCTGGGGACGGGCGGGCCTGCGCTTCTTGCGGATGATCTTCTTCACTCTCTTGCCCTCGGCGTTGGTGGTGATGACGACTTTTTCGGCGCCGTCGGCCGACGTCGTCACTAGCTCTGTGGAGGCGGCATCTGCAGCGGCAGCGGGGGCAGCGGTCTGCTCAGCAACGTCGGTCATGGTGGCAGGCTGGGTAGGTGAGGTTGTCGGACTGCTGGGGTCAGCGCAGAGGCGAAGCTGTTTAGTGTTGTGTCGGCTTGGCGTGTTTGCAAACGTTGCCAAGGCTGCGGCGGGGCCAAGCTTCGCTCGCAGGCAAGTCCGCTGCGTGGAGAGATCTGCGGCCAAAAAAGTCAAAGCCAGATAACGTTGGGCGCGACGTAAACCTCACACGCGCCATGTCTAGCCAACGCCCGCAGATAAACACGATTGCTTTTGGCAGGCTAGATGCCTCGGTCCACGGCTGGAAGCACGGGCAAAAACACTACGCCAGCAGGCTGCACAGGCTGATGCGTACATGGCGACCATTCCACGCCCGTGCGGACGATATGAATGCGGAAATGACTGCCGTTCCAACGATGCCAGATGCAGAGAGAGCCTAAGGCCACGGAATGACGGGGACTCCGGCGCCGACGCGGGCGTTCGACGCCGCCACAGCTCCTTGGCCCAGGTTTAGCCGGGCGGTGACGCATACCGCCATGTCGCCGCCCCGGTGACTTGAAGCGCGTGCTGACAGTTGTGCAAGCTGACGCAGCGGGGCGGCTGCGGTGCCGGGTTCGCGAAGGATGCTGGGAGGGCTCGCGATGGCTCATGATGGCGGGGAGACGCGAAATAAGAGCCATTGCGCGGTCGCCGAAACAGGAAGGGCTTGCGAGGCGGCTGGCCTGGCGCCGCAGGCAGGCCGGTGATCAGACCAACCAGCGGTCTCCCGAAAGCGAGACGGACCCGCCGTCGTACTCGTTCGGCTCCCACAGGCCCCGCGCGTCACGGAAGAAGCCCAGAAGCCTCTCGGGAGCACTGGCTGCCGAACATAAACCTGTACAACGCTCCAGGCTCCCAGATATAATTAATAGGATAGAGCGCCCAGCCGTGAATTTTTGCCCCTCCACCTCTCTCTTGCATTCGTGCCCACCACCCCTCCTCTCGCTGCCACCCAGCCTTGGTCTGCTCGCACAGCCCTGCACACTTCGACAGACCGCACAATTGAGAGAGAGCCGCAACACCAAGCTCGGGCCTCCTGCCCGCCCCTTGTTCACCATGGCCAACGATGGGGACCAGCCTCAGCTCTCGACCGAGTCCGAAAAACACATAAGCCAGGCGCCTTCCTCGGCCACCGACGTGACGGCCAACAATGAGAAAGCATTGTTCAACGCAGCTGCCGCCCCGGCCGAAACGCCTGCACTGAATCCGGTCAACACCCAGAACATTGACGTCAAGGAAAGCGAAGAGGAGGAGACGGACCCTTTCGCTCACCTCCCGGAACATGAGAGGGCTATCTTGAAGCGGCAGCTCGACACTCCTGCCGTCAACATCTCCTACCTGGCTCTCTATCGCTATGCCAACAAGCTCGAGTGGATCATCATCGCCATCTCGTCCATCTGCGCCATTGCCGCCGGTGCTGTGCTCCCGCTCATGACCGTCGTCTTCGGCTCTCTCTCCGGCTCCTTCCAAGGCCTGTTCCAGAAAACCATATCTCCCAGCGAGTTCAACGATGAATTGACCAAGTTTGTTCTTTACTTTGTCTACCTCTTTATTGGCGAGTTCTTTACCTGCTACATTGCCACCGTCGGCTGGATCTATGTCGGCGAGCGCATCTCCTCCAGGATTCGGGAGAACTATCTCGCTGCCATCCTCCGCCAGAACGTCGGCTACTTCGACAAGCTTGGTGCCGGGGAGATCACGACCAGAATCACCGCTGACGCCAACCTGGTCCAAGATGGTATTTCCGAGAAGGTCGGTCTCGTCCAGCAGTCGGTTGCAACCTTCATCACTGCCTTTATCATCGGCTTCGTCAAGTACTGGAAGCTTACCTTGATCCTGTGCTCCACCATCTTCGCCATTGTCTTCACCATGGGAGGTGGCTCCACCTTTATCATGAAGTACAACAAGCAATCACTTGCTTCTTACGCTCTGGGAGGAACTGTTGTCGAGGAGGTTTTCAGTTCTATCAGGAACGCTGTGGCTTTTGGAACTCAGGATAAGCTTGCCCGTCAGTACAACGAGCACCTCGTTGTTGCTGAGTTCTGGGGCAAGAAGCAAAAGACGGTGCTCGCAGCCATGCTTGGCGCCATGATGACCATTGTCTACCTCAACTACGGCTTGGCATTCTGGATGGGCTCCAGATACCTTGTTGCAGGCGACATGACACTTTCCGACGTCTTGACTATTCTCCTTGCCGTCATGATTGGCGCCTTCTCCCTTGGCCACATCGGTCCTTGGCTGCAGTCTTTCACCACTGCCACTGCTGCCGCTTCGAAGATGTACAGCACCATCGACAGAGTCTCGCCTCTTGATCCCACTTCCAAGGAAGGGAGGAAGCTTGACCAACTTGAAGGACGCGTCGAGCTCAGGAGCGTCAAGCACATCTACCCCTCGCGCCCCGAGGTTACTGTCATGGACGGCGTTGATCTTGTCGTCGAGGCCGGCAAAACTACCGCCCTTGTCGGTGCCTCCGGGTCTGGAAAGAGTACCATTGTTGGGCTTGTCGAACGCTTCTACGACCCGGTTGGAGGCGAAGTCTTGCTGGACGGTGTAAACGTACAAGACCTCAACTTGCACTGGTTGCGCCAACAGATTGCCCTTGTTCAACAGGAGCCCGTCCTCTTTGCCACGACCATCTTCAACAACATCAAGCACGGTCTCATCGGCACGCAGTACGAGCAGATGGACGAAGGCAAAATCCGTGAAATGGTCGAAAATGCTGCCAGAATGTCCAACGCTCACGACTTCGTGTCTGCCCTTCCCGAAGGTTACGAGACCAACGTCGGTGAACGTGGCTTCTTGCTTTCCGGTGGCCAGAAGCAGCGTATTGCCATTGCTCGTGCCATTGTCAGCGACCCGAAGATTCTCCTTCTGGACGAAGCTACATCAGCTTTGGATACGAAAAGCGAGGGTGTTGTGCAAGCCGCACTGGACAAGGCTGCACAGGGGCGGACTACGATCGTCATCGCACATCGTCTCTCCACGATCAAGACTGCCGATAAGATTGTCGTCATGACCAAGGGCCGTATCGTCGAACAGGGCAACCACAATGAACTCTTGGAGAAGAAAGCTGCCTATTACAGTCTCGTGGAAGCTCAGAGAATTGCTGCAGCGAGCGAGAAGGTTGAAGAGGAAGAGACCGAGCCCACTGAAACCGACGATGAGCACCTCAAGCGCATCGCGTCATCTCATTCCGGCAAGGGCGCTTTCTCTTCTGACCCTGATGATGATGTGGCAGCAAGACTGAAGCGCACGCAAACTGGAAAGTCCGAGTCCAGCGTCGCCCTTTCCAAGAAGCAACCCGAGAAAATGCGGAATTACTCGCTGGCCACCCTCATCAAACTCATCGCAAGCTTTAACAAGCAGGAATGGCTTCTGATGCTTCAGGGGCTGTTCTGGTCCATCATCGCCGGTGGTGGTAATCCGACTCAAGCCGTCTTTTTCGCAAAGTCGATTTCCGCCTTATCCAAGCCTCCTTCGGAGTACGGCGAGCTTCGCTCCGAGGCAAACTTCTGGAGCTTGATGTATCTTATGTTGGCCCTCACTCAGCTGATTTCTTTTACGGCCCAGGGGTTGTGTTTTGCCGTCTGTTCTGAGAAGCTCATCCACCGCGTCCGTGATACTGCTTTCCGGACCATGCTTCGACAGGATATTGCCTTCTTCGACAAGGACGAAAACAGTGCAGGTGCTCTGACATCCTTCCTCTCCACGGAGACCACCGCCCTTGCCGGCTTGAGCGGAGCGACCCTTGGAACAATTTTCACGGTTCTGACAACACTTATCGGAGCTCTTGCGGTCGGCATCTCCATTGGATGGAAACTTGGTCTGGTCTGTACTTCGACCATCCCTGTGTTGCTCGTCTGTGGCTTCCTCCGATTCTGGATTTTGGCCCGCTTCGAGCAGCGGTCGAAGAAGGCGTACGAGGCTTCAGCTTCTTACGCTTGTGAGGCGACCTCGGCCATCCGCACCGTTGCTTCTCTGACTCGGGAGGAGGACGTCTACGTCAACTATCATCAGCAGCTGGCGGCACAAGGCTCGAAGAACTTGCGTTCAATTCTGCGGTCTTCGTCACTGTATGCGCTCTCTCAATCTGGCATGTTTCTGTGCACTGCCCTCGGTTTCTGGTACGGTGGGACGCTCATCGCCAAGGAAGAATACTCGCTGTTCCAATTCTTCGTGTGTTTCTCTGCCATCACCTTCGGTGCCCAGTCGGCTGGTACCATCTTCAGCTTCGCTCCGGACATGGGTAAGGCCAAGCATGCCGCTATCCAGTTGAAGACGCTATTTGATCGCAAGCCCGAGATCGACACCTGGTCCCAGGAGGGCGAGAAGCTTGAGACGATGGAGGGCAACATTGAATTCCGTAATGTGCACTTCCGCTACCCGACGCGCCCCGAGCAACCGGTTCTCCGTGGTCTCGATCTCACTGTCAAACCCGGTCAATACGTCGCTCTCGTTGGCGCCAGTGGCTGTGGTAAGAGTACCACGATCGCCCTCCTGGAACGTTTCTACGACCCTCTGACTGGCGGCATCTACGTCGACGGAAAGGAAATTTCTTCTCTCAACCTTAACGATTACCGCAGCTACATCGCGCTGGTCAGCCAGGAACCTACGTTGTACCAAGGCACCATTAGGGACAACATCTTGCTGGGAGCCGATCGTGAGAATGTGCCAGAAGAAGCCATCATCAAGGCCTGCAAGGACGCCAATATCTACGACTTCATCATGTCCCTTCCGTAAGTATTCGCTTGCTTTCAATGCTAATGTGAATGAAGAAAGCTAACAATCATCGCGTAGTGAGGCTTTCAACACCGTTTGCGGCAGCAAAGGCACGCTCCTCTCTGGCGGTCAGAAGCAACGTATCGCCATCGCCCGCGCCCTCCTCCGCGACCCCAAGATCTTGCTGCTCGACGAAGCCACCTCTGCGCTCGACTCCGAGTCAGAGAAGGTCGTCCAGGCGGCACTTGATGCCGCCGCCAAGGGTCGCACCACCCTCGCTGTCGCCCATCGTCTTAGCACCATCCAGAAAGCCGATGTCATCTACGTCTTCGACGGAGGCAAGGTTGTTGAGTCGGGTACACACAACGAGCTGCTGGCACGCAAGGGCAGGTACTTTGAATTGGTCAGCTTGCAGAGCTTGGAGAAGCAAAAGTAGTTGTCGATAATGTTTGGGCGGCGATTCAAGTATTTTGGCTTTTGCTACTTGCATATGAGACGGCGTTGGGAGCATAGCAGATTCTCTTACCTCAGGTTGAGGTTTTTCAGATACCACACTCTTGGACGGTTGGTTGTGGTTACAACCTCAAAAGTGCTCACTTTATCACCCCACTACAAACTTTTAGTATACAGACTAGAATTCTCCGTTAGAAAATAAACCACTCTCAACCTCAAAACAAAAAAGAAGTAATTACACCATCTAGCCCTCCTATTAATCGTTATCAGCGCCAACAGTATATTCAGTAATCAACAGGCTCAGGCATACGGTGCTGTCTAGCCACTATCATTTTAATAAATACACAATTAAATACTAACATAAAACCTATCGACCAGCTTATTCTCAAATACACACAACCTTATAATTAAATTTCTCAACGCAAATTACCACACGCTAATAATATTTTAGTCTCACCTACGTTACCTTAACATTTACTTACCTTGCAGCGTTTTTAACACTAGAGACTGGGAAAGAAGTAACTCAATGGTGTGAACATGGTACTCCATCTTTTCAAACATTAACTAGAGCAATTAAAAAAAAAAAACTCATTCGCAAGAACATACCTGTCTTTAAGCTCTTACAAACATGACGTGTAAGTTGTAGATACAATAGCCGTCTCCACAGCCGTGTCATGTATAGACATCGGCACAGTTGGTATTTCACACATAAGAGAATATAGATCGTATTTTCTTTTTTTATTCTCATCTATCCAAGACTGCTGCTTTGGATTCCTACAACTCTCGCCATTCTCCACCGGACCAAATCACCATATTCTCACGGGTCTACAGCCAGTAAGAGGAGGAGAGAACTGAAAAAATAAAAAAAATAAAGAAACAGAGACTGCTCGCAATTATGCATTCCATTTGTCTTTGACAGAGTCCAATCCATCTCTTGCATCGTCACGTCATAAAATTTCCATCTCAGGATATCACTCTTTTCCCTCGCCCAAACGCCAGTGGATGAATGTGTGCTTTTTTTTTTTGTCTTCTTCTTTACCTTGTCTTGCCGAAAATCAGGCTTCAATCACGCCACTTGACGAAGACTTCGTCTGTTCTGAATCTTTGGGTGCACGTGGTGTCCTTGAAGGGCATCTTCACGCCCGACTCATACGCCAGCAAGCCAGCCTGGGCAATCATGATACCGTTGTCGATGCAGAAGCGCTCGTCCGTGGCATATACGCTGCCGCCACGATCTCTCGCCATGAGTCCCATCATCTCCTGCAACCTCTCATTGCAACCTACGCCTCCGACAATTAAAACCTGCGCAGAGCCCACATGGGCCATTGCCCGCTCCGTGATCTCGACCAGCATGGCAAAAATAGTCTCCTGTAAGGAGAAGCACAGATCCGCCGCCGTGATCAGCTCGCCATCTTCTTCGCTGCGTAGCCTCTGGTCTTCGGGCAGGCTGTCGTCGATCTTGGCGGCCAGCTCATCAACGGATGCCTTCACACCAGAGAAACTGACATCCATTCCCTTGACGGCGTAGGGCAGCTCGACGAGATGCTTGCCCTTTTTGGCGAGCTGCTCGATGTTGTAGCCGGGGGCTGGGTCGTTGGGGATGCGCAGGGTGCGGGCGAAGCGGTCGAGGCAGTTGCCGATTGCAATGTCCAGCGTCTCACCGAAGATGCGGTAGCGCTGGGCGGCGTAGGCGATGACCTGCGTGTTGCCGCCCGAGACATATAGAACGACCGGGTTCTCGGCGCCGGTGATGGCGCGGCCCATCTCAATGTCTGGTAACGAGCCAGGACGTCAGCAACCGTCCGTTGTCACGAGCAGGGGGTTGGGCGCAGCATACGTCCTACACAGTGGTTGACGCCAACCAACTCCTTCCCCCACATGAGCGACAGCGTGCGCGCGGCGACGGCGACGCTCTGTAGCGGGGCGCCCATGCCGGGGCCCTTGGTGTAGCAGATGCAGTCCAGGTCGTCAACCGTCACGCCGGCCTGGCGCATGGCCTGCTTGACCAGGCGCACCACCCAGGCGCGGTGGTGTTTGGCGACATCTTTGGGCAGGAAGCCTTCGCCCGGCGGCGAGTTGTAGGTGTGGCGCAGGTTCGCCAGCACAATGGGCTCCTTGCCCGGGGCGGGATGCGAGATGATGCCCACACCGAGCTTGTTAGCACTGCCTTCGAGACCCAGTGCGATCATGGTGCTGGCGGGGCAAAATGCGAGGAGGGTTGTTAGAATTGGTATCGATAAGATTGGCCCGAGCATGAGCTGTCGGGAATAATGGTGCGTCCGGCCCTAGTGGGGCGCTAGCCGGCTTACATAGACACTCTGTGTGCGTGCGTGCTGCTGCAGGAATATTGTCTCCCGCCTGCTCCACCACTCTCTTCTCGCCTCGCTCACGGCACTGTCTATTCTGCGCTTCGCTCCGGGAGAAATGGCGCTCCAGGATGATTTCCAGGAAAGGTCTGCAGCCTTCATGCGCTGGCTTCCTTCCGCCTCCGCAACCGTTTCCGACAAGGTCAAACTGGACGACCTGAGGCACCGTCGCGCTGGCAGAGGTCTGGGTACGTAGGGATCCGTTACCCCTCTCGAGAGCGCTCCGCTCTCCCGCCCTCGCCACATGTCCAGGCCAGACGCTAACTGCTCCCTCTCCAGTCGCCGTGCAGGACATCCAGGAGGGTGAGGTGCTCTTCGCCATCCCCCGCTCCGCAGTCCTCAGCGCCGCCAACTCCTCCCTGTCCACCACCCTGCCCCAGATCTTTGAGGAACTGGACCCGTGGGGCTCGCTCATTGTCACCATGATCTACGAGTATTTGCGCGGCGATGCTTCGCCGTGGAAGCCGTACTTCGACGTCCTCCCCACCGACTTCGACACCTTGATGTTCTGGTCCGACGACGAGCTGGCCGAGCTGCAAGCAAGCGCTGTGCTGCAGAAGATCGGCAAGGATTCGGCCAACGAGCTGTTCAACGGCACCGTCATCCCCCTCCTTCGCCGCCATGCCGACGTCTTTTTCCCTGACCCGGCCTCCGCCCAAGGGGTCACTGAAGACCAGCTCTTGGCGCTAGCCCACCGCATGGGCAGCACCATCATGGCTTACGCCTTCGACATTGAGCCCGACCAAGCCACCAAGGAGGTTGATGAGGAAGGTTACGCCTCGGAAGAGGAGGACGAGGCCCTGCCTAAGGGCATGGTGCCCCTTGCCGACATGCTCAATGCTGACGCCGACCGCAACAACGCACGCCTGCACTACGGCCCAGACGTCTTGACCATGGAGGCAATCGCTGACATTAAGGCTGGAGACGAAATCTTCAACGACTACGGCCCATTGCCACGAAGCGACCTGGTGCGCCGTTACGGCTACTGCACTCCTTTTTACGAGCAGTATGACGTTGTCGAGATCCCAACCGACCTCATCGTCGAGTCCTTCAAGGGTGTGACCTCCGATCAGGAGATCGAGGAAAAGGTGAGCTTCCCGACTCATCCGTATGAACGTTTTGCTCACTTTTAACCGCGCAGCTTGCCTACCTGGAGGACCAAGACCTGTTGGAGACCGGCTACGACATTGGTCGCAACCCCGAAGAAGACCCCGCGGCTGTCGTGAGCCCGGAGTTGGGCCTCCTGCTCGCCACGCTCTACCTCCCGCACGCAGACTTCCAGCGCATGCAGAAGAAGGGCAAATTCCCCAAGCCGGACCTTACGCCGCAGATGGCTGCTCTGATGCAGCAAGTCGTCGCCAAGCGCATTGCCCAGTATCCCACCTCCCTTGCCGAGGATATGCAACGCGTGTCTTCTGGTACCGACCTGGGCAACGCCAGGAAGGCTATGGCCTGTGCGGTGCGCATTGGGGAGAAAGAGATCCTGGAATCTGCCGCAAAACTTCTGACAAAGCTCGCATCTGATTCGTCCAAGAGAGATGGCGACGACGTCGGTGAGGGCTCGTCGAACAAGAGAAGGAGAGTCGCCTAAATTAGTGGCAAGCCGTTTTTGGCTGTGGAAAGACTCAAGCGAGAAAGAAGGTGCGAAACCGAAGAAAACGCACAAAGAGAAAATCGGAACATTGAAAAGGGCTTGATTGACTCGACTCGCCGAGTCGCAGTTGCATTCGGATATGCGTTCTCGCCCCCTCGATGATTGCTCGCCCGTCTGCGTCGACTGGAAAGATCGCAAAGAAGTGCGCTATTCTACACGGTGAAGGAATCCCAATTTCCGCTTTTCCAACGACTTGCCCATGACCGGACAAAAAATCCTCTCCGCATGCCTACCCTTCGGCACACCCGTCCGGCTCGCCTGGAACCTCTCCTGCACTAACTACTGTACATAAACAAAAGCCATCCTTCTTACTGGTCCGGAGAAAAAGCAAAAAGAATTTTCCTGAGTCCGCTGATCCGACAATGGTATATCCGTCTATCGTTATCGTTTAGGGGGAGAGGTGAGTGGTTTAAGAAGAGGGGGTGACTCGCGGTTTGCGGTGCCGGTGACTGGGATTCTGTTGCATCAGGGGGTGAAGAGCACGGAAATAGTGAAGAGCGGGCGGCATCTCGACACGGCACTTTGGCGGCATTATAAGGATGGAAGACCGGACCCTTTCCCGACTCAGCTGGGACCGTTTGTTATCCTTTGAGGTGTTGGCTGGCCGGCTTGTGCGGGATGCTGCTGCCCCTGCGCTGCTGCTGCTGCGGCGGCGGCCAGACTCCGTCGCGCCGCTGCTTGCTGCATTGCGGCCTCTCTGGAAACGGACCGATCCATCAGAATACGGTACTTGATGGCAGCATCAGCGTAGAAGTCGACAGGGATGACGTCATCCTCTTCATCGCTGTCCCTGTCATACTTGAAGCGCTCTGCTACACGATCGTCAATGTCCTCATTTGCGGGCCGCTTCAGTCCTCGCCGATCTATCATGAGACGCCCACCACGACCTGTCCTTCGCCTGAACGATGGCCGTCCAGCAAAGGATTCCTGCGGCGGAGTGGCATAGCGAACCAGGCTGTTTTCGTCGCCGCGCTTTTCAGTCAGGGCTTGGTGCTGCTTGTTGGCATCTGCCGCCTCTTCTGACGATACGGACGCAGGAGGCGTTGGCAAATACTCTGTCATGGCGGCACGGAAAGCTGGCTGGCTCTCTTCTTCGAGAGGCGGGGTTATGGCTCGCCAAGTCACGTCCACGTAGTGTTTGTTCCACTCGCGGTGCTTCTCCTTGTTCGTCTCGATCGAGCGAGTGATTTCGTCCTCCCGCTTCGCGAGCTGCTCCTCCAGGGTGATGAGGTCGTTGTCCAGCGGACGACCATCGACACGGGAGAGCTGAGGCTTGGAGACCATACCAGGAACGCCACGTTGTATGGCATTTGGATCGAGCTTCGGCTTCGGCTTCGGAGCAGGCTACCGACATTGTTAGCATCGCGCCCGATATCAAGGTAAGTGGAAGGGTGAGCCGCACTCTTTGATTGATGAGATCCTCGTCGTCGCCCTTGATGCCCAGATTGCGCTTGATTTCTTTGACCTCCATCCGCTTCTCGAAGATTAGTCTGTCGTTGACCAGCTGATCTCTCCGTCCATATTCTCGCTGCTTCACAAAGTACATCAGTTCCCTTGCCTGTTCGAGCTCGTGTCTCAGCTTCTTCAGCTTCTCGGTCACTTGGGCATCTCTGCCGCGAGTCTTGCGAGCCTGGCGGACTTCGCGCCGTCTGAAGCAGACGTACGGGTCCGAGTCATCAGTCTCAAGGTTTGTTTCGAACTTGAGCATCGGCATCAAGCTATGGTTGCCGCGCTTTAGCCGCTGTTGCTTCCAGTAGTCGTAGATGTCTTTTGCGAACTTCTGCGCGGGATCACTAATGGTCTCATCGAAGCTGTTTTCAAACTCCTCATACGGAAGAGCCGGGGGGTTGTCTACAGCAGCGAAGGGCTGCTTCTCCTGCGCCGTGCGCTCGAAGAAGTCAAAAACCTCCTCGAACCAGTCCTCGGTGCACTGCATGCCGGGGGGCTTTTTCGCGTTCAGAGCCTTGAGGGCAACCTCATCCTCACTCGTCATGCAGTACTGCGTACCTTTGCAGTCTTCGACGGTCGACGAAAAGCGGATGTACGTGGCAGGCTGCACCCACCGTTTCGGATACACATCGTCATACTTCAGCTTACTCACAGTAGCATCGGGGGTGGGGATGTAGAGCTGTGAGACTTTGCCGCCAACGGCGGCAGCGTTGATGACGGCTTGGAGATGGTGTTCCTAGGTCAAGTTGGTCAGGGTCCGAACTTCTCAACCGGTGGGCGCAACGTGTGATAAGAAGATGACACGCATCTGCAAGTGAGGTAAGTTGGGAGTGATGATGGGAGACTTACTATCTCTTCGCCCTTTTCAACACCAGTCTCAACCTTGGGGATGTGGCGCTGCGCCTCGTCATCGGCGAGATTCTCGACCTCACTCTCGCGCAAAATGGCCAAGTTCTGCTTGGTAGACAGCTTGCGCTGACGGAAGCGCTGGCTGGAGATGCGTTGCGTCATCTTGGCTGCGAGCGAGGCTGAGCGTAGTGATGATTATTTGTTGCTGCAGCCTACAGGCGTAAGGTGAGGCCTTCCATGTGACGGCAAGAAATTAAAATCAGAAAGTTGGAAAGCAGCCTTGCTTGAGAGACGGCGCTGCAAAGTCAGAAACGAACGAACAGGGCCTGTCGTGAAGATGGAATGGTTGGCGCAGTGAAAATACGTAAAAGCCGATGTTTGTTCGCCGGGTTGGTTGCGACGCTGGTGCGCGTTGCGTTGGTGGCCCCGGTCGCGGAAGAATTGTGGTGCAGAGCCGGACAGGAATTTTTCGGGCGGTCGGGCACCCCCTTGCGAACCCCCGACTGCGAGCGACGTGGAGGAAAGTGTCGCGATGGCCGAGCAACACGTCGCGCGCACGGCGCCTCAACGCGCTGCGATAGCCGAGACTGCACCGTCAGGCGAAAATTCAGTCGCTCAAATGTCGGTTTCCGACTTTTGTGAGAGTTTTGCGATGGATTTGGGGGTAGTTCTTGATGAAGTCGGTGTGTTGGGGCGATACGGTGGTTCGCCGGTCGCAGCGCTGCGCAGTGTGTGTGAGTAGGGGGGCGCGGGCTCGATGGGCGACCGGGCTGGCTTAGGGTGGGCAGGCGCGCGAGCGAGTCGACCGTTTGGCAAGGAACTGGGCCGCGTCGCCGCCTCTGGCTTCGCTCGCGTCACGTAAGCGATCCGCGCCAAGACTTGATGTCCCCTTCTGGTTGTCGCCCTTCCCAGCCTCTCAGCTTGTGCCCAGCGGACGCTAAATTCCTTGGTCTCTCACGCAAACTTCAGACAACATCACACTGCTCAGAGCTTGCTGCAGTGACGAGTCGCGCCACAGCACCCTGCACGCAATTCTGAATTCCTCACTCCACGCGAGTTGCTTCTGCAGGAAAGCTCCCCGCAACAGAAAAAGGACCCTGCTGTTCTTAGGCGGAAACAGAACAACAGGTAAAGATGACGGCAGCATGATGATAGGGAACGGAATGCATCAAGCCACAATGAGAAACGCTAAGGCCTGCAAAGCGACGCGTGCAACCTCGATGCGCTTGTGTCCTCTTGAGACTCATCTCATCGCCGAAGGAAAATTGACAAAAGAAAGTCAAGACACTTACGTTGCAGAGGGGTGCCTCGCGGCCGTTAGCCTTGCTGCCAGGGGTATACGCGCTCGCGTTCTCAATTTCTATATTTAAATGGCATTTAGACAAGAAGCAAATCAATAGCACCGTCGTAGCCTCGTCGTGAAAGCGCCCCATTATTCTTCGTTCTTCCGCTTTAAATGCATCATTCGTGACGTCCAGCCACCCTCTAACAGTCCCGAGCGGGTATTCTTTCCTGTTGAGCTGCCATCGGGTATCTCCGGCGTGTCCATTCAGAGGAACAGCGTCTTGTGGACCGCGGGCTCTGTCGCCATAGCGGTGCGCAACGGCGCCGTCAATCGTGATCAGGTGCCACGATCGTCATGCCGGGCTCGCGAGGAAAAATTCTGTAATGATTAGATCAGTGAAGCAATGTTCACACCGAGAAACTTATTATTCCCCGGTGTCACTCGTTGGCTTGTACATGATAGTTGTAAGAAACTGTTTCTCGTTAGTGACTGCTGTGTCAGACATCGGTAGTAGAGTTGGGTGAACGTGCCTTTCGTTTGTACCGCGTCGTTGCGCTGGTCGCCAGCACATTATGTTTGATGCTACTTGTGGCGAGATGATTGAGCACAGTGTGGTTGGGCATGTTTAGCACACTGCTGTCGTCCTTCATAGGCATGCTGCCGTTGAGAATGCTTTTGCTGAGCATCACAGGGAGAGACGGCGGCGGCGGCGTGGTATTCAGCACCGCACTCGCCCGTGCAAATTTGCTAGACTCTTCTTCCGCATCCAGGTCGGCCAAGTACTGCGGGATTACGCAATGGTACTGCTTCGGCGGCGCCGGGGCCACGGGGACAGGATTGCTGGTTGCTGCGGCTGGCGTCTCCGGGCCCGACGGGTTCGCCTGCGTAATTTGCTGGAGTTCGGGCGACGGAGGCAATATTTGGGGCGGGTTGACGCCTGCAGGAGCCTGCGCCTCCGGTTTCTCATCCGCCGGGCGCTGCTGCCCAGGGATATCGACGGGCGCGGTGGGCTGAGGCTGCTGTGCTTGAGGGATATCATCCGGCGATACTTCCAGGTAGTTGACGAGTATGTTGGTGAAGTCGACAGCGGTTGGCAACTCGGAAGAGAGCTGCATCTCGTTGTCGACGAGGAATTTGAGGTGATGGGTGCCGGGCTGCAGGTGGATGGTGGCAGAGAAAGCATCCTTGTGTTTGCTCGGTCCACTGTAGGCCTCGTCAGTATCTGGTGTAACTCAAGAGCAACCTGGCGTGAGACATGGGGCAGCATTTGGAGGAAACGCCGCGGTGTCACCAGAAGCATTGGCGCGCTCGCACTTACTTCTTATGCAGTCGAAACTTCTTATTCCATCCTGCAAATGTGCCGGTGACGTAGACCTTCTCTCCGGGACCCAGCCACTCGATGATGGTGGGGACGGTTGGTTGCAGACCGCCCTCGGTGTCGAAGTTGTCGTCCGCCACATCGTCCTCGTCGGCGGTAGTACTGCTCAGCACCGAGGTGCGGCGGGGGAGCACGCCGTCGATGCTCTCCGGATCGATTGGGGCCGTCAGATCGGCTGGCGAGATGATGGGCGAGCCGGGCGTGTGGACCTCCTCCTCAATGGGCAGCGGCAGCCGTGGCGGGCGCGTAAAGGTTGCGGCCTGCATGTGGTAGGCATCCGACTGCGACGACGCGTCGGCAGCGTCGGGCGGCGACGACGAGGGCGCGCGGGCGGCCGCCTGCGGCACGTCGACTGGCTGGGTGAGGGGCGAGGGCTCAGCAGGCGGCGGCGGCGAAGGCTCGCGCTGGTCCTTCTCGTGGCTCTGGCCGCTTCCCATCCTCTCGAGCGTGGTAATGTCGTGCGGCTTGAGCGTCGGCGTAGCTACCGAGTGGGCGCGGCCGCGCGAGTCGGGGCGAAGCGGCCTGGCGGCGGTCGAGTGTGCAGTCGCGCTCTCGAGGCTCGCGGAAGGCGGAGCGGCGCTGGCTTTGGCGTTGGAGAGGGCCTGGATGGACTCGCGGCGACGCGGTTCTCTGCGCACATGGTTCACCGCTTGGTTGCTTATCGGCGCGGTCGCGTGCGGCGGGCCCTGGGGCGAGCTGGTGCTCTGGCGGGACGACGAGGGGTTGTTGCCCATCGCTCACGCTGTGTCTCGCGGCGCGCGTCCTGGGGCCGGGCGGCAGCAGGCGGGCAGCGGGCAGCGAGTCCGATCCGAGTCTGCTATGGCGGTGCGGCAGCCAAAGGCGGGCCTCGTCATGGACCTGGGACCTGGGCGGGCGATGTGCGTGCGGTGCAGCAGTGGGCGGGTTGCGGAGGGCCAGGGCTCGCAGCGGGTCTCTCTGCCCCAGGAGGAGCGCCGCGTCTGCCGATCGAGCTCCAGGCAATCACCATCCTCCCGCGGCATCCACCCCCGTCCGAAGGCGCCTTGACGATGTGACCGGCGTGAGGGCAGCTCAATTCGCGACCTGCTCTGAGGTCATCTGCACCTCCTCGGTATGCTCCCTGGCCCGCGAGCCCAGATGACACCTGACCTATCCAGGCCGCAAGCCCGTTGATCCAAATCCAACCACGCTCGCCCCACCGCCCGCCATGGACGATGGTACCGCCCTGCTGCTGGCCGTTCCCTACTATCTGTTCGTCCTGCCCGTCTCCGCCATCCTGAGCGTCCTCTTCGCCGTCCTGTCACGGCTCTACAATGCCCTGCAATTCGTCCTGCTGCCCTTCATCTACCTTGCGCACTTTGCTTGGCGCGCCGTTGTTTTTCCCTTCGTCATGCTCGCAAAACTCGAGGTAAGCCCGATCCCGTGTGCACCTTCCCCACCCGTCTCCCATCTGATTGCACCGTCAGACTCTCTATGTCTATCTTGGCGTTGCGGGGATTGTTGGCGTGACAACCGGCGGCATCCTCTACTTCAGCTTTAGTGTGCTGAAGTCTGCCTTCAACCTTGACTCGCCCGAAGAGTTCTCCGGGGCTACGGCTGCGGAATACAGAGCTGCCCGACGCAAAAAGAAGGCTGCTCAAAGAAATGCCGGCGCTCCTATGCCAATGGACAGCTCGAGCCAATTGAGAGAAATTCCTCGGTCCAAGAGGCGAGACCTTTTAGCCCAGACAATCCTAGAAGAAGACGATGCAGACTTCTGAAATGAATAATCACGAGCTGCTTCCAAATCCTACTAGGCTCTTCTGTATGACTAAGACCTAACGGTATCCCTGGCTTGGAGTTCCTACATCGTCACAAACCATGGAATGGGGCGTGAGCACTATTAGTTCCTCTTGAGCTAAGCATCGCGGCTCTCCTTCAATTTGGTTGCTCTCTAGCCCGATTATGGCCCAACTTGTGTAGAAGACTTGCTGTATTCGTATTCGCAATTTACACATTACCTTTTCCCCCGAGGATGCAATGCTGTGCAATGTTATGCAGATGTGCCTTTCAAGTATCACTCTGGCTCTGGTGTGTACCTCGATATGCGAGAACTGATAAGATAAGATGAGATAAGATCTCCACGAGTCAGTGTCACCCTGAGTCAGCACAGACCTGGGCGACTTCTTAACGTCCAAACCAGCCAGACATCGCCACCATTTCCTTCGACAACACAAACAAAATTCCTCACCACCGCGACTCCTGGGCCCTCACTAGGCTCTCCACCAAATAATATCGTCAAAAGCTCTGTCAACGACAGCTTTAGCCATCAGCAGCACCGACTTCCTCAACTTGCGCGACTAGCTCCACCCCTCACAAGCTTTACTCCGTGTCAGAAAAATGGGGCGCGCTGAGGTCGGTTCCACGAAATGGCAGGCCAACAAGATGAAGTCCAAGGGGCTTCAGCGACTGAGATGGTAAGCCACCTAACGCATATTGCCGTTCGAGATTTCACACTTTCAAATCCGAGATTCCACACTTTCAAGTTCTAACTTTGAACTGTAGGTACTGTGAACCATGCAAAAAGCAGTGTAGGGATGAAAATGGCTACAAGTGTCACACGCAATCCGAATCACATGTCAGGACTATGGTGCTGATCGGCGAGGACCCACGCAAAGCCATCAACGAGTACTCCCAGCAGTTTTTGAGAGATTTTCTCCTGTTGTTGCGAACTGCGCACGGCGAGAAGAAGATTAACCTCAATCACTTCTATCAGACGTACATCGCTAATAAAGGTGAGCTCTCTTCTATTGTTCTATCCTTGGCCGACAACCTGACATGACTGACTTTTTCCAGAACACATTCACATGAACGCTACGAAGTGGCCCTCACTTACCGAGTTCGGCAAGTACTTGGGAAGAGAAGGCATATGCCGAGTGTCAGAGGACGAAAAGGGCCACGGGCTTTGTATCTCATGGATCGACAACAGCCCCGAGGCGCTGCGGCGCCAGGACGCTATCCGAAAGAAGGAGCGGCAGGAGAAGGGCGATGAGGAGCGTGAGCAGCGCATGATCCAGGAGCAGGTGGAGAAGGCGCGTGCCGAAGCCAAGGTCGATGCCGAGCGGCATGATGAGGAGACGCAGCTGCAAAGGAAAGAGGGAGAAAAGATTCAGTTGAACCTCAAGCCGTCAGTCGCAAAGACCCCAAGCCCACCTCAGCTCACCGGCCCATCTCAGCCTCCAGCTGCGGACGCTCAAGTGGAGGCAACCGAGGATCCAGCACAGGCAGCAGAGAAAGAGAGCGATGCAGCTGCTCCCGCGGCGAAGCCAGCATTCTCGATGGGTTTGGGCAACAGCAAGCCTAAGAATGTCTTTTCGTCGAAGAAAAACCCTCTTGCCAGCAAGAAGGTTGTTGTAAAGGAGCAGCCCAAGAAGATGAGCGAGGCAGAGCGTATCATGAGGGAGGAAATGGAACGGAAGCGTCTTCGAGAGGGTGGGGGACCAGCTGGTGGAGCCAAGCGTCAGCGGATAGGATGAGCTGACACAATACCACTATTCTCGTCTCCCAGCAGACGTTGTTTGATTTAGCGCGGCGTTGGGGGCCACCTTTGGCATGGGCATTATCTCGGTCGGACTAGGCGCGGACACGGCGAAGCGGCTGCAGTATTGTCTCTTCACTAAAACGTACATACATACAGCACAGTGCCTCAATCGGAGCAGCACATCTTACGGTGATTGGAGTGAACAGACGTGGGCATGAGACCGGAAGCGGCGGAATGGCTGTGAAACTGGCCGTTTGCCGGCATGGGGTTGTTGCAAGTGACGCTTGTCTCTCGCATTCGCGCGAATACGCATACGCGTATCGCGGCCGAGGCAGAATTCGATGGCGTTTCGTAGCGGCCGCGTCACCTTGGCCTCACAGCGCCAAACGCTCGGCAACGCACGAGCCACGACTAGGAGAACTGGAGCACACCATGCAATCAGCGCAGCTTGATACAGCCAAAGCGAGGCAAGATAGGCGTGCACCGTCGCAGCGGGTGTGGTGCAGCCACCGGCTTCCGCAAGGCGACTTTTTTTTCTGGGGCCCTGGGCCCTGGCCCAAGGCTCCGCGCAGCAGGCTGAGCCCCAGCCGCACTAGACCCGCAAGCGCGCCTAATTTCGGTTCAGATGTGCGCTGCTCCAGCCTGCACCGCCGCCCTCCTTGGCCAGCTTGTTCACCTCTCCTTCAACGTCGTGGGTCAGTCCTCTCCTTCTCCGGTTCTTCACCGCGCTCTCGCCCATGGCTTGATCTCCCACCGGCTTCTTAATCGCACCTCGCGCCTGCTTCGGCCCCATCGACCTGCTGCACCACTTCGATACCCCGTACGGCATTTTAATTCCACTCCACCCCACTCCACACCGCTCCCACCATGCGCAAGGGCGTGCTTATTTTCTTGGTCATAAACCTCATCGTCATCGGTGTGCTCGTCCGCAATGTTTGGACGCTTCTCGAGCTGCTTGTCGTCGATGGCTCCGAGGACCGCATCTCGCGCGCTGAGCTTCCGGCCCCTAACTCGGGCTCCATCAGCGAGCGGCCCCAATTGATCCCCAAGATCATCCACCAGACTTATATCAACGAGAGCATTCCAGAGGTTTGGCAGGAGGCACAGAAAAGCTGCATCGAACTGCACGAGGACTACGAATACAAGTTGTGGACGGACAAGAAGGCTCGCGAATTCATCGCCGACGAGTACCCGTGGTTCCTCGAGACGTTTGACGGCTACCAGTTTCCCATCCAGCGCGCTGATTCGATCCGCTATTTCGTGCTCGCGCACTTTGGGGGCGTCTATATTGACCTCGACGATGGCTGCAACCGCCGCCTGGACCCGCTGCTCTCGTACCCGGCCTGGCTTCGCCGCACCGTTCCCACCGGTGTGTCCAACGACGCCATGGGTGCTGTCCCGCGCCACCCCTTCTTCCTGAAGGTCATCGATGCGCTTCCGAGATACAACCGCAACTGGCTGCTCCCCTACATCACCGTTATGGGCTCGACCGGCCCGCTCTTCCTCAGCGTCATCTGGAGGCACTATATCAACGAGGGTTCTGCGGCTGCTGAGAACGCCGGAATCCGCATCCTGTTCCCTGACGAGTACAACAACCACCCGTGGAGCTTCTTCACGCACCACCTCGGCAACAGCTGGCATGGTGGAGATGTGAAGCTCATTTTTTGGGTGCGAAAACTCCGTTGTGTTGAATTGAGTGTTTTGCTAACGTCCTTTTTATGCAGATGTCCCGCCACTGGTTCTTCCTCACGGTCCTCGGGTTTATTATTGGCTTTTCGGTCATTGGAGGTCTCTGGTGGACATACCGTTGCGTGGCCCACCAGAGCAGGAGAGGTGGGATCGCCCGTCTCCTGCCTATCCCGGGAGCGCGTCGCGCCGGAGACGCCGAGTATGAGCTTGTTGGCCATGAAGATCATCACAAGGTCTAGAGCTCGAAAACCCGTATTCAATTCTTCAACCGCCCACGTCGACCCACGAAACCCAATACTGAGATTTAATACGGCGGTGTTTATGATTCGAACTGCCATTCTTCAATAATCTTCTTCCATTACCTTCGTTGTACAGTCGATCACGAACTTAGCGTTTTGGCGTTGGCGGCAGTGTTCAGATAAGAGGAAAGGCGGGCATCCCAGCCCGGAAATCAAAAAAAGGGCTTTTTTGGGAGTGATTTATTTTTTTTTTCAAGGCGTTCAGGCATGACCTGCAAAGAACTTGATGGTCGGGGATGTATAGAGGCCCTGGACTCTTTTCCCGGACGCACGATGAGGTGTTTGTACTCAGAGATTCTTCACGTTTTTGCGGGGAGGCAGAACCCCCAAAGCCTCAGCTGTTAGGCTTCAATTGCATCAAGTCAGAAGGCGATGTTATACGCCCGTTCGATGATTCGCCGTCCAATGTAGATGAGCGTGACGGCATGATTACGGAGCGGACCTATCAACAAGCCTGGGCGGCAAGGCGCAACAACCGCACAACGGTAGGTGGATGGAACTGAGCAAACGTGTCGGTCTGTCAGGATAATTATCCTGAGTCCGTGGACCGGATCGGAATCCACTGAAGCCGCCGTCGTATGTAATCGGCGGTCGGGAGATACTTTGGGAGCGGTGAGGCGACATGCGCTTGTCATCATGCGTCATTGCAATAGTGCTCTTTAAAATCAACGGTAAATTGAAGCACCCGATGACAGCTGCCTGCAGCGGGGGGTCCCCTGCGCCTGTGGCGACATCACTCCAACCAAATGACGAGGTGCACGAAACGGTTGGAAGCAGCAGTTCCATTGGCGGGCCCGGGTCGGCTCTGGGCGACCCCGGTCGCGAGCAATCGGCGGGGGATTGCTCCGAGATACGGGAGCGTTAGCGCGCCAAGCGGATGTGCAGCGGGTGGAATCTCTCGAATCTTATGGTGCTCGTGGACAGGCTGCGGTGCAGCAGGCTGGGGTGCCGGAGTCAGGTTTCGCGCGGTGTGGTTGCCACCAGCATGCAGGGAGGCTACTGGCGCGCGACAAGGTTGGCCAGCGGCGACCGCCTCACAGGGACCGATCAGCCAGCGGCGCACGAGTAGAACCATTTGAAACGTGCGATCATCGGCCAGTGATATCAACGGTGTCGCGAGCCGGCAACAGCAGTGATAGTCGGCGGCACAGGAACAGCAGGCAGCCCGCCCACCGCTTGCCGTGCTATTTTTGCGGGCTGCCGGGCGCAACTGCGGCGGCGGCTTAAGGGGCTTGTCTGGCGGGTGGCTGCTTCGCGCGACGCAAGTAAACAGAGCGCGCGACCAGACACACACCGCGGTCCTCGCATGCCTCCCTACTAAAACACCACTGCGCAGCAAACGGCTCCGCGCCAGATCCCAGCAGAGCACTCGCGCACAAGCACCACCCGGCCGGGCCAAGCATTTTCCACGGCTCCCTCGCCGCGCACGCACCGTAGTCCAAAGTCCAACCGCGCAGATCGGGGCAGCGTCGTCGCTTCTTGGCGCGACCCTTCCCCTGTGCTGCACCACGCCCCAAGCCAACTTTCTTCACCACCACACCAACACCCTCCACGCCAGCGTCCTCCCTCGCTCACGCGTGCCGCCCCGTATGAGCCTGCATTGATCGCCGACACTCGCTCTCGCCGCGCCAAACGCTCGCTCCAGCACTCTGCCCGCCATGGCTGAAAAGCCCAAGTACGTCCCCCTTGGCCCAATTCCGCCCGCCAGCTGCTAATCGCCCTGTAGCATGCTCACCTCCGCGTGGCGCGACTTCTGGCACACCATGACCTCTAACGACCGCCACGCTTCCCACGATTCTCCCTACCGCACCGGCCAGCATGTCCCGCTTCCGCAGAGCCGCCATACGCCGCTCACCTCCGTCGCAACCAGCGCAATGGAGTCTCGCACCGACTTCAACTCCCCCTACGCCCAGGACGAGCCCTCCGCCAACGGCTTCGTCAACTCGCCCCGCGCTCCCATGTCCCCTTCCTCGCCGTACTCGCCCGGCATGCGTTCCAGCATGGCTCGCCCGCCCGACGAGAACCCCTCGATAGACGGTGTCAACTCGGGCGAGATCCAGATGCAGAGCTTCAGCGACGGCCTTCCGCCGCCCCCGCCGGTCGGCCACTCGTGGAAGCGTATTGATCGGTGGCTTGAGGATCGATTCGTGGAGCTTTGGGACAATATGTGCGAGGGTGCCACTCACAACGACGTCAACGAGCTGGAGCACGTCCTGGACGTTACCCTTCCCGTCGAGGTGCGCGAGTCACTGCAAATCCACGACGGCCAGGAGCGTGGTGGTCTGCCGACGGGCTTGTTCTTCGGCTGCATGATTCTGGACTGCGAGGAGATAGTCATGGAATACGGCAACTGGCGCAAGGTCAACGAAGACGTCCTCGCTGTCCAGCCCGCGTACCAGCCTCCGCAGGTGCCGATCAAGGCTGTCGCCGGCCCTTCATCCTCGCCGGCCCCGGCTGATAAGTCCAAGGGCACGAATCCCATGTGGAGGCAAGATCTGCTTTCGCGTCAGGACTCGCAGCCGCCGAACGCGATCCAAAAGGCCTATTCTCACCCTGCCTGGATCCCTCTTGCCCGCGACTGGGGTGGAAACTGTCTGGCTGTCGATCTTGCGCCTGGCCCCGCCGGAAAGTGGGGACAGGTCATCATCTTCGGTCGAGACTACGACACCAAGTACGTCGTCGCTCGTTCCTGGGCCGCCTTCCTCGCCCAGTTCGCGGATGACCTGGTCTCCGATAAGACATCCATCGACGAGGAAACCATGGAGATGAAGCTCAAGATTTTCGAGAAGCAAAACGTTGACCCTCCGTACCTTGAAATCCTCCGCTGGCGTTGCGACCAGAAGTATGGCCGCAAGCCTAAGAGAAGGCCTCAGAGCACGCTCTCCATCAACCCCAACGCCCCACCCGCCTCCAACGGAACCAGCCCGTATGGTAGCCCTGCCTCTACTGGCGAAGACAGGGGCCGCTCCCCTCACAGGCTCAGCAGGAACGGTACTAGCCCGCGTGTGCCTATCTCCAGTCCTTTAGCCCGCGTGGCTGAGGAGGCTCCCCAGCCGGTCAAGGTACAAACGGAGGAGGAGAAGCTCATCGAGATGAACACTCCTCGACCCAGTTCCGACCTCAACTCCAACAACGCGACTCAGAAGAACAGCATGGAGAGCGACAAGGACAGCGGCAGCGAAAAGGGCAAGGGCAAGAGCGTGGTTTCGTCGGAAGAGATGAAGACTGTCGAGATATAAGCGTCTCGCCACTCCTCGTCGCTCAAAGCTTACCATGAGTGGCCATGTCCTACATTACGGTTTACAAGAGCAAATGATACATCAAAGACACATCTTCGGAGTTGGGTTTGGCAGTTGACGACGGTGATCGAAGCAACGACGAATCTCATCATGAGACCTGGGGAAGAAGGGGTGGATCATGTCCTTACGCTTGCTTCTACGGGGAAAACATCCAAAGTGCATCAAAATCGTCGGCAACAATTTCTTCACTTTCCCTGGCAGGAGCATACTAATCTGCTTTTCCGGGCTCTGCAAGTTCCAATAAGCAAGCCCTTTTACCTGACCAGGCCGGCCGGTTCTTTCACTGCTGCTGCTTTCGCTTTCTCGGCTTCGTCTTGGCGAGGCGAGCATGGGCTGCTCGACGGACCTGAGCTTTTTTTTTCTTTTTCTCCCTTTACACTTGCATTGGTGCTTTTGCTTTCGATTTTGCAAAGCTGTGGGTTTCTGCTTGGCTAATCGGAGTTCAGTCAAGCTTTATATCAGTCAGCAAGCGAGCCAGTCTTGTTCTACTTCATTCCTGAGTGCCGCAATCGTTGACGATGGTGGTAAACAGGTGCTGGGGCTTTTCACGAAGCTTCCTTCTGGTTTGGTGTCATTTTCTTAGCTCTGCTTCTTCTTCTAGCTCTCTGGCGCCCTTTAAATTTGCGCAATTGTAGTTGTATTAGCAGCAGCAGTGATAGATAAACACAAGTTCGTCGGCTTTTTTTATGAGTGGGTGCAGTCTCGAAGCAGTGGCAGGAGGTTTGTTGTAGGGTATTTGTAGATTAATTGGCTTTTTTTTTTCTTGGATGGTTCATTGTTATGGAAATGAGAAATATCAAAATTTACCGAACTAGCAGCAGCACATCGCCGTGGGTAGAGGAAGGCATTGTCCCTCCATGTCCCGCAAACGATACTTGCTATCTGCATGGACAGTTGACGCAAGCATACATTAGCCGAGTGTTAAGGTGCGGGTGCGCCGGGACATGGGTGGATGAGGAACGTGCACACCGTCCATGTAGTTGGAGCCGACGACTGTACACAGACGTTTCTTCGTTCCGTACCGCTCTGGTGCCGGACAAGACGGTCTGTGGTGCAGGGAACAGGAGAGGTATGCGGTGGATGCCGCGTCTGAGCATCCGATAGGCGCGTGGCACGGTCGTTCAGTGTCTCCTTTAACACCCCTATATGCGGCCCCGACGTCTTCTAGAACTCTCGGGAGAAGCGGACAGCGGAAGGCCGGAATGAGTCAAGGAGCGAGCTTGGATGCTGTTCTTACGTTATCCCAGCTACATAGCTACTACATATCGCGCACCTAGAATTTCTCACAGGCGGGTCGCATGTCCAGCTCGTGGGTCCACAGGTCGGGGTCCTGCTCATGCAGCCAGAGATACGTCTTCCCAACAGAGTCGGCACTCATTTTCTTACCGCTGCGCTGGTCGTCGCCGTACTCGTCGGCGATGGCGCCATTAGCGATGGTGTGGGCGACGTGTATCCCCTTCTCCGACATCTCGCGGGCCAGCGTCTGCGCCAGCTGCCGCACCGACGCCCGCCCGGCGCCGTAGGCCGCGAAATGGGCGGAGCAGCGCAGCGCACCGAGCGTACCGGTGAAGATCAGAGTGCCTTTCTTCGCGCCGCCCGAGGCGAGCGGAGTGTCGCCGTGGTCGGCGAAGAAGCGCTTGATGGATTCCTGCGCGAAGGTGAATGCCCCGCCAACGTACGTTTCCAGCGAATCGGTGAAGTCCTAGGGGGATGATCAGCCAATGGAGCTTCGGGTGTGCAGTCGGGTACTTTCGAAGTACCTCATAAGTCTCTTCAAGAAAAGGCTTCTTGCTGCTATGCTTGACGCTGTAAACTGCTAAGCGGAGCTTCAGGTCCTTGAAGGAGGGGTGTTTCTCGATATCAGAAAAGGTCTTCTTTAGTGAATCGGGCGATGTGTCGGTGGGGAATGCTTCGAGCACGGCTCCCGGGTTGGAAGAGCGGAGACTGTTGGTTAGCTCCTGAAGAGGCTCGGGGCTTCGGGCAAGAAGTGCGACGGCAAGATTACCGTAGGAAGGATGTGAAAGGATTCGAGCTATGCCGGCGCCCTTGGGACTACTGTCAGATGCTGGACGCAAGGGCCAGCAAATGGATTGAAGCTTACGGTATTCGGGCCTGCGCCGATGAGGATTGCAAGTCCTGATGGAGCCATTGCTGGCGAAAGATATGGAGTCGCGAGGCCGTTTCAGCACAATTATGAAGACGATGTCGCACACAGGGCTCGCTTGTAGCTGTGTTGCCGTCACAATTTATGTTCGAGCATAAAGCGGGGTGACCAGGTGAATATACATGACGTCATTCTGCTGATAGAGGAAAGATGTCTATAAACGTACGAGGTTGATGTACTTCGTATTGCCACACAGTCGGGTAGGTGAAGCTCTTTTCCGAATGCATTTGTTCAAGCCCATACGCGTTTATGTCGGACGGGCGATCCGGCTGGCCGTCCGCTGTTGCAATACGAAGAGAACCCCGCCGACCTCGTGTCTTTGCCGCAGCGGACTTAGCGGAGTATGGGGAAAACTCGGTACAAATAGAGGCAGGGACGAAGGTGCTGCTCGATCTTAAGAGTCTTAAGAGCATGCATATCTGCAGTAAACTTGATGCAGCAAGCCGTGCTATGCTGCAAAGGTTTGCAGCAGCCTGAGGGGCATCCATGGCTCTTCGAGAATGCTCGATAACTCGACATGAGGTGAACGTTCAGGATCTTGCAAGTCAACAGAGCTCTCGACAAGGTAAATCAGACTGCTCTTGTTTCCTAAGCAGAGCGTAAGCGGAGCCGAGAATGGCGGTCAATGAAGCTCATGAATATCGCGCAGTAGCCTCGGTACCAAGCCTCAACTCATGGTCAAATGAGCAAGGCGAACGTTGCGCCAGCACTTGCTGAAGGGGTGGTGGAATGGATGGAAAGACTGCGGAGGAGAGGAAGGAAGTGGCTTACGTAGCGCTTGGCGGTGCCGCGATCGGCAACGACGGGGGACAGCTGTGCGGCTCCAGGCACAGCTTCAACCCAATCCATGCCACCCCGCCATTCTGCCCTACGCCTCCCGCCATAGCACCGTGAATCCCAGCGCGCTCGGCGCTGCTCTGACCACCATGGATATCGTACAGTCCGTGTCGGGCTACATCAGCAAGATGGTGTCGGCCGGCGACAGCTCCACCGGCTCTCAGCCAGCCAAGATGAAGATACTACTGCTCGACAGCGAGACGGTAGGTCCGTCGCCTCGCCCGCCAGCACCAGCGCGCCTCTTACTGATGCTCCAAAGGTCCCCATCGTCTCAACCGCCACCACCCAGTCGGCCCTGCTCAGCCATGAAGTCTACCTCACCGAGTACGCCCAAAGCCCATTCCAAGCTCGACTCCCGCTGACAGAGAACAAGCCGCCTCGACAGCCAGACGCGCGAGAAGATGCGCCATCTGCGATGCCTTTGTTTCGTCCGTCCCTCGCCTGAATCCATCCAATTCCTCATCGACGAGCTGCGCGAGCCCAAGTACGGCGAATACAACATCTACTTCAGCAACATCATACGCAAGTCCTCACTCGAGCGACTCGCCGAAGCCGACGATCATGAAGTTGTGCGCGCTATACATGAGTATTTTGCCGACTACCTGGTCATCAACCCCGACCTCATGTCGCTCAACCTGCAACACAGGATATGGAGCACTAACCCGGACCTGTGGAACCCGGATGCTCTGCAACGCTCTACCGAAGGCATCATTGCCCTGTTGCTGTCGTTGAAGAAGAGACCTCTGATCCGCTATCAAAAGAACAGCCTGTTGGCTAAGAAACTGGCAACCGAGGTCCGCTACCAGATGACCCAGGAGGAGCAATTGTTTGATTTTCGAAAAACCGACACGCCTCCCATCCTGCTCATAGTGGACAGAAGGGATGACCCTGTTACTCCCCTTCTCACTCAGTGGACATACCAGGCCATGGTGCATGAACTTATGGGCATAAGAAATGGCAGGGTGGACCTGAGTGATGTTCCCGACATCCGGCCTGAGCTAAAGGTGAGCTGACGAGGATGGCCTGCCACACTGCTCAGCTGACTCCGTTTTCTAGGAAATCACCCTGTCGCAGGATCAAGACCCATTCTTCAAGAAGAACATGTACCTTAATTTTGGAGATCTCGGCCAAAATGCCAAGGACTATGTCGAACAATTCGCATCCAAGCAACAAGGGAGCCTCAAGCTGGAGTCCATCACGGACATGAAGCGTTTTGTCGAAGATTATCCAGAGTTTCGCAAACTGTCCAGCAACGTCACCAAGCATGTGACGCTTGTAGGAGAGTTGAGTCGGCGCGTGGGAGAGGATCACCTTCTGGACGTCAGTGAATTGGAGCAGAGTTTGGCTTGCAACGACAACCACTCGAACGATGTCAAGGTTGGTTAAGTCTGGATCGCGCCGAGTTACAAGCTAACATCTGATAGCAACTACAACAACTCATTTCCAACCCCTCGATACCCCCTGACAACAAACTACGCCTCACAGCAATCTATGCACTCAGATATCACAAGCATCCGTCTAACTCGATCCCAATGTTGCTTGATCTTCTTGCGGTGGCTGGCAATTTGTCTCGCCATCGAATCGATTTGATCAACAAGCTGCTGCACTATCACCAGTCTTTGCAGGTCACAACGTCCGGCACCGCGGGTATTCCTGACCTGTTCCAATCTGGGTCTTTGTTCAGCAATGCGCAGAATCGGTTCAAAGGTCTCAAAGGTGTGGAGAATGTCTACACTCAGCACTCGCCGCGACTGGAGGGTACACTGCAAGACCTGATCAAGGGACGTCTGCGCGACCACCTGTACCCATTCGTTGATGGTGGTGGCACCACTAGAGATAAGCCGCAGGATATAATCATCTTCATGGTGGGTGGAGCAACATATGAGGAGGCGAAAATGGTTGCGCAGGTCAATGCTAGTTCGCCAGGCGTGAGAGTGGTTCTTGGTGGTACCACGATACACAACAGCATGACTTTTCTAGAAGAGGTTGAGGATGCCGTGCAATCCTGGCCCGAACCCGCCCCAACCACAGCCGCCGGAAGATTGAGAAGAGAGGTTGGGAGGTAATGAGCATACGAAAAGGCGGCGTAGCGCGGCGTTGGTGGTCAGTATTCTAGCACCTGCCATGGCAGGTCACCGGGCCTTGGTATGCATGATTTTCTTTAGCGCTTGCTGTGCTCTGTGTAACATCGTGCCATCATGTTCCGCTTGGTCTCAGCACCAGTTGTGTTGCTTGCCGCGCTTGTGGTGAAATCGCTATTCCGCGGTAGATATGCTTCTGGCCATTGGTGTCCCGCATCTCGTTTACCCGGCACTGCTTTGCCCTGACTACCCCGCCCACTTTCGAATCCAAAAACCTCCATCACAACGTACCACGCAAGGCTTACACCACACACGCATCTTCCACAATGACATCTTATCCGCCAGGAGAATGCTGCATCCGTGGGGTCAAGCATGAAGGCCAAGCCGTCGGCAAGATGGTGCAAGTTGGAGGCAGTACGCGAGATCCTTTGACTCAAGAATAGGGTTTCGACTTACCAGGATGCAGTCAGCTCGTATGTCGTTTATCCCGAGGACGAAAGCACCCGCAACGCCATTTTAGTTCTCACCGACGTCTTCGGCCATGCTTCCATCAATCCTCAACTGTGAGTGATGGCGCCCTATTCTAATTCATACAGTAAATACTTACATTAGCTGCAGGATTGCCGATCAGCTTGCTGCCAATGGATACTTCGTCGTCATGCCTGACCTTTTCGACGGCGATCCAGCTCCGGCTAATACCGAGGGCTTTGACCTCCAGAAATGGAGAGTAAATCATCAACCAGCTACAGTCGACCCGATCGTCGCTGCCGTTTTGAAGGAAATGCGTGGTGGCCTCAAATGCGAGCGTGTCGGTAGTGTCGGGTACTGCTTTGGCGCCAAGTACGTGGTTCGCAACCTGAAGAGTGGGGGTCTCATCGACGCTGGCTTCGTTGCTCATCCATCATTCGTGGACGCGGATGAGCTCAAGGCTATTACACGTCCGCTGAGCATTGCCGCAGCTGGTAAGTTGAGAATGGTATCTACCGGCGTCTCCTTACTTACCCATCTCTAGAGGACGATTATATTTTCCCGACTCCGAAGCGCCGTGAATCCGAGGACATCCTTGCGGATATACAGGCAACTTACCAAGTGGTTCTGTACTCAGGTACATCGCATGGTTTTGCAACCCGTGGCGATCTTTCAAAGAAGAACATTAAGTTTGCCAAGGAACAGGCGTTTCTACAAGCGGTGAAATGGTTTGATGAGCACGTTAAGGAATGAAGTTATTTTTGCATGGTCTGTACGACAAACTACATTTCTTTGGCTCGATTTCAATCTACAAAGAGGTATCACATCCGACGGATAGCGCTAATTTGTTTTTCGCTCATGTCATGGGCAGTTGAAGCTATCGTCCAGACGTAAATGTATAATTTTTAATTCCACATTTGCGTCCAGACGATAGCTTCAACTCCCCGTATTCGTCGAATAATTCCTCACGAAAATTGTGAAAAAAAAAAATCTGTCCTAGGGATCTATGTTCCGAGGCCCTGGTATTCTTCGTGCTAGCTTTCGGCTACAATCACCCGCTGTATGCTTTCCAAGCACCCAGCTCATTCACCGGCGCTACTGGACGCTCGGTTTCGAAGAAAGCCCTGATGTTCTCCAAGCACTCCCTCTCTGCCTTTCTGAAACTCATCTGGGTCAGTCCTCCCATGTGCGGTTGGATTATGACCTTCTCGCTCTTCCTGAAATAGTCATGGATTTTGGGTTCGCCACAAAAGACGTCCAGGCCGGCCCTCCAGATCTTTCCAGATTCCAAGGCGTTGACCAGTGCCTGCTCATCAATGACTGCACCGCGAGAGGTATTGATCAATATGCTTGAATCCTTCATCGCCGCAAATTCCCCCACACCAATCATGCCAGTCGTTTCGGCGTTCAATGGCACGCTGATGGAGACTATATCAGAAGTCTCAAGCAATGATTGCATGGTCTGGCAGTATTTGGCGTGGTATGTCGCTTCATCTGCTTCAGAAAGGCGTCTCCGGTTGTGGTATTGGATGTCCAGGTTGAAGACGCTCGCTTTCCGTGCAATGTGCTTGCCGATAGCACCCATCCCGATGATTCCCAACTTCATGCCCGCGGGGTCACGACTTGGTACGTGGTCTGCCCGCCACCTGCTCTCCCTCGCTGCCTTCTCGGCACGAGTGGTGTCGCGAATGGCGGCGAGCATGAGGAAGATGGCCATGTCGGCAGTAGCTTCGGAAACTGCATCAACAGTGTTGCAAAACCAAATGTTTTGAGACGTCATCCAGTCAACACTAAACTCGTCGTAACCTGCAGATGCCGATGCGATGATTTTGAGGTCAGGAAGAAGCGGTGCAAAAAAGTCGCGGTCGAAGTTGCCGTATGGATGAGTTCCCATGCGAATCATCATGGCCTGGAATGGACCGTCCTGTTTGACCTTCTGGTCAATGTTGAGGAACCATTCTGTCCGGTCCGGAACGTCAATGACCTTGCGATATTTAGTTTGCGATCCAACAAGTTGTAACGTGTACGCACGTGTAACTCGAACTTTTCACGGAACTTGTCTAGAAAGTCATCGCCAACCCATTCAGGGTTGCGCAGGCAAAGCGCCTTCGGCTTTGCAGCTTTTACGCTGGCCGACATACTGAATTTAGGGAGATGGTCGAGTCTACTTCTGAGAGCAGACGAAAGCCACAAGCCACTCAGATAAACACCCCGCAATGCAAGGTTGGGGGTGCATATTCTTGGCGCTCGGAAGGCCAAAGCGATCTGCGGTATCTGGTCGTGTCAGCCGAGCTGAAATGACGTACTGGAGATGGTTGGTCGACTGAGCCGTGCGATCCACCTCGTGGCAGATCAACTCTCCGTCTTCGGCAGCGCATCGATGCATGCGAGATCCCCCATGTGGAGAACATGTAAACGGCAGGCTGCAAGCACTCACGAATCCTGCAGGTGCAATGCCACGGCCGTCAGCTGACGCCCCATGGTTGGTCATGCGCAATAAGGAACCTTGCCTCTTCCTAGCACGGCCGCCACAGGGCTGGTAAAACCAGCCCATCTGAAGAAAATCCTCTTCGTCCGCCTCGTCCCTGCCTAACGATGCGGCCTTTGAGAGGTATCAAGGTCGGTGATCGCGAGTATGCTCGTCGGCGTTTCGGTACAGTCATGAGTTTCATTGCCGATCTCATCGTCGACGTGAGGGAGATGCGCAAGGTGGAGGACCTGCTGGAATCGACCGACAGATCCGTCATGGCATTCAAAGACAGCCACTTGAGAGCCGTGGGAAGTGTTTCCACGACCGTAGGTCACCTCGTCCCTTAAAAAGGCAGCTTCTTACCTCTACAGGCAGCCATCGTCGCCCAGCTGTCTTCCACCACTCTCCAGATGCCAGGACTGAGCCATGTCCACTGGACGGCTCCCGGTTGTATCATCGCCAGTCTTCTTTTTGGTGTGCTCACCGTCATCCTCGGCACGGTCCAGCAGCAGATCTTCGGCACGCTTAACAACCCGGAAGGTGTGCGCATGTGGCTCAGCAACGGCCGCTTCTATCCTCCGCACCGCTTCTGCCGCCCGCGGTACGACGAGTTGGTGGGAGAAACCGACGACAGCTTCTGCTACCACGGCAACAACCTAGCCTCGACAGCTCAATTCCGTGGGACCGCTCCGCAGGGCAAGAGGCGGCTGCAGGTATCCATTGCCGCTCTGCAGCTGATGTCCATGCCGCACAAGTTCCTGACTGCCGCCGTCGCCTTCTTCCTCGCAGGATTCGCGCTGTATTTGGGCTTCGCTTTCCGCCAGGATCTGGACGATACTCCCGCACGGGACAACAACGAGGCCGTCTTCATCTCGTTCGTCGCCGTCGCTACGGCTTCCCTCGTTTCAGGCTTGGGCGTTGGCGTGTGGAAGGTGTGGGAAGTCCGGGGCGCCGAGGAGAGGTCTGACAGAGACTCGTACGGCGACGAGTCGGAGTCCTTCACCGACAGCAGCGAGGAGAGCGGCTACGAAGCGGACGAGTCTCAGGTTCTGACCAGCCCGCAGGTGCAGCGACCACGGGCCAAGAAGCCGCGCAGGGGCAGGCATGATGAAATCGCCGAGGTGCTGGAGGAGGCTGCCCGGCTGCATAAGCGCTTGGCGCGGTTGATGCGGGAGGAGACTGATGGTGATTGAGCGCATCCGGTTGTCAGTTGGCGTGGTCTCCCACGTGCGTCTGATGTAACAATGACTGCGGGGGGAAAGAAGCGAAACGACCATAAAACAACAAGGTGTCCGCATCCACCAAGCAGACAGTAAATGCCCTACATATCCACAGCAGTATATAGCACACAATGTGCCTTGCAAAGACGTCATTCGAAATTAATAGCATGAATTGGCCTTTTTTTTTCTTTTTTGCATTTCTTGTATCAGCTAGATATTTGAGACACGTCACCTAATCCGTCAAGGCAACGCGAGTTTTACGTATAGTAGTTAACCAGATGTTTTCCTATGAGATATGAAGAACTTAAATCGATGGACGTGGAGCCCCAGCGAGACGTTGACGCGACGTTGCTTTAGTCACCAACAAAACGTATGCTAAGCGTATAAACCTAGCTCTTCCCATCGAGAAGCGCGAAACCCTGTAAAACGTGATACTTTGCTACAGACGCTCGTATTCGAGTTACCAGTTAGTATTTGAAAGGCCTAATTGCTCAGTTGTTGATTGGGCCTTTGCTAGCAATGACTCGAGGATACTGTTACACGTGATTTCCACTCGTTGCTGTGGAGACCAAATTTGATTTGTACGTATAAATAGAATTCTTTAGCTACAGCTTCATTGTAAATAAAGAAAAGGACGTTTAGTTTAAGAAATATAGTGTTACTTAACCAAGTAAGGTAGGCTGGTGAGATACGAGTGTTTGGTAATACGCCCATTATTAACTGCGTAGCTGGCTGCACTGTGCTCCAGCGTGGTAAGCATTTTACTTTATATATTTCAATGATACGCTCCTTTTCATCAATAAGTAGCTTCTATGGCTCAGTTGGTAGAGCGCGGCACTAGTACCTGATACCTATCAGTCATGCCGAGGTCCTGAGTTCAAATCTCAGTGGAAGCATTCATTTTGCCGTCCAGTGGTCTGGACGTTGTGATTGTTTTGCAGTTTTAGGTGGTGAACGTTTTGGATAGATGCTATATACTACCCCACTCCCCCCAATTAGCTAGCCACAGATTATTGCGCTACGCTCTATTAAGAGGCCTATCAGGCATATAAATCAATCTATAAATATAGCAACGGTTAAATATAGTCTGTCAAAGACACCCTTCGTGACAGAGCTAGCCAGAGCGTTCCGGCCATCACTGCACTCAAACCAACCTAAAAGCATAGCTACAGTCAAAAGCATCTCGAGTTGGAGTGCTTTTTTATCTGACAGACACTGGCTTAAGCGGGTCTCACAGTCTGGTCGTCGATACTTGCTCAGTTACTAAACTGACTGCAAAGAAGATGCACAATCCCGATGAACGCATCAGTTATAAACAGACTTCTCGAAGCAGAAAGATGCAGTTCCGCTCACTCGCTTGTGCCCAGGCTCTCCTGCGCCAAGCATGACTTTAAGATGCGGCGGACTGTTGAGACAGGGGTCGCAACGGCGGGAGCACGGCGGCAATCCTTTGATGCATGTACATGACCACGCCGAGCAAGGAGCCTCACTCTTGGCTATCGAACATGATGGCCAGGGTCTTTCTGGGCAAGTTCTGGGCCTGGTGTCCTCCGGGAAAAATCGGAATGTCCAACTGTGGTCAGTGTCATGAAGGATGCTGGGCTCTTGACTTTATTGGTATCCCGTGCTCAAAAGGGCACTTCCGAACGAGCCTGCGTACAGTTGTCGATTGCGGCTCGTCCGTGTGGTCATGGCATTTCGCCCTTGGCGATGCAGAAGTTTTCAAGTCCAGACTCGTTCGAAAGTCACTGAGCCATGGCGATCCGGGCCAAGCATTCAGCTGGCACTTCTCGTACGATATAGATGGGGAATCGCTAATGATTTCCAGTGGCGCAAAAATTTTGGCAGGGGCATCACGGAAAATTCCCTCAATAGTGTATGTGAGTGGCGATTATCAAGGTAGCGGACGCGGGCCGCCGCGTTGGGAATCCTGCAAGCCATTTAGAACAGCCGGTAGATCAAGGATCCAGCAAATCATGCATGATGAATGGATCTGAGATGGACTTTGGAGGGTTTGTTTCATTCGAGAAGAATGAGCAGAGGTGGTTGATGTCGGATTCTGTCGGATTTGTTTCCGAGAGTCTGACCACGGTCCACAGTTATCCAAGATACGTTCCAAGAGTCCCAACAGCAAGACATTGGCACGGCGTGGCAACGATCGGCTAGCAGCCTTTTCCCCGTGGGCAGGACCCCGCGACTCCACGCACGACCCGCCAGGAACACCTCACCGCATCACGAACGGCGGCAACTTCCTATCGGACCAACCAGAAGCCACTGGAAGCCAGAATCCGACGATGTGACTGGCTTGGCGAGGCCTGCCTGACGAAAACGACGCGCCGCGACATTCCATGAGAAAAAAACGCCACAGAAATGCGAATCGAGTCACCCGTCACACCCACGCTCGGGCGCAGCCAATGCTCGTTGCGCTCAAGGCGGTTTAGCTTTTTCAGCCGCAGGGACAGAAGCCGTCGTACGATACCGCCAAGATACCGTGCCGCCTTGGGCTCGGATGATGTAGGAAACGGTCATGTCGCGTCGGCAGTTCTACGAAGGATTCTGGCCATGATGGTGCCAAGAGCGGGAAACGCGACGGCGGAGAGTGAGGGGGAGGCCTGGGGAAGGGTGCGTGGGGAAGAGTGAGTGCGCGTCCAGCTGCAGTCGAATCAAGCCGGACAAGCCTCCTCAGCATTCGCCCTATGGCGCCTGGCAAGCCGTTCCCACTTCTTCCCTCTCTTGGCCCTTGGCCCGGCGTCGCCTGTCAGCCCACGGGCGAGCGCGTACCCGTTACGGACAATTCGCCCGCCGGCCCTCAGTCAGCAGGCCTGTTCCGCCAAGGCCTGACTTTTGCGGTGGCGCTCCGCTGCTGCTTGGCATCGTCGCCGTCTGACATGCGAAACGGTCGGCATTGTCGTCCCCATCTTTCACCAACCCGTAACTGCGTTTTCAGTGTCTGCTCCGCGTCTTACTATCCTCACCCGCTCCACCGCGGGGGCTTGGCGCACCAAGGGACTGCGTCTCCACCCACTTTGGTTCTGCGCGTGCAGGGAAACTGTCGCCTAATGCGCGGCACAGTAAATCTGGGGTAGCCTATTCCGGGGCCGTGGGGTAAAATGTCCGACGAACGAAGCAGCCTGGCAGCCCTCGTATCCACCACTCTCTTCGCGTCGCACGCCAAAAAATCCCCAGGTCACAACGAACGCAAATCTGCAATGCTGAGGCGGCGCCTTCCCGTATTCCAAGCACGCTTGTTCGAGCGAAGGCGCGTCGTGCGCGTCTCGGCCGCATGCTGAAGGAGTCTTAACCATGTTGGCGCCATGCAAGGACATGACAAGAAACTCTGCTTTCCCCTCGGGTCAGACCGGACTGGCGAGCCCCACTGTGGTCCAGGGACCGGCTCCAATGCCTTGTCATTCGGGCTGCTGCCAAATATGCCGGCGACCGCCCGTGCGGTTGCATCTGTCGTGCCGCTTGGCGGGCGCACTCATGGGCTGGCGGCGTGGAGCGCGGCATCTTGGCCATCTTGGCTGCGGCACCACTATGACCGCATGCAAGCCATTGATGCTACCCCAGCCGTGCTCGCCCTCCACGGGGACTCCCCGCACCGACTGTGTGGTGATTAGATAGCCTCTTCTATATAAGCCCGCCTGGCCAGAAGCTGTGTTTCCTTTCCACTCCAGCGGATCTCCTTCCTCGCATCTCCTTGGTCACTTTCCCGCTCCCGTCCCTCCAGACCAATCATCCACCATGCCAGCCGAAGGCGAGCCCGCGGAGCCCATGCAGAAGGGTGTTTTGTTCACCGCCAAGCAAGCTTGGGGTGACCTCTTCATCTGGAAGCAGCGCGTCGTTGTCACCAACGAGTACGGAGAGGAGCGCACCGAGTGGCAGAGCCCTCCCCCGCTGCAGAACCCCTTCACGCTGTTCGCCCAGCTCAGCTTCAAGGATTGGGTCTTCTTCCTTGTCGGCCTGGCAGCATGGACCGCCGACGCCTTTGACTTCCACGCCCTGTCCATCCAGACCGTCAAGCTGTCCAAATACTACGGCCAATCCAAGACCAACATCACCACCGCCATTACCCTCACCCTTCTGCTGCGCTCAATTGGCGCTGCCTTCTTCGGTCTCGCTGGTGACAAGTTCGGCCGCAAGTGGCCCATGGTTCTGAACATGATCATTCTCGGCATCCTGCAGATCGCAACCATCTACAGCACGACCTTCAACCAGTTCCTGGCCGTGCGCAGCTTGTTTGGTCTGTTCATGGGCGGAGTCTACGGAAACGCCATTGCCATGGCCCTCGAGAACTGCCCGTAAGCACCCCTTGCCCAGTCACGCGACCCACGTGCTAACCAACACTTCGCTCCAGTGTCAACGCCAGAGGCCTGATGAGCGGTATTCTGCAGCAGGGCTACTCTCTCGGTTACGTCTTTGCTGCCTGCGCCAACCTCGGCGTCGGCGGCGCCACCGACAGCTGGAAGACCGTCTTCTGGATCGCCGCCGGCATCTCCATCGCCGTCGGCATCATCCGCATCTTCTTCCCCGAGTCGCAGCAGTTCATCGAGGCGAAGAAGGCGGGCAAGAAGGCCATGGCCCCGGGCGCCTTCTGGCACGAGACCAAGGTCATGCTGGCCCAGGAGTGGAAGATGTGCATCTACTGCATCATCCTGATGACCTGGTTCAACTACTACAGCCACACCTCGCAGGACAGCTACACCACCTTCATGCTCACCCAGAAGGAGCTCGACAACAGCGGCGCCTCGCGCGCCTCGATCCTCATGAAGGTCGGCGCCTGCGTCGGCGGCACCATCATCGGCTACCTCTCGCAGTTCGTCGGCCGCCGTCGCGCCATCATCGTTGCCGCCCTCGTCTCCGGCTGCCTCATCCCTGCCTGGATCCTGCCCGAGGGCGAGCGCTCCCTGTCCGCCAGCGGCTTCTTCATGCAGTTCTTTGTCCAGGGTGCCTGGGGTGTCATCCCCATCCACCTTAACGAGCTGTCGCCCCCTGCGTTCCGCTCCAGTTTCCCTGGTAAGTCCAATCATTCATCATCACAGAATAAATCTTGCCCATCTATCCATCCTAGCCTTCCACTCTCAAAATCCACGGCCCAAGACCCTCGAACTAACCACCGCACTATCACAGGTATCACCTACCAGCTCGGCAACATGATCTCGTCGCCGTCGGCCCAGATCGTCAACGCCATCGCCGAGAAGACGCTGATCAAGATCGACAACGGCGACAGCGTGCCCGCCTACGGGCCCGTCATGGGCGTCGCCACGGCCATCATCGCCATCGGCATCGCCGTCACCACCGCCTTCGGCCCGGAGAAGCGCGGCCGCCACTTCGAGGCCGCCAAGGTCGCCGGCGCCGTCGAGGAGCCCGTCAAGGACGTCGAGGCCGGCTTCGGCAGCTTCGCTTCGCAGGGCGGCAAGGGCGGCCCTAAGGACGCGGGTGCCGAGAAGATCGAGATGGCCGAGAACACGTCGCCCGTCGATGAGAGCAAGACCGACAACAAGGAGGTCAAGGTCTAGAAGCGACGTGGAACTAAAAAATAGAAAAAAGAAAAAGAACTGTCGCTGAGGGATTATTATTCAGTGGGCAGCCGTGGAAGTGCCGATGAAAAAGGGGGAGGGACGACGTTGATACCAACTACATACATGATTTGATGATAATGATATCACCTTTTTGGCATGGATTGACTTCCAGGCTCAAACTTTATACTATGCAGATGGGTATTGCAGCCGAAGGCTAGCGTGAATTCGTTTTTCACTCATTCCATGGGTGCTTGAAGCTATCATCCGGATGTAAATGTGGCATTAATAATTAGACATTCCTGTCCTGGCGATAGCTCCGACCGCCCACGTTTGTATATTTTTGTACTAGCCTTTAGCCATCATAACACCTCTCTATATACTTCTGCCTCTGTGCTTGTAGCTCTTCGCATTGGCCTGCCTGCACTGTACCGATTTTACAGTAATATTTTGGGCCATTTTTGCAGGGTTGGAAACGATACTCTGCCTAAATGTACATGTGCGTAGGGTTGCTAACGGAAGCAGAGACTCTAAGCAAGACATAGCGATGATAATTTTTAAAACAAAGCATAGCTATATGTCGCTTTAGCTTAACTTAATTGCTTCAGTTTCTATTACCCTCTTTTTAAAAGGAAACGATTGTTAAAACTCCGCTATAGTTCGATCTATATATCATGCTCCCGCGGCAACTTCTTCTTATCGGATCTCTGTCCTACACTAAACTCGTATTTGTACCACCCCAGAGCAAAGCACACGTACATTGGCAAATATTAAAGAATATCACACATTGAATCCAATTTCACAAACTTAGTAAGGGGTTTGGCTCACATGGTGTTAATACTGTTCCGCATGCAAATGCATGGTTTCAACCCAAACAAGAACGCCTGGACGTGGTTTTCAGGCACGCACCCAAATCGAGCACGATATTTCTTAGAAATTTCATCAATGAACACCAGGGATGCTTGCATGCATGCCTTCTGTGCTCACACTTCTACAGAGGAAACTTCTACCCGTGAACCGCCTCTCCTCTCTTCCTCAACACCAAAAAGTTACCTTGAGAGATAGATGGGTAGATTGGCAAAAGGAAATGCTTCCACTGAGATTTGAACTCAGGACCTCGGCATGACTGATAGGTATCAGGTACTAGTGCCGCGCTCTACCAACTGAGCCATAGAAGCTACTTTTGGTGATGAACAGGGAGCCAGCATTGCGGAACATATACTGCATGCCTTGATTCCTGACAAGGACGCAAACGGGAGTAGCACTGATGATAGGGAGACGTAGCAAGGGATGGTGATGAAAACCGTTTGTGTTTCGGTGAAACAAGAGTAGCGTCGGCGACTTTCCTATTCAAGTAAATAAAGCGAATGGTCCGGCAGCCCGATTCGGTCAGGGGCTTACTGTCGTGTTTCCTGTTCCTTGGAGAGTCGACGCCGGGTCATTGGTAGGAGGGATGAAGTGTTCCATAAAATGGGACAGCGAATGGCGACGTGTAGAAGCAACAAGCTTCATGAGAGTAGTATATGACGGAGATAAATGATCAGATATATGTCATGGGAATAGATTCCATTCCTACCTGCCCACGCAGTTTCGCCAGTATAAAATGTGCACAGTATGAAAGACATAAGAAGTCGCTACAGAGTCTTCCGTCTTCAGCAATCTTGGACTTCTAGGACCTGCAGCAGTCGCTTTTCATGATTTCGTTCCCACTCACCCGCCCATAGACAAGTTTTGGAATCTCTGTCTTGAACAAATGCTCTTCACCGGTCAACAGTGATCATCCAGCCGTTGTCAAGGATCTTGCCGCTTTCATCCGCGCCACCCCAGACGATGACACTCGCACCTTCAACCTCGGTGCCCTTGGTGGCCGCAAAGCCGATACGGGCATCCATACCCTTCGTTCCAGCTAGACTGGCAGGTCTGTCGGGGACGATGTCACCATCTTCGTTCATGTACTGGTATTGCACCTCGGTCCAATGTGCGTCCTTTGTGTCCAGCTTCACCGTGCTCTGCGCCGGGGCCTTCGCGGGAGTAGCAGCGACCGTAGTGGGAAGTTGGAAGGCCCAGATGTCGTCGAGGTAGGACAGACCGCCTTCCTGAACGTCCGGCTTCAAACCGCCAACAAGCAGCAGGTAGTGGCCCGACTTTCCGGCAGTGACTTCGACCAAAGCAGCGCCAGAACGGGTGGCGGGTCCAGCGCCCTCTTCGTGCTCGATTGTCTCCCAATCGCCAGAGAGCGTCCTAGCAGGAGGACCACCAGACTCGGCGAACCTCCACAGGCCACTGACATCGAAGTGGGAAACACCAGCGGGGACAGGCTCAGTAGTATTGACACCGCCGAACAGGTATAGACGAGTGCCAACACATACGAGGCTAGCGCCTATCCTGGCAGGGCCAGGCGGTGAAGCCAACTTATTCCAAATCCTCGAGCGGATGTCAAACGTCCATAGGTCGTGAATGAGCTCGCCATCGGCGGCCTTGCCGCCGGAGATGAAGACGGTTCCCCACGTTCCGGGCTCAGGCGGTTCGGGCACAACCTGCGAAGGGTCCGGGGGTTGTTGGGGGAGGATGGTCTGTTCGGTCTTGGTCTCCTTGGGAGCAGGCTCTTCGCTCGCAGCTGCGGCATGGAACGCTCTCGACTGAGGCACAGGCGCCTCGGCATTTGCAGGAGAAAGCGCAGTCCAGTTACTGCCCGAGGTCGAGAAGACCCATACTCTTCCGCTCTCGTCGGCACCCCCCTCGACATCGCCTCCGAATATGAAAATATCGTCACCAACGACTACGGCAGTGTGACCTTTCCTCGCGGCTGGAACGCCGCCGTCTTCCTTGGCAGCCTTGGGGGAGATAGTGTAGTAGTCGGCTTCGGAGACGCCCGACGAGGGCAGGATGACGACGTGCATGTCATTGTCAGCGAGCTGGCCATCTGTAAGCTCGCCACCGAAGATATACGCGCGGCCCTTCACAACGGAAATCGAGTGCGAAGAGCGACCCAAAGGCGCGCCTGAAATAGGAGAGAATGTAGCCTTTATAGCCCGTTGGCCCGGGGTTGCAATATGCTTAGCAAAGCCGGCAGCACCCGACAAATATCCGCGTCCGGCGTTGAGAACGTTTCCTAGGGAGGGCGGCATGGTGGTGGTGGTGTTAGCGGTGGATTGGGGAGTGGAGGCAGAGAAAAGAGGGGGATGCGTCGTGTTTAGAGGTTCCTGTCAGCTCAGGCGGGCAGCTGAAGTATGACATGACCAGTGTGACGTCTTCCTGCCGTGGCTGTGGTGCCGTAATTGCCGGCGCATGGGCCAACATCTGGAGCCCCTCAGCGGGGGCTGCGCCACGCACACGAATCAGTCCGACAACCAACATTCCATGCGCGCTTTTTTGTATTCAAGGATCATGTCCTTTTCACTACCACTTGTCTCCTCGCCGTTGTTCCAAAGTTCCGCCTGGGATAAGTTTTATGCCGGGAATTGTCCAAATTGTATCCAGCGGCTTACGATGAGCTTTAAGCGGACTACAGCCGCACCTTACACTCTCCAACCAATGATGCTGCGGATACATCTTTCAACAACCGAGCATGTCGCTCTCTTCCCGTATTCCCGGCGCGGTGCCTGAGGTCGCGTTGTTCCAGTCGGGCAGGCGCTGATGAGGCAGGCGCTCTTGCCCGCCTATGGGAAACTTAGCCCTACCCTTTCATTCCTTCCATCTCGCACTCCATCTCGCATCCATCCTTACATTGCCTCTTGAATTCCCTCTCACGCTTCTACTAGTTGTCATCGAGCCCGCGAATTTGTTTTACACATAAGTTGCATTCTCTACTTTGTCGCCTTATCCTACCCTCCACTCTATTGGAGAGCTTCAACAGTTCTTGCTATCACTGCGCATGCGCACTCAATGCATTAGCAGCAACCTTCAAGCTTGTGCGCGATATTTCCTCGAGTCGACGCAACTTTGTGGCCCTTGAGCATCGGGTAAGCGGAACTCACCTGCCCACTTTGCCCGCACGTTCCATTGAGCATTTCCTGACAGCTCTTGAGCTGTGTTACGTGTGTGTCACATTTCGTCGCATCTTCAGTGCGGCTTAGTCACGCCGTTCCGATTCCCGAGAGCCTAGAAAACTCATATTCCCATCTACTATGCCTGCCCGCTCGATTCGATGTTTTCCCACAGCTTTCAGATACGTGCCAACCAAAGTAGCCCCTATTACATTGCTGCTTCACTTCGAAACATACATAGCCAAGAAAGCTAAGTCTGTTCTTATGCTTACAGAGGAGTGTTACAGGCGTAGGCTAGCATGAAGAACAATAGGCCCTTAGAAGAGAAGCAAGTCTGAATTAGCAAGATTAATTCTCTCCGGTGTGACCAGTCACGACCTCATTTCAAGACTGCCAGATCATATATCAATGAGGTCCTGACCATTCTCCATCACGACTCCAAATAGTTCACTTGGGTCTGGACACCGTCTGATGCTCTGCAGCTCTCAAGCTATCTTCACCAGGCACGTCGTAAGGTGAAATTGATCAAATTTCGTATCGATTCCAACAGTGGATCGGTATCCAACTCCCCCGCCACATTGCTAATTGATTTGATTTTGAATTTTTGATCTAGCATGGCAACATCCGTCGGAAAAGCAATGGTATAAAGCCATTACAAAAGCTTTCGTCATCGTCTTTCTTAGCGCAGCCTCAACGCAGCCACGTGGCTTGACCGAAGACCAGCCCAGCTATTCAAACTACTGCCTTCGATTTGAAGACCTTGAGCTTGTTCCAGACGCGCGGAAGATAGAACTACAGTCCCGGGTTATCCCTACTGTGCATAAGTTTTGTAAGTACCCGTACATACCTCGTGGCGACAATTCGGCACGCCAAAGGCCACAGGGCAAGTAGAACGAATGCCACCGGCTTCTAATTCAGCCTCTGGAAGAAGCTAAGGGCTTTGTTATTCGCCTTGTCACCCTGCTTATTGCGCGCTGCTTACGAAATAAAATTCTATATGGCAATACAATTCAGGAAGTCTTCCTTGATACCGTTGAGCACAACGGCCTGGCGCGATGGAATGAGCTCAGGTTCTTAGTGCTCTGTTCTCTTCTATACACCGGCCTACTTCAAGCGTTAGGTCGGAGGTCGATCACCGCAGCATTGAAGAAAATGGCTCAGGTCGCTCAGGTCGCTCAGGTTGCTCAGGTTGCTCAGGTCGCTCAGGTCGCTCAGGTCTCCAAGCCACTTACTGTGATGCATTTTCCAACTGGAGCTGCGAGGGATATTTCTCACCTTCTCAGCCCACTGCTCATCTCCAGAGTCGCAAGTCGCATTACAGCCTCCAAAACTTTGACACAGCGCTTGAGAGATTTCTGCAGGAGTGTCCCCTGTGGTTCTTGCGACGGCTCGTATTCCATCTCTACTCAATGTCCCATCATTCGCAGGTGTCACTGCGGAGTTCATTGAGCATAGCCTCTCTTCCAATGTCCCAAATACACGGCAAACAGTGCTGGAGAACATCAAACGTTGCCAAGTGCAGCAACTCTGGGAAAGATGGGTAGCTGTAGGGCCAGGATCAAACGAATGGCCCAACAATGAGATCCTGGAGTTGACTTCGCTCACTGTGCCGGATCAAGAAGACGAGAATGCGGACGAGAAAATGCAGGGAATGTCCATAGAAACCCAGAATTCCTGTCGAGGGATTCCCACGTACCGTGGTATTCCTTGCCAGATCCAGACTGCACCCTACCCGACTTCCCCGATATCTGGGCCATTCGACAATACTTGATTTTCGACCACAGCATGATCGCGGCTTCAGAAACGGTATTTTTTGGCGCTTTCATGGACGAGGAATACTCTGGTTGTCCTAGTTGCGATCCCGGCTCGGCGTGGTCGTTTGAAGGCCTCGAAGCTTTGAGGGACACTACCAGCCCGATCACCCGCACCCACCCGACCAGAATCACCACCTACAATACAAGACTCGCATCCTCAGTTTATCGGGTCTGGCCACTTACAGCTTGTTTGACTACAGCGCTCTGAACACCACTCCCGAGTCCTAAGTCATCTGTCGGCTCAACGGGGGCGACTGAGAAAAAGGACATCCTTCTGATTCCTTCCGACCAACTGTAGACCCAAGATGGTGCCTCTGCCGCAATGGCTAATGCACCTTGAGACGAAAGTTAGCACTTAGCGGACGTTTCCTGTGTCTACTGTGGATGATATGCGAAGTTGGAATCGCTTTTCAAAACCCTCTCACAATAATCTACTTACGTTAGTAGTTGGGTTTAACATCGAGATGTACTTGTACAATTTCAAAACTGACATCGGTGTCCGAACTTGGGCTTCAAATCCCACATATGAAGAATAAAATATCTTCCGTGGGGCACAAAAGGCTCAGGCCCTCTACAACACACTACGCCTGTACAATCTAGCAGACACGAGTTTGGTCAAATTGGGGCTGATGGTGCTTCAACATGAATATATAGAATCAATAGAGCATGGTGTACCACACATTGACTGATGACGCGTCCGGTAGAGCGAAGCGAAACTCACGTGACGGGAGACCCCTTTCGTATTTGACTCGGGATGCTTGTCTTAGGCGTCCCGTTACTCCGGTTCTTTATGCATCTAAAGAAGGAACAGCTAGCGACTGTTATGGAGGGTAGTAGGAACCTATGTCCCCAGGGGAAATCCCCTTCCATATCGAGCAAGTCTCGCCGCCGGATGCTCGCCGCGTCTCGCGAATCGAGGAGTGGGGAAGAATTAGGTCCACATCTCGGATATCGATTACGGCGAACGGTGTACGATTGGTTCAGGCAGCCCATCGGTCAGTCGAGCAAGTAAGCAATTCGAGGCATCCGCTTAAAGCAGGGGTTTCCAGGGTATGGGTATGTAGGTCATTGGTTCGTGGGGAGGTCGACAGATTCTACCGGTCAGTAAGTGTCAGAGAAGTGGACGATTACAAGGGAAGGATTCCGAAATCGGCAAACTTTCAAGGGCCCCCAAGGTCCTGAATATGAGCAATCGATTCGATGGAAGGCTCGCGCATTGATTTTTTCTGTAAAGAATAGAGGCTGTGCAGGATGAGATGCATTTGCTCCTCCAGGATTTTGGGTCGTTCGCCAGCTCTCGATGAGAAGAGCATGCAAAGGCATTCTTCGTGACCAAGCATCAAAGGGGAAGGAAAGGTGATCCGCATTGTTGAGGCCAGTGCCGGGCACTAGCAGAGCCATCTGCCGAGGCCTAGTTGCCGATCTTGACGATTTGATTTTCCCTTGCGGGAAGTCCCTTGGTGTGCTCCTATTCTCGTGTCCTCGCCATTGCAGGAAAGCGAAAGACTAATTCGGCAGCGCAGTGATGTCAAGCGGAGGCCCGGTTCGGACGCGCAAGCGGCGGCTTTAACATGCAGCAATTTCCACGATTGCCTGGCTTGCTAAGTTTAGTGGCGCTGGGGGACGTGCGGAGCATTATGTGAGTGCGCTATTGGGCTGGGATCGAGACCATGGGGCATGGAGTCTGGCAGCGGAAATTCATTGATGCGGGAGAAGACTCGGGCCAGACTGGATCTGTCATGACCTTCGGGCAGATCTGCTCGCGTGGTGAGAGGCGAATTCCGCGGGTCGACGGGCTGTGGCAGAACGTGAACAATGCTCCTCAAGGACACGCCAAAATAGCACCAGAAGAGCGGATATTGAGGTTCGCTTGCGGCGGGAGCCGTGGGAATCATTGAGGAGAGAACTTGTGGTCGTGGTCCACAGAATAGCGTTGCTGGAGAGGCGCATGGCCGCATACAGGTGCCGAATGCTTTGGGTGGCACGTCTTTGCGTGGGTTTGCGCGAACGCTCGTTAGAGAGACGATCAAACAGGGCAGAAGGACTTCGAAACAACGCGTCGGAGGACTGCACGGAAAGGGTGCGCCGGTGGTGCGAGCGGGAGAGCCGCGGGGGGCGCCCATGCCGAATCGGGCAATCAACAACCGGCAAAGCTCCGCCTTCAGGACCGATGATGCTTGGCATCATGCAAAACTCGGGCCCCTGTGTCGGATCACCCGGCGAGAACACTGCCACCTCCTCGAGCCCAATGGAGGTCCAGCGTCCGGGGGAGCGCAGAATGGAAACATTAGCATTGCGCAACGCACCAGACGGGCCTAGCGAAAAGCTTGAGCCGGCCGCCACGGACGGAACCTTGGCCGTCTGGCATTGCCGCGCTGACAGCTCTCGCGGCGCTGGCCTTGCATCTGCCGCTGGCAGGAATACGAATCAATGGCGGCTCGCCGCGGGGAGGGCGGCGATTGGAAGCGGGTGCAGCGGGTTTGACGAATGACGACCGTGGCGGCAGCCAGCGTGAGCCTGGAGCTTTGGTCCCACGCGAGCAGTCGATGGATTTCTGCTGCTTGAAGCACGTCCCAGGACATCACGCCCGCCTGGCCCGAGCCAACGAAACACCGGCCCTCGCGCCAGAGCGGGCAGTCGGCCTCCCATCATCAGCCACACGCCCAGCAGAGGTGGGCCTGTTTGCAGCGACTCCCCTGCGTGCTGCATAAGCTTTGCAGACGGGCGGTGTTTCTCCAAGCGGCCGGCCAATTGGGTGCTTACCGGACGGCTGCGGCCTGGGATTGGCCGACGTTGATGGAAGGGTGGGCATGTAGTCGCGCGCCTGAAACAGACCGTTGGCCAGCTGCAGGGCGAGGTGGCTGCGAGGTGGCCGGCCGTGACCGTCAGCTGTACGCGAGGCCTGAGGCTACACACGGCAACGGCGACGGCGCGTGGCGTTCGCACTCGCCCAAAGGGAAAGAGGCTGGCCAGGCGACTGCTCACTGCGTCGGCAGGTACCTGCATTAGCGTGGCTCGACGGGGAATGGGCGGCCTGGCCGGGCCTGCCCCGAAGCGCTCTATCGTTTCACCCGCCTAGCCGGCCTACGCTGGGGCCCTCGGCTCTCGATCCACCTCCATCCACCTTGCTCACCACCCACAGTGTTTGCAGCCCGTGGGCCGAATCCATGGCTGGCCCATGTTTCAGACCCGTCGACCCTCCCCCGTCGCACCCGCGTATATGTATGCCTACCATGCCGCCATCACCAGCTTCTCTCCCCAGTCGTCTTTCCAGTTTTTTCCTTTCAGTTGACTGAAAAGCTTCTCTCAGAGCCAACGTCATTCGTTTTCTTTGGTTTTGAGCACTCTTTCGTTTTTATTATACCACCACACCGCCAACCTCGGCACCTACTATCTTTACCTAGTCTGATTTGAACCTTCCGTCACCATGAAGACCGCCACTTCCATCCTTGTTGGTGGTTTTGCGGCCCAGCAGGCTGCGGCTGTAAGTGTCCCCCACACCTCTCCCAACCGCCACCCTCTAACACGCTGCAGACCTTTGGCTCTTTTGGTTTCGGCGGCTCCGCCTCTGTCGGCGGCTCCATCTGGGGCGGTAGCGGAAGCGACTGCTTCAGCACCCCCTCCAACACCAACAACGAGTGTACCGACTCTCAGAAGTCCGGCTGGAACTGGTCTGGCATTGCCATTGGCGCCAACATCGGCACCTCCTACTCCGGCTTCGATGTCTCTGGCCTGACCTGCAAGAACAAGTTCGGCAAGCGCGACCCTCTCTCGAAGCGTACCTTCGGCAGCAAGTGCGCTTCCGGCACCATCACCAAGCAGAAGGACAGCAACCCCAAGATCGAGTGCTCTGGCTCGCAGAAGGAGAAGGGCTTCTCCGTCGGCGAGTTCCAGGTCTCGACCAGTGTTGACACGCCTGTCGAGTTCCACTATGGCATGCCTGATGGCTCCACTTGCAAGCACACCGCCAGCTGCAGCTCTGGCGGCACTGTCGTCAAGAACGAGCAGTGCGGTGGTGCTACCTCCGTCACCTGGAAGCTCCCCGACAACAGCGACAACGAGGACTGCGAGTTCGGCATCCACAGCATTGGCTGGGAGTGCGGTCAGAACGGCGGCGAGTCTAGCACCGCTACTGTCTCCACTGCCTTCAGCGCCTCCACCGGTGGTTTTGGCTTCACCGAGAGCATTGGCTTCAGTGTTCCTGCCGTGAGCACTCCTGGCGCCTACACGCCCTCGTTCGTCTTCCCCTCTGGCGGCTCCCCCAGCGTTGCCACCAGCGTTGCTACCCCCGGCTTCCCTGGCGTCCCCAGCGTCCCTGGTGTTGATGTCAGCACCCCCGGTGTCCCGGTCATCACGACCCCTGCTGCCCCGGCTTCTTCTGATGTCAGCGGCGGCTTCAGCACCAGCGTTGAGATCCCCTTCTCGCAGAACGGCACCATCCCCAGCGGCTTCACCGCGTCCACCGTCTACGCTACCTCGGTCTACACCGTCACCTCTTGCGCCCCTGAGGTCACCAACTGCCCGGCCCGCTCTGGCACTCCCGCTGTTGTCACCTCCGTTGTTGCCATCTCGACCACCATCTGCCCTGTCTCTGAGACTGGTGTGGCTTCCGTCCCCGGCTCTTCGCCCTCTGCGCCCGTCAGCTCTGGCGTCAGCGGCGAGGTCTCGTCTCCTGCTGGTCCCGTCCCTGGTGTTTCTACTCCCGGCTTCGGTGGCTTCCCCACCCCTGTCTTCGGCGGCTCCACCGGTGTCAGCTCCTCCCCCGCTTCTGCTACCTCTGCTGTTCCGTCTGCCAACTGCCCTGGCGTTCTTCCCAAGTGCTTGAACACCTGGATCACCAAGGTCGGCTGCTCTGGCAACACTGACTCCGACTGCTACTGCAAGGAGGTCGACTCCATCAAGTCGGTCATTGACTGCGTTGACGCCCGTGGTGGCAGCGACGATGAGATTTCTCAGGCTCTGTCTTACCTCACCGGTATCTGCGCTGCCTACGTCCCGGAGAACCCTGGTCTGATCACCAACGTTCCCACCACCATCACTCTCGGTGTCCCTTCGCAGACCCCCGTCGCCTCCAGCGGTGTCTCGGGCGAGGCCAGCACTCCTGTCGGTGGCTCCATCGTCTCGTACTCGACTTCGACTGTCTACGCCACTGAGGTCCACACCATCACTTCGTGCGCGCCTGAGGTCACCAACTGCCCGGCTTCCAGCGGCACCCCGGCTGTTGTCACTTCCATCGTCCCTGTTTCTACGACTGTCTGCCCCGTCACTGCCACTGAGACCCCTGGTGCTCCCGCTGGTTCCAGCCCTGCTGGCTCCCCCTCTGCCCCTGCTTCGTCTGGCGTCGAGGGTGTCACCTCTGCTCCTACCCCGGTCATTACCACTTCTCTGTCGACCTCGACCATCTACAGCACCGCTATCAGCACCGCTGTGACCACTGATGAGCAGGGTTCGACCTCCGAGGTTGTTGTGACCCAGACCGTCTCTGTTGGAACCACCATCTGCCCCGTTACCGCCACTGAGACCCCCGAGGCCTCCGCCCCTGCTTCCTCTGGTGTTGAGGGTGCTGTTTCCAGCCCCGCTCCCAGCGCCCCCGCCCAGACCACCGTTGTTACTTCGTACTCGACCTCGACGATTGTCAGCACCGCTGTGTCCACGAGCACGACTGTTGACGAGTCTGGCAGCTCCTCGGAGGTTGTTGTCACGCAGACCGTTTCCGTTGGCACCACCATCTGCCCGGTCACTGCCACCCAGACTGTCCCTGCTGCGCCCGCCTCCAGCGGTGTTGAGGGTGAGGTTTCCTCCCCCGCTCCCAGCGCCCCTGCGTCTGCTGGTGTCACTCCCGCCCCGTCTGCCCCCGCCGCCGGAAGCTCGTCTCAGGCTCCTGTCGCCTCTTCTGGCGTTGAGGGTGTCACTTCTGCCCCCGCTCCCGTTGAGAGCAGCCAGCCCGTGACCACCATCTCCGTCGTCCAGACCGTTACTGTTCCCTGCACCGCCACCGAGGGCGAGTCTGCTGGCGCCACCATCCCTGGCAGCTCGACGACCACCGTCATCTCGACCGCTGTCACCGTCCCCCAGGTCGCTTTCACCACCCAGACCGTCACCGTCTCCGGTGTTCCCACGGTCCAGACCGGCCTCGCTCAGGGCACCCCGGCCTCGGCTTCCGCCACTCTTACCTCTGCTGCCGTGGCTTCTTCCACTGCCGTCGTGGATGGCGGCTATGCTACTTTCAGCTCCGTCTTCGTCCCGGCCGTCACCACCCCGGCTGTTGGCACCCCTGCCGGCACCCCTGTCAGCACTCCTCCTGCCTTCACTGGCGCCGCCTCCTCTCTCAAGAGCGCCGGCTCCATGGTTGGCGCTGGTTTCCTGGCTGCCATCTTCATGCTTTAAGCGTGCTTTGTTTTGAATGTGTAATGTGTATCTGGAATACCAAGACGCTTGTTTTGCACTCAACACACTCATCAGCGTTTTCCTATCTCTTTTCCAATGTGTATAGTTATCATCATCCATCTCTCTTTTAGTCAGCGCCTGGGAAAAACGGAAAGCGATTTTAAACAGAAGAAATGACTTAATTGTCTATCTTTCTGCGCAGCATTAGGCTTATCAGCCATGCTGAGGTAATAATAAGAATAAGTGAAAAACGGATATAGTGGATCTTAGAAATCTAGACTTTTATCCTTGAAACTCTTCTGTTCCTACTTCTGATTGTGAATCTCGGACTGCTCCCCATAACTCGGTCTTCTGTCCGAGCCTTGAGACCAAAAAGAATAACGGTCAAAGTATGATTGAGCCGTTTTTTTTTTTAAGCTGCGATGATCTCACAAGTCTCGAACATCAAAAAATCTAGACCAAAGAAGGCCGCGTTTCAGACTGTCCGACGGATTTGCGCCACGCTCCTACGCCACGCTCAACGCCCGGATACTCTGCCGACACACCGGCCACATGCTCACATCCGAGTGGCTTGCTGGTGACGAGCGCCGCTCATATTCTACCCTGCCGCCTCTTGATTTAGGGAAACATCGGTCAGCCACGGTTCGTCCTGAAGGAGTGGGGCGGAGGCACGTGAGTAGGTCACTGGGCAGTTGCAGGAAGGAGGATGGGAAAGTGACGTGGTGCATTTAATTGGATCATTTGGGTGTGATTTGCGGCACTGTGAGAGTTTATTTTGTGGACGAGGGGGGGCCAGAACGTCCGGCCGGACCACCTATCAGGCACGCGGTGGCCTTCGACTCGGGTACACTTACCTGCTCGCAGATCCATAACAGATACCCCAGTCCCAGATGCCCCGTTCTCAGGGCTTTTCTTATGACTACACTCACCAAGTCATCTCCTTCGCAGACGTCCCCTTCCCCCATCTCAAAGCACTACGAATTGAAAACCCGTGGTTGAATTGGCGGCCCGTCCCGTCTATATTATGGTGAGGTCTTGAGTTCTGGATAAATCTTTTCAGATAACGCCAGGGCCTCATACCGTTCATCGCAGACGAGAATAGCAGGGCTCTAGAACATGGATTAATCAAGACTCATCAATTTCCTTTATGAGGAACAACATATGTGGGCAGTGGAAGCTATCGTCTGGACGAAAATGTGTAATTGTCAATGCTACATTCACATCCGGATGATAGCCCCAACTACCCATGCCATGAGCGAAAAACAACTTACGCCGGTATTAGGGGCTGCGATGCTCCCCTATACGCATCACGAGCTGTGTACATACACGTCGCTCGGCACATGCACGACTGGAAGGGGAGTATGACAATGTTGTTGCAAATCCATGAATAAAAAAGTAGAGAATGTAACTTGAGAATACTGAGTATGCAAAGCAGCCGAAAGAATACCGAAAGACCGATGAGGCTATGCCACGGGCATGCTTGTTGAAAGAATGTCCGCCATAGTCCTCTGACTCTCCACACACCCCATACTTCCTCCTGTAACGCGCCGTCCTACAACGCCCACACTCCATCATCCAAGAAACTTCACCTACGCAAAAGACGATTCCAGCTAGTCAAAAGGCCCAATCGCCGCACTCGAGTAAACTCGAGCTCGCGACGAAGCTGAAGCCTCCAAAGAGGTCCGGCTCGGCGTGGCCTGTACCACCGGCACCATCCATGCCTTCGATCATCACTATGCTCCTACGCATCGACATGACCGGACTGAGAGACAGGTCCGTGAACTCCTTGGCGAAGTTCTCGGCGAGTTCCGGATCGGTGATGAGGGGCTGGATCGGCGGTTCGAGCTCGCGCGTGGCCAACTTCTTCCAGTCGATCTTGCGGAAGAAGCGGTGCGCCTTGATGGTCTGGAGGTCTTTTGGCATGTTACCGCCGAGACGCTTGCTGGGCTCCTTGCGCAGAAGGCGGGTAAGGAGATCCTTCGCGTCGGGTGAGAGGAAGTAGGGAAGCTGCAGCTTCTGCTTTACGATCTTCTCCTGGACTTTGGCGTTGTTGTTGGCTGTGAAGGGAGGCGAGCCGGTGAGAAGGTCGTAACCAAGCGCGCCGAGCGACCACCAGTCAACAGCGAAGCCGTACTCCCTGCCTTGGATAACCTCGGGAGCCATGTACTCGGCAGTGCCAAGCATAGAGTTGCAGGTGTCGTTCTCATCCACTGCAACTTTGGAAAGGCCAAAATCGGTCAGAAGCAGGTGACCCTCGGAATCCAGAAGACAGTTTTCGGGCTTGAGGTCTCTGTAGACAACCCCGACGCTGCGGTGGAGATGCTCCAAAGCGAGCACCATCTCAGCCATATAAAATGCAGCAACCTCCTCGGTGAACATGCGCTCCATGGCCAAGTGGTGGAACAATTCTCCGCCTTGAGCATACTCCAGAATGAGGTAGAGCTTCTCGTGGTCCTGGAAAGCATAGTAGAGCTTGACCACGAAGGGGTGGCGGTTGACATTCTCCAGAATGACGCGCTCGGTCTTGGTTTGCTCTACAAGCTTCTTGTGGACGGTGAGGTGCGCCTTGCGCAACTGCTTCTGTGCAAAGAGGCGCCCGGTGGCCTTGTGCTTAACGAGAAGTACTGTCCCATAAGAACCTTTTCCGAGACAGCGCAGCGGCTCGAAATCATCGGCGGTCATCTTGCGGGTCAAAGAGTCGAAGCGGCTGCCGTTGGCTTCTTCCTCGAATACACTCTCCCGGGCCTCAACGCTGGCAAAATCCTCGTTGAGCTCGACTTGGTAGGTGTCCATTTCGGTCTTGTCACTGTTGCTCGAGAAATCTGAGATGACGCTAACATTGCTCGAGGCAGCAAGGGTCGAAACCGACTTAGGAATGGGCGAGCTGAGGTTGAGCTTCTCCAGCTGCGCCTTCATGGAGCTAATGCCGCCGCTGGAAGAACTCGGACGGAGCGCGGGGCTGCTGGTAACGCTGGGCAGGTCGCGCGATTTGACGGGGCCGAGCATTGGCGTGTTTGACGCAGAAATATCAGTTTCCTCGCACTCCGAGGTAACGGGAGTCTGGAATCCGCGGATGGTCTGCATGGCGGTCGGAGCCGGAGTGTGCTTGTTTGCGCGCTTCTTCTTCTTCTTCTTGGCAGCATTGCTCTTGGCCTTCTCGAAGTTGAGCTTCTCGCCGAGCGCCTGGGCATGCATTCCAGTATTCGCGGAGGGTTGCCGGTGGGGTGACTGCGACATGACCTTCATTGGCGGGGAGCGGGTAATGTTGCGCGCGAGGCGAAGAGCCGGCTCAGCGTCAAGCTCATCGTCGGGCCCGGCGACGGTGAGGGCAGGAGTGTTGGCGTTCAGAACACCGTCTATGGCAGCACGGTGGGTCGGGCTGAGCGGGTGGTGAGCAGCAGTCTCCTGCGGCAGGTGCTGGTCGTGCTCGTCGAAGGCGAAGACCATGGTCGCGGTGGGTCGAGAGTGAGTTATTCGGTTCGTACGAGAAGGTGGAAGGTCTCAAGCTGTCATACAGCTTGGATACGCTACGCGAGCTAGGGTGTCAGCTGCGAAACCTAATGTGTTCACTCGCACGCGTGCCTACCCTCACTTCACCTCTCCGTGATTACCGTCCGCCCTTCAAGGCGGACCCAACGCCAGTAGCCACAGCAGCGAAGCGAAGCTCGCCTCAGTCTTGGAGAGTCCAGGCGCAGCGGCTGCGGCAGGGGCGTGGAAGAGGGCAGTCGCGGTCTTGCGCGAAACGAAGAAAGCGGTCGAGGTGTCGCAGGAAGATCCCATAGAGCACAAAATCGAGGCAGGCGAGCGTGGTGCGAAAGTCTCTGGAGCGGAGCCGGGCCCGAATCCGGAGGTTTTGAGGGGGCGGTGGTGGTGAGGGTTGCGGGTGAGAGAAACGGTCGCGCAAATCGAGGTCGCAAATAAGTTTCATTGTAAGCCTTGGACGGCCGTGGGCAGGGATCGGCTGGCGGCTTTCCGCGGCTCGGGAGCCAAGCCTCGTCGCCCTGTTGGAGCCGCTTCGCCCCAGGCTCCAGCATATCTCTCGCTCTTTTCTGCCCGCGACCACCGTTGTTTGCGCAGTCCGACGATGACGTCTTTCCCGCCGCGACGGGCCGCTCGCTTTGCGTAGGGCTGATAAGCCCAACCCCGCGTCTCCGATCGTCGGTACAGTTACACCGACACAGCATTCCCCATGGTCACGTGTCGATCGGCTCTCCGTTCATTTTGGTTCCTGTTCCTTGCCTATTCGGGACAATCCTGGTCGCCGCCTGCCAACCTGGAGAAGCCCCTATAGCTACATCAGGCGGCTTTTGCATGAAATCATCCAACATTGCATTGCTGCCCCTGAGCAAGGCATAGCGGTCAACCGATGGGTCACGGGCTGGCCAATCACAGCTTCGCGGATCAGTTGTCACCAAACGCAATTGCGCTTCATCTAATACGGCCTTCAATGACGGATCACATCAGCTAAATGATCATAAGAAGCTGCTTGTCTGTGCAAATGGGTATTGCAGCAGAGGGAGAACGCGAAGAATATACCTCAGCGATTTTATTTACGAAGAAAACATATGTAGGCAGCGAAGCTATCGCCCGGGCGTAATTTGATTCCTCGTTTACGTCAGGACAATTGTTTCAACTCCGCAATATCCATCTGCACATGACCATACTTTAGCAATCCCCGCCCCATCCATCCGGATCGCCGCCCAAGCCTCTCTGGACTGCATTCCAACCTGCCAGTCCTGCCTGCACAAGACCAACCGCCTGGTTCACATGTGCATTGCCAGACTCAAATCTCGCATTCCTGCCATCCTCCAGTTCATCTTCCAGATCGAACTGGCTTGCATCGCCTTGGTGACCGTCGAGTACCAGCCTCTTGATCAAGTGGCGATGCTTGGCGAACCACTGCTCCTCGCTCAAGGTTGCGTAGCGTTTGCGACCGTGCGGGTCGTTGGGCGCAGGGCCCAGGGAGAAGGCCCAGTTGACAGTGTAGACGGACCAGCGGCGGGTGAGGAAGTACAGAAGAGGCCAAGTGAAGAGCCAGAGAAAGGTGAGGTAGAAGAACCAGCGGATCCAGGTCGTAGTGCGCCAGCGGTTGACGGCGTGCGGCGAGTAGATGTCTACGGCGCGATCCTCAAGCGGGAAAGAGATCAAGATGTGTCCGCGGTAGTTCGTCGAGCGAATCAGGGCTTCGATGCGTTGGCGGATCAGGGCCTCATCGAGGCCGGAGATGGTGCGGGAGACACGGAAGCTGTTGAAGGTTAGGCTGGCGTTTGGTGAGAGTTCAGGGAGTGGGGGGCTTATTACATTTTCAGTTTGGAGGGAGAGGCGCAGTACTCCTTGCACCATTCTTGTAAGTCCGGCTTCGTCTCGCCAACCTCGAGCTCACGCTGGTAGCCCTTCGCGCGCGTCTTGCGGAAGCCGCCGCGCAGGGCAGGCTCACCGTTCTCAACGGTGCGAGCATCCCACCAGGTGGGGTCGAGCGGCTTTCCCAGGAAATGCTGCAGGCTAAGCAGGACGTCGAAGTCGACGACCTGCTTCTTCTCGCGCTTGTCGCCTCGGCGCACCGTCTGAGTGTGGTAGCCGTGGATCTGCACCACCGGGCGCGGCGGCAGCAGGCGCAGGTAGTCGGTGACATACTTGTACAAATTATCGGGATCGGTAAGACGCTCATCCATGCGAATGGTTATGGCGTGCTGGTTGATGGGCTTGCCGAACGCATAGGCACGGCCGTTGCGCTCGATAACGGCGTAGTCATCTGCAACATTTGGAACGTTGCTGCCAGGAGTAGGGAACGAGTTGGGGGGAAGAGCAGCAGAACCCTCGCCATTCACGCTGTCGGTGTAGGTGGGCGGCTGGTCGGCGATTTGGGGCACATCATCGTACTCGTAGTCGCCGCGAGTGGTGTGCATTGAAACGGCGTCTTCATCGCGATAAGCAGGGGCGGGGGTTGGTTTGCCCATGGTTCAGAAATTGGGCCAGCGAGCGGGGTTTGGAACGAAGGTCACGATGGAAAAGAAGGGTGAGACAACAACGAAACGCAGTATTTAAATTGCCGGCAGAAGAGTGCTTTGGTCGTTAGACTAGGCGGCAACGAGGCCTAGGCCAAGCCGGCTGGATCCTGATGCAGGGGATTCGGCCTAAAAATACCACGCGAAACGAGATTTCAGTATTTGCCAGGCACCAGCACCAATCAAACGAGCGTAAAGCGTCTCAATCAGGTAGACGGGAGCGAGCAACGGTCTTGGAGTGGTGATGATGATAGGAGTTGGTGCAGAGTAAGGGTCTGCCAGATAAAACAAGCGTTGGCCCGGGCGTCGCGGCCGCCAATCCCGAGAATGCCCCGGCGCAGGCCAATATTTTTTGAAGCCGAAATGCGTCACTGCGAAGCTCAGTGGAGCCTTGATGCGTCTCACCCCCATCCTCCGCCAGCTTTCGCACATCTCGCGTGCTGCCGTGGTTCCCGCATGGCGCATCCCTACTAGCCTTCCCGCTCGACGATTTCACTCTGCAAAGCCCACCATGGCCGAAACCTTCACCGCGAGCACCGCGCCCGCTTCGCTCGCCGATCCACCCCGCCCCGCCCAGCGCGTCCTTCACGATGGCAAGGAATACACTACTGTGAAGGAGGGCATGGCCCACATTCTCATCCCACCCAACACCGCCACCTCGGTCGACCCTAAGAAACACGCCAAGAGTCGCGACGACGACGAGCAGAAGCAGTCGGTTTTCTACAATCCAATCCAGCAGTTCAACCGCGACCTCAGTGTGCTCGCTATTCGTGCATACGGCGAGGATGCTATTGCTGCCAAAACCCGGAAATATCATCAGGAAAAGTTGAGGGAAAAGAGGAAAAGTGAGCGGAAAAGGAAGGCTCGCTCGGAGAACGAGGGAGCTGCCGAGGGTAATGACAACAAAAGAGCGAAGGTCGATGATGGCGCTGAGACTGCTGCAGCAGAGGATGCAAAGGACGATAGCACTGCTGTGCCGGACCAGCCCACAGGAGAAGCACACCACACCAATGGCTCCTCCAAAGGCCCCAAGTTCCGCATCCTCGACGCCCTTTCTGCAACAGGCCTTCGCGCTCTACGTTACGCCCACGAAATCCCCTTCGCAACCTCCGTCACCGGCAACGACCTCTCCCCCTCTGCCGTCGAAGCAATGAAGCTCAACATCAAGCACAACCGCCTGGAGCACAAGATCACCCCGGTTATTGGTAACGCTGTTGCACACATGTACCAGTTCGTTGGCCAGGAGGGCATTGGTGGTCCAGGACAGAAGTACGACGTCATTGACTTGGACCCTTACGGTACAGCTGTGCCATTCCTCGACGGTGCGATACAAGCCGTCAATGACGGCGGCCTCCTTTGCGTTACCTGCACCGACGCTGGAGTTTTCGCCTCTACAGGTTATCTGGAAAAGACCTACAGTCAATACGGCGGCCTTCCCATCAAGGGGCACCATTCTCACGAAGGAGGCCTGCGCTTGATTCTACATGCTATTGCTACGGCAGCAGCCAAATATGGCATCAGCATTGAGCCGCTCCTCAGCTTGTCCATCGACTTTTACGCCCGTGTTTTTGTCAGAGTACGAAAAAGCCCAGCTGAAGTCAAGTTCCTTGCTGGCAAGCAAATGCTGGTGTACAACTGTGACTCTGGCTGCGGTGCATGGACGACCCAATTCTTGGCCAGGAACCATGTTCAGGAAGGCAAGAAGGGCACACCGTTCTTCAAGTACAGTTTTGCCCAGGGCCCTTCAGCACCACCGCACTGCCCTCACTGTGGCTTCAAGACTCATGTAAGCTACACATTGTTTCTCTGTAGACTACAATGATGCTAACAACCTTCAGCTCTCTGGCCCTATGTGGGGCGGCCCCCTCCACAACCCTGCATTCATTGAGAAGATCCTCAGCTACCTCCCTACCGTTGACAAGGACACATATCAAACCACCACTCGCATCGAAGGCATGCTTCGCACTGCGCACGAAGAACTCCTTTTCGAGACCTCCTCTCCCTACGCCCACACCTCGAACTCCTCCGAACCCTCCACTCCTGGCCCAGACGAGATTCCCAAGATGGATCCACTTATCGTGGACCACCACCCATTCTTTTTCAACGTGTCCCAGCTCTCCAGGATCATGCACTGCCAGGCGCTCCCAGATGCAGCGTTCAAGGGCGCATTGAGGAACCTGGGATACAGGACCACGAGAAGCCATTGTAAGCCAGGCACCGTCAAGACAGATGCGCCGTGGGAAGTTATTTGGGAGGTGATGAGGGAATGGGTGCGCCAACGTAGCCCAGTGATGGAGGAGAAATTCAAAATCAACACACCTGGTCGAGGTGTCTGGGAGAAGAAGAGAACGGTCGAAGACGTGGAGATGGTGGATGAAGCCAAGGATGGAGAGAAAAAGAGCGAGAAGGAAGGAGAGAGTGGAGAAAAGGAAAGCGGAAGCGCCGGTGTTGAGCCGCAGTTGAACGATGAGAAGAAGAAGAGGCAATGGGCATCGGGCGATGGTTTGGACAAGTTGCACAAGCTGGAAATTGTCTTTGATGAGAAATTGGGGAAGGATAAGGAGGATAAGAAGTTGGTGCGGTACCCGATGAACCCGAGAGCAAATTGGGGCCCGATGAATAGGGCGAAATAGGTGGTGTGGTGCTGAAAAGGCGGAGGACTGATGGTGAGCTCACTCGACTCCGTGACACTCTTCTTCAGGGCATTTCACGGCGTTTTAAAATCATTTTACTTCATCATATCAAGAATATTGGGGCATGTAAAAGCAATTTCTTTGGCATAGACAAAAGTGTAGATGTATGAAGGAGTGGTTGGAGCGGGAGCCAACACTAGCACGGTCGATCGGGTCTTCTATGACGTCTACTAGCAAGACCTATTTGAATGAAAATATCTTCCTAAGCCCACAATCAATAATCCTCCAGTCCTGGTCAGTACCTCACTCAAATAATGGAGTTCCTGAATCCACCAACAAACTACGTCGGCACCGTCCTCTTCCTCTCTTACATCGCCACCGCTCTAATCCTATCAACACGCACCACCCTCTATCTCCACAAACGCCACCGCCATCTTCTCCGTCTTGAATCGTCTTCCTCAGCTCCATCTTCATCTCTTTCCAGTTATCATCGGCGCTCTCGCCATCGCCTCACAGCCCTCACCATCCTCGCAGTCGCTTCCTTCGCCTCCCTCTCATTTCACATGCTCTCCTTTCTCCACGTCTCCTACACCGCTTTCTGCGCCTCGCGCCGTCTCGACCCATTTCCCATTGTGTCTCCGTCGACGACCGCCGCGCGGTTGTGGGCCTGGATGCTCGGCTCGACGCTCTTCACAGACTTCGCGCGCGACTTGGCCACCGCGACGGGAGCGGGCGGCGCGTGGGTGCAGACCGCGCTGCTAGGGAGCTTGGGCATGAGTCTACTGCTCGGCATCGAAGGACGTCGGAGAGGGAGCGGGTGGTCGAGTGAGGAGGATGAGAAGATGGTGGGGGAAAGGGGAGAGGAGGAGGAGGGCGATGGGGGAAGAAGAAGAAGGTTGGGGGAGCTGGTGGTGCTGGCGCAGGTTCTGCCCGTGAGGTTTGCGGGGACGCTGTTTCTGATCGGGGCGGAGATCGAGACCGAGGAGAGAAGGCGGTTGGCGTGGTCGGAATCGAAGCCGTATGCTGAGAAAGACCGGGTGGTCCAGGCCTCGGGGATAGCGAAGCAGGGAGCAGGGCAGTCGAGCGATGATGTGCGGGTCTCATTCGTGGTGCCCCTCGCCGTGACGGTGTATCTCGCTCTTCTCCCATTCCTCCAGCGGGCTGCTCGATCTTCAACATCGGCTCCGCTGGTCAGCGTCGTGTTGTTGCTCCGAGCCTGCCTTTTGGTGCCGTTCCTGGCTACAAGGCCGATGTTTGCTGGAGTTGCAGTGGGACGTGGCGCGGCCTCGGTATTGGAAAGTGGCAGCTACCGACGTCTCAGTCACTTAATATTCTTTCTTGGATGTGTGATTGACCTGGTTACGGCATGGATGAAAGAGTTGTCTGGAAGCAATGATTTAGGGGAAGTGATGAGCGGGCTGTGGGAAAATCCCGCTGTTGGTGCTCTAGGAATCGACTCCGTTATTTGTATAATAATTTACGCAATTTGGGTTGGGATGAGGAGCGACTAGTTTGGGTAACCTTATGTAAAATATCAAGGTGCATTCTACTAGAAGATAGCGGTCTAGTGAAACGGAATACCCTAGCAAATTTGACGTAACTAAAATGAGTGTAACCACATGGGATCGCATCTTGTTAAGGTGTGTGATGCATCATTGCATCCGAACATGGTGGCCGTCTTTCGTACAACATTACATTTACACCTGAATATTTCTTCCACTCCCCATATGCATGATACTTTTTAGGGATGGGCTTGGACTGCTACAATCTGTCACTTTGTCGTCGAGGCCACTCGCTTCAAACAAATTATCAAATAAACCATTCTTCCGATACTTACTACTTATCTCCCTTTACCCGTATTGCCTCGCTGTGAAAAAAGCCAACACATCTCCAACGCAATCCCCTCCCGTGGGGTGAAATCTCTCACACAAAAACGGCTTGGTATCGTAAAGAAGAAAGTGAAGAAAGTAGCCAAAGTATGAAAGAAGAAGTGGAATCATCACACCTCGTTCCTTCACCATCGGTGCCATCCACTCCCACAATCACTCCTTCGCCTTCCCCCTCTCATAACTGATATCCAACTGCCATAACGAATCAAAGAAACCCAGCTTCCTTGACGGCTGCTGCTGCTTCGCGGTGCCCGCAGCCACAACATCCCTCGCACTTGGAGCAATCGTAGACGAGCCGGGGGTGCCATCGCCGCCTCTGGCTGCGGCAGCCGCCGCGAGAGCTGAGGCAGCCTTGCTAGCCGATGATATCGGTCTGGGTGCAACATTCTCGCTGCTCTGACCGTCTATTGGGCTGAATGTGGTAGGGGAAACCAGCGACGCCGTTGCGACATGGTGATTATTGCTCAGGAAAGCCTGTATCGCCACCGATAGAGAAATGGAAGTGTCAGCTGGAGGAAGTAATGATGAAAAAGAAAAACAAAGCACGCGGGGGCGAGGAACAGAAGATGATGGGTGGTAATATACCATTTCTTCTTTTTCCTCTTTCCCCCATCTCTATTACTGGACGGGTGCTCTGACCTCTTCGCCCACTCCTCCGGCCGCCTCGGCACCAACCTGTTGGTCTGCTCCGGAGGGGCCTGCTGCAGTCCTGCCATTGTTGTTGTTGCTGACGCTGCCAACGGTCATGCTGCGCTTGCTGCCCGCGCTGCTGCGACGGCTATCCAGACTCTTGTTCAGCGTCTTACTCGCGTCGTTGCCGATCAGGCTCTTCTTCATGCGGATGCTGCCCTTCGCGTCTACCTTGGTGCTGTCGACTGTACTCTTTCCCAAGCCAGGCGTGAGCGGCGCACCGACCTTCTCTTCTGCCGCTTCGACTAGATGCCAACGCAGGCCATCGGACAGTTCGAATGGATTGTCGTCCTCATACGAGACGCCGCTGCGCTCGCTAGTTATGGAGCGGCCGTCGCTGCCACGCGTACCGTCCATTGACTTCGAGAGATCAACGACGCGCTCCTCAACCTTTGTGATGCGCGCAACCAGCCACTCTTTGCTGTGCAAGCGGTGCGACTCTTGTTCGCGAAGGAAATAGTGTGGCGCGCCGACATTGAAGGCTGCCCAGGGACGAGTAGCTTGGTTGCGTGTGGGCAAGAAGAGAGCGAGGTCCCCCTCTTTGAATCCGCGGATAGCAATTTTCTCGTGCGCTTCGCTTTGGTATCTGTGAGACTTGTCACGATAAGTGCGGGCTTCGCGCTGCCACTTGCGCGCAGTGTGCTCCATATCCCTCATACGCTTCGTGATGGCTTCGCTGAAAGTGTCGATATCAAAGCGCTTGACGGTAGCCATGAACTCCACAAACTTGACTTCTTCCATGTCAGGGTTCTCTTGCTCCGTCCATTTGAGGGCCTCTAGCATTTGAGAACTCTCAAGAGGTTTCTGCGACGGCGACGGCGACGACACGCTGCGGTTCATTGCTGCAGATGCATCTGTAGGGATAACTGTGCTCTGGCCCGCGACCTTCGAAGCCCGCTGGATCACCATCTGGTTGTCTTGGTGCGTGATGGCGAATCCGAGCGTTTCTAAAAGCCTGTGCAGTCGATCGTTGTTTGCAAGCAGCTTCTCAGAGAGATCTCGGGCACGCTTCGCCTGTTGTTCGGATCTAGATTCACCATTGGTCGAATTGGCCTGCAGCGCGGCGTACTTGTCCTGTAGTTCTGCCAGAGACTTCTCGAGGGTCGTGACATGGACCTTTGCCTCTGCGAGTTCGGTAGAAAGGCGCTCGACTTTGGCCTCCTCTTCCGTGACACGTTGACGTAGGGCATCGGCACCCGTCTCTCCCTCAGCGAACTTCATTCGCAGGTCTTCCAGATGCCCTCGTTCATCCTTCAGCTCTTCGGCTAAAGACTTGACCTTGGCACTCTCGGCCGCAAGTTCCTCACTCTTCTGCGCAATCTCCGCTTCATGCGTTCTGATTCGAGCCTCGAGGTCATTCCGCTGCTTCGCAGCAGCAGTAGTGAGCGCCTCGTTCTCCGATTTAGCCTTCTCAACAGCCTCAGCAAGCTCGCGAGCGTAATCCTTGGACCTCTGCGCAAGCTTTTCAAGCTCCGAAGCTAGCATGGCGCTGTTCTCAGGGAGGGCCTCATTCTTTGCCAACGAGGAGAAGGCGCTCTGCAAGGTAATTTTCCGCTCAGACTGGACAGCTTCAAGCTCCTGAATGGTGTGTTCAGCAGCCTCAGCCCGCTCTTTCTCTCGTTGAACTTCCTCATCCGCATCCCTGCGAACTTGGTCCAGTTCGGCTTCCAGTGCCTGTCTTCTCTCGTCATAGCCTGCTCTTTCATTATCGCGACTTCCCAAGTTCCTGTCAAGTTCTTCTTCGAGCTCTTCAAGTCTGTAGCGAAGCCTTTTAATTTCGTCTTCAAGTGATCGGCGTTCGTCAGACCAATCCTTCTGCATCGCTTCCATGTTCTCCATGAGGTCCTTGTTCGTGGACCTGCGTTCTTCAACATGTTTTTGGAGGTCATTGACAGCATCAGCACGTGCCGAATGCTCCTTCTCAAGGTTGATCCGGGCCTCCTTTTCCACCCTTAGTTCGTTCTCAAGCTGCACTATCCGCTGGGCTAGGGCTCGTTCCTCGGGACTCTTGTTGGAAGAATACCTCCGAGACGAGACCGAGGACTGGCGAGCGGGATTTTCCTGTAGTTGTGGTGAAGCAACAGGAGGATACGGATCCGTAGGGGTATCCGGCAACTGGGAGCTTGGTGGGGCAACTCCGCTCCCAATGGACAAACGGCTGATGTGGCTTTGACGGTGAAGCAGATCCTCAAGCTTCCGGACCCTGCTCTTAGAACTCTTCAACTCTTCTTCCAGCTTTGACATCGACTCTCTAAGGACTCGCGTCTCGTCTTCTCCACGCAAGAGAAGCGAACCTTTACCCAGCCCGTCATGCACGCTTCCTGTCTTGAAGCCCTTCGCATGCTTGATTTGTTGTCGAGTTGGGCGGTCGATATCCTTGAAAGCCTGAGCAAGTAATTCCACGATACTTTCGAGTCCACCGATAGTGTTCAAAAGATTCAGGTAATCCTGGAAGTCCTGGCGGGTGACTGAAGGCCAGCCTACGTCCTGGCCTGTAACGTTGATATCGATTCCGATAGCATTGTCGTGAGCGGCATCCAGATTGATAACGTCGCCGTTGCTCTTCAGCCACCTCTTTCTCCTTTTTTCTTCCTCATCCCGGTAGCCAGCTATCTCCTCAGCTAAGGAGGAGGAGTCCTTTTTCAATTTCTCCGCCCACTCATGCCTTCGCACAGCTTCGATCAGGAGAATACCGTAGATGTATGGCATCTTAGAAATGATCGATAGAGCCTCAAGGGCATCCTGACTCTCTGGGGCAATTTCAATCGATGCGATCGAGGCATTGGCACCAGCGAGGGTCGACTCTATGCCCGCAATCGTCTGGAGGTGCTCGAGAGCGAGCCGAACGGCCGAATTCTTCCGCTCCACAGAATGCTTGAGCAGATCGCTCATCTCCCCACTGTAGTCCGTGAGGGAGGGGAGATAGTTCCGGGTATGGAGCAGCGCCATCTTCGAAGCCTGCGCAACCGACTTTGGGAGTGCCGGGAGGCCGAGAACGTGCTCGTAGTCCGAGTCGACCTTCTTTGCTAGCACATCGATCTCCTCAAATAAGCGCATTGGTTCGTCCTGGTAGTTGTACGAGGAGTGCATCTGGCTCTGGTCCACGGCGTTCTGCAATTCATTGTACTCGGCCCTGATCTTCTCAATCTGCTTGTCCATATCTACGATGCGGCCTTCCAGGTCATCCAAAACCGTGTTGCTGACCGCCGCCGCCTTTCTGGCCTTGTCCACATTTACAAAGGTATCCAAAGAGGCCCGAGCGTCGCTATTCTTCCTGGACGGCTTACGCGGGGTATCATTGCCAAGGGTGGAGATGAAGCGGCGGAACTGCTGGCTGGCGGGTATGGAGCTCAGCCGGGCAAGATCGGCCTCCCACGACTGCACGCACTCGTCCTGTTCCTTGGCCACGGCGTCGAACCAGGCGCGCGCCTCCTGCTGTTTCTGCTCCAGACTCCGGATGTGCGTCTCATGGTTGCTGGTGGCGACGCGCACGCCGCGCTCGACGACGGCCTGCTCGCTCACGCACTCGGCGGCGGCCTGAGCCATGGAGCGACACTGCTCGCGCAGGCCCAGGGCCCAGTCGCGGCGCGCTTTGAACAAGTTCTGCCATGCTGCGAGGTCGTTCTGGTTGGAGAGGGTGTCAGGCGGCTTCCCGGGCTGGAAGTCCTTGGGAAGCGGCTCGGGCGGAACGAGGTGGTCGAGGTTCTCAGGCGCCGGGAGGGCAAAGAGGTCGCGATCGTACAGGAATATCTCCTTCTGCTACAGGTTACTTTTGGACGCTCGCACACGGGGGTTGCAATGAGCTAACCTCGGTCAGGAGAGTCTGCAACTTGACGTGCTTGCCGCGCGGGGTGAGCAGGATCTGGTCCTGCGGCGGAACCTTGGTCGCATTGTGAAGCCAGGCTTTGAGGGCGTCCAAGGAGCTGAAGACGACGGGGTCGGCGTCGAGCCGCTTGCCCGAGTGGGCGACAAAGACTGACAGCGACATGCGCCTGCCGCTGGCGGTCTATGCGGGTGGTGGAGGGGAGGTGAGAGGTTGTCGCGACATGCCCTCGAGCGAGCACAGCGGTTAGGCGGTGATGATGATGATGATGGTCCGGTCGTGCGCAGCTCAAATGACCAGCGGTGCCCTAGCTCCAGCCACACGAACTCAAGGCAGCACCGGGGTATCCTAGTTCTCCGCGCGCTACCAAGGGCTGCCTGTGTCCAGATGCCTCACCGCAAGACAGCCTCTCTGATAAGGCGTCGAGGACCCTTCAGCCCGAAGTGCGGTTGGCTAGCGGCAACGAAATCCGGCGGGAGCTGGTGTGGCCGTGCAGGTGCCTTGGTGCCTTGATTAGCGGCGCGTCTTCCGAGACAACACCAACACGCGCGCCGTTCCTCGCGGCCCATGTCACGCGTGGCTATCGACGATCATGGATGACGGCAGCAATCATGCGCCAACAGCGCCAGCGCCCGGAGATCATCTCCTGGATGCCGACACCGCCTCCGTGGTCCTGAGCGACACAGAGAAGCTCGTGCTGCAGCTCTACCATCAAGTGCGCGAACTTGAGCTTGAGCGCAGCTTGCTTGAAGCCCAGCAGAATGGTACAGCTTGCCCCGCTGCCACACTACCAGCCAGCTGTCTGTGTGAGCTGTTTGAAACCTGGGGATTCTTCTGACTTTGCTGGCAAACACGTACAGCTGTCACTCCCTATATTGGCTGCACAGAATCTTATTGCTACGTCATGCTAACGCCTAACAGACTCTACATCGAACGAGAACCTCTCAGATGACGAAGTCGCTCAACAGCTGATCATCGCTGAGCGCGCAGCCATGGAAGCACGCGCGTCATACCTACTCCGGAACAACATCACCGACCAAGTCCTCATCACGGACCCCGTCATCAAAGCCGTGCATGGTGGTTCAACTGCAACTTTTGAAGAAAGGTTAGTTTCTTTTTTCTTTTTTCTTTTTGCTTCAACAAAATAAAAGAAATAAAGAAATAAAACTAAGCCCCAAATATAGACGACTCGCCCCCCTCCTCAACCCCCGTGATGCCCTCTCCATGCAACTCTCCCACCAGACCCACCAACTCACCACCATCGCCACTGCCCTGGCCAGCACCACCAAAGCTCTCTCCGCCGCCAATGTCAAGAATGCAGCCCTGGCTAGCACCCTCCTATCCCTCGCCAATCCTCCCTCTGCTTCCATCTCTTCATCCGCGGTCAACGAAGCTCTCGCCGACGATCACAAGCTTCGAGATCAGCTGGTTGAGGCAGAACGCGATGCTGCGCGCGCCCGTCGACGGTGGCGAAGCATGAAGGGCGTGGTGGCCGGCATGGTCGTGGGTAGTGGGGTGGATTGGGCCGAGGACGAAGCGCTGCGAGAGCTGGTGCTTGAGGATGAGGACGATCTGTTGGAGGGAGAGGCGGAATGATGTTGGCTGTGCGGGGACGATGGGCAAGTGTAAAGAAAAGCGAAAAAAGAAAATATTGGCAATGGTGCCTCTGAATCACGAGGCAAAGCCAGGAATTACCGGACCAGGACAGGAGTGGTGCGATGATCTCGACATGCGTTGTTAAGTGTGGGCAAAGGGAGGGTAATTCATGCGCCCACTGTTTACGCAAAGGACGGCCATCAGTATACAGTAGTTCCCAATCGCAGAAGCGCAAGTTTGCGTCTGCTTTGCCATCACGAGGTATCAATCTTGGTAATACATACAGTCAAGAAGGAGAAGATGAGCAACAGGAGAACCTTTCTGTCCGTACTAATGAAGAAGACTGCAAAAAAGAACGCCCATATCATGCCGGCCAGAATTTCATGCTCGCACCCTCCAATCAATAATCAGAAAATCAAGCAGAACCCATCATTACCCCTGCAGCCGTTAAACATGAAAAAAAAAAAGGTATCCGCAGTCCACCGGGAGTTTAGACCGTGATGGGGACGTTTTCCCGGACGCCGTCCCCCAAGTGATGCCAGCCAGCAGTGAGAAATGAAACAGCCAGGAAGCAAACAAAATTGTACGCAAGCAACCAATCGAGTCGAAAGGAAGAAGAGAAGACGACACCCTCACCATCCACCTCTCTACCAGAAACTGCACCAACCAATGTAATGCTGGCACAGGTTCTCTAGATTCGTCGCCTCCCGAATGAGCCGGTCCACTTGGTTGTTGACGTTTAGCTCCTCTTGAGGCTTGAAGTCGCGACCTGTTAACTTCTGCTTGACGCGCGACAAAACCTGTAGCGCTCGGGCGTTCTGCTCCTCCCTGGCCTCTGGCTCATTCGGCCCGCCTGTACCGGGCGGCACAATACTGGACCGGTGGCGGGGACGGAAGGACGATTCGGGACGATCGCCAGGAACGACATCGGCACCGATGATGGAAGCGCGGCGCTGCGAGGAGAACGAAGGTTCCGGAGGAGATTCACGCGTACCAAGGCGCCAGTTGAGGAGGGGATCGTGGATGAACTTAATTTCGCGGAGCTTGTGTTAGCATCGTGGGCACTCTTCTGATTCGTCAACAAAGGGAAACTTACTGCTTCAAGTACAGCCATGACGGACTCCTTGTTGCTCCTCAACACACGCATGACATGCTCGCAGGTCGTGCGGTAGCTGCCCTCGATGTTGCTGACTTCCATGGCGTACGTCAACATTCTCGTCAAACGGAACGGTACCCTCTCAGGATATTTCTCGCGGTGCATTGCCACCTCGAAGCAGTCACCGAAATCGATATGGATGATCTTGCCGGTAACCTTATCGAGCATCAAGTTGGAAGGATGACGGTCACCAAGACCCAGAATGTATCCAACCATGGACATGACAGCCAGAGACCGAGTGTAGTTGGTACGGCGGTCAAGCCATGCCTCAGAACTCTTACTCTTAAGCCAGAGCACACGGTAGAGATCTTGACCAGTTGTGTTGTCTAGAGCGTAGCCGAACACCTCGACCTTCTGCATTAGTGTCAAGCAGTCGTAGTCTGGAGCCATCTGCAACATAATACGGTGCTCAATGTTGAGAAGGATCTTGCGGCTCTCGCGGTATTCACGGATGAGCACATGGAGGGTATCGCTGTTCGGCACCCATCCCAGAAGACCGGATTGGGTGGACAGAGGAATCGCAGGATACCGCTGGATGTTGAGATGACGCTTCCGGGATTCAGCATCATGGTCAAGAAGAGTGTTGACCAGGCCGAAAAGTTGCATGACACGCTCGTCCTGACGAATATCCTCGTGACCTTTCAGAGCGTACATGTAGTTGACACCATCGCTTCCCTTGATCACCAACCTTCTCGGTCTCTGCTTAGACTGAATAACAGTAGAAACAGGATCGAACGACTGGATCCGGATGATAGGCTTTCCACTCTGGTATGTGCCAGGTACGGCCAGGTCCAAGTCATGTACAGCCTTGAGCTTTGGTGAGACGTATTGAAGTTCGAGAGTCATCAGAGAGGGTAGCTGACGAGCGATCTTCCGGAAGACTTGGTAGTACAGGTCCCAAGCTTGGTTCAAGTCACCCTCTTCACCAGAATTTCTGAAAGTCTGGCACCAGTCGCGTGCCTCTTGGAGCTCGCGCCCAAACGATTGGATGAATGAGATCTCGCGAAGAGTCTCTGGGCCCTTGTCGAGCATAGCATGGAGCGGCGCAAGAGTTGCAAACATGCCTTCGATGTTGCGGTCACCGAAGTACAACCTTGAAGCCTCTTCCAGACCCTCATGCCACTGCTCATGCCAAAGCACAGCGATACGGATTAGTTCGTGGCTGACCAAATCAGCCTGGTCCACGAGCCTGGGGGAGTGTTGTCGCATCGCATCCATGAGAGCTGTTGCTGAGCGCGAACGACGGGTGACATCTGATTTCATAGAAACCGTGAGTGGGAACACCAATGCTTGAGGGTGAGCACGTCCGACGTCGGACAAGAGGTTGTGAATCGACTGGCGAACCCTGACGTTTGGCTGGTTGATACGCGCCAAGAGCTGCGGAATAACTTCAAGCCAAGTGTCGATGCTGACTGTACTCACACCTTCTGTGACAGCTGTGTTAACCTCGGGATGGCCTCCGTGAGCGAACCAGAGGGTAAGAAGACGGAGGGTATCTTGCAGAGAACTGGCAGAGGAGAGGGAGATGGACTTGAAGAAACCATGGATGGCGGGAACGATGTGCTCGTGTACAGCACTGGCAGGAAGGTCCGGTGTGGATCTGTCGGCCTGCGGCGACATGGCGTTGACAACCTCGAAGTTAGCCAATGCCCATGCATGCCATGCCTTGTACCAGTTCTGATTGTATCGTGTGGCCGCAGCATAAGCAGACAGGACCTCGTGCACGTGCTCGTGCGTCCAGTCGCCATTGTGTAGGTGTGTCTGCCATTCGCCCTGCTTGAGGTAGCATTTGGCAAGGAGTTTCTGAGTCTCCGCCAGATCGAAATGATTTGCGCCTGGCGCCTGGCTAGTACCGTTCACCATTCCAGAGCCATTCATGTTCAGACCGTGCATGCCATTCACAAGACCTGTGAAGCCGTGGACGCCGTTGACGCCATGGTGACCATTGATACCATTCGGCATGTTACCGTTCTGTCCCATGGCGTCCTTGGATCTGATCTGAAGGTCATCTGCAACGCGAGAAGTAAAGTCTTTAAGTAGATCTAGTGCCTCCTCATTGCGATCCGACGACCACATGAATTTGAAAACGGCGTAGGAAATAGGATGTGGTATCTCGTGGGCGTGGTTCCGAACGTAGGCGAAGATGTCTTCATGAGTGCCACCAAGCAGGGAACGCAGCGACTTCTCAGCGAGACCCACCCTCTGGTTCTTCCGGCAGAGGTTGGTGAACTTGATCCACATGTGCATGTTGTCTCTCGGAGAAATGACCAGAGCGCGGACCTTGAGCATTCTCTGCCAGATCTCCGGGTTTGGCTGGCAGCCGAGCAGACGCTTCATCCAGGTTGCACGCATGCTTGCTTGCTTCTCTGGGTTGTTGCTGTTCTGCTTGTAGGTGATAATCTCCTCAAGCTCAGCGAGCATCTGCACACGCACCAGCGGTAGATAAGCACGCTGGTAAGATTCGCCAAAGACAGCGCTGAGCTGGGTGTCGAGACCGTCGCGCGTCTTTGTGATGTGCTTCTGGGCCTCCTCGAACTGATTGCGGTGAATGGCCAAAATGGCGCCATAGTATGACCAATCTGGAGACGATGACTTCATCACTGACAGGTACTGATCCATAAGCTCCCACTGTCCAAGGCCCCAAGCAGCAGCAGCGGCTAGAGGAGCGATGGATCTCCGGTATTCCTGCGGAGCGTGGATCCACTTGTCTTGAGCCAACGTGGACAGGACGTCCCACTCACCCAAGGCGTGTAGACACTTCATCTTACCCATAGTAATCTCGAATGAATCAGGCTCGTCCTTCTCACGCCTTTGATAGGACTTAAGGGCCTCCTCCCACTTCTCGAGCTTCTCAAACCAGGTTTCCTTGAGCTCGACGTCTTGGTAGTTCTGGGCCTTCCTCAAAATACCAAATGCGGCATCGGTCTGTTGCAGCTGATTATTGATACTAATGAGGGCCTCGACGGCACGAGCGTTTTGCTCCGCGTTGAACTCAAGCTCCTTGTAATGCAAAGCCTTCGCGTATGCATGGCACCTGGCAGCGTACATGCCGAGGGTGCGGACGTCGATTGGAAGCGCTTTGTCATCATGCTCCATGAATTCGGCAAGGTTGAGAAGAATCTGCAGAATCTCGGGAGGGATGTTTGGCGATGCAAGCGCAATCTCAATCGAACGCACGAGCTCTTCTTGATACTGATCATAAAGTTCAGTCCAACAGGACACGAAGGCCGAGTTGAACAGACTCTTAGCGATAGGGTTGTAGACGCTTGCCAAAGGCGTGCAAGCGCGAAGAGCCTGCTGAGGAGACTCCCGCAGTAGTTCGACACTGAATCGTCTCATCCATTCGATCCAGTCCTCGCGAGTAGTCTTCTGAGTGGCGTCCCAAGCGTTTTTGAGATGTTGCTGGTTGACTGCCAGCTTCTTTGTTGAGATCTCTGTAGCATTGAGGTCCTCGTCGTCATCGCCGTACCGTTCGTCCGGACTCAGATCCTGAGGAAGAGGCTCGCCTCTCTGAAGCTTGGAGACGATAAGGGCATAGTTCGAATGTGGCACCTTGTGTGTGACAAGGATCTTGTTGATAGTGGGAATGAAGTGAATGTAGTCAGGACCAAGTTGGAAGATTAGAGCGGACAATGTGTCAAGGGCTGTTTGCTTAAGAGCGATGTCATTGCCGGCAAGCACTCTCGAGAGTGGGTGAATGATCATGGCGGCGAACTCTGAGATGTTGACTTGCCTCGAAAGGCGGCCAATGGTCTCAATAGCCGACTTCCGTAGGCCATGCGGCTGTCCAGGCTTGTCGAACATGCGAACAATGACCGGTATAATCAAGTGCATGTACTCCTCTGCGCTCGATCCGAAAATCAAGAAAGCATGGAGAACACGCTCTGATGGCAACCGCTTGACGGATGTGTCCTGATCCAAGACACCCAGCATCAACGGCAGAACATTGGCGAGGTAAATCTTGAATTCTCCTTCAAGAGAGCGGGCGATCGCCTCAATGAGGGAGAGAATCGTCGCCTGTAGTTGAATGCCACCGCTCCAGAATTCCTGCACCGTTTCAAGGATGGAGGGCAGGAAAGGTCGGATATGTTGGCGTACGATTCTCACGAGTTGGCTCAGTTGGTTGAAGTAGCCTTCCACACGTCCCGCTGGTGCTCCTCGGATGACGCCCAGAAAACCTGGTACAACTTGCGGCAGGAATGGCACGCACTTCAGACCCATTGTGGCGTAAATGTTCATCACTGCATCAACGACAGCCGAATGATACTGTGCCAACGATGTGTCTTTGAGAAGTCCCATGAGGGTGTTGATGACGACAGTTGGATAGAACTCCTCGTTTGATGGTGTGATACCACTCATGATCAATGAGACATCGGTGACAGCTTGAGCCTCTGCCTGCAAGTTGTGCTCTGGAGATTTCTCGACGATCTTCTGATACTCGTCAGGATCCAGTGCTCCGAGCACACCCATGAGCTTCACAGTTTCCTTCCGCAAGGTGTTTGCCGGTTCCGTCCTCACAATATTGATGAGGATCGTCAGAAGTTCCGAGTGCTCTTTGTAAGGCTCTATGACATAGCCAGCATTTGAAGCCAGCTGACTGAGCGCAATAAGAGCTGCCATCCGTTTCGACTCTGAGCTGAGGTCCTGGAGATTCTCGATTATGATATCCATCAACTCGGGGATGTACTGCTTCATGTCGTCGCCGCCCACAGTTGCAAGATCGCCGATAGCCTTAAGTGTGGATGAAGCAACTTCAGGGTTGCTGTCCCGTGCTTTAGGAAGAAGGACGGTGATCATAGGATCAACATAAGGTTTGATCAACTTTGGCGAGGCAACCACTAAGTTGCTGATCAACCTTGCGCTTTCCTCCTTGTCCCGAGCACTATTCGAGTATTCGATCTCGGTCAAGAGTTGAACAAGGACCTTGCGTAGCGATGGGAAAACGTAAGCAGGGTTGACGGATGTCAAGCGACCAATGATGGAGATAGCCGCCCTTCGAATTTCGAAGACTTCGTCGTTCAAGGCCAGGAATAGGCTTCGGACGTTCTCAGCCTTACCCAAATGGCGGTCAAAGCGGTAGTCGAGTGCCCTGAGCACAGTATGACGGATGTCTGGATCCACGTCTGCGACTCCACATGTGAGGAGCTTCTCAATGACGTCTCCAACAACCTGGATCGCATGCTGACTCGTCTGGGTCACTATGGGGTCGCCGATGAAAAGTTGGCATGCGGTGAGCGCGGCAGCTTTCCGAATCTCCCTGTTGTCTGCCTCGACGTACTTGATAGCAACATCCCGCACGAATTCGTTCAGCACGTGGCCAGAGAAATTAAACTCGCCAAGAGTTTTAAGTGCCAGGGCAATCTCAGCCTCTTTCTGCCTGATGATTTCTGGTGGTTTGTGATCGCGAGTCCATATTTGCGGTGGTGGAGCAGCGTGGTGTTGTGGACTACCCATAGAGATGAACGAGCGGCCACACAAAACTTGGCTGAGAAGATCGAGCAGACGCTCCTGGATGGCTGCTCTACTGGAAGGGACGTAATGGGCCATGTCAACGAGACATTGGGTGAGAGGATCGCTCAGTCCGCAGGAGAACATCGGGTCCAGAAGCGAGTCCACGTGCTTGCTGAGGGCCTGCTCAACAGCTATCGAAAGCATGCTGAGACATTCGAAGATAGCCGGCTCTTCCTGGGCTCGGTAGCGTGTCTTGCGGATGAGGGTGTTCTTGATGACCGTCAGGGTGCCGTCAATGTACTTTCCGAAGTGGCTTCCAACTGCTCCAGCAATCTTCCCCACAACTATGAATGCTGCGCTACGGTCCTTGTTCTCTTCTCTGAGAAGGCCCTGCAGATGGAGCATGCAAGTATGAAGGTAATGTTGAGAGAAGTCGTTCGGCGAGTAAGCAGCCAACAGTGGTATTGTAACAATCACCTCCTGCCTGATGAGTGCGTCACGGTGATCCTTGTATCTCAGCACGTTGTTGCAAGCTTCGATGTATCGGGACCCATGCATGAACATGGCACCTCTCCGGAGAAGCTCTTTCATGGCCAGTATTGCTCCGTGTATTGACTCCACGGTATTCACCGTGAATCCGGTCAGGACCTGGTCATAGACCTTACCGAAGAAATGGTTCCGCATTTGCTGATCGCGCGCCGAGATAATCTCCAAGCAGGAGCTGATGGCCTCGGCAGCCGCCTGGCGGATGCGGACCTTTGGATCCCGCAGCGCATACCAGATGACTTCGAATATTTGGGGGACCCACTGGTACATGAGCGTGGGCGAGTTCTTTGCAAGCTCTCTCAAATTCGACACGGCGGCGAAGCGACGGTTCTCCTGGCGATCCATCTGCAGCCACTCCAATGCACTCTTCACCTCGGCTTCCACCAGCTCTGCGGTGAGAGTGCCGCCGGGCTTCGCCAACCTTCCCAGAGCATGCGACGCGGCATCGATAGCGGCATTGTCATTCCCCTGCGATATGGCGCGCAGGTAGCTTGCGAATCGCGTGGTCTTCTGGCCAGCGTCGTCGCCCTTGAAGTCGATGAGCTGGTCTAATGCTTGGATTCCTCCCAGGCGCTCATTCGTCTCATTGCCCTGGACGACGAGGGCGTTTATGCGGTTGCATACGCGGTCGTAATAATTCGCGAACTGGCCCGGAGGCAACTCTGTGAGGGGTGTGAGCGCGGAGACGGCGGCGTGAGCTGTTGCGACGACTGACCTCGATGAGCAGCCTCGAGGCTCTGGCGCAGTGCCTTCGCGGCATTCTCTCTGGCTTCGGCACTCCTGCAGATGTCAGTATAGAGCTGCAGGCACGAGCAGGGCACGCAGCTACCTTGACTTCAGCTCGTTGAACAGCCGGTCGACGGTCTCCGGCGAAGCTTGCGCCATGTTGACGGGGCCGACGGGCCGTTCAGTATCGCGGAGTGAGGGCAGAAGCTGCCATGCGAAAAGGGCGAAAGAAGGGGTCGGTGTGGAGAGAACGCTGGCAGAAGTTCAAAGGGGAGGACTCTCAGCAGCGTGCGACGAGCAGCGATGTCTTGGTGACCTTGGGTTCGGGCAGCTTCACCGTCCCGCGCCGCCCACGTCCGCGTCCGCGCCTGCGCCTGCGCGCGTTTAACCGAAGATTAGCCGATCGAGGTGATGGCTTGCCGCTTGCACGTTGCGGATGCTCCTCACCTTCGAGGGAAAAAAGAAAGGTGCTTTCGCAGTAGTCGGAGTCGCTGTATAGTCATGCGATCACAGCTAGCTTGGATGCTGCAGTTGCACGAGATTCGGTCTTTATTTAGCGTGTGAAACCAAAATCAGCATGACACTTTTCTACCATGCAGGCAGGTGTAGATAAATATCATGATTTTGATACTCCTGCTTCTAGCCACTACCATTTACCTACTCGTCTTCTGAGTCCGCAAACATGTCCTCCGCCTTCGGGCGCCGCCTACGAGCCCTTGCCGCCTCCGTCTCACCGGCACCGTCGTATGTGCCTGTTGCCTCACCCGTGGGCGCCTGACCTGAACTTCCCTCCTTCATAGGCTCACCGTCCACGTCAGCGTCCGCCTTGTCGCTCTTAATGCCCTCCATAGGCTCACCGTCCACATCCTCGTCCATCGGCTCGCCATCGACATCCCCATTTCCCATCGGCTCGCCATCAATGTCCTCCGCCATAGGTTCGCCATCGACATCGTCTTCCTTGCTGTCCACGCCAGCAGGAGCTGGAGAGTCCTTCTGTTCTTCCTGCCTAATTTCTGCCTGCACTTCAACCGGCTTCCATTTTGATTTTGCCGCAGCTTTGGTAGCCTCTCGCTCTGCCTTCTCGGCCGCTTGCGTTTCTGCTTCTGTCATTGGTGGATTGTTGAATACCTCCACAAAGTGTGCCTGTGCTGCAGGTGAGAAGACATTGCCACCGTCCCACATCGAAAGGATATTGTTTATACTCCGCTTCCACTTCTCTGCTCGCAACCGACCCCACTGCAGATCCTTCTCAAGCCGGCCCAAGTGCTCGAATAGCTTGCGCTTCTTGAACGCTGCTTCGAACCACTCCCGGTAGCGCCAGGCTTGACGTACTCCACATGTGCCACAAGACGCGAAGATGTCCGAAATGATGTATAAGCCAATGAGCTTTGCTGATGACGGGTCCTCCTTTTCAGCCTTCTTCTCCCCATTTTCTTCTTGCTCTGCCTCATCCTCCTGTTTCTGACGGTCCGGGTTTGCACTGGTCAATGAGAAGGGCTTTTGAATGTTCGTGACAAGCATATTGACAATTTCATCGGCACCCTTGTCGGCATGGCTGATAGCAAACGAGGAAACCCGGGCCACGTCGCCCCTGCGAAGACGGGCTGTCGTTGTTGGTAAGCGAGCTAATAAGTGGGTGAGTTTAGACTTCTTCAAAGGGTTCAGATACGACTTGAGTGCGTCGTCGGTATCCATTCCAGCCTCGGGCGGGCCTCCAGAGACGTGCTGCGGACGTCGAGGGCCATCATCATCTGATGCCTCTTCATCTGAGGAATCGTACTCGGGATCTGATGCAAACTCCTCAAACTTCGTGGTGAACTCGAATGGCAAGGGCTGGTCTGGAGCAATCCAAGGAGCACTATCATAGAAGATTCTTTGCTCTAAAGCCCTGAAACGACTACGCGCATCTGGTATCGTCTCCTCCCCAGTGATGGTTTGCCAAAGTTTCCAGCGATACCAGACACCGGCGGGAGAGCGCGCATTCCACAGCCATTCCCACTTCTGCTCTCTCTGGACCTCTGGTCGGCTCATGAGCAATGCCTCAAACTCAGGGCCGTTCTTCAATAGAGATTCGATAGTCTTGTTGATAAGCTTGAGTTGCTTTATATCTGAAGGTGGCTTAACTGTGACCTGAGTCGGCACCGAAGCCCTTCCGAAATGAGATTGAGTGGAACCATAGGGTGGATGAAACTGCTGGTTGCCACGAAGTGAAGGTGGAGGGGGGGCACGGCTCATGGATTGACCTGGGGCTCCTGGGATGGACTTTGCGCCGAAGGGTAGAGATGAAGGGACCACATTGGCAAGCCCCGGCGCAGGCGCGTCCAGCGATACTGATGACAAATGTCGTGAGATGGAGAGATTGAAGCCGAACCCTAAGTAGCGCTTTTCCAATGCGTTCACGACGGAGTCGATATCTTTTGCCGGAGTGTTCTGCGCGAGCGTAACTATTGCAGTCGTCGATTTCCGGTCATTGGATCTGGAGTCAAGATTCTTGCTGATGTTCACAGCTTCCACAGTAAGCGCCGAGGGTATCATGGCTTTGATCTCCGCAGCTGTGATGCTAGGCGGTAACGACGACAGGCGCATAGTGGGTTTGGGGACTGCCTTCTCCGCTGCCTTTGAGCTTGTAGGGCGGTCATCCTCATCGTCTGAGTCTCGGAATGCAGTTGCTGCATCGAGAGGCCCAGAGTTGCTGTAGGCAAGCAGACCATGTTCTCTGTCCTTGTGTGAGCCATCTAGTGCTCTCTTCCTGGACAGAGATGGTGGTGGAGGCCCTAGACTTCCTGGACCACTATTGGCCCTAGGACCTCTTGGCGTGAAATGTCTGCCAGAACCAATCCGTGTAGGACCTGAATCGGTCGGTTTTCCATCATTGTCATCATCCTCGTCGACTCCGAGAGACTTTTGAAAGTCTTTGAGAGCTATCTTAGCCTCCTCCTCCTCACGCTTGCGCTTTGCTTCCGCTTCTTCCTTCTGTCTCTCGCGCAATGATTTCTTGGCCGGGGCGCTCAACTTGTCGGAGATGTCGAAGAAATCCTTCGCTCCAGAAGGCTTATCCATGATAGACGCCGCGGACGGTTTAGGAGGAGAATAATGGGAGGGATTATGTGATATTCAGTCCCGATGGCCCTGGAGAGTGTGCGACGAGCTCATGTACACAGCTGATATGCCTAAGCGGAATGGTGGGGAATGACAAGCTTCCAGTGAATATTAGCAATGTCAACTGAGCAAACCGCCAGAGGCGCAATGTGCTTGCGCCTGCCATACCGAATGGATGATGGGGCTTGAAAATAGGCGCGGGAGCTCCTCACCATGCGCGCACGGCGATATATGCTTTACAGCACAGCGATGAAAGTCGGAAGGAACGAACGTCGCAAGATTGAGGCTGGTGGATGGTTGTTCCATGTCCGCCGCGCTGCAGCTGCGACAAGGCCAAGCTCCGATCCTGAGCACGGACCATCACCCTCTCCAGGCAGGCACGTGCGAGCGCGGGACCGCGTCGCGCTTGGCTGATCCACGCACCCCTCCGCTTCGCTGCCTGCTCATCCGAAATCATCCTCAATCCACCACCATGTCGTCGGCGAATGAAGTTGAAACGCTTCTACGCTTCCTCTCAAAGGATGCTAAAGTCCCTCTCGCTACAGCCTTGGGAAAAGTAAAGGACCTTCAGCAGGCTAATCTTCGAAGGTATGACGTAATCAAATGCTCTGACTGCGCAATAGCGGGTCTTTTATGTTTCTCTATTCATGCATCGCAACTCTTTTGCCGTCTCCCATGACTAGTCTTTTAGTTTTTTGTTGTTTCTTACATGTGCTAGCTATCTAGAAGTTGTGATTACTAGATTTCCAGCTCTTCGTGTCAATGCTAATACGTCTCAAAAAGCCCAGATGACATTTCGAATGCCAACTTGCAGGACTTGCACAGTGTCTTTCCAGACGAGAAGCTAGCGAAACAAGTCTTCAATGCGGCAAAGCGCGTCAAAAAGAAACGAACATTTGCCGCTTCCGATCAAGCAGACAGCCCTGCAGCGTCGAAAAGGGTCAAGTCGTCAGCCAGTGAGCCTGGCACACCGGCTGCCTTTGAGAAATCGCTGGAGCTTCCAAAACCATGTCACGACGAGAGCCTGATTCGTTCCACAGCTATCATGACCAACCGAGCGCCATTGGTGCTTGCGTTTGCGGTTCAATTGCTCAAATACACCATGCCAGAGCAGCCTTTGTCAAGCCGGCTTAGTTTGGCTCAGGCAGTGGTGAGCGCAAATAGTCGCAGCAAAGCAGTTAGTATCGGGCTTGAAAATGGACATAGTGCGGATGAAGAAGGGTGGGGCGAAGGTCAACCGACTGTGAAAATTATGGGCAGGGAAATCAGAGTCATGAAGAGATGGGGATATGAGTGGAAGGAACCAGACGAAGTCAAGGAAGAAGCGTCTGAACCAGACTCCCAGCAGACGCTGCGTGGCGACGCAGAACCTCCACATGAGCAACAACCCCCGCTGTGGGGCCTCGATCTGGAAGCCCTAAGGAAGAAAAACGGTACCTCACACCACGCCGACGGAATGCCAATTTTCACGGCACAATCCGCTCGTTCGTATCTCCTGAGGTCATTTGACTCTGTCGCTTCTAAGGAAAAGGATAGACCTGCAAAGAAGCCAACAAGTGGAGCGAAGCAAGGAGAGAAGGACCGGAACCTCGGAATGCTGCTAGGCGCGCTGGATTTGCTATGTGAATCTTGGGTCACTGTTCTTGATCGGTCCGAGCTTGACAGGAGAGCGTGGAGTTGGTATGTTGCGATCCGTCCAGATGTTGCTGCAGGGGCTGCAGGATGGGGCGAGAAGAATCAGGTCCAGTTGGGAGCAATTCTTGATTTGAGGAGGTAGCTCCGGGCATCTTCTCTGATGTTCGTCATTGCACAGAGCTGATCATTATTCGGCAAATTTTGTATTGTGCGCAGCGGCGTTGTACATGCGATCAGCTGACGCATCAATCTGAGGGTGAACTTGAGAAATATTTCAGGGTACACTTCTACCGAGCAAACGAATTCTAAGGGCTACGTCACTGCTCCGTGCTAGCAAAGGGAACGGAGCTAGAGAGACCACCTCTTCATACTGTTGGCTGATGTATCAGTCGAGTCGTAAAAAAAAAATTTTCCTCTTGAGAAACGGGACCTTTGACGCCACTACCCAACATCCGATGTCGTCTCTGAAGAAAATATCGGATTGCTCACGAGGCTCACGTGGTTGTGAATAATAGCAAAATCTGATCTCAAGGGACGACGATCTTGCGGGGGCAGTGACCGCATTGCGCAGTCGCCGAGCGCCTGGACCAAAGATCATTTCGCCTTAAAAAAGCCGAGCGAGGGGAGAGACGATTGTCCAGCCGCTTGCGTGCTCACTTACTCTGACAGGAAGCTGATTGGGTGCGAAAGTTTTCCATTCGGCCCTGCAAAAGCGTGGTCCGGTAATTAGTGCAGCGCGCTGACATTTTCTTGACGAGGGGCACGAGGGGAGCAAGGAGGCAGAGATCACGCCGGCTGTGGGTCAACGGCGGAAACCTGCGCATGCCGGGCAGCAGCTTTCGGCGGCGCGCGTATGCAGGCGGCGAAGCTGCGACAGTCGAAGGGTGAGGTCGCCAGACAGCGCAGACGCAGGGAGCCTCACACCGCCTGTTCAGACGTCTGCAGCCAAGGGCCGTCACTGGGATGCCGGCCGGGGCAAGGCTCGGTAAAGGAAAAAGCGAGGCCTCATGTTGCCACTTTCTCAGTTGGGGACGGAGGACGCCTGTTCAGCCGGCGGCGACAGCAATGGCAATACTGTGGCCAGGAGCGCACGCACGCACGTCAACAGCCTCATCGTCAGCTCAGTCGGGTGCGAATTGCACGGGTGGGGCGTGATGCGTTGCGCAGGTGGCCATTGGCCAACAGCACCAACTCCACACGTCTGCCCCGGAGCGCATCTGGGAGTCAGACAAAGTTTCAGCGCGTGCGTGGCCGCCAATGGCTGCGTATCAGCGGTCCTCATGTGCGGGCTGACGGTGGTGCATTGAATGCAAGATGAGGGATCCGGCAGGCGGCAGGCTGCGCAGGAGTCAGAGAGCGCCCAGCGCTGATTGGACCCCGTTGGTGAGCCGGCCCTTCTTGGGCGTGCTGGCCCGCGGTCCGCCGCTGGCAGAGGGGAGCAACTTTTTTTTTGCGTAGACTTCAACGGTCGCCGCGCCAGCCGGTGAGCTCCGCCGCGCGCGCTGCGCGCCCGCAACGGCTGCGCGACATCAGGGCAGCAACGCAGCAGCGTCGGGGCGAGCAGCATGCCGGCTCGGCAGCCCGCAGGGCAATGCTGCAGCCGGCTTCTGCTGCACGCTCTGCAATCCTTGCGGGCAGATCAACGGAACCCACGTCGAGCTGGGCCGTGTGGCCGCGCCAGTGCACTAGCGCCGCCGGGGCCTGGCTCAAAATGTTCCTTCTGTTCGCACCCTCCGCTTCTCTTCCTCTAGCTCAGCAACCCGCCAGACAACGAAGTCGCCCAAATCCACCCTACAGAACACACGCCCCGCTGCCACCCTATTTCGTCGAGAAACATGCCGCAGGCTGTCGCTGAGCTGTAAATCCCCCACTGGGGGGCGTGTGTCCTGCGCGCCCTCCAGTCCGGCAGCCCACCGAGAATTCCAACGACTCTACGACGATACTTCGCCCTCGACTGCTTCGAGCAAGCCCTTGCTTGAAGTGCAGCACCAAAGACCAGACTCTACCGGAGTACCCGCAGAGCTCACTACAGCGGCACCGTTTTCTGTCCGTCACCCCTCGGACTCGACGAGCATCCGGCTTGGACCTGGCCATACGGCCCTTCAAGTCTCGAAGTCCACCAAAGAATCCCCCCAGATCGTCCGTAGGCGACTTTTCCACCCTTCTTAAGCAGCGGCCGCCTCATCTCCACCTCCACTTCCCTTCCTTTCTCTCAACCCTCAACCCTTAAACCCCCGAACTTCAACAATCAAAGAAACCCCACAAACCCACGCCATTGAGAGAAATGGCAACCATCCAAACCAACAAGAGCATTGGTCTCGTGACCCACGACACTGGCTCGCCTGAGCCCAGGAGTCCTAACGGAACGGTGAAAGCCACCAGCTCAAAGGTACCAGCCCGCAAGAACATCTCCGGAAAAGGGGTGAAACGCAGTTTGGGCGTAGCTTCAGACGAGGCACTCGGCAATGAGGAAGACAGCAGCGCCGACGAGGCGGACAAGGACGACGACGATGAGCCAAACGAAGATGCCCCGTCCGGCGGTTTCGGCATGGGCAGAGGCAAGCGGCCTGCTATCCACATTGAGCCCGCCGATGCAGAGAGGAAGGACGACCGCGGGACGGGGCTTGATCAAGAGGGTCTCCTCACCCCTCTATCCAAAAAGCGCACTTTCAGCAACACCGACATTTTTGCTGCGTTTGATGAAGACGCGATGAGCGGGAATGAGAAAGAATCTGCTTTGGCGTACCCCCGCAAAAAGCTGAACAGGAAGTTGAGCAACAATCCCAACGGCCTCCTCGCATACGAGGCCTTCCGCAAGGGCAGCATTGCGTCTGAGGAAGGTCCGTTGATTGAATCAGAGAACGCTATTGACTCCTCCGATGACGACGAAATCTACAAGGCTGTGGAGGATATCGACGAATCGGATAACGATGAGTACATTGACGAGAACCTGGAGGAGAAAGCTCTACGGGATGCGCTGAACACGTCCGACAACGAGAGCGATTTTGGCGATGGCCCGGACGTCTCGATGTTGCTCGACAGCGGATATCTGGAAGGCAATCTCCTCGACATGGGCGACGATCAGATACTCGGACTTTCTGGTGAACAATGGGCTGGCATGGAGGAGATAACCCCCGTCCAATCAAACACTTCCACGAGGCGTGTGCGTTTCGACGATAACGTGCACGCCGTTTCCGACGTCGATAGTGACGACGAAACGTCTTCGGAAGACCTCAACAGTTTCTTTCCCGATTTATTCCACAAGGACAATCAAGCGCTCTCAAGCTTCAGGCATAGCCAAGATCTGGACGATATTGATTATTTTGACGAGTCAACAGCTAGCGATAGCGAGAGGTCATACTGGGACTTTGGCGACGAAAAGGAGCTATCCAGTAATTCGAGTGACCGAGAGCACGACGTCCACACGGAGTCTGGCTCTGAGTCAGAAGCAGGCTCCAGTGGCTACGAGAGTATGGCTCACTTGATTAGTTCTATTTTCTACGTGAATGCTGACAAGACGCAGCGGATGAAGGTGACACCACCGATGAGGACCTACCCCCGCCACCCACCATTAACAAGCCATCACGTGTCCACCGTGACTCATCTTCTTCTGCCGGCTCCGCCACCCCGAAGCCATTTCCGCGGTCTAAGAGACAGCCTCCGGCAAAATCATCGAAGCGGAAGGGCCCGATCAAAGGCTTCTTCACTCTCGATCCGAGGAGAGCTATTGCCATTCTGGACAGTAGCGGAAAGCGCATGGTTCTAAGACCTGCTCGTATTTCGAACAACCAGTTCTGGACTGCCAGTACCGCGAGTAGCACTGCAAACAACAGCCCTCGCAGCGAACTGCAGCAGCTGAATGGCGATGACAGCGACTTCAGCGATGGCAACACAAACTTCGCAGACATCATGCTCAGTGGCATTTACGGAGCAGCTGGCGGCCTCAACTATCCCATTGGCCCCCCGGAAGCGTTCTATCCATTCGTCGGCATTGATGCGGATGGCACGATGGAATTCGATGACGAAGATGACGACGACATAGAAGACATGCTCGACGTCAACGACTTCATCGATTTTGGCAACCAGAGTGATTCTGACGAGGCCGATGAGACCGATGTGCCCACTGCAGCCAATTCTCCTACCAAGGCTCATGCGGGTCATACTCCCGCCAGGGCTGGTCTTTCTGCAGCCCATGAGATGAGCCAGAGGATGCTTCAACACTTCGACCGCGCGAACGTGAATTCGTTCAGGAGGAATCAGAACCGTTACCGCGATGTGGCTCGTCTCCCCGACGATCCTGCTGCTCGCGCGCAGGCCTCTAGGCCTGTGCGTACTGGAGCCTCGGCCGATGCCATCATCACTCCGATGCGAAAGAAAAAGAAGTCGAGTAATATGGGCGTTCCGCGTGCCAGTCCTCTTGCCAAGAAATCTGGTCTAATCGCTGGCGCTTTCACTCCTCGCCGTCATTAGGGCAGCCTCGCTCATTAGTTTCGACGTTTCTCGGATCTCAAGAAGGTGTGCGCATCCAGCAATCTCTTGGCTACGAGATCGTCAGATCATTGTTAGTTGATGGGTCACGCATGTTCATCAAAGCTTGGTGCACATTCGGTAGCCACGACTTTAACGACGTTACGGCCAACGGACTTGTTCGATAACAGGAGCTTACTTGGAACTATTTCTTAAAAGTTCAGTTCTCGGGAGGCGGAACAGACCTTTCAGCGAGTGATGCACTGTACGATGTGACGTGTATCTACCTACCCTCTTATGCTTCGCTCTTGGGATATAGAGATTGGGCAGAGGGGTTGGGTGATCAAGCATTCGCTGCGTTGAAAGGCGGATACCGCTTAATGTCTAGTTTCCTCCCCTATCAGGCCGAGCACTGCTTAGCCGCCTTCATCTCATTCTCTACGTCCCTCGATTGTTTCCATTACCTGTTTTAAAGCCTCGATTTCTCATGTTATTCACAGCGGCAACCAGGATCTTGGTTTCGGTGCTTCAAGGCGCTTTCTCTCTCTTCGGTCTACGATACCAACAACGACGACTCATCGGCCCCTCTCTTCGACTGGTTCCTAGATTGGGGATGGTCTAGGGGTTCTTCCGGGAGGTCTGGTTCTCTTTCACTAAGCGGGATGCCGGAGCAACAAGCGCACGGAAAAATGGGGTGTGTGGGCTTTTTACATGGTTCGTGTAGGAATATTATCCAGCAGCATAAGCAATGCATAAAGATGATATGAATACTGTGTGCCGCTATTCTGATGATATGATTTTCAGAATCACGGCCAACTGGACGATGTTACACCTCCCACAAAAGAACTAACTAAACACCCTCCACATTCTTACAATAGCTCGCATGGCTTGTGGTGCACTCCGATTCACAATCCTTGCCCTGGTCAATATATTCCACGTGACCCAGCTGTTGCCGATCTGACCTCGTCGCACCTGCCACCGTGAGTCACGCTTAGCCAATATCATTTTCCAGCCAACGCCCACGACCACCACGCCCGATATCTTCGGACTCCAAGCTCCAATGCCAAATCCAAAGCTCTCACAGAAGAACCTGCTCATAGCCTTTGACGCATTTGGAACGCTCTTCACTCCGCGCGGGCCGATTGGTGCACTGTACGGAGAGATCGCGCGCAAGCATGGCATCTGTGGCGATGTTTCCGACGAAGATATTATGAGCAGCTTCAAGAAAGGTGAGTCCAGCATACAGCGCTTTCTATATTTTCGAACGCCTTTAATTTTCGTTATGCCCATTGTCCCAGTCGTGTGCCTTTGGTTGGTCGCGTGGCTGGTACATGTTGCCCAAAGTCGAAAGTGGATGACACATGGTCTGTGAATTTAGGGACATGAGGCTGACGAGTAGATGAAACGGCTATGTAGCATTCAAACATAACGCTAAAGAGAGACCAAACTACGGGAAAGAAGTTGGGATGGACCCTACCGCATGGTGGAGCAACGTATGTCTTGAACTGTTTTTATTTTGGTCTACATTCACACTCTCCTGTTTCTTCACAGTAAGAAATCAAAATACCTTTTCTACATCTCTGGTCAAATAAGCTACCTAGCGGGGTCTGCATCCCAAATGAACGGATGGCACACAGACTTCCACGCTTCAATCTTATCCTATAACCTCACCACTGCCCTTACCATAAACATGCCCATTACTCAACGGCGCTCCCAACATAATTGATAGAGCGGGAACATGGTCAAAGTATCAAGGATGCAAGAGATTCATTGCACCCTTCAGCAGACTGACCCAGCGGCACCAAAACAGATCATAACTCAAACCTTCACCCCCTTCCTCTCCACCCAGAAATCATCCTCTCCCGGCTCGGCCCCTCCCAACCCTCCATCTCTCCCCCATCGCCTCGTTCCTGACCTCATCACCCGCTTCGCCAGCCGCGACGGCTACACTCTCTACAACGACGTGATCCCCCTCTTCGCCTCCCTCCGCGCCGCCCGCGGCGGCAGTGGCAGCAGCCGCCGCAAAATCGTCACCGCCGTCCTGACCAACTCGGACGACCGCGTCGCCGGCATCCTCCGCTCCTTCGGCCTGCGCGTCGGGCACGTCGATCCGGAGACCGTCGAAAAGATCGCTGCGTCAACGTACCCGAACGGCAGCGGCAGCACTTCTGCAACGACATTACTGCAACCAGAAAGGTTGGGCGAGAACGACATCGACTTTGTGCTGACGTCGTACGACTGCGGCTATGAGAAGCCGCATCGTGCCATCTTCGACGCAGCGAGGCGGTTGGCGTTAGCGCGGTACGCTCAGGTTGGTGAAGGAGAGGAGACTGGACGCGAGATTGATGATGATGGTGAGTGGGAGGCGGTGTATGTGGGCGACGAGGTGGATAAGGATGTTGTGGGGGCGGAGGAGGCTGGGTGGGCAAATGCGTTCTTGGTGGATCGAGAGGGACTGGTCCGAGATGCCAGAGACGTGGTGAGAAGGGAGGACGTGGGTGGAGAGGGGCAGCAGCAGGTAAGAGTCTTGCGAGATCTGAGGGAGTTAGAAACATATGTACTCGGGTGATGCGAATGGCGGGCACTGAAGAGTTCCTGTATCACATGTATATAAGAAAATAATTCCCAGGTTGTCCTCGAAGAAGCCATAAGGAAACTCAAAGCGCATTAATGAAACTTCCCGCTTGATGCCGTACAGGTAAACCCGCTAGGTTCACAAAAGAAAGTAGGGAGAACAGAAGCCCGATTAAGTAGCCACGGTAATGTTGCAAGCAGCCATGCCGGGTATCCATATGCCACAGCCAACGCTAATCCGAAAGAAAAAGAAAAGTAATTCCGCACATGGCCGACATCCGGAAACGAGGGTTCAGCACAGTATCCTTGTTCCGAGGTTTTCGTTGCAGAAGGCGAATTCTGATCGCAACCCAAGCTGAACGATATGCAGGTTATTGCAGAAATGGCTCACTGGAACGAGTGGACGGGCAGGCTTGTTTAAGCCTTAGCCTTCCTGCCGCCGCTATTCAATGTCAGCGGCCCTGTTGGTCTTTGTATTGGGATCAACATGACTCACCGCTTCTGAGTAGGCTTCTTTGCCTGCGGAGCCTCCTCAGCCTCGTCGGCCTCGTCGGCCTCGTCATCATCAACGACAACCTTGGTCTTGGCCTTGGACTTCCTCTGCTTGGGAGCGGGCGCAGGCTCGTCCTCATCTTCCGCCTTAACCTTCCTCGAACGAGATTTCTTAGCCTTAGCAGGGACAGGAGCAGGCTCCTCACCATCCTCATCCTCAGCAATCTCGTTCTCCTTGGCATCAGCCTCTTCAGCCTTGACTTGCTTGGCCTTCTTGCCTCTGGCCTTCTTGGGAGCTGGCGCTTCGTCCTCCTCATCCGCAACAATTTCGTTCTCCTTGGAGTCGGCCTCTTCGGCCTTGACTTGTTTGGCCTTCTTTCCTCTGGCCTTCTTCGGGGCTGGCGCCTCTTCTTCTTCTTCATCCTGTTCTTCGTTCTTGACCTTGATATTCTTCTTGCCTCTCGCCTTCTTCGGGGCTGGAGCCTCTTCTTCGTCTTCCTCCTCCTCCTTGTGAGCACGCTTCTTTGACTTCTTCTTAGTGCCGTCCTCATCCTTTGCTCATCAGCTTACTATATCACGCAGTAATAGCTAAAGGACGCTTACCTCGTCGATTCCCAGCCTCTTCTTATCGGCCTTAGTAAGGCGGAATCCGTTCTGGCCAGGGCGATTCTTTTCAACATCCTATTCTCGCGTCAGTCTGAAACCCGGACAAGCAAACTCTACATGGACGTATAAAATGCTTAAAAGGCTCAGAAAACTTACTCCCTTCCAGTCCATATCGTCAACATGGCCCTGCTCAAAGGCCTTCTCAACCTCAACCTGAAGGTCCTCGGGCAATTCCTCAAAGCCGTCGAGCATGCTCATGTCGCCGTCGATGTAATCCTTCACGTTACCGATGATCTTGGGAGTGACGCAGCCCCTTTGAAACGAATAATCAATACCGCAGATCCAAGAGCAGTTGAAGGAACGTTTACCAATGCTTGTAAGTCCAGGAATTGTGCTCGTTGATGGTGATCATGGTGGCGAAGCGAACTTCACCCTTTTGGATCTTCACACCGGCATTCTTGCATTCAGAATTCTTGCAGGTCGCACGCGCGTTAGGCGAGATCTCTATGCACATGTCAGCTGAGGGTAGTCGTGTGAAGGACGCCAAGCACGGGGTGGGAAGCATTGGGTGACGCGAAGAAGTAGAGGCTGGTGCTACCAAAGAAGCACGACAATGGTGACGAGAGCAGTCGAACAACAGGGCAGCGGTGTAGAATTGAAAGCCCAAACTGGACAGCAGTACATATGAAGAGTCGATGTCTTCAAATGGAGGTATGTTGGTGATTGCACTGGTAAGATTCCGCTCCCGCGGGGACGTTCTTCGACAAGTGAAGTCGCGGGCGATTGTGCGACAAACGAACGAATGTTACATGGCAAAGTAGGGAAAAAGGAATGAACTTACCGATGCGGTATCCAGTAGGCATTTTCGCAGCAGAACCGAGGTCAGTCACTGCGACGGATGATATGTCAAAGAAGGGCTGGCGTGGTTGCGGTAACGATGGCAGGCAAGCTGCGACGTGCGCGGCGGAATGTGAGGCAGGACGGGTGGAATAAAGAGAATGGGTGACAGGAGGGCGGGGGATCTTAAGTAGAGCGAGGTGTCTTCCTACGATAAGAAAGAAGAAGCGGAAGAAGTTGGGTGAGGAAAGCGGGTGAAGTTCATGTTGTTTGCGCAAGCTCTAGGCTTCCTTGCCTGGAAGACGCGACCGGGCCCGCGCGTGCGCGTTAGTCCTGGCCGGTGCCTTCCCTACCTGCACGTACGCCTGACTTCTGCCTGCACCTGTTCCATTTCGAGCAAGAGCAATCAATTCCATGCTAGAGCACGGGATTACAGGAGGCACGCGAATCAGAACAGAGCTTTGCCTGCAATGCCGGATGCTCTGCGCTGTCGCACAGGCACCACTGCGCCGAGGGCCAGGAAGGGATGATGCCCTGCACGGCCAAGAACCTATCTGGAAGAGGGTCACCAAAGACAAACAACTGTGGACGCTCTACCTAATAGCTACGATTAGACATCGTTGTCTCAAAATATCGGCTTTTAGTAGGGATGAGGCGGACGGCCACGACTAAACCGCGATTCTTGCCGACTGTCGCGAGTCGAGACGTCATGGCTGACTTTTTTCGACTCGCCGCGCGCCGGCCGTGCTCCAATGCCTCCACAACTCCCTCGCAACTGTCCCCCAATCGATGCACACGAGCTTCAAGAATGTGCTCAGTCGAACCTTTCGACAGCATAGCACCGCTTCCGATGGATATTTCACCGTAGCAGCATGGCTGGTCCCAGCTGCCGCTACCTCAGCTCGCCGTCCCCCGCGCCGACATTTCTCTCGCACCCGCCAGAGACGCTCTCGAACAATCGATGACCTCTCAGAGAGCACTTCCCCTCTCCGCCAGCCACGCCGACCACCCCGATTCCTCCAACCTGCAGAAGCTTGGGTGAAGCGCCTCGAGCCTCTTCTTCCGTCGCATCTTCGGACCACCTCGATCGGCACAGCTGAACCTTCGAATATAGGCGCAGAGAGGCTCGCATCTGCCAGGGAAATTGCTTCGATTCTGGCACGGTCGAGAGAGTATGCGGGCGTGGACATTCTCAGCTACTTAGCGATACAGCAGGGTCGATGGGACGCTGTTATATGGCTCGTGAAATCGATTATTGAAATACCGGTTCCAGTAGGGGAGCGCCTGAAAGATATTCCTTTGTCAACCGCTCCAAACTGGAATGGCATCCACGAGTCGCTAGAGTTTGCCACCCAGGGACCATTGACCCTGCAGAGAGTTGCCTCTGCCCAACCTTTCGAACAAAAACTAGATCAATTAACAAACCCCGACATCTTTGGCGAAGACGAACATCACTACCGAAAAGACGCGCTTGGACAATTATGGAGGAGCTTGGGCAACATGATCCTGACCGCTGTTGGAGACCGGCCTCAGGAGAAGGATGCGATTATGGGTCATGTTCTTGAGCTCCTGGCCTACCTTCATCATGCGGGCATAATCCCCGAATCGGTGTACCATTACGAGCCGCCAAAGGATAAATATTCCCTTCAACAACCACCCACACTCTACCTTCTTTCCTCCAAGATCCTTACGGCGCTATCGGACGCAGCCTGGAGAGCACATGAGCTAGCAGCGGCGTCCGAGAACCAAAAGCAGGCAAAGTACAATATCTTCGGCCAGGAAATACCTGGCTCAAGATACAAGGTTCGCACACCGGAACTTGGCTCAGAAGTCTGGTTGGAGCTTGTGCTGTGGTCTTGCCTACATGGGGGTTGGACAATGGACGGCGCGGACATTTTGAAAAAGCTCTCACGCTACAAGGACGACTCGAGGTGGTCAGTCATTCACTGGAAAAACGTCTTGCATGATCGCTCCGGGTCATCTTTTCGCAATATGACTTGGACCGACTTATGGTCCTTTGCTAGGGCCCGGGGGACGCAGGCGAAATCCCAAGAACGCTTCATGGTTGATAAAACCATCAGCAGTGAAGTGGTTGCGGCCTATATCGATGGTGTGCTCAACAGAGTTACGGCGGGTGTTGGTAATCGTGGAGAGCCTGTTGCGACTATTTTCAATTTTGTCACTACTTTCAAAGGCCTGCTCGATCGTGACAATCTTGGCCTTGGAACTGCAACTTGGGAGTCAATTATTGTGCGTTTCATGGAGAGCGGCGGCATCGACCCGAACTTGCAGGCCCGTTGGCTGGAAAGGCTGCTGTACTTTAGCAGCAAGTTCGACGAAGAGCTCGAGTACCACAATGCTGCTCGGGAATACGAAGACAGTCCAGGCTCACCATCTTACATCCTCGACCCCTCGTCGATCTCTTTAGGCGTATTACATCAAGCCTTGCGTATCCACATCAAGAACAGCAACCTCACGGGCGCGGCTGAAGTTGTGTCACGACTGCAGTCGCTCACAGATGAAAACAAGAAAAGATCGATGCAAAAATTCTTCGAAAAGCTCAACAGGCGATCCGAGGACGACTTCGTTCCTGAGTCCTTCTCAAGCAACGTCGACCCAATGGATTATCCCATCTACTTCCCGCAGATACCGCCCGCGCTTTTGGCCGGTGTTCTGAGTCTGGCAACGCAGAATCAAGCATATGACTTTGCTAGACAGCTGCTGTACTCTGACGATATCGATGGGCCTCTGATCCCGCAGGAGCTGTATGGGTATAGTGGCATTGCCGCTGCGATCACTAGGTATGCACTTGCTGTCGACGACGCGAACGTGCTTGCTCGCCTCAAACCCAATCAATCGGAAAGGGGTGGCCTGAATCCTGAAGCGTCTTGGGCAATTCTCGAAATCCAAATGCGAAGACAAGAGTGGGACATTGTTGAGAACGTAATCGGCCACCTAGCGGTACACAACACAAAAGGACGGGTAGCGAACATCAGTGCGCTCTTAGCGAGGCAGCTCCTCATCCTCCAAGACAAAGTGCTTAGGCAGGGTGAGAAGCCGACCGAGACACATCCTCTCGCTAAGGCTGCCTCTATCTTTCGGAAGCTCATCAAAACTAGATTCGGCGACAATGATCAGGAACGCTACCACCGCTTCCACGGTATACTCTGTGTCCTCTCGTCTATTGGGCCCGAATGGCGCGACTTTTGCTTCCGCTTATTCACCTACCGCGAAACGAAGTTACTCGAGCGATGTGTCACACATGATGACTTTGCACCATTGCTACAGGGCGTCACGGAGACCCGGGGTGCCTACAGGGGTATGGAATTGATGACCAAGTGGTGTAAGGATATATCAGCAACCAAGCCTCTCGAAAGGGCGCACCGCATCGAAAGCACTACAAAACATGTTCCTCAGGCCCTATTAACCGAGGAAGTCGCTGTCAAAGGAAAAAATGGGTCCGAATATTTACTCCGTGGCCAACGCCTTTCGCCCACGCTTCCTCTCATGCGCATAGTGTACCAGGCAGCGTTGAAGCAGATCGAACAGAGCGCTGAGCTTGCATGGCATCAGCAAAATGTCAGATCGGTTTTGAGCTGGGCTCTTGCGGGTCTGAGGTCCTTGGGGTTAAGCGAAAAGGAAATTGGTCACGAGTTGAATGGAATCACGAGCGGTGCCGAACTGGCTGAGCGAGCGAGAGCAGCGTATGTGAAAAGAAAGCGGCCATCGAAGAGGAAGTCAAAGTGGAGGAAATCTCAAGTGACAGAATTGGCAAAGAGGCTCGAGCATGGGATTGAGAAAGATGTTTCCGTGGAACCAAGGATTGCCCAAGGAGCCGAGCGGGGGGAGTAGGGTTGATGATCCCTGGTGTATATTGCACGTTTTGCCGATGTAAGCATGAGCATGTAATGTAATTTTGTTGTTCCCTGTGCTTAGACTTAGACTTTAGATATTACTGTTCCTCATCATAGTTGTGGGACAGACTTTGAATCTCCAAACAGCATGACGTGTGGGTATGAGCTTTTCACGTAAGTACTGCACCTCAATCAGTACGAATCCTACTATCCAGAGAATGCGCTACGATCGCGGGAGGAGATGGCCATGGCGTAGCGATAGCGCGCCGTGGATGTGACATCATCACCTACACCCACCTGGACTTCCTTTTACGCGTTGTCACAGGCTCTCGCGTCAACGCATCATCCTATCCTTTCGTCGTGACATTCTCGATTTCCTTAGCAGTTCCAGATTGGCGAGATCTGGTGGCTTGCAGATCCGATGCGGTGCGGTGGCTGGTCAGCACCAAAGCCGTTCCTGACGCTAACCTGGATGGACCGAGTGTTGACGTCCACCACTATTTGAGAGCCGCTTGGTGGATTCTAGACGTTTGTGGTCCTGTCTCCTGTCACTCTTGCATCGTTCCCTTCTAGGAGCTCGCACTTTCCTTGGAATTATTATGCAAGCCATGTTCTCCTGATCGCTGGATGAAGTCATGACTCGGCGATGGTCACAGTGCGATTGATGCAGCCCTCACCGGTTGTAGTATAGCAAATGGTAGCAACAGCGCGGCACGATAGCTTCGAGCCAAGGGTGCACTGCTGCTTACCACCCAGTGCTGTAAGAATAGCGAGCTATCACGCATGCCACAAGTGACATCAGCATTAAACGCCAGTGACGCCCAAGGCTGGTCTCCGTGTCTGTGTACCTTAAGAAAATACATAAAAACCGTCTGCTTTCCTGGATGTGCACCAATAAACAATCCAACACTCACCTCATCCAATCAAGCTCCAACCCTTTCTCCGACAAAACAATATCAACCACTACCAATCATGTCCAAGTACGAGAACCAAGACATCCCCGCCGGCGTCGTCCGCGACAACGACTATGCTAGCCGTAGCGGCCAGTCACAGATCCCTGTCCAGAAGGACGAAGCGCCCATCGAGGACCCCATTGACCCCGCGACCGCTGACACTGACGAGCAGCTGGGTAAGACCGTCCATCCTCCTTCCCGTACACATTGATCACCCATATTCTAATACAATAATTGCAGCTCGCGATGATAAAGAAGCCATTAACGAGGAAAATATTGTTCCAGGCCGCACACGTGGTGCCACCAAGAAGGCAGGCACTTACGCGGAGCCTGGTGATGAGGAGGGTATTCCCGGGCCGGAGGATGGAAGAAGTGCCATCCGCCAGTAATTCTGAGTAGTTGGTTATGCTGCTCGAATTCGGAGTTACATAGGCCATTCACCACCTGTTCAACAAGCTCCGACAGCGGTTAGCTTGGATCTGTATTATATTGAAATGGTTACTTCAACGATGATAACTCTGATATGATAGCTTTAAACATTCTCATATGATTTTGTGATGCTTCCAACATATTTAGCTTGAAATTATAAACTGTCACGCCAGTGTGCATGCTCACGATTAAGCTCGGGCTGTAGATGAAACCACACGTCGGGTCAATAAATACATTTACCACCGAAACCTATAGACTTCTCCATGATCATATTCATTTTTTGGAATGAGCGACACTGTTAAGCTAAGCTGATGCCGTGACCTTGCCCTGGGACTTAAGAACCGGCCCCGTAGTACGTTGATGGAGAGATTCCAAAAGCCGGGTATATAGACTTTAAACGATTATGCGAGTGCTCTCACTCATTCGTCGTCTTCCATATCCTCATCTTCGTCCTCGACATCACCGGCGCCCTCATCGTCAAGGCCTTCGCTATCCCAGGCGTCGGACATGTCCTCGTCATAGTCCTCCTCTTCATCATCATCAACTTCTTCGCCTCGTGCTTTCTTATCAGCCTTCTCCTTTTTCTTCCTCTCAACATTTTCCTTTTGTACGCGTTTCCTCTCCTCCTTCTCTTTCCTTCGCTGATCCCACATCTTATCCATCGCTCTGACCTCTTCAGCAGTCTTGGTGATATGCTCGTGCCACATGACCTTTCCACCACACAGGCCTTCCTCAACTTTCTGGAGACGAAGCTTCATGCGCGGGCCGAGCTCGACCAATTTCACGGCTTTCCTCTCGACATTGCTGCGCGCGCCGGCCGACCCGCCGTTGGCGGCAGCCTGTCTTTCTGCAGCCGCCCGCTGCTTCTCCTTCCGGTTGAGGACTTTTCTAGTCGTCTCCAACACCTCAACCTCGGCGTCCGTTTCAACCTCGCTGTCACTCGCGCTAGTATAGCCGCCGCCCGCGTCTGGGTCCAGAAGGTAGTCGGCGGCATCCTCGAGCTTGCCGAGATTAGGCAGGCCCCTCTTCTTCTTATCCTTGACGGCGCTGTTCAAACGGCGCAAGCTCTTAGGCATATCCTTCGTCACGGTTTTGGTCGTGATTGCGTAGTGCCGCAGATTGATAATGTAAGAGTTGGAGTCGTCTGGGGAAGGCTCGCGGTTAAGGAGAAGAACACGGCGGATCGAGGTCAATGGCGTGGCTTGAGGGGAGATTGGCGGGAAGAGCGACTGAAACATGGTTGTCGTGAGGCTCTCGAGGTGCTTCGGAATGGGGTTCTCCGCGCTGGCCGAGGTTTGGGGGCTCGTAAAGTTGTTCATGACAAGCTGTTTGAAAGCCGTTGTTAGTGTGTATCGAGAAGGATTGGTTCTCTTGTGTACATACAAGAGGAGCCGTGTGATATTCATGGCCCCCGGTTCTGGGGTGTTTTTGGGCGCGTTGGATATCCTTGCACAAAGAGTATTTCTCGACGCGGAAGTGCAGCGTAGGGCCGCGAGGAGTCTTCGCAAGGCGCAGGTTTGTGTTCCCGGACGAGGATTTGGAGAATAGCAGAAGATGTGTGACGCCGAGAGGCCCAGCCATTGTCGTGTAGTCGCGCAGTTTGTTGGATTTCCTCTCCTGAGATGATGGTTAGCGGAGGCGGAACTATATGCTCCCAAGGGGAATTACCTTCAATCTCGTCGCTGTACCAGGCTCCATGACCAGCCTCATGTCCTTGACCAGTTGCGAGACGCTGGAGCCGACCTCGCCGGCTCCCACACGAATGACCATGCTCTTCGGCGCGCCATCGTTGGGCTTCTGGGTTCCTTTGGGCAGGCTAGCGCCGATGTGCGTGCGCTTCTTGACTCTCCGTTTTGCCATAGTGTGCTGCGTTGGGGGTGTGAGGAAGTTGCGACGGGAATCAAGCTTGCGGCGGAGACTTGCGAGAAAAATCCCGGGAAGGCGCGCTTATCGATTAGGTCGCGATTTTTCCCAGCAACCAAATCCAAGCACCTGCGCGCCACTTTTCTACACCACCAAAGATGCCCGCCCTCAAGAAGCGCAAGCTCAGCGGTGAACCCGCTGAGGCGAAGTCCAAGGCGACCGCTGCCTCCACCCGCGACGCTCCCTCCACGAAACACAAGGCTGAGCCTACGAAGCTTGCCGAACCCAACTCCGACGATGCGCAAAGCGATGCCGAAGAATCTTCCTCCGGGGAAGTGGAAGCAACCCAGGGCGAACAGGCGCGCAAGAGCTTCAGGGACCTTGGTATCATAGAGGAGCTCTGCAACAGCTGTGAAGCTCTGGGCTTCAAAAGCCCGACTCCCATCCAGGCCGAATCGATCCCGTTGGCTCTTCAAGGACGGGATCTGATCGGTCTAGCCGAGACTGGTTCAGGAAAAACAGCAGCTTTTGCGCTACCTATCCTTCAAGACCTCATGGAGAGACAACAAAAGCTTTTTGGTCTGATCTTAGCACCTACTCGCGAACTGGCGTACCAGATCTCGCAACAATTCGAGGCACTGGGCAGCCTGATCGGTGTTAAGTGCGCAGTTCTGGTCGGCGGTATGGACATGACGCCACAGCAGATTGCTCTAGGAAAGAACCCACACATTGTCGTCGCCACTCCCGGCCGTCTGCTTGACCATCTTGAGAACACCAAGGGCTTCTCTCTGAAGCAGCTGAAGTATTTGGTCATGGACGAAGCAGACAGGCTGCTAGATCTCGACTTCGGGCCTATCATCGACAAGATCCTCAAGGTCTTGCCAAAGGAGGGTAGACGGACCTATCTTTTCTCGGCCACTATGAGCTCGAAGGTCGAGAGCCTCCAAAGAGCCAGTTTGAGCAATCCTCTCCGGGTGTCTATCTCCAGCTCCTCCCACCAGACAGTCTCGACCCTAATCCAACACTACCTGTTCGTTCCCCACAAGCACAAGGATCTCTATCTCATCCATCTGCTTAACGATATGATCGGCCACCCAACGATCATTTTCACGCGCACTGTCAACGAGACACAGAGGATCGCAATCTTGCTTCGAACATTGGGCTTTGGCGCCATCCCTCTTCATGGCCAACTCTCCCAGTCTGCAAGATTGGGTGCGCTCGGAAAGTTCAAGTCAAAGTCGCGGGACATTCTCGTCGCTACCGACGTTGCTGCTCGTGGTCTTGACATTCCGAGCGTCTCATACGTCATCAACTACGATCTGCCTCCGGACTCAAAGACGTATGTTCATCGCGTTGGACGTACTGCCCGTGCTGGAAAGTCAGGTAAAGCTATTTCTTTGGTCACGCAGTATGATGTGGAGATCTGGCTGCGCATCGAGACGGCGCTGGGTAAGAAATTGCCCTCAGAGACGGTAGAGAAAGAAGAGGTTATGATCCTCGCTGAGCGTGTTGGCGAGGCTCAGAGGGCTGCAGTCAGAGAGATGAAGGATTTGCACGAGAACAGAGGCAAGAAGGGCAGTGTACTCCGTGGGAGGAGAGGCGGTGGGAAGAGAGGCCGTGACAACATGGACCAGGAAGAGGGTTGATCGGACAGCTCGAACTCAGAAAAGAGCAAAAGTTTGGCGTAGATGGCGTAGCTTATAGCGAGTGTAGCTTGAGATTCTTTGATCTTTGTCCTAATGCTACTTTTTTGTCGCTTTTGTTAACTGTGGTAGAGCACATCCACATGCGGCATGTATGGCTGTGCGCGATCCTGCAGGAATTCGGAAGGATGCACCGTCCAAAGTGAAAGTTCGGCATTTGACTGAAATGCTAGCTTAGACTGGCTTTTGGAAATGAGTTCAAGTGAACTATGGTTGTAGGCAGGCTGAAGTCCAATAGTCACGTGCCACACACCGCACGGACGCATTAAAATGCGGTGCGTTCGCTTCAACCGCGAAATGCGGCTGGCCCCTCCAACGGCAAATATTATCGCGACATCTACGCGCTCCACAGCCTCAACCTCCACGCGACACCGACCCCGCAGGCCCCGGATCAGCCTCCACGATGTCCCGTTTCTTCACCGCCGTCGATAGCTCCAGCGAGAGCAGCTCCGACGAGGAGGAGCTCTACTCTGAGGAGGAGGAAGAAGAACAGTCGGAAGAGGAAAGCTCTGAGGAGGAGGAGTCGGAGGAGGAGTCCAGCGACGAGGATGAAGGAAAGACCGGTGCTGGACGCTTCTTGAGGGATGTTTCCGATGAGAGCGATAGCGATGACGAGGACCGCGTCACCGTTGTCAAGAGCGCGAAAGACAAACGGTTTGAGGAACTCGAGGCTACTATCAAGGCGATCGAGAACGCCGAGAAGATCAACGACTGGGCTGTCATCGCTACAGGTGAGCTCGGAGTTCTGCGCGACGGCTTTGCCATGGCGTGCTAATCTTTCATTGCAGAGTTCGACAAGATGAACCGTCAAATACCCGCGCTCGTCAGGCAGAATGATGGCAAGACGCCCAAGCCATACATCAAGGCCATTTCCGAGCTGGAGACCACCATGGTCGAGACGCTCGAGAAGCAGAAGGTCACGCCCAAGAAGATGAACGCCACCAACACGCGTGGTCTGAACGCCGTCCGCCAGCGCATGCGCAAGATCAAGCAGGACCACGCTTCCGAGATCGACAAGTTCAAGGCCGACCCGGAGAAGTTCATGGCAGATGAGGTGATTGAGGTGGCCGCCCCCGCTCCTAAGAAGGCGAAGAAGGCTATCCCCTCTTTGGGTGCCGAAGCCGTCGACGGCGATGATGATGATGGCTTCACGGTGGTTGGCGCTGGTGGCAAGGCTATGGTTTACACGCCCGAGGGCATCCTCAAGCACCTCCGTACTATCGTCGAGGCCCGCGGCCGTAAGAACACCGACCGCATGGAGCAGATCCGCACCATGGAGAAGCTGTACGATGTGGCCAACACCGACTACCAGAAGATCCGCGTGCTTCTGACCCTGATCTCCACCCGCTTCGACCTCACTACCGGCACTACGAACCAGATGTCGCAGGAGCAGTGGAAGCTGGCTGAGAACGAGTTCCGCCTGCTGCTCGAGGTTCTTGAGAACAACCGCGACATTGTGGTTGTCGAGGGAGCCGAGGAGTGGGAGGATGACGAGAAGCAGCCCGTGATCAACGCTGGCGAGACCTTCAGGGTTCCCGGCAGCATTACCTCTTTCATTGAGCGTCTCGACGACGAGCTTACCCGCGCTCTCCAGCACATCGATCCCCATACTGCCGATTACGTCGAGAGGCTTACGGACGAGACTACCCTCTATACCAGCGTCGTCCGGACGCAATTGTACGTTGAGTGGCTCGTTGAGAAGCACGGTAGCGCCCAGGAGAGCTCGAACCGCGTTGTCATGCGCCGCCTCGAGCACCTGTACTTCAAGCCCTCGCAGGTCGTTAAGATTCTGGAGGAGAACTCGTGGAAGGCGATTCCTTCTGGACTCAGCTCTACCATCACCCCCCGCGACAGTGCCGCAGATCCCACCGCCCTCATCGCGACCCTCTGCACGTACCTGTTCAGGTACAGCGAGGGTATCATCAGGGCGCGCGCCATGCTTTGCCAGATCTACCACCTGGCACTGCACGACCACTACTACAAGGCTCGCGACATGATGCTCATGTCGCACTTGCAGGAGACGATCGCGAACTTCGATGTCAACACTCAGATCCTCTTCAACCGGACGCTTGTGCAGGTTGGTCTCTGCGCTTTCCGGGCCGGTCTCGTTTACGAGGCGCAGACCTCTCTGCAGGAGATCTGTGGAAGCAACAGGCAGAAGGAGCTTCTTGCGCAGGGTCTCCAGATGCAGCGCTACTCTCAGATTTCGCCTGAGCAGGAGCGGTTGGAGAGGCAGCGCCAGCTGCCCTTCCACATGCACATCAACCTCGAGCTGCTGGAGTGCGTCTACCTTACCTGCTCTATGCTGCTCGAGATCCCTCTGCTCGCTCAGGTTGGTTCTTCGCCCGACGTCAGGAAGAGGGTCATCAGCAAGACCTACCGCAGGCTGTTAGAGTACCATGAGCGCCAGATCTTCACCGGTCCTCCTGAGAACACCCGTGACCACGTCATGCAGGCCTCGAAGGCCCTTGCTGCGGGTGAGTGGAAGAAGGCCGCGGACTTCATCAACTCGATCAAGATTTGGGAGCTCATGGCGCAGTCGGATAAGATCAAGGTCATGCTTTCCGAGCAGATCCAAGAGGAGGGTCTCAGGACTTATCTCTTCACCTACGCGCCCTTCTACGACACCCTCTCCATTGCCACCCTGGCCTCGATGTTCGAGCTCCCCGACCGCAAGGTGTCTGCTGTTGTCAGCAAGATGATCTCGCACGAGGAGCTCGCTGCGGCGCTTGACCAGGTCAACAACGCCATCATCTTCCGCAAGGGTGTCGAGCTGTCTCGCCTGCAGAGCCTTGCCCTCACTCTTAGCGACAAGGCCAGCGGCCTCATTGAGGCTAACGAGAAGACGCTGGAGCAGCGTACACAAGGCATGGCCAACGCTTTTGAGAGACAAGGAGGCCAAGGAGGCCGTGGTGGCCGCGGCGGTCGCGGTGGTGGCCGTGGTCGCGGCCGGGGTGGATCGAGCGGCGTGCCTCGTGGCCAGCAATTCACTGGAGGTGCGTTGGGACGGGCAATTCAGGCATAAGTGTGGAAAGAATGGTTTTTCTTTGATTTGGCATTAGGGGGTTTTATGTTGCTTTTCTAATGGCTCATGTGAGATGCAAAATGCGTCATACGCTTCATGGGTATCATCAGACACTACTGGTAGAGGAATCAAAAGTCGTCACAACGTTACCCCTAGTCCCCTTCGCTCGCTGCCGCATCCGTGATGAAGGTCGGGGACCAATATTCAGTCTCCTCTGTTTGCTTGTCCACCCAAACCAGCGAGTCTGCTAGGAGGTCTTCAATAGCGGCCACTGCTCTTGCCCGCTCCCACCCCAGATTGATCTGCAGCATGGATACTGTGACATAGCCCAGCACCTGTATAGCTTCCAGCACGGCCGACTGGTCTGTGTTGAGCTCTTTTGGAATCGACCGGATCATTTGCTTGTGACCGAGCTTCATGATGGTGAAGCCCGACCCGAGCGGCTCGAGAGACTTAACAGCTCGCAAGACATCGTCACTATATGGTAGATGCAGAATGAGCATTCCGAATTCAACAGTGAATCCACAGGAGCGAGTTGCGAGGGGCCTCCATACTCTGACGCTTCCATCCCCCCTCCGAAGCCTCGACCCTTCTGCACCCGCTGCCTGACCTCGTTCAGCGCGATCATGCCTCCGTTCTCCGCCCGCGTCTCCCGACACACCTCGACGACCCTCACAGCCAGCTCGAAGTAGAAGTCGTTCACGCTGCCACCCAGCATCTGGGCCCAAACGCTGCCGCCACCACTTTTCGCGTCGCCGGCGGCGCTACCTTTGCGGTTGGACGAAGCCAGCGGATCGACGCCGATGGTGTTGCACATGCGGGCGAACTCGGCGCGAAAGGTGGGATTGGAGCGGATGTCCTTGGCATGCGTGATGCTGAACTGGTGCAACAGCGACTGGAAGACGGAGAGTTGCGTCTCAAGCGAGCGGGCTTGCTGCGTGCGGAGGTTGCTTCCGTGTGAGGCGTACTGGGCCTGCGTGATGCGGTGCTGGTCGAAGGCCGAAAGGCCGACACCGCGGCGGTTCGAGGCCATAGCGGAACTCTGAGCTTGAAAGCTGGATATCAACCGAGTGGGTGCAATAAACTTTCGCCGCGGCCTCGTTGAAGGGTCAGTTTAGAGGGTTGTGAATGCGACGGAGTTGGTGATGCTGGAGCCGTCGCGCAGCGTAATGTCTTGGCACTCGCGCGCACGGGCCTCTGCACGGGCCGCTTGCAAGCGAGGCCGCACCTCCAATTTTCCTCGAGCACTTCCTCTGAAAAAAGAACCAGACGTCCACGACCCTCGTCCACCACTAACATCCAGCAGCACCGCCGGAAAAGCCTTCGCAATGGCCGTTGTCAAGTCGTACGTTTCCCTTTGCCGCCCGCTCGGCTGAGCCCCAAAGACGAGAAAGCAGCTGGTCGTGGTTATTTCCTCGCTGGAGAAGGCCGCCATTCTGGCACCGCCCAGCTCGATACACTCTTCCTCCCGGCCCCCGGTCCTCATTTGGCCATCTGCATGGCACTTGAGAATGCGCGGCTGGGGTTTTGGGGTTGAAGGCGAATCGTCTTCTCCCTTAAATCAAATTTGCCGTACACAGTCGTTCAGCGCTGGGTGATTCCACGCTCGCACGAAGTACGCGCATAGCCTCTCGAGCACTTTGCTCGGGGTCTTGTCGATTGAGATTTACAGCTCCTTGCGCCTGCCGGCGCAGGTCTGCTCATCGATTAAAACTTTTTTACCGTCGAGTCGAATCTTCAGTCGGGAATGCCGCACTTGCTGCAGTTCTCGTCTGGGAGCAAGCCTTGTGCTGCTCACCACCACTCCAACCAGCCTGCTGACATTCTCGCTTGGGCGATGTAGTACCGTTCCCACCAAGGACCAGGTCCTGGTCCCTGAGACCCTTCTCAAGAAGCGCAAGACTCAGCAGAAGGACCAGGAGACCCGTGCTGCCGACCTCCAGAAGAAGCGCGATGTAAGAATCGACCTCCCTCAATTGCTTGAATATTTCGAGAAGTAGGCTGGGGTGATGATAACAACCAACCGAGATGACTAGACCTTCGGGTCGATGCTGTCTCCACGTTAACCATCTTTCGGGACTGACTACACCTACTTCTCTGGAATATCTCGGGTATGGATCGCATTAGTTCACCAGGCTAACAGCGTTCTTCATAGGCCAACAAGAAGAAGCGCGAGGTCATCTTCAAGCGCGCCGAGTCCTACGTCAAGGAGTACCGCGACGCTGAGCGCGAGAAGATCCGCCTTCAGCGCGTTGCCAAGCAGGAGGGCTCTTTCTACGTCCCTGCTGAGCCCAAGCTCGCCTTCGTTGTCCGCATCAAGGGTATCAACAAGATTGACCCCAAGAAGCGCAAGACCCTGCAGCTCCTCCGTCTTCTCCAGATCAACAACGGCTGCTTCGTCAAGATCACCAAGGCCACCGTTGAGATGCTGAAGATCGTCGAGCCCTACATCGCCTACGGTTACCCCAACCTCAAGTCCGTCCGCGAGCTCATCTACAAGCGCGGATACGGCAAGGTCAACAAGCAGCGCATCCCGCTCACTGACAACGCCATCATCGAGGAGCACCTCGGCAAGTTCGGCATTGTCTGCATTGAGGACCTGATCCACGAGATCTACACCGTTGGCCCCAACTTCAAGCAGGCCTCCAACTTCCTCTGGCCCTTCAAGCTGTCCAACCCCACTGGTGGCTTCCGTCCCAGGAAGTTCAAGCACTTCATCGAGGGTGGTGACCTTGGCAACCGTGAGGACCACATCAACGCCCTCATCAGGCAGATGAACTAAGCGGGCCGTTGCTCCGCTATGTGCTGCTCGGATGGTCGTCGGTGGTTCAAAAAAGTTTCTTCACACGGGATGGGTTTATGACGGGCATGGCGTCTCTGTATCGTAGGTAGCTGGCTGAAATACCATGGGAGCCGCACAGCCGCTCATCCTTCACGTTATGGCGTTTTGGAGTAACCGCGAATTGAGTGGTACACTATTTTCATAATGCTCTGCGCAATGCACGTCCGTGTCTCTCTGTGTGTCTGTGCCCGACAATGTCTCACAAAGACACGAACTCGACGCCTAACGCGTGAGGCGTTCATCGCTTCTGCCTCATACATGTGAGACATGGCACCTCGGCGTTCCCCTCGTCCCCGAACAACAATTCTCGTGTCGCCGCATGTGCGACCAGGCAAGCTCGCCTTACATTCAACGTCATATTCCAGGGGAACGGGGATCCCTTTTCGCGCGTAGTAAACGCGTGCGCGCGCAACACGCGTCCCCCTCGTGTATGTGCGTTCCTCCGTCTCTTGACTTCTCTTCCGCCACCCGTTTTCCACGCAAGGAAACTTGGCATGGCTCTCGTGTCAAGGGTGATCAGGTCACGGCAGGCAATCAAGTCGGCATTCCCCCCGGCGTGAGAGAAGAACGATGGGACCACTCATAGCACAACCCCAAGCTTTGTGGTGGTCAGACCTACTTTCAGGATGGATAATTCCGCCCCATACCACACCACACCACACCACGATTAAACTTTTTTTTCTTTCGCCCCAACTTCGCACGCACCACAAACATGCATCGGTTAATCCACTTTGGGCCATTATGGTCCGTTTATGATGGATCTAGTTGACTCACACCTCCCGCCATCCTGATTCGCCCTGTCCACTTTTGGTGCCGCACCCAGCGCGTGGCTCGGAATGTTCCTTCCTCGCCTTCAAGAACCATGGAGAGTAGGTGGCGACATCATTTCTGACCGCAAGGGCATCTGTACATGGTGCCCTTTCGTTTTTTTTTTTTTTTTGTCATGAGAAATGAGTCGCAGAATCGGGTCTGTCTCAACCCCCTTGTACCACAGACCCTACATTTTCCTATTGAAAGAGTAGTGGGTAAGGGAAATGCAGTGCAAAAATGGAAAATGGTCAGCTGGGATGTAGTGTCGAAGAAGGGGTATTGTCTCTTCTTAACTCTTTTCCTCCCGCCCAGTGAAGATTTCTTATCCGTCTCTTCGTGGACGTGTTCCCTCTTCAGACACACCAATTCCGGTCTCATATTTGTAAAGGGGGTAGCTGAGATCTTTGTGTGGAAGTCAATGAATGTCCAGACAGGATGTCCTAAGTAAAAACTATGTTCGACCACACTTTCCATCTCCTACCGGCTCTTTTTTTATGAGTGTTTTGCACGGAGCTGCTGTGCAACACAAGTGTCACCTGCGGCGGGCTGCTTGTCTCGGAGCGGTAGTGCACGGATTGACTATTCTTTTCCTTGAATCGCCGGGACTTGAGAAGACAAAAGTGTGGTTTTACCGGCAGGTGATGGCAATTTACTTGCCATCAAAGCAGCAAACATCCGCCCCTACTTCAAGACATTGGATTCTTCAACATAGGAGAAGAGTCGAATCTTCCGACACGCTTTGCGGCTGAGGAGGCAGGTAAACAACCCACACGCAGGGAGTCCAAATCCGGATGATGGTGCGTACATAGATTCGCATGTAGTAGCTACCACCATCACTTCTACAGTGTGTGGTATGATACCACGCATCTTCTCGCCAGCCAAAACGCATTCAGAGGCAGAAGTCCAGTTCTCTAGCACGTTTCCGGGCGCTGATGGGGTGGAAGCATGAAACTCCTAGTATTGGCTAGATCCGGGCGCGGCTCAGCTCTGCTGGCTGCCACGTGCGACTGTTTTGCTTTCGTTTCTGGTTGGAATGGAGTTGATTGCGATCCGTGGGGGACGTTGAAACTGCGCGCTACCAGCGGCTACTGCCCCTTGATCGCCGCTGTCGTCCGAGGGAAGGTGCGTGAGCACTTTCGTTTTCTTTTTCCTTTTTTTCTCACCCGGAACCGAGGCTTCTACCTTTTCGGGCTTTCCGGAGGTGGATGGAAGGGTTCCATGGTTATTGCATGGAGAGCAATAATAAGTTTCGGGCGAGGCCAGCGGCGATGCTCGTGTTTGGCGCTGATTATGTGCGACGGCCATTGTACTCGAGCTGAGGTTTCACGACGGCGTCGACGTTTTGCCTCGTGTTGTGTCTTACACTGGAGCACAGCCTGGGGTTGGCTGAGGTTGCAGAGAAATTGGGGGCGGCAGCCGCCCTTTCCCGGGATTTCACCTCGACGCTCATCATGACCGTCGGTCGTCTCTGAAAGCAGGCGTCATGTTGAGCGCGCCCCCTCGTGTTGCGCTACGGCCTAGACTCAGCTTAGGTATGGGAGGGATAGCTGCGTCGACCTGAGGTCAGCGGTGGAACCGCGGCGAAACGGAATGAAGTCCTTCCTGGCCGCGTCAACTGCGAAAGTCCGCTGGCCAAGCCGGCAACCTCTACCTTAGACCATCCACCAACAGCCTCCGCCCTGTACCACCACCTCGTTTCCCCCATTACCACAAAATCCTCGGCTGGGGATCCACTTGTGCCCGCTTTGCCCGCTTTGTCCGTCTTGCCCGCTCCCCACCTTCCGTCGGGTAAGGAGAATCATCGCTAGGCAGGAATGATGGGGATCCCCGTTTTGCCATCACTGGTCGTCGTCGGGCAGCGACCGCTGCGGTCGCGCCTCGATCAGCTTACACTACCAGCAGCACGATGACGCTGCAATTTTTAGTTTATTGCTTTTTTTCTCTCTTACGCCGCTCGCCCCTGCAGTTTCGCATCATGCTTGGCTCCGACCGATGAGTCTTCTCTCGGATTGCTGCGGCAGCGCAGGCAGCGGGTAAAACGCGTGGTCCGGCGGCCGCGTGCTCTCTTGCGCTGCGGCCCATAATTCGCCACCGGAAGGCAGCTAGAAAACCTGGGGACTTCCTTCTTGGGGAGCGGAAAATGTCTCACATCGCGGTTGGGGCTGAGCAGGAGGGTGGGAAGGGGGCAGAGAAAAAAAATGTAGGTGACTGGGGAAAACTGCTGCACCCCGCTTACGCTGTGTTGCGAGCTTTGTTGATGGAGCAAGTGATGGAATGCGCTGAGATGCAGCAAAACCTATGGACCGCTCGGAAGCAGCTTGGTGTGGTCGTGTCCGGAAGGAGTTTGGGGGCATGAGTGTTATGGTGCAGAATTTAGCAACACGGGCTCGGGGCTGGGGAAAGAACGAGGCTTGGACGGTTCCGTTTTCAACTCTTCGAAAGAGCTCGGCTGCAAGCGAGATTCAGCATAGCGCCGCTTGCAAGACGTTATTGGCAGGAGCGCCGGGTGCGAGATGACAGGTGGTGATGACATTTTTTCCTGCGGAGTCATGGTGTTGGAGCGCCGACGTTCGTGTTGTGCGATTGGACGTGCACGCGGAGGGAGAGTAGGGCGGCGCCTTGCCAGCCGGTCGTAAGGATGGGCCGGTCAGCTGTTGCTATGAGGGCGGCGGGTACGGCTGCTTAATGCTCAATGCGGTTCACGCTTCACCGGCGGACCGGCGCTCCTCGTGACTGCGCCCTGTTCTGGTGGTGTGTGCGGAGACATGAGGGTGAGCCTTTGATAGCCCTCGTCCACGCTTAGGCTCGGCAGCGGTTTCGCACGGCTCGCATCACGTCCATCTCACATATGCAAGGCATGATGATGGCTGCCGGCATGCAATGACGGTGGTGATGGCGCTGACGGGAGGCGATTGCTGACAACGATCTTCGAGAAGGCTTCGACCCGCACGGCACAAGTTGCGCAGGCCAGCACCACAGGGTCCACGCGCTAGACGGTCGACGGAATGCTCGATGACTCCGGTTTATTACTGCACACCCTTCATCTAACAATCCAATCTGTTCGAGAATGCCGCGCGGTAGCGAGCGCTGGAACGAGCACGGATTTCGCTCGTCGCTGGCCCGTTAGGCCGTCCTCCCGCTACCCCCGGTTGACCGATCTTCTAAAAACAGTGGAGGGAGGGACGAGGTCAGGCGCAGGCACCGTGAGTCCCGAGAGAGCGGTCGGCGGTCGCGGCCTTTTCCAGAATTCGTGTCTGGCCGGCCGAGCGAGAAAAATGGGGTTGTTGGCTGCTGGCGGAAGCCAAGCGGCTCACGTTGCATCCACCGTCTCCTGCCCGCTGGCCGGAGGCTTGCTCGTGCTCGTTGCTGCTGCACGTCGGACGACCAGCACTCGAGGCGGGTGGACAGATGGGAGATGATCAGACACGGCCTCCAGCGCCAATGGGCGGCGGGTGTGCCGGGAATGCGACGCTGACTACTGCTGCGCGGCCAGGCGCAGATTCCAGCCGGACCCCGTTGCCGCTGTGGCCGCCGCACACCGGCAAGACGTCAGGTCGAAGATCCTGCCCGAACGAGACTTCATGCGTGCCTTTGATGGCAGCCTCCGGTCTGTTCCTCTACGCGCTGGGCCAGACCGCGCTGCTCAGATCACCATGCCGCAGTTCCTGCCGACAGGGCACGCCTCTGATCCGGGGCGGGAGGCTGAAATTTGCAACAATTTGCAGCTGGTTGTGTGGTGAGCCTGGAGTTATGAAGCAGGGCCAGGGCCGCCTCCACGCTCCGCCGCGCTCGGGCCCGCCTCGTGGATCGCGGATAAAAAATCAATACACGTCCCAGCCACGAAGGGTCCACGACAGGCCCTCTCAACGAATCTCTGCCGGCCGCTGGCGCGCGCGCCCAGCACCGGGCGAATGAAACATCGGTGGAGACGCTCAAGGGCCAGACTGCCTGGCCCAACGTGGCTTGGCTGCAAAAACAGGTGGTGCATCGAGATATGACGACGGCGGAAGCGACCGGCCACGGCGGGTCGAGTGGTGATGTGATTCGCGGCCGTTGCCACCACCGGGCAGGCCTTGATTCTGCGCCGCCGTGCGGGTGAGCCATGCCAGGCAAGGCTGTACCATGACGCTGCCTGCGGTTGTGTGCGCGGAGGATGGGCTTCTGATCGCCGGCGCGCGTGTGGTGCGCCTCTGCATCGCCCTCGCGCCTGACGGAACAAGCCTTGGCCTCGGCGACCGGCCGGCGCTGCGCAGAGGGCAGTCACGCTCGAGGCGGACCCAGCGCAGGCGACCCAACCGTTTCTCATGCAGCCACCGCCGACTGACTCTTGCAACGCGTGCTCCTTGCCGCCGCCCTCAGCAGCAGCAGCAGCGCGAGGTGCCGGGGCGGCTTCAGCGGCCGCGGCGCGGTGCGCAAGATTGCAAGGACGGCCAGTGAATTCTACGCGCCGGACCGACTGCGCGCTGCTAGGGGCGGCTGAATAATGAAGGGCGCGGGGGGAGGCCCGTAATGCAGGTGCACAAAGGCAAGTATTGTACGCAGCCAGAGAAATGAACGGGGCCGGGCGCGGGCTGGAGAGGCGGGCACGAGAAGCCGACGTGGCAGAGACCAGCGGCGGCGCTGCAGGCTGGGCTCCGATCTCGTGGTTGGCCAGAGGATCCCTCGTAAGGGGGTGCCCGCTGTGGAGCAGCCCGGTGACGAACCCAAGAAGCCCCAAGCGACCGCTCTCACGCCCCGAGGCCGTCAGAGCGACGGGCTAGCGTGCGTGCGCCGCGCCCTGGCCGTGGCCCTGAATACTGTCACCTCTCCGCCCATTTCTCTTCCTCGTCCATCTTCCCTTTTCGCCTCCCCATCCCACACTCCGCGCCCGGCGAAGCGCTCCCTCTCTTCACCCTTCGCTCGCCTCCGACGCGTCGTCTGCTCGAGCACTTTCGTCTGGCCAGCCGCTGCTGCACATCGCCCGCCACCCTGCACAGCGCCCGAAAAGTTGCCTGTCGAGACGTCCTGCTCCGTGCATCGCGACTGTCCTCGAGCGAACCCCATCGCCGAATTCCCTGCTCCCGCCCTGCGTCTGGGCCGCCGTAAGGAAACCGCGACGCAACACACACACACCTGCACCCGCTGCCCGCTGTCGTGTCCGCGTCGACGCCGTCCACGTCCGGATTGCTCATCACCGGCCCATCCGCTTGCCGCCATTTTAGGAGCTTGCTATCCGCATTGCAAACCGCTGCTTTATTCCCTTGCGTTTCCTCTCTTCGCATCTCGCCCTTATTGCTCTGAGCGTTCCGCGGTTCACATCGTCGCTCGTCGCCCAACAGGCCACGACCGACCGCTCGATCAATCACCTCACCGCGACGAGCTATTCACTTAGATTCGTCCCGGCCGACGGATTCGCCTCCCTCCCACGGCGCCGAAACTCCGTTTCCAACCCTTTCGCCGACCCACCGTCGCCGCCTAGACGTGTTCGCAGCTGTTTATCTCAAGCTCGCTCCGTCACACCTCCGATCTCCAGACACGCCAAACTTTCGCCCGGCTGCACCCACGCTCAAACACCAACACTGACAAGATCATCCGTGTTGCGCGTCCTTCCAGCCAAAAGTCACAGCGTTTAGTCTGCCCAGCAACCCCAACCCGGCCAGCTCAGCGACAACTCACCGCGCATGAGAGCCAGCTACTAGATCCTCTGGTCAGGTTCGCTTTCAGAGCATTTGCTCGAATCCCCTTCGGTCGGAAATAAAAGAGGCGGTCAGTTTCCCTCACCGGTCGCTGTCTTGACGCGCCACTGACCCGTTCGACAGGGCGTGTTCGCACCGACTCTTTTATTTCTTTGCGACTGCGAAGTCCAGCATGCCTTCTTTCTACCGCCCGCCGATGCCGCGGCAGCTACCTCTTTCGCCGCCTGAGTTCATCCCCAGCTACAACAGCAACGGTTGTGGAGGTATGCACTACCAGCAGAACCCCTACGCTGCCCAGCACGGCGTCGCAGGCCACGAGGAACCTCGCTACGACTTCACAGAGCGCTACGGCCACAACTCCGCCATGGCTCCCCCGTCAATCATGTACCCCCAGCATGGCGCGTACCAGAGCACCAATACGTCCGGCCTTCAGCCGCCTCACTACTACGATTCCGTCGGCGCCCCCATCCTTCCTCTTCCGATGCCCGAGATGGAAATGCACCGTCAGATCCAGCACGAGCAGCAGCGCGTTGATTCGCACATGAAGGAAGAGAAGCCCGTTGGCGGCGTCTCCGCCAAGCTCGACTACGACATGGAGACGATGACGGATTTCGTGTCTGAAATGGCACAGGGAATGTATGCTCTCTTCAAGTCCCCGATCTGCCTAGCAGATATTGACCTCATGCGAAGCATCCAACCAGGTCGTGCATCTTCTCCGTCTTTCCGGAAGTGGGTCCACCAAGTCCTTTGCGCGACGCGTCTTCCTTCCGCGACGATTCTGCTCAGCATGAACTACTTGTCGATCCGCATGGACATGCTCTCGACGGGTACCCCCTTCAAGAGCAACGATTCGCAGGTCTACAGGTTCCTCACCACGGCCCTGATGCTGGGAAGCAAGTTCCTCGACGACAACACCTTCATCAACCGCTCCTGGTCCGAGGTCAGTGGCATCAGCGTCACGGAATTGAACCAGCTCGAGAGGGACTGGCTCATCGCTCTTGGCTACAACCTTCACCGTGAGCCGACCGAGTCGCGCGGGTTCAACTCTTGGCTCGAGCATTGGAAGGAGTACGAGGCCCGTGTTGCCGCTCGCGCCGCCAACACGACCAAGTTGGCTCCCATTAACACCAGGGTTCAGGGCAACCTCAACCGCTTGCGCTCGATGCCCAAGCTGCCTTCCCCGGTGTCCAACCAGTGCACGTACGCCAAGTCGCTGTCTTCGTGCGACTCTTTCTCGCAGCAGGGCACGCCTGGCTACACACAGTTCGATCCCTGGCACGTCTCGCGTTCCGCGAACGAGCGTTCTCCTGCGTCCGCTCCGCACACGGGACCCACGACTCCGGAGTACTATGGCGGTCCTGGCACTTGGGCGCCTCCGGATGGTTACGCCCGTCGTAGCGTCTTTGGTTTCCCTCCGTTCCACCAGCTGCCCAGCCCCCAGGAGCAGGCGCCCATGTTCCCCCCGGCGTACGCTCACTACGGACAGCACATGTGGGGCGGTCACGGTGCGGGCTGCAACTGCCTCTACTGCGCACGTCAGCACCCTTCGTACTTCATGGCCCCCGGCTTCGGTCCCCAGTCAGTCACGGCGTAAATCAGCCTTGACCCAGACTCCACCGACCGACTTCTGGGCTTCCTTTTTGTCTGGCAACTGGAATTTGTCCGGTGGCCTTGACACATTTTGTTCTTTCACTGGCTTGCACCGATTTGGCATGGAAAAGTTTCTCGGGGATCGTCACACAAAAGCACTTGCGCATTTCCTGATTCCCCCTTCTTAGTCTTTTCTTACTGTTCATATTGGGGATACCCTCCGCCCGTTTCCCCTACGAAGACACGCTCCAGCGGATGCGGATCTACACTTCAGATTTCCTGTTGCAATTCCGGCACACGTTTCCCCCATTGGTTTTTCACGAAAGCACGCATCCGCCCTGAAATCGCGTCTGGCTTCTGGCTTGTATAGATTTCTTTGACGAGGTTTTTCATTTTCTTTCGCGCTGCATCGATTGTTGCAGCATTCTTTTTCATTCTCGTTGAATTCTTTTCAGCGACTAGACTATGGACTTGGCTGGTGGAAGGCATTACCGGAAGGGGTGTTGGCTGGGATTCTTGTTTTTTTTTTTTCTGCTTTTCGGGGTCTTCTCGGCATCATTCTTGCGCCCTTAAAACTCTGCTGTTCGCGCCACGCTTCGCTGTCGGGCCTGGGCTTCGGTTCAGGCGCAACTAGCGCTGCTCTGGCTTTCTTCTCCTTCGCGGACGGTCGCCGGGCCCGCGACACCTAGTGGGACCGCCTTCATTCCTTCGACCCTGGGCGATCCTCCGATCTTCAGCCTTTACACCCTTCTAAACGTTTACGACTTTACTTGTTCGATTCGAGCAGCTTCTTTCCCGCAGACCTGAGGAGGCGATTCCGAGTTCTTTTTCTGCATCGCTGGGAGGTTTGATTCGTTCTGCTTTGATTGTAATTAATGGCATTCGATGGTTGCCGGAGGAGGGCTTTCATCCTACAGACTACTGCACGTTGCAAATACCCAAACCACAGAGCCCAATTGTTTTTCGGCTTTCTTTCTTTCTTATTTCATTGGTTTGGGAATTAATTCTGGAACATATCAAGACGGTGATGGCATTACAGTTGCGTACATGCACGCAAATGCTTGGGGCAGGGATTGGGTTTTTTCACTGACTTCACTGAAAGTAAAAAAAGAAAAATCACAAAAAAGCCATAGCGCAAGACAGATTGCTGCACTAAACAAGCACTTGAGAATACAAAAACAACATATTGAGCTTTCTGCTGGTCAAACAGCGAAAGTGCACCGCAACTTCGGTTCTCCCTCGTTTTGATTATTGCACGTGTGCGTCTGTGGTGTGTTCGCATTACGGGTCCTCCTTTCTGGAAGTTGCCGCCAGAGCCGTGGCTTCCGTCTGGATATGGCGATGGAAACGACGTCAAGGGGACAATGTTGTTTCATCGACATTGAAGCCAAAATACCCTTCATCTCCGAACCAAGGCAGAGAAGGCGGAGGGGGCGTCTGAGAAGTTTCTCGACCAACGGTCGAAGCGACGACGATCGTTCGTGTCTCAGCCTGATCGTCATGCTTTGGGCTGATTTCTGCTTCGTGTGGGATGCGAGGGCGCGTCGGCCGGCTGCGCACGCGCGTGTGTAATTTTGGTGTGTGAGTGGTACGGCTGGGCTAAGCCTTCTTCGAATGCCCCCGTACTATCCCTGCCGCTTTACGGTCATCCATCCGTGCCGTGCCTACCATGCCAACGTCAGTTAACCTGCGCCCCGTCTTCCTGCTCACCCACCCTGGCGACACCTCTTCCATTCTAGCTCCTCGGTCCGCCTCTTCTGCCGTGTGACCCTGCATAGTAGTTCGAAACGGCCGGCGCAAAGTCGTGGGGGTGTGTGTGGGTGAGGATGGCTCCCCTCCTCTTCCAATGGCGAAAATAGCTCGGCTGCATGGTGATGTGATGGCCGGAGAGATGCGGCGAGCGAAACGGTCGCCATTCGCCCACGGCAAACGAGATTCGCTACTTTGCGGAGCGGTTTCGTCCGCTGCTCTTCTGCAGCAGAGCCCATCTTGGCTCGGGCAGAACTGCGGCGGGTGTGGCTCTTGCTCTTTCTGGTCAGCTGCAACACTCCGGTGGATGACCATGCATATCATCATGTCGCCCTCATGATTGCTCGCAAAATTTGACGTGTGGGAGACGGGGAAAGACCAGCTTCAAATTGTACGAGTGCAGTTGAGCTGCTATTTCTAGCTCTGCCGGGAAAGGAAGGTATGAGTGAGCTGGTGGGTACGTACTCTTTCCCCGCACGCATCAACCACCTGCTCTCCGCACCTTTCATCCTCTCTCAAGTGTACCAACAAGAAGTCTACGCACACATGGGCTTGCCACTCATGTTTTCCTCTCCTTGTCACGAGGATCTTGGTTCAAGGCCACTTTCATCATCAACGCCGTGACAATTCTTGCGCCGCCTCTTCAGCCTCCCCTCCTCTTTCTCCTCCTTCTCGTCCTCCCATCCACGACCTCATCACTCCCACTGCTCGAAAAGGCGCCATCCGAATCACCGCTCCCAACCTCGCCTGCCTGACGATGCCCACCCATCCCAGCCGTCTCTCCAGCAGCGCCGTCCCCCCGAGCCCGTCCGACACCGACACCGACGCCCGTACCCCCATCCTCCTCAGCGGCATGGCTGCGGCCGCCGTCGCCATCATCATCACTGATTCCCGTGCCCGCCACCACCGCTCCTCCTCCTCCTCCTCCTCCTCCTCCTCCTCCTCCTCCTCCTCCATCCCCTGCCCCTGCCCCTGCTCCTGCTCCTGCTCCTCCACCCAGCTCCTCCCCAAACTCATTCGCGCGCACCGGATGCAGCGCCAGCCCGCCCCGCATCGCATCGCGCAGCTCCGCCGTCGTAACGAGCGTCCCCGCTCCTCCTACTCCTCCTCCCCCCGCGCCGCCGGACGGCCTGCCGAGTGTCGTCGACGAGCTGCCGTTGTGCGCCGCCCAAGAGGGGAGGCGGTGGTGGTGCCTGTTGGCGGCGACTCCGTCGGCCCTCATGAAGGCGGTGGCCATGTTGCCGCTGCTGCGACTCGGGCGGAGGTAGTCGGGCGTGTGCGAGGGAGGGGGCGGCGAAGGGGTGTGGTGGACGGTTGCGCTTCGGGTGGGGAGGCCGGTGGTTGTTGCGGGTGATGGCGGTAATGACGACGATGACGATGATGGTGATGGTGATGACGACGGTAAGATTTGGTCGTCGCGAGCGTGAGCGCGGGGCAGGGGCCGGGCGTGGGCGATTGGAGTGATGGAGCTTTCGCCTGCTGCGCGGAAAGAGGAGGATGAGGATTGGGTGGGGGAGGGGAGGGAGAGGGAAGCGGCGGAGGTTGCCATTGATTGTTTAGTCGTCGACGTTGTGGGAGACTTTGCAATGCTCAGCGGCAGCGGTGGAGGCGGCGGCGTCTCCGGCCTCGCTGCGTTGAAGGCTGCGCTGTCGTCACGGACGTCGGTGGCGTAGAGGTTGTGCAGGTCGACGATGTCGCCGGTACGGGCCAGGCGAGCACGCTCGACCGGGTCGATGAGCGAGGCTGCGCGTTCGGAGGGGAGGGAGAGCTTGTACGGGTTTGTCACTGTTACCGGCGGCATGTCGACTTCGACGCCGTGTAAGCTGCTGGACGACGAGTGGCGGGAAGATCGGGAGCGCGGACGGCGATGGCCAAAAAACATGGAAGATCTGGAGGGAACGGAAGTGTTGGTGGCTACCATGAGAGGCGTGGTGCCGTTGGCGCTGTAGTCCTGGGCTTCCGTCGCTTTCGTGGTACCGGGGGCAGGGGCTTGCCTTTCTGAGGGGTCGAGAGAAGTCAAGGGGAGGTCAGAGTCGCGCCGGCCAAGAAGAGGGATGCGTTTGAAGGGGTGGCGGAGCAGCTCCCACCATCCAAGGAAGATACTTGGTTTGGCTAAGAGGAAGAAGTTCTGGGTGCCGATGAGCTAGAAAAGGTAGGTCAGATTGGGTTCATGCCGTGGTGAGTGGAAGGGTCAAGAATGAACAACACGAAGGACAGAGATTCGTTCGAGTACCCACCGAGCCCAGAAGCAGCGATCCCAGTACCAGATCCCGCGGGATGGCCAACTCTTCAGCATACTGCAGACATGCCTCCTTATCCCCATTGTTGAACAGTAAACAAGCACTCCACGTCCTCGCTTCCGGCCTGTCGACATTGGCCGCCGCCTCGCCGAAACGCGTGTCTTGTGCTACGAAGATGATGATGTAGAACAAGGACTCGACTGCCATGATGACCGTCAGCGCTATGTGGCGCCACTGCATCAGCAATATCCGCCTGATCTGCCGCCACGTCTTTTGCGACCGTTCCGCCGGCTCCGATCCTGTACTGGGCTGGCTTGCGAAGCTGGACTGCTCAGGACCACTCCTCTCCTGTGCCACCGTCTCACGACCGTCATCACTGCCGCCGCCGCCGCCGCCGCCATCTCTCTTCCCCTTCCCCACAACTAACACGCGCAGAAACACCCACACACAGTATCCCGTCGTGATACATTGCACCAGCAATGCGGCGCCAGCAAAGCCGAGTTCCCACGCCCAGAATGTAGTAATGGCTTTGTGGTGGTTGGGGAGGCAGACCAGGCCGGTACGGTAGGAGACACCGGTCACTTTCATGCTGACTACCGTGAAGGCTACGGGGATGAATATGCCGGTGAGGATGGAAAAGATCATGAAGGGGCGGCCTGGTTTAATATCCCAACAGATGCGCAGGTGGAGCCAGAGGGCCCGGAGGAGAACTTATTTGAATTTCTTTTGTCAGTAAACCATTCGACTTGAAACAGGGGATGTGTGCGGAAGAGACTTGATGCTTTAAGGAACGGAGTAGTGAACTGAGGAGACGGTAAGATGTAAAGGATAATATGCAGCTACTACTACCGCTGCTGCGGCTGCCAGTCGTTACTCACTCCACAATACAGAACCCATAGCTCCGAGCAGGAGTAGCGCACCGGTCCAGGTGCATGATGTGTCCGAGTCCTGCCCGTTGGGCGTGATCCTGTCCCTGCACATGGCCGGCTCGGTGCCGAGCGGGATGACGAAGGCAACGGAGAGGAATGCGATGGCGAGCGTGACCCCGATAGTCAGATAATGCCGACCACTGCGCTTGGGTGGCAGGATGAGGAAGGAAAGGAGCAACAGCCCGCATAGCGCGACGGAACTGATGCCAGCGTAGTTGGCCACCTTGAGCGTGCGCACATAGTCGGCTGGGTACACCCAGTCTTGCACCGGGCAGGGTAGACAGCATTTCTGGCCCAAAGGCGCACTCGGGTTGATGCCGCAGAAGCGGCCTTCGACGTCTGCAGTCGGGTTGAAAAGGTCTGGTTAGCTTTGGATATTCTCTCTGTTCCTCACCCATTTCGTTTTTACCTCCCAACTTCAGATAGAGAGCTGGTGGCAATGGAGACGCTTGAAGAATATTGGTACCTACATCCTCCCCCTCCCTGGTAGTCGGCGTCCGATATGAACGGTGGTGGACATATCGTGTCATTGGCAGAAGCCATGCTGGCCTAACGAGAAGCAGCCGGCACCTTCAGTCCCGTCCTCGACAGCCTTTCCGTGGTTGTTCTGAGAGCGTTGAGTTATTCCTGCTCCCTCAGTCGGAGTTATTGGAGCTGGTTGCTTGTCCGAGCCTTCGCTCTTCTTCTGCCGCGAAAATGATTGAGAGGTTCCCCTGTTGCATCTGATGGGTCAAGGAGAAGAGAGAACCAGTGGCCGTTGAGCATAATGGACCTTTGTGTATGTCGTCATACTTGATTGACCGAAAACATCCTCTTTTGCTTCCCTTTCCCTTTGTCCGCGAGGGCATTGCTATCATTTGCCAAGTTTCCCGGCGCCCAGTGCCATGCATTTCCATTCCCCTTTTCAACATCCGATCTATGAGAGTCTAGAAGGGTGGTGTTCTAGATGTGTAATGCATCATTGGAACAATGAGTGCTTGGGCGAGTTGGTAATTGGGGCGAGGTGCCATCAGAGACCCTTTAAGGTGAAGTGAATTGCACCTGCAAGGGATTAGTCATTGACGATGAGCTGTATTTAGTGACGGTGAGCATACATGTCCAATGGCAGTGTAGGCGTGGCGGTGTAGGGTTTCGGCATTACTTGGGATTCAAAGATAGGACCAGGCGCATAGTTTGATATGAACGAATGTTACGATCTCTCTTGGCTGATTCTTTTGTGCGATGCCCTTTCTTGGCTCTGTGTTGATGGTCCTACATTCAGCAATGCCATCAGTGATGAGCTTCCTGTTGGCTTTTCTCATTTCTTCCCCGTGATAGCAAAACAGAAAGCATGGATATTGTACACCACCCGCAGGTCCGGGATATTGAATGCCCGTTAATCATTAGCAATAAAGAAAAGGTCATTTTGCCTTCCTTGTCGCCCGAGAGGTGTTAGAACGCCAAACTCAATCCTTCCGTACCCAAATCCCCGGTTTCTAAAAATTGCGACCCTTGCACCGTGACGTGATCAGACCGGCACGCCAGTGAAGCCAATCTTAAGTTCTTTTCTGCAGCCATCGATAGTCTCGCCATGCCAACTACTCTTCCATTCTTGCTCCTTCTCCTTTGCCTCTTCGAGTGCTTTCCGGCATTCGGGAGGCAATTCGGCAAGAATCTCGTCGTTGACGTTTGGAAGTCCGTTTACGCCTACATCGTGGAAATCGCCGTCAGGACCTGGCACACCGGCGCCAGTGATTGGTGCAGATTCGAAATAAGTGTCGACGATAAGGAAATTGCGTGCAACAACGCTAGGGACCGGCTCGAAAACGGCCTTTCCGGATCTTTTCGTAGTTGCAGATCCGTTGGTGGCGCCGTTGGTGTAAGTGCCGTTGGTAAGACTTGAGGTACCATTCGTGAGTCGCTTCTGTGTCAGCGCCGCCTCGTCTTCGACATCGTCCTCTGTGACGGAAACCTCTTCCCAGCGGGCATGAGTCGGTTGCATAATCTTAGGATAGTGCATCTGGTTCGTGTGGGGGTCGTATATGCCCTCGACGTTAGTGCGTCGAGCAGCCACAAGGGCCGAATTGAAGCGACTACGCATTGTTAGCGCTGGGTTTCAGCCCAAAACAAAAGGCGCAAAGACGGTATTACCTCGCAGCCCGTGCATGCTCGAACTGCCAGTTGGCAGACGTGATATTGATCCTTCGCTTTCCTGGAACAACTTTGCCATTGGGCATTGGGACGCTTGGGCCGCCTGTATGATAGACAGCACTAGCACCATGCCAGGCGACATACTGGTTCTTGTTGTACGGCTCACCGGGCGGGGGCAGCCTGTCGTTCGGATCCGCAATTTCTCCCTCAACATCACCCCTCTCTCGCGCTGCCTTCACATAGTAGTCATCTATGACTCGCCTTCCGCCAATGATGATTCGTGCTCCAAACTCTCTGAAGACCGAGCGGGCAGTGACGACACCGATTGCACGGCCCTTGTACGAGTGCGGAATGATCTCGCGCTCGATCAAGTCGCGCTTCTCGTCCTCGTTGACGATAATCTTGTACAATTGCATATGCTTGGTGAAAAACAGATAGCTGTCCCTAAAGCCGCAGCATCTTGCCGGCTCGGTGGACAGCATGTACAGTCTCTCTCCGCGGCCGGTGATGGTGAAGACACGCACGCGATAGTCTCTGCCGCCCTTCAAGTTGCCCAGCTTGTCGACCTTCTGTTCTCCCTCGGGGTCCTCGGGCAGTGCGACCTCATCGTCAACCACGTCCATGAGGTTCCCCTCTTTGTCAATGGGAACGCGCGTAACGTGCGACGGGCCTCCTCTGGGTCGTCCTCTGAAGCCACCCGTGGATGGGCGACCGCGGCGGCGTTTGGCCGGCGTGCCCCTTTGCGAATCGTTGTCATTGTTGGAATCGGCATTGTCCCAGTCTGGCGGGCGGTTCTTGGGTGGCCGTCCCAGGCGGCGCTTGCGCGGAAACTGCTGGACTACGGGCGATGAACGTTCTGAGGGAGGCTCAGGCTCTGCCTCGGCCTCGGCCTCGTCATCTGGCTCCTGCGCGGGCGTGGCAGCATCGTCTTCCACGTCCTGCTCGGCGGGCGTCTCATCTTGCGACTCCTGCGCGTCTGCGTCAGACTCAGCGACAACGGGTGTAGGCGTTCCTGGAGGTACGGTTAGTTAGGTGAAAAGATGAAGGGCTGTGGCGTCGAGCGCACTGATGGGAGTTGAGGCAGCGGCGGCTGCGCGCGACCGCCGAGGTGGCATTGCGGTGTGGGTGGGCGGGCGTGTGAGCGAGGCTCGGTGCGTGGGTGATGGGTTGCGTTCTCTTGCTCTCGCGCGCGCGATGCTGGTCAAGACGCGGCCGCTCAGCGCCTCGCAGCACCACGGCAGCCAGACACGCTACGCCCGATGTGGAGACAGATCTTATCTTATCTGGTGCTGAGTCATCAGGCGGAGGCGCCGCCGCCGGCAAGCGCCACCAGGGTGGTTCACGATACCTTACTCGCAAAGGCCAATAATCACATGTTTGTGGATTTGCACTGCGTCATAGCCTGGACGGACGCAGCACGCATCCTGCAGGAGGCCTTTGCAACAAACACAGCACTCACGCACGCCGAGTCGCGGGCGGGAAGCTCTGCGGGTGCTCTGCAGCCGCCCGGAGCAGCTGGCTGCGGGCGCGGCGCCGCAATGCGAGTTGCGCGGCGTAGCTGGCTGCCTGGCTGGCTGCTGGATGTGCGGGCTGGTGCGCGGCTGGGACTAGCTGCAGGCGATTGTACGAGGATGGGCGATGCTTGACGATCCGTCCTAGTTGTGCAACAATTCATGGCGTGACTGCAGCGCTCCTTGATTTGCGGCGCGGTGACGATGCAGGCAGTGGTCAGCGCCGGTCAGCGCAGCCCGCGGCGGTGGTTGCGGCCATCTGCTGCGAGTGGGCGCTGGCATGGCCGCCCAAAGCGGGTGGCGCGTGAAGTCACTGCGGGCGGCGCTGGATGCACGCCAGGGGAAGCGGTGTAATCGCAGGACGCGGTGGGTGGGCCTCACCCTGCATAACGGTGGAGGGCGCGGTGGTTCAGGCGCCTTGTTCTTACGTCTTTCGCGCCTTTTATCGCGGTGGTGGAGAGCACCGCGCACTTGCCCTCGCCGGGCTGCCTTCATCAGCCCCACCGCCGGAGGCCCTCTGACCTAGCGCCCAATAGGCTTTGGGACAAGGCATCGGTCGTTTTCTTCGGCCGGACATTTGCTGCGCACTGGCGCCTCCTGGGCTGTCCTGCCGGCCACGCGAGCGAAGATGACGCTGCCATTAGTACCTCTCAAAGCCGCGACGCCGCCCGCGTCCTCGAATTCCGCACCGCCCTCCCACCCGCACACTGCAAATGAGCGCCCGGCCGCACAAGCATCAGCAGCGAGCGCAGAAAACCTTCCACTTCGCCTACCACGCCCGTTATCCCGACGACTGAGTGCCATCCACGCCCGCCGCCCGGGTCACCATCTGCAGAGCTCCAAGTCGCTGAGCGCTGTACCGACGCTGTCGATCGACGACGCCGTCTCGCCGGGCCCAACAGCAGCACCACCCCCAGCGCCCCCAGCCCTTCGCCCGCCTCGCCTCCCGCGGCATTGGACCACCATGGCGACGCACGACCAGGCTCCCAGTGCCGCCACCGACCTGCTGCGCCAGGCCATGATGCAGAGGTGAGTCGTACCCAGCGGCGCGCGCTGCTCTTGGGGCGCGCTCGCTTGCCAGCCCTTCGCGCCAGCACCGATCGGGCCGAGCTGGCTGCGGGAGAGGGCGAGGGTCGTTCGATTTTCGACCAGCACTCGCCCGCCAATCGCGTTACACACGGTTTTCTTGAAATAGACAGCGCGCTGCCGTCACCGCGAGATCACGCTCTGCAACGCCCTCGCGCCTCCCCCAGCGCCCCTCTGCCCCGCCGCTGGCTGCTCCTCGCTATGCGCTTCGCTAACCGTCTGGTCGCCTCTAGCAGAGTTGGCGATGACGATCATGACCACATCGGCTCCAACAGCTCCACGCCTCCGGGCATCGAAACACCACGTCCGGATCCGACCGACAAGCGACAGCCCGGCATCCTCAGCTATTTTGGCCAGGTTCGTTCCTCTCTCCCCTCGATTCCCTCGGTCTTCCGCCCCCGCACGTCGCTGTCCGGCCCCTCTGCCTCTGCCCAGCCCTCAGAGCCCCAAGAGCCTTCAGATAGCCCTGATGCACAGCGCGATGAAGGCGCGGAGAGAGGACGCGCTCCAGAGCCGACAGTGGGCGCTGGCGCTCTCCCCACTGCGCCCAGCTCGCCGAGCAAGCAGTCGGGCGGCGAGCACAGCTCTCCCCCACTGCTGCCGCACGAGCGCTTGTCAGCGCCGCAGGGCGATGCTTCATTCTCCTACCCCACGCCTCCAGCTTCTTCCGCATCTTCCCTGCACAGAGTGAGCAAGGGCGAGAATAGCACATCCACAAGCGGGCCCTCCTCCCCTTCGTCTGCGGAGGATAAGAACGACGGCTCTTGCGCATCCACCCCACGAAGGCAAACTCTTGCCATGTCAGATCCTGTCTCTAGCGTCACCACCACGACTGCTGTTCCTGCTGCACACTTCTCGACTCCTTCGAGCACAGCCCCAAGCAATCCGCCGACCACTCTTTCTCACTCTGACGTTGCCAACCCCTCCGCTTGTCCTGCAGAGTCGTCACCCAATGAGGAGGGCAAGACGCTAACTGAAAACGTGGCGCGTGCTCAGAATACTCCGCCGCAAACGCCGAGGACCCAGTCTCAGGAAGGAAAGGTGACCTCGAACCCGTCGCAATCTGCCCGCAGCAGTGGTTCGACGGGTGGCTCCAACAGCGGTGTTATCGCGCCCAAGGGCAAGCTGTCTGTTTCTATTACCGAAGGTCGTGGCTTGCGACCCAGCGTCGATCCTTACGTGGTCTGCCAGTTCCAATGGGCAGAAGACATTTCAGATGGTCCGAAGAAGGGTGAGGAGCCGCCGAGAGGAGCGATGGCCATGATGCGCACCGACAGCGACTCGGGAAGGGCCATGGCGATTCCAATGAGGAGCCGACAAAGCAGCAACCACGGATGGAACCCTCAGGAGTCCAGGGACCGTAATGAGATCAGCGATCCCAAGTGGGACCACAACGCCGTTTTGTAAGCGCCGACTCCGCCCATCCCCCACTGAATCCCACTAATGTCTTTGGCAGTGACGTCGTTGGTGACCACGCGGAGATTGACGTATCCGTTTACGACAAATCAAACAACGAGGCCTTTTTGGGCCACGTTCGTTTCTGCCCCAACCTGGTCGAGTACGAGAAGCCTCTTGATGCGTGGTTCCACCTGGAGCCTCGGGAAGGCGAGCAAGACTTTGTGACTGGAGAGATTCACTTGCGAGTGAACTTCCAGAAGGTCGAGAAGAAGCACTATGGCCCGGAAGATTTCCAGATCTTGAAGCTCATTGGAAAGGGCACTTTCGGCCAAGTGTTCCAGGTCCGTAAAAAGGATACTGGCCGAATTTACGCCATGAAGGTCCTCTCGAAGAAGGTGATTGTGCAGAAGAAGGAGGTCGCGCACACGCTTGGCGAGCGCAACATCCTCGTCCGTACTGCCATGGCCGATTCGCCTTTTATTGTCGGTCTGAAGTTTTCGTTCCAAACACCGACGGATCTCTACCTAGTGACCGACTACATGTCTGGCGGCGAGCTTTTCTGGCACCTGCAAAAGGAAGGGCGTTTCAACGAAGCACGTGCCAAGTTCTACATTGCCGAGCTCATTCTGGCGCTGCAGCATCTCCACGAACACGACATTGTCTACAGAGATCTCAAGCCTGAGAACATTCTCCTTGACGCAAACGGACACATCGCCCTGTGCGATTTCGGTCTGTCCAAGGCCAACTTGACGGAAAACGACACGACAAACACCTTCTGCGGCACCACCGAGTATCTTGCACCCGAGGTTCTGCTGGACGAGCATGGATACACGAAGATGGTCGATTTCTGGTCTCTTGGTGTCCTTGTGTTCGAGATGTGCTGCGGTTGGAGCCCCTTCTACGCAGAGGACACGCAGCAGATGTACAAGAACATCGCGTTTGGAAAGGTGCGTTTCCCTCGTGATGCGCTCAGCACCGAGGGCCGGAACTTTGTCAAGGGCCTGCTCAACCGGAACCCCAAGCACCGTCTCGGCGCAAACCGTGATGCGGAGGAACTCAAGGCGCATCCCTTCTTTGCCGACATTGACTGGGAAGCCCTGTCCAAGAAGAACCTGGTGCCGCCTTTCAAGCCGAAATTGAAGTCCGAGCTGGACACGTCCAACTTTGACCCTGAATTCACGAACGCGCTGAACCAGGCAACTTCGCTCAACGCACGGGCTGCCGCCCTCGCAGCGGGAATGAATCCGGCATCGACGCCACTGTCGCCGACGATGCAGGCTAACTTCAAGGGATTCACGTTCGTGGACGACAACCACATTGACGAGCACTTTGGCGGTCGCGAGTTCGAGATGGAAGATGAGCGACTGCAGGACCCTGAGTGGGACAAGGTGGAGTCGCCGACACGGACGGAGCGCATGAGTGGTGTGCTACCGAGCAACGACCACGATGAGAACATCTTCAACAACCACAACGGCGCGGGATTCGAGGTTTGATGGTGATCGCGGCACGAAGGCACGCTAGCCGTGCCGATCTTGTCAAGCCGGGTGAAATCGGAGCGAATTGCGTGCACGTTTTTGGCGCGTTGAAGCTCATCGCCTCGCGGGCGCAACGAGTGGTTTGACCATGGCAGGTCCTCTTTGGTGGGGGGGAAGGGTCATTTTAAAAAGTTGTTTCGACGCGCGAATTTCCGGTTACTCAATGACTTGGCCGTGGCGTGACCACTGGCTCGACGGGCGGCTTCTGGCTTCTTGCGATACCCTGGCGCTCGTTTTATCTTCAGCGAGTGCGGGCTGGGAGGGGGATCGCAAATGCTTCATGATGGGAGGTCGGGCCGGCTGCAACTAATAGACACGTCTGCACGCTGGTCGTCGTTCCTCACCGCAAGTGTCCGGGAGCCGCCAGTGCGCAATTGCTGGGCAGGCGCATGTACACTGGAAGCCAGCAAGCGCAACAACTGCCGCCATGACGGCTCCCGGGAGCATGCTGGAGTTAATGTTTCTTTTTTCTGTTTCCTTTCGCTTTTGGCCCTCGTAGTGTCGTTATTATTTTTCACGCGTCGTTTGCATGCATGGGACGGAGCATCATAGCATGTTTTTCTGTCGTATGGTTCTCCGATTTTTGGTCTACTGGTCTACTGGTCTTTTGCGTTTTTTATGCTTTTACCAACAAGAACGAAAACAAGGGACAAAGTGGAAGTCATCATGTACATACATCATTCGTAGTCAGGCGCGGAGAAAGGCATTCGCCCACGGGCACGCACACAGGCATGCGCCGGGAGCAGGCACAAGGCACAAATGGACATGATTCGGGTTCGGAAGCGAAAGGTGCCGTCAAGGACCCCTGTGAAGACACTAAGCTACAGCATGTGGGACCCGAGGATTTCCTGGAACTGTGGTGAAAAAATTCGTACACGGTACCGGGGGAAGGGAGGGGTTCAAGGGCCCTGGGCGCAGCCGGCGCCATCGGGCGGTGGAGGGGTTATGACATGGGTGGTTGATGGTAGCCTCGTTTCGATTTCGGGAGGGCGTTCTTATTAAGGAAGAAAAAGACGGGTCCTTCAGGGCTTAGTGGCTGCTACGTTGGATGCTGGTGAGGTCCGTGGGTCCATGGTGTGGATTTTGGCGTGCCGGTAGTGTCGTTTGCTTTGGTTGGGTTACGGCGTGCGCTTGTTGTGATGCGCCCTGATGCCCGTCGTCGTGTCTTGCTCGATGATGAGCTCCGGCCTTTTGTCTTTTTTTTTTCGGAACTAGGCAAGCGCGCGCGGCAGCAGCCAGCAGCTAGTCCGGCCTGACAGCCTACTAGTACCCCGAGCTAAATCGGCGCTGATCAATGTTGGCGGTGGTTGCCTTAGTCATCAACATCGGACGAAGAGAGGTGCGTGGCTGGTGCCACAGTCCTTCGGCGGCTGTGCGGTTTGTTTGTTTGTTTGTTTGCTTGCGTGCTCTATTCTTCAGCATATGCTTTGCGAGGCGCTGCGTGCTTGACAGCGATGTGCCGGTCGGAGTTAGTTCAGTGAACGACCTCGGCAGGTTCGGTAGCTCGGCGCTTGGAGCGATACCGGCTATACAGGTGAGGAGCTCTCCATGCTCATCGTCTGACGCCGTGCGGAAGCTTCCCCCACACTTGCTCTTCACTATTGTACATACATACAACTTCCTGCTGCCGCGCAGAGCTCTGCTATCATCTGGATCTTTTCTTGTACTTGATACCCCCTCCAAATCCAACCATGAGCGGTCCCGGTGTCGGCTTCGAATACCCTCCAATCGAGGTGGCATGGCTGAAGCGCGACCTGCTGCTGTTCGCCAACAGCATCGGCGTCAATGTCGACGAGCTCCACTTCCTCTATGTACGTGGGATCATGCGCGCTTTGCTGGAATGACAGCTTCCTCCGTCTTACTCGCTGGCCCTTATCTCGCCCCGCTTGTCAGCCCGAGCAGCTTTGGCTGTTCCATGCGTTGTCTAGCCCGCAACTCCTGTCCAAGCTCGTACGGCGCGCACCGTCGGAATGGCATCCGTGCTTGTGTGATTGCGCCATAGATGCCGCAGATAGGCGGGCATTGGGGGCGGGGCAGAGGCAGAGGCAGAGGGGAGGGCAGAGCTGTTATTTCTTTCCGCCTTCCTTTTGCGCACACTTGGAGCTAACCACCGGCGCCCGTACCACAGGAGCTCCACCCCCAATTCGCCGCGTTCCCGACCTACCCGCTCATCCTGCCCTTCAAGCACACGGACCAGGAGGTCATCGACTTCCTCGCGCGCTCGTCGGCGGTGCCGATCCCGGGCGTGCCCAACTTCGACCAGAAGCGCGGCGTCGACGGCGAGCGCAAGATCGAGATCCTCAAGCCGCTGCCGGTCACGAGCGCAGGCCGCACCTTCGAGATCCGGCAGAAGGTTCTGGGCGTGTACGACAAGGGCAAGCCCGGCACCGTCATTGAGACGGAGACGCTGCTGGTTGAGAAGAATACGGGAGATGTGTACAGCAGGGTGATTGGCAGCGGGTTCATGGTGGGACAGGGCAACTGGGGAGGTCCCAAGGGTGAGTTTTATATGCTTTTTCCTACACTTCAAAGTCAGGTGCTAATAGGCGACACCAGGTCCCAAGACCGTCAACTACCCGCCGCCTGAGGGCAAGAAGCCTGATGCTACTTTCGTTCAGAAGACGAATGCGGAGACGGCACACTTGTACCGGTGAGTTATCACAGCTTCTCAGAGACAACAGACGCTGACTAGGTATAGTCTCAATGGCGACTACAACCCCCTCCACGCCACGCCGGAGCCGGGCCAGCAGATGGGCTTCGGCGGCGTCATCATGCACGGCCTGTACTCGTGGAACTCGACGGCGCACGCCGTGCTGAAGCGCTTCGGCGGCTCGGACCCCAAGAACATCAAGGAGTTCGCCGCCCGCTTCGCCAGCCCCGTTCGTCCCGGCGACACGCTCGTCACCGAAATGTGGCGCGTTGGCCAGGCCGAGGGCCACCCGGCCGGCTGGGAGCAGATCCGCTTCGTCACCAAGGTCGAGCAGAGCGGCAAGGTCGTGCTCAGCAATGGCCGCGCTGTTGTGAAGATTTCTGGAGACGCCGCGGCCAAGAGCAAGTTGTAGATGGTGACTGATTGGTTCATTTGATTTGTTGATTCATGCTTTACATACACGCCCTGGAAGACGGGCAGGCTCTTTGGGCAATGAACAACCTATCGAAGGCTTCGGCGGCACGTCCGCGAACGCTTAGCTCATTTCAACGCTTCAAACAGTCCTTACTCGTGGTGTGACAAGGGTGAGGAAAACGTCGTCCCGTACATATGATTCTAAAGAAGCCTCGTACGATGCAAGAGGTGCCTTGAAACCACGCTCCTCATCGAGCTTGCCATGTTGGTTTAAGCCGAAGCTTGATCCGGGGCTGAAACTGCGGGGGTGTGGTCTAGGCTCCGGCCATCGCTACTTGCACGGAACGACTTCTTCAGACGTCATGTTTCTCCAAGCAAGAGAGATAATGTCCACGGGGTACGAGAACGGCAGGCGAAGCAAGGCTAGTGCAATCCAGATCTTGCCTATTCTGGCAACCCGATTCTTTATCAAACCTTGCCTGCGGTACATTTTTGAAGCAATTGCCGCACTCGTTCCGCGATAAGGCGCTGGTTTCGCATGAACATGCATCACCTCTCACCACCCTTTTGCAGGTGGCGAGGCGAGGCGAGGGACCTATGCTGTATCCCAATCCATATGCAACCACATGCACGTCACAACGATCATTTCCTTAGATCAGTTAATCAGCCCTATGACCTCATTCAGGGCTACTACTACAACCCACATATGCAACTAACGTGCCGATCACTTTAAACCCGTATCCAGCTAGCTCTCAGCCGCACGCATGACTTGTTGGCTAGGTCACCGCCGTTGCCGGTTTTTCCTTTTCTTTTTTTTTTCCCTTTGTGTTTTGCTTATTCGCAATATATTCCCTTTACCAGGGCCTAGGGCTAGGGCACTGCATTTGCCCTCACACGAGAGCGCCCTGCAAGTGCGCCTGCTGTGGGGGCCGAGAACAGTGCCCCGATGACCTGCCCTCGCCGCCGCCGCTTTTGTCCTGCTTCAGCAGACTTCAGCCCTGGGTCAGCGATGGGGCTTAAGGACGGAACAGTCGGGACGGGTTGGGGCTGTTGTGTGGACGTAGAGAGTGTGCCTAGACAAGGCGGCACTGACTGTCGAGGCTGGTTGAGAGGGTAATGGGAGCCTATGGCATGGTGGGGCGTTGCGGCTGAGAGACAGCCGAGCTGGCTTTTGGAGGGGTCTGGACAGGTGTATATGCATGCGAGCGGCTATTCGGGAACATCTTGCAGAAGAGACACGTCCAAAGAAAAAAAGTAGGAGAGAGGACCAAGAGAGCCTCGTCAAGTCAGAGGAGAGGAGGGGAAAATGATCGATGGGAGAGCCTCGTGTGTGCCTTTTACAGGTGGTGGTGGGGCTGTGTACAGACTGTACATGCAGCCGCAGCCTTGCCCCGCCGCACCCGCGTTTCCTTTTCTACACCTTCCCCTCCCTAACATCGTTTCAGCAGGCATATGGGAGATCGAGCAGTTCCCGTTTCCCTCATCTTGACTGTTTTCTCAGAGAAAAGACATCGATTACGTTTGTCGTATCCATCTTCTCGAGTGACTATCTTCTTTTTGGACTTTGACAGAAAGAGGCTGCACCTTAGTTGCAATCATGGACCTTGGATTAGGCGCAGTGTCCTTGACCTTTCAGGTATTCTCAGGATGCATGAAAGGTACGTTAGCCAAGCAAAAGTCAGTCTCCCGCGCGCTTTACCAGCTAACACGAGTCCCCAGGCTATCAACTGCTCACCGAAGCCCGACACATGGAGGCTGAGCACAAGTACATGCGGATCCAGCTGAAGAAAGAACAGCATCGACTCCTCGACTGGGGCTATGTCGCCGGTGTGAATGTGCGTGACGATGCGCTTGTCATCAGCAGCTCGGACAAGGGCCTACTGCACGACCTGCTCGAGCAGCAACAGGACTTCTTGTTGGGCTTCGGCCGGTACGAGGCACGCTATAAAAAGCCTTTCGAGAAGCTGCGCAAGCCCTTGATCGTCGAAGAAGTCGACGATGTGGAGGGTGACGAAGCGATGGTGGGGGAGGCCGGCAGCCCCCGACTGCTGCAGGCCGCGGACACGGACTCCCAGACGCGCTTCCCAGAGGGAGAAGAGCTCTTAAAAAAGGCGCTGGGCTGGGCCAAGGGCGTGAGAACCTTTCCGAAACGCCTGCGATGGGCCGCCTTCGACAAGGAGAAGATGGAGCAGTTGCTGCTCAGATTGTCGTCGCTCAACGACTACCTACGAGAGCTCCTCTCCGCCCAACAGCTGAATCACTTGAACATGCGACAAGAACGGACTTATTACCAGATCATCCAGCTGAACGACAAGATGGATCAACTGATCGAGATCGTTAAGGCGGGTAAGGAATGGTCGCATCTGACCGGCGCAATGCCTGCGCAGAACCCGTCTGCTTTGATTCAAGGACGAGCAAATTCAGCCTTTTGGTTGAAGGAGTTGCTGCAAGACCTCCCACCAGCGTCTCTATCTCGAGTGGAATCGATGGAGTATATAAGGGAGGAATCGCGCCGAGGCTCGAACAATAGAAGTCTAACATGGCTGGCTCAGTTCAAAGCCCTCGAAACGGCCATCAGCGGGGACTCGCTGACGGAAGAACGGGCAGTCGACCTCCAGTTAGAAATACCCGCAAGCGCAGTTACTGATGTCGAGCTGTCCCGGGAGGATATAGTGTTTCTGGATTTTGACGACGACGATGAGAACAGGCGAATGGAAGCAAGGTTCCGGGGGAAGAGGGTGTGGATCGAATTTAAGACGTACGAGCCACGAGTCTTCGACGGTCAGCCGGATCCCAAGGTCACCAACCGGATCAAAGCGCTTGTTGCGCTGCTCAAGGAAAACAACCGTTCACGCCAGTTTCGTGCGCCCAGATGTCTTGGATACTTCCGTGATATCGACCCAGACACTGAAGAAGATCGTTACCGATTCGGCATTGTGTTCGAGAAACCCTCATTTGTATCGCAGTCCACTAAGCCGATAAGCTTGCTGGACTTGTTACGGGCAACAGAGAGAGGGATAATGGAGATGCCCAGTCTGACCGACCGAGTGCAGCTGGCTAAGGTCATCACGGAAGCTTTGGAAAGGTTGCATGCAGTCAACTGGCTGCACAAAGGGCTTCGGAGCGAGAACATTATATTCTTCAGCGACGAGATCGAACCAGAGGACCTCGAATCGTACGGCATGGGCGAACAAGACGAGCCAATTCCACCAGCCGTCGACTTCTCGAAGCCCTACCTGTCAGGCTTCGATTATTCACGCCCAGCCCAGAACGAAGACTTGACAGAGAAGCCACCGGAGAACGCGGAATATGATCTTTACCGTCATCCGTCGGTCCAGGGCAGCAGAGGTAGCATAGACAATGCGGCCAACTTCCAGAAGACATTCGATATCTATGCCCTCGGAATCATTCTCCTTGAGATCGCCTATTGGCAGCCAATTGACCACATCCTCAATGTCGATCTACCCAGGGCTCGTCCGTCCACGACACTGAGGGTTCGTCAACGCCTTCTCGATGAGCGCAAACTTTTAGCCCACGTGAAGTCGAATGCGGGCGTTGTACTGGAGCAGGCGGTACGAGCATGCCTAGTCGGTGAAGAGGCGCTCATTGATAGTTGGAAATATGGCGGATTCGACGAGAAGAACCCAAACCAAGCAGCCCAGCTGCAGAGAGGGTTTTACGAGCGTGTCGTAGAGAAGCTAGCTGATGTAAAGGTCTAGGCTTTTCCTAGGCTATCATTCATGGACACGGCGGACTCTTCACAGGATGGGATAAACGTATTGTATGCTGGCCCTATTTCCCGCTTAGCTCTTTAGTGGATAATGGATATTTTTTCATATTCGGCATGTTGTCTGCACGTCTACGAAACTTGAGGTTGTTAGTAGAACAAGATCGTGCCATAGTGCAGTCGGAATGGTGCCACAGCCCCCCCATTAGAGAATGTGGATTCCGCAGTGTATACGGTTCATGCGGCATGGGCTGGCCGAGGGACTACCACTTCGATGAAATACCGCTGCCGAAATTTCGGAGAGGAAAGAAATTGCTGCTTATTGCTACTTCCAACCACCATCCGACGTCCCGAGACGAGGGCGGCATACTTCCTCCAACGTCCACCACACTTTCGCTTCTTCTATGAGCCGGCTCCGGGACCCCTTGCAAGCAAGGGAGAGTATGCAAGTTAAAAGGTTTACAACATCAACAGCGTCATCGTCCGTGAAAGCCATGTACCGAGCAGGATTTCCTTCTCACCCCATTTCTTTTACCAACACTCCCTTAGTATCCGACACCGACCAGGTAGTCGGCAAGCTGCTCGACGGTGTTGGCGGCGGCGCCGGGCTGGATGGTCTCGGGGTAGTGGGTGACGAGGATGGCCTGGGTAGTCTTGACGATGATGATGCCCTCCTTGCCCTAAAAAGTCATCTGTCTCAGTATGCGTAGGGAAGCAGGATTACAGAGATGCACTAACCTTCTTGCCGTAAAGACTCCGCTCGTCAGCCTTCAGGACGACGAAGCGCTCACCGGCAACGTGAAGACCGGTGGTCTGGACCGACTTGATGCCGTTGGCATCGCCCTTGTCCTTGTACGCGTTCACGATCTCGGTCATCTCGTTGGGAGAAACCTGTGGATCCTTGTTAGCCCCGCCGTATCCTTTTCCGTCCGGCCGCGCCGTCGATTGCGACATCAAGGAACCCCGCGCAGCCGCATCGGGCGCGTTGATGTCAACGCTGGCCGCGGCTGCGCTTGGCAGGGGGGGCATGGGAATTGCTCGGGATGCGATGAACATACGGTGAAGCCGGCGGAGGCGGCCCAGACGCTGTTGCCCTCGGAGTTGAAGATAGCGGCCTTGTCGACATTGCCGGTGCCGACGAGGCTGTGGTTCTGGGGTCAGCTGCTGGCTCGGAGGAACCCAGTGCGCGCTGGAAGACGGTACCTAGTGTCAACGTATGCTGTTCAGGGTGTCAGTCAGTGCATGACATAGCGAGGCGGCGGAGGGGCAGCGGCGCACCTTGCCAAGACATGGTTGCTTCTGAGGACGACGGAGCGGACGGTGGGCGCGAGGGCGGTGGTGTGCGTGAAAGTTGGCGTGACTGGGACGGGTGTGTCTGGAAGAGGAGATGCTGGAGAGCTGGCGGGACAATAGGGTTCAAGTAAGTCGTTGACTTGGGCGCGCGCACGGAAACTTGAAGTGGGGGCTTCTCGGAAGGCCAGCGCGCAGCTCGTCTGCCCCTCACTGCACCAGCTCCCTCCCTATGACAGAGAACCTGCAGCGAGCACCCACGCAGACCGCCTCAGATCGCCTACGCTGGTTCATGCAGCTCCCGACGGGCCCTTTCTCCTGCGCGCGCGCCGCCTATGAGTGCATGCGCTCCAGCTGCTCCAAACTCTCCTGCCGCCGTTTGCGCCATCGTGCAGCCGCTCTGTGCAGCGCAGAGACGCAACCCCAAAAACATTACGGCCGCGAGATCTGGTTACCTTTGCAACGGACATGCTGTCCTCAGCATCGTCGGCTGACTTCAACCATTGCCCATGTTTCACGTGTTTCACATGCTCTACAGCAAGCTCCTTTCTATGAAGACTGCGCCGGCCCGTCTCGCTACACGCGCTTATGCCGTAATCTGCAGTCTGTCGCTTTCGGGGTATCGTTTTCCAAGCGCGCCACTACCGCCAGAAGGCAGTCGGCCTGAATGGGACTTATTGCACCTCTGAAGCCCTCAAGTGCGTAATCTCGCTACTCCCGTCGCGAGCGCGGGAATGCCGGGCTTTGTTCCGAGGCCCCTGTATAAGCCTAATATGAGCCGACATTGTGCTGTTGATTGGGATGGCAGAGAAGGAACAGGGAAGGAATGCTAGCTCTGAGGCTGGTAACCCCAATATACCAGTCTGACCACCATAAGCAGGGCTAGGCCACCACTATTCGTCTCGGCTTAGTAATCGCCAGTAACTTCATCTTCTGCACGCCAACCGGCAGTGGAAGGTCGACGGCTCCCGCGTGGTGCAAAGCCAGCTGACTCAGAGTTGCAATCTCATTGTGCTGCTCCCCGGCTGACTGGCTTGGGCCCGGGGTGTCGATGTGCCCGTGGGGATGCTTATTATACCTTGGGCTCGATGAAGACGAGATCCGGCCATCTCGCTTTGACGGGGCGGCTCCCGAGACCATGGTATGCGGCTTCGGGACGAGGCATGTTAAGGACACAGACTACGTCTAATATTACCTGACTATCATAATCAATTTGGGAAAAGGAAGAACTCATTCCCGCGACGCTAGAAACTCAATGTGGTTCTGGAAGCAGTTGCGCTCAGACACACCTCCTTTTCTCGCCGCGTAGTGTCCGCAACAGGCAAAACGGCGGCTGACAGATCGTCCTTCAGCTCTCCGAAAACAGCGGCGATTCGTAAGTCCCTCGTGCGTAGGAGGATGGCTGCGAACGCGAAGGATATTGGCAATCACGGTCCGAAGATGAGGCTGGTTTCAGGAGCTGGACGTGAGTCTCAGGGAGGGCGTAGCGAGTCAGGTGGGGCTTATCGAGCTATCGCAAAGCTCCAAGCAAAGCGGCGAAAGTTGCAGCCTCAGGCGCTCAGACAGCACGCGGGCTTGTGAAACAGAGGGCATGGCTGTGGGAAAGCAAAGACGAGCGTTGGCCGGCCGTTCGCATGCAAGCGTGGGAAAAGAAAGGCGCAGACACGTCCAAGGGAGACTGGTCTGACGCATGGCTGTTTACCTAGCTACGAATACCCCGCCACAACTCACCGCGGCGATGACATCTCCTACATCGCGGTGCTCCAAGCCAGCTCCCCACGGCCCTCTTTCCTGACGTGTGCGGTCGAAGTTTGACAGCCAGCCCAGCCACGGCACCTACAGCTTTCTGGACCCTGCGACTCCACCCGTCAACTTCGCTCTACCACGGTTCTCTGCCTCACCCAACGTGCAAGACGACGACAGCACCCCGACACCATGGCTTCCGGAGCACAGAAACGCATCACAAAGGCACGGCCCCGCCCGCCTCTTTCGGATCGCAGCGCGCCGCCTTAACTAACCCACCGTCGCAGGAGCTGACCGAGGTCACGAACGACCCGCCGCCGAGCATGAAGGTGCAGCTCGTCGACGAGTCGGACGTGCATGTGTGGGAGGTCCTGATCGAGGGCCCCGAGCAGTCCGTTTATGCCGTAAGTGCTCCTGTTGATCTTGCTTTACTTTACGAGAAAATTCTCACTCTGTGGTCTTTGCAGGGCGGCCAGTTCCGCCTCGTCATCACCCTACCCAAGGACTACCCCTTCAAGCCGCCGATGCTCAACTTCCACACGAAGATCTACCACCCAAATGTCAGCAACGATGACAAGGGCCTCATGTGCTTGGGAATGCTGCGCCCGGACCAGTGGAAGCCGCCGAACAAGCTCACCGCGGTGCTCAACATGGTCCACAACCTGCTGATCGAGCCCGACGTGAGCGACCCCGTCGAGCCTGCCATTGCCGACGTCTACAAGCGGGACAAGAAGGAGTTTGAGAAGACGGCTAAGGACTGGGTTAAGCGGTACGCGTCGGGCAAGAACTAAATGTACGTTGGGAGCTTGCATTTTGCCGGAGTTTTGCGGGCACAGGTACGTGCAGAACAAATGGAGCAGATTAGACGTGCATTATTTGGTCGAGACCTTTTGCTGGCTTGGACTAGAGGACGCGACGCTGTCTGCCAACCATCGTCGGGCTGCCATGCATCCCATGCATCGCCGCCCTGTCTAAGCACAACGTCTACGTAGTACGTCCGGAAGGGCCGGTTCATTTCACTGTAGAGAGGCTGTGCTTGGGACAACGCATGGCCTTCAGGAACAACCACTTGGGCTTCAGCCTCACCGCTCGGGAATCCTACGGACATTTGTCGTGAAGGCTAATCCGCCATGAATCGATGTGATTTTATGCACGGCGTGCAGGATAATTGTGGCTCGTACTGTGTCTTGTGCCGGCATCGTCGGCAAAAACCACATGGCAGAAGATGCTCCCGGCCGGGCGCTGATCTCACGGTTGGCGCTGATCCGGCCACAGATGTCGAGAGCGAAGCTTGTAAACAAAGCCGCCAAGCTCGGGAAGACATGGGTGTCTTCCACGTTCATGACACGCCGCTGACGTTTTGACGGGATGCGTGGACCAGCACGCGGCTGGACGGGCCTCGTGGTGGACTGGGGGAGCGAAAGCGATATTAACAAGCCGGCCGAGGTTACCCCCAGAAGCCGGCTGCCAGCAGCGAGAAGCGCCGGCCGCCCGGTTTTTGGCAAGCGTTTCAACGGCGGCCGGGATGGCAGCGGTAGGGCAGAGGCGTGTTTCGAGCACGTCGCGGACGTGCTCCCCTCGTCGGCTGGCGCTGAGCAGCAGATCCCGGATCGGCCAAGATTTCTAGCTGCCATGGTTGCGGGCGCGGCCAGCTGAGCGCGCACGCGGCTCTTGGCCCGGCGCGAGGCGGACGGAGGCTGTGGGAGGATCGGCTAGGTGCTACGCGCGGCTGGCCAACCAGCGCGCTCACAAACAACCATCGCTGCTGATGCGGGCTAGTTCCCGCCCCGTTGCTTGACTGTAACGCGCCCTCACAGCTACTGCAGGATTGCTGCTTCAGGCTGGCCGCGACGGGCTACGGCGGCCGCCAGGGCCAGCGGGCATCTCGATGCAATTCCGGAGGCCCAGTCCTTAGCGCGCGTGCCAGCAAAGACCTTGCTCCCTCTCATCACGCGGATTCCGCCCCTGGCTGCGGAACGAAATGATGCCTCCGTTGTAATGCACGGCTCCGCCTTGGCACGAGCTCAAACGCCAGCGTTCTTTCTCAAGACGCCTAGGCTGCTGCTTAACTTCCCCGAACACCGCTGGGCTCGCCGCTACAAGCTGCGCTGCTGCTGCCGCTGCCGCCGCCGTCTTCAGAGCCACGATCTGTCATGCCCCACAGCCGCCGTTGCGTGCAACTGGCCGTCCATTCTTTACCCACCGCCGCTCGTTTGACCACCTCTAGCAGCCTGCCGTAATCACGCAGCATTCCCCGGTTCCCCGTCAGCCGCTTCCATTCCGAGCAGCCATACACACAACTCTGCGCGCCGCCTCGACACCCCCCAGGGAATGCAGAGCATTGCCGAGCGCCAGGCTGCGTGGAATCTGTGGGACAGGCAGGCTTCGGCCTCAGACATTCGCTCATGCCGCAGATGACCATGGGACCGCTGCAGTTGGAATCGCCTACAAGCGATGGCGGGCATTCAGGGTTGTTTCACCTCCACCACAAGAAGAGGGAGCCTAAGCGCCGCCCTGAGGACCTGCGTTCCGTTAGGTCGCCGCCCCCTACGGCGCCGACCAGCGCGCCGCAGTCCCCGAGCCACTCGCTTCTGAATGGCCTGAAGATGCACCCAGTTAATATTCTTTCCGGGCCCCCAGTCGGCCTGGATAACATCCCCACCCCCAGGGAGTCCCTCAGCTCGAGAGACTCGCTTGCCAGCGCGGGTGAAGGATTCGAGCGGCCGCCTCCCGTCGCGCCGCCGCTCCCGCATCTTCCGCTGCGCAAGAGGTCCTCGCAGCGCTTGCGCCAAGGAGCCGCATCCCCTCTCTTATCCTCTCCTCTCAACTTGTCCCGGATCCCTCGTTCTGCCGTGGACTACCCCTCCCCCACTCGTTCCACTCGCTCGCGCCAGACGAGCTCCGCCTCCAAACCTTATACCGACGACCCTTCGTATAGCCTCCAACCCTCCCCGCTCGGCTCTCCCATCTCGACTCGTACGGATGCCGAGGACGAGGAGGACGTCGTGGACCCTCTGCCCGATTCCATCCGCCTTCGCCCGCGCGCCTCTTCCCACACCATCAGCAAGCCTCAGCGCATCCTTAGGACGTCGACGTCGATTCCGAACCTGGCTCAGCTGCGCGCGCGGGAAGTGGTCTCCGCTCAAGGCCACCGGAGGGAGAGGCGGAGTACCGTACGCGACAGCTACCTTTCGATGCTCCGTCGGGAACCCCCGGGCAGACCGCACGTCCTCGGGGACGAAATGCGGTCGAGTTACCGATCGAATTTCACCAACTCTTCCTCGGGCTTTGTTGACGCGACTGGCACCGAGCGCAGCAGCATCATTTCCGAAAGGAGCGGGGTGAGCAGCACTCCTTACACCACCGATTACGCAGAGACCGATGTGGAGAAGACGGACTTCGAGCAAACCGATGCTGAGCAAGACGGGATGACGGTCGAGGACGCGATTGATATGTATGAGATGGGGTTCGAGGACGATCCGGACGAAGTGCCTGAGGGATCGGACGAGGGTTATGCGTCTCAGGTTCCTACAAATACCACCCCGGGAGAAGCTCAGACACCGCCAAGGGTGCGAAGGCACTCTACAAGTAGCCTCCGCGACTCGGCTCTGGGCCCCGACGCCCCTGCAGACCACGACATCCCCTATGTTACCCCATCTCGCAACGATCGAGTGTCCAAAATCATGGCTGAACAAGAGATCGCCGCCCAACTACCGCCGCCGCAATCAGCCAGGTCCGCCAGATCCGCCAGGTCCGCTCGCTCGGCCGCATCGGGCAGGTCCAAGGGATCCATCAATATGGTCGCAGACAAGACGTTTTCCCAGATGCTCGCCCCGAGGATGTCCGTGATGGAAAAGAAGGTGGAACTCAAGGCCGGGTCGTCGATTCCCCGTGACCAGTACGGTTTCAAGAAGGCCACGCAATATATTACGGTGGAGCAGTACGACACGTGGAACGGACCTTACAGGGAATACACCGAACGTCGCCGCAAGAAGTGGCAGAACCTCATGAGACAACATGGACTTCCCATCAGCAAGCCCACCCGCTTCCCGCCGCGCAGTGAAAAGGTGAAGAGGTTCATCCGCAAGGGCATCCCTCCCGAGTGGAGGGGCGCAGCCTGGTTCTATTACGGGGGTGGCCCCGCTCGACAGGCGGCTAACCCGGGCTTGTACTGGGAGCTAATCGAGCAGGTCAACGATGGTAAGCTCAGCGAGCAAGATCGCGAGCATATCGAGCGTGATCTCAACCGTACCTTCCCGGATAATGTCAAGTTCAGGCCTGAGTCGAGAGCATCCATGAACGCGGCGCATCTGCTTGACACGAAATCCACCGACTTGACGCCGGATTGTGAAACACCGATCCTCCGCGCGCTGCGCCGCGTTCTCCAAGCCTTTGCCGTCCACAACCCCGGAATTGGATACTGTCAATCGCTCAACTTCTTGGCCGGTCTGCTGCTCATCTTCCTGGACGAAGACGAGGAAAAGGCCTTTATCATGCTTGACATCATCACCAGCATCCATCTTCCTGGTACTCACGGTCGCGTGCTGGAAGCCAACATCGACATTGGCGTTCTCATGCACTGCATCCGCGAGTCTATGCCGGCCATCTGGAACAAGATCGACGATACCAAAGAATTCGAGCCGAATGTCACCACCAGCTCGGCTCGCCTACCCACTGTCTCGCTGGCCATGACTTCGTGGTTCATGTCTCTTTTCGTGGGTAACTTCCCGATCGAGACGGTGCTGCGTGTGTGGGACTCCTTCTTTTACGAAGGGTCCAAAACCCTGTTCCGCATTGCGCTGGCCATTCTGAAGATTGGCGAAGCCGAGATCCGGGCTATCTCGGACCCTATGGAGGTCTTCCAGATCATCCAAACACTCCCTCGTCGTCTCATTGACCCCAACTCCCTCATGGACGCGTGCTTCCGCCGTCGTAACGGGTTTGGACACGTCAAGCAAGAGACTATCGACGCACGCCGCGTTGAGCGCCGTCGTGCGCATCAGCAAGACATTGCCCGCATCAGTGGCAACTGGGCCGCTAAGTTCGGCAAGAAGGAGGTCGACGCACAGTCTGTGCGATCAAAGGCCGGAGGAGTCCGCAGAGCGGCCAGCAAGCGCTTCAAGCATAAGCGAAGAGCCCGTACCGACCAAGCTCAAGGCAATTAAGCCATGCATATAAAAGTATTTCGGAGTTACCCGGAGCGTTTACTTTGTATCTTTATTTTTTTTTTTCCTTATGCTTTTACTTCTGGTAAGCCACTTACAAGCATTTGGGCTGGTGTTCTTGTGGGACTTTTCTTTCTTTTTCTTCTCGGCACTGACGGCCTTCTGGATCGTGCTGTTTGCTTCTACATACCCTCATTTTTCGATTCTACCTCACTCCTTGGAAGCATAGTGTTTAGTCACTCCTTTTGATATCCCCAGTTGCTCTTCTTTTCTTTTTTTCTTGTTTCCTTTACGACACTTTGCCTTTAGAGATCACCTATGATTCGAGGCCTCTGAAAAAAGTAAATATTCTGGTGCTATGGGTTTTTTTTTTTTTTTGAATATTAGTTGCCAGCAGAGAAAGGGCAACAAGGCGTTTTCCTGTTTCGGGAAAGAAGAAAGAGCGGAATTCGGGACAACTTTTTCCAACATGACGCCCAGAGAACGGTAGCTACGCAAACAAATCTATGGATACGCTTATACCCCCCAATATCAGTGTGCATTCGACTCGGTGACACTAACCAGCATGATGTGAATGATTCGGAAAGTTAGTCTGCGAGAAATTTTTTTGTTGCGAAACGGGTTCTGTTTGAAACTAGGAAGCATGGCGTTGCGAGCTAGGTTTGGGAGAAGCGAGGAGAATTAAGAGATCGACATATGAAAGCAAGGCATATTGGCTAAGCCCCTTCGTCGTCATCTCGTTGCCTCGCTGAATATGCCACTTGGTGTAGACGGGCTGAATAAGCGTGCCGTCGAAGGTTCTGCACAGGTCACCACGGGTTGCGGATGATTTGAACTCCGGGCCCCCTTGAACTCCTCCCGTGCAGGCAGTTGAAGCAAACATATAGAGGTGAATGTGAGATTTAAAGTTGCATAAAGATGCTCAAGTATTATATTCAACTACTTATGTAAGCATGGTACTCTGCTTCTGGTGGGAAAGTTTTAGCAAGCTCGAATTCCTCTACCACCTACTATGCGGTGGCCTTCGTTATTCCTTTCTCTCTAACAATGACGTCAACTTCTAAGGCGCTCCAACAGCAGGAAGGATGGTCAAATGACCCGTGCCTGCCTACTTATACGAAGCACTATACGAAGCAGGGAGATGATGGAAGCAGAAGGTCGATGCGCGAATGATGGGGTGCGCGTGCACGCGCACGTGGAGAGGAAATGATGGGTCATCTGGAACCCCTGCAACATTTAATGAATCGTATGTACCGATCGTGGGGCTGATCGTTGTGTTGGTGATTATTTTTATCTAGCTGAAGACAGTTTGATTGACTTGGTTGTAGCAAGGCCGCGAGCGTCTACTGCCGAAAAGAAGCCGCTGGAAATGTGAGCCGGGCTTGCTAGGCTAAGCACGAGCAAGCTTCATCGTCGAAGATGCAGCGAGAAGGTGCTTGTGCATATGCACGGAAGCACGGGGATTGCAGAAGAGCTGGAGAAGCAGCCATCGAGTCAGGTTAGGAAATCCGTGCCATCGGCGGGCCGCAGTCCGGGGGGCTGGGGGGGCCGGGCAGCCGCCCGCTCAGTGGCTCGTTGCTTTTTCTCCTCTGGACCGGAGCTCTTGCCGACGTCATGCGAACGAGCCACCCGCTCGACTACTTCACATCAAGTGGTCATTTTTAGCCAGGGTCGGTGGCTGGGAGAGGAAAGTGGAGAAGACGGACAACGCAGAAGAGATCCCACACAACGACACGCGACAGGCCTGGGAAAAAACTTTCGAAATATGCGCGCGGCCGGCTGAGCTGCTGCTGTAGTTAGTTTACCTTTTCACCTCTAAACCTCCGAGCACTGTCGTCTACTCCGCGCCGTCAACATGTCATTCGTGGCCGAGTAAGAATCTACCCCGCCACCCCCCGCTTGCATTTGCGCGTCTGACATTCTCCCCTCCTTCGGCGAACCGCAGCCAGGTCCAGCGAATCGACAGCCAGCTCGACCGCCTACCGCTATCCGCGGCGGGCTTGTCCGTGTCCGCCGCGGCAACGACAGCGGACACTGGTGCCGTGCACGTCAACCAAGCGCGCATCACACACCTGCAGAACCTGATAAAGTCGCTTTCGACCTCGCAGAATAAGAAGTCGCTACTCTCGCGTGACCGCATCCGCGCGGTGCTCCAGCAGGCGCGCATCGCCGACGACTGCTCGACATGCCAACAACACTTTGTCTCATACAAGCAAACCACGGAGATTGAGCGCGATGGTGGAGAAGAGGACGGCGAACACCACCAGCATTGGGAGGAAGAGCGGCGATACTCGGTGACGGACGCGGTGGAGCCCAGCTACGAGCATGAGCTGGAGTGGCTGCTACTGAGCAAGGCGACAGCGCACACGTACGGCCTGGTGCTCAACTCGATCCTCGAGCAGACGCTACCGCTGTCGGACGACATCTGGTACTGGGATGATATCCTAGGGTCGGCGCGGCACGCCTCGATCTACTCGGTGCAGACGAGCCCGCTGCGCGTGTGGGCGTGGTCTAAGGCTGTGTACCAGGACGTGCGGCGTCGCGGCGGCGAGGGCGTTCTGGGCCGCGAGGGCTGGAGCCAGTTCTACGGGTTGGTGCAGGAGGTGGTGCGTGAGCGCAGCCTGGTGCAGGTGCAGCGCAAGGTGCTGAGCCCGCTGGCGCTGGTGCGCAACGAGGCGCGCGCGAAGCAGAGCGCGCTCAAGCGCATCCGGCTGATCAATGCGAACGCGCTGGGCGTGCTGCTGGGCGAGGGCCTGAGCAACCAGAGCTCGCATGACGAAGGCTTCCGCACGCCGACGGCCGGAGCCCAGAGCGAAGATGCGCGACATCGATGGAAGAGCGCAGTGACACGGTCGATCGCGCTGATGGACATCGTGCTGCAAGAGGTCGCGGACCCGCATGTGCCGGTCGACGACTTCGACAACGCGGTCGCGGCGAGGACGGATCAGGATCGGTATTATCAGATTTTGGAGGCATCCGACTACAGCGCGCTGAGCTTGAATCCGGCCATGGTGACGGAGCGCCTGACGACGATCTTGGACACGCATTTGAGCAGCTACCAGGCCGAGCTGCGGGCCAGAACGAGAGAGCATGGGAGACCGTCTGGAATCATCCGCTACTGGCTGCCCGCGACTGTTTTACTGGTAAGTCTATACAATGGAGCATATCACGAAGCTCGACTAATTGGCCTCTCAGGTCTCGTCAACTACCATCTACCGCATTGTCATGGGCCACCGTAACGAGATTATTGCGTCGATACGAGACTTGGGCCGGACCACTATAGATTTCTTCAACAACTGGATAATAGAGCCGACAAAGAAGATCATTGGCACCATCCGTCACGACGAAGACAGCGAGGTCTCGATCATGAGTAAGCGTAGCCTGGAGGGCGACAGAGCGAGTCTGGAACGCATGGTTGTGGATTTTGCCATTCAGAACCCGGAGAATGGAAGTCTCAGCGAGGTGCAGATCGCGGAGATGCGGCAGAAAGTCAGAGAAGGTGACCTGACACCGGTGCTGAAGGCGTACGAGAAGGACATGCAGAAGCCCATTGTTGGCGCGATCACGGGTAATCTCATCAGGACCCTTCTCATTCAGATCCAGAAGACAAAGGTGGACGTGGAAGTGGCTATGGCTGGCATTGACTCGATTCTGAAGAGCCAGGAGCTGCTGTTTGGGTAAGTCGAATTCCGGCTTGGTGAGGGCTTTGGCTAATGGCGACAGCTTCATCGGACTCACGCCCGGCGTCATGGTGTGCATCGGCATTACGAGATATCTTCAGGGCACTTTCGGCAGCCGCAAAGGTGTGCGGAAGTCGGAGGCATCGAGCCATATGATGCGTGTGTTCAGGTAAGTCAAGCGCAAATCTAGAAGGGGGTTGTCTCGGAGGCTGACTGAGTGCGTCAGGAACATCGACCGCATCTTAACAAATGCTCACCCTACCAAGTACGGCGAGCTTTTCTACAAGGACCACGGTCTGCTTCTTTGTGAGGTGCACGTTCTGCGCCAACTCGCGAACAGGATTATGCCAGGGCGGGTGTTCCATGATTTCCTCGAGGAGCTGGACGATCTGGTGGATATCCGCACAGGCGTTGCCAAGCAGCGCAAGGTGGTGAAGCGCATGCGGTGGGCGTACGCAAAGTGGCTGTGAAGACGGACGTGACGTGGTGAGAGAGTAAGCGGCATTATGTATCACGACATGCACAGAAGTGTAGGAATAAAAAGCAATTGAGTAGGCGCTAGACGCATGAGCATGGGTGGTGCAGGGAAGAGGCCTGGTTGAGGGCGTAGGGACCCTGTTGACGAGCGATCTGCCCGCCGGCATTTGTGCGCCCGCCAGCCGCAGCGTGTTTCCGGCACGACGACGTCAGGGCGGCATGATTTCTGCGCGAGGGTGGGCGGAGGCAGGCTGGCGGCCGCTCTTGGGCAGGTGTCTCGGTGGTCTTGGCGGGCGGTGTGAGGACGCAGGTCCGGGCCCGTGGTCCTTCCCCATGCCGCTATCTGGCTCTGGGTAAAGCCACCCAGGAGTGAACAACCCGCCAGAATCACCAGCCAGTCGACCAACGTCTCCCGCCAACCACCGCACTCAGCACTCGACTGCGACCGCGAGAGCCCCCGCAATCCCGCACGCTCCCTCCCGCCCGCCGCAGCCCCAAAAACAAAGCCCCCAAGCTCCCTCACCGACCATCGCGCCGACGACGACGCTCCCGCCGCTCTCCAGGCTCCCTCCAGCACCCACCCAGCTCCTCCGCAACCATGGCCGGCACACGAAACTATGACTTTCTTGTCCGTCTGCCCCCACCACCTCGCCCACCGCCCCCTGCCCGCCTTTCTCTTGCTTGCCCTCCCCCGCCGCGCCGCCGTCGTGGCAGCGCGGCGAGGACGCCGTCCATCTGCCACCGCTCTCACCACACACACATGCGCCGCATGCTGACACTCAGGCCTCTTCTCCCCACAGATCAAGCTCCTGCTGATCGGCGACTCGGGCGTGGGCAAGTCGTGCTGCTTGCTGCGCTTCAGCGAGGACTCGTTCACGCCGTCCTTCATCACCACCATCGGCATCGACTTCAAGATCCGGACCATCGAGCTTGACGGCAAGCGAGTGAAGCTGCAGATCTGGGATACCGCAGGGCAGGAGCGCTTCCGCACCATCACGACCGCCTACTACCGCGGTGCCATGGGCATCCTGCTGGTCTACGATGTCACCGACGAGCGCTCCTTCAACAGTAGGTCCACAGTCTCCTTGCCCCCTCTCTTGCCCCTTCTTCCCTGCCCTCGACACGTTGTTTCCAATATCTGTCCACTTACCCGGAGCTTCCTGGCTCGCCTCCGCCCCACACTCCACAAGCACGTCGCCGATTGCGGCGGTGCGGCCCACGGGAGAGCTTCGGCGGAGCAGGTCAAGCCACAGAAGGAGATCCCCCTCCCCATGAGAAGGACAACGAGGCTAACGGCACGCGCCCCTCACGCACCCTCCTTGGGGGTGCGGGGCGGGGGGTTTGCGTCGGCGCAACAGACATACGGACTTGGTTCTCGAACGTGGAGCAGCACGCGACGGAAGGCGTCAACAAGATCCTGATCGGCAACAAGTGCGACTGGGAGGAGAAGCGCGCGGTGTCGACGGAGCAAGGGCAGGCGCTGGCCGACGAGCTGGGCATCCCCTTCCTCGAGGTGTCGGCCAAGAGCAACATCAACGTGGACAAGGCCTTTTACTCGCTGGCGGCCGACATCAAGAAGCGCATCATCGACACGGCGCGCAGCGACCCGGCGCCCGGCCAGGGCAGCAGCGGCGTCAACGTCAACGACTCGGGCGCCAACGCGGGCATGGGCGGCAAGTGCTGTTAGATTATGAAGTCTCTGCCCTGCTTTTTTTATGGTTGCAAGTTTGCTTGGTTTCTCTTTTAGTTTCCCTCCCTTTTTTCCTTTTTTCTTTCTCACATCTCTTACTCTTTTAAATTAACGGGATCACTCAGAGGGAGGGAAATATGTTGTTATGCGAGAACGTCTCTACTTTATTGACGCCCGATGTGGTTAGGGGGAGGAAGGAAGGATGTAAGGAAATTTTCTTGACGACGGGAAGAGGTAGTTACGACACGGGGGGGAGAGAATGTTCATGCGTGCATTTCGTATGCATGACAGTTTTTCGGTGCATCTAAGCAAGGAAGCGGACGGGAAAGAGCGGAGGAATAGGGGTGGGTTTGGTGGAAGCAGAAGCAGGGGGGGTGGAAAAGGGTGAAGAAGCAGGGGGGGTTGCAATAGGCGGTGGCAAAACAACCAAAAAAGTGCATGCACAACTACTTTCTCCTTGCACCGCCCCCTCGCGCCCGTCCTGGTCAAACAGTCCTCTGTGGATCTCTGGGGTTCGTGAGAAGTGCCGTCTTTCTCGTCGAGGCTCGGGTACCACATGACTGACTTACTGCATCTTTCCATGGAGAGCTCGGCGGAGTCTAACATAGAAAGCCCTTTATTTTCCTTCCTCCTGGTCCAAATGGAGATTAATCTCAGCACATAAAGTCAACAGTTCTGCATCTCCTCTCGGCAATTCTAAGGGCTTGGTAAGAAAGTGGTATACGAGTGAGGCAGAAAGAGAAGAGGTGTTGGGATGTAAGTAAAGAAGTGTACTGTGGGTTAGGGAGTAGGATTTAATGTAGTAGATGGAGAGGTGGGCGGGCTTAGCACGATATGTAGATGGGCAGGGATCTGGTATGTAGCATTTTGTGTAGGTGTTAATACCTCTTCTTTTCTTCTGCTTTTATACCAGTGGCCCAATTGGTTTCTGCCGTTGTCAATGGGTCAAGGTCTTGCTTTGACAAAGAGGAATGTATGCTTTTCTATTTCCTCTTTGCCTTCCGCTCTCCTTTGTCCCCGAAGTGAGTTGTCCACGTAGAATGATATGGTATTCCGAGAATATGGTACTCAGAAGTTTAACTCTACACGAATTTGGACGAATGTGGAGAGAAATATTATACTTTCTAAATCAATTCGATAGGCAATATGATAATTACTTGCGAAGGTAGAATTACCTGTATACGAGGGAATTGACTTTAATTATTCTTTAGATAAACATAGTCTTTTTTATGAAATGCATTTCAGTTAAGTCTCTTCACAATTCAAGAGTTGTATGCATAACTGTGAAAGTTAAATTTTGTTCATATCCGAACCTTTACTTCAAATATCCCATAGAAACTCGCAATATCTGCGACGAAGCGCAGGAAAAGGGGCAATATATCGTATTCCTGAGCAAGTGATTCAAAAGGACGAGCATACGAGAACATACACGACGTTATATACATTCATTAAGCTTATCTCGTCACTCCGGCTGCACCTGCTCATACATGGTCGTTTGCCCACTCCACACAATCATCTTCAATGCCAAGTACACGGTACCATTGGCTCCGGCCAAAGACTATGAGAGAGCTTCAACCAGCCTGGTAAATGCCCAGAGCGCGGACGTGGGGGTTAATCATGCTGAGGTTAAACGGCGTGAGATAGAGATCGCTGTCGGTCAGAGCGACGAACATGGTGCCGTTGACGGCAGGGTCGCCCTCGTAGACGTAGCCGGCCGGCTGGTAGGTGAAGCCCTCGTTCGGGCCGGTGACGGTGAGCGGGGTGTAGGTGAGATTGAGCTGGCTGACCCACGCCACGAACGACGGGCCGGTCATGGCGGCGGTGGTGGAAGTGACGTAGCTGTTGTTGGGACCGACGGCCTGGCCGGGCTCGTCCCAGCTCAGGCGGACCTGGCGGCCGGGGAAGCTCAGGGGCTCGCTGCGGTTGCGCGAGATGGCGGGCCCGCAGCCGTAGCCGGTGACGTTGAGGTTGACGCAGCTCTCGTCGTCGTCGATGCGCGAGTTGGATGGGTCGGCGGTGCGGTTGCCGACGACCTCGCCGTCGGCTGTATCGTTGGGAGAGAAGCGGTTGGGGTTGGGCTGGTTGACGATGTGTAGCGCAGGGAAGTTCTGCCAGGCCAGGCGCGTCGTGTTCTCCGGGCACTCTGAGATGTAGGGGGCCAGGTAGGTCCAGGCCCAGGCCTGGGGGATGCCCGTCTCGAACCAGACCGGGTAGGGGTGCAGGCCGAGCATCTGGCGGAACGACATCTGCTGGCGGGCCTCGGTGGCGATGGACTGCGAGAGCAGCTGGCCGACCTCGCGCGAGTCGAGGTGGTTGATGAAGCCCCAGACTCCGGACTCGCCCCACCGCGTCAGCTTCTGGTTGAAGTCGATGTACTCGCGCACCGTCGTGAAGGGGTAGTTGTACGTGCACTGCGGCGCCGCCGTCTCGCCCAGCATGTTGGAGAGGAGCGTGGCGTGGCCCGACTCCTGCTGCGCCATGAAGCTGATCAGGGCGCGGTCCTCGGCTGTCAAGCCGGCGGCGAGGAAGTCTTCGTCGGAAAAGGTGGCCAGGCCGTTGTTGAAGAGGTCGAGCTCGATCCACTCCTGGTACAGGCCGAGCTGGATCGATTCGTAGTCGAAATCCGAGTTCACCATGTAGCGTGGCTCGGTGCCGTTGGTACCAAGACCGCCGGCAGGCACATTAGGGGCCGGAGCAGGCTTCTGAAGCATTCCATCGGAGTTGTAGTAGGTAGCCGTAGGGTTGGGTGGGAGAATGGGGATGGACGCGGCCTCGGTGGATGATGCCATGACAGCACCTGTAGTCGTGGGCGTACCAGAGTAGGGTCCATGGCTCGTATGGCCTGTCAAGACGCTAGAGCGCCTTGGGGGGATAGTCGTAGCCGTCGTGAAGATTGCAGAGATCTGAGAGTCGGGTCCGAAAGAGGTGGCCAAATTGGTGACGGGCTCAGGTGTCTCAGTGGCGTACGGAGCATCGGCATCGGTGTAGCCAGGCACATCAGGCAGTGGAGCTGGGGCCGCAGCGGCCAGGTAGGCCAGAGCAGCGCCCGAAAGGACAGTCTTGAAGAACATCCTGGGAGCGGCAGATGAGGCTCGGTGTGCTTAATGCAGGATTGATTCTACCACGGCAGAGCAGGATAGTTTTATAGTTGGTTTCTGTACGTGACTGACAGTGACACATTACTAAAGATGATGGCATTGAGAGATGGAAAAGTCAACGTTGCTCTGACTTCACCATCTGCCCGAACAGGAACTAGAAGACCGAGACGCTGGCCATTGGTCGGAGAAGCAAAGCTTCGCAAGCTCGTAGACCAGATGGTGGATCAGTGTTGTGGTAATCCAATGAGCGACCATGTCAAAACGCGGGAAGGATCGCGGAGGCGGCACTGCATCGGGAGATTGGAGATGGAGGTGGCTTATTCATAGCCTGAGATTGGGAGCTTGCGAAGTCGGGATGCAAGCTGCGAGAATGGACGCGGTCTCGGGCGGTGACGTTTGGATGACACGCCTAGACCACCCGAGCGTGAAAGCTGCCGTCACCGCTGCCGAGACGGGCGCAATGGATTTGGAAGCCTCAGAACGTACATGCTGATGGATTTTTTGACCCGTCTAGACCGGCCGTCTTTCTCAGCAACGCTGAGTGGCATGGAGATCGTCGGGTGAAATGGTGCGAAGCTCCTTGAGCCGTGCGGCTCCATTGCCGAGCGCCTTTCCCGTCTGTCATATGTCATGACGTATATCTTCCATACATTTTCTTGCTCTGGTATACCATCGTTTTTTCTCTTCATGCTCCTGGCCAAATGAAATCGCAACTGAGCTGACTTGTACTTTTACTCCCGGCATTAAAAACCGGAAGTTTCTTGAGCACTGAAAACAAGTCTTGTCTCCGCAAATGTCTCTTTAAATTCTCGGGACCGTGTCCACCGTTAGTGCTATTCCCTGGCGCTCTAAGAATTTGTTTCCTGCTGAAGCCAAGATCGTCGTTTTCGATGCGTCTTCAACTGATTCCTTCGTTTGGCTCAAAGAGGATGTTGATGAACATGTAAGACGGTATCTTCAATGTGACTCGGCCCTCAACGGTCAAGACTCTGGGAGTAGGTGAGCAATCAATTCTCCCGTGTATGTTCGTTCAAAAGAGCCATGAGTAGGACGGAATGCATTGGCCCACAACCCTGCACTTTTCGTCTACCTTGATCAATAGCTGCGCAGATACTCCGGAGTACACTCCTATAGATCTCTCTACTTACATGCTGTGCCTGTATGAACACGCATATGCAAACACTCGGGCCAAAGCCTTGTGGAACGCAGGCTGGATTCTCACCTCCCAAGTGCATGCCCAGAGATCAAAGACCCACAGCTGGTCACTGATTGGCTGAGAAGGCGGCATGGCAACCGGGTACATGCCGCTTAAGCACGCCGAGCGTTAGCGCCACACGCCCTCCCCGGACTTAGGCCTTTATAACCGCGAGTCGTGAGGGGAGCCGGTTGATGGTGTGCTTTCTGGCTGATCAAATTCCGATAATGCTGCTTTCTTCAGGTGAGACTTTACCCGCGAAGTTCCTTTCATCCCAAAACGCTGTTGCGTGTCTCACTCCTAGGAGCCGAAAAGGCCGTTTCTTTTAAGCTTATCTCACACCATGACGCAAGAGATACCACCAAAAGCCGAGGGCCAAACCTCGACGCCTTCGAGTAGCGATGAGGCTTCGACAACGCCCGCCAAATCTTCGATATGGCGACGCATGTATGGCATAGTCTTTTGGGTCCCACCCAACTGTCGCTGGGACCCTGAAAACCCGCCGAGTTTCTCCATGTCATTGAATTTTCTCTTTGCCTTTGCGGGAGCGTTCACTGTCGCCAATCTGTGTAAGCACTGCCGTTAAAACCCGAAACAACCACTTACATCTCTCTGCAGACTACAACCATCCCATCCTGAACATCTTAGCAGAAGACTTCAATGTCACGTATGAGCAGGTGGCACAGATCCCCACGGTTATGCAAGCCGGGTATGCTGCGGGCCTGCTGTTTCTATGTCCGTTAGCAGATATGGTAAAAAGGAGGCCTTTTGTGACAGGACTGATGTTTTTCACCGCAACCATATGGTGTGTTGTCTCCTCTTGCGCGACCATTGGCTGTCCTATCACTAATTCAGCAACTACCAGGATCGGCTTATGCGTGACAAATTCACTTACCGTTTTCACCGTGCTCTCCTTCATCGTCGGCGCCACAACAGTGACACCGCAGCTCATGCTCCCTCTCGTCGGCGAGCTAGCGCCGCCGCACAAAAAGGGCGTCTCGCTCTCCATCGTAACGTCCGGACTGATGCTCGGCATCCTGCTCGCGCGCGTGCTGTCGGGCACCATCACCGAGTACGTCTCCTGGCGGGACGTCTACTGGATGGCGCTGGGGCTGCAATTCCTCGTCTCTACCCTCCTGTGGGCCTTCATGCCCGACTACCCGTCGACCAATCCCTCGCACACGCTCTCCTACCTCCGCCTGCTCTGGTCCATCGTCACGCTCCTCTTCCGCGAACCCACGCTCCTGCAAGCCTGCCTCATCTCTATCTTCACCTCTGCGACCTTCACCTCCTTCTGGACGACGCTGACGTTCCTGCTCGCGGGCGCGCCGTACCACCTCTCGCCGCTGGTCATCGGCCTCTTCGCGCTCATCGGCATCGGCGCCATGGTCTTCGGCCCGCTCTACGCCCGCCTCATCACCGACCGCTTCGTGCCGTGGTTCAGCGTCGTGCTGGGCGAGCTCATGGCCCTCTCGGGCATCCTGATCGGCACCTACACCGGAACCTTCACCCTCGCGGGGCCCATCCTCCAGGCCTTCCTGTTCGACCTCGGCTTCCAGTCCGCCCAGGTCGCCAACCGCGCCTCCATCTACCAGATCGCGCCCAAGGCCCGCAACAGGGTCAACACCGCCTTCATGGTTTTTACCTTTTGCGGCCAGCTGATGGGGACGGCTGTGGGCAGCGCCGTCTTCCAGCGCCACGGCTGGGTCGCGAGCGGCAGCGTGAGCGTCGGGCTGGTCGGCGTGAGTCTGTGCTTTTGCGCCGTGAGGGGCCCGTGGGAGAAAGGGTGGGTGGGCTGGCATGGCGGCTGGGCCATTCGGCAGCGGAGACCCGACGAGAAGAACGGTGGCGTTGGGCCGGTACAGCAGCAGCAGAGTGGTGGCATTAGTGAGAAGGATGAGGAGAAGGGGAATACGGAGAAGGCGCTGGAAGAGATTGCAGCTGAAGATCAAATAGAGACGAGGTCGAGGGAAGCTGACGAAGACGCCGTCGTCATCGTTAGCAATGGGGAGAGTGATGGGGAGAAGCGGTCCTCAGTCTCGGATAAAAGTGTAACTGTTCGAAAGTAGTGGCTGCAGGAGATGGAAAACGAGGAGGCGAGAATGAATTATCATACTCTTTTTAGATATGTGGACGCATTGGTGGAGTCAGTCTCTAGAAGTGTTTAGAACGTTTTCGTTGGCTTTTGAAGTTTCCGGGGTTCGTGCAACCCCAAAACTTTCTGCTGATAGTTTGGTCACCCGGAAATAGCTGCAGGTTTTATTCATCACTTGAGAACTTACACGGGAGATTACGATATCTCTTTCGCAACCGTGTGCCACTCGTTTGTTTAAGAAGAGACCTCCATGAAACATCTAAATGAAATATTTAGTGCTTGATGAGCAAAACAATCAAGTCGAGTAGATGGAATATGCGACATACGATCAAGTCACTCCTTGACGATCACATCCTATGCACTCCTGAAAGGGGGTATAAGGCACCTGAATTCTGCTATGAGAATAACCCGCTTGGTTCCTTGCTACCTTATAACTTTAAATGTGGTATATCAAAAGTAAGGAATGGGGACTACTCCGAGCATTAGTGATAACCCGCACACGAAGAACCAGAACATCCGCATTTCATCGCATAAAGTCATCAAGCCACAAACTAACGTTGTGAAAAAAACCAGCTCACAGTCCTTCTCCCCCAACTCAATCTTCTTCACCTCCCCCTTCCCTTCCCTTCCATTCCAGCTCGCGCTCCGCTCACCTCATTCGCTACACACCATCACACATCCCTCCCCCCAATCACAACGCCAACACGACTCCACCCAACCCGACGGCCACACCCATCAACCCACCGCTCAGGCCAACACCAGCGGCAGCACCCGAGGCGCTCGCGCTCGCGGCACCACCAGTGCCCGTCGCCGTGCCCGTCGCACCACCACCACCGCCGGTGCCGGTGACGCCGACGGTCGCCGTTGCCGTGGCCACGCCGGAAGTGAAGGGCACGTTGGTCGCGGACGTGGCGCCGGTGTACTGGACGTCTCCGCTGTCGTCGTTCTCGTCGCTGGGGCCGGACGTGGAATTGGAGGGGTTGAGGACGCTGTTGAGCTTGGTTAGTATGAGGAGGGGGAGAAGGGAAAAGGGGATTTACTTGTCGATGACATGCACCACACCGTTCGCCACCAGGATGTCCGGAATGATCACGCGCGCGCCGTTGACGAAGACGTCGCCGTCGTCCAGCACGCGGATCGTCAGGTCGCCGCCGTTGAGCGCCGTGACCGTCTGGTTGCCCTGGAGGTCACTCGAGTACGCGACGGTGCCGTTGACGACGTGGTAGCTGAGCAGGTTCGACAGGTCGTCCGATGACGTGCCGTCGAGCACTGAGCCGATGGCAGCGAATGCGTCGTTGGCCGGCGCGAAGATGGTCACGTCCGGCGTCGTGTCGACCGCCCCGACCAGGCTGGCGTTGGTCAGCGCCCCGACGAGCGCCGTCAGGTTCGTGGCCACGGCCGTCGAGCTGACGTTTGGTGGCAGCGTGAGGACGGTGTCAATGATGTGGATGTAACCGCCGGTGAAGTTGATGTCCTAGTGTTATGCAATTAGCTTGGGTCGTTCAATTAGAGTTCGTGGAAGGCTCAATGGAGCACTCTATCTCCAGAAAGCAACATGTAGGCTTGTCCCATAGATAGTCCAGATGGACATCCGGACGTAATATCTAAATGAATCGAAGATGCTATTCCTTGCAGTTGCGAAGGATGATATCTTTCATGGGTAGGGGGAAGGGAAGGTGAAATACATACACTTCGTCCCAAAGTCAGATTCTGCCGCAGCCCCGAGTAAAAGACGTCGTTACCATCCTCTTTCTCCACCTCAACCCGCTGACCGCCGGTAACATTGGTATACCTAGGGTCGGTCAGGAGAGTGGGGATGAATTGACTGTCCTCAGTGATCTGGCTCGAGCTGTAGCTGCCGTTGAGCACGTGGTAGGTAAGCATGGCTTGGACGAGATCCGGGTCGTTGGTCAGCGCCGCGCCGAGGGGGCTGCTCAACAGCTGCTCGAAGGCATTGTTACTAGGCGCCAGGATGGTGATGTTCCTGGCAGCCGACAACGCGCTCAGGGAGTCAGGGAGCGAGATGTAGTATGACGTTAGATTGGACAGCTCGGGAATGCCGCTGAGTGTGGCATTGAGGTCTTGTGTCTGGGCAAAGGCCATCGAGGCCAATGCCGCAAGGGTGATGTGCTTAAGCATCTTGTATGAAAACGCTCACGACGGAAAAGAGGCTTCACTGGAGAGAGGAGTGGCCGAGGGGATGTGCAGGTATTTAAGGACGAAAACTCTAGGCGTAAGATTCCGCCTTCATGAAGTTAAACTCGAAAAGGGCAATCCGGCAGGGAAGGAAGAGGAGACGACGTCCCCAACAGGCCGCCGAAGGCATCCGCCATCCTACGGCATCATAACGCAACATGTCTAACCATCAGCAGCGAATCGCTGGGCATAGGTAATACCATTCGATGCCCAGCCACGTTTCTGCTGGGCAAAGAGGTGAAGCACGTTGATGTCATGACATGCTAGACTGGTCCAGTTGGAGGGATCGAGTATGAGCCACAAAATTGGCGTGAAGAACCCACGACGGGTCTGTCGGATGTTTGTCAAAGCAGAATGCTCTGTGAATGGCCCGCGGCACGATACGCCCGGCCAAGCGTACAACTAACTTCTTGGCTATCGCGAAACGCAGCTAGACACGCGTCCGCGAGAGGACGTAAGCAGACGATTTTGAGTGATGCCAAGGAAGCGGAAAGGAGGGGCAGCTGCGACTTGCTGCTCGTTAGCGCGACGATCGTGACAGTGACGAAGTTCCCGTCTTGGAGGATTCCAGAAGTCCGGGCCGGAGCAAAGCAGACGCGTGGAGGCGCTTGGCGGAGATTTCTGGAGCCAGTCAGCAGCGTGTGCCATGTGGCTCGGCCCCAAGATGCGGAGAACGGGTGAGGAGCCGTGTTTCAGCTCTGTGACTAATCATATACGCTGGTAAATGTTTCTCGTAATAGTACATCGGCTCAGTCCTTGTCCAAGGTGAGTTGGGTGCTGACTTCCCACTTCTCGCCGCCACGGCCGTAGCCGCCTGCGAGCTTGTTGCGCACAAGACTCTGCACACGGTCTCGCAGCTTGGCCATGTCGTCGAGGCTGCGCACCCGCAGCTTGAAGTTGGCCTGGCACAGCCCGTAGTGAACCTGCCACACCTTTGCATCTTCAATCGACGACACCGCAGGGTCTGCTTCAATCATCCGCAGCAGGCTCTCCAATCCCGGTCCGGAGTAAGACATCATCAATATACGGCCCAGTGTCCAACCGAGGCGCCAGCCCAGCAACATCATGGAAATGGCAATGAAGGCCGTGATGGACCGATCCAACCAGATGTACATCTCAATCGATAGGAGGGGAAGCAGCAGAAGCAGAGTGGAGCATGACAAGGTTAGGAAATGCGAAGGGTTACTAAGCACCGACGGGAGCGAATCCAGGTAGGCAAAGCGGAGCACTTTGCTGATGCGGGCATGGTTCTTCAGGCCAATGGCCGAGATCAGCGTGGCAACGATTGCCGCGAGAGCGGCAGTGTCAACACTGCCTGCCGAGACACGCTCGTGTGCGTGTGGATGATGCGACTCGTGGCCGCCACTGTTCTCCAACGCGTGCTGGAGATTGTGGCTCACCAGGTCGAATCCAGTAAATATAAGAATCACAGCCATAGCAAGGCCGGTCAGTACTTCGAAACGTTCAAATCTGCGCCCACAATGTCAGCTACACCGGTCCAACTGGCGCGAATGCTCGTGCATACCCAAATGGTCGTTTCAAACTTGTCCGTCTCCAGCATTCAAAATTACTGCCAATATCGGCAATGCAGCATACCGTTGCGCCCACAAAGTCGTAAAACATCAAATGCGACAGCGCCGTCATGGCGGTCGAACCCTGTGCGCTGTATTTGACGTAGCCGCCGATGAGCAGGTGGCAGACACACCACAGGCTGCGCATCTTTTGTTCAGTCGTCATGCTACTCCGAATCTCAGACCAATTGGGTAAAGGCAGCGATGCGGGGACCTGTAAAGGTGCGCGGGGTGCGGGCTCGAGGAATATCTGGTGCGAGATGCTGCTATGCTTGTATTTGTGGCCACGACGCCGGCCAATATCCTGTTGCGCGTGTCAGCTCGGCCGACGATTCGTCTTGACGGCTGCTTCAACATACCGACTTCGCGGGCGGCTTGCCCACGACATACTGCTGCGGCTGGAAGTTGAACGGGTTCCTCGGCGCTTCAGACGAGGCCGTCTGCGGGGTAGAGACCTCGGAATTGGCCGTCATCTGTGGCGTGTAGTATGCGGAATTGGGCGTGTGCGGGCTGAGATTGGCGGACGAGGGGCTCAAGCTCTGGGATGGGAAAGTGGCAGACATGGGCGACAGGGCATCGCGATCCAGCTGGTCGTCCGGTAGTCCCAAGCCAACTGGCCGTTGATCCTCAGGAGGGGGAGTAGGCGTCCGCGGCGGGACTGGGATCGGCATGTCGGACGCCATGGTCGACTAGCAGAGCGGTGAGCTTTGCGGCGGCAGTGGTGGAGAAGTTGAGAGCACCGGGCTCAGGGCGCGCGGTGGGCTGCGGAGGAGCAGTTGGCGATGGGCGCGGCCCCTGGCCCAGGCCTGACTCGCATTAGGCGCGGCGATCAACGTTTGGCGCGGCAGGCCTAAGAGCCGCGCGCGACGGCAAGCAGCCCTTCCATCTGCGAGCACCTTCTCTCCGCAATCTCTGCCTCAATGCAAACCCCAGAGCTCAACTGCCAAAATGCGCCCCGGTGCTGCATGCCGAGCCTGAGGTAAGAGCATGGGAGATGGCCCACAATGCGGGAGCATCGCCCACCCCCGGCGGCCCGCTCCACCATGAGCCTGCCGCCAGCTCCTCGACCGCCAACCTCGCCCGAACACTCAGCGACCCCCCTAAGCGCCGCCTCTCGAGCGCCCACAAGCGGAGCGTGTCGGCAAACATCCTGTCGAAGCTGCCATTCCTGCGCAACTCGCCCGACGATCGGCCTGCTGCGCATGTCGCCCTCAGCAGCAAGGAGGACCGTGACGACGGGTCGCTGAGCTTGGGAACGAAGCGCAGCGGCGGGTCCATGGCCCTCGCCCACGCTGTGCGACAGAGCGCCGTCAACACCACCTCCACCACCAGCGGCGGCCGCCGACGCCGCGGCTCCCTGCGAAAGACCGCCATTCTCGGTACGCGCCAGCGCACCGCGCCCAAGATTGACCCCAGACAACAGCACCTCGACACCATGGCTTCAGGAACACAGAAACCACCAATCTCGCCCAACCAGCATCCCGCGAGCCTCGCTCCCCGTCCCTTCACCTACGCAAACCCCTCCGCTACCTCCTCGTCCGACAGCGGCTGGAGCGGTGGCTCCTCGTCGGCCCCAGCCCCGAGTATGCCGCCCGACAACACCAATTCCTCCGCCAGAGCGCCGCGTTCGGGCGTGCTGGCCTCGCCCATCTCTAGTCCTGTCACTAGCCCGGGCGCGAACCCCTACGCCAGCACCACCGATGACGACAATGACTCGGTCGCCTTCCGCCGCCCCTCCTCCCCGGGCGGCAGTGGCAGCGGCCACCTGTCACCGAGCTACTTCCCGATGCAGTCGCTGAGCAGCAGTAGCCTCCTCCAGCAGCGCCGCCGCAGCGCCGTCAAGACGAACTCGTCGACCACACGCCATTCGTCGCCGCTGTCGCTGCCGCCAGCCACCACCACCTTCGACCTCGTCGACGAATGGGACTACAGCGAGACGGAGTGGTGGGGCTGGGTCGTGTTGATCGTCACATGGATTGTCTTCGTCGTCGGCATGGGCAGCTGCCTTGAGGTGTGGAGCTGGGCCTGGGATGTCGGCGAGACTCCCTACGCCCCGCCCGAGCTGGAAGATGACCCTACCTTGCCCATTGTCGGCTATTATCCCGCCTTGATGGTTCTCACCGCCGTGATGGCGTGGGTTTGGGTTGTGGTTGCTTGGGTGGGCATGAAGTACTTCAGGCACGCCAAGGTGGTTGGGGACGATGGTTGAAGAAGCTTTGAGTTCGTCTGACTCTGTTTCGCTTGGGGATGGAAAAGATGTCAGGCGCCAATGGAACGAAGGCACGTTTGGATCGGCGGTCATAAGCCGAGACAAACGATTGAATTGAGATACCCCAATAGCACGGCTCGAAGGAAGCCGCAAATGAACGTTTGAATTTCATTTATTACAAAGTGGCTCCTGCCTGACGCTTTAGGCACGGCGTCAAGTCTCGAGTCACGATCAATTATCATTTCTAGTTCTGATAAGACAATTTTCTGCGAATATACGCCGGTGTGAAAGAGGTCAATGTCATGGCTCAGACCTCCTCTAAATCCCGCTCAGGGTCTGTGTCAGCTAATGCGTTGGCAGTGATGTGGCACAGCGGAACGACCTAGTACCTGGGGGGATGTATCTGGGTATCGATTTTCTCACTGGATGTGCCAATTGGCGCGCTCGGTGGACATGCCAAAATTTCACGATCGCCATTTCGACGAGGGTTATGTCATGGCCTCACCGCCTGGAGTGAGTTTTTCACCTAGCAAACATTTCCAAGTCATCGAGGTCTGCGATTAATCTAGGTATCTGGACTCTCATTTCCTAGTGTATCAGTTTGATATGCACGATGCCGTTTACAACATTTACTACTATGCTCAACAAATACCATCGCACCGGAGAATAAAATCAAAAACCCTCTGTTGGGCGGCCCTGAATCGTCGAGTTCTCCGCTATTTCCCCACAACAGTGCACGAGGTGCTAGCAGATCATTCGTGCCCACTGGGGCGGGACGCCGTCCCTGCAGGAACCCTTTAAGCCATCATGCTCGTGACCATGCGGCTCTATACGTTTTCTAAGTTGCCCCTTGTGCTTGGTCTGGGTCATCACCTTCATCCCTATATAATATCATTCTTTCATTGGTAATTGAGCTTCCTCTACAAATTACTATTTTTTCGTCCCATTCAAGAACCATAACCGTTTGTTAGGAAGAAAGTGAAAGAGCAGTACAACAGGAAACAAGCATCCAAAACGTACCTTCTCAATCGTGCTATCTTAATCCAAAATACCCCCCAAAAAAGATGGCACCAATGCTCCAGCTCTCCCGCGCCACCGAGGCCGATATCGACGCATTTATTGACCCTATCTATGCCGCATTCGAGGGTGTAGACATTCGCACTATGTTCTTTGGCCATGACACACCTGCCAGCCGGGAAAGCACCAAAGCCCGCATTGCGGGGTGGATGCGTGAGGGTAATCAGAACGTTTGGCTCAAGGTCGTCGAGCAGGAGACGGGCCGGATTGTTAGTGGAAGTTGGTGGATGGTGAGCCTCCTTTTCTCTCTGTCTCTTTGTGGCCCCTTCAATATATAGGCTTCCTCCTCCTGCCCAACTACAGTCCATTTCAGAAGCAAGCAGTTGAAAGACCGGAACATCAAAAGCAAACAGGAGTTCTAGGCACGAATAAATACATCAAGAGAAAGCAATGCATCGATGCCGAACTGACCACCCGCCCACAGATCTACCCCCACTGGACCCCCAATCCCGACATCACCCCCGAGACCGCAGCGGCGGCCGTCAGCCTCGACTTCCTTGAAGGTGACGACCGCACCATGACCGAAGACCTCATGCGCGACTGGGTAGCTCGACGCGTGCGACACATGTACGGACACCCGCACATCCGTAAGTGCAAGAAATAGTCCTCCCAAACGTTCTCACCCTCATCCTCCAATCTCCACTCCCAAACCCATGCCCCCCCGTGCCCCCCCATCTCATCCCTTGACCCCCACCACCAACGCACTCACCCCACAACCGACCACAACCGACCGCAACCAACAACTGACACCGAACAGTCCTCGCCCTCCTCTTCACTGCGCCCGACGCGCAGCGCCTCGGCGCCGGCTCGATGCAGGTGCAGTGGGGCACGGCGCTGGCCGACCAGCTGCTGGTGCCGTGGTACGTCGAGGCGACGCCGGCGGGCCACCGGCTGTACGCCGCCAACGGCGCCGCCGACGTCGAGAAGGTGCAGACCGAGGCGCGGCCGCGAGACGCGAAGAAGAAGGCGTCGGATGGCAGGGACGTGTGGGTGTGCGAGTACACGCTGATGAAGAGGGAGCCGCGGAGGACGGCGGTGGAGAGGGAGGCGAGGGCTGTGGTGAAGAACTGAGAGATGATGTAAGGAAAAGCAAGAGAGAAAGAGGGAGAAGAGTGGTTTGGGGGTCAAAGAAACTTTCCAAAGCTTGGGATAGGTTATGAGGTTGGTAGTTTTTTCGAAAAGAAAAAATAATTTCAAGCTTGCCAGTATGCTATCTCCTTCTCAAGAGCTATCTTTTTTTTTCATCACGTCATAAGAATCCCTCCGCAATTGCATTGAATCCACAACCCACTATAACTCCAATGTTCCGATCCGTCCTCCAACGTCTCCACCCCTGCCCCAAACGCCCTCGCTCACCCTTCCCCTGAGCATCTCAAGCAAACCATCTCTGCCAGGCACCTCCTCGGCTGAGCTTTGCTCCAACCTCTTCAGCAATGTCTGCAAGACATCGAACTTCCTTGACGCAACCTGGTACGCTGCGTTCTCCGCGTCACCCCTGCCACCAACCAGATTGGAGAACGACGGGGCCGGCCGCAGCATGTATGGTACGACAGGGTTTCCGGGTCGGAGTAAGGTTGCGAGACCGTTCGAGGGGAAGTCGGATGGCGCAGCGGACGGGAAGGATTCGGTGGACCATGAGGCGGTGACGAGCGCGTTGATGAAGTTGAGCGACGCGAGGGCCGTGTCCTTGAGAGCGACAGTCTCGGCGAGCTGGACGAGATCGGTCCAGAAAGACGAGTTGTGCTGCGTAAAGAGCGCGCAGAGGGCACGTGCAGCGGACCGCTCGGCGGTAAGACGTTCGGGGAAGGTGGCGCTGGTGCGGGACGGTGCGGTTGGTGCCGGGAAAACGAGGTCCTTGGTGGGATCTTCCGGTCCGTGGAAGATAGTTGCAAGAGTATGAAGGGCGTCGGGGTTGGTGGAACGGGAGCCGGGGATGAGGGAGAGAGGAGAAGAGGCCCAGATGGCGGTGGAGTCGGCAAGGAGAGTAGTCCGCGGCAGCGAGGCGAGGACATGAAGGTCGTGACGGGGCGATTCCCCGTGGACCCATTGGGCAGGCTTCATAGTGCCAAAGACATTCATGAGGCGACGAAGTGTCGTAGCCTTAACCTCACTCGATTCGAAGTCTGTGGGGTAAGTCGACGCATATGTCGCCAAATAGTTTGCAGCTGGACCGTAAAGGTAGGAGATTTCGAACGACTCGTGAGCAGTGGGGTTGAGGAAGAAGCTCAGAGTTCTGTCATGTAGCTTGCGTGACTTAAGGTAATCGAGCGCGTTTGACTCGTGATGAGATGCAGTATGCCTGTAGCTACGCAGTCAGCTTTCCTCCAATCACAGATCACGAGCTTACTGGTACCTACTTGGATGGTTGGTTGCACGTCTTCAAGAGATCCGAGAAGAACTCCATGAGACTTATGTGCATCAGAATGTCTCCATCGTAGTCAACGATGTGCAGGGATATGAAGTCCAGGAGGCCAGGGGACTTCAGTCCATAGTTCTGCTCGATCTCTGGATGGTGCGAGCGTGTAATAGCTTCCCAGCTGAGCGCGCCGACCTTTGGAAGCCACGACATCAAGCGAGCTTGAGCAACTGTCTTTTGAGATCTGCTGAGGTCAGGAATGCCATGAGTGACGCTTTTGCCACCGCAAAGACAGAAGAAAAGCGTGTAGACATCTCTATCACCAAAGACGCGTTTCCATACGAACCCAGTGCCGTGGGTCGCACTCGTACCTGAAGCTGGCTCATCTACTGCTACGTGAGGGTTGCTGCTGCTCATGGAATCTGGGGCAGATTCGATTCCCATAACGTCGGCAGGATCCCGGTCGACTTTGAGAAGTTCATATAAGACGTTGCCGGCCCTCTCTGCAGTGCCGATGTCGTCGGTTGCAAGCCACAGGGTGATCAAGCGGGAGATGACGTTCGGGATACTGGCAATGTACTCAGCATGTCGTACATCCTTAGCTGCCTTTTCCAGGGTCTGCAGTGCTAGTGCATGGTACGGCGTAGCTGCCAAGACCAAAGCGCCTGCGAACTCGATGGGCGGATCCAGTGACCTGATAGTGTCAAAGTCGAATCCAGCGCCGAGCTTGGTCACCAGTTGAATGACTGGGGTAGGGTCTTGTTGGAGCACGCTGAAAAGGCGCGTCATTTGAGAGAGGAGCTCATAGGCCGTCTTGGAGTCCAAGGAGTTTGAAGTCGCAAGAGGTTCCACGGCGTCAAATAGTGAGGCATCGAGCGGGAGGGACGGGTGCTGCTGAACTTGTTTCAAGTGCTGTGTGAGCTGCTCGATGGCCTGGGCGGCGGCATCTTGCTGTTCGGACATGGCTGCCTTCCAGGTGCGGGAAGATGGGTTCGCGTAGACGCGGCTGTAGACGTGGACGGGGGCGATGGTGCCTGCGGCTTCAGAATGATGCGCTCGTGAGATTTTATGGCGCGGCAACGAGTCCCATACTCTTTCGAGAGCTCGGCGTCCTTCTCCCGCGACGTGAGCAGCTTCTCTTGGCCGTGTCGTGCGTGCAGGTGATGGCGGGGATAGGCGAGACTGCGCGCTTGGTCGGGTGGCGGGGCAGCGTTCCCCACCAGCCTGCGCAAAGCCAGGGTCCGGCTTCTGACTCTTGCGCCGATTCACTTTTTTGCCCGCCGCACCTCCGACTATCACGATCGACGGTTGCGACCATGCTCAACACCTTATACCGACCCTTCCCAGCAACTATTGCCCGACCCTCGCTGTTCCTCGACCGGTAGCACGTCTCGACCGCTTCTTCCAACTACGAGTAGCCCTTTTCACTCTCTATACCATGGCTGGCAGACCTTGGCCTGGCATCCACAGTCGCAGCAACGGACACGGAAAGATTGCAGGCGTCGACGTGCCGTGGGAATACGATGCGGAACTCAAGATCGACACCAAGCCCTCTGAGCTCTTTCCCGTAAGTTCAGCTCTGTTGCCCTTCAATCCAGCAAACATGACCCGCGCGTGCCACGGGCCCTTCACTTCAATACCTATTCTTACTTCACTACTTCACTTGTGCTACGTCATGCTCCCGCGCACTCCCCTTCAACCCTCTCGTCATGAACCTTCCCGCGCACTGGTTCTGGGGCGGCAAATCCTACAGCGACGACGAACTTTCTGAGCTCCTCCGAATAACCCGCTTCCAGCCAAACCCGCCCCCCATCGCACCTCCGCCCCGGCGCGACGAGAAAATAGCTGTTGCGCGGTACCGTGCACTACGCGAACGTATCCACGAGGGCCCGCTGTACACTGTCCTTGGCGACCACTCGCGCGTCAGCAAGCGCGGCGCCGTCGCCTCGTCCGCCGTCGTGGTCGACCCCTTCGAAGGCATGCCCACCTACGGCCAGAAGTACAAGAAGCAGCGCCGCAAGATTCCGCGCCTGGATACCAGACCTTACAGTATGCCACCCAGCTCCAAACTAACACCAATTGAAAGGCGGAGGTTGGTGGATTCCTTTAGGCGTTGATGGCTAACAAACTCGTGTTGTTTGTGGCGGACAGTAATGCGTTTTTTCCCCGAAGAGCTCTGGACGACGCTCGATCCTACGACCAAACCCGGCGCCAATGCCGCCGCCCTCAAGAAGCGCCGCAAGATGCTCAAGATTGCTCTATCCACTAAGCTCACCCGCCTCGAGGAGCTCGAAGGCGAGGACGGTGAGGGCCTGGGTCGCGACGACGACGAAGACCTTGACAAGGACGAGGATGAGGACACTGGTCCGCATGAAGAAGAGGAGCAGGACGACGACTTCGAAGAGGACGAAGACGATGACGACGATTACAACGCCGAGAACTACTTCGATAACGGCGAGGACGATGAATATGGCGATGAGGGCGGTGGTGGAGGAGATGACTACGATTTTTAAAACCGAGGGCTGAAAGAGAGGTCTTTCAGCTTGAACAAAAGGCCGTACCACGGCATTTGTTCGTCTGTTTGAATCTGGCATTTTTGCACGCATACAAAGCGCCATAATCTCGAAAAAGCGGGCCTGGCGAACGTCGGAGTTCTGTGTATGGATTGGGATTGGGATTGCTCATGGCTTTCTCATTTTTTTTTCTCTTTGGTAGAACGGATAATCCCTGGTGTTCAAAGGCATAGGATACTCTCCCACGCTGGAATTAAAGGAGCACATTGAGTGCATATAAGAAACTTCATTTATAGCAAATCAGCCACGATGATCACTACCACAATGCATCAAAGATGGAAAATCCTCGGTACGTGAGAAGCTCGAGCTGATTACAAAATACAAGATGTCTATGTATGTTTTACAGTTATCCCTTACCCATACCCCTCTTCTACTTGCAAATTAGATACAGAAAGACAAAACAACCAAGAAGTATATGCCTTGAATAGCAATAATACAGTAGTAATAAACACACAAAACCCTCTGGACCTCACGCCCTTCCCCTCCGTCTATCCACCCAATTGCGAACCCTCCCAACCGTTAAAAACCGTTCATTCCAACCCACCCATCCATCGATGACCATCCACCAATCAGCTCTCAAAAAGGGAAAAAAGGAGGATGCCGAATTTCTACCCTTCCTCATCTCATCTAAAACGTCTCTTCTTCCCACGGCACATCCTCCTTCTCACCGGGAAGCTCCTCCTGCGACGCCGGAATCTTGCCCCTCAACCATGCCATCACAGCCTCCGTGCCGCGCTTCAGGGTCGCGTAGTTGGGCACGCGGAACGTGTTACCCTCGATCTCGAGGCTCTTCAAGCCCTTGTCCCACAGCAGGCCGACCTCGGGCGGGATGCGGCCGATGCTGTTGTTGGAGAGGCCGACAACCTGCAGGCCGTCGAGCGCCTGCACTGATATCTCCTCGATGCTGTTGTCGCTGGCGAGCAGGGTCGTCAGTTCTGGGAAGCGGGTCCGCAGGATGGGCAAGGTGCCCGCGATGCGGTTGGCCGAGACGTTGAGCGTGTGCAGCCGCGGCGCGTCCAGGTTGGCGGTGAGGAAGTCGAGCGAGGACAGGTTGTTGGCGGTCAGGCGCAGGTCGCGCAGCGCGGGGAGCGAGACTTCATCGGTGAAGGTGGTGGTCAGGCGGTTGTTGGAGAGATCCAGCAGCGTGATGTTGGTGGCGAGCGAAACGGCATCCGGGATGTAAGTGAACAAGTTGTGATGCAGGATGAGCTGGCGGCAGTCGGAGGCGACGGGGGTGAATTCTTCTTCGTCGAGTTCAGGGAGAGATTTGGAGGAAAGGTCGAGGATGCCGTTTGGCTTCAGAGTCCACATGCTGTCGGTTGGAATAATCCCGTTACCGCTCTCGACATCATTGCCCGCCTCAGCCGGATCGTCGCCCTCAGGGGCAGTCGGATTATGGCGCATCTTCAAGTCCCTCTTTAGATCCTCAGCGTTCATGGTTAGGAATTTGCGCTCCCGTAGAGGGTTCGCTGCCAGTGTTAGCATATCAAGGCTGTCCATCAGGGCGATCTCAGGCTCGATCTTTGTGATGTTGTTGCCGTTGAAATTGGCTTGCTTAAGGCTCTTCAGTGACGTGAAGCCCGTGGGAAACTCGGATAGTTTGTTCTCTTCCACCAACAGAGTCAAGAGGTTAGTCCACCCAGTCAAATCTGGCAGCGTCTCGATGCGGTTGATTGATAAATTCAAAGACTTCAATGCCGGCATGGATAAGGTGGATGGACCCAGGGAAGTAAGAGCGTTGCCAGCTAGGTCGAGAGTCTGCAAGCGTGGCATTTCCGTTACACTATCCGGGAAGAAGGCGCCACGGAGGGCATTCTTAGATGCGAAGAGTTCCGCAAGAGGTAAAGCTGCTAGTATCTCCATAGGAAGAGACGACATTCCGTTGGTGTTGACGTTGAGAACTCGAAGGTTGGCGAGCTCCCGCAGAGCATCTGGCAGACGAGAAATCCTGTTACCTTGAAGCTCGAGAACTTCAAGGCTGGCCAGAGAGCTGATCGACTCAGGGAGGTCTCCCTCCAAATCGTTCTCGGCTAGCCTAAGCTCGCGCAAAGATCCAATCTGGGAAATTATCTCGAAGGAATCATTGCGAAGGCGATTTCGCGACTACCTAGGGGTCAATGTAACTCGTCTTAATGAACCACAGCAACAAAACTTACCAAATTCAGGATTGTCAGTCTCTCTAATCTCCTCAGACCAATGGGAAGCTCCTTCATGATATTTCCATGAAGGTCAAGCATTTCCAGGCCGCCAAATTGCGGTCCTGTCGCATCCATATCCTCAGCAGCCTCCTCAGGATCAATGTCTGGGAACAAGTCCTCTGAAAGCTTCTCAATGTCGTTATCTGCAGCAATGAAGCGGACGAGATCGACAGACTCGGACCACTCGATTCCTGCATCAGGATTATATTCGTACATGGCCATGACTTCCTTTGGAATTTCACTCAAACCCATGTTTGCAATGTTGAGGCGGCCGTCTGATCGGGCAGTATCGATCCGCTTCCTAATCACCGCTTCTCCGCCCTTTGGCATTTGGTTGAAGGGGTCCTCAAATGCATCATAGTCGGAACCCCCAACAGGTATGTCGTTTGTGACTGGTGTAGTTGGTTTTGTTTGCGCAGTCTTACGCGCCGCCTTTGCTTTTGCTATTTGCTCTCTCAGTGCGGTGGAAGAGCTCTTAACCTTTGATGAGGGATCGGATGCCTCTTCTTTTGCCGGTGCCTTCCTAGCCGAAGTAGCTGGACGGCTTGGCAATGCTCGCTCTATCTCCGGCTCAGGAGCATCAACTGGAGAAGGAGGGCTATCATCTGAGTTAGTTGCAATAGGCGGGCGGGTTCTAGGCAGCTTCCCGATGGTAGCCGTGCTAGAGCCAAGCGGGGTCCTCGACACCCGCGCGCTGGGGCTTCCGATATCAAGGGAGTCCTTGAACTGATTGGGACTTCTGAGGCCAACAGGACTCATGAGACCTACAGGGCTCATGAGGTTTGCCTCTGACCCAGAGTCTTGCTCGAACGCTGGCGAAGACATTGGCTGACTATCACTACTAGCAGCAGGAGACATTGGCGCTGCACTTGCGCTTCGTCTGCCTGGAGTGCCATAGGCCGGAACCTGATTCTGCGAACTACGTGTGGTACTCGAAGCACGCGACATGCTACTCGGAGGCCTTATGGTAGGGGTAGTCGGCCTTTGACTACTGCTCCTGAAGGCGCCAGCAGTACGCGAAGCAGGCCTCGATGCTCTAGAGCTCATTGCGGAGGCAGGTCGCATCGGAGGGCCCATGGGGCTTGTTGGATTGGGGAACCAGCTGGTAGAGCGTGAGGAGGGCGAACCAGGCTCCGCCATGATACGGGACAAGCTCTCGAGAGTGCGCTCAGTCAGCGAGGGTTCGCGCTTTGTGGATCCGCCTTCCTGCTTAGCTCCGGGCTGCTCTACAATAGTGTCAGGCTCATCTGCAATGCAAGGGGTGTTCTGGACTTACCGCGGGGCTGCCCCTCGTCGAGGCCAAAGTCAAATTCGCCGCTGTGGACGTCGCGATGACTTAGCCTCGACGAGGCGCGGAAGCCGTCCAAGTCGCCCAACACGTCGTCTTCATGTTCTACATTCGTGCGGTGGACCGCGGATAGGGCGGGGCGCTGGATCCGCGACCGCGCCTGACGCGACGCCGGCCGCCCAATTGGTCTCTTGAAGATATCGTCATCCTTTCTCGCGACAGGCCTCGCAGGAATGCCGGTACCGACGCTCGGACGGGGTGTGGACGAGGCGCGGGGGCTGGCAGCGGCGCGCAGGGAAGAGTTGGATGCCCGAGGGCGCAAACGCTCAGAGGGCGCTGGGCTGACGGATGCGCGGCCTGGCCGCTGCGAGGGGACGGGCAAGCTGGAGGGCTTCGGTATACTCGACGGGCGCGGGATTCCGGAGGGCCGGGGGATGCCTGAGGGCCGCGGGAGGCGCGACGAGGAGTCCATTGGAGTTGGGCGACCGATCCGGGAAGGGCTGGGTTGCTGGCGGTAGCACGGGCGCGGTGTGAAGAACAGCGTGTGGAGGATCTGGAGCTTGTTGGCCGGGCCGTCGCCGTCACCGCCGGCAGCCGAGCAAGCAGGCGTGGCAGGGCTGTGGAGACGCGCGCTGTTGTCTTGGGGCTCCAGCACATGCAGCGGGAGAGAGCTAGCTGCCGCTAGAACAGCACGCCAATGGCTGGCTCCTCCACCGGCGGCCAGCGTGGCTGGCCAGCACCCAACCGCCTCTCCGCTCTCCACCCGCTGCGCTAGACGCAGGCATTAAGACAGCACCCCTCCGCCGCCTTTGCAGACTCCCGTATCGCCACGCCCTAGGTCTCAATTGCAGCAGCAGCACCCTTGTCGCGGTGCGGGCCTCGTCGACGTTGCGCATCGTCCCAATTGCCAAGGGACGACCCCCGTTCGCGTCTCCTTGCCTCGCGCGTCTGTTGCCTGTCCAACGCCAACCTCCCGCTGCAACCCCGATCATCACCCACACCAGCCCCGCGACCTCACGCGTCTGGCCCACCCTCTCCAGCTCACCGCTCGCGCACGCGGCCGTCTTTGGAGCTGTCTGAGGTCTCACTGCTCCCGCACCACTATGGATCACCACGAGTCCGCTGCCCACGAGCTGCTCGCCATGTCGCAGGAAGAGCGCCTGCACCCAGCCGCGCGCCCGCGCCTGCCGTCGCAGGAATCCGCCTCGGACCACAGCGCTGGCAAGAGCGACCGCGACAAGTACCAATCGCCCAACCCGCCCTCTTCGTCCATAACGCCGCCTCCCTCGTCGCAGGTCCCGCCTGCTCCGCCTAGCCGGACTTCCATCCGCACTCCGACCCCGCCTACGCCCGTCTTGTCGTCGCCGCCGCCTACATCGCGTCCCGGTACCCAGGTTGGTGCGCCCGCGCTGTCCTTCACGCTCGAGCAGATCAATGGCGCCGCGCCTGAGGAGCTGCGCGACATTGCGGCAGAGCTGATGGTCGCGCTGCGGGAGTCTCGCACCTCCGCGGCCCATCACAAGCTTCAGTACAATATGCTGTGCATGGACAGCGTCGAGGCACAGAATCGCATGGCCGTCGAACTTGCTATGGCGCAGCGCGAGGTCGAAGTTCTCCAGCAGGCTGAGGAGCGGCGACGGAACGACATCGCCTCTCCTCACCAGAGCATGCAGCAGACGGTCAGCCCTGCAAACGCCGCCCTGTTGAACGAAATGAGCCGACACATCCAGATCCTCCAGAACGAGAACGAGGAACTCAGAGACATGTTGGACCACTCGAAACGCGTAACTGAGCGCAGGGAGGGGGAGATTGCCGGCCTGGTCGAGGAGAATGAGCGCCTGCGAGGCCGAATTCGGAAGAACAGGGACCATTTGAATGGCATCCTGGGGGATGTGTACGACACTGGTACACCAATGTCGATTACAAGCACGCCGCGGTACCCAAATACCCCTCGCAGCCGGAACCGGGCCCACACTGTGAACGACCCTAGGAAGCGCTCAGAGCAGGCTTTTGAAGCCTTGCTGCTTGCCGACAAGATGTTGAGTGAGAAGACTACGACGGCACCGGCGACACCTACCAGGGGACACCACCCACCGAAGGCACGCTTTAGTCATACCCGCGGAGCTCAGTCTCTCTCTTCAATGCCAGCCACACCTAACAGCAGATCCAGACCATCGCAGCAGCCTAGCACAGTGGCTGTTCCTCGTACTCCGCCAAGCTACCGCCCTGCGAAAGAAGCTCCGCGGTCTGCTCCGGCCGCGAACGTGCCCAAGTCACGTCGCCGGGAGAGCACTGACTCAACCATTACAGCCTCGAGCAACGAGAATGTTATCAACGAGTCCGACAAGGATACTGAGATTGACGAATCACAAGCCAGCCAGATGGCATCAAGTATGTTGCGGCGAACCCCACAGCATTACACTATGGGTGGATCGCCACATGCCAGCCAGAGCCAGAGTCAAAGCCATGGAAACAGGGGTAACTCGATCCAAGCAAAACTCTTCGGCCAGGTCAAGAAGCCTGGGGTAGGACGCCCCGCAGAAAAAGAGAAGCGAAGCATTTCTGGCGTTGAGGACAGTGAGCCTGGAAACTCGGCGAAAAGGAGTCGCGTTAGTGAGAGTGGCATTGGCCTAGGGATCGGAGGAGTGAGCAGTAGCCCGAAAACGTCGTAAAGCATCGAGTTTGAGTGTCTTACGATTGACGACTTTTTGTCGGCGTTGATGGCGTATTTGTTGATTCAGGTGAGAAAAATGAGGCTAGGTACCGTTTCATTGTAGCCTGGTTGTTAATTCGTCCGGAGCGTGATTCCCTCATTGTATGGCGGTCTCTCTTGGTGTTGAATGGAAACCTCAGGCAGGATACCTTCTCGTTCAAGTTTTAGTGGCCTACTTGGAATAGTCGATGGCAGGACTGTAGTAAATAGCGACATTACGAAATAAATCTGCATTGCATTGCCGGAAAAAAAAAATAAGAGGTTTGATGTCTCAAGATGCGTACTGGCCGAAGCAAGGTGAAAAAGTGTGGTCGCGCATTGCTTCTGTCTGAGGGCTACCAGAACAGGGTGAGCATTTGGTCCTGGGACGGACGTGAGTTCAAGGGCGAGTTGACAGAGCGGAGGTTCGGCTGGGGGCCAAGTGAAACGAGCGGAAAGCTTCCCCATGCGGCAGTCCGTCGCACCAGTCTCCGCCGCCAAGTCAACCCCCCGTCACGTCTCCGTCGCAAACACGCTGTCGCTCCCGCCCTTCGCTTTGCTAATACCCGCCTAATTCTAACTTCCATGGGCCAGTCATGAGAGTCGCAACTCCCGGCGCGCCATGGCTCCTCAGCGCAGCGCTCGTCGCGTTGCTGCTGCTCGCAGGCACGGCGCATGCCTCACTGGGTGACCGTCTACCGGACTTCAAGGATTGCGTAAAGGTAAGTGCTCGATGCGCCAGTTGCATTTCATCTCCGCCACGCGGCGAAGCTGAGCAACACCGAGCACAATTGACTGCGGAAAATTACTGGAAGCTAACATGTCTCGTCAATATAGGTGTGCACTGAATCCAACTGCGAAGGGCCAGACCAACCGCCCATCCGTACGTCTCCTTCCCTCCCGCCGTCCACTACGAGCCAATCGTCTACCGAGCATTTCACCCCCGATTGAATCACATAGCACAAGGTTTTCTGACACTATCACGCTCCCCCCACAGCCTTCCGGCACCGGCTCCTCCTTTGGGACTGCCCATCGGAATGCGACTACACCTGTCAGCACATCGTGACGGACAAGCGGCTCGCCCGGGATCCGCCGTACCGGTCGCCGGTGCTGCAATTCCACGGCAAGTGGCCGTTCCACCGCTTCATGGGCATGCAGGAACCTTTCTCGGTCCTCTTCTCGCTGCTCAACTACCTCGCCCACGCGTGGGGCATCTCGACGGTGCGGGCCCGCATTCCAGAGACGTACCCGCTGCGCCGCTACTACATCGTCTTCGGCTATTTTGGCCTGAACGCGTGGACCTGGTCGATGGTCTTCCACACGCGCGACTTCTCCTTCACCGAGAAGATGGACTACTTCGGCGCGGGCGCCTCGGTTCTCTATGGCCTGTACTACACCCCGATCCGTATCTGGCGCTGGGACCGCTCTGATCCGCCCTACCCTTCCGTTCGCCGTGCCTGGACTGCCCTCTGCCTACTGCTGTACGCTGCCCACGTCGCATATCTGACCCTGTGGAGGTGGGACTACACGTACAACATGGCCGCCAACGTCGCCGTCGGCATCGTGCACAATCTCATGTGGTCCTGGTTCGCCATCGAGCGCTACCGCCGTCTTAAGCGCACATGGGCCGCCTGGCCCGGTCTGATTGTTGCATGGATCATCATGGCCATGAGTCTCGAACTGCTCGATTTCCCACCCTGGAAGGGCATGATCGATGCCCATAGCTTGTGGCATCTAGGCACCGTCCTGCCCACGGTTTGGTGGTACATGTTTTTGATCAGGGACGCCGAGGAGGACTTACAGGGCGCGAGGTTGAAAGCGTGATCTTAGTTGTTTTGCGAACATAGAGGAACGAGCGAGTTTGAGATTGCGAGTGGGACTGGAGGGACGATATTGATTCTTCCTTCTCTTGCTCTTTTCTCAACCTCCTCTCCCATCTTCATCATCTTCTGTCGTTGGCACACTTGCAGGTTGGATTAGCGATCCAGACTTCTGCCGCCCCTATCTTCAAATCATTCATCTGAGTCCCTCCTTAGCGTTCCTAGATAACGTCTTCGAGCAGCGCTAGCTGGACGCTTATGTCCTGGTTTTCCTTTCCAATCGTATGGGTTACATGTCGCCGAATAAACACCAGTTCTTCCCAAGTGACCAGAGAAGACGGCCGGGACCCTTGATCAAACCCATCCCATCATCGGTCCATTTCAAATCAATAAAACACGGGTGACACAAGGGGCGAAAATAAACTAACATCCATTAACTGCCAAAGGCCCCTTCACATCCCTGTCAGACCCCACAAAAATAGCATGAGCGAGACGTCATCGCTGCTTCTTTACTTTGACATAGAAAATCTGCTAGAATTTACCTCGCGTACTTTTGCGTTACAGAAAAGGTAGATATCTTTCTCCCAAAAACAAGGTAGAAAAGAACGACACCTTGTCGAGAGAACTTGCTGATCGAGAAGGCAACTAGTACAGGCCGAGAGGGAGGGGGAAAATTAACGCACTGCATCGTCACGAGGCGTTACAGACCCTGTGACACATTGCATACACGGAAGACAGGAGACGGGCGGAGTAGGGATGATGAACGGGGAGGGGTATCAAAGACACTCGTCCCCGGTTCAAATCGGCATCAGGCGCCGATATCTTATGAACGATGAAAACCAGTATGAAGGGGAGGGGGGGAAAGCACGCAGACGAGTTATTTATGCACGAGGGAACAGATTTAAACCCTAAAGGGTTCAAAAGGGTTTGGTATATTTCTCCTCACGATACCCCTCGCATCGTTCTGTTCTTTTCTTCCCAACGTAGGTCTCTCTTCTCCTTGCACAAACTCACTCGCTCATTCAGCAGAAAACAAAAAACTTTGGCGGCACATGGAGAAACCAGCAGCAGCATCGTAAAAGGAAAAGAAGACAATTTTCCTTCCCTTCCTCTTCACTCTCGTGTCATCCCCTCAGCATCTTCAGTATGAAAGAAATCAAATCATCTTTCATCAGGCACGAGCCACCAGCCTTCGATATCCATTGACAACAAGGGATGGTGAAAAAAAAGGAAGAGAAAAGAAAGAGGAAAAGGGGGGGAAAGGCAAAAGGAAAAAGAAAAGAACAACTGCAACCCTGAATCAGTACCATCATCGTTCTGTCCGCTCCTCCTGATAAGCAAATACAAGCCCCGCCTTCGTTATGACTGCTGCCGCTCCTGCCCACGGAACCTTTGATTTTCATGCGTATCCTTGCCATCACAATCACCCTTGCGCATGCTATTTGCACCCCTAAGTCTCTGCTCTCCGTTGAAATCCCTGGCCCATGATCCCTGCTAGCGACTAATTGATGGTATGCCATTTCCTCCTGGACGCTACGAATCCGTGTCGACAGAATTGACGCGATGAAGCAGGGGGGAAAGTCATCGATCAACCTCTCCACTACTGAACATCGGGACGCGTTGATGTCCCGCCGCTGGGAGAAGTTGCCAGCACTTCCCCTTCCCCCTTCAACAGCCTGCAACACGTTCCGGGGCTAACCCGGCAACGACTCATAAGGATATCCGCTGCTCTTGATGAGCGTAGGGTAGAGGCCGAAAAAGTCCACAAAGGAGGCTCCCACCCTGTTCTACGCCATAGAAGCATAAGATAATGACCTTTCGAAAAGAGACGGTGGTGACTCTGGGAATAGATCTCAATTTGGTTCTCCAGGCATCGTGTGAACCCCTCACTGCCAGTGGTTCTGGTTGTTCATGAAGCCTTCCTCGAGAGTTCGGTCCTCGAGCGTCCGAATAAAATCGCGGTTTCCGCGGTGACGACCTTGTCCGCCGGTGCCAGTTGCACGGCTATCACGCCTCCTTGCACTAGCAGGATTTCCATCAGGCGCCCCGTCGGGGGGCGGTGGGTAGTAGGCAGGGCTGGGCTGCAGCCTGACAGGAGCGTTGGGGTCCAAGTGACTCATCACTCGTTGCAGCGCAGGGGGAATCCCATTCGGCTGTTGGTCCATTGTCGATGCTCTCTGCCGCCCCGCTCTTGTCGTTGCTTGTGCGTAGAGATTTTGCTGCGGGTTGTACCGGGGGGTCTGTTGGACCAGGCTCATTTGCTGGTTGTAGTTCGGTTGCGCAGGATATGGAGGAGGTGCACCTTGGTGGCTTGGGCTGTACATGTTGTTATACATGGCCGGACTTTGAGCGTGTGGGCTTTGCGCATACTGGTTCATCTGCATGTTAGCGTAAGCGGCGCTCTGCGCTTGAGCTTGCGCAGCCTGCTGTTGAGCCCGCTGTCTACTCAAAGCTTCAGCACGCTGCTGCTCGACAACACCCGGTGCGGGGGACCTGTTGGAACCGGCTCTCATCGTCATCGGGGGTATGAAAGGCCCAGTGAACTTCTGCTGCGTGATGAACGGATGCATCTTCGCCTGATTGGGGGTCCATCTTTCCAGAGGGTTGAGGTTCAGGAGCCCTTGGGCGAAGTCGATGAAAGCGTGGCGATTGGCCATTTCTGGAACATGTCAGAATGTTATGCCGAAAGCGTTCGGATCGTCCGGCACTCACCTCTCTCAATCTCCGCCGGTTTCATGTTCTTCCTCGGCATCGGATAGTTTTTGATGATTTCCGGAAGCGTCGTAGCAGAGAAATACTTCTTGCTCGGTTGTTCCTTGGTGCCGTGCTCGCGCGAGTATTGCTCCATACTCTTCAATCTCCAAGTCTTTCTGCCGAATTCGTCTTGCACCTTCTCGAAAAATTCTCCAGATTGCTTGCCCATCTCTAGCATCCATGCCGGAGGGAGACCCAGCATTTCTGTGATCCGTGCGACCTGGTTATACTCGGATGATCCTGGAAACAGCGGTAATCCTAAGAACAGCTCCACAACAATGCAGCCCAACGACCACATGTCGATAGCCGCCGAATAGCTACGAGGAGTTAGATTCCTACCAAGTTTTGCGAGGTTGGGCGTAAAAACTTACGGGAGACCCAGAAGAACCTCTGGGGAGCGGTAGAAGCGCGACTGAATGTACGTGTAGACAGTCTGTCGTTCATCGCACGCAGAGCCAAAATCGATAATCTTGATAATCGGGCTCTCAAGGCTGGGAAAAGTCAGAGGCCGGCTAATTTCCAGGACGTGGTTTGAGACTCACTTCTTTAGCAGGATATTCTCCGGTTTCAGATCGCAATGGATCAGTTTGGCCTTGCCAAGCAGTGCCAGGCCATTGAGCAGTTGCTGCGCAAATACTCGCACGAGTGTGGTACTCAGACCACGGAATTGGTTTTGCTTGATCAACTCGTACAAGTTAACGCTGAGCAGCTCAAAGACAAGGCAAAGATGTTGCCTGTGGATGAACGTGTCCTTCAGGCGCAGGAGATGGTGGTCGTCGTTTTTGTCCATCTGCTTGTTCAACTGGGAAAAATGTCAGCGAGCCTCAGACAAAATGTTTGGCAAACCCACCAGATCCAAAACCGACACCTCCATCATGCTCTGGTTGAAATAGGCAGTCCTGTTCTTGATGACCTTCACAGCGACAACCTCTTGCGTCCGGAGGTTCTGGCACTTGACCACCTGCCCAAAAGTACCTTGACCCAAGACATCCAGAATAAGGTAGCGGTTCCTATATCACGGTCAAAAGAATGCTCTCCAAACAGAAACATGAGGCCGTACTTGTGGCCCGATTCCTCCGACCCCAGAATATCGTTGACATAGAGGATGTAATCACTGTCCTCGTTGTCGTAGCCATCATTCTTGACACCCTTGCTCGGCTTGGTGAGAACTCTGCGCGGATTTCTCGAAGACTCGTACTTGAAGTTGGGGTTACAAATGCGGTACGTCGCAGGCAAGTGGGTCGTCAATGCTTGCAGCGGCTGTACAACACCCATTAGCGACCAGACCAACCACACCCTTCATTCCGCACTCACACTTATGAAACCGCCCTCTGGGTTTGCTCTCCGAAACGGCGGCTGCTCGTTAATGCGTGGCTGCAAATCTGCGGTGTTGAGGCACTTTGTGAAAGTCGGCACAGGGCCGCGGGTTGCCTGGGGCGACATGGGGGTTTGCGTGGCCGGATTACGCGGTGACCGGGCGTCTCGTCCGTATGCAGCGTTGAGCTGTGCCGTGGCTGATTGCGGATAGTAGTGATCAGATGTGTTCAGGTTGGATTGGATCGGAGGCAGCTGCGGCGGGTTGGCTCGCGACGCTGTTTACAGGGCAATAAGTCATAGTGACCACACAAGCGAGAAGGCGACAGCAGCAGCGGAAAGAAGAAGGACATGACTCACATGGCGGGGAATAGTAGCTCTGAGGAGGTGACATGTAGGGATTCGAGCGAGTGGGCGACTGGCGGGTGGATTGCGGGGAAAAGCTAGTGTAGTTGGCGGCGTTCTGCTGGGAGCCAGGGCCATAGGGCGATGACGGCGATAGGTTCATTGGAGAGTAGCGGCGCGCAGCGGCCGAAGCCTCTTGCTCCTGAACGTAGGCCGTCGAGGTGCGACTTGGCTGGGCGGACTTTGCAGCATACCGCGGCTTGTAGGGATCCGCGTCCTCCATTGGCACATCGCCGTCGTTGTCTCCGTTGTGGTAGCTGTGCGAGCGCTGCTGCAGGGCGGGCGGCGAGCTGATCTGCATGGAGGCGGCGCGCGAGGCGATGGAGGGCGTGTTGTACGAGTCCTGCTTCGCGTAGTGGTCCTGCTTGGCCTCGGGCCGTGGCTGGGGTTGCGCGGTCGGGTCGCGCTGTGGGTGCTGGGTCGTCGTCAGGCTGGGCGGCGCAGCGTAGTAGCGCGTCTGGCGGGTGGCGGGCGTGCTCTCGACGTACGAGGCCCACTGCGAGTCCATGGCGACGGCTGGGCTGCTTCGGGGGAGGTGGGGGAGGGTCGGCTCAGGTGCGCATAAGGTGAAGCTGGTGAGCGCGTGGGTGGGTGGAGAGGCGGCGCCCGGCGGGCGCGTGCGAGAGATGCGAGAGGGAACGAGAGAGAAGAGGGAGCTGGCGGGCGACACGTGGTGGGTGCGGATGCGTCAATCCTGGGGTTGTCGTCGTTCGCGGCAGCAGCGATAAAGATAGTGATAGGTAGAGCCTGAGAGGCTTGTCGGGCGGGCGCGAGGGCGTCAAGGGCCAAGGTCACGAAGACGCTCGCTCGGCGGGTATGCGGCTCGCGCTGCAGGAAGAGGCGCTGAGGCGGATGCGTTGGGCAGACTTGAGGACGACAGGCTGCGTCAGGTTGCCGGGCTGGGCTCAGAGCTCCAGCAGCCAGCTTGTCGTGGTGCTGGGCCTCAGGCTGCCTGGCAACCATCAATGCAAGCGGCCACTCAGCGCGCGCAGCCAAGGATCCGCCCATCTCTCTCTGCTACCGCGCACGCCATCCATCGTCGAGCCCGTCCGGCCGTCATCGTCGTCATCGCCGCGCACGTTCGCCGCGCGAAGCACTCTGGCCTCCGCACAAAGCGACGCGCCTTTGTGCCAGACGGGCGCAGGCAGCTCAGCCGTGTCTAGACCATCTCACGAGACAGCACGCTGCCCTCAGCCCACGCTGCTCTGCCGTGGAACTGGACGACGCTGAGATGATCGCAGTTTCCTGAAATTTGCTAGGGACCAGCCACGCCCGCCTTGCGTCACCACGCCAGGTGGCTGCCGCCGGTGAGCCCTCTCTCCTCGCTCCCCTCCACAACAAGCCGCCGCAAAGGGCAAGACCCGGTGCCTGGCAGGGGTCGAGCCGCCTTCTTGCCCGAGCGGGTAGGTGGATTCTCAAACAACGCCGTCGACCACCACCAGAGAGGGCCGTTTGTGTGTTTGCGCTGCCGCCCGAGCCCGCGCGTATCGGCTGCCTCTTCCCGCTGAGCATTCGCCGAAAACATGCGCTTTTCGTATACTGGAGATGGCCGCTTCAAACGATGTGCGCTCGACATCCAATCAAGTCGCCGCAACCCGAGCTGCCCCAGGTGCAGAGCGCACGAGTTCCAGAGCCGGGAGCGTATGGTAGCCGAGGCGCGCTTACAACGCCTTCGGCACCTACCCGAGCACACCAATCGCGGCGAAACCTCCCCATGAGACCTCCTTTGTCCGCCTTCCTCTACGCCAGCCAAGGAACACGATTCTCATTGACGCAGGTACCATGTAACGGCGTCTGGCTTGCGCTTCCCGCCATCGCGCTGCTGGCCCTTCATCCGTGGGTGATGATGATGCCAAGCAGTGCTGCAACTCAAACTGTAAGAAGCGATGAAGGCACGGGAAGCTTCCTGGTGGAACACACCCAAATCTTGACACACTGAGTTTGCTATCTCCATGTCCACGCCTTGAATCACCTTCCTGCAGATCTTTGGTCAGTGTGCACGAAACAAGGGGCGCTATCGCCAGCTGGAGAGCAGTGGAGTGCGACCAAAGAGCTCAGCTTGGACCTGTTCTCGTTTTTGCGGTGCTAGACGGCCCACAAACAGACAAGACCTTCTCTGCAGATCTCTTCTGTCCAGCTCCGCTACGTGTAAGGGCCTCGCTTGGGGCCCGGCTTTCGCAGGTGAAACAGCACATCTGCGCAGCAACTCGGCTTTCCTTCCGACAACATCAACATAGCCGCTATTGTGCAGCGCTCCAATTTACCAGGGAGGATTGACGTCAAACTATTGAAACCCCGTAAAAGGCGAGCAATGACTCAAAGCTACACTGCTGACATGGACAGAAGAACGTCATGTAGTCAATTATGCTTTTAGTGTTTGCGATATGGCCAATGCTGGTATTGAGCAAAGCTTTCGCATCATCTCATCCAGCTGGCATACCACTTGTCCGGAAACGGCGCTCTACAAATCATTTTCAAAACCAAAATCACGTTCCAGGCACCGTCTGACAATCTCGTTGTACTACCCGCTTAGTCGCATCGGTTTCTGATTTAGCTTTCCCACCATAACGATGCAACCGCTTCTTCTATCGCGGCTTTCACTATCTCCGCGCCCTCCCTCCTACTTCACCTCTTAGGCCACGTCCTTAAACCCTACCGCTTTCGTACTTTGGGAGCTAAAGTAGGAGGGCGAGTACGGAGGAGATAGATGCCGGAGCCGCTTGAACGATCCACAGCTCATATTAAAACCCCACTGTACGATGCTTCAAGTTTTGGGTTCTTTGCGGACGTCTTTTACAGCATAGCTACACCAGATTTTCATAATGTCTTCGTTGCACGCTAACATGCTGTGTTTGAGCTGAAATAGTGTCTCTTCAAACCGATTGATAGCTAACCCTGTTCATCATCTTGTATTCATGCTACAACTCGGCCGGCCTCAGCGCCGTTGGTGTCTCAACCCAGTCAAAGTTCCCGAGGGACCTGGTCAACCACACATCAGCCGGGCCCTGCGCTGCCTTTGGCTTCGCGCCCTCCTGGAACATGGTGCCGCTGAGGAAAGTATGAGGGAATCCGGGATCAAAATCGTACGCCGACTCGACTCTCTCGATCTCCTCCTCGGTCAAGGCCACGCTCAACGCATCGATGCTCCCCTGGATATGCTCGACCTTCCTGCCGCCGACGATGGGGAAGACGTAGGGCGTCTTCTGGATGACGTAGGCCAGCGCGACGCTCAGCAGCGGCACGCCCTTGGCATCCGCAACCTCCTCCAGCACCTTGGACACCTGCACGTCGCGCTGCGACAGCGGCACGAACTTGCGGCCCGGGTTGTTCTCGGCGCGGCGGCGGAAGCCCTCGGCGGTCTGGAAGCGGCCCTGGTTCAGGGTGCCGTACGGGCACAGGCCCATGCCCTCGTCGCGGCACATGGGGATGATGTCGCGCTCGAAGTCGCGCATGGCCGCGTTCCACATGCCCTGGTAGACGGCGAAGGGCCGTAGCCCGTGGTCGCGTGCGTACTGGTTGCACTTGGCCACGATCCAGGCGGGCGTGTCGGAGATGCCGAGGTAGTGCACCTTGCCGGCGGACACGAGGTCGTTGAGGGCGTGCATCAGCTCCGGGATCGTGACCGAGTAGTCCCACCAGTGCAGGTAGAAGAGGTCGATGTAGGTGGTTTGGAGCTTGCGGAGCGAGTGCTCGAGCGAGAGGCGCATCGATTTGGTGCCGTTGCCGCCGTAGTTGGAGCCGATTGCGTCGGACGGGTGCGGTTTGGAGGCGGACGTGTATTTGGTTGCGAGAACCAGCTCATCGCGGTTCTGGCGTGCCGCCATCCATTCGCCGAGCCACATCTCCGACTCGCCGTCTTGGTAGGCATTCGCCGTGTCGATGAAGTTACCGCCATTGTTGTAGAAGGTGTCGAGGATAGCAAAGGCTTCTTCCTTGGTGATTTCTCCGTAGCGCTCCTGGTGGCTGGTGCCAAAGGTCATGGCGCCCAGGCAGAGGGGCGACACACGAATGGACGCGTTTGGCGCCAGTTGACGGTGTCGAGCAAGGAGAGACTTGGGCTTGTCAGCGGGAACTCCGGGAGGTGCCATCTTGATTGAATGTATTCAGGATATTGTCTGAGAAAGTGGTCGATACAAGGCGCAGATGTTGGGAGATATAAGTACTAAGGCCTGCATGCACCATGAAGGCACATAACTCTTTATATCCGCCCAAAGTCCGTAGAACTACCGTTGAATCTTCGTACTATGAGCTCATAATACCTTCAAGTCCGGGGTTAATGGAGTGGTGGCATGTATCCGAAGTTTCCCCTCGGCCGAAGGAGCTCTCGTTGTCGGCGTTCAGTTTGGGTCTCGTGGCTTATTGAGAGGAGTGGAGGATACGGAAGAAAAGGCCATCTGCGAGTATAAGCCTCTTATGGGTTTTGTCGTGGTCCATGGACTCAATGACTCCGGTTCCGGCCAAGAGCTGGCTTCTGTGCTTCACTTCCTGCTCAACCACATCTAACACCTGCTCTTATATTTATGGACAATGAGAAAGCAGAGGGCTTCAAGTTGTAGCGAGATCACCTCTTAGCTAATGGAAAATGCTTGACAGAGGCCCAAGTAGATCTGAGCTCATATCTGGCGGCTGTCGAAGCGTCAAGCTATGGCGGCGAAATTTCTCTTGGGACAGGATCCAACTTGTAGTTTTTACCTTCCATGGAGTTGGTGCGTAGACGGCACTGCCTGAGTAGCAAGCGCGTGGAAATTGTTCACGTTTAAGAGTAAACGGTGTGGTTGGAGATGCGGGGCCTCGACCGTCAGGCTCAAGTAGATGGCCGGCGGTCGAAGGCCCTGTCGCCGCGGGCGGCCGATGGCTGAACTTGAATTTCAATATGAACTTTTTGCACATGCGGTAATTGTACCTTAGTGGGCAGGTTTCGGGGCATGACGCCGGTCGGAAGCGCTGTCGAAGGCCGTTATTGAATGAAGTCGCGTAGAGGACGAAGCTGCGGGAGTTAACGAGATTAACATCTCTATCACCGGTTCCGGCTCCGATGCGGTTAAAAGCTTGAGCATGGTGACACAGAGGGTGAGCGTCTGTTGCTGGGCTCCCGGTTATATGTTTTAACGTTATAAGCCAAAGATGAGTGGCAACGGCTTTGCCTTAACCCAGACGCACACAGCACGGCTCGATAACAATATGTATACTGTGGTGAGGGCGACAACCTGAAAAAAAAAGAAACTAAGTGGGTCACACTTAGGGATGGCGATGCGGGCGAAGAAAAAGAAATAGAGCGGTGCATCAAAGGGCAAAAAGCAACCGTAGTCGGATCCTGACGCCTATCCGTTCGTTCGCAAGCCCTCCCCCAACCCAGTGCAGGAACCGGTATGACACTGAGCTAGGATCGAACCCTTGAACTGCTTCATTTAGACGTTCACCTAAACGGGTAACCCACAGATCACAAACCTTCGGGTTTAACGACTTTAAGGTCCTGGTGGCAAGGCATAGTGCCGTAGCATGTTACATTGCGCTAACCATCTGTAATCGGAGCGCTTGCTTTCGCGGTTTATGTATTGCAGGGTCAGATACTGTGTCCTGTTGAGCTCACGCCTGGGGATGCTTGCCTGCGTTTGTTTCCCATCGCCCGTCACTTCACTTCATCAGTCGCACGTCTAACACCGCGCAACAGCTCCAGGCGCACCGTATCTCAACAAAAACATCCACCTCAGCCAGAAATTCCCACTCGCTTCCTGACAGCCAGCCATACTTGCGTCTAATCGCTTCGGACCTGCAGCCACTGCAAGGCGCGAGCCTGGCTCGGCGTCCACGACGACAACAGCAACAACATCAAAGTGCGGCGGCCCACCCAAAAGCTGCCAAGTGTGACCACCGCGCTGCGGAGGGGCCGCATGACGACACGAGGCTCTCTCGGCGGACGGCGTGGTGTTGCTTCCCGCACGGCAGCTCACCGTTGCACACTGTCTATGCGATAGCAGCTTGGTGGTCAAGGGCGAACACGCGTACGACGGTCCGCCGCTGAGGATGCTGTACGGTGAGAATTAGTTCGGGACCGAATCTGTGCGTATTTCAACGTCGACCCATTCCTGCACTTCGGCCATCATCGAAGTTCACCTGGACTGATTGGGAACATCATCCTCGATACGAGTCTGCAATGAACAAAGCGCTAAGAGAACCCATGAATGTAACGTCAGAGTACGAGGATTGAGCTTATCGTGAGATATAGCAGCTATAAAAGGAAGAAGGAAGCGCCAAGTGTAATACATGTTGAAGCATGGATCAAACAAGAGGACAGAAAACTACCCCATCAGTGATGCGACTCAATGATTGAGAAAGCTGCCGCTTACCAGAAGATTCATGCGCCACAGAATGACCCGCGTGGTTGGTACTAAGTCCTGGTATCAAATAAACTCATAACCGCTTAACCATTCAGTCGGAATCGCATAGGTCTATGACCTCTACATGCGTCGTCCTCTGACGTTTCCGAGAAGGCCCGTCGGTAACCTCCATGTCAGAGTCCATCTCGCTGGAGACGCTTGGTAGGGTGAACATGCTGCTACTTTCTCTTTCGCGCTTCAGCTCCTGCTTGACGACTTGTTGGGCAGATTCCCGTTCCTGCATATTTATATCAGTGGAGGATCACAGAGTGGAGGATGAGGTGCATACTCTTTGGCGCCGCACAAGCTCTCGTAGTTCATCAGGTGTGAGCTCCTCGATCGGCCGCTCTTCCAAGGGCACAGGCGTCGGACTCCGTGGGATAATGCACTCAGCTTGCAGAGCTTTCCGTGACCGATACCTGAAGGTGAAGACTGCGAACGGCTGCCTCTTTCCATCCGTGTAGTCCTCGTATTCAAAATCCCATGTAATCCAAGCACCGCTATGCCTGGCTTTCCCCAGACTGATTGCTGTTAGTCTTTGCTGCGGAAGTCGGAGACTGTACGCACCTTGCTTGATGAGAGACAGCTCGGCCTTTTAGGGCTCTCTCGGGCACTTTGTCCATAGTGCTGAAGGCCTTTCGGCTTCCTTCGCCAACCGACGGGACTGCTCGGCCTCGGTAAAGCTTGAGTGTGATCTCTCCAAGAAGGTCCAGCTTCTCCTTGAGTCCTTTAATGGCAGCACTTTGACCAGCCTCGTCTGTACCAATGGTAAGCACAGCACGAGGAGGGGATAGCGCTCGGCGAGTACATACCCATCATGATATCGGAAAACATCATAGGTCTCTCGACGTAGCGGCCCTTTTCCTTCTTCCATACTCCGGACATCTTGACGGTGAAGGAATCCTGGTGCTTCACAGCGTCTGGTCGGAAGATGCGGCCATCAGCATACTTACCGTCAACGTGAACGATTCCGTTGATGGCCCAGTTCCTGTATTTGAACTCAGCAGCGTGAAAGGTCCACTGGATGTGAAACTCGGCGCCAGAGACTGCTTCGATGTAGCGGGTGGCCTGCCTCGGCTCATCTTGCAACTCGTCGCTCGCAAACTCGGTGGCCGGCTCTCCGTTCACATGGACCTCGACCTCGAGACCGGGTAGGCGTTCGAGGATAACCATATTGCAATTCAGGACTCGCGTGTCTTTCGGCAGATTCGTAAATGTATGCACTCCAAGGTCATTATAGAGTGGAAGGCCAAAGTAACGTGACTTGGTAGGCCAGGTCGCGGGTAGTCCGTCACCGGGATATCACGCACGTGAGGGAGAGGTCTCACTGGCAGACTGAAAGAGCACTAGGCCGATACGAGGGGCTGCTGTACGCAGATGCCTTGCGGGGATCGTTTCTGCGCGCACGCGTGCACGTGTCACACTGACGCGCGCCCTCTGTGCAGATAGCGCGTTAAGAGCGCCACGGGGTCCCTCGGCTGGCTGCAAGCGACGGTACGCAAGTGACTGGGCCGCCTTCTGTCCGGGGTGCGAAGAGCGTGAGTGTCTCGATAAGGAGCCTTGAGAAAGAGAGAGAGTGGGCACGCGCGTCGTTCGAAATGTTTCAGGAGGACTGGGTTTGGATGAGTCAGGCAGCAACATCCGGGTTAAATATACTCCTACCGAGAAGCTTGGCGCTGACCTCCTACCCGGCGTATCTATCGATTTGAACTCAAAGAAGCCTTTTCAGGCACCGAGAATTGCAAGTCTGCAACCTACATCGCGGTAGATAGGTAAGAACAACGCATGTTTCGCATTGGGGTCGACTTATCTCACATAGTATCGAGAAAAAGTTTTTCGTAGAGCGTAGACAGGTTAGCAGAAAGGCGGAATGCAATTTCTACAGCATATAAGCCAGTGTTTCCAATGTTAAGAGCCATTAAGAAAAGAGGAGTTCTGCATAAGATGTAAGAAGGGTGTGATTGGTTCGAATAAACTCGCTTTCGGCGCTAGCTATCTCGGGGTTAGCGTCACTGTGACTTCCAAGTCGACGCCATCAACGCCTTCACCACCGTCCACCAGGAACAAGCATTGTGGGGGATGCCTGGCGACGATCTTCCGGAGTGTAAAAGAAAGAAGGTGTGTCAGTGCTTTGACGGCACATGCCGAAGCCACGCACACCCTCATGCCAACACCACCGGAAGTATCCGCAACTGTAGCCAGGGTAGCAGAAAGAGCTGACGTACCTGCAGTGGCTATACGGCTGTTACGGCGCAGCAGGAGAGTAGACTACTCAAGTATATTGCTACCGTCTTGGCAATCCGAAGGCGGAGCCATGTCTAAGTCCGAGTCTGTCGGCCACAGCAATCACTGTCACTACACTGTCTTCGGGACTTTGCAACAGGAGAACTAGACGCACACTATTTCGAACATCTCTAGAGATCACAGCCTAGATAATAGGAGTGCACCTTTCAATAGGCATGGATGTCCGGTAAAGCCGAGAGAGAATAGAGCATATCAGCGAGCCCCGAGCCTCGGGCGTCGGAGATACTGTGAGTAGCCTATAGCCTCCAGCATACTACTTTCTTCTTCCCATTCCTCTCGGTCCGTGCCGAAACTAAGCATTTTCTAGAGCAGCGGACGCGTCACTCCGTATGCTCATCATGATTTCAGGACCGAGCCACCCCTCTGCCTGCGGTGCAATGCCCTTTAGCGTGGGAAACTTTCGGCGAGTACTGCTGCCATGGCCCGATCCACGGGTGTTCAGATCAAATGAAACATCGAGCTTTACGAAACAGCGACAACGGAACAATGCCATGGTCTGTGTGCTATCGTCTCTTCGATCAACGCAGGGACGCTCCGATGGCCTTCCTGGAGCAAGCTCGGGATGTGCCACACTATACACACGTACTTCATGACGCGGCTAAGAGCTAACTGATTATGGCTTCCGGATGGCTACTCTTACATATAGCTTTGGACGGCCTGATCATCACTCTCTACTTCTCCAGCACTCACACTTTTGCTACCTTCGTTTGACTATCAGTTCGCTCGTTGACAGCCATGCGCCAATCCTCCCGCACGGCTGCGGCCGCCCTTGTAGCGGCCACTACTGCAAGTGCTGCATCGCTTGCGGATCTCTGTACCGTTGCCAACGTCCAATCGGCGCTGCCGGCTAACGGAACCCTTCTCGGCATCGAGCTCCTTCCGTCTTCGGTCACGGCCAGCCCTGTCTACAATGCCTCGACCGGCGGTGGCATGAGCATGTCCACCACCTCCAGCTCGGCTACTTACTCGTACTGCAACGTCACGGTTGCTTACACTCGTCCGGGCAAGGAGTCGACCGACAATGTTGTCGTCTGGTACGGTTTCCCCAGCCCCAGCGACTTCAAGAACCGTTTCTATGTCGGCGGCGGCGGTGGCTATACCATCAGCACCAGCGCCACCGGTGGTCTGGCTTACGGTGCCGTGACCGGCACGACCGATGCCGGATATGACGGCTTCAGCAAGAGCTACGACGAGGTTGTGCTCTACGGAAACGGCTCCATCAACTGGGATGCCACCTACATGTTCGCCTACCAGGCCTTGGGCGAAACGACACTGATCGGAAAGGCACTCACCAAGAACTTCTATTCGACCAGCGACAAGATCTACACCTACTTCGAGGGATGCTCCGACGGTGGTCGTGAGGCCATGAGCCAGGTCCAGCGCTGGGGCGAGGAGTACGACGGTGTGGTGGCGGGTGCTCCTGCCTTCCGCTATGCCCAGCAGCAAGTTGTGAGTATTTCCAAACTTTTGGCCCCTGGCGAACAGTGAACTGACCAAGAAAACCCCGCAGAACCACGTCTTCTCGGCTACTGTTCTGCACACCCTGGGGTACAACGCGCCTCCTTGCGAGCTTGAGAAGATCGTGAACTTGACCATCGCGGCCTGCGACCCGCTCGACGGCCGCAGTGACGGCGTCGTTTCCCGCACTGATCTGTGCAAGATGAACTTCAACCTCAACACGACCATTGGAGAGCCGTACTACTGCGCCGCCGAGAACAGCACGTCTCTCGGCTTTGGCTTCAGCGGCGGCGCCAAGGTTAAGCGCCAGCAGACGACTGGCTCCACGACGAGCTACACGCCGGCGCAGAACGGCACCGTCACCGCTGAAGGTGTCGCCGTCGCCCAGGCCATCTACGACGGCCTTATTGGCTCTGACGGCAAGCGTGGCTACCTGTCCTACCAGACGGCCTGCTCTCTCGACGATGCTTCGACCACGTACGACTCCAGCACCGGCGAGTGGGAGCTCAGCATCCCGTCCACCGGTGGTGAGTTCGTGACCAAGTACGTGCAGCTGCTGGACCTCGACAACCTGGAGTCCCTGGACAACGTTACCTACGACACCCTGATCGACTGGATGAACACGGCCATGGTCCGCTACCTTGACAGCCTGCAGACCACGCTGCCTGACCTGACGCCCTTCCAGAAGTCTGGAGGTAAGTCATTGCCGTTCCCCTATACGAAGAGAAATCATTAACACGTAACCACCACAGGCAAGCTTCTCCACTACCACGGCGAGTCGGACCCCTCGATCCCGTCAGGCTCCTCGGTGCACTACTTCGACAGCGTGCGCAAGACCATGTACGCGGACAAGTCGTACAACGAGTCGGTCGAGGCGCTGGGCGACTGGTACCGCTTCTTCCTCGTTCCGGGCGCGGCGCACTGCGGCTCCAACAGCCTCCAGCCTGGCCCCTACCCGCAGAGCAACATGGACATCATGATCGACTGGGTCGAGAACGGCGTCGTGCCCGAGCGCCTCAACGCCACCGTCAGCTCCGGCGACAACGCTGGCGAGACCCAGATGCTGTGCAACTGGCCCCTGCGCCCGCTGTGGAGCGGCAACACCACCGATTTCGACTGCGTCTACGATCAGGCCAGCATTGACAGCTGGACCTACACTTTCGATGCCTTCAAGATGCCTGTCTACTAAGGCCATTGGGCTGAATTTTGGCAAGTCTGTGCCACCAGGCTTTGAATTGTAAATATTTGGTGGGAGAAACGGGATTTTCTTCTTCTTGAGACCGTCGAGATATTCGACGATTTTATGTGAGATGTATGATAGATGAAGCCGTAAAAAATCACAAATCTTGGTTGATGAATTTCGCAAAACTACACTTGAAGATATCACCATCAGGCCGGTCTGTGTGGTAAGATACGACAAGAAAGCAAACTATACGTGACAAAGCTGGCCAAAGAGAGTAGAAGAAACAGAGGCTCCTTAGATATTCCCCTAATCGGTAAGTTCAGTAGGCACTTCTCTGATCAACGTCGCCTAAGCGATAATGTTGGATCGCCCCAGAGGTGCCCCACAAAACGTTGGCTCGCGATTCGAGTACATAACCTTAACTTCTAGGGCTGATCCTCTTCGCAAGGGAATAACCGAGAGCGATAAGCGATTACGAGCGACCACTCACCAGCCAACGAAACGTATCTGTAAAGATTCAGGGACATCAACGATATATGGGGAAGACAGATCAGTTGTGCCGCTCTTCCAACCTTTAACAATTTCTCATATGAGGGAAACGGCGATTCAACGGAATGGAGCGCTGAATATGAAGCGAGATAAAATGAAGGTGTAGAAAGCGGGGTGCTTGTATCAACAAGAGGTTGAAAATGAGTAGTGTCGGTGCTGCCTGATAGTCGAACAGTCTGTGCGCGAGGTAGTTCATTTAGCTTCCGGCACGGGGGGTGTGACCCAGCCATGGTCTAAAAATAAGCATCAACGCCAGACCAACGCGCTCCCGCGACGATCTACGCGCTGATTCGCCGGAGTGCAATCTACTCAAGCAAAATGAAGGATTGGCTGATATCAGTGCCCGATGAAGATCCGGTTGCCGCACGGATATGCTCGGTGAATGTCAAAATTATCTCCGGGCTCAACGAGACTGAAATGTAGCGGGTTTTCCACGAGAAAATGGGTGAAAGGCGCTGTGATCAACGCAAACTTAGCCTCAGTCGATCAAGCCACGATGGATCTCTTTCCACACCGCCCATGCTACGACCATTCAAGCGGCTAAACGCATCAGCGCTAAACAAGTAAAAACAACGCCGAGTCACCGGTCTGTGCTGTTGCTGTCCCTAGCGTGGGGGCTGAATTAGCTCGACGTTCATATACAATCGCCACAGAGCGCCCTTGAGCCTCAAACTTCCGCACGATCTCGTTCCTGCGTCGCAGTGGGGGCGGTAGCAAAATGAACAAGCCGCGTATGTCACTCTACACTCTGTACGCCCACTTGAAGCTAACCAAGAAATAGCAGCGGAGCACGAGTACATGCTGGGGGACGAGAGCGACCGCTCGCTTAACGGTTCCGGTGTTCAAAAGCCGCCTTCGAAGGAATGGGTCCCAGACTGGCTGCGTAAGGTCCGGCTGTTCGCGCTGGCTGCGTACTGCATCATCTTCGCCATCGTATTGGAAGCGCTGGACATTACAATCCGACGACACCATGGCCTGGCCGCAGACGACAAACACTCCACAAGCATCAATGCTGCTCGATACGTTCCCACCGTGGGCATCGTTTTGCTGGGATTCGCATGCAAAGCCGTCGCCAGCGACGCCAAGAGAGTCACACCATGGGCATCCATGTCCCGCAAATGGTCCAAGAGCTCGCATTCGGTTGCGCTCGATTACATCAACAGCATCGAAGTCTTCTCGATTTTCTCTTCTGCGCGGAGGGGACACTGGGCCGTGTTCGTGGGCTTGCTCGTCTGCTTCATCTGCGGCGCCCTGGTCGCTGTTGCCAACGCTTTGACCTACATCAACCTCTTTGCCTCATCCTCGGAGCCCGGAACTTTCAACAAGGCAACCACGTTCGACTTTGACGGGACTTTGGAGAACACTGGGAACGAATCGCTGTCGATCGCGTACACGTATGAGGGCCAACAACCCTACGCTGCCGTGTATGCCGAACTACTGCCCAACGGCCGGTCTGCTGCCTGGACCAAGGATAGCTACGTCTTTGAATCTTTCACCAATACCTCCCAACTCGCCGAAAACACTACCATCGAGGCGCCCACCAAAGCATTTCACACTGGCTGGACCTGTCATCCCCTCAACCTTGAGCAGAAGGACAAGTACGACTATGGCATCTACTTCAGAGCGGACGTGAGCAAACAGCCTGAGTTGAACTGCAGCCAAGATGTGCAGATGAAATGGCAAAACGGCTTTGATGTGAATAAGAAGACGTTGGGGTTTTTGAATGTCACAGCGTGTAATGACGACGGTTCGGACCTACGGCTTGTCTCGATACTCGGGGAGAGAGTCAACGCCACTGTAGTGAGACCGAAGAACGACACGGACACGTTCAACACAACCGTGGTCGGCGTCCTGTGTTCGCCTTTGCCCACTCTCCAGGATGCCACAGTGCGAGTCAATGCGTCGACGGGTGAGGTAATCCAGTATCAGCTGGGCTCATCGGCTCCCTCTCCGGCGGACATCAAGACATCGATGAACGCGCTGTACATCTACTTGAACAACCCTGTGGACGGTTGGACTCAAGAGGCCTTTGCCCACAACTACTTGGGATGGACGTACAACACAGAGCCCCAAGCAAATCTCACATATGTCACCATGGCTGCATCTTATTTTGTCGAGCAGTATTACATCGACCCCTTTTCATCCCTCCTCACGAATGACCAGGCAGCCTTGGAAATTGGGTCGTACCTGGGACAGCCGCAGAAGCTCAAGGCAGCGGTAGAGCAGCAAGCAAACAGAATCATGGCCCAGATGGTCAACTCACTGGCGCGGACCAACCTTACTGGTAGCGTGGACGGAGAACTTTGGACCGCTGGACCGAAGATGTTTCTCCGTCAGGCTGCGTTGCGGGCTTTGCAAGGCCTCTTGGTTTTTGTTGCCATCATCAGCATTTTGCAGAGCACTCTGTTGCGGCCGAAGACGATTCTGCGGGAAGACCCGGGCTCGATCGCAGCGAAAGCCGTCGTTCTGGCCTCGTCGGCCAAATCGGTCGAAAAGACGTTCGCACGAGAAGCCGTCTCGTCCGAGTCTTCGATGGACCACGTATTGGCAACCAAGGCATGGCGGCTGCAAGCGGGCGCCAATGGGGGAATCATGTTGGAGGCCACAAAGCCAGACCAGCACCAGGCTCTTCACCCTGTTCCATCACATGCGCCTGGCACGAATAACCACGAGGGGTTCCATCCGGTTGCACTTCGCGTATGGGCAAAGCTGGGCGTCATCGCAGCAACCCTCCTTGTCATGGCTGCGCTGGCTTTGCTCATGGCGCTTTCGCGGGCTCGCGATGGTATCTGCAGAGACACTCCAAGTGTTTCAGACGCATTCGCCTTCGTACCGACTGTGGTGCTGCTGATTCTGGGATATGCTTGTTCCGGTATCGACGGAGCTGTGCGAATGATGGCGCCATACAAGAGCCTGTGGAAGGGATCGTCGGGAAGAAAGCAACCGCTTCTGTTCAACTTCCGCGACTATCCGAGCATAATGGCTCCTATTCGTGCCATCCGGAACGGCCTCGGGCTCGCCGTTGCTGTGTCTTCGGCTGTCATTCTCATCATCCCAGCAATCAAGATTGTCACTGCCGGTCTCTACACGGTCACGCTCGTGCAGACGACGTACAACATCCAGCCCATTGTGGATACGAGCTTCGTCGACCACCTCGAAGATACCTTTTCGCTCTCTCCGGATACATCGTCCGAGACTTACAGCTACCTGTCGAACTACGGAGTAGACCTTACAATGGATCTCAACGCCAACGTGCAGACAGCGTCTCAGTTCACCGAATGGACAATGAACCCCGACTTCAACATTCCGGTGCGGTCGGGCATCCTCGAAAACCTCGTCTTCAGCAACCTCACCGATGTCGGCAATTTCAGCGTCGAAGGGGTGGACCTGTCTGCGGGCGAGATTACCGTCAATGTTCCGGCGCTGGCTGTTGACGTGACGTGCAAATACGTCGAGCCGGTGCCGGCTGCATATCGTCAAAACTGTTCCGACGGGCAGCCCTATTTCACCTTCTATGCCATGTGCGACACTGCCTACTGCAACAGCACCCTGAATGTCACTGAATCTTCTTCCATCATCTCCTTCAACAAGATGGATGCCTACTCGCAAGCCAAGTGCCAAAACGCCACCAGCCGCTTCCTAGGCTCAACGTTCGTACGCTACGACATGGGCTACCAGATCGTGCTGGGCGATTTCGAAAGTACCACCACCTAGATCACCAACACGACGGCCTTCTCCAACCACACGCAGCTCGTCACGGCCGACATGTTCAACAGCACCGGCGTCCCCTACTTCCGCGCCGCCGTGTGCTACAGCAACCTGACGCGCGTCACCGTCGACACGACCTTCTCACGCAAATCAACAACACTGACAGCCACATCACTGAACTCGACCAACTCGTCGACTACGACGGCATGGAACCCGATCCGCTTCGACCGCGCCTCGCTGCGCACCGAGTCGGTCGTGGGCGACAAGCCGTACTGGCTCGCGCCGCTGTCCAAGACGAAGGCGTGGGACCACTACGACCAGTACGACCAGTCGTCCGACACTCCCGGCCTGCTCGACTCGGAGGACCTGTGGCCCACGCGCGGCAGCAGCACTTCTTTCTTCGAGCTCCTCGCCGCCTACGCCACGTACAATCTAAACAACCTGACCGCCCTGCTCAACCCGGACGACTTCACCGCGGCCGCCGAGGCCGTCTACACGTCCTACACCACCAACATGCTCACCGAGCTCCGCCCCTGGGCCCTGAACGCCTCCACCACTGCCTCATCCTCCTCCTCGAAGCAGCGTAGAGCGGCAGTAGGCACATCGCTACCGAACGGCCGCCTCGCGGTGCCCGAGTCGCGCATCAAGCAGGACCTGCCGTCGACCATCGCGCTCGAGGCCTGCCTCGCTGTCATGCTCGCCTGCTTCGTCTGGGTCGCCATCCGTTTTCCCAACGAGGCCGTCCTGCCCAAGAGCCCTGGCAGCATCGCCGCCGCCGCCAGCCTGCTCGCCGGCAGCGCGCTGGTCGGCGATTTGAGGCGCAAGGGCGTGAGCGGGGTGGGCGATGTGCAGGCGGAGGGGTGGAAGGGCGCGGCGTTAGGGTGGTGGGGTGTGAGAAGGGAGGAGAAGGAGGGGGATGGCAGTGAGGGCGAGGAGGGTGGTGGTGGTGTGCTGGAGGGGAGGGATCGGAGGTGGGGGATTGATGTTGGGGAGGGCGTTGTGAGGGGGAGTTGGAAGGGGTCGGAGGGGAGGGCGGTGGAGGGTGCGTGAGGAGTTTGTTTGTGTGTACAATATTTTTCTAACGATGTGATGAGATGAAAACAAGATACTTTTAGAGAATACCTCAGTTCGAGCCAAGTGAAATAGACAGACGAGACATGCACTGCACGGATAATTGGGGCGATAGAAAGCCTCGAATTCAGCCTCAGCATGAATCCGCGTCGTGATTGGTGTATCTGCTCGCTATCCCCTGTCGTGGCCAAACCAGATTCGAAATATTGTTTCCGAAGTGGGTAACCTCACACCAGATTGCACCCGAAGCAGGAAAGTCGCGGCTATGTATAAATCGCGAAGGCACCGACGGCACGTCATGAACGCTGCATCCTTCCCGCCCCCACACTGCCTCGCGTGGAACCATGACGATCATCACGACGCAGAACAACAACAGCAACGAACAAAACGTCTTCACCAACGAGCAATGGGCCTCTCAGCAGCAGCGCTCAGCCATCCGGCAAGTCCTGAAAACGAACCGCGTCGACTCGTCACGCTCTATGCAAGCCTCGCTGAACGAATTCCGGCACTGGACGCCGTCTGAAGTCAGCGCGCTCTTCGCCAGCGACGACTACCCCGCGCTCAAGGACCGCAAGCTCTGCCCGCTCGGCCCCGAAATGCGGTATCCACCGCCGGGAGCGCGTCGCTGGGGCGAACTCGCCGCCAAAATGGCCGTCGTCGGCGTGGCCGACGCCGCGCTCTTCGCGACCTCGCGCCTGTACTCGGCGCTGCCCGCAAAGTACCAGAACCAGTGGACTGAGACGATCAAGGAGAGTGGGTATCAGGGCTCGGCGCAAGACCAGTTCGACGAGGCGGGGCGGGCGATGCGGCAGCTGCGAGGCGAGATGGTGGCGACGTCGACGTTCGTCTCGGCGCCGCTGAGGCTGGTCGAGCAGGCGGCCGACTCGCGGCAGGCGCTGTGCGTGAACAGGAAGGGCGAGTTCCGCGTCATGAGCGAAGGCTACGCGGCCATATCGCACGTGTGGGGCGAGACGATGGGGCTGGAGCACGGCGGCGAGAAGATCAAGCAGGACGGCCGCGGGATGTTGCGGCGTCACTTCGACCGCCTGATGGAGCCGGCGCTGCGCTGCGGCTACGAGTGGCTCTGGCTCGACCTGCTGGCCATCCCCAAGAGATCCACCGTGTCTAACAACGCCCCTGACGGCCATGACGGCGGCTATCTCACACGGCTCAAGACCCGCGTCATCAACACCCTCGACGCCGTCTACCGCAACGCCGCCGCCGTCATCGTCCTCGACTCCTTCCCGCTGCTCTACCGCGGCGCCGACCCCGCCCACGCCGCCGCCCTGCTCGTCTGCGGCCCTTGGCTGACGCGCGTCTGGACCTACCAGGAAATCAAGCTCGCCCGCCGCGCCCTCCTCGCCACCGGCAGCCCTCAGGGCTTCGTCGACTTCGCCACCATCCGCGCCCACCTCTCGCAGCTATCCTCCCGCGACGCCCCCCGCTGGGAACAGCTGCACAAAACCTTCTGGCGCCTGCAGTCCGTCCACGCAATCACAGACGGCAGGACAACCGAACTCGGCATCAACCTCGCCGACATCGCCCTCTCCTGCACCAACCGCACCACCAACAACGAAAAGGACTACGCCCGCGGCTTCTTCGCCCTGCTCCGCCTGCAGTGGGACCCGGACTGGTCGTCCTACGACGACGGCATCCGCCACGTCTACGAGCGCCGGCCCCGCGAGGCGGCCGTGGTCGCCGCCATGCACGGCCCGCGCGGCCTGGCGAGCCCGTGGAGTTGGGCGCCGAGGTTCTTGGTGGGGTTGCAGGGGAGGGTGAATTTGCCGGATGAGTTCTTTTGTGATGCCGCCGGAGGAGGGCTGAGGGGCTGGTGGCATGAGGTGCCTGTCACCCGGTTTGGCAGGTGGCGCGCGTGGTGCGTGCCCGGCGAGGAACAGCAGCAGGTGGCTATGTTAATAGGCGTGCGCGACGCCGCGGGGTGCGAGCGCGAGGTCCACGTCCTGCTGGCGGATGCGGAGCGGGCGCGCGTGCGGGACGTCGAGGGCTGGGTCGAGCTGATCGCGACTGGGAGAGCGGTCATGCTGGCTGCGAGCGAGATGGCGGTTTCGCCCGACTGCGTCTTTCCGACTGTGTTGTTGGCGTTGAGGGATGATTCGGGTGGTGGCAAGGCGCGGGACGTGGATGAGTTGAAGGCCGGTCATGTGGTTTTTAGTGGGGTGCTTGTGGATGCGGGGAGGGAGGGGTTGGATGCTTCGTTGGGGCAGTGGGTGTTGAGGTAGGGTCGGTCTATTATGGGTGTGGACTTGTAACGGTACTCCACCTCATACTAGTTCACCACCACTCAATATGTGTTGACCCCAGCAAGACTCTGTTGAGAGCTAGCTCACTATTTAGAGCCATGTTTACATAGTATAGAGCCAGGTATATAAACAACACATCCACCAGGCGAATCTGCTCTTCAGCGAAGGACTTGTGTGGGTTTGATGTGTAACGCACCTTCGCCTCTTGCTATAGGACATTTTGATTGACACTGGTAATTCTTTCACCAAAACTTCGTTGTATCGGTGCTTCCCAAGGTTCACCTTGCAGAAGCATCGACGGTTGGGAGATGCTGCACTGAACGGAAGGCAAGCAGGAGCTCGTTGAGTTATGTAACGGAATTTGCAAGGCCACTAAATGACAATTCCCCCGGTACGGTCTGTTCGTACTTGCCTTTTCAGTAAACTGTATCCTGCGGCCCGAAGCTGGCATATAAGAAGCTTACTTCCTCTGCTGCAGCGCTTCCAACACTCAGCACCAGCACTTCGTCCACAACGCGTCAAAGCGGAAGATAGCAGCCATGGGTAACAGTAAGACGCCCTTGTCTTTCACCCCATAGCAGCATGTTCAATAGAGAACACCGTTCAGATGTCCCGCTGCCTTTCCCACAACCCCACACTCGCCTCCACAAGTACCATCTCACCCTACCTTTGCTTACGGCATACAGGAACAAGCCGCGACACGGGTGGTGACACGAACAAGGACGCACAGGTCGAAAAGCCTGGTAAATCCACTCTCAATTACCCGACCGTCTCCGTAAGCAAAGAAAAACTCGCACACATGATCAGCGAGGTCCTCGAGAACCACCGTTCCAGATACAAGAGTGATGCGGCTTTCATAGAAGACCTGCGCGAAATCGTCGATGAAGACTTCGACAAGATTTCTCTGATTGCTCGATCTTTCGCTGAAGATGATGGCCGTCAGATGATTAGTGAGTCGGCCGTCCCGGTTTTCACTGAAGTGATTATAGCTGACTAATCCCGCGAAAGACGATGAGGATGTTGAACTTGCCATATACATGGCACTCGCATCTTCTTTGGTGGACATGCTCCCCAAGTCCCCCAAGTAGTCACTGATGCAGGAAGGGTTATGGAAAGGGGGGGTATCATGATATTTAGCCCTGGAGCAACTCTTACACTTGAGGAGATCCCTGCATCGAGGATTCTTTTACTTAGGTATCTGCTCAAAAGGCTCTCATTGGTTTAGGAAGAAGTCGTGGGGGACACTAGCAGCCACAAAAATTTCAGGAGCTACCTGGGAACATTCACATCTATTAAAACCATGATCAAGTGTGAAACAACATACAATTTGCTTCTATCTGTGCTCACATACTTTTCCCATTTTCAAGAATGAAGGAAGGTGAAAAAGCGATGTATAATGAATGACGTAGGGACGGAAGCCGGTGAGTCTTTTTTTTTTTTTTCCCTGAAAGACCACATTTCCGAACAGCTACTTGCATGATCCTCCCATTCATTTCTGCTAGAGACTTACATCGCTTAAGCCTCGCCAGAATCAGTGATCTCGTGGAAGAGGAGCGGCTCGCGGAACTCGGGAATAGCCTCTCCCGGACGCAGCACCGAGATGGTGGCACTGACGCTGATCTTCAAGCCACCCGGCACATCGGCCGGGTCCGTCTTACGTTGGTTGACCTATCAAAGCACGCAAAATTGTCATCAAACCACATTCAGAAAGGCGCAACAGCAGCAGCAGCAGGGGGAACAAAAAACAAGATCCCACAAACAAAAAACAGGGGGAAAAGACTCACATCAGCAACCCTCCAAATCAAATTCTTCCTCAAGAACGGCACCACGTCGGGCGGCGCGATGCTGGGCAGCTGGCCGTCCTCGACGTAATCGAGCAAGATCGGCGTGATGGTCGTGGTGCCGGTGACGCGCAGGCCCTCGTCGGACTGCAGGGCGCAGTTGTCGCACGCGTCCTTGGGCGCGGCGAAGACGTGCGTGATGCCGGCGAGCGTGGGCTCGGCGGGCCAGGTGAGCGGGCTGGAACCTTCGTCGTCGTCGACGTCGGCGGCGGCGGTGGGGCCGACGAAAAAGTATATGGAGAAGGCGCCGTCCAGGGCGTCCCTGTTGGGGGGGAAAGAAGTGTAAATACGAATAGGGAACTTTAATAGTGTGATAGTGGGGATTGTTTGGGTGGCTAATAGGAGAAATAAGGGTAGGGGTAGGGTTGGGGGGGAAACGAATAGTGTTGGTGGGATAATGGGGAGACGCACTTGTTCACTTCGGAATCGATATACCACTGCAACACCAGCCTGGTACCCTCCGGCTCGTTCGCCAAAATCTCGTTTCCGCGGTCAAAGGACGGCAACGCGTCATCAGCGCTTCCCGGGTTGCCCCTGACGGCGCTCACGGCCTGGTCCTTCACCTCCAGCACCTTCTGCTGGACCAAGTGGGCGGCCTGCACCGGCGGAGAAATGATGGCCTCGGGTCCCTTCGCCTCCTTGTACCTGAAGACTTGGGCGTTTCGCACGTCGACGGGCTTCATCTCCTCAGGCGGGGCCGGGGTAGCCACACCGCCCGGTCGCGACTGGCGCTGCAAGCTCCAGCGGTAGTTGGCGTCGATGCGCTTGAGGAGTCCCTGGTGCTCGAACTTGCCCATGAGTTCCGGGTAGGTGTAGCCGAAGGTTCCGATGTCTCGGGAGTCGGCGCTGTTCCAGAAGCGCTGGGGGCTGCCCGCCTCCTGCTTCTCCCTGCGGAATGGATACAGGTTTGAGTGAGCATTGGGCTGGCCTCCGGTGGACGTGTTGCTAATGTAGTCGTCGTGCAGCGCCTGCCAGATGGCTAGAACACGGTCGATGTTGCTAATTGATCAAGTGTTGTGTCAGTGATTGAATCCCCCTTCAAATCCTCACGCCACAATCACACACTTCAACAGGGGCCATGTCTTACCAGTGATGGAACCAGAATACGGGATCGAACGCAGCCACCGGCACTCTCGACATGTGCCCAGCTCCGCCAACCAAGACATGGTACGCGCCATGCCAGCTCTCCAGCGAGCCGCTCGGCGGGGCCTCCTGGTCACTACCGCTGGCCGGCACCGACGTAGCAAAGTTTCGATAGTCAGCATACGGCTGCAGCTCGATGAGATCCAGCAGCGTCTGCACCTCAGGCTCGCGGTCCTTGTTCAGCGCGGCGTCCAGCTCGTCGTAGTCCTCCTGCTCGCCGCTCTGGCCGGGCCGCGGGTGCCGCGCCGTGCGCCGCCGCGACAGGTGGTAGCCGCCGCCCTCCTCCTCGACCTGCTGCTCCAGCACCGCCCACTCCTCGGGCGCCACGCTGCCCGTCTGCGGGAACACGAACGTCTTGAGCGGGTTGGCCATCGGGACCAGCGTCGTCTCGGTGGCACCGGGCCGGCACACCATCAGCTTGTCGGCCTTCAGCACCAGCGGCAGCCGGAAGTCGTAGGGAAACGACGTCTTGCGGCCCCGGAAGACGCCGGGAAACACTGTCTGCTTCTCCTCGCGCGCGTGCAGGTAGTCCCAGTAGGGTAGCCGGAAGCGCTTGGCCGCCTCGCGGTACTTGGGGTCCTTGAACTGCGCTGCGATGCGCTCCATGGTGTTGTAGATGGTTTGCTTTGGGTCGATTTCGTCAGTTCAGTGTTACGAGAGATCAGTCATTGTCTTTTACCTCGAACATGGCCAGGTATGGCCGGTGCCAGGTCGGGAAGAGGATCGAGTTGTGCGTGCAGTAGCCGCCGCGTTGGGGCTTATCGCCTCTGACTTCATCCCAATCGCGCTTTGGGAGGCCGTGGATACCTGGATTGAGTTAGTGAGTTTGTTTATACTTGTCATTGGGCAGAGGTGCTGTTGACTGACCGCATACTTGGAAGAATCCCATCTTGGTTTCATCGCGCTGAAGGCTTTCGATAGCGAGCAAGAATAGATTGAACATGTCGGGCTCATTCTTGACGAGGTAGTCAATCTCACGGCGGGGATGGACGCCTGAGACTGAGCGGAGGCCGATGACAATGCCATCGTTTTGAGCTTCAGCGAGCGATGCCATTGTGAAAATCACCAAGGAGGAATGTTTACTTCAGACTAAATAAGCACTGTGAGGGAAGATCGTTTTCAATTGATGTGGAAGAGAGATGATATCCACAATTCAACTTTGCCCCAACAGTGGGAGCTTATGTAGGCGTTGATAAGCCCTGCCCAGCTTTTCTTTGAAACGGGGATAAAGCAACTCAGCCGGACCTGAGTTCGCCGTCGTTGCGTGTACTCGCATGTGAAGCGGTAAGCTGCTTTGAGATCTTGACGCATAAGGCTAGGATCACTATAGCTCTGCAAGAGAGCGCTAAGTATCACGAAACGGCTTGTCGGGTTACACAATGACGCTCAGTAATCGCAGATTGGCGGGGGTGGCTGGCTGACTTGTGCCACCGACCTTCTGGCCCTGGATTATCGAACCACGTTCCCCGCAACCAGCTGCAAGGCTCTGGAAAGCGCGGAGAAACAGTAAGCCTCAAACTAAAAAGGCGAGAGGTGATTTGCAAGGCCTCCAACCGCCCGCATCTCCGGGCTGAGATTGACCGGAAATTTCGTATTCTTTCTTTTTGTTCGGAATCCTAATGTGCAGCCGAGTGGATCCAAGAGAACATGTCCAATCATGTTAAAGTCTTATCTATCAGTCTCAATTTGCGGTTCGCAACATGTGAACGTCTTTGACGCTTGTGCGCTGCATGAAACCACAGTATTACTGTGAGCAGCCGATGATTCACCATTTGTGACACCAATCCCATGAGACTGCTTCATCATGCTTACTTGGCGATGATCCCAATTATTTCTTTTTAGCCACTCCGCTACGTGATTACACATGTGTGTGATGTTGGTATATCTTTGCCGATCTTTAAGCAGTTAGCTTCTCAGCCTGTTACCCAACAAAACCTTGCTGCTGATCCTCTTAGGTACCGAAACTAACCAAAGAGAAACCTTTGCGAATAGTATGGCCAGACAGGTTTGAACATTATTGATTTCTTAGCTCAGTGTCGGGTGACAGGTTCCAGAGCATATCAACGCCAATCAGGGCAGACTGTCAGTCATAATGGAACCCTGTATGTATGCTCATGCTTTTTAGTCAAATATTGGTGTGCTTAGTTATATGTGGATGGCTCTGATTATGGCGCATTGGCAGCATACAGCCTTAGCGAAAATTGATCTGAGTACGGAAGAGCATTAGAAGCTGGAAGGAAAATGAATTTCATCGGCCTATTTGATTCTCTCGCTGCGAGAACTGCAGAGCAATTGAATATAACATGACTTTCTTGAGTATTTTCCCCTCAAGTTTATCCTTATGAAAGTCTCCGCGACTATGGGCTGTTGGAAGCCATGTGCAATGCAAAATATCATAACCTGTGTTTCTCTCCACGTATGAGTTTTAAATCCTTACATCATCCAGAGGCAGTCCACATACGCCGATTCAAGTGCGTGAACTACTGGTCTAGTGGTGGATCCCTTGGAATCCCATGAGTCTAGCGAATCTCGGTACCATCGTCGTTGATTCTCTATAGTGGAGAACTTGCTGAGCGTCTATGGGAAGAAGCTGGACCAATCGTTTGAGTCTGCACATATTCGTCCAAGAACTCGTTGCAATCGAAACGAAAGGCCAAGGTCTGCTCGCAGTGACCCAACGGGATGCTCAGCCCACCAAAGAGCTCATGGCGTCGGAGCACCACCTCAAAAGCCTTCTTGTAAGCTCTGGTCCTACTTTCACCCTCACGCACACTTGCGCAGAAAGTATCGAAGCAATCCAGGACCAGAGACGTCTCATCGTAGAAACCGACAATTTTGAGTTCTCCATTGAAGCGAATACTCAACAGGGCGTCCAAGAGGTCGGAAAGCTCACGAAGACTCGGTTTTTGCGGAGGTAAGAGATGCGTGTAGTAATCGAGATGATGGATCATGCCGGAAAGCTGGTGAACAGGTGCTTGGATAATTGATTGAGAGCCTGGGTCGCCCCACAGGCACGCGCAGATGCGGAAGTGCAAGCTACCCAAGAGCATGGGCACGAACTCGGATCGAATTTGGCGCGAAACCTCTCCTAGGCGGCAGGTGGCCAAGTTCATCCTCAGCTTCGAGATGCGCCCGATCTCAACTAGCTCTTCCATGGGAATACGATCCAAGTCTTCATCGTCACTCCAGTAGCCGCTGATTTTGCGATAACAGTCGGTATCTTTTTTCAACCAGAAATCATACCTTCTAATACAATTAGTCTCCGGAATTAGTGCGATAGGGTTGTCGGGCGTTGTCGCCATGGTATCGATGACGGCCTGGTAGATGGCGTTGCGGAGTTCGCCAGTGAGTGCCATGAAGTCGAAGATCTCCCTGGGACGCCGAGATGGAATGTCGCGAGTTTGTTCGGTCGGGAGGTGAAAGGTTTTGGTTCCGGAAGAGGTGACGATGGCTTTATCGGTCGGCGCAGAAACGGCCGTCATCTCGCCTCCATCGTTGGTGGTCGACGCCATGGTTGACACGGAGCCCTGCGCCGAGATCTGCGGAAGAGGAATATGCCACAGGCTGCGAAGCTCCTGCGACTTCCTGCACTAAAATCAAAGAAGAAAGTAAGCGACGTGCATGAAAAGCTTGAGCGAAAGACCAATGGTGAAGCTGTCGCTAAAAGACAGTTGCTGGATCCTTTGTCGAAGGCTTCGTAGCAGATGAAGCAGAAGATTTGGAGCGGAAGAAAGGTTACTTACAAGAGGGCGTGTGATGGAAGCCTTGCGCCTGCCCGTAGGGTGAGGCGATGGCTTGAGTCAAGGGTGGGGTTGAGGAACGGTAGCAATGGAAGCGCGCAGAGTAGCTTTCATGCTGCCTATCTCCATTTCTTGGCACGTGCGGTGTGAGCCAGGTTGAGCGGGCAATCACTCACCTCACGTGCACATGCGAAGGTCCTCTGGGATTGCGTTCGGAAGCTACAAATCGAGCAGAAGAAGCTCGTGTTATCTGACTTCACCTCACTATCACCGGCTGTATCCTAGCTCTGCTCGCATATTTCTTCCTGTGGAGTAGCCACGGTCTTGACCAACTAACAATATCGAATAATACGGAGCCGCAATCTGCAAAGCAGCTACCCATTCCCATGCTTCATCCAAAGCCTCGCACCAATCATATCATACCCGCGTCTATTGAGGCGGATTCTCGGACGCCCTCTCATCGCGGGCCTGCATAGCACGCTGTAGATGACGAAATTCTACATACGCGGTCAGAACTTCATCCCGGCAGCCACTCAAGACGTAGCCCCCAGAGTGAAAAAAAACGAGTCTACTCACGAGCAGTCTGCCCACCCTCCTCCCTCGCAAAGCGCTCCGCGTCATCGGGGAACGCAACCTTGTACGTCTCGGCCGCCTCGCGCACGGCGTTCACAGCCGTGGCCTCGGTGGTGTAGCCGTCGTCGACCTGGCGCAGGACGCGTCGCACCAGCTGCCAAAACGTCTCTTCGCGGGCGGCCAGCGCGGCGGCATCGGCGGCGACCGACTCTGTAAAGCGACGTCAGCTTTGAGGACAGCGCCGTTGCGACGGAGGTGATGTTGCTACCGGTAAACTGGGGCCGGCAATGGCGATGGGGTAGATGACGGCGCGGCTGGGTGGCATTTCTGGGGCCTTCGGGGGGCCGGTTGGCCCTGGGTTGGTCGGCCCTGCTCACTTCGGTGCGGGTTTGTGGAAGGGTGAAATAAGAAAGGTCGTGTGTGCTGAGGCTTTCTGGGGGCAGGAGCGAATGTGTAATGACTTGAACCTCGTTTCTTGGCAGTACAAGTCTCTTGGAGGTTGTCTGCCTGCATAAGTTCACTAGCGGAAGGAAGCACAGCTATGCAAGGGAAGCATCTGAACTACTTCAGTGGAATTCTTTTGAAAGGTAGCCAGCACATTCACTGCCGAGCGTAAAGGCGAATGGTAGGGCTGACGACACACACCATGGATACTTTACATTTGCGAATGTAGTAGATCTTGGGAAGGTTATTCTGAAGCTGTCAAGCACTGAAGTTATTCACTCTCAAATTATTGTCACATCTTCAGTATATTCGCACTCGAATTTAACATGATCCTTATCAATTCAACTACTTAGGCAATAATCGGGTATTACAACAATTACTACTTCATGCCTAATCATCCCTTCCATCATCCGTAGCAAATCATACAAGCCATCGTAAACTCATAAGTGTCGTGTGAAGACATTTAAGCGTTCTTGACGCGAGGGTCGACCTTGTCGAGCACCTTACCCACGAGACCGGTGCCGTGGCTGGGGTGAGAGTCGTGAGTAGCGTCGGTGTGGGTAGCACTGTCGCTCCTGGCATGCTTGGAGGTGGTGTCCGTGTAGCCGGTGCCGGTGCCAGTGGTACCAGTGGTGGTGCCGTGGTGGGCAGCACGGTTGTCACGGTCAGAGTCAACGCGGGGGTCAGCCTTGTTGGCCAAGTTCGAGCTGTGCGGGCCGGCAGCAGCGCCGGTTTGGTTGCCGGTGCGGGCACGGTTGTCGAGATCTGAGTCGAAACGCGGATCGGCCTTGTTGGCGAGGTTGGAGTCGTGCGTGCCGTGGTTGGTCGAAGTGTTGCCGTAGCCAGCCGAGCCGGTCGAGCCGTAGGCACCAGTGGAGCCGGTAGAGCCGTAAGTGTCGGTAGTAGTGCCGGTGCCACGGTGGGCGCGGTTGTCAAGGTCGGAGTCAACACGCGGGTCAGCCTTGTTGGCCAGGTTGGAGCTGTGCGGACCAGCAGCAGCACCAGTTTGGTTACCGGTGCGAGCGCGGTTGTCAGCGTCCGAGTCAACGCGGGGGTCAAGCTTGTTGGCAATCTTGGAGCTGTGCGGGCCATGGTTGGTGGAGCTGGGGTTGTTGCCAACGTGCGACTCGTGGACGCCGGAGAGGCCAGTGCTGCCGCCATGGCCGCTGTGGCCGGTGGTGGTCTCAGCAGTGGTGTAGCCACCCTTGATCTCGGTGGGGTTAATGCCCTCGAGGTCCTGACGGCTGGTGCCGCCGCTCAAACCACCAGTAGGCTGCAGGCCAGCCGTCGCAGCGCTGCCGCGGCGGTGGTCACGGTCAGAGTCGACACGGGGATCGGCCTTGTTTGCAAGGTTGGAGCTGTGAGGGCCAGCAGCAGCACCAGTCTGGTTGCCAGTCCTAGCGCGGTTGTCGAAGTCAGAATCAACACGAGGGTCGACCTTGTTGGCGATGTTCGAAGAGTGAGGGCCATGGTTGGAGGAACGGGGGTCATCATATTGAGTCGATCCCGTAGTGCTGCTGGCGTTGCCGTATCCAGTGCCGGTAGTGTTGCCATATCCAGTGCCGGTGGTGTTGCCATAGCCGCTGGTAGTGCTGCCGTAGCCAGCGCCGGTGTTGCGGTGGCTATCAAGGTCGGAGTCTACACGAGGGTCTGCCTTGTTGGCGATATTCGAACCATGTGGGCCAGCGTTGGTCGACTGAGGGTTGCCGTAGCCGGTGGTGCCAGCAGTGTCGTAGGCTCCGCTGTGGGTAGTGGTGGTGGGGTCTGCAACAAGGTGTTATTATTTTTATTCCGAGTGAAATTGCAAGTCATGTGTTGTGATGATGATATGTACAAAGTGCAGTTGAGGGGGGCTCAACGCGTACTGTGAGTGCTGCTGCCCAGGCCAGTCGATGTTGTGCTGGGATACTCGCCCTGGGCGGCGCGGTTGTGACGCTCAGCAGCCGTGTCGGCGGGAGTGACACCAGCACCGGTGCCGTGGTAGCGACCCGTGTTGATCTCGTCAACACCGCGATCCCTGATCGCCTGGTTCTTGGAGGGATCGCTACCAACGGCGCTGTCGGCTGCAGTGTTGATGGTACCGCGGATGGTCTCTCCAAGACCTAAGGCATGTTGGTGGAGGATGTTGAAAGTGAAAAGTGGACTTACCATGCACAGCGCTGGCGGCACCCCTGATGCCGCTGCCGGTGGACTCGCCAGTGTGAGAAGACATGTTGTTGGGTTTTGTTTGTGTTGCTGGGTATCTCAGGAAATTCGTAGGAGAAACGGTGTTCAGATCGTGAGTGTAGTGGAGTGGTTGAGTTGTTGTGGTTGATGATGGTGCTCCAGACCACGCAGAGCTGTTGTATTATATACGCGGCAGGCGCAATCCTGACGTCAAGGCGATTGCATGTTGGAGAAAGCAAACAAACAGGCGCCAGATGTGCGCCACAACGCTCGCGGAAGGGACGGCGTAGTGAGTGGCTGGAGAAGCTTGATTCGCCGATCGCTTCCTGTTGTGGGACCCACCCGCTGCACGTTCACGACAAGTGACATCACGGTGTGGCGTTCCGACGAACCTGATCCGGCGCCGGATCTGCGCGTTTACGCATCTTCCGGATCTGAAGCAGGGAATAACAGGATTCAGCATCTCGATACGGTAGTGCCGCGCCGCTTGTTCCGTAGCATGCATGGCAACTATGGCGTAAGGCTAGTATCATAATAGCGTGCCCTGGCAATCGCGGGAGCACGCAAGCATTGCGCTCGATAGCCGCATAGCCCCGCACCGTCTGAATTGTGGGGTGAATGACGGAGAATAATAATTTCCATTCTGCCGCGTTTCCGGACCCTGCCCTGTTTCCGCACAGGAATCCGCCACAGACATTGTGTCGAGACGGCCAAGCAGAGCTGACCGAGATCTCGCGTCATCGCAATCTTCCATGTCTTAGTCCTTGGTCGGTCCGGCAAAGTCGGAATACGAATCGACTACGTACCAGTATCCCGCTAGCTCCTGTTGCACACTACCATAGCTAGACCAAATGTGAATTCTTCCAACTCTGCCCGAACGCCTAAACTGTTCCCCGCCTAATGCCACATTGCCATGTGAGCCCCCGCATAACGCCAATTGCGCCCCAAAGCCTTGGTGTTCCGCTATTCAGAGTCGCTGTCAATCAAGAAACCTGCGCGAACGTTGTTCCTCCGCACGGGCTTACGGGCTGGAACGTCCTCGTCCTCATCATCGTCATCGGCCTCCTGCATCTCGACATCCTGCGTGGTCTTTGCTGCACTGGCCGACGCCTCTGTAGGCTGTTCCTTGGCAGTATCCTTCGAGCCATGCTGAGATGACAGGGGTGTATCAACAGCTTCCTCTTCCTCGTCATCGCTAACGATTCTTAGCCGGCTGACGGGTTCCTCCGACGAGGAACGGCTGCCCAGGCCGGTATGAGTTCCTTCACTGTCAGATTCAGATCCCTTCCGCTTCTTCCTGCTCTTTTTGCTTGCTGCCGTAGACTTCCTCTTCTTGCTTGCCGTGTCCTGAATCTGAGCGCTGATGAGGGCCCTGGTGATTTTCCCTGCCGTCTTCTTCCTCCTCTCCTCCTCAGCAGCGAAAAATTCTCTGTCTGCTTCTTCATCCGTGTCCTCATCTGACGAATGAACAAACAGAGCGCTCTTTATCTTCTGTCTCTTCTCCAATTCCTTTTGACGACGTGCTTCCCTCTTCCTTTCCTTTTCTTCGTCATCTGGCTCTTCGCTAGCTGTCCTCTTTCTCCGAGTCCTCTTCTTTTTAAGCTCTTCCAAAGCGTCGGATCGGCGAGCGGTTGGGCCGCCTGCTGGAAACAGCTCTTCATCATCCAGAGCGTCAGGACCGTCATCTTCGTCGTCAGTATCGCCACGGAGGGCAACGCGTTGTCGCTTTGTACGGATCATGTCTTCGGCTGACTTGTCTTCGCCAAAGCTTGGTGGCTCCCACTCCGTTTGTTGAATGGCTTGTTCACTTTCTCGAAGTTCGTCAGAGCTGAGGGAGGGAGGAATGATCCAGTTAGCATCCTGATCTTCATCAAGACCCAATCTCATGAACCCAACAGTCTTGAGGAGTAAGCGCAGCTTGTTGTCTTTGAACAAGGCAATGCGGCGTTCCTCGTTATCTGGTTTCACGGTAATTGATGGCGCAGTATCTTCCTCTATCGAAGGGGCAACCTGGTCCCCAGAAGACTCCGTCGAAGCTTTGCGCGCTGCTTGCTCTTGCTCCCATGCACTACGCTCTTCAGCTGCAGATGACAGAGTTTTCTTGACCCACGCCAAATGGTCTGACTTGTTCTGATTGATGAGAAGAGACACGGCGACTCCGATTTGACCGTTCTTGTCTAAGTCTCCCTTCACCTCAAGTTCAGCCGGCGGCCTTGGTATTCTCGTCGTGACTTCCTTGTCGTGGCCATGCTCGAGATAATAGGTAGTTGCCGGGATCTTGCTGAAAAGCATCTCGACAACAAGTTCTGGTCGCTCCTGAACTTTTTTGATGCAACGGCGGAAGATCTGTTTCACAAGTTCTTCCCACTCTTTGAAGATGGGCAAAGATTTATCAAGACCCTCCGGGCCTTTGATTATCTTATTGAAAAGAGAGATGATGTCGACGCGGTACAGCATAATTCCCATCTCCAGTTTGAAGGCGACACGGTAAAAGAAGCGATGGGCGCGTTTCAGCTGTTCGACATTGAGGTCGTTGTAATATCGAGTGAAGGCCACAAAAGTATCGATACAGCCCTGAGTGGTGAAACGGGCTTGAAACCGAGCAAAGTCGAACTTCCTCTCAGAAGTCGCTCGATGAGCCGCAACGACATCATCTTCTCCATCACCTTGATCCTCGATCTCCCCGTCACCGTTGGCTTGTGCAACTGCCTTGGCCTTCTTGCGCGCTCGCCTACGGCTTCGAACCTGGAGATCAACATTTTGCTTGGAATAGCGCTCGAGCATTCGTATGAAGACATGTGCTAACTCAGTGCAAGCATCCAAGTATCCCAGTCCTTGATCCTTGTAGCTCCGCAGTAACGTGACCATACGATCATGAGTCGTCTCTTCGTAGAAAATACGGTTTTGAATGTTTTCGGCGATTTCCTGGTCGTCTTCCAAGGCAGATTCTGACATTTCCTGGACTGTCTGGAGGATTTGCGTGAAGCATTTCATAGCTGCATTCAAATCTTGCCATGACTTGCTATCCAGACCGAGCTGCATGAATCTGTTTAAGAGAATGAAAGTCTCTTGGTTCATCACCGAGGCAATCAAAGCGAAGCTTTCATCTTCTGGAGTGGCCGTAGTGGAGCCCGTCTTCTGAGCAGCCTTTTTGGCCTTCGCGCGGCGCGCACACTCGGCCTTCAGGAACCATGAGATTAGGTAGCAGAATTGTCTCGGATGAGTTTCCATAAGCACGCGGTCAGCTTCATTCTCGATGGCTTTCCTCAGGTGGGTGAACAAGGGGTTGAAGGATGAATCCAGGAACTCTTCGACGAAAGTCTTAAGGTGTTTCCGCGCGGACTTGTCAAGGGGGACCTTTTTGTCGAATTCATCGAACGAAAGATCGCTGTTCTTCTTCTTTCCGGTGTGCTTGGGTTTGTTCCATTTTTTCGTCTTGTCCATCTTCTGCAGGCTCCTCTCATTGCTCGCAAGCACATCCTGCCCTGAAACCGTGGAGACTTTTTCGTCATCCCTCTTGACCCAAATCATAGTTCCAAAGCGATTGTGTCTGGTTGGTGCATGTTTTGCGTAACTTGCAAGCATGGCCTTTTCCTTCTGAATGAGTTCCCTCAAATCGTTGGTGTTGGAGCTGGCCAGCTTCTCCTCCTCCATGAATAGCTTCTCGACGTCGACGCCTTTCAGTAGATGGAACAGAATTTCCAGCACAATGACATCTTGATCGACGAATTCGTCTCCAATGCTGGAGGCCACTGTCAGCAACACCTGGAAGATATCCTGATAGTGGAATGCATCGATTGTAGCCGATCGAGAAATCTCCGCCTGATTATCGTCTTCGGGAAGGTTTGGAGGGTGTGTGATGAGGGCAATATTCCGAAAAAAGTAGAGCACGATCGAGATGATGCCATTGTCACGATTGCTTCTCTCGCGTCGGGGCTCTGCCATGGAAGGGAGAGCTAATCGTACGGCAGTGCGAAGAGTTTTGGCATGGTGTTGCATTATCACTCTCTTGTACTTGGTTTGCGCGAGCTGGAGGTAGGGGATGTGTCGATGGTGATTGACAGTCGCTTCGTCCTGATCGAGCTGCAGAGGCCAGGTAATTGGGACCAGCACCTCCACTGATAAAAGTCAGCTTCGTTCTGAAAGCATTGGGGCGGATCACCCACTCGCGGCCAGAGCAGCCTTGCGCTTGAGAGTGTCATTCATCCGCTCCTCGGTCCAAAGCGCCAGAATTTCGCAAAGGTCTCCCTTGACCACATCTGCCTCAGCCAAGCATCTCGCCACATCATGTCGATTCAATCGCTGGTCGTATAGTCGCAGCCATCGGCGGATATCTTTCAAACAGGCAAGCGCATCGTCTCCAAGCACGTAGCGACCCTCAAACTCGATACTGGAGCCACCAACCTGTCGATGATTTAGTAGCTTGCTTGTGCCGCGTGCGGTTGGGGACTTACTGCTGAGACAAGACTGTAGACATGCGCGCGAACCTCAGGATCGACGGTGTCGCGCGAGACCCAGTCGTCGAGGCTCATGGTTGTGGTTGCTGGCGGAATGTCTGCGTCGGCGCTCAGCACTTTCCACAGACGCGAAATGGTGGCCGTGTCGGACGACGCGACCGGGCAACTAGCGCGTCGCAACGCGTCGCCGCGCCAAGCCCGTGTCCGACCCGTGCGCTAGACGTTAAGCCGAGGTGACGGCTGCCATCGGCCTCACATGGAAGCTCCCCAGGTTCTGGGGAACCTTACCTCTCCACCTTCATTCACCCCACCACGCATCCTGCAGCTCCCCTCACTGCACCATGTCTTTCTTAGCGGCATCACGCTATGCGGCGCGCCGCACGACTCTCTCGCAACTGCGCAACTTTAGCTCTACCCCGGCGACAGCTGCTGCTGCCGAGGTTAAGAAGCTTGGTGTTCTCGGTGCGGGACAGATGGTTAGCTTCAAGCTCTCTTTTCCTTCAATTGCTACCATGTTGACTTTAATCACTATAGGGCCTTGGTATTGCACTTGTCGCAGCACAAAAGGCTCAAATCCCTGTCAAAATTATTGATAACTCGCAAGCCTCCATCGATAAAGGCTTAAAGTTTGCCGGTACTGCTCCCGCGTAATAAATCCACTGCTATCTCAGCTCTGACGCAGAAGCCAGACAAACTCCTTGAGAAGGATGTGGGAAAGCAGAGGATCTCTCAAGACGATGCTGCGGCAACAAGAGGGCGCCTGAGCTCGAGTACCAAGTTGGACGATCTTTCCGACGTCGATTTTGTCATCGAGGCCGTCCCTGTGAGTGAATGCTTCTGATCCCCTTCATATGTCCATGACTCACATTCATGTAGGAAATCCCAGACCTCAAATCCAAGATATTTGCCCAGCTCGCACAGGTCTGCCCCTCGCACGCCATCCTCGCGACAAACACATCCTCGATCTCGATCACGAAAATCGCGGCTGCCACAACGAAAGATCCGACAGACTTGTCCGCTCCTTCGCGAGTTATAAGCACCCATTTCATGAACCCGGTGCCGATTCAGAAGGGAGTGGAAATCATCACTGGTCTGCAGACCTCTCAGGACACCATCGATACTGCCATTGAGCTGTGCAAGAAGATGGGAAAGATCCCATCGAAGTCTGCAGACTCTCCTGGCTTCTTGGCCAACCGAATCCTGATGCCTTATATCAATGAGGCCGTCATCTGCTTGGAGACTGGTGTGGGAGGAAAAGAGGACATTGATGCAATCATGAAGAACGGGACAAATGTTCCCATGGGTCCGCTACAGCTTGCTGACTTTATTGGCCTCGACACCTGTCTAGCGATTATGCGGGTGCTGTACGAAGAGACCGGCGACAGCAAATACCGGCCAGCTGTACTGTTGAGGAAGATGGTTGATGCCGGCTGGCTCGGGAAGAAGAGCGGCAAGGGATTCTATGACTATTAAGGAGGCCTCTTGCATGGACTGCTGAGACAAATCAAACATGTTGTGTAATTTGTATAGAGGTTTGTTCAGCATGGGTATAGGTATTCGAGAAGTGACATCATAACACGCCTGTGCGTTCCAAAGGTCTTGGCAGGCCAGCTCGTGCAACCACCGTTGCCACTAGAATCCAAGGTTCCTGGTGGTTGTCCAAAAGTAAAGACAGCAGTAGAGGGGGTTTCTCTAGACCTGGCCACTTCAAAATAGCAAAGGCGGGGGCATGTGAAGGTTCTGGGGATGCTGGGTCGTAGGGCTTAGCGTCGGGAATAAGCGAAGTCCAGCGCCGGGTTTTGTTAACCAGCCTCGCGCCAGCCACCCGCAGGTACCAACCACCCAGCCTCCCAAAAATCCAATGAAGATGGCAGGCATGTGTCCTGGGCAACTTCGCACGTTCTTCTGCCATTTTGCTTTATTCTGCATGCACGAAACCTTCATCATCTCCACATTTCTCAAGCACGCACGCGATCGACCGTGCTAACGCCTCCTCTTACTCCCTTTGTATATCCTTACTCGATCTACACCGCCAAAAACAAACTTTCGCACTGTCCACTACTACTGGTGATCATGCGCTCTCCCATCCGATTCGCCTACTTGGGCCTACTTGCAGTTGGGCTCACATCAGCGCTGCCTTTTGAAGCAATCGACAGCCAGCGCGGTGACGCCCGAGCGCCAGTCAGGTCGCGAGCATATGCTGTCATCAACGTTGATGGCACATCGAGCATCGATGGCGCGAGCGAGGTCCAAGACCTCCAGCGCAGAGCACCAGCGAAATCCTACTCAGTAGTCAACGTGGATGGAGGCTCCCCGTCTACCTCGGAAGCGGCGCAATCGGTCACTACCAAGACCGTTGCAGAACCGACGACTGTCTCACCCACCGAGACGGTTGTGTACACCCAGGATACAACTATAGTTGTCACGGAGACCCAACATCCAGCGCCTTCCATCACTCAGACTGTGGTCTACACAACCACTATCGTCGCGTCCCCCACCACTGCACACAACACCTCCATCTCTGTCAGCGTTGTTACGCTTCCTCCTTCAGTGGTTACTGTCACAGCAACCCAAACGGATACGACATCGTACTACGATAACGGCATGTGGCACACGTCGTATGCCATCAAGACCTTTCCGACAGTCAGTCCGTCGTGAGCACCACGATCATATGTACCTTTGACTCCAGCTGCTGGATTTGCTGGAGGGTATCGAGTCTGAACGTCGTTCATGCAACCGGAATGCGTTGAAGTCGGCAGACCTATTCTTTCTATCTTACTTAACTTCTTCACTTCTTGAAACAATACTTAGACTGTAAAAACTTTTAATACAACGAACGAGAGAGGACGGATAGTTGCGACATGATGGCAGCATGAGGGCTTCTGTTTCGGGAAAGCGTGGCGCAGCGCAGCAGCTGCCCACCAGGAGTAGTGCATTCGGGCAGGAACAGAACACATAACTTCTTGCATCTGAGTACATACTGTAGTGCAGGCGAATCAATACAGTTCTCCAAAAACTTAATATGCGGTCCCTGCGCGTGCGAAGCCGTGGAACGGCCCCGGTTGTGGTGGGCGACCTTGCGCACGCCCAGCGGATGCACCGCCAATCACAGCCACAGTTCGAGGGGACGACGTCGCCAACCGAGCGGCATCATCAGCATCTAGGCCGACACCCACGACAACATCCACCAGTCACACGCCACCATCCCACCTCGATCGCAGCAATGGCGTCGCCTCCGCCCGTGGAAGACCAGTCGCGCCTGCTGGAGGATGCCTTGGGCGTCGTGCGCCAGCAGACGATGCTCATGCGGCGGTGCCTGGAGACTCCGGGGAAGCTCATGGACGCGCTCAAATGCTGGTAACAAGCCCCTCCCCCGCATCGCATCTTTGCCATAGCTTCTTGCTGACCACGTCTACCTGCAGCTCGACCCTTGTCTCAGAACTGCGCACCAGCAGCCTCGGCCCCAAGCAATACTACGAGCTGTACATGGCCGTCTTCGATGCGCTGCGCTATCTCTCCGTCTACCTTCGCGACAACCACCCCGTCAACCACCTTGCCGACCTGTACGAGCTCGTGCAATATGCCGGCAACATCATCCCACGTCTGTACCTCATGATCACCGTCGGTACCGTATACATGGCCATTGAGGATGCGCCCGTCAAGGAGATCATGAAGGACATGATGGAGATGAGCCGCGGTGTGCAGCACCCCGTTCGCGGCCTTTTCCTCCGCTACTACCTGTCGGGTCAGGCCCGCGACCACCTCCCTACCGGCGATGGCGATGGCCCTGAGGGCAACCTTCAGGATTCCATCAGCTTCATCCTCACCAATTTTGTCGAGATGAACAAGCTTTGGGTGCGGCTACAACACCAAGGTCATTCGCGGGAACGGGAGCAGCGGACCAAGGAGAGACAAGAGCTGCAGTTGCTGGTCGGAAGCAATCTGGTCCGTCTGAGCCAGCTGGTCGACTTGGAGAATTACAAGAAAATCCTGGGTCCGCTCCTGGAGCAGGTTGTCCAGTGTCGGGATGTTCTCGCGCAAGAGTACCTGCTTGACGGTGAGTTAGCATCACCAAAATGGAACTGATTCTCGCGCTAACTGGCCAGAAGTTATCATCCAGGTCTTCCCCGACGAGTTCCACCTCCACACCCTCGACCAGTTCCTCTCCGCCACCGCTAGGCTTAACCCACACGTCAATGTGAAGGCCATTGTCATCAGCTTGATGGACAGACTATCTGCGTATGCAGGCAGAGAAGCCGATGCCGAGACCCCCGAACAGCGGAAACAAATCGAGGAAGAAGCTTGTGCCAAACTTCTCGAGCAGCTGCGGATATCGAAGGAGGCGAAGGCCACGGAGCCATCAAAGCAACAAAACGGCGAAAATGGCGAGGCGGACCACGAGGAGGGCGAGGACGAATCCATCGCTCCTTCAGAGTCCACCGCAGTCGCCCCGTCGGAAGCGACAGCGGAGACCGAAGCTACGGCTGTTGATGGCGAGATTAAGAAACATCGTGGCATTCCGGAGAATGTCAAGCTCTTCGAGATCTTCTACGAGCAAGTTGCCGCACTGGTCAAGATGGCACGGCTGCCAATTCAAGATACCATTGCTCTTCTCGTTTCTCTCGCGAACCTCGCATTAAGCATCTACCCTGATCGCCTGGACTACGTCGACCGCGTTCTTGACTTTGCGAACGAGAGGGTCGCACAATACGCCAACAGCGCCGACCTCCACTCGCAAGCTTCCCAATCCAACATTCTCAACCTTCTTCTTGCGCCTCTCAAGGCATACCTTTCTCTATTCACCGCACTCGCTCTCCCCAACTTTGTACCTCTTCTGCATTCTCAACCTTACCCGACCAGAAGAGCGGTTGCTGGTGAGGTTGCTCGGAGTTTGCTTAGGAACCAAACCAAAATCTCTACTGTCGAGAATCTGGAGTCTGTGCTGGAGATCCTCAAGGTTCTCATCAAGGAAGGCGCTCAACAACCTACCGGCTACCCCGGTGGTCCTTTGCAGAGGAAGGGTATGGAGACGGACGAGACGATCGAAGAGCAAGGATGGCTCGCGCGGATAGTGCACCTCATCCAAGGCTCCGACAATGATACCCAATTCAAGCTTCTCCAGGCCGCTCGCAAGGCATTCAGCGAAGGCAGCGAGCGCGTCAAGTACACCACACCCGCACTCATCACCTCATCTCTCAAGCTCGCCAGGAGGTTCAAGGCACGCGAGCATTTTGATGACAACTGGAACTCACAATCGTCGGCACTTTACAAATTTGCCCACTCCCTCCTCAGCACTCTCTACGCCCGTGTTGCCGGTTCAGCTGATTTGTCGCTCCGGTTGTTCGTCGCCTGCGGCCAGGTCGCTGACCAGACTGGCCACGAGGAGATTGCATACGAGTTTTTTGCGCAGGCTTTCACCATATACGAGGAAGCCATCAGCGATAGCCGCGCGCAGTTCCAGGCTGTTTGCATCATCGCTGGCAGCCTGCACACAACGAGGAATTTCAGCAGAGATAATTACGATACCCTAATCACTAAGTGTGCCTTGCACGGTAGCAAGCTGCTCAAGAAGCCGGATCAGTGCCGCGCCGTCTACTTGGCAAGTCACCTGTGGTGGGCCACCGAGATCAGGGCTCTCAACGAAGAAGACCCCAAGGACGTAAGTGTACCAGCCATTCAATTGTTTTTTGATCCAAAAACTAACAAAAACAGCTCTACCGTGATGGCAAGCGTGTACTTGAATGCCTGCAGCGTGCTCTCAGGGTGGCTGATGCATGCATGGATGCGGCGGTCAGCGTTGAGCTCTTTGTTGAAATCCTTAACCGTTACGTCTACTACTTCGACCAGGAGAACGAGGCTGTAAGTACTCTATCACAGTGCCTCAATGAGGTGCGTCTGCTAACTTCCATGATAATAGGTGACCACCAAGTACCTCAATGGCCTCATCGAGCTAATCCACTCCAATCTCAACACCAACGAGAATACGGCTAGCTTGGAGAACCCGCGCAAGCACTTCCAGCGGACCCTCGATTACATCGCCTCGAGAGACTACGAGGGCGTTGTTACGCAGCCGAAGTGAGTCTAGGCGCAATGGATTGTTCTGAATGATGTCGAAGGGATCAACCTCCTTCGTTCGAATCTGGTGGGGGGGAGTAGACGCAATGGTTGGAGTAGATGTGAATTTCGGTTCAGCCGATGAGAGAAGATCCAAGGTGCCTTATGGCGCTGTCAAAGGGGGGTTGGGCAGTTGGGCAATCGAGCGATCAAAGGATAACGAATGAAAGTGGCGGCCTCTTGAAGTTGGACGCCATTCCAAGGGCAGAGAGTTGGAGGAAGGTCACGGTGATCGGTTGGAGCGAGCATGGGAGGATGGGTCAAGGGAAATGAGAACTGATATAACATACACCACCTTTTACAGACACCCACACGCCCTTGTTTAATGTTGCGAATATTACCCACAGTGTTGATTATGTTGTGTTTCTGCGACCAGTGTATCTTTTGTTTTGCAAGGACATGTGCTCGATTTGAGAGCATGATGTGCGGCAGCTGCTTGCCTGCGTACTCGTGATGCGCGTGGTTCAGGTTGGATCTTGTGATCATCAAAGTTGAAATCCGGAAACAGCTTGATTTCCAGGTATAAAAGCGTAGCTCTTCGCTGGCCTGATCGTACTTTTGCACGACAATGGAGCAGCCGCTGCCCGGCTTGTGAGGAGTAAGTCTCGTGAAGGATTCTACTCTGGGTCGTGGCCTTGGCTGGGAAGTGGTCTACGATAACGCGCCCTTTGAGAGTGACTGTGGGAGAGCGTGGTATGTTGGCCAAGTTGGTGATGACCAGCATCATGATGTATGGAGGGAGGGCATCATTAGTCACGAATGATGCGGTTGGGCAAGGAAGCAAGTTGGTGGTAGCCTCTCACTTTTCAGTTTTACGCTTCATCTTTTGTTGGACCGTAAGGAGTGGGAGGTCGCAATGTGCCAGATAGCTCTGAGGGCCGGGCACTTGTGTAAATGAGCCTCGAAAAGAGCCGCCGGCGGAGTATATGGTGTTGTCCTAAATCCATTTCTTAGTTATTATTCCCAGTTATGTCAAAACGAAGCTAGTGATAGCAGAGTAAAGGGGGGTTCAATAGATGTCGGGGAATTTTAGTAGCAGCTGCTTCTCAACAGATGTAACTGCTAAGTTGTGTCGTAAAGCTTGTGAATGTCAGGCGTCACCCACAAGGCTAAAAAATCTGGAAGCATGTGCTCGATAGATGAGCAGAGCATATTTAAAGGACATACATCAATACTTCGACAGCAGCAGTGTAGACTTCATTTCTACTCGAGAGAAGCGAAGATATCCTCGCAGTGAGCCACCAGAGAACTGTCGCACTCGTTAGGGGTTCTTTAGATGTACCATATTGCGAAGTGAGAGATGCACGGGATGATGAAGTGAATCGTTTTAGGAAGCTTTTGATACACGATTAACCTAACGACTTGATTATATCTTGCATCTGTGGCAGATGATGCCTCTGCTCTAAGTCTTGTGAAGGCAAAAGAGAGAAATTGCTGGATACATTTTCCGCACCGCGCGTAAGACAGCAGCCACTGCAAGCGTATCCGCGAGGAAAAGAGTACTGTATGTCGGAAAAATCATGTGGAAGCAGCTTTGCGTTTGTGCTTCAAATGCTGCGTTCAACATCGAGCACTGAGCACACTTTAAAGAAGTGGCAAAAAGCGGATTTGATGCCACTCAACTGACAAGAAGGCATCTCCTGCACCCAGCTGTATTTCCCTTCAGCTGACTGCTATCAGTCTTCTGCCGGCGAAAAATCTGCGTAGTGTGAAGGTCATACGCTTTATAAATGAATCATTTAAGGGTCATTTCCTTCATTCCCGAAAGCCAACGACGATACCTCAGTTGTCTATCGTCAAACAAGAGATACTGTCTTTTTCGCTCCTGGTGGGTATGGGTTTCATGTCATTGTGGTCTTCTAGGCGTGCTAAATGAGACAGTGTCCTTAACCACGCTCACTGACGTTATGCATCATGCAGGGTTTTTGAAGACTTTAAGCATTGAGTAATGCTGAGGATCAAACGCCCAAATAATATGATGGAAATTTTCTTTTCTGCTTCATAGGATATGGGGGGCTGAAGGAAAAAGGAACAGTGGTCATTTAGAAGTGCCTATCAGACGGCACTTTCCTTGGAATAGATTGTTCCGATGAGAATGAAAACAAAGAATACTTGGTTTGCTTATAGGCCGTTCGCTGGAGACTGGTGCAAACTTTGCGGCCGCATAGAGATTCGCTTCTCCCCCGCCACTCAGCATACGATGTTCCATGTTGAGACGCAGTCCCATTTGCAACTGGAAGGGCCACGCACGTCTTCTCGGAACTACATTGATACCCCACACTATTTAATAAACCACCCGTTAGAATGACGGGGAACGCGATGCACGTCCACGTCAGCAGTCATCTCTGTGCCGTGGACCAGAGCAGTCAGCGGCACGCATTCCCCTTTGTTTTCAAACATGCGGGTCGGGTTTCACGACAGCTACCGGTCGTCTGACGCGTCTTATCGCCTACTATATGTGTTTGCCATAATTCCTGCCTATAACAGTCGGTGCTGCCTGCATGGAGCGTTAAGTGTTTCCCAAGAGTTTCAGACCAGCGTTGTCGCAGAACTCATGACACGCGGTAGCTGAAACAGCTGACAGGTTTTCGGCGGGTAGAATTGCATGCAACATATGGATGGAAACCAGATGTTCAGCGTGGAAGCAAATTGTTGATTTTGTAAGCGGATGAGCGGAGAAAAAAGCGTGCTTTCCACTTGGAGCCTCGAGCACGCCATGGGTTTGGGATTGATTTGCATGCAAGGATGAGGGGTGGAGAAAAACGTTGGTGGCCTGATCCACGTCCCTGGTCAGTAGTGGCATGCAGCGGACGTCGGAGCAAAGCAAAGCTTTCTTTGGAAAGCTTACGAGTCCCGCTTATCACAGCTCAAGCCAGCTGTTTCATTTAGCGTTGTGACACCCCGGTCGGCAGACGTAATTCAGGAACATTGGCAAGTGAACATGTTTGCGAAGATGGAAATCACAGCTCAAGATCAGAGAAGTTTTGACGAAAAGGCAAAGCCATATATTTTGTACATTGAATAAAAGATTTGTGTGGGCATCCAAATCCACCTCGCTGAAATACAAAGTCTTTAACGGGCTACAAGAAACCCTTCTTTTCTACAACTCTATCAGGAATGTATACAGTCACGGTGCTCGATCCGGGCGTTTAAGCGCGGAGGTCACGGGCGTGACGGCGGACCTTCTGGGAGGAGGAAGACTCGATGCTGGAGACGAGCTCGGCGAACCAGTCAACGAGGTCCTGGACAGTGGTGCCCTCGGGCAGGGACTGCTCGGGGATGACGCCAGAGGTGCCGGTGGGGGTGGCGGGGAGGGTCTTGGTCAGGACGCTGGCGGGGAAAGCGGCGGCGATCTCCTGAGCGAGCTTGCTGTTGCCAGAGGAAGCGGCGGCGGTGGTGGTGGGGGTGGAGGCGGCGACGGAGGTGGCCAGGGTGGAGCTGGGCTCAGCGGCGGCGACGGCGACCTTGGAGGTGGCAGCGGCGGCAGCGGAGGTGGAAGCGGAGGCGGAGCCCGAGCTGCCAGAGGAAGAGCCGGAGCCGCTCATGGTGAAGTCGACGCAGGACTCGTAGGTCTGGTCGATGGACTCGGCGTACCAGTACCACTGGATAACGCAGTCACCGGCGGTGGCGCACTGGCTGCCAAGGTCGGAGGGCATGGTGATGTCGAAGGCGGTGTCAGTGGACTTGACACCGGTCTCGGTGGAGGCGTAGACATCCCAGCTCTTCAGGGCAGAGCCGATGACGCTGTTGGAGGCAGTGTCGACGATGGAGACGTTGGCGACACCAGTGTGGGGGGCACGGACGTCGACCTTGAAGTTGATGGTCTGGCCAGGGGTGTAGGTCTGGACGTTGTCCTTGTTGTCGTCGAGCTTGTAGCCCTTGCAGAGCCAGATGTCGCACTTGGCGGCATCGTAGTCGCTCTGGGAGCTGGCAACCTGGAGCTCGCCCTGGATGTTGCCGTAGTTGTCGGACTTCTGGTTGTTGTAGACCTGCTGACCGCAAGCGGCGGCCATGGCATCACCAGGCATACGGGGCTGGGGGCTGGTGACGAAGCCGTGGCCGGCGACGACCGAGGCCAGGATGGGGAGGGCGGCAATGTACTTGGCAGACATTTTGATTGATGTTGTTGTTGTAGAGATTGACTGAGGTTCAGCGAGAAGAGACTGTGGTGTCCAGGTACCTGTACCGGAAGAACGAATGGATGGTGGAAAAGAATGTGGTGGTGGTCACAGACCGGAGAGCGCAAGTCAAAAGCAAAGGATGGCTAGCCTTGGTGGTGAGAGAAGGGAAGGCATTGGGGCAGCAGCGGGCTCAAATATAGCTACTCGGCGTCCCTATCGCAGGCAGGCACCTGGGGGTGATCAGACGCAGCAAACGGGCAGGGACGTTTCGTCGACTGCGGTACCGAGCGGCATGCGGTCAAGCCGGAGGGCGCCGAGTGGGCGGCTGGCGATCCAGGCTCGGCCTTGTTCTGCTCGGCTGGTGTTTTCAAACAGCTATGCCGCGCCCCTGCCCCATCTCCGTGCGCACGTCGGCGGGGAGGCTGTCGCGACTCGGCCCCTGGGTCGCTTAGGATGCCGCTCTGGGCCTCGTGGCCGAGCTTGTCTCAGGTTTACACAACTTCTGGGGGCCGCCAGCGTAGCCGCCTGCGCCAGTGCGCCAGATGCCGAGCGCAGAGCCGCGTCCAGAATCGCCGATGACGTTCGCGACAGGCATCGCAGCCGTTGGCGGTGCATGGGTGCGGCGGCAGTGGTGATGAGAGGAGGGTTGCGGGCGGAGAATTCGCAGCGCGGTTGGTGCCAATTTCGCCAAGCTCTCTCTGGGCGTCCCACGCGCCAGGAACGCGACCTCCAGCAGAAGCGACCTCACCTGAAGCGCCTTCCTTTGCGCCCGCAACACACTGCAATGTCCGACATGGCGCCCCAGCACCCCTCGCACCTGTCCAACCCGCTGGCCACCCCCGACCAGCTGGCCCAGTCCGGCTCGCAGCTCGACGGCATCCCGCCCGACCTCGAGGATTCGATCCGATTCGCTGGCCAGCGCCTCACACAGGCCGCCGGCATCCTACTGCGCCTGCCGCAGGACATCGTCGCCCAGGCCATCGTCGTCTACACTCGCTTCTGGATCGGTCCCGAAGGCGGCAGTCTGAAGGACTACGGCGCCAAGGTACCCCCACGTGACACTCCACTCCGAACCCCCAATTTGCTCATGCAATCAGGATGTCTCCGCTGCTGCTCTCTACACCGTCGCCAAGCTCTCCGCCTACCCGAGGCCGCCAAGGGCTGTTATCAACACCTACCAGTTCCTGGACTCGCTCCCGTCCACCTATGTGGATCCTGAAAAATTGCACCAGGAGCCCGTGGATCCAGAAACCTACTTCGTTAGCGAGGGAACCTACCACGCTCTGCGCGCCCTGTTGATGAAGACCGAAGCTCACGTGCTGCGCGTGCTCGCATTCGACACGCACGTCGCCCTGCCCTACACTCTCGTCATCAACTACCTTCAGGCCCTCGGAATCGCCTTCGAAGGCGACGGCAGCCCCGGCACCGAGCTCGCAAGGCGTGCCTTCGCCCACCTGAACACAGCCCTCCTGAGCCCCCAGCTGCCTTATCTGACCCACCAGCCCCCGCAGCTCGCCACCGCCGCCGTCTACCTTGCCGCCCGCGACGTCGGCGTCAAGCTACCCGGCGAGCCGTGGTGGGAGGTCTTCGACACTGATCGTGAAGAACTCGGTTTTCTCGTCGTCGCCATGATCAGTATGCCCGGCTTTGCTTCGGAAGAGAAAGCGAAATGGGGAAGGCGTAAGGTGCCCTTGACGCTCGAAGACCTCGACGCCGAGCTGGAGCGCAGGCGCATGCTCGAAGACGGCCAATGATGTTGATGATGATAACGATCCGATCATCCCGAAACAGAAACATGAAACGAGATGGAAACGAAAAAGAATCCTCCCGAATGCCAAGCAGTTCGTGATCGCTTCCGGGGAAATGCGTGCCCCCTAAAATTGGTCCATGATGCGACCCAATTCGCCCTTTTGTGGAGCTGGGCCAAGTTGAACTGGCCGGATGCAGTTGCAACGGCGTGTCGTCGGCATAATCCCGCACTTTGAGGAAGGTTGTTGTATATCAGGCCGGCTATTGCCCTGTCATGCTCGCCGACGTCCGTGCGAGCTGGGCCCAGGAGGTGGCTCAGGAGTGTAAGAAGCTTACTGGAGGGGCGAAGTATCGTAGCAATCCAGCCCCCGTGGTCGGCAATTCAGTAACAGTGTCCCATGGTTCTCTTCTATCCTCACTACCTTCCCTTATTCCCGCTGGCGAAATCCGGCTTGGGTCACACGGTTGGAACCGTTTGAAGGCGTCAAATTACAGAAGTGCACGGGCCGGTCCGCCTGGCTCGAGCTTTCCTCCAACGGTGAGAGTTGCGGCACAGAGAGGTTCCTTTCGAGAGCCTTTTAATAGCGACTATGAATCGTGTTCTCCGGAGTTTGACGGAATTTAAAGGGGTTTCTTGGGGTTTGACCGTGTTCATATTCAGATCTGCTGCACTTGTAAGTCATCACAGCAATATACCTAAGCGGTTTCCAGCTGGCAGATCTCTGCTAACGCGCCTGACCCTAGTATGAGCTGAGATCTCTACTTTAAAAGGCCCAGTAGCATATAGTCATCATATGTGGAGTTCACCTTTCCTCGTTCCTTTCGTTACAGTGGAAAGTGTTGTGGTATGGTATGCTGTCTTCGCAGCAAGAAGTATCTCCATGAATGACTAATCAGAAGGTCATCCTACATCGAGATCCGACGCCTCTTGCCCAGTGTTCGGACGATTTCTAAGGAATAGTGTTGCCGAACAGCAATATGTGCGATTTTTCTTCCTGGGGACTTTCCCACAAGATTGCCGATCGGACCCAGGATGGTGCCACAAAGTAGCATGAAACGTCAAGTAACGAACATATAGATCGTTTATTCAATGATCGAAGATGACTTTCTTTTTTTGAGTTTGTAACCCTGGTTTGTTCGTGAACGGTTGGCTGGTCCGCGGTACTTGGTTGACAAGTGGCGTAGCTTACCCGGCAAAGAAGCCAACCATTAAAAAGCCACAGGGCTGAGAGAAGTCACCACACCAGGATCGGCTCTCCTTCGCTTTAGCGTAATCAGGGTCCTATCAATCATTTCGAATATCCCATTTGCAAGAACCCCATCGTATTTCGCAAAAGACCCTACAGTAATTAAAGCGCTCAAGGAAGGGACAATTGTCTGCCTTCCAGAATTTCCTCCTTATATTTCCAACATGCTGCATCTCAAAGAGCAGAGGTAAGTTGCAGTATTAACAAACTGGATGGATATGTTTTCAAGGGCGCGAGGCGCTAAGCCTAGAATGGCATTGGGAATGCATTCTCGACCCTTCGCTCCTAACCACATTCCACATTCGCTCAGATTGGACCCAACACAAAGAAGCATCCCTAGCTTCGTGTCGCTTCGATCTAGATGTTTGTAGCGACGCTTCCGAACAGCCACGAGGAAGCTAAGATGCCATCATGATCGTACTAGCCCGCCTATCATGAGTCTAGACTGAGAGATGGTAATTATTGCGCTCTATGTCTTATAGACAACCAAGGGACACTCAGCTCGCAATAGCCTAAAGCAATGCAAGCAGCTGTTGCCACTGATGGATTCTCGTCTTATCGAACCGCGTGGCACTCTTCACAACAAAGCCCCCCGATATTAATGCATTCCCCAAACACTCAGAATGCCCGTATATTCGGGGCCACCTCCTTCTTCCCAGTAGGACTTAAATTACTCTAGAGACCATCCATTTTAACCGACAACCACATATGAGAGGATTGCAGGGGGCTCAGTCAAGCCGAAAGGCGCCATTCGTTGTCACAGCGGCGGCCTGCCTACTTCTCTCAGTTTTGATCCTGCGCAGCTACGTCGAACATGTCAACTTCCGCGCCACCATCGGCAGCTCTTTCCACTCAGGAGGAAATCAGACGGGCTGTCCTTCCTCTCTCCCCGGCAATGCGGGCTCCGACGTCCTCCTCGTCATGAAAACGGGCGCAACAGAAGCCCACGCCAAGCTGCCCATCCACTTCAACACGACGCTACGATGCGTGCCGCATTACGTCCTCTTCTCCGACGTCGATGAGGAAGTCGACGGCCACCATGTGCACGACACACTTGACTCCGTCACGGAGTCGGTCAAGACCGCCAACGCGGATGACTTCGCACTGTACCGCTTGCAGCACGAATTGCACGCGCAGGGCGTCAATCTGGGCAAAATTATAGCCAATTCATCCGAAATGCGAAGCAAAGCATGGGTGCTGGATAAGTGGAAGTTCCTGCCGTTGATGGAGAAGGCGCTGGCAGCCGCGCCGGGGCCGCACACGAAGTGGTTTGTGTTCGTGGAAGCGGACACTGCGTTCGTGTGGTCGAATCTATTGCGGTGGCTGAAATGGTTCGATCCGGAGAAACCATGGTATATAGGTTTGTTCTTCCCTGCCTCCTCCTTCTCCCTTAACTTTTTCTCCTCCCCCGGCTCTGTCGCCGTTGTTGTTCACTCAATCCTTTCTTCCCTATACTACTTCATAAAGTTCGACGTGGGGGAAGCATCATAGAGCCCAGAAGCCACTATTACACAAAAGTACCCACAAGAGAAAAAAAAAAACTCCGCTAACCACCAACAACAGGCGGCCAAACCTGGGCCGGCGGATCGGCCTTCGCCCACGGCGGCACCGGCTTCATCCTGTCCCGCGCCGCGCTCGAGCGCCTCGTCGGCCACCTCGCCGAGCACCCGGACGTCTACCCGTCGCTCACCGCCGACAACTTCGCGGGCGACCTCGTCCTCGCCCTGGCGCTGAAGAGCGTCGACGTCCCGCTGACCATGGGCTTCCCCATCCTGCAGGGCGAGACGCCGTACAAGCTGGACTACACCGAGTTTCATTGGTGCCATCCGGTCGTTACGTGGCACCACATGAGCCCCGGGTGGGTGGAGAAGATGTGGGAGTTTGAGCAGGAGTTTTTGAGGAGGGTTGAGGGTGGTGGTGGTGGTGGTGACTGGATGAGGGGGCGGCATCAGGAGGATGTTGGGGAGGTTCAGAGGAAGGAGTGGGACATGGTTATGAGGCATTACCATGTGTTTGAGGAGTTTGTGGCGCCGTATGTGAGGGTGTCGGAGAAGGCGAACTGGAATAACTTCAGCCCGGATATTCTGCAGCCGGCGATGGTGAAGGAGTTGGGCCAGGAGACAGGGAAGGAGGGGTGTAAGAAGGCATGCGAGAAGTTAGAAAGGTGCATCCAGTGGTCTTGGGTAAAGGATAGAGGGGATGGAGTGTGCAGGACGGCTGAAGTGATGAGGCGGGGGGAGGTGCCAGATGAAACCGATTGGAATGGTGTAGAGATGACGAGTGGGTGGATCGTGGAGAGGGTGGACGAGTTCATGAGGAGGATGGAGGGATGTAGGAAGGGCAACTGGATTATGGGCCCATGAATTAGTGAGTCGGACGATGACGAATGTTACGCCTATGATCTTCTGTATTCTTCTATTAATCGAATCAGCAACAATTATAGATTGCCACGCGACCTTGTACGTATATTATGAGAGCTATGCTGATAAGAAAAGCCGAAAATTGATCATAATGTATAGGTAGGCTATCTGGTACAATGAGTGGTACATTGTCCTGCAATGTTTTATTTATCACCTCGTCGTTAACCGGATCGATGATGTCTCGTAGCCCTTGCGAGAAAAACGAAAACCACCGTCTTCCCATCTCTGTCAACTTCATAGTACTAAGCCCGGAGAAAACTGTAACAAGAATCCACGAATCACCCAACGCACAATTGTAAGGGCAAGCCGTTAAATCCCTGACAATGAGCCAGGATCGGGTATGACACGGATGGTGCTCCCCGCCATGAACGTGCAAGGAGATTTTAATGAGCTGGGGCAGTATCTTTCCCCGTCCCCGTCTTCTTCCCGATCACTAGATGGAAGTAAAAACCCAAGCCGCCCGAGTGTCTGTGCGTGAGAGGTTTCAGACGGCATACACGCTTGACGCGTTACATGTCTACTGTCCACCACAGTGAAACAGGAAGGAGTGACTATCGGAAAATAAGCTGCCTGAGAAAGGGTAATAACTTCATGGAAAAGATGGCTTGGCCGAGAACATAAAGCATTTCCATGAATATCGACAAAAACAACCCCAAGAGCCGGGGATAGCGCCCAGCGCACTCAGGATTCACTTAAGAACTGTTCTTTCCTTGTTTTCTTTCCCTCATACCTGGTACTTTACTCTCATATCTATTGAATTTTAGATTAAAATGATTGTTCCTTCGCCATGAATCCAAACGCATATAGTGAATCTGTACGGTCCCTCAGTCAAGGTCTCCACAGTGTGATTGATACGACCAGACGCGATTGTATGTACCACGAAGTAGATCGCCACACCAACAAGAAATGTTGCTTCAACGTTTTAGCAATCCATGGATGCCAGGGTAACCGAGGCACATAATCGTTGCACAGGCTGCGTAAGCACAGCCGAGGATTTGCTCGCATTCATGACCCAAAGTCGACTCGTTCAGGTTGAGGGAAAAGATCCGAACTTGGAAGGCCTTACAGGGGACATGCCCCACGACCAACGTCACACTGAGACATTCGCTCGTCTCCAGAATGTGTGGGTATGTTCTGGAGACTTGGGCTTACTTTAGACACGAATTCGTCGCCGCTTGCAGCGGTTCGACGCATCTCGAGCCTTGGTCCGTTCGCTGGATGACCCGCGGCGTTGAATATATTCCGCCTTCCCCTCTCGCTCTCATTGGCGGGATTGCTCTGATCCCTGAAGATAGTGGTGTGGATCATCCCTGGGATCGCCCTTTGGCCTGGCAATAATCCTCCTAGCCGCGATCGGAGCCCTTGTCTGAAACAAAGATCGCTCCATATCACCTGGTTCTGGCGATTTCAACAGTTCCTCATAGTTTTCCTCCTTGCGGCCCGAATGCTGAAATATTACATGTCATCTGCATAGCCGCCGAGCAGTTCGCCATTTTAAGGTTTAAACCCTGGTCGCCTTCAAGCAGGCCCTGTCGCACGAAGGATATTTTAGAAGTTGGAGTCGAATCATCGTCTAGAACGTCTCTTGAGAGATTCGCAGGATCGACTTCGCCAAGGCGGGCCTGTTTTCCCCCGCCACATGTCATCAATTAGGCTCACTTTCCCCGTGGCTTGTTATTCCGCATGCGGCAGCTAACCTTGCTCAGAAGATGTGACCTCAGGGTCTGATCAGTAGCCTCTCTTGCGACATTGCAACATGTGCCCGCTGGCCCGAACGCGTCTTTGATCTGAGAGTTCTTTAAATCGATCTCTCTGGCAGCTCCTTAGCTTGAACACTTTTCGATGAATTGACATTCGCTCCATCATTTCGCACAATGCAGTTTACCCCTGCTGCTCGGCGAGCAGTAGTAGCATCATATGCACTGACAGGATTCTCCTTCTTATTCCTGATATTGAAGCTCTTTACTCGATATAGAATTGTACGTAGCTTAGGCTGGGATGATGCGCTGGCAACGCTGTCCTTCCTCATTTCAATACCACTGACCATAGTCATGCATCTCCGTAAGACACCCGATCCCCAAAACCGTTGCGTGTATTGTGATGTAGATAACACGAGTCATAAAACTACAGGAACTGACCGAGTTTGCATAAAATACAGAGGCGAATCATGGCATGGGGTACCACGTTAAAGATATTCCCCTCCCAGACTTGATGAGACAGCTCCAATGGTATGCTGAAGTTCCTCCCGGCAGCTACGCACCGCTCACCATCACCACAGGCTCTGGGTATCAACCTGGGTTTATGTTATCTCACTCGGCCTCTCTAAACTCTCCATCCTCGCGCAATACCTCCGCATCTTTGTCACGGTCCGCACAGTTCGTGCCATCTGGGCTTGCATAATCTTCGTCATCGCCTACACTCTTCAAAGCCTCATCGTCGGTATCTTCTCCTGCAACCCGCCGCGCAAGTTCTGGGACCCAACCCTTCAAGAGGGCTCCTGCATCAACTACACTCTGTACTACTACGTCGCCGCCGCCCTCAACATCCTCACCGACCTCGCCATCATCCTCGTTCCCGTCCCCGCACTGCGCCACCTCAACGTCTCGCGCACGAAACGAATCGGCGTCATGTTGCTCTTCTCCGTCGGTGGTTTGTAAGTTGTGGCCCAAATTACCTCCCACTGCTTCCTCTGCGCGATGACAGCAAGTATCATGCACAAAGAAAACCCATATCACTAACCCATCTCTTCTTCGGACAGTGGCTGCATCGTCTCCATCATCCGCCTCTGGACCCTCTACAGTCTCGACCTCGCCGTCCGCCGCGGCGACTCCACTTACGCCAACGCCAGCCCCGCGCTATGGTCCAGCATCGAGATACACGTCTGCATCATCTGCGCATGCCTGCCGTCGCTGTCGCCCATGCTGTCGCTCGTCCTGCGCTCCATTGGCTTGAACCTCTCCTCGTTCTCTCACAGAGATGAGGCGGGAAGGAAGTCGAGTGGTTACTCCGACAGGGGAAACGCGAGGGGGGAGAGGGGAGGAAGAGGTGCGAAAACATATCTCGGACGGAGAAAGAGTGGTAGCGCGTTTAGTGAGTTGGCTTCAACGTCGGAGGGAACGGGAATTGGGGCGGAAGAGGCGCATATTTGGGGCGAGATGGGGTTTCTTGCTGGGGGAGGGGTTGAAAAGGCGGTTGAGCTGAAGGAGGTGAACGGGAGGGAATATGGAAATCAGGAAAGGGTGTGGGCTAGAACTGGAGAGTTGGGGACGTCTGACTCGGCGCGGCATGCTACGATAGTGGAGTGGGACCCGCGCTTGTGAGGGGTTGAACTTGGAGGAGTGGTGTCGCTTCAAGTCTTCGGTGATGAATAACGTCGGCGTGGTTGGTTGTGTTTGAATATCCTGGATTCTCTCTTATTACCACGCGTAGCATTGATTTCTTAGAGTCTCTTGAGGATGCTCTAAAATAGACGAACGTCAGCCTACGAAAAAATGTCTTGTGGATTTGAGTCAAATGCGTCGAGCTGTAGAGCCACGGTCAGCACATTAATGCTTGAACTATGCACGAGAGCTTTTCTGTACTGCAAAGATGAAGGTAATATATGAATGAAGATCTCAGAAACTATCCAGAAAACCATCAAACTGGGATGTCTCGATTACCTTGATCCAAGATTTTTGAGTGGTTCTTATGACAGATCGCATCAGTACATGATATTGAACTAAATCGAGAATCCACCTGCTAGCTCCATGATACCATCCGGATCAACTTGGCTTCGAATGCTACGGAGGCGTTCTGCGTTGGTGGCTCCATACAAGTCCTCCGCCGTCGTATTCGAAATCGCGTAGTTGGGGTAGGCCGTAAAGTCGGAAGAATAGATTCCTTCATTGATGGCAAAAGTCCTCAGAGTTTCGATAGATGAGCGCATGGCATTGTACCAGAACTCGTCATCGGCGGGCGAAAGCCAAGCAAAATACAGGTTCAACTGCAACAACATGTTAGCCTACACTACTATGGCCTCCATATATCGTGATGAAATGTGATCTTTTCTTGCTTCATGGGATATTCGAAGCCTTGCACACTTACTGGAAGAGGCGAGTTGGCGTGCGGATAAGCGCTATCCGTTGCCTTTTCACCGTATGTCTTCAAGAAGGGCTCGATATCGTAGCTTATGCTCGTCCCGCTGTGACTTGCCATGACTTTGCCGAGAGTCTAGACGGAACAGGGCAATGTCAGCGCATAATCACAAAGGTGAGTCATTTCAGGCTTACGTCTGTCTCATTCCTAACCGCATTCACGAAGCCGGGTGTTAATTTGGAGGTGGAAAACGTGTGGAATGTGCCACGGGCATTAGTGATGAGATTTGAGGGGAACCCTTGAACGAATTCGGCAAAGGTCTGGGTTCTCGTGGTGTCAAGTGTAGCTGTGATATTATCAAAGAGCCCGAAACTTTCCGGCTTGGTCGGCCCGTCGTAGAAGAAAAGCACCAATGCCGTGGTGCCAGTCAAAGCCGAGCCCTCGAGTGTTGTGATAATTTGTGCCTTGGGGTCAGAACTCTCTGCATCGAATTTCGCAGTGGCTTCGAGAACGGCATCGAGCTTATCATTTCCATATAGCGCCAGACCACCCTGGAAAAATCTTAGAAAATTCTCATTGTGCGGAAAGGTAGTTTCCACGAGACTCACGTATACTTGGGGAGACTGCTGGTGGGTGTAGAACTCGGCCGAGACAACGATTCCAAATCTGTTCAGGCCCCCCTTCAAGGCAAAGAAGAGATCTGGCTTGTCCTCATCGACTTGAGTGATGGTTCCGTTCTATTTATGGTTAGTCATTCCTGGAAGCTTAATGGGAGTTATCAACACTGACCGGTAGTACCAAGGTAAAGCTTTTGACCGTATCACACGTTAAGCCTTTAAAACTGTGAGAATGAGATGCAGAAACGGAAAGGAGAGGTAGCTACTGACCGTATTGATTGGTCTTCCTGTATAACAATGATAATCAGTCACAAATGGGACGGCGTCGTAAGGGTGACTGCGCTTCTTACCAAGAAAATCCTCCACCGAGAGTGAACCCACCAATGCCCGGGCCAACAGTTCGCCCGCCAACAACGTTGTATCCGGTCTTCTCCAACTTCTTGTAGACATCGACCCAGGTCTGCATAAATTAGTACGAGCTTGGCCAAGCGTCATCGTGAGAGTTGCTCACCAGTCCCGTTCCAATCGTAACGGTGGAGTTGTCATCGGACAGCACAACTTGGTCCAGGCGGTTCAAGGAGATGTGAACCCCGGTCGTGCTTGAAAAGCCAGGATTGGACGCATGTCCGCCCGATCTGACCGCAAACGGGGTTCGAGCAGAACCGATGATTTGCACCTATATTTCATAGTCAATATAAGCCCCACACGGCTGCAGGTGTAACTCACGGCGGTAGCCAAGTCCTCAGCAGATCCAGGCTCAAAGACGCATGAAGGAGTCTGGCTTGATGATATATACCAGTGATGAATATCGGACAAGAAATTCGGGTGCACTGCCTGCATTAGCTCATCTTGAATTTGTTTGCAGGAGACAGTTGACTCACATGCGTAGATGACATCGCTTGCGCTTGTCACTTTAGAAGCAATCTCCTGGCATGTTTCCGCGCTCGAAAACACCGGGGTAACGAATGGCAAGACCGCCACCAAAAAGAGAGTTGGCCGCATCATTTTGCGTTCGACGAGGCCGCAGCTGATGGATTGCGGTCAGTTGGGCCCACGTCTACTTTAGAGATTCAATGGTGCAGCTACCTTCCTCGATGTTTCCGTGAGTAGATTAAATAATATCGAGATCTGTTACGGATTTGCGTCCAGTACAGCCATGTCTCACAATACAGCATCGCAAGATGCCTTTTAAAGTGAGTAGGGGTCGCCGAGAATCGATTCATGGTACCCGCAAGCAGCCTCGGCCCCGAGGACGTGGGGTCATCTAGGCGCAGATCTACGAAGATCAATACCGCCTTGCAGTAGCCACTTGGACGATTGGAGTCGAAATCGGTTAAGTTTGCTATTGGCGGCGCCATCAGCCCACTTTTTCACCTGCTCAGTTGAGATTAAGCATCGTTTATTTCTACCGTTTCGTACTTACCGTTATCCTATTGGTATACATGCTTTTTGCTCGCTACGGACGAACAGGGGCCCACTCGTCCAGCCAACAACTCACCGAGCCGCTCGGAACAACATCCGTGAGTACATACAGACCCCACACGGCTCCATATGATTGCAAATTATCTGCCGAGCATTGTAGCTGCTTTTGAAGCTGTGTTGGGCCTTTGCAGCTACTCGGAACTTGGCACGCCTCTCGACGGAGCGCTCTTCCGTAACAAAGAAAGACGTCGCCGATCAAACTGCAGTATTTATTTGTCTTTTTCATCACGCGCTCATGCAGTTGCGGTACTCTTGCCGTTTTCTTTTGTTGCGCAGCGTTCTAGACATAGTCATTCCAAGTGCAATGTCGAAACATGTACATTACTCAAGCGCACGAAACCTCTTTGAGACTTGATAGAGGACATAGATGTTGCAAGTTGACGGCTCTCTATCACAAGTGTGTCGCATTCACTAGAGTAGTATACTTGGCCAAGATGCCCCGACAGTGCCGAGGTAAATCGCATATATCTTAACAACCGAATTATAGATCGCTTTCAAACGCTAACAAGTTCAAGCTTTGTGCTTTCGGAGCTTTTTGGCTAAAAGGAAGACCCATACATGCAGTTTAAAGAAAGATGTGAACTTTTCGGCTCTTCCGAGTTTTCTAAGATTCTCTAAAGTATGCACTATATATTTTACGCAAGACATTGTCTCTACAACAATAAAAAACAGCGTTGGTGGTTTAGTGGTAAAATTGATCGTTGCCATAGTTGCAGTCCTCACAGAAGCATCTCATCCCACGAGTGCTCCCGGGAGCTCAACACTCAGTTTCGATCAGCCCCGGGTTCGATTCCCGGCCGACGCATCTCTTTTGGCCTTCGATAGAGGACTATTGTTTTGTTGTTCGCTGTGCCGGAGCAAATTTTTGCTCTCGGTCGGTGTTGAGTCGGGACCACCGGACGGGCAGTGCTCCGGCATCGGGCATTGGAGACGGCCAGCCATAATCCTGCAACGGAACCCCAAGAACTTAACAAGAGAACTTTTGCTGCAGGAGAAGTAATATGCTCCGTTGCGTTCGACATGAGGATTGTGATCCGATAAATCACAATCAATACAAACACGTAGGAAGGGTCCAAGAGAAACGCTTGTGCAAGGCTACAAGTATTTTTAAGAATCGTTTAGTAAATTGATAGAGAAATTGAATTAACGGGTAGTAAGCATATGAAGCTGTGGTGTAATTGCCGATACTAGGAGGTTTGAAATACACATTTTAGATGCTAATCCTGTCTAATGAACGTGACGATGTGCTCGATCAGTGATTTGCTATATTTTCTTGGCTTTGAAAGCATTCTCTACGCGATAACGTGGGTCAGACGCAAATTTCCCACTCATAAAATTTAAAGTTCTGCTGGCGGGCGCAGGCGGAGATTGAATCACGGGTGATTTACAGGCCAAGCTGGAGGCACGGGTAATTTGCAGGCAGGGGTAATAGCAAATCGAATTGCCTCCAGCTCCTTCAACTCCTGCAGCTCCTGCAGCTCCTGCAGCTCCTTCAATGTCGCCAGCGCCACCAGCGCTACTAGCACCGCCAGCCCCGTTAGCAACAGTCCTTTTATCATCCCTTTTAACATGGTTAATGCGTCTTTTTTCTTTTCGGCAAAGCTCTCGCTCTATAGAAATTTATGCGTTTGTAAAAGTCGACGAGAGCGTGTACACTGGCGGCTACTTATCCTTAGTTTTGCCTGTTTTTTTTTTTTGTTAGTATATTTGTGCTTTCGTGCCTTTATTTATGAGGAAATGTATACCAACCGTATTGCTGGTAGGACTAACAGCGCTAACGGTGCTGATAGCGCTGGCGGCCCTGGGGGAGCTGGATGAACGGCAACTCGAGTTACCATTAACAGTATGCGTCTAGTCCCATTAGCTCTGGTAGCCGGAATTGATTGGTAATAAGTAGTCGAATTTTGCTGATGAACCCTCAAGCTTTTCATTTATTCACGATCCGCTTTGTAAACTCAGATAGAGCACTTTCGTGGTTTTGTGACTTTCGTAATGTTCTTCACTTCGGAATCTAAATGGCCAATGTAAAGATATAATCGCGGGACCCAGATGTGTTTCAAGCTCGGCAAACTCACTGGTTTAAATTGCCCTGTGAATGCGATTGACCGGGTCGAGAGTCGTTGGTAGAAGATTTCTGCAGCGGTATGGCGGAGAATACCTGCCTTACTCCCTGTGATTTGTGTGGTGAGGTTTTTTAGGGCGGCAGAAATGAGCATAAATACAGAAAGAATTGAGCTCTACTCCTTCTGGTAGAGTTGGTAACGCAAATCTATAAAACCGTTCAGTGATTTATCGACAAAAATAATTACGTCTCTGGAAACGCTGACAATATGAGATAGTATAACCATGAACACGCAGTTGTGTGAATACATCCTTTACTATCTTCTTAAGATCGTTACTTGACGCCAGATATAACACTGAAAAGTCTAAACCGAAAAAGCATAAGCGAGTGGGTAATTTGTCCACCTATCTCGATTCCTTGATGCACTTCTAGAAAATGCCCCTACATACTTCGTTGCAGATATCTGAGATCTCACAGTACGTTATAGACTATGGGTTGATACGATACTTCAAGCACAGATCTCTGGAGACCAGTACAAGTCTACGCACTGCAGCTGCCGCCACTATCATTCCTAAACGTGGGATGACCCCGAAGGAAGTAATGAGATCAAAAATGGAGAGACACCCGGAGCCAAAACACGTCTATTTGCTGGCATTGCGAGAATCAAGAAAAGTAAAAGTAAAGTAGATAATACGATAAAGCAGTGGTAGCCTCAGGATGCACGCGGTTTGAATATGGGGTGGCCCTGGCGTAGTCGGAAAAACGCTGTTCGCGACACTTCCGCGACGAAGAGCACTGTATGTAGGACTGGCCAAGCACGGGGAACGCTAATGCCCTCGGAATCGGTACCGAGCACGGTTCAGATACGTACGTGCACACCCTGTATCTGAAAGGACGCATTTGGCAGACCGGGCAGCCGGGTTTGTTTAAGGGATGCGAGGCTGTCAGTGACCACTTACCCAAAATGACGAAAAGAGCAAGCAAGGGTTGAGAAAGCACATCCAAACAGAGCAAGGTCTAGACCTCGCTGATCACCATCTACACAGTGTTCAGCTGTTGCACCCGCGGCGTGGGTACCGGTGAAGGTGTGGACGAGGAAGGAGCATCATGAAACGTGCTCGGATCACCCTGAATAATGCCTCAACAGCAAGGCTTCCCCACGCACACGTACGCATCACAGACGCATAAAATGCTTGATATTCCTATCAGCACTTCTTGCGGTGTGTGTGTGGCGACGATGAGCTGGCTCCTGGGCCGTTCCTCCAATGTACTACTTATGTTAGCGGCCAGTCACTAATCGCACTGACCGAGACATGGACCTTTTTCGCATCAGAGGAAGGTCAAGATGAAGGGTTGTCGTGTATTTCAATATTGTTGCTGAATGGAAGAATAGAATTTTTGACATAGGGAGAACACGGAAGAAGAGGAAGTGGACATGTTTGATATAATGTCTGACTAGCGGAGGCCAAATGCTTGTCTTGTGCCGCAGGCCGACTTGCAAGGAAAAGAAGATGGTTTGGCGTCTCTGAGAGAACATGCTCTGGACGCCGATGGAAATGCAAGTGAAAAAGTTGCGTGCAGCAAGAGCAATGACGAAGGAGACCAAAATTTTACGGATTTCTTGCCACTCAAGGGCAAAAGAGAAAAATGAGACAAATGCGGGGTATCTATCTGAAGTGCAAACAACAGAAAGTGTTTTTGCCACAGGCCGTTGAAGAATTGAAATAGAGGCAAGGAAAAAGCAGCAATGCGTTGGTTGGCATGCGGATTGACGATCTGAGCCTTCAAGGCTCAATGTGAGAAAGGAAATAACGTCAAAAAGATCGCCAGCTTTCGAGATAGTGTAACGAAAACAGTAAAAAGGTGGAGAGGTACTCAACGCCCCAAGCCCAGAAATCCCTACCAATCTGTAAGATCACTCCCATGAACCCCCATCCGAAGTTGGTACCTCATCCCAATCCGTGTATGAACTCCAATGCATGAATTTACGCCGTTTGGTATGTACTCGCCCTTGCTCGCGGTAGTCGCGACGAGTCAGATAAAAAGATGAGCGTGCCATGTTATATTAACAGTTGAGATGGCTGAATGAAACCGTGCTAGCGCGGTTGGGGTCCGAAAGAGCAAATGGTTTCGGGGGTGGCATCAGTGGTACGTCAAAGTCGCTCCTGGAAAGGAAGGTTAGTACTAGAGCTTGGAATGAGACAAAGTCGGGGGTACTCACTCGTCGACAATGTTCCCAACAACGCTCTTGCGGTTCGGGATATCGACAAGAACGGGCGTGAGCGTACGCTTCTCAACGAGACGCTCGCCAGTCGGACTTTGAACAACCATGGTCGTTGGGCCGGCATTGCGGCCTGCACGTCGCAGCGATTCTTGGCGCGCAAGCTTGGGCTTGGGTTCATCCTCAGGGATGACAATGGAAGGAGCGGTTGGCTTAGGGCTGGAATTCTGGCTGTTGTGGTCGGAGGGAGTGAATTTGGTGTTCTTCTGGTTGCTGCTGATGGTCGTGCTGCCGATGCCGTTGGTGGCGTTGTGGCCCCCGGCTCCGGATTTCTGCGCACGTAGCATCTCCTGCTGCGCGCGCTGGCGGCTGATCGATACCTGCCGGGCGATCGCGACGCGATTGGCGTTCTGCACTTCTTCGGCACGCTCCTTCAGCGTCGGTTGGCGTCTCGGCCCGGAAAAGTTCTGCTGTGGCTGTTGAGCTTGTTCCTCCTTCTGCTTCTGCTTCCGTTCGCGGAACTGGCGCTGCTGCTCAAGCATCATCTCTGCATCCTTGTCACGGGCCTGCTCGCCCTGGTGGTTATCCGAACCAGGAGAAGAAGTGTAAGAAGGCTTGCGGCCCCGTTGATCATTCCTTGGTGAGGGAGCCGCGACGGGAGTCTCAGGTTGCGTAGTTGGTGATTGCGTGTGGGTAAATCCCCTTTCCCGACGCTGCTTCTCCCGAAGTGAATTTTGCCTGGCGACGCTTTCCTTGGCTTGAGCCACACTCTGTCCGCTCAAGCTGCTCAACGGACTCTGGCTCTGCAGACTAAGGGCACTGCCAGCATCCTGCGAAACAGCGGTTTGCACTTGCAAATCCGGCTGCTTCTTTGAGACCATTTCCCAGCCGCTCACGTCCACTTTGTTGTTGTATTTCGATTCCTTTAACCTAATTGCCGCATCACCGCTCTCAGCGCTCTCCAAGCTCGCCTGGCTGTCCCGAGTGGAATCACTGAAAGCATGCGAGATGAGATCGTTCTGGCGGACCCCGATGCAGATCTCTTCAGTGTTCTCAGGCTCCTCGGTAATGTTTGTGGCAACGACCGGCTTCTGCTTCTCGGCCTGAGAATCGTTGACATCAAAGTTGAAAGTGGGACGGCCCGGGGAGGCAGGAGCAGTAAAGGAGCGCTGGAGTCTATGTTGAGGCTTCGGAAGGTTAAGGTTCTTGGGGGCAGGACTCTGGGTACGAGCGGGGCTTTGTGCATGCACAGGGGCTGGAGAATTTGAGCGCGAACCGCTCATTGAGTCGCGCGGGAATAGCGAAAGGTTCAAAGTGGGCGTCTGGAACGTTGGTGTTGCTGGAGAGGTAGCACGACGGATTGGCTTGGGCAGCTCATCTTCACCCTGTTCATCCGTCAGGCCCTGGTCAGCCATCTGGGGTGAATTAGTATCGCGACCCGCGCGGAAACAGGAGAAAAGGGGATGATGTACCCTCAGACAGTCCGAGTTGAGCGGCTTTAGCCTATCGTTGCCCTGGCGCCGAAGGAGTAGGTTCGACTGGCGGTCTCCCTTGAGCAAGCTTCCAAACATGACGCTGTACCGTTCCATCTCGATGGTGGGAATGTCGACATTCAACATAGGGCTTGTATCAGCCCGAGTAACCTGTGGCCTGGGTTCCTTGTGACCGAAGAAGCGCGACGGCTTTTTCTTGAGTGGCTCTTTCTTTGGGCTTCCTTGGTCCAAGTCCATGGTTGGCATCTTGGGTGGATCCAGTGGTGGTAAACGAGCCTCCGCAGCGGCGCTGCTCTTGCTCCTCAACCTGGTCCTGGCTTTCTTTTCCTCGCCCTTACCACCCTTGCTCTTTTCATTGTCTGCCAAAGAAGCCTGGCTGGCAATAGCATCGCCATGAGAGCCTTTTCTTGCAGGCGTCACGGGCACAGCTGGATTTTGCGGGGCAGGCATCTGCAGTTGATAGAAGGGGGCAGGGGTGGCGGGTGGTTTATCGGCAGGACGCCTGCCGAACAGCGACTTCCACCTGCTGATCTTGGGCTTCTTCCCGTCACCGGCGGTAGGGTTCGCAGCTGGAGGAACGTCGGCATCGTTGGCGGCGTCTACGTTAGCGGAGTTGGTGTCTGCACTTGCATCCTGGAATTCAGCAGGGTGCGACTGCTTCCACGCATTTGCATTCGTCTGGTTGGGGCTGCCGAGGGCCATTCCAATAGGCGCAGTCAGGTCCCGCTGGAGCCTTTCCCTGGAGTGGTTGACGGCTTCCGGCGAAGGTGTGGGGAAGTCAAAGGTCTGTTCGTCGTGCTGGATCTGGATGGGGGCACCGGTGGTGCGGAGAGGCCTGCTCCGGTCGATGGCGCTGTTGGCAGTCCTGGGGCGGGGGATTTCGTCGCCGGAAGCTGAAGCTGTACCACTGTCGGCGCGCTTTGGGGGCATCCTCTCTACGGTGCGGAGGTCGTTGTGAGACATGGCGGCGGCATTGAGAACGTGGGGATCAGATCCCGGAAGGGGCTGAGCCAGGTAGCTAGTGCGTTTGGAACGCTTTAGCGTCATGGACTTTGAGCGTGCAATGGGCTTAGCCATGGCAGGTATTTGAGAGGATAGGCGTCTTGGTGAAACCTGCACGGCAACGCAGCGGGGAAGGGAATGAAAAAGGTATAAGGACAGGACGGCCCTCCGGAGAGCCAACAAAAAGCGGAGCAAGAAAGAAAGACTGCCAGAAGGACGGCGCAAAAGGGCAGGAGAGCGCGCGCCGGCGGGTTGCATAGGTAGGCATCTTGTATGGCAGCGCCAGGCAGAGATTGCGCACGAGACAGCGGGCCAGCCCTGTCGAGGTCGGTCTCACGCAAATGAAGGGGCACCCACGCTCCTCTAGGATACCCCAGCACGGCGCGGGGCCGTGGTGAGGATGGTCGCTCGTCGCGGATTGGACCGGTGTGGGTGCCACAGACCTTCTCGTGCGCCGGGAAGACTTGGAGCGATCAGCCTCGCAGCACGCTCCGAAGCTGCAAGAGAAGCCGGACCCTGCGGGCCTTGGGAGGCGCCGGGCGTGTGGGCGCAGGATTGCCCCGTTGCTGCGGGAGCCGTTTCACCTTGAACGGGGATTTTTCTTGAATTCGGGCGCGGCCAATTTCGCTACACGGCGGAGCTGCGTCGACCGCGCGCCGAGCCCGGCCCCCAGGCGCCGGTGAGCGCGTGGGAGATGAGCAGCTGCACTGAGTGGTGATGGACGCTCGGCGGGCAGATCAGCAAATCTTCGAGGCGTGCGTGCGACCCGTGCGACTGCTGTTTTTGGCGACGAGGATGAGGCCGGCGGGCGCAGCCGACTCTGCGCCGAGCGGCTGCAGCGAGGGATCGGCGGCGGCAGCGGCATCGGTAGCGGGCTGGGGGGCCTTATCGCGAGCGGTAGCGCTGGCGGGCGAGCTGGTTTCTGGTGTTGAGATTCGCGGGCGGCGCGGGTCGGGCTTTCCTGGCACTTGTCAGCCCGGCGGTAGATCGCGCTGGCAGCGGCCACCACACGGCGACCTTGCGACACCCACCCCTGCACTGCCGGCAACGTGCTCGTCGCTCATTTCGTCAAACAATGGCTAGAACAGCGGAAATGCCCGTACGCCGCAACGGTCGCCCTATTCCGACACACCACGGCACCAAACAACGCTGTTTCAGCACCCGCTCTGTGGCACTCTCTCTCACCACCATGGTCTGCCGTCACTGCTATACCGCCCATGCTATGATGCGCGCGCCGCAATGCTTGTGTATACAAGCATATGTTATCCTGCGCTGCGCCTGACTCGTGCCTACGGACGGACGGCCCCACGAGAAACATCCACGCCACAGCGGAGAATAGTGGCCATGCTAAATTACAGGCTGCAGCCTGCCAATTATCGTCCAAACCCGGCTGAATATTCGATTATATGGCTGGATGCGCCGCTCTCGTATAGCGAAAACAACCGCCCCTCCCTCACAGCCTCTTGATGGCGTCGTCGACGCTCCAATTTTCATACTGCTCCGTCATCTCCCTGCTGATTCGCCGCGGCACCTTGTCCAGCGCGCGTCTAAAGTGCTCCATCCCGATGCATCGCTTATCCCCATGCCGGAGGCGATCTCGCAGCGTAGTCCGCGCCGCCTCTGAGCAGATTTCGACAATCTCGGCGCCGGAGTAGCCTTCCGTAAGCGTGGCCAGCTCCTGCAGATCCACGTCATCCGCCAACGGCCGGCCGTTTTCCACCAGCCGGATGTTCAGTATCGCCAAGCGGGCCTCTATGTTTGGCGGCCCAACGTACAGGATGGCGTCGAAGCGCCCGGGGCGCATCAGCGCCGAATCCAAAACGTCCGGCCGGTTCGTCGCAGCTAGGACCAGCACTCCTTTCAGCGACTCGATGCCGTCCATCTCGTTCAGCAGCGTTGTCAGAACGTTGAGCCCGCTGAGCTGCTTGCCGCTCTCGCGCGACGCCGCGATCGAGTCGATCTCGTCGAAGAAGATGATGCTCGGGCTCGCCGCTCGTGCCTTTCTGAACACCTCCCGCACCGCCCGCTCCGTCTCTCCGACGTACATGCTAGTCAGCTCCGCGCCTTTGACTGCCAGGAAATTGAGGTCTGATTCAGTGGCAACCGCCTTGGCGCACAGCGTCTTGGAACATCCAGGAGGTCCATACAGGAGGATGCCTCGCTGGGGTTGGAGATCGAGCTCCTGCATATGTTCGGCATACTATAACAACGTCAGCAGGTCGCGTGCTTCTAGAAGCATGCCGTATTCGCTAAATAAGAGCCTCACCTTGAAGGGCCATTCCGTGACCTCTTGCAACGCAGCTTTGACACTGTCCGACCCTCCAATGTCTGACCACCTGACTTTTGGCGTCTCAAGGAAGACCTCGTTCATTGCGGTGGGGCGCACCTGGAGAAGGGCGTCTTCGAAGTCCGCGAGCGATACAGCTGTTGCAATTTGATTGCTTTCTCCGGGCTCGCCTTGCTCCGGCCCGTGCTGCTGCTGTTCAGCATCGAGTGACGTGATTGCTCCGTTCGGCTCATTCCGACTGTCTTGCTCAAAATACTTGTCGCAAGCTCGCTTCAGGGCCTTCTTGTAAAGAGCTGCAAGATCGCGGCCGACGAATCCGTGCGTCCTTCCACCGATGTTCTCCGCCGTCTGATCAGAGACCGGCCATTCCTTTTCTTGGAGCACTTTGAGGATCTCGATCCGGGCTTTCGCGTCTGGAACGGGGACCTCGATCTCGTCGGCAAACAACTCAGGCGTCCTCAGGCTTGCGTCCACGTCGACCAAGCGCGTCGTCGCGCCAACCACCAACACTCGCGCCGTCTCCAGCTTCTGCATCTCGGCGGCGATGCACCTCGCAAGGCTGGATTTAGAAGCACCGTTTTCGTCGGTGCGCGGGGCGAATGCTTCCAGCTTATCGAAGACGATGATGCTCGGCTGTGCCGCCTTGGCCTCCTCGAAGCACTTTCGCAGCGCGCTCTGGCTCTTCTCGGCCGTGCTTCCTAGCGGCTCATCCACGGTGATGACCTTGCGCCACGGAGCTTCGGACAGCTTCCGAAGTAGCAGGCTCTTGCCCGTGCCCTCCGGCCCGTAGAGTAACACGCCTGTCGCGCGCTTCAGGAGGTAAGGGTACTTGCGGCGGCGCAGTTCGTTGGTGATATTGGCCAGACGCTCATTGAGCTCCAAGATTTGCTTGTGCAGACCGCCGATGCCGTCGGAATTGACCTTGAACACTGGCGCTTCTCTGGGCTCCGCTTCAGCAACCTCAACCACTTCGTCTTTGCTGAGCAACTGAACTTCGGTGGCGGCGTTGCAGACGTAGGGAATCAGTGGCTCTTCTGTCGGTGGCTCTACTCTCTCCACCATGTATCGATTCTTGATACCGGGCCTAGGGCCTCTTGAGACGGTAGCTGCAAAAGTGCCTCCCGGAAGTACCATGTCAACGCTACCTGTGGAGATAAATCAGCGGAGTTGCAATGAATGTTAACATTGCAACGTGAATGGTAGCAGCAATAGTTCTGACGGAGTGTGACCAAGTGAAGAAAAGGGTATTAATAATGCACGTACAAAGCGCATATTTCGCGAACCACTCAATCTCGGCTTTTGATGTATTGCTGCTGCCAGGCTCGACCTCCTTGATGTAAATTTTCTGCGCAGGCTGCAGCTCCTGCGGCTCGAGCTTGGTGATTGTAACTTTGTCTTCAAGCCTCACTCCAAACAACTCCTTCATGGGCTCTTCAATGAAGGCCATGCGCTTGGTGCCCTGGCCAGGATCTTTCGCCAACCAAGCCACCCCGATGGCTTTTGGCCTGCCATCGGTCTGGTCGAGCTGACAATATTCACCATGTCTTAGCGCTGCGGATGTGAGGTGTTTGGTCGGGATGTGAACTCGAAGACCGCCATCGAGCGCCTTCGCGGGCAGGTTTGATGCCTTATTGTTGACATTGCGAAGCGAGAACTGAGAAATGTCCATGGTGGATCTGCGATCTCTGTTCTTCAAAATCTCGTCGTCCGCACACCTTGCGGACGTTTTTTTCGTATGAAACAAGTCGAAAGAAGAAAGTTTCGGCAGTGCAATCGGAAGGAGAGAGCGGCAGTGAGTCACCAATGAGTAGCAGGGAATTTTTCTTCGAACCAAAATTGAAAAAAAAGTAGATTCGGGGGGACAACCTAGCAAAGAAGTGGCCGACCATTCGGTAAAAGGCCGGGTCAAGAACCAACACGTCTTCCCGTCCCGTCATCATTCATCGGCGCGCGTGTGCAACCGACCGACAACTTTTCTCAGAGTGCGATGCTTCGGTCGTCCGCTCACAGCACCGTCTCCTGTCACTCCAATTGAATGCTGCTGCGCTCGCTCCCGTCGCAGTCCTCCTTCCGGCCTACATGGAGCGCCGTCCACGCCGCCGGCCAGCTTCCGGCCAGATGCAGAGGCACTGGTGCTGCTGGCCGGCTACTGCTCGCGCATAGCAAATTCTCGAATCGCATCGCCGCCGCCAACGAGGCCCGATCGTTTGCGACCGAATCCAATCCATCTACGAACCACATCGAGAATGCTGCTATAGGAACTGAAAAAGGGAATGGAGCTTTTGAGGGCACAACAGAGCATGAAGGCCGAACTTTTGACGCCGTCGAAGTTGCAGAGAAAAATGCGGGCGTGCGAATATGGAAGCACATTTCCTTCAAGGAAAACACGCTCCCCGGGCCAAAAAAACTTGGGGGGGTCGTCAAGGGAAACACGCTCCGCGGGCGAAAAAAAACTGGGAGGTTCGTCATGCGGTCTGTATGGCTTCGGCTTGAACAGAGTAGCCAAGCCGACACTGATGCTGGTGGTGCTGAGAAAAGCAGCGGAGCGTCCGAGGAAATCGCGGAACAGGGAGGTCAGAGTTCCAATGCCTCAAATACTGCCGAGACAGAGAGGGACGCATTGATGAGGAAGTTCTCAAGGACAGGGCTGTTTTCTTCGCCGTCGCTGCCCCGTCGCGGACCGCGCCGTGGCAAGAATACCACTGCTGCTCGGGGGAAGAATGCGGTTCCTTCCAAAGTGTTCTATGGAAAGGTGGGCATGGATACGCCGAAGTCGAGCTCCGTGCGCAGCGGCAGTAGGAAGGAGAGCGCAAGAAGAAAGATGGATGAACCGAGGGTAATGGATCGGCTGGAGAAGCTTGTGCGGATGGAGTCGTTATTCCGGTCAGATGCAGCACAGGCTGGTGGGATGCGAATCGGTGCCATTACGAGGGATACCATCATGGATGACGATTCATGGCAGCGTCTAAAGCAAGAAGTGGGAAAGATTGCTCAAGAAAAAGCTGAGCCTCTCGATGGAGCTCAGGCGAAAGAACACGAATGCCACGAGAACCAGGAGATGGGTGACGAGAACTCTCGGAAGGACGAGGATGCAACGTTTAATCCGGGAGGAAAGAAAAAAAGAAAGAGTAAAGCAGATCCGGCTAGAGTACAGAGCATGGAAACAAAGATCAGTGTGAGAGAGCGCCTGCGACAAGCTATTGGCAACATACACTCCACGTTATCAGCGGAACTCGAAGACCATCCACAGCCAAGCAGGTACCGACAGGATGTTCACCATGATCCCAGAACTCTCCAGGAGCAACGACTCCAGGAACTCGAGGCTCTGCTCATGGACGCATCTCAACGACTGAGAGAGCTAAAGGGCTACCAAACTTCGGAGGATCATGGGTCTTCCATGCCCGGCCTCTCCAGCGATGTACCACCAAAGCAAACAGGCAACATGGATATGCCAAATTCTGACTCCCATGACACGGCTCTAGAAAATCTAGCAGTGCACACAGAAAACCCTCCGAGCGGCGTTTCTTCGCCACGCCGGTATCTGTCAAGGGATCCTAGCCGGCCTTTACCTCACACGACCGAGCAAGCAATCCCAGCAGAACTCTTTGGCCCAAGAAAGAGTTTGTCAACCAGTCGACCCGGCAAAGAGACAGAACCAGACCAGGAAAACCACCAAACGCCTCATTTGGAGGACATCCTTTTTCATACACCGGGGAGGAATCAGCTGAAAGACGAACCTTCCAGCCCAAAAAAATCCCTAGAGTCGCCAATGCCGGACGCGCATCGAAAGACACAGACCCCGCTTCTGAATGAACTGTTTCCTGAGCTAGCACACGGTAGCAAAAGAGTTCGGAAACCAGCTCATGAGGAGCATGAGGTACCAAAGTTGAGCCTTGACTTTCAAAAACAAAACGTCAAACGACGACCAAATTTGATCGCGCGCGACGACTGGACCAACAAACGTATGCAGGAAATGTACGTGAATGACATTGTCGTTATACATCTTCACGGTCTTAGTAGCAACTTGAGCGAAGAAGATATTAAGCGTCTAGTGCCCCAGGCCAGCAAGGACATCGAGGGCTGGTCGGACCCGGATTTCATCAAAGGTAGCCCCAACAATCACCCTCTTCGCTCATCTCATAGCCACTCACAAGGTATGCAGTTATCCCTGTCCGCGACGACTACACATTAGAGCGTTTGGATCAGTACTACGTCCTCTTCCGCAACGTTCGCAGCGCTCGCGCCTTCCAAGACCGCGTGCGAGTTCTGCACGCAAAGACCAAAGCGCACGCCACAAGCTCTCTTCTTTCCGCCCTACCTCCCCCGCCCGGCTTCCGCGACGATAGGGGCGACGATCTCCATGCCGCCCTGCAATCATACACTCTCGGCCCTCCCGCTAGCGACAGGGTCTATTGTAACATCGTCCCGCACCCGTACCCGCGCAAGCTCCACGATCTGTTTGCCCGGGGCGGCTACGAGCCTATAGTCGGTGCCGGCGGCGCCATCGGCGCCGACGCTGATATCGACACTGTCGCTAAAGTCCTCCTCTGGTTCATCGGACCTCAGCCAACCATTGGCGAACTCCGCAAAACCATTGCCCGCGACGGTAAAGACCGCGGCATGCCTTGGGCCGTGGTTGACGGTATCCACGGCCCAGAAGGCGTCATCAGACTGACGCATCACTCGAAAAACGAACCGGCTAATAGTGATGCTTCTGAAGATCGCATTGAGCGCAAGGTAGGAGTTCGGTATGTCATCAACTTCGAAAATCGGAGCGAGGCGCAAAGATTCTCGAGGAGGTGGCATTGTGAAGCCTTTAGGTGGGGCGACGGTGTGTACGAGAACGGTGAAGGCCCGCCCGAAGCGAGAACAGAGGTGTTGTGGTAGGTTAGGAATGGCGGTCGGTGTTGGTGGTTGTATCAAAGTAAATAGCTGTAACATGTAGGTCTACATAGACATGGGAAATGTAAACTTTGTATGAATTTTCACCAGTATCTTCTCGCAGCAAGCTCGAAATACAAGAAATAACCGGACTCCAGAGCATGCGGTACGATACCGAGTTCAGAGCAAGTGCCCAACCATAGAAAAATAATGTTTATGCTATTGATAGTTGCGGTTGATATTTTGCCACCCACGCTATCCCAGAACGCCTTGCTATGCCGATGCATTTGCCCAAATTCCCAATGATAAAGGCCATACCATACCCATTGTCCATACTGCGCTCATTCAGCCCTCCCGATTTACTCGTCCATCTGCCACGCGTACTCCAAGTTTGCACGGTTCTGTCTGGCGTTCCGCGCCTTGAACCACTCCCTCTCAAACCCATTACTCCGATCCACGCCATCCCACCTATGGCCGGGCCTGATGCCGTACCTATTAGGCTCGAATGCGCCCTTGTATAGCGGCTTTCCGCTTCTGCTCTTCCCCTCCTTCTTCTTCGACAAGAACGCCAACGCCGGGTCGCTCCACCGCTCCTTTTCCTTCATCTCCTCGTTGATCTCGGCGTCGTCCACGCCACGAGCCACCGTCATGTACTTGGCGTCGCGCAGCGCCTGCATGCGCGCCGCCTTCTCCGCACGCTGCACGTCGCCCTTGGCCTCCTCTTCCTCGCGCTGCTTGCGCGCTTCCTCCTCCTCGGCCGCGCGCCGCGCCTCCGCCCGCTTCATCGCCACGTTGATGATGCGCCCGCTCGCGTCACGGTAGATGGTCTCGTTGGCGCCGGCGCCCGCCTCGCGCATCGCCTGCTCCATGTGCTTGCGTTCCGCCCGCGCGCGCTTCTCCAGCGCCGCCGTCACTTGCGAGGCCGTCTGCAGGCCCGCTTGTGCGCCGGACTCCATGGCCGGACCGTCGTCGCCATCGTCGTTGTCGAGGATCATGGGTGCGTCTTCGTCCGCGGCCGCTTTGGCGGCGTTCTCGGCGGCGGCGGACGCGATAATGGCATCGGCGGCGGCTTGGTCGGCGGAGGAGGGCGCGGCGGCGCCGACGGTCTTCCAGCCGCTGGATTTCTTTTTGCGGAATTCGGAGCTGTTGCCGGAGACTATGCATCGTGTTAGTCTTGGGTCTCCACGAGTGTGGGGGAAAAGTGTGAGGGGCAAAGAGAGATGAGACATTGCTGGGGAAGCTTGGAGTTGGGACGAGGAAAGAGCTTACCCATCATTGGAGCGTCCTCGTCATCTTGCGCCTGAGGGCCGTTGTTCCATCCTGTAACATCGTCGTCGGCGATGACGAGGCCGCCGCTGGCATCGGCTGCTGCCTTTCTCTTGCGCTTTTTGCTCTTCTTCTCGGCGGGAGCGTCGGCGGTGAGGTACTTTTTGGCGAGGTAGTCGGCGAGGGACATTTTGGCGAGGGGGGTTGTGGTGAGTAAATGCGGAGAGCTTGGAGCTATCACCACAAGTTCTGGATGCGACACGGTCATGCAGTAGCTACCAAACACTGCAAACGCGCCAAGATTTCAGTCGGTGGTTCATTATGTAAGCAGATTAGCCTGTTCCCCGCTCGAGTATTCTCCATCCCATCAGCTCTCATCTCCGGTAAGCCTTCCATTCTCCGAAATTGAAGGATCTCCCTTCGTTCCTTCGATGGATGTCATGGGAAGCTGGCAAATGTCTATTTCCAGCTGTAGAGCACACACGTCCGACATCTACCACTATTACGTCACTGGAATGTTTATTGTGCCACTAATTATCTAGGGTATGCAACTTGAACCCGAAGTTTTCGCAAATCTAATAATGGAGAAAACTGACTTCGGTAAATAGCTCGAACAACCCGTAGCATTGAATTATGGCGGACCAAGCCGACATCTCGTTCGTGTATCCTCCAAGCAAAGGCGAAGAGCGTAATGCATGTATCGCAATAGACCCCCCTGGCTTCCACATACGCCACCCTCCGCTGCCACATGTTTTGAAAGATTTCATCACTCACGACAGCCTGCTGTTCGAAACCATCCACATGGGACCGGCTGTCGTGGACGAATCAAAGTGGTTGCTAGTCATTGACGGTCTTGTACAACGGCCATTCGCAATTACCCTGCCTCAATTAAAACAGTTTCCCAGGACAACTGTCACAGCCTTCCATGAATGCTACGGCAGCCCACTCACGCCTCCAGAGAAGGCCCTCTGGCGCATCGGCAATGTCACCTGGACGGGCGTCAAACTAAAGACACTCCTCGATATTGCCACGCCACTGCCCACCGCATCTTTCATCTGGTCCGAAGGCCTCGACCACGGCGCCTTCGCCGGTGTCGAAGCGGACCGCTACCAGAAGGACCTGCCGATGGATAGAGCGCGCGACAGCAGCCCCTGTGCCGACGTGCTGGTCGCGTATGAGATGAACGGCGCGTCACTGCGCAGGGAGCGCGGCGGGCCGGTCCGCCTTGTCGTACCCGGCTGGTTCGGCACGAACATGACGAAGTGGCTCTGTCGGCTCTCGGCACAGGCGGTGCGCGCACCCTCCCCTTTCACAACACGCTGGTATAATGAGCGTGTTGTGCTTTCTGCGGGTGTTGATGGGACGTCAGGGGAGGGTGGTGATGATGTTGCGGTGGAGGTGCGGCCGGTGTGGGCGGTGGAGCCGAACTCGATGATAGTGGACCCACCGCCGGACACGCGGGTGCTCCTGTTGACCGGTGATGATGCTGGTGGAGGCAGCAGAAACGCGAATGTGGAGGTTAGTGGATGGGCGTGGAGTCATGACGGGGTCGCAAGGGTGCGGGTCAGCGCCAATGACGGCGTCGACGGCAGCTGGGTTGACGCGGATGTGGCGGAGCGCGTGGATTACAGCTGGCAGGCGTTTCGGGTGAAGCTCGCGCTGCCAGTCGGGAAGTATGGAGTCGTTGCACGAGCAACCTCAAGGGAAGGCATCGAGCAGCCGATGCGTGGCAGACGAAATCACGTCCATCGAATAGGGTTGGAAGTGCTTCACGGAACATGAAGGCAAACCTGTAGCGGGACAGGCAATGTTGCATTCCCCTTGTGAATCAGTCATCATGCAAATCCCGAAGCCTGTCCTCAACAGAAATCAATTAGTAGGCGGTTACCCATTTAGGAAATGAAACAGCACGTGACTCATTCTCTGACAGTGCTTGGCGAATTTAGACTGTTTGGTGACTCTTCTCCAGCCGCCTTTCTGCCTAGACGGAGTCTTGATTCAGTCTTTCGATGACCTCACTTTGACACAGCGAACATGGCGCCTCGATCAGAGGAGGCTGCGGCGTGGTTTGCAGCGGTGTATCAGGCAGTACAAGAGGTGCCTCGAGGCAGGGTCACGTCGTATGGGCACATCGCACGGCTCGTGGGCAGGCGTAAGTCCAGCGCACCCGGCGACGGCCGGCACGACTCCAGGCTAATGACGGTTTCATCGAGCAGCGGAGTGCCCTAGGTACGTGGACAGGGCATCGGGCGGCGATCGAGAACGACACAGGCTGACCGTGATGAAGGCAGGTCGGTGTCTGTCTCAAGCACCTTCCCTCGCCGAGCGACACCGAGGAGGCCGGCGGCGACGACGGTGATAGCGGCAGCAGAGGCGGACCGAGATGGCATAGCGGCAATGTGCCATGGCAGCGCGTCATCAACTCAAAGGGCGTCATCAGTCCGAGGTACGTGCCGCGCTTGACAACACAGTCCGTGTCTCAGCGTTAAAGGAAGCGCTCCAACCCTGTGACTGAGGCCCGCTGGCTGATGCTGACCGGCGAACAAAGGGGCCCGGGAGGTGCCAGCCGACAAGCAGCAGCTCTGCGTCGCGAAGGGATCCACGTGGGCCGAGGCAGCTTAGGCGAATACCTCGTCGACTTCTCAGCGTACGGCTGGTTCCCCAGCGAGCTGCCCAGCGAAGCAGCGGCTGGGATCGAGGACAGCGACAGCGATGCATCTCGTGAGGGGCACGGAGAGACGGCGGCTGCAGCTGACGAGTGAGGGGCTTCGGAATCGGATTACCTTGGTGGCATGTAGATAGGGTGGGTGGGGTGTATTATCTTGCCTGAATCGATGGGGCGGCGGCGGCCGCGGCGGCGCGTGTGGAGTCAGCGCGCGCGTCACCGAAGCGATGCGGAGGATCGGCTCTCCCTGTTGTGGCTCATCTCTCGTGCTCTGCCCCTCGCCCGTCGTCAACCAAAGGACACCTTGCCAGACTGCCAAAGCACGTCCACTCGTGCTCGTGATGGCGACATCTCCGGAGTGCCGCACGCTGCCGTGTCTCCGACGGCACAGGTGGCGGCGCGCAGCAACACAAAGCGGACCCCGCCAGACGTCAGCGGCCAACCGGCACCGGATGTTGCGCGCTGCGAGCACGTTCCGGTACCTGACGACCGCAGCCAGATCCAAGGCTACAGGCTGACATGCCGAGGCCGGCATCACGCTCTCCTATCAGCGGCCAGCAGCCTGGAGCGTGGAGCGTGCGATCAGCCTCGACGGACAATTCAGGATGGGTCCCGTGGCTCATCTGCCACCAGCCGCCCGCCCTCTTATCTCGGGGTCCCTTTGTCCCAACTTAGTAGCAAACACAGGGCCCAGCCGGCACGTCATCTGCCATCGAGTACATAAACAAGAGCCTCCTTTATCCTGCTTTCCAGCCCTTCCGCGTTGTTGACCAGTATTTGTATCGCACCTTCCGCAAGCATACGAGACCTAGCCTCCCCCTTCTAGAACTGCTCCCTTTTCGGACACCGCAAGAGCACCCTCTGCGCATAGCACAGCCACTACCTCCTCCTCAAGTGACTCAGCTCCGACTCATCATCAGGACAAGCCACTTGACCTATAAGTCACCGACCTCCTTGCCGCCATCCTCCACGACTCATAATCAATCAATCATCCCACTCACCACCCGCCAACCTTATCACCCTGCCTCACTCCAAGTCGCTCTCTACCACCAACCTCCAACAGCTCTCCACCATGGCTTCCGAACAGACCTCCGACTTCCGCGCCGGCTCCGTCGACTACCAGCGTGACCACGAGCAGAAGGCGAAGTGGGCAAATGGCGCAGCCTGGGGCCCCGGAAGGCCGCTCAACAGCAACCCGAGGCCGGTCCGCATCAGCCAAAGGTAAGCTCGCTCCGCCGAGCATGCTACAGCTTCGGATACTAACAGCGCATACAGGGTCGCCGCTGTGCACCGCCGCGACAGGGCCAAGCAGGTTGCGCATGCCGCGCGGAGCCGGAAGCAGGAAATCTTCCCCCTCGACCACTACACCAGCGGCGAATCGACCGACGAGGAACCGGTTGAGCCCTCTGCGGCGCCGGAGCCTGACGCCGAGATCACATATTCGTTCGACGCGGAGAAGGGACCCAGCCACGGCAGCCAGATCCTGAACCAGGCGCTCCTCCAAGCGATCGAGCGGTTCGAGGACCGCAAGACACATGAGCTGGTGAACGAGGAGTACGAAGTGCTGGACGCGAACGGCGAGCCTGCAAACCTGCGCGGCCGCGCGGGCAAGGGCAAGAAGGCCGCCAAGTCCGAGGACGAGGACTGGGAGCACGTCTAAGCGAGCTCGGACGATGCGATGCGGATCTGGCTGCGCGACCTTCCTTTGCGCGTTTCACACGATAATGGTTACACCTTGCTTATCTTCACGGCGTTGACATGATCGATTGGCTTTGGCGAGCCCGATACACCTGGGCGGATTTCGGATTAGGGATTTTGGTTGCATAGCATGCGGGCATTCATTAGAGGAGCATCTGGGTTATGGGCGGCGCTTCTCGAGGACATGATGACCCGGCCCCTTTCGGGCTGATTTGGTGGCTTTTGATTCCGTTACTGCTTTGTAGTACTTGGTAGCGGCGGACTGCCCAATACAAACTCTGAAACCCCGCGTTCTTGCATTGGCGATGATGAAGGTGGCATGCTGCGGGTGGATGGGGCTGGAGGGGCTTATCGATCGGCGGGGGCCGCTGATGTGGAGTTGCCTTGGTGGGTTGGTAGCCCCAGGCCAAGATGCCGGGATACGACGTCATCCGCTTTGGCGTGACGAAGCACAAAAGCCCGGCCGAGAACGACATCACACTCGCATACCCCCGGCTATCTTGCCATCCATGCAAGTGAGGCTGTGCTCACCGACAAGTCCATGGTTCTTCGCTTTTCTCTCGCTTTTGCCCTCGAACTCTTTTCTTAGCTCCTACAAGCTCCCGAAACTAATGGACGCGTGGCTTGGCCGCCCACCTCCGCATTTTCATTGAAATTGACCCGTGTTCGCCTTTTCCCCAACCCGCACTCGCAGTCAGCCCTATCGCCCACCTTCTCTCCCACCTTGTGGCGTGCCGCCGCCACGAATTTTCCACAATGACCAAATCCGAGCCGCCAACCGCACGAGCACCGCGCCCACGATGGGTGCTCCACGTTCAGGCGCAATTCTGGCGAGTGCTGATGCAGATTGGCATGATGCTGCACCGAATGGCGTCGCCCCGACCCCCCAAGCCGTCCTTCTCCCGTACTGTGCCCACGACCGTTTCGCCATGCAAAGGCGAATTCAAACTTCGATTCTACGTACCGGACGACTACAGCCTACAGAAGCGAATGAGGGAGAAAAAGTATCCCGTCGTGGTCAACTTCCACGGCGGCGGGTTCACGCTGGGTCAGGCGACGGACGACGCTCGCTGGTGTGCGACGGTGGTGCGGGAGGTGGGCGCGGTCGTCGTCAGCGTGGATTATCGCCGCGCGCCGGAGCAGCCCTTCCCGACGGCAGTCGAGGATGGGGTGGATGCAATCCTGTACTTGGCCGAGCACTCTGAGTCGCTAATGATCGACATCGAGCGCGTGGCCGTATCCGGATTCAGCAGCGGTGGCAACATGAGCTTGACGGTGCCACTGCGGTTGCAAGGCGAAGTCGTCCCCGAACCAGCCGACGCGGAGACTCCGTACGGCATGGACCCAGCGCCGCAGTCGACGGATAACATCCCGCAGAAGGCACTGAGCAGGGGGCGCACGCTCGTCAATGTGCGCCGCGAGCTGAGGTTGAAGGCGATTGTGGCGTGGTATCCGTCGACCGACTATACCGTGACCCGCGAGCAACGCCGCATGACGTGCGTCCGCAAGGATCAGGAACTGCCTGCAGTCTTCACCCAGCTCTTCGACGAAAGCTACCTCTCCCCACCCACCATGGACATGTCGAACCCCTACCTCTCGCCCGGCCGCGCCCCGTCAGCTATGCTTGCCGGATTGCCTGAGGACATCATCATGTTCACCTGCGAGTGGGACATGCTGCTCGCCGAGGGTGAGAGGCTAAGGGATCGCTTGAAGGAGCTGGGAAAGAATGTCGTCTACACCATGGTGCCCGGTGTGCCACATGGTTGGGACAAGGCTCCCAATCCGATCAGGCCGACGCCCGGTGTCCAGGAGCATTACCTCGCTGCGTGTAAGGAGCTGAGGAGAGTTTTCCACGAAGAGCTGCCAGAGGGTGCGATTGAGAGGGATTTAGAGGAGGGCGAATGCGGCCCTAGCAGAATGTCGCATAGCCATAACAGAAGGAGAAGCGTGGTGAACTAGACTGCTTTCTTTTCTTTTTCCTTTTCCTTTGTTGGTCGAAGAACCATCTCCGGGATGCTGGTGGGGCCGTCTCCCTCACGCATCAGGATCTCGCCGGTCTTCTGACTGTGTTTTACGAATATGTTTGAAATGGGTTCATGATCAGGTTCCAAAAAGCGTCGTTATTTGGCAATGCTACGTCTTAGCGATATACCAAAGTCATGAGGGGTTTGGAGGGTTCTTTCAACTAGGTGGATTTGTTGCATGGTGCTGGCGGCGTACATGGCCTTTTCCTTTTTCTTCTCTTCTTCCACATACATGTACTTAGTAGTGCTTTTGTGCTCTGTTTCTGTTTACATAGTTAGATTGAATGTACTGTTTTTTCCCCCTTAACTTCAACGACTTGGATGCCTTGTGTTCTGCTAATTGGAGGGAACTCGGGGCATTAGGGCACCGATAGTGGAGCTACAGTGATGTGAAGGCAGGAGCTTGACCCTGAAGTTTAACCATAGAATGACAGGGAACTATGTGTTGAGAGTAATAGCAGCCGCAGCTCGTTCTATTGGCGGTGGGGCTGATTGGATAAGGTAGGGTTCGATTAATGCACAAGTGGATTATGGAGACCTCGCGGCACTTTCAAGTGAAGAGTACGTGTGAATTCAAATATTTAGCGTTGTCTAGGGCCATGATGTCATTGGAAGAGCAAGAATCGGCACATACTCCAAAGGCAAGCGAGAGAATTACAAATTTATATTTTCGCCTTGTAGTTTAATTCTCTTTCAGGCTGCATTCCCGCGGTTTCCGGTCCCATTATTATCATCCTACTCAATCAGATGTTTCCTCGCTACTGTTACATTTTAACATCTCGTCACTGTCTCTCTCGAATTCTAGTCCAATTCCCCGCACTCAGCAATCCCATGGATCGAGAACATTTACAAGTTGTAGCACTTGAAGCAAGAATTGGACTCTTCACTAACTTCGCACTCACAGAGAGGTCTACCAGTTCCTTATATATTCGAATGTCGTCATAGATTGTCAATTTCCTTTAAAATGGAATATATAACTTATGAGCAGGCGGCAACGTAGTAGTTAATGGTATGAACTGCCTCCTTTCAATGCAGGCAATTCCCCTCGTTGGATAAGGCGGCATGAATGAATCCAGACCATATGTCTGGGCCAAATTCATCTGCGATTAGAAGTAAATGATAAGCTTCTTTCCATTTCTTTCAAACCCATCTCATGTGTAGAGATCTGGAAATGCAGAGGGACCCCAAAGCCAGTGGATTTCCTCTTTCACCAAGCGAGGCCATTCGATATCCATGCCAGCCTCCTTCGTCACCACATGGACACGAATGAGATGATTCCAGCATAGCTTGAGATAGTCTTTCAATCTCTCAGCATTTTCCGGAGCCAGAGGGTCGACGCCCTCATCCCTTAGTTTCTGACCATTCTCTCCATAGGAGAACTCACGTCCAAAGAACTGCCGGTGGGGGACTGTCCATGCATCAGACCCGCGGGACTGAGTGGCACCCATTAGGACTTTCACGAATGCCCCCATAACTCTGTAGTCGCTCTGAGGTCCCCTGCCACCGCCCTCGCTCCCTTCGGGCATCCATAGCTGCGGCCTGCAATAGATGACGTTCAGGAAGAGGTAAGACATCAGCGCCGCGCGCGCGATATTGTTGAATCCCGGATTAGGACCGCCGAAGTTCCAAAGATGCTTCAATGGTTCGGCCTCCAAGTGGGCGATTTTCAGTAGCGGCTCAATCTCATTCACGACCAGCAGAGCCATCACGACATCGGCGCGGTCATCGCAGACGGAACTGAAACCATCCTTCCAATCCGCGGCCTTGCTGAAACGGGTTACGTCCATGCTGCTCGGCCAGACGAGCGGTGAATGGAGGTACTCTTGGGCTTTCTGGGCCACGTCGTCGGGTAGGATAACGGCTTCGTCGTCGTAGGTTTCGAACTCCGCGGGGTATTTCTTGCGCTCCGAGGTTGAGAAGTCCTCGAGTGTCTTCATGAAAACGCGGACGAAATGCTCCCGCTTCTTTTGAGCTGCCTCGCCGCTCTGTGTCTCGAGGATCGTGTGTCGTTCTGGTGTTCCGCGGGCGCCGATTTTGACGGCGTCGAAGCTTGAGCTCAGCGCCTCCCAAGGTATATTGTGTGTTTGATGCGCCATAATGCTTATTGTATAGCTTGGTAGCTGGAGGATGAAAGATGCGGAATGCTTTCTTGCGGTTGAAATCGTGACAGGTCAAGGGTAGAATGAGAGGACCCAGGCTGTTTAAAACAGTGGTCTATTAATCTTCAGAGCGCATAAGCCAAGATTCAGATGCTTTAGATACGATTCCTGAACAGTGTGTCACAAGCGTGGCTTGTGTGGAGCTCTGCGGGCCTCTCGTGTTCAATGAGTCATTAGGTGCGCTTGTAGACTGCCCCGGTATCTGTTTCAGGGTCTGCGGTCAACGAGAGCGCCACATCTCTTGCGACATATGACAATTCCATGCTGATATCAAGCAGAAATATGAGGGAGCCCTCAATTTTAATGGAGATGGGAAATTTTCCTGTACATAGGGAATGCCTTTACGTGGCGTGCAGGATAAGTAGTTCCAGCTCCGGTTGGAATGAAACTAAATTCCCTTCATGACCTGGTCAGTCATTAAATGACCAACGCTTCCTCTTCAGGTCACCATACCACGAAAAGCCAAACCCCTGGGTTATACCCGGTGAGTGGTTGTTTGTTGGGTGCCGGTATTTTCGGGACGGGCTAGCCCCTAACCGAATCGACCTATTGGCCTCACCCTGAGAGAGGGCAACCTATGGTAGGCAGGGTAGACGTTACGAACCGGTATACCCCCGGTCTGTCCGTTTAATCCTACCAACCTCCCAGGCGGTGTTGCGGAATGCGATCGCTACACGCTTTCCCCCTGTTCGATGTCGGTCCACATCTTACTGAGGGAGCGAGACGCGAATCACGACCGCTCTTTACAACTGATTTGCCATTGGCGCTTCAGTTTCCGCACCGTTTGCCCTGAGAGGATGGCGGAGCCCCGCGCCTCTCGAAGCAATCCCTCAATCGGCAGATGCTCTGCCTCCCACTCGAAAAGCGACTACCCCTTTGGAGGTATAGTCGCACGTTGCACAGGTTTACAACTTAAGCCGACGCGTAACGTGCGCCGACCGACAGAGGATATGTCCTCTCGAGCCAGGGAGACCGTTTCCAGTCTGCCTGCTACGGCCCATCATCCGGTCACAACAACCGGAAGCTTCCCGTTGCCTAACTTCCCATATCGAAAGACGTGCTACCTGGGTGGCAGCCAATCCACCGACTTAGGGCCCATAGGCTCTCTGTCTCGCACCCCTTGACTTTCGAACCATACCACTGTGACCTGTGGCTGGGTAGTCAACGGATACTACGCACCTCCTGTCCTTCGCATGCAAGCCCTCCCTAGCGAGGTTTGATACTACCGGTCATAGCCTGGCTCAAGCCCAGACCGGCCCTTGACTAGGGTGCCGAGCTTTATAGTCTCGTCACTTTTGCAGTCATGCGAATTTCGGGAGGAGGGGGAGTCCTGTCGCCAATGGCGTCGGATGCGTTTTACCTATTCCCCTCTTGAACGGCCCTCTTTGACAAGTTATTTAGACACGTTGGGCGACGTGTTTGAAGCTATTGGTTTCACCACCAAAAGAATAAAACAGGGTCATCATCGGGTGGACACCAGTAAGGCCGACACGCGCACGTGTGCCTTATGGATGTGCTACCCACTCAGACAACTTCCCCATTCGTAACTTGGGATGGTTACTTATGGGAGGAACCTCGAAAAGGTTAACTTCTTTCATCCTCCCCTTAATACTGAAAGATTGGTCTGAGACGTGTGGGTGAGTGGGTTGAGCGGTCAATCGTGGTCGAAGCTTTGTTTGACGAAGCCGGCTTGCCAAAGCAGGGAAGTTGATCACCATACCCTTCGGTTTGTGGTGGCTCTACAGGCTTCCCAAAACGCTCAATAAGCCGGGCGGGGCTTTGTTGAGAGAGAGAGAGAGCTCTGGTACTCATACCCATTCCCACCTTTCACTTCCTCGAGGTTATATACGACACATCCGGAATCGCCGTCAGGCTGGTAAATAATGATGTCTCCTATTCGGATATGGGCTACGAAACGCTATTAGCAATCCAGACGAGCAGCCCGTGCTTCATATGAGGGAATAGGGCGAGTACTTAGCAGGTGGTCGTTGTAGCTGACGCTATCCCGTATACGCCCGCCCAGAGGGAGGCGATAGCGATATAGTGGTCGTCAATTCTGCCTCAAGTGTGGGTCTATTTGTTAGTAGCTGATTGTGTAAAATCAAGAGGCGCTCTGTGTTACCCATCAAACATCATAGTAGCTGCGGTGCCTTCGTGCAACAAGCGGGTGATGTAGCCTACCGCCTAGAGCGTGGGCGCACCAAGCTTGATGGCTCGCCCATTACAAGAATGCAACACTACTCCACAACTCTCACCGAGGGGCTCTGCTGCTGGTTTCGCCGCTCTCTATATCTTCGCGGTAAGTGTTTGCAATGAAGGCAGGGTCAGAGCTAGTTCGCGGAAGAGCCCGTAAGCTGCTGATCCCTTAGGCTGCAAGAATAGAGACAGTCCAGATGATCGGCGTGGATTTCAGCCGAGCGGTTCGGAAGCGCGGGCGTGGGGCCACCCGCATGATGATTCGCCAATGGGGGGTGAAAGTCACATCACACACATTGTTTCACAATCACAGCCTCGCCGCAGCCAGCTTAAAGCAAAGCTGACCTGCCCACTACCACTGTTAGCGCAAACAAGAGCCTCCTACTACTTATCGCTACCCGAAAAACGACAATAAATCCATTCACGCATATCACGAACAGCCTTTGAAGTCTGCCATGGACGGTAATGCACGTATTGCTGTTTGCAGTGACTCCGAAACACCTAGTCAAGGTATGCATCGTAGGAATTGACCTACTACAACCGGTTCTTAATGAATTCAGGCTCTCCTACTTCGGAAAATGTTGGCACAGTCGAGAGGAGAGAAGGACTGCAAGGTTTGATGTATGTGACCCCAAAAAAATGTTCCAGTATATTTAGCTGACCAACACAAGCTTCTGCAGTGCTGAGCAATTGGAGGCAAAAGATAATCCCTTCAGCGAACTCGACGTCGACTACAGGTTTCTCCGCTTGGCGATCCACCACGCAAGAAAAGACTCCAACGGGTTATTCGGTTGCCGCACGGTTCACAAAGCGGGTCAAGGCCCTTTGAAGCATGGTAAAGTTATCTTGAATAGCTTCACGTCCGCAAAAGCTGACGGATCTATAGACTCCTGGTGCTGTTTCAAGATCAAGCAAGTCCAGAGAGACGAATCCTCAGAGAAGTCTGATCAAGAGGTCGCCTACAAATGGCAACAACCGAGTATAAACATCTCCTGGAACACGCAGGATCATATCACGCTCATCTTGTGCATGGATGTTCCCAATGAATTGAGATGGGCAATTAAAGAAGCCTGGGACAATGGACGCATCGATGGCAGCGACCCGTACAACTGGCACTGTTTCATCGTGGAAAAGATCTCGGACATCTATGATGAAGCAATATGGTCGTTGAGAAACTTTGTTCGCCTGGACGTTGAAAAGGTACGGTTGGCTTGATTGTCATATGCTCGACTGTATTAATGTGGTAGAAAACAGAGACGCATCCCTGATTCCATCGATTTTGAGAGACTTCACGAAATTGCAAGGCATATCATACATTCGAACGAGACCCTTGAAGTTGCTTTCAGCACACTGGAAGGCATGCAAGAGGCTCATCAAGCCTTCAGCGAAGAAGTATTTGGCAAATCAAAAAGTTCCAAGGTCTTTTCGGCACGGCATACGCAATTGGAAATCTCAGGCCTCAAACGGACCATAAGGGCTTCCTTCTTACGCTCAAAGTCTCTGAGCGATCGTATACACAACGAAATCAACCTCGTAAGTTTACAGAAAGACCGTGTGTCGGAATAGCGTTAACTTATCCTGGCTAAACAGGCATACAACCTGGTAAACCAACGAGACGGCTTTTTGATGAAGACGATAGCCGTGATGACACTCGTATATGTTCCCGGGTCGTACATTGCAGTAAGCCTTGATGCTTGTGCCGTTTGAATAGGGCGCTTGCTGACATATCAGACAATATTTGGCATGAACTTCTTCGATTACTCCGAGACGGAAGGCCTTGTTCTTTCGCACATGTTTTGGCTTTACTGGGTGCTCGTGGTGATCTTGACGGCGATTACGGTCGGCACGTGGTTGATATGGCAACGTCGAGGCAAGCATGTGCGGAAGAAAGCCGCACCGAAAGAAAATGGAAGGACTTCATCGTTTGCTCCATCATTTGCTTCTTGGGACTTTGGTAAAGTCCGGAAGCGGAAGAGTTCCGCCGCCATGACTGCGGTGTGATGTGGTTTTGTTGGAAGCTCAATCTTACTAGCTTTGCTTTTCTATGAGATGATGAATGATTGAAACAGGCTTTTTGAGGTGATCATCATGTTCAGGAGCATCTGTAACTCGCTTGCGAAACACGGACCTGAGATCAAAGATGACAGCATACCGGGAAGCTACGTAATTGAAGGTTGCTGATCACGATCCATGCGAAAGTCCTCCGCAGGGCTGGAGAAATGCGCGTGACTGTCTAGATCGTGGGGTAGCGCCGTTGTCACTTTAGAGTTAGAAAAGCTGCACGTGACTACATAGGTGGGTTGAGGGCGCTGCGAGCCTCACGGCGGCATGTGCCGGGTTGATGTTTGTCAGTCGCTAACGCAAGATTCATGATAGGCGGCGAGCGATTCAGACGATCAGTAGGCTAACACGTCATGTCGGGCGTCGGCAGGCACCACGGGAAGGCGAAGTCGTGTACGTGGCCAACGGCGTGACAATCAATCTACAATCGGAGACATGTTCCGTTAGCTCTCGCGTCCTTGCGGCCGTTAAAGTATACAGGCAGCGGAGCGGAGTCTCGGCGGGCGCGGGGCGAATTGCCGAATGACTTCAGTGAAGAGCCGACGGATCGTTATTTAACCACAGTCGGACCGAGCGAGCTAGCGAAATGTTCGGGCCCGCCGCTCTTCTTGGAGGCTGATGAAGCCCAGTGCGGAGCTCACACGGAGGCGGATCGACACAAGCAAACCACGCCAAAGCGGCGGTGAGTGGGTTCTGCTGCGGGTCAGTCGGAGCTTGGAGCGTCAGGAGGGGGGTGGCCAAAACGGCAGCTGCGGGTTGCCGCCAGCGGTTGCGACGACGACGATGCGGCGCAGATTGCTTCTGGAAGTTCGGAGTTGTTTTGGGATGTGGTGAGGTCGGAAGAAGCTATGCGGAGAAGGGCAGTCGCGACAGGGCTCTCGCAGCGGCTAGGCCCGATAACGGAGAATTTAGAGCAATATGGCGCGATAGCGTTGAGGCATAAACCAGGCATTGCCGGCAGCAATGCGATTGGCGGGAAAAGCGGGCTGGATGGGTTGCGGAGTTGGCGGAAACACGGCGTTTGTAGTAGGCGGGCAGTCGGCGTGATCGGCCGCTGCTGCATCCGACACTTCACCTCCCGGCGCTGTGTTCCAGTGCGGCTGCATGTTGAGCGCCTGCCTGATCGTCTCAACACAAATTGTTGCCTGATGTCAGCGTGCCACGCGGCGGCCTCGCACGAAACGCTGCTCCGAGCAGTCAGTAGCAATCTCTCCGGCCGCGTCGCTTGTCTGGCGCGGCCCACCCCGCGCTCGAATGCTTAGCGCGGGCCGGCTGATTCCACCAGGCGAGCGAAGGCTGATTCGGGGCGCTGGGCCTATCGGGCGCGATGGGCAGGCCACCTTCTCGAAGCGTGGTAGCTGCGGCAGGGTCAGCTTCTACATGCAGGCGCACACAAGGCCGCCCGGAGGCGCTCGCGGGGCACAATCCCTGCCCCAAGTCCAGGCCATAGCTTTTGTGAACCCACCTGCCCATTCTTATCCTCCGCACTCCTCCATCCACCACAGCCTTCTCGCACGTTCGCGCTGAGATGCCGCTGAGTCCTGCGTCGCGAGCACCCTGCGACTGCTGATTACTCTCGCGCAGCGCATCCCGCAGAGCTTGACCCCATGGCCGCGCTCGAGGTAAGGCTGCACGTTTCCTTGGCCCTTCCGCTGCGTCCGTCCGCCTCTTCCGCATGCTTTCGCTCCGTGCTCAGTCCTTAATATGCCCCCATTGCTGCCTGCAACTCCCATCTTAAGCCGGCCATGCCTGGTCCCGCCGCCCTCTCCATTGCTAACCAATGGACAAACTCCAGGTCTCCGTCGCCGTCTCGGCCGTTGCCTCGGCCTTTCACAGTGGCGCCGAGCTGCTCAAGCAACTGAAGAAGCAGCGCAAGAAGAGAAAGGGCGAAGAAGCCTACAAGGAAAAGGCCCTCCTGGAGTCTCTGGAGAATGGCGAGACTCAGATCGAGCAGCGCTACGCTGCCGACTGCCAGGAGTTGGGCCAGAGCATCCGCATAGGCGACGGTGAGTGCTGCATCTGCTGACAAACTCGCACCCGCGCTGACCAGACCAGCCATTGCCCGTGAGCGTCTGCTTCACATCGCTGTCTCTATCCAGTCCGACGTCATCAGGAGCCTGCAAATCGCCACACGAAATGAATCAGCCGTCGTCGACCTCACTGCCTTGCATGAGGCTTCGGTCATGCTTAGGCGTGACACTTTGACCGCTCTGGCAGAACTGCGTCAGCGCACCCTCAACGACATGCCCTCCGAGACCCGCAGGAGATTGAACAGCGATGCCGGATATTCCTCCTCGATCAGCAGCATCCAAAGGACGTCTCTTAGCAACAGCCAGCGGTCACGCGCCTCGACCAATTTCTCCGACAATCTTCCCCCGGCTGTCACCATTCTCAACACCGACGAGAAGCCAAAGAGTGTTCTCTCAAGGGTCTTTTCTCATAGGAGAAGCTCTTCTGCTCTAACCTCGCAATCCAGCAACTCCAGCAATTCCGAAAAGAGGAATTCTGGTTACAACATGGCCTCAAACTTGCCGTGGGTGTCGGATCGTGCATCCCAGGAACATCAAGATTTGATCAACCCCCAGTCCCACGAGCTTCCTGCAGAAGTCCCAGTAAGGCTTCGCCCGCCCATGGACCCTCCGCCACCGCCCGCCTACTCTCCCAGCAGGTTCAACCGCGGCCACTTCGAGTCAGACAGGAAATTCGACCCTTCTCATTTCCCCGAGAGCCCTCGTCCAATCCACCCCCTGGAAAGAGAGTCGATGGACCAGCAACAGATCGAGGCCTTGAGCTTGAATGCTGCAGTACAGGCCCCACCTACCGTGGTGAGGACTTCAGCCGAGGTCAACGAAGCTTTCAACCAGTGCATGGGCTCTCTGAGGCTGGACCAAGATTTGCGGCCTACGTCCTGGTTGAGCTCTAGCGCATCGGTTACCTCCTCAAGCCACTACTCGACATCGGAGAATGCCACGGGAGACAATGCGACCATTTCGTCCGTTAACTACAGCGGTGACGATTGTGCTTCTCTCACCGTTACCACTGCACCACCGCGCACACGCCACAGTTACACATCTATCCAAAACAGTAGCCCTTTCAGCACCGACCCTCCGCCAAACGAGCTGTCCTCACCGCCATCTACCGCAACCACGACGCTGTCGCACAACCGCGCCTTCTCGGCTCCTACCGTCACCGTCATCCCACCACCGCCCCACTCGCCTGCTCCCCCTGTGCTTCCTCTGTCAGCTCCCGTCGCACCTGTGGTACCAATGCTTGGCCGGCCCTGCAAAGCGAACAATTATTACAATTTCTGCAAAGGCGCTTGGTCCCTGCGGGAAGAATTCAAGAAAGGTCTTGTTGTTCGCAACAAGCCTGTCGGCATGTACACGTCCTGCCTTGTCTGGCAGTGCAAGGAATGCAACTTCGAGGGCCCTACTTTTGGCAACAAGAAGCCATACATAACTGATCCCCGCACTTACACCTTCGTCCACGACGTCGCTGGTAACGGCGCCCCTGTCACTGTCAAGTACAAGTGGATTTTCCTCGCCAAGTCGCACGTCAAGATCAAATCTGGCCTTCTCCGTCCGACCGCGACAGAGAACGAACAGACCGTTGCGACTCTCTCCGGCTTCCTTGGTGGCCACCACCAAAGGGCCCCGAGCGTGTCCGACGTGTCGAAAGAGAACGGCGCTGTGGACGAAACGAAGTACCTTCACAAGCCTGGATACAGCTACGGCTGCTCCTTCTGCTGTGCTGAGGGCCATGTGACGAGCGTGTACGGCAATGCCGAGACGCTGCTTGCGCACGTGGCAGAGGCGCATGCGGCTCCCGCTGTGACGGGAAGGCAGCCGTTGAGTGCAGATACGCTGACAAGGACCAAGTGCGTTGTTGGGCGCACGCCTGAGAAGACCGAAGAGTGGGAAGTTTGGTTCCCAGGATTCCAAGCGCAGGGCATCATGCCTTTGGCCATCTAGAGCAGATACTGGGGCTTCTTGGGCTCCCAGACACTAGCCCAGCGTTGACGCTGTGGCTTTCCGTCAACCTCCAGCGACGATCCCAACTCTCGAAAATCTTCCGTCCATCTTCATTCATTTGACGGGGGATTTTTTATCCTGGATTTTTCTCTACTCTCTAAGTTTCTTAAGAGCTTTACGGCAAAAAGATACCCGGGACGTTCTTGTTTTTCTTGCCTTTACGTTTACGATTTTACACGCTTCTCGGATTTCCTTTCCCCGGGGTGTCTGTTCCAAGTATGATTTTTATTGAGTACTATACCCGGGATTTTCTTGTTTCTATTTACTGATCTACATCTTCTATCATTTTCTACCAAACGAAGATTAGGACCGACATTACGAAAGCTTTGATGACGAAGGGAGCAGAGGAGGAATGGTCGCGGGAGGAAGAACTTTCGCTTCTTGTATATGTTTTGTAATGGCCTTTTCCCCCCAGCTCCTATGTTGTCGATGACTATGGCATGGGCTTGGTTATAGATATGGTAGGCAGGCATACCAACAGAATTTGACACGTAACAAGCCTTTGCCCAGTGATCGTGTGCGCGCCCAAGAATTAATGACGAGGCCGGTACAACCATTGGACGGGTTCCTGATGATCCCCGCGCGTCCCCCCTCGCGTCCCCCCTTTTGCCTGCGTCGATCGCTGACTTTCCTTTGGAATTCTTTTACCCTGTGGCGTTGGACCTGGTCTGGGCCCCCGCTCGGAAGATATGCGCTGACGTCAGCCCTCCCGTCACCTCGTCGGCGATCCGGCTTTTCGCCCGGCCGACGGTAAGATTCCGCATCCACGAGTAAGTATCTTTTTTTCGTTTTCGCTGACCGGGTCGGGTACACGCGTGGTCCGGGTCCATAACCCGGGGCAATGGATCCGGGCTGCTTACAGGGCTGTAAGTCGTCACCAAACCACTTCCGCCCAAACCGAGAGCGAACATGCAGCCCCGTAAAAGAGGGGAGGGAGCGTCTGATTGGGTTTGAGCCTCTGCGGGTGTGAGGCGGGCAATCAGCTGGTTCTACCGACACTGAGTTTTCACTGAGCTGGAGCTGAATGGTTGGACGAGGTGGCTGGTCGTGGTCGTGGTCGTACGTAATAATGTATACGGACGGGCGGACGGCATATCGGATGTCGGCCGAAAACAGGGTACGGGAGTTGACTGGTGGAGAGAGAGGTGGGAGAGCCGGGGGACGGCGTCTGTGGCTTGTGTGGGGAGGTCGAGTGGTTTGAGTTTTCGATGCACGTCTTCCTTGCCGTTTCTTTTTTTATCTGCTTGGACTTATGATCGTTGAGGCGTTATGAAGCGCTTGAGTAGGCAGGAGAAGATTACTACTCAGAAGTGGCGCTTGCACGAATAGAGTTGGGTGGTCGTGTTGAACTTTGCGCCACGAGGCTTCATTTCCTGATAGACTGCGTACCGAAGATATAGGGAAAACAAAGTAAAAAGGTTTATGACTAGCAGATTTTTGACTTAATGGGACCAATTTTGCCAGTTTTTGCGCTATGATATCTAATTGGAAAGAAAGAGAAATGAAGCCTTATTTCATGGACGAATACATCTCGATGTGACTCCAAGGTGGTAATGAGTATAGGGTCTGAAAGGAGCATGGCCAGAAAGCTACGATTTTGACTAATAGTCCTGAATTTCTTCAACTCTACATAAACGACACTGAACATGGTTACAATTTATGCAAGATGCGTAAAGCGATAGCATGAATGGTCCTTCACCGCATTGACACTATGCCACTGTTAGTTACGAACAGGCTTGTGAGAAATGTGGCAATACATACACACTGAAAGGCAGGCTCATCCTCAAAGTCGTTGTATGATTGCGGTATTTCTATATTTACTGCATCCGAAGATAAGTCCTGGTTTTCGGTCGAGTGGTCTTGATCCTCCTCCACAGCTCTTGTATCGTCGGCGTAGGTGCCTTGCGGTCTCTCCCCCTCCAACTCTTCAGGCAGCTGCTGATATGTGACATTCGCTGCGCTGGGCCCCGGTGTGAGAGAAAGGTTGGCCATGTCCTCAACCATTCCATCTGAGCCACCATAGTTGGATTGGCTATTTCCTAGGGATTCTTCAGTGTCGGTATCCAGGTTGTCCGACTCTTCTCCTTCTTCGTCATATGTTGGAGGCAATGCAAACAGGGCAATCTGCTCTTGATGTTTCCCGACGTGCTTCTCAAGTTCTTGAAGTGTGAGACCATCTTTTCCACATAGTTTACAACACGCTTCGGAGTCCGGGCTCGGGAGTCTTTCACACAGAGCTGATAGAGGCCCCAACTTATCTGGGCTTTTGAGTTCAGGATGACGCTGCTGGATGTGCTCTTCGAAGTCAGTTTGGGAGAGGAATTGCTTCTGGCAGTCTCGAATGCACTCCCAAAACTTGCGGTGGACGTGGAGCTCGTGCTGAAACCATTCATGTCGCTTCCCAAATAGGCGCTTCGAGCTTGTACAATATGGGAACGTACACGAGTACGGATGAAGGTCTCTGAAGACATGCTTCCTGAAGATGGTCAGACCCGCTTTATGAAATTGATGTGGCCCACATACTTCCAAGACCTATCCGTGCTGACAGATATGATCGTGAAACAAAACGGGCACTGGAAAGGGTTGCCGTTTTGAGCTTCTTTTGGGATTGGTGGAACTTTTAGGCCTTCCTCACCTGCTGCAGAGGTGGCGAACGACGTTTGGGTCTGACCAGATTCTGATTGGTGATCGTCTAGGTCGAGAGGAAAGCCTTTTTCTTTGACATGCTGAGGAAGTGAAGATGCTGCGGTACTTTGAGCAGCTATTGTTTCGGAATCATCGTTGAAGTTGGCCGTACGTAAACTTAGAGAGAGACCCTCTGAAAGTTTTTGGTTGTGTGATTCACGGTACTTGAAGTACTCGCGCCTTCGAGAGATGGCCTCGCCGAGCGTGGCAACGAGATATTCCGACGCTTCTGGAAATTTGTTGCGCACATGACTTTTGTCAAACTGCTCAAAATGAGACCTCTTAATGTCGGCTGACATCATGTACTGATCATGCGGCGCTGGGTTCCGTATGGCCATGGACAAGCGCAGCAAAAGTGTTGTCACCCCATGGATACTGGACATGAGCTGACGAAGCTCAGTATCTCCTTGCCAAGAATGGGTTTCGCCTTCGCTGTCCGTCGAATCTGTATCCGAATCGACCTCAAGGCGTCGTTGATCCCATGGTACGCGCTCGCCACGGAGAATCTTCAGAGCTGTTGGATTGTCAACCTTGGAGCTTAGGAAACACATGTTGCATTCACTCACCCCTTTGTATCGCATCATCCAAGTCAGATAAAAGTGATTGTACTTTGCTCTTTATATGCGATGCATCCCGCAGGCGGTAATCCAAAGAGGGTAGGCCTTTACGATGAGCGCCAATATTCCCAGCCCAAACTCGGAAGCGGCCCAGCTCATCTATTACCTCAGAAGCCTCAATCAGGTTTGACGCTTCAGCATCCGTGTGGCGGATCTGGAAAACAAAATCTTCAAACGAGTGAAGGCAGTCCGATACGGACGAGGCTATACTTCGACCAGCCGCATCTGCAGCGGTCCACTTGACCTTATCAACGTGCGACATGATGATTCAGTCTCGCTGTGTGACGGGTCTCTTTTCCAAATATGATAGCAGAGAGTCTAGGAAGAGCGCATAGTTTGATGCAATTGCGATGCTCAGGCTAAAAAAAAAAGGTGGCTGATCCGGACAACGTCAGTTGTTGTAGCTTCTACCCCGCTCTCGCCGTTACACAAACAGGGCCGTGATCTATGATTGCATGAAATGAGTGGGTCTTGCATACGACCCCACGTATGAAACGTGACGACGATGCTTCGTTTTCAGCTTTGCCACCAGCCTTGTCCGATGCTCTCTTTCCAACCCATGTGCTTGCAAACGATCCGACTTCTGCAGCAATCACTATGTCCGGCATTGAAGTGGCCGGGCTTGCACTTGGTGCGCTTCCGTTAATCATCCAAGCAATCAAGGTGTACGCGGATGGTGTCTCAACCGTGGAACGGTACTTCAAATATGAGATACCGTTGCGCGACCTTCATCGGGCGGTTGAGGCAGAGTACGTGATATACCAAAACACTTGTGAGGAGCTGCTCAATTCTGTTGTTGGAGACAATGAGGATCGCGCAGCACTGCTCGACCAGCCCGGTGGACCAGGTTGGAAAAGGCCGGAATTGGAAGCGACACTGAAAGAGCGCTTATCAAGATCCTACCCGGCTTATATCGGGACTATGGATAGTATGATGCGTATCGTTTCAGAAATCAAGAGACTCCTGAAGCTGGATAAGGCTGGAAAGGTGCGTGCTTTCTATCTGATTGTCGGTATCAGACATCGCATTAAACTAACAACAGGCCCTTAGCTCCAACTGAATAACTCCAGCAAGTTCAGAAAGGAGTATCACCGATTACGCTTCAGCCTGAAGAAGTCTGAGTATGACGGTCTTGTTTCTCAGATGCAACAACTGAATGCAACGTTACGAACGTTGACACAGCAGGCCTTGGTATTGGAGTCAACCCGGTCAAGACGCCAACCGCCTGACTTCGATCTCATTCGCGCCTACACAGCGTCAGTTTACAATGTTATCTGCGCTGGTCTTAGATGTGGCTGTCGATCCACTCATGGTATCAGCCTGCGGCTTGAAAGCATCAAGAAACACAGCTCTGATGAAAATCTGCCTCCTCTCCGCGTAGCTCTCTCTTACAGTTCACGGCCAGTTGCCCAAGTGGGCGCACCGTGGGGTGTGGAGACGGTCGATGTCTATCCTTTCCAGGGTCAGGCGACCGTACCTTCCCTGAAAGAAGCCCAACCATCCGGTAAAAAGGCAGCCAAGAGAGTCATGTTTGGGCCTGTAGCAGTCCAAACATCTGCCTCAGCCACTACCACAGCAACGGCAGAGCCGGCAAATTCTTCGAACCTCGTACACATCCAAAATCTGTGCCAGGTAATTTGCTCTACCAATAGCACTTGCGTGGGGACTTGCCTGGGCTACCTGGAAGATGAGAACACGAAGCAAAGACTTAGTCTTCACCGGCCCCAGAAGCCCTTGAAAACTACCTCAATCCTTTCCCTCGGCAGTGTCCTTGCATCCAATGCCATTGGACATCGGCGTTTCTCTGCAGGCCACCGGCTGCGTTTGGCCGTCCTGCTGTCTACAAACCTCCTCCAACTCTATCGAACACCTTGGTTATCTCATACTTGGGACCATAATGATATCGCCTTTCTCGATGGAATAGGCGATGACAGTCTGAAAGATCCGTTCGTCTCGTGCAATACCAACCACGTGAGCGATAACAGCCCAGCAGACAACAGTATTCCGGTCTCGGGGTGGGAAGGCATGGCCCTCAATCGTTCGCTCTTCGCTCTTGGTATCCTCCTCATCGAGCTCTGCCTGGGTAAGCCATTCGAAGAGCTGAGAGATGGGGCAATGGCGGGCAAAGGCGGTGTGAGGGAGGCTTCAGACTTCGCTGTCGCAAGCCAGCTGCTGGACGAGGTGATGAATGAGTTCGGCGATCGGTATGCGGATGCCGTAAGGCGGTGCATCAGGTGTGCGTTCAATACGAGGAAGATCGATTTGGAGGATAGACAGTTTCGGGGCGCAGTTTATGAGGGCGTCGTTGCCCCATTGGAGGAGAACCTGAGGGATTTCACGGGCCTTGGAGTGTGAGAGAGTATGTGCTTTCGCTCTTTTTTATTGCATTCTCACTTGAAAGGTGCGGGAAAGAGGGTGGCGGTCAGGAGGTTTTCCAAACGAGGGCCGTAGTTTTTCCCAATGAGGTTTAGTGTTGCCCGCTGCTCAAGGCAACCACGATGATCCCTGAGCGAAGGATGAATACATAATCCTCATAGATGCCAGTCTCTTTTTTCCTACTACCATCAAACATGCAAAATGTCGTCGTCCATGCCATCGTTGCCGCCGCGGAAAGACACGCAAGTACTCTCCAATCTCGCCCCCGTTGCATTGGCTAACGTATGTACAAACTCAGGTGGGCATACATTGAGGCCAGCTTAAACGATATTTTTACCGAACAAAACGAGAGCGTGGATGCAAAGACATACGTTCAACGTAAAATGGGCCTTTACACGGCCATTTTCAATTATTGCAGCCGGGAGCGCCGTCCGGGCCTTTATGAAAGAAGTAAGATAGCATTACCGAGCTTTGCAGCTCTTGTGATAACACGAAGTGTCGCAGGGGACAGAGCTGCGGAGCTGCATGGGAGGCTGGACGAATACTTGAAGCAACACCTCCAAGGCCTGCGCAATGCCTCTACCGAGTATGCTACAGCCTTGAACAGGTATGAGAAAGCTGCTCAGTACAACTCCCAAGCCTTCAGTCCTGTAAACCGTGAATATGCCTTTCTTGAACAGGACCAGGGAAAAAAGGTGCACGACATCTATTCATTGCACATGATTAGGTGGAAGGAGTACATGGGCCCTGATCCACGCGAGGGGAGCATGACTGAGGCTGGTACTGTTGGAGATATTGTATGATGATGATGTTAGGGTAATGGCTGCCGCTCTTGGGACTCCGCATTAAGCATTAGAAATAAAGTGGATGAAATATCTTCAACATTCTAGATACTCTTTCTTCGTCAATCAAGTCTATCATATTTTCAGGCGATTACGGTAGACGGAACGGTCCAAGACTGCCGAATCTCCGGACGCCGCAGCTACCCGGCGAAATGTTGGGCACGTCCTTGACAACGAGCGTCTATCGTTCAGTTAAGCGCCGTAGGTGAAACAAAGTCGGTGGAGAATATTGATATCCGCTTAGGAGGTTTATAATTGCTTCTGGGGTTGCGGAGAGTGGTTCGAGTGTGTAGCGCCACGTGGCAAGGCTGGGGAATAGTAAGTCTGTTGGGCGTAAAAGGTCCCACCTGTTGTCCTGGGCCAAGGTGTTGCTCTGGAGCTCATATGGGTGATGGGTTAAAAAAGCAAGTTCTGTGGCGCTCGTGACAGGTCGCAGCCCGATGTCGGGACGAAAAGAGCAAGATCAGCAGTGGTTCAGACCGGAGGTGAAACGTCGATGCGCACGAGACATATGGTTGAGTGGCTATCGTGAAAGAAGCTTGCGGGCGCTGTTGGGAACAACTTTTGGCTGAGCTGAGATGATGCGAGCTGAATAGGCGGAATTGATTGCGCGCATGGTTGGATGCGGGCCTCGGTCCGTGTCAGGAGCCGCATCCCGAACAGGAGGATTTAGGAGTGCATGCTGCGTAATCGCGAGGATTCAACGCCCCAGAAGAGGCAATAGGTGTGGAAAAACGTTGTTGGCAGAGAATCTCACGAGGGCTGGGCGGTGGGTGCGGGAAATCGTATGACGTCGGAGCACGTGCGCAGGGCCGGTAACGGCGGGAGTCCGTTCGGGTCCCGAACTTCTTTCAGCCCTCAAGTACTCCGACAGCCCCCGGAAGAGCCCCTCTGCTCGCTCCGCCTCTTCAATCCTCACCTATGTGCCGCGCGGCCATCGACCCTGGCCCGCCATGTCTTCCGAGGGGGCCCGCATCTCCCTCGAGAGCCTCCCCAACGAGCTGCTCCTCCAGGTCCTGATCGACGCGCCGGACGCCGTACTCAGCCTGCGTCAAGTTAACCGCCGCTTTGCCGACCTGGTCACCTCGCACGAGAAGCTGATAGCCGATCGCATCTTCCAACGCACCCGCTGCGGCCGTGCCGCCGACCGCTGGAGCCTGTCATGTGACTCGTACCGCCGCGCCCGCAACTGGCGACACAACGCCATCTTCTACCGCAAGTTCTGGCGCGTCTTCGGGAACAAGAAGATATACAGCGACTGCTACTTCTGCACAAACTCCGGATTTCCATTCCTGGACACCGATCGCTTCGACTCGCTGATGAAGTCCCCGCTGGCATTGGCCTTCATCTTCCACGCCCTGAGCCCCTGCGTCGAAGACGATCCCAAATGGTACCTCGCCTCCATTCGAGAATCCCATAAATGATTTGCCGCCAGCTCGCATCCTCCGTATTCTTGAATTTGGAATGCCGTGTCATTGGAACCATTGTTGGACTCTCCGCTGGCCGAAGAGGCGGTGAATGTTCACGATAACCAGCTAGACCTGGTCATTGAGCCACCAAACTGAAGCCGATCGGACGCTATCCGCTCGACCGTCCCCCACCATCCCAGTCGAGCCCCAAAGGACCGCACGCGGACTGCTCTCTGGAAAATTTTCTCTTTTGGCGAAGATCTTTGAGCCTCGCTTCATGACGCATGAGATGATCTTGCGCGGCGCTCCAATGTCGTCCATATCTCGTGATCAGGGAACTTATACACAGAATCTGACTCGAATACGGCTTTCGTTGGTGTCGTTCAACCCCGGGTCCTTTCTTGCCCTTTCCGGGCGTAGGCTGGAATCCTGCTCGGCACTTAACAGCCTCAATATTGGGGGTATCCCCACCTCTTTGCTCGTATGGAGTACAGGAACGCCTTTGGCCGATCGCAACCCCGAGTCAAGAGCCTGCGATCTATGCGAGACGACTGGCCAGGTATATGTGGCGTCGCCCCTGTTCCTGACCTTGGATTCGGCGATACCAAGGACTCATTTCCATGAGCGAGTCAGTGCGACGTGTTTGCACAGAATATGTACTGTCGATCAATTATAAGCATTCCGATAGCGTTGGTCCACATCTGCAGTCCGTCTCTTCCTCATCCAAGGGAGCTAGGAAACGGGCCTGAAACTGCTGCCAGCTCCTTAGTGTTGGGCAGCACCTCAGCGCGGGCCAGCCCTCCCTTCCAATGAGCTTACATGCAGCCATCCTCAGCGCCACGAGGCCCCCCCTTGTGGAGCAGATGCGCTACAGTCGGTCGACTATCCGAGCCCCGTCCCCAGCGCCTCAGCCGTTTCTGGTCATTAAAGCGAATCGTCATCGCCCGCCCGTGCGTCGTCACGGATGCGGGGCGGATCATCCGCTCGAATCGTGTCGACCGGAGGTCTCCCCGCATCAATCACCCACGTCTTGGCTGCAGCACACACTAGCCGTCATCACGCCAGATTCATGAGTTTAAAGCGTGTTAGGCGAGAATCATTGCCTTGCGACGCTCCTCCATCACTGAAGCATAGCATTGCGGAGGATCGTTAAGCATTCGCGGCGTTATAACGGGGGCCTAATCCAGAAACATCACACCTGAAGATACCACATGATCCTGCGCACTGCTATCCCGCCCGTAGCGCTATACTGACAACGGCCGGCTCAACTATGTACAGATGGCTGATCTGGTTCCACAAGGCGAAATACGAACCAAGAATGGTATCGTTTCCCCGGTGAGATTCTCCGAGCTCGAACCCTCTACATCCTTGTGCACGATGCGCTATCTAGACAAATCACGCAAATACCCACGGCTGCTCCAAGCCACCTGAATCGACTGCCCCCAGGAACAGGCCTCCTCTCGCGCAACTCCCGCCGTCATTTGTAGCAGATCCGCCTACCTTGTTCTAGCGTCGTGTTAGAACTCTCCCGTCTTCCACGTGGGAACCGCGCTAGCGTGCTTGAGTGATCGCCTGCAGCCTCGCTGTCACTGGCGTGTGATTCGGTGCCGTTACCTCGTTCCCGCCCGCGCCGGCGCAAGCCCATCATCCTCTGCACACTCCAAGATCGTTGGACCAGGGAAAAGGGTCCTTTTAGTGGTGCATTGGGCCTCCCTCACCCGTAATCCCATATTGTCTGGCCACTTTCCCTATTTCTTTTCAAGGCACGACAATCCTCAACTCTACGGGAACCTGGTTTGGTGGTCGTCAGCATCCCGACAAACTCTCATCCTTCATACCCTGTTCCTTCATGTCTCGATGATCATCAGCGGCGTCGTCATCGATTTTTTGGGCAACCTTCTTCAGTCATCTGCTCCGCATCGGTCCGCCGAACCTCGCTCTTCCCTCCTCACCTTCCAGAACCATGACCACCGGCCATGATGCCGTGGTCGCTTGCTTCGTCTGCGCGGCCGTCGCCGCCGTCTTCGTCGGATTACGAATCTACACGCGCTTCTGTATCAGCCGGCATCCCGGATGGGATGATAGCATGGTTGTCATCGCATTGCTCTTCGCGATAATACTGTGTCCCATATACGTTCAACGTGAGTGTCTTGTCTTGGGCCGGAATCCTTCCTCGTGTAGTGCTTACTGGGACCATAGAATTGAAGTACGGTTTGGGCGAACACATTGATGAAATTCCTCCGCAAAAGCTCGGGAATCAAATGCACTGGTTCTGGGTTTCGACATGTGAGCTCTCCCCGTCATCCGCGTTCGAATCTCCGCATTGACGATAGAACCCTAGGGATATACCTTACCGGCGTTGCCTTCGCAAAGATCTCCATCCTCGTCCAGTACATCCGCGTGTTCGTTGGAAGGAAAACGGTCATGGCCTCGTGGGCCACCGTGGCCTTTATCGTCACTTGCTGTCTCGTCTGTTTCTTCGGCGGCGTTTTCGCCTGCACTCCCGTAGAGAAGTTCTGGAACCCGACCGTTCCAGGAAAGTGCATAGACTACCTTGCTATTTGGTAAGTGGTCCATATCTCCCTTCTGGTTTGTTGAGGCTGCGGAACTGACAGCTTTTTAGGTACCTCCACTGCTCTATGGCTATCGCGACCGACCTTGCCATTGTAATCATCCCGCTGCCCACAATCTTCAATATGAACCTAGAGAGCAAGAAGAAATGGAGTCTTGCCTTCACCTTTGCGCTGGGCGGATTGTAAGTATCCTGTCAACCCCCAATCATTCTCCCTTAAGGGGGGAAAAGACCGATAAGAACAAACTAACTAACCATCTAAAAAACAGCGGCTGCGTCACCTCCATCATCCGCCTCTACTACCTCTACTTCCTCACCCACACGCGCGACGTGACGCACTACAACCCCATCCCGGCCATGTGGTCCGCCGTCGAGCTCGCCGTCGTCATCGTCTGCGCCTGCCTAATCACGCTCCACCCACTACTCGTCCGCGCCCTCAGCCCGCTGCGCCGCTTCGCTTCCTCTTACACGGGCTCCGCCGAGAGAGCCGCCCAGCACCAGCAAGAGATCCCTTCGTACGCCAAGAACACGGTCGGCGGCGGGCCCTTGCCCTCGCCGTCGTCGAAAGTCCGTTTTTCCCGCGCCATGACGGGGTGGGAGGGAAATGGCAACGGACGCAACGGCGGTAACGTCATCGTCGGCCTCGGCACCATGCTGCTCGAGGGCTGGTCCGACGAGCGGCTCGCGCCGCTGCCGGAGGATGTCTCGGGGGGTGGAAGAAAGAGGGAGAGTGCTGGTGTTATCAAGGTCGAGACGACGGTCGACGTTGCGACGGATTCGGGGAGCTTGCTGACGACGCGTGGGAGGAGCGATGATGGCGGGGACAGCTTGAAGAGTGGGGATGGGGGGCCGGAGGCGGGAGAGGGGATGGGTGGTAGTGGCAAGTGGGTGGATGTGGAGTTGGGGAAGATGGTATGAGTCTTTCTTTTGTTCGTCTTGGAGATCTGTCGTCTGGTAAAAAGCTGGGATAGGGAGGGCTTCGTTAGGATATTTCCGTTTGTGGTATATACCCAGGGGAGCATCACGGCGCGCGGGATTTGGGGGGGTTCAAGGGGGGCGTTTTTGGGTAGATTTTGGACACGGGTCGTGGACTCTTCCTCGAGGTACAGTCCGCATCGATGAGACTTTCATAGCTTTTTTTTTGGTGATTCGGAGCTCAGCAAGAGCTTCCGCCGATACATGGCCGTATGATCCGGATAACATATCACGAATACACACATCGTAACGTTCATGTCTGGTTGGACTTTGCATTTGCTGCATTGCTTATTCTTCGGCCCATTTTTCTTATCAGGGCGGACATATTCGTTCTTCTTGAAGAGACCTCAAACAAGAGCATTGACCTCAACATGTACAGTCTTCAGTATCAAAAAAGACACGATAAGACCATGTCTCACGTTAACTGTCAGATTCCTTCAGGATTACAGACGTGCGCCGCCACGTCTATCCGAGAGGTTTCGCTATTACGGAGCCCCTTTACTCTCTGTATGTACACTCTACTTGGATATGTTGGCTTATGCTGACATCCTCCATGAAACAGTTTTGCATGTCGTACGCTCAACTGCAGGGGGGCAAAATGCGTTCCTCGTTGCTCTTACCAATTTTAGGCAGGTATGTATACTGCGTTGGGTACCAAGGTTTAGCGCCTACTTTAGCGGCCTTTAGGAGCTTCATCCCTGCATCAATAGGTCTACATACATCTTTTCTTTGCTTTTCCCCTTTATCAGTGCCAACGGGGGCAAATCACACAGCACCAGATGCAATCAATAGCCTGATCCCTCTCAGCTGCATGGTCCCTTTTTTTCCTTCTAGAATCCAGACTTACTCTGTTCGATTCTCCGGCCCCCTTTCAGGCCTTCCAAAACGTGAAACGGGCGAAGGAGCCACACATGATGGATCCCCGTTTTTTGTACCACGAACAAGCCAAGCCCCTCGTTCCGAGACACAGCCTTGCCTGATGATCAGCGTTTCCCGCGTTTCCCCGCGGGCACATCCCGCTTACACAATTGCGAAAGGTTCTAGACCAGTCCCGCCCTCACTCCCTGGTCTTCATACCGCACGATCCCCGCGCCTCGATCCAGGAAATGATCAGGTTCGCTCAGCCGCAATGATTTGCGGATCGGCGCTCAATCCCGCTGGTTTCCGCTTACTTCCGTTGCAGCGGCCCACCCGCCACCTTAATTTATTATCGAACGTGGATCATCGCTCCCGCCGTTAAGGTTTCTGCGGCATGCAGAAGAGCGTGCATGAGGAAACAGTTCGGGAAGATCTTGAGTTTACTTCTGACCACGGGCCTAAGGTGCAAGTTATGTCCGTCCCGTCCACCACCTGTCTCGAGATATTTGAAAAAAGGCTTCGGGCTGGGCTTTGAGCGCCTGTGATAATTACGCATGATAACTGCTACTATGAAAGTATCGCAGATATATAGGATGGAGGGCTAATTGAGTTCATGTTGATCGCAGGATCGCTGAGAAGACCTTGTCTGTCACCAGTTCCGGAATCGCCTTATTCGCTGCCCGCTTGGTGGATGGCAAGATGATTGCATCAGCGGAGCCAAACTTTGACAATCAAAGATACAACATTCGGTCCCATGTCTATATCTCTTGTCTTTAAGATGCAATTTCTATCATTTGCTCATCTATTCGCTGATTGCCACGCAATTACCGCCGGGTAATCAATATGCGCTACTGCTCGAGTATCACTACCCAACCACAAATTACCCAGTAAGCAAGGCTACTCTGAGGATTGCCTTTGATTCTGCGAATCCGCCCGTTGCATCGCCATAAGGCTAGATAGTGAGATTTTCCCAAAAGAGGATTCTCGTCACGGACCATCAGGCGTCAATAGAGATCATCGCAGCCCAAGAGCTTAATTTTTTTCTCTAAAGCTACCGCCGCACATCATTTGAAAGAAGCTTCTCAATTGCAGACCCTCTAGCTCTACCAGCTCTAGTCCTCCCGCGTCTCCCGCACTACAGGCTGCAGCTCATGCGACGAAGAGGCCACAGACGATGCACCCGTCGTCCCTTCCACCACAACGGCCTGGACCGACGACCCTCCTCCTCCCTCCTGCCGCCCCTCCTTCTTCCCCTTCTTCCCCTTCTCCCACACACTCCCCCTCAGCCCCTCAGGCACCTCGATCGCAAACACACTAACCACCAACCCCACCCCGCACAACCCAACACAAGCCCAATAAACCGCCTTGAACCCCTCTTCCCCAATCCCACCACCACCACCACCGGTCTTGCCACCGCCCACACCCTCAGCCACGGCCGTCAGCACGGCCAGCCCGAGGACCGAGCCGCCGACCTGCAGGGCGACGTTGAAGACGCCGGCGGCGGCGCCCTGGTCGCTGCGCGAGGCCTGCGAGACGACGACGACGGACGCGGCGATGTAGACGGCGCCGATTCCGGCGATGTAGAGGATGGTGCCGGGGAGGGTGGTGTGCTGGTAGGAGTACGGGTGGTGGTGCGTGTTGGTTGTGGTGGCGAAGAGGGCGATGCCCGGGATGGAGAGGGACCAGCCGATGATGAACTGTTTTTCTTCGTGTTAGACGGGAGGTTGTTGCTACGTTGGGGGAAAGGAGGAGGAAGAGAGGAGAAGGAAGGGCTTCTCACCATCACCCGCGCGCCCAGCACGGGGACGAGGCGGCCGGACAGCGTGTTGCACACCAGCGCGCTGACGCCGAGCGGGATGAACAGGACGGACGTACGGATGGCGCTGTAGCCGAAGGACCGCTGCAGCTGGACCGTCAGGAAGTAGGTGCAGGCCTGGCGCACGGCGTAGGTGAGCACGGCCAGCACGAGGGTGAGGTCGAAGGAGCGGCTGCGGAACAGGTGCGGCGCCAGGATGGCCTGCGACGCCGTCCGCTCGTGCGCCACGAACAGCGCCAGCAGCACGACCGACGCGCACAGCGTCGCGATGATGGATGGCGCGTCCCAGCCCGTCGCGTTGGCGGACGTCAGGGCGTAGGTCAGCAGGAGGATGCCTGGCACGCCGAGGGAGATGCCGAGCGCGTCGAAGCGGATGAGGCGCTCGCGGAGGGAGTGGAGGAATTTCTTCTGGGCTGCGTCGGTGGGGACGTCGGGGGATGCTGAGTCTGAGGGAGGGGGAGTGGCGCCGCGACTGGAGCGCGGCCTGGGGAGAATGAGGTATGCGGCGGGGATGACGAGGCTTGATATGATCAGTGATATCCAGAAGATCCATCGCCAGCCGAGAAATGCTGTCAGAACACCTCCCAGAATGAGGCCGATGCTGGCTCAAGTCAGTGTTGAATCAAGTGGGCTGAAGTGGGCAACGTACATGAAGCCCAACGATCCTGCAGCGCCCCATATACCCAGGGCCTTAGCTTTCTTAGCTGGCTCCGTGAAATACAGGGCAACGTGGGCTTGGGCGGGCGGGATGGTAAATGCAGCCCCGATTCCTTGGAATGCTCTTGCTATTACAAGCCCTATGAAGGTGGGCGAGAGGGCGCAGACCAAACTGAACAACGCGAAGAACACCATGCCAAAAAGTAGGACCCGGCGATGGCTGCGAGGCGTGTCAGTGTCGTGTAGGAAAGAAGCGTGCAAGATGCATTTACCCAAAGATATCCCCTCCACGGCCACCAAGGAGCAGAAAGCCACCGAAAGTCAACGAGTAAGCAGAGATCATCCATTGCAGGTTGCCGGCATCTACATCGAAATTCTCTTGGATTGTAGGGAGGGCAATGGTGATAGCGCTAAGGTTTGCCAAATCAAGGAACATGGCAGAGCATCTGCGAGATTCAGTCAGAATGAAGTAGTAGCACACGACTCCTAAACTCACACAACTGCCAGAATTAAATTTGGGTTGCAGCCCGCCATGCTATCCGGCATAGACTTCAGCCGCTCGAGTACTGTCATTGTGGCGGTGATTGGGGAATGATGGAGCCAGGTTCAGCAGGGGCGATGCGGCGCTTTTGATGTTCAGCCGGTGTCCCAGCCGAGAGACCGGACGCCGGTCGAGGCGTAGTCAACCAACGTGGGGCTTCGGTATGCAACCGACAGTAAGCAGTACCGCCGCAATCTAAGGGTCCACTAATTGTAGATGGCGGGCCGCGTCGCGGATCAAAGCTTGTCATCTTGCCTAAAAGCTGACATCAGCCTGCGCTGGTCTGAACACCTACGTCGCCCGTTGTTCTAATTGTGTTCATTGATTCTTAGCACTTTCAGTAGTCGGAGCCAGGTTTGTCTATTGATCATTGGGTTAGTCCATTATTCCCTTTCGCATGGCTGTGCAACTGCTCCGCGCCCACCGCAATTGAAGTCCTGCACAAATTTAGGACTCGATATCGAGCTCTGACACAGGATTTCGACATTTCTGGAAGCCCCTCGATGCACTAAGCCGTTAGCAAGTGCTTTTAGCACTGGATCTTGCGTCTAGCCTCGCATAGATAATCCATGCTCGGAATGTCATATCCTGATGGATTTAAAGGACTTCTCAAGAGCTCAGCCCGTCATCTATGAATTGTGTCGGAAGGATGGATCAATTTGCTCCATGAGTCCTTCTCAGATATGAACATGCGAGTCAGCATCGTGAGCTCGTGGCAGATGAATAAGAAAAAGCTTACTACAGCTGCGATGATTTTCCTTAAGACGAGCCTGTTTGCGCGATTAAGTGCCGACGTCGGTTCGAAAAGGAATAGCAATAGCAACGTTGAAGCTTAATGGCTTGTATCTCAAGTCGCTGCAGGGAGTGATGGAGTAAAGTGTTCTGAAGACGTTGGCGAGAGATGTGGGGAAGAATTGCAAGAGGAAGGCGCGACCCTGTAACGCGACTCATGACGTCGTTGCCCAGGCGCGCCTTTGACGCCATATCATACGCGCGCAGGGCATAAAAGGCCACGAAAGCAGAGCTTCGACCTCAATACGAGCTTCAAATGCCCTGTTATTGCCGACTCAGCATCCAATTCCAAGCACGACGGGTGTGACATGGGCAAAGATCTATCGCTGCGAGGCGCAACTCAGTTGTCCACCGGATCCTTATCCCCTGGCAACGCTCGCCATGTTCTCGCATTTGCAGAAAGAAACGGACCATGATTTCGTATTCGGAAACTCAATTCGATGACGCGGATATGCCAGCAAACAGTGCCACAACATTCTGCTCGTCCACAGAAGCGCTTTCATGGGCCTAAGACGCCTCATTACTGCCAAGAAATTGCTCATGGACATGGATCCCCGCTGTTCACCTGAAGTGGTCCGACATTGAGGCTAGCTGGCCTTCCGGATCCTATTCCGATCCACGATGCGTTGAAGCAGATTGGGGACCACTTTGTAAGCACGCACACGAGCTGACCGCTTGAATGAACCCTGTTGGAAAAGCACATCCCCGCTGACAGTGGAAATCCCTGTGCGCGCGTGGTGCCGAGCCCGTGTGCCATTTAGCCGTGCCGACGGCAGACTGAATCGCTCCCATGTACGTGCGTTTCCCGACGGCCCAGTAAAGAGGCAGCATTATCAGCGAGCGGGCCGCAGAAAGTGGATGGGGATGCAGGATGATATCCGGGCATTCTTCGGTGACGGGCCGGTACGGCAAGCCATGTCTCGAAATCGGCATCATTGAGAACCAAGTCCTCGGGACCAATGCGGCGGTCGGTATGCATCCGGGAGCACTGGCTGAAGCTCGGGAGATACGGAAGATGCTCGACATGGTTGTGAAAGCGCGAAAGCCAGATCAGCAACAAGGCGCCCTGCATCAACGCTTCCTCGCACCAGCTCTCACGCGAGAAAGAGGATTTTCGCGTCACCAGCCAGCTTCGAGCAACGCTTCTCGGACTTTAGAGGTCCCCTGTTGACCGGCGCGAATCCGGTGTGGGGCCTTGAACCTGCAGATCACCAACAACCAAGATCCACGACTGAGATAGGCGATGGCCTTGAGGGCTGAGTTGTCTGTTTCAACTTAATTTTGGCATCCGCAATGGCCACGTATCGAGGGCATCCGGTGTCGCTGCCGACCATAGCCGTCTGTGGCCGTTCTGATTCGTCCTGCGCAGGGTTGATTCTCGGGTCTCAGTCACATCCATGAGGGTTGCTCCGGTGGGAGTACGACGCAACATGACGTGCCTAATCGCTATCCCACCACAGTGCCGGGTGAAAAGCAGAAGCAAAAGAACACAATGAATGATAGCATGGCGTTGAGTCGGCTGCGGAAGGACGGGTCGCCTTACCCGATGGACGGTTATTTGGCAGTCCTGGATGATTTGGTAACAGCAAAACGGGTAACCCGGTCGAGAAGTCAGCAGAGGTGGACAACCCGAACAGGGCACCAACAGCACTCGTGCGGGGACTGTTGCGCTCGAGCGCGTGACTGGCTCGTTGGGGCCTGACGATTGGCGGTCGCGGAGTTGCGGATGGAAAAGGCTTCGCAAGCATCCCGAAAAGCTCCCCGACGTCCACCCGCCTCGGCTGAAAGACCAATTGATAGCCGTAGCTCGGCCAGGTTCTCGCACAAAACGCCCCGTGATTGGCCGCCCGTTGCGCCTTAGAAGTGCCGCGCCGTAGGAAGCGATTGGCAGTACATCCCCCGTGGTTTTACCGCGACATGACTATCTTAAGTCCAATGTATACCTGTTCCGCGCCAAAAACGGCATCAGGTTCCACCGCAGACCGTCGCAAAATGACACGAAGGGGAGTACAGGCCACCAAGCTTCCGGGCCATGCCTGCTACAAGAATGCTGCTGCCCGCTGTCCGGACCACCTTATTTGCACACTCAATCGTTTCCCTCGTTTTGATGCCATACGTCCGCCATGGGTTCTACCACCACCAATGTTGAGGCCATTCTTGCCTCGTTGACGCTCGACGAGAAGGTAGGTCCTCTCTCATTCCCAGTTTCGATTCTTCCTACTTCGATCCCAAGACCCAACCTGCTTTTTCAACCATCGAGTCGACGATCGGGACCCCGATTGCCGCACCAGCAAGCTTCAAGTCTCACCGGAACCATCTCTCATTGGCCACATGACTCTTTAGCAATTCTTATCAATATTCAGCTCTTAGCCTCCCAGGAGGCAAGCACAGAGCTTCTTTCAAGATCTTTCAAGTCTCACCCAACAACACCCTCACTGACACCACTCTTCCCAGATCTCCCTCCTCGCCGGCGCCAACTTCTGGGAAACCGTCGCGATCCCGGACAAAGGCGTGCCCTCGCTCAAGACCAGCGACGGGCCGAACGGTGCGCGCGGAGCCGAGTTCGCGCACGGCACGACGGCGGCATGCTTCCCGGCATCAGTATGCCTGGCGTCGACGTTCGACGTGGAGCTGGCGGGGCGGGTGGGCAGCGCCTTGGCCGAGGAGACGCTGTCCAAGGGCGCGCGCGTGCTGCTGGCGCCGACCGTGTGCCTGCACCGGCACCCGCTGGGCGGGCGCAACTTCGAGTCCTTCTCCGAGGACCCGCTGCTGGCGGGCAAGCTGGCGGCGGCGTACATCCGCGGCCTGCAGGCGCGCGGCGTCGGCGCGACGATCAAGCACTTCGCCGCCAACGAGCAGGAGACGCAGCGCTTCACCGTCAACGAGACGATTTCGGAGCGCGCGCTGCGCGAGCTCTACCTCAAGCCGTTCGAGATCGCCATCAAGGAGGCGCAGCCGTGGGCCGTCATGACGAGCTACAACCTCGTCAACGGCACGCACGCCGACGGCCACGAGTTCCTGCTCAAGAAGGTGCTCCGGGGCGACTGGGGCTGGAAGGGCCTGGTCATGAGCGACTGGGGCGGAACCAACTCGACGGCCGAGAGCATCAACGCCGGCATGGACCTGGAGATGCCCGGCCCGACCAAGTGGCGCAAGGTCGAGGACGTCAAGGCGGCTATCAAGGCGGGGACGACGACCGAGCAGGCCGTCACCGAGAGGGCCAGGAACGTGCTCGAGCTGCTGGTCAAGACGCGTCAGTTTGAGGACCCCGTCACGCCGCCCGAGAAGGCAATCAACAGGCCGGAGGCTCAGCAGCTCATTCGTGAGGTTGGCGGCGCCGGTGCGGTGTTGTTGAAGAATAAGGACGGAGTGTTGCCGATCAAGAAGGAGAGGCTGCAGAAGAAGAAGATTGCGGTGCTGGGACACGCAAAGGACTCTTTGATCCATGGCGGTGGAAGCGCTTCGGTCAACGCTCACTACAAGATCACCCCCTATGAAGGCCTGAAGGCTGCACTTGGAGACGAGGTGGAGCTGCTTTATGCAAAGGGTAAGTTCTCTGTCACTGTTTCGAGATCAATTAGCTAATTGTCACCAAAGGTGCGCACACTTTCCGTCTTCTGCCGCCGATGGGCAAGGGCGTCAAGGACTACGAAGGCTCCGCTGGCTGGACTCTTCAGCGCTTCGACACCGAAGACTACTCCAAGTCGCCCGTCGGCACCAAGAACATCCCTACGTCCAACTGGGCGCCCATCCTCTCGACAGAAATCGCCGAGACGTGCAAGCTCACGGGAACCTTCACGCCCGAGACGACGGGCAAGCACTACCTGGGCTTCTCCGGCCTCGGCCCCTCCAAGCTCTTCATCAACGGCGAGCTCGTCTCGGAGCAGAAGCACAACTACCAGGACCCCATGGGCTTCCTCCTCGGCGGCGGCAAGCAGGAGAACTTCCAGTACCACTTCGAAGCCGGCAAGCAGTACGCGATCGAGGCGCAGTCGCGGCGGCCGCAGGTCAACAACAGCGGGCTCAGCATCCTGGACAAGTGCATGGGCTTCTACCTGGGCTTCATGCCCGAGGAGGAGCACGACGAGGACATCCAGGCGCAGGCGGTGGCGGCGGCGCGCGCGGCCGACGTGGCCGTCGTCTTCACGGGCCACACCAAGGACTGGGAGACCGAGGGCCAGGACCAGGCGTCGTTCCACCTGCCGGCCGACGGCTCGCAGGACGCCCTCGTGGCCGCCGTCGCCGCGGCCAACCCCAACACCGTCGTCGTCAACAGCACCGGCGTCGCCGTCGCCATGCCGTGGATCGACGACGTCGCCGCCGTCGTGCAGACCTGGTTCCCGGGACAGGAGGCCGGCAACGCCATCGCCGACGTGCTGCTCGGCACCGTCAACCCGTCGGGCCGCCTGCCGACGAGCTTCCCGCGCCGCCTGGAGGACGCGCCCGCGCACGGCAACTTCCCGGGCGAGTACGTCGACGGCAGGCTGGAGGTGAAGTATGCGGAGGACGTGTTCATGGGGTACAGGCACTTCGACCGCGTGGGCAGCGACAAGGTGCTGTTCCCGTTCGGCTTCGGCCTCAGCTACACGTCCTTCGCGCTCAGCGGCTTCCACGTCCAGCCCAACGAGCAGGTCTTCGACGTCGCCGTCAGCGTCACGAATACGGGCGCCGTGGCCGGCGCGCAGGTCGTCCAGGTGTATGCGGGCCCGGCCGGGAAGACGGCCGTTGAGGTGCCGGTGAAGCAGCTCGTCGGGTTCCAGCGCGTGGTGCTTCAGCCGGGCGAGACGAAGGCGGTGCAGGTGCCTGTGCCGGTGAGGAGCTTGGCCTACTTCGACGAGGGCGTCGGCAAGTGGGTGGTTGAGAAGGGCGAGTACAAGATCATGATTGGCGAGTCGTCGGCCGACATTAAGGAGAGCAGCGTCGTTAACGTGGCGGAGAAAATTGAGTTTGCGCCGTAAAAGGTGATACGGGTCAGCAAAGGGTCTGCCGTTGAGATTCGGGGACCGAGGATTTCGAGTTTAGGGTAATGCATATCCGGAGATACATTTCGAGGAATGGACTAGTCGACCGTAGTTAACTCTGTCGCGGGGCATGGGTAATCGTGAGTAGACATCAAATGTCTCATACATGACACAAGATATAATCAAACTTGTCGGGGCCCGCGGCGGCCGTGCATGGATGCCGTTGGATTCTGGAACGCAATTCTTTCTGGGGGTTCCTGCAACGAACCCAAAAGATTCGGTACGTACGATCATGTATAGAGACGATGTGTGGATGTCCGGCTCAGGGCGGAGTGGTCCGTGTTGCTATTTTTACACGGCACGTTCATCTGATTTGCCACACCGTCCGTTTAAGCATAACGAGCTGCATGATGAGCTAGGTGATCGCTTGTTGGCTCTTCTCCCTTTTTTGCTGTCGATGATCGGGAGCGGCGGGAGTGGCTTTGGGGCGTGATTGGAGCTTGGTGGCTCCCGTCCTGACTAGGTTCCGTCCCCCCACCCGAGGTTCGACTTCGTGAGGATGCGTTGTTTTTGGGGCGTTGGCTCGTATTTCTTGGCTCGGAAGAGGAAGCGGCGTGGTGCGACCCAAGAGCAGAAAAAATCCTGAGGCGCGCCGCAGCAGTTGCGCGTCGCACCGGCCAAGCCACCACGAAGCTCTCTTGCGCGCGCGTAGAAAAGCTTCGTTTGGGAGCAAGGCCGGCCCGCTACGGGCGCAGAGCGGGGGCGGCGTGCAAAGTAGACGGGGCCTGGATTGCTTGGGGCTGGGGCAGCGGCGATAAGGCGCTTATCCCTCCCGCCCCGGGCGCACCTCCATCGCGCACACCACGCGTCACATTCGTCACATCCTGAAAGCGGCCACCATCATCGACCCACTCTGCACACGTAACGCCGCCCAGCCATGCCTGTTCGCGCTGCTGCAATTGAGCGGCGCACGCCATCTCTGCACCATGCCTGCCCTTGCAACCAGGCCAACCCCATAATAATAACACCTGCTAGCCCTACCTTCCCGCCTTAACTCAGGAAGGCCTCAACTCTCCTTCCACTCGCTCCTGACAGAAGGACGACCTTCGCTCGCCCCTGTGCCTGGCAGAACCTTCACTCGCCGCTGTCACTGCCAACAACAAACATCCCCGGCCCAACCATGTCCGGCCGCAACCCGTTCTCAGAATCCAGCGTCCCGCTGCAAAACCATGGCGAGCCGCCGCCCTACTCCGCAACCGAGGAAAAAGTGGCCGCCCCTTCGAAATGGAATCCCAAGTCGTGGGGCCTGAAGACCAAGATCGCCGTCGCTGTCGGCATTGTCGCTGTCATTATTGCCATCATCTGCGGCGCCTATTTCGGCGTCAGGAACAACAAGTACCCCAACTACAGCAAGCTCAACTACAGCCTGTCAAAGACATGTAAGGCTCCCCTTTTACCCTGTTTCCCCTCTTGTTCGCGGTGGTTGTGGGAGTTGTGTTGTCTGGATGTTTTGTGGTGGAATTTGTGGATGAGGGCTGCTCCCATTCGCTGTTTTGGATTGCCAATTCGGGATGACGATGAGTGCTGACATTCCTGGCAGATGAGGGCACCTCTTTCTTCGACGATTGGGACTATTTCAACACATACGATCCCACAAGTGGCTGGGTCCAGTAAGTTTATCTCTCCGTGATGAAGTCTGCAGAAACCATGCCTAACGGCCTTGACCGCAGCTACGTCGACAATGCCACTGCCGCATCCATGAACCTCACCTACGCCACTTCCTCCAAAGCCGTCGTCAAAGTCGACACTTCGGAGAACGGCGAGTCCGCCAGCACCGGACGCAAGTCCGTCCGTATCACGTCGCGCGACACGTGGAACAGCGGCCTCTTCGTCTTTGACATTTCGCACTCTCCCTACGGCTGCGGCACGTGGCCCGCTGTGTGGCTCTCTGACCCGTATAACTGGCCGACCCATGGCGAGATCGACGTCATGGAGGGTGTTAACCAGGTGTCCGACAACAAGAACCAGATGACGCTGCACACAACCAACAACTGCAAGATGGACCGCAAGCGCAAGATGAGCGGCACCTCCATCCACACGAACTGCTACAACGGCACCAACAGTAACGCCGGCTGCGGCGTGTACGGCTCGTCGACGTCATTCGGAAAAGGCTTCAACAACGTTGGCGGCGGCATATACGCTGTCGAATGGCGCAGCGCCGGTATCCGCATCTGGTACTTTGAGCGCGAAGACATCCCGGACGACCTCAGCAGCAGCAACTCCAGCGCCACACCCGATCCCAGCTCGTGGGGCGAGGCTTCCGCAGATTTCCCTGGCACCGACTGCAACATCGCAAATCACTTCCGCAACATGAGCATCATCGTCAACATCGACCTTTGCGGCACCTGGGCCGGCGCCGAGTCTGTCTACACCGACGAGGACGAGTGCCCCGGCACCTGCACCAGCTACGTCACGAACAACGCCACCCAGTTCGAGAAGGCCTACTGGGAGTTCAACAACTTCAGGGTCTACACTGCCAACGGCGAGGCTTCTGTCAGCTCCACCACGGCCTCCACGGCTACTGCTTCGACAACGACTACGGGAGTGTCATCGGTAGTGGTCTCGTCGGTTGTGGCGACGACGACCGCAGCGCAGGTTAACCCTGGTGGTGACCAGAACAACAACAACAATAATAACAATAACAACAACAACAACAATAACGGCGGTGGCTAAGCACCCTCCAGATTTCGGCACTTCCGAGGAACTGGGGACATTGAGCGTGGAGACCAAGGTTGATCTGGAGTCTCCGGATAATCACGCAGAGCGCAGAGCGTATTGCTATTGCTGAGTTCTTTCTTGTACACGTTGGATTGTGCTGGAGAGAAGCAAAGGAGATATGTGCTTCTACGACTGTTTTTGACTAATGATTGGGATTGCAAAAAGCTGTTTTTTTCTTTTTGGTTTGGTGCTGGGTTTTTGGTGATAGATACCCTTGGATGGCCTCGTGCTGTGGCCTAAGGAAGGAAACAGGCGGGCTTATCATTCTTAAATTTTGGAAGTAAAGAATTTCCCATATAAATTGGTTCTGTGACTTGCCTATTTTCGTTGTGTTTCACGCCTGTGTAGTTGGTCAAGTGATGGGTCAGATCGGGTGCAGAGTCCCAAGCCCAATTATCAGATCCATCGAATATCGAATATTTCGCCTCGAAAACTTGTGAATTTCTGCGAACAAGATCATGCTGAATAATTAGTAGTAGCCAAACTACGATGGGGGGCTTCGGGAATTTGTTCTCCACTGGACTTTCGTCGGGTATATGTAGTGTTGAGGGTCAAAAAACTCACCTTGACATCGCCCTGTCAGCACCATGCTCAAACAGCGTTCCAGCACATATCTTACAAGAGAATGTCTCGCTAATTTTTAGCTTTCATTCTCTAGAATAGTTTTGGGTGTGGTAACCTGCGAGGCCGAAATTCAGTTACGTTTTGAATGTAGCCGAGGAAGGAGAGCTGCGAATCGATTGCTCGGCTGCCCTACGGGCATTGCCAAAGTTATTCTGTACCTCTATTCCGCCAAAATCTGGCTTAATTGGCTTTCCTGACATATATTTCTCACACTTCCGTAGAGATGGGCAACCTGAATAATAGGATGAATCATCTTGCATCATGCACGAAGAACACTGGACCGAAAGGATTTCCATTATTGTTCTTTTGTTCTGCAAAGGCATTCACCACCATTCAAGTGAGTCCTTATAATGGGTTCATCCAGTCTGACAGCTATGAGCAGCCCCTCGTTTCCCGGATAGCTCAACATCGCTTTTCGTGTTGCGGCGTACTCTACGCCATCGTAACATATGCAAGGACGACAGCGAGGAAGACAGCCAAAACCACCATCAGATCTTTAATCTGTATAGTGCGGCGACGAATAGGTTCGGGCGCAAAGCGGGGAGTTCTCAAATAGCGCACGGCGCCGCCCCGACGGCAGAAATTGCGAGGAGCGCTGCATGGATGGTTCCCGCCTCGTATGCGCATCCAGCAGTTGCAAACTAGACATCGCAATACGTTCATATGTCATTCTCTGCCCTCCAGGCTTATTGTCGAAAGATGGCCGTTGGCAGTAGCGTCTGAAGCTGTACAAGCTCGTGGTAGATTGAAGGTATTTTCCCTTTTTGTTTGTTGTTTGACCCCTGGAGAAACGAGACGGCTTTCTTTATTTATAGCTGCATGGGAATGCTCGTACGCCTGCCTGTTTTCTGAATATTTGGCCGTGGTGGGTTCGTGACGGAGGATGGGGAGATGCGTCGCATGTGTTTGCCTGCTTGACTGGCTGGATAGTTAGTCGTTCATTTGATGGTAAAGGGGTGTCTCTACGGGGTTTCATAGTCTCATGAGCCTAAATGATTAGCTTTTAATGAGAAGTAAGGTTCGAGGTAAGGTGTAGCTGTGATGATTCCCGTCATTGCTTTATACTTCTCACAATCCTTCTTATGACGCCTCCTTTGACATCAGAAGAATTAGATAATCACACGAGGATGATCTATTAGGGCCGAAAAGCCTTGACGTGGCGTAGGTGCGCTGCCCTAACGCGAGCCCGCGTGTGGGGACAGGAATAGGAAAAATCAAAATAAACAAACAAGCGGTCATGCCCAGCGGACACGTCAAGCAGACACGTCAGACAGATGGCTGAAAAACTGGAAAGAACTCGTCGATCATATTTTTGCCGATCTTTGGCACGTTGTAAATTCGTCTTCAAAGTTATGTGGCCTAGACAGCTAATCGAATCTCTCAGCGTCGTTGCGCTGCTCACCTTCAGATTACCATGCCCTTCAGTGACCTATCTCTCACCATGTTCTACATTCGTCATTTGATCAGTTAGAAGCTACTCTGAGCTTTCCGCTACTGTGAAAGCTGCACTTCCCCTCCTACAGACCGCTCATTCCCCACTTCTCGGCGAAGGCGTAGACAGCCTGCGGCTATGCATACAGGGGTTGTTTTGTCACGCGGCCCGGAAAATGCGGTGAATGACTCCAAACGCAAGATTCTTCAGTAGAATCAGGCCACTGCAGGCCTAGGTTCCAATCTGCCTTGCTGCCTATTCTATTTTGGTACGTCAGCAGCTGTGCCACACAGTCTTGGCATTTAAACAAGAAGGAATAGCCGCCTAGGCGCTGAAAATTCAGAACACCATTTGTGAACGTCTCTGAACATGGTCTAACTATACATTTGAACTCCTTTCATGGCCTTGCCTTACCCTCATCCTTCTACATAACATATAAACGTTATCTCTCTCCTCTGTTAGTGTGTTTATAAAGGAGATACAGTTCTAATTCCAAATATCAATAAAGTATCTCGGCATTCCTCGAAGAATTTCACAAATTCGCTGAAGCGGCTCAGGTTCTTTTCACGCAGGAGAGAAAATCCAAGGCTTTTTCAACAGCAGAAATACATTAATGAAGGAGTTCAAATAAACTATGGAACGGTAAGAAAGTTTTAATTTTGGATTTTCGCCTCAAATATCTGAAGTTGAGCCAAATTGCAAGTTTCTAGTGTCATTCAGCAATTTCAGGAAGCAAGTCAGCACGGAAAACCTTCATTTTGACCGGATAATCGATATGATCATCACGGAAAAGAGTGTATAACGAAGTGAGCGGCCCAATCTCAAATGAACGTCCTCTCCATCTCTGATTTACCTTGAAATTTTCTTTTATTGGAGAACGTTCTTCTCCTCCTAAACTCCCAGTGATCAAATGTATTGAGGACTATAGTCCTCATACAAAGGTAGTAGGCTCAAACGGCATTAGCCAGAACGAATTTACTTCATGCCATTCTACTCACAAATACCGTCGTGGGTGTGACTCCAGCAGCTTTTCGGTATCAGGTGCCCTTGGCATCCATGCAGAGATTGACTATCGGCTCTCGAGCTTCGTAATGATCGTTGGGATTGTTGCTGATGCAGCATCCGTCCGAGCGATAACCAGGACAGTCATGCAGTCCACCAAACCGTTTGATCCATTTCTCACAGACGGAGCAACGCTTGGCTGAGGCTCTGCAGGGCGGCATGCTTAGTGTGGGAAGCGTGATGGGTAGTAACGATTGTGCGAGAAGTTATTGAATCGGTGAGTCCTGTGTAAAGATGTTTTTGCACGCAGGAATTCCAGATGAGATGACTGAGCGTTTATATAGTCTCCTCTGCGCCATATCAATCAATTGATTGAGGATAACACCGCAGGAAGGGGTTCACCGCTGTTTGCCGTAGGATGATTTTGATGGCGAACGAAAACTTTGTTGGAGAGGGGTAAGTCGCAGAAGCGTGTGAGAAGCGACATGTGCTCCCCATTTGAGAGCGCCTTGCAGGCGGGGTCTGAAAGGTCCGCATGGGAACGCATGAGTCGATGGAGTGGTGCGGGGGCCATTCGTTCTGGAAAGTCCTTTCAGAACAACAAGCTAGATCTCGATCCGTGACGACGTCAACACAAAAAGTTTCAAGTTGTGATAAGGGAGTGGGGGTTGGGATGTCGGTGAACGCTGCTTGAATTCTAATTCGCTAGTAGCACGCTTCTCTTGAACAGGTGGAGAAGGTTCTATTCCCGTAGTCCGAAACTGGGCAAATCCGCCGCCTACCGCCAGTTTGGATCTGTCGTGTAGACTCCTCGGAAAAAGCCGAGTTTACTCCAATTCCGCATGATGCAAAAGTTGGCACAACTTTGCGTTTGATATATTTTGGCAGTCCTTGAGCACAGAAAATACAACGATCATAGAAAAAGTCTCAACACCGACGATGCGATATTTTACGACTTCAATTATATTAGTTTGATGAGAGCCTTTTTTTTTAAAAAAAAAAAACATGGATATAAACTTCATAGCTGGCGGAAGAATAGAAGTCGTGATCAAAACAATTATCCCTGGCTCTATTGCCACCTGCTAAACACTTCAAAGTCGAACAAGGAACAGGCCATCTGCATATGTAAAAAGCCTTTGGTACAGGCTTAGAACTTCTATTCTCCACAAAAAGCAAATTGTTTTGGGTGTTCTGCATATTCAGGCCAAGCCCTCATGTACCAAACAAGTCAAGGTTGCGCATATTGTCAGATAGGCGCCGATAGACGGAAGCTGGTCGAAAGTCGGTGTGTCTGAACGGCTCCGTATTTCCGAAGCTCCGCTTCAGCGCCTTCGGAAATGGAAAGGCAATTACATGGGCGTGCTGCCGGGGTTACGAAAAAAGTTTGTGACATGCAGGGTGCCTCTCGCAAGACAGTCCACGCAGCAATCCTAGATTCTTTCGTAAAAATGGTTCCTCTGTGATCTAGAGGATCTCAAAAACTTATCTCAATAATTCATTGTATGCATAACAGCATTTGACGCGTAAAACTCAGACTAGAGCGTCAGCCGCGCGCATACCATAGACGCTCTCACGACGGGTTGGAGCGGGTATCACGGCGCGTTAGAACAAGAAAACCATCAGACGATGCACTGATAACGCCACTTGTGACGTGTCCATGTGCCGTATCGCAGGTATATGGGTCTCTTGGAACGCGTCGTGGCTGTGTGTATTTGCAGCCACCATTGTTTACGTTCCTGCCAAGGAAATGTGGATCCAATACACATGTAACAGGCCCATGCATTTGGAACCGGCTCGAGTACACTCTTAGATGGCATAACAGCGCAGTCACTTCGCATTCAAAATTGCTATGTCGGCCTTCCGCTCGATCCTAGCCAGAGAGAAGATGATGCAATGC